TAACCTAACCCTAACTCTCATTCATCTCCATCCTGCTCCGTCTTGCGGCCAGACGGGTCAAACGCGCTTCATTGTATCTTGACGACTATCTGGCTATCGTATCTTGGGTGACCTTTTCTTCAGTCTAACCTCAAACATTACTTTACTGAAATGGCAGAAGGTCTTAACGCTAGTATATAGCGTCATAGTAGCTTCAGGTGATTTCCAAGCCATCTTCCATCGTGTCTGATGAACTTAGACTGAGTCTCATGATCAGGAGTTCGTTTTGGAGGCCTTGGGCGCCATGCCTCAAGTATATCCCAGGAAAAGTTGTCCACATTTCTCAAAGTACACACCATATGACGCTATCACCAGACCGATCGTCTGATAACACTATCTTCCACAGGCATACTACGTGATAGAGTACTTCCAGACCACATCGCTGGCCACGGCAAAGATCTCCCTTCTTGTACTTCTGGACCGTATATTCATCACACGCGCATTTCGCATTGTTGTCAGAATTCTCGGGACCATAATAGTATTGTGGTGGGTAGCTCTCACTACAGCAGACGCCTTGATATGCCTTCCCATCCGATCCAACTGGCAGCCAGCCATCCCAAAGACTTGTGGGAATGTACGGCTGCTTCTTTTGTTTGGCCCAATCCCCTGGATATTGACCGATTTTGCTACTCTGATAGCTCCACTCTTCGTCCTGAAGGACCTGCAGCTGAGGAAAAAGGACAAAATCGGCCTCATCGCTTTGTTCTCCACCGGAGCTCTGTGAGCATTCCAGCTCTTCTAATTTTCATAGCATCTCATGGTTCACAGGACATGCATCGTTTCCTGTGTTCGTTACAAGGTGCTGTTGAAACCGTGGACTGATCCCACCTGTAGGTTTCCCTTTTATTGACAAAAGTTCCCACAAATTGACACCTTTAGGGGACATGGTGGATATCGGAATCTGGAGCATTATCGAAGTCAACGTTACAGTGGTGTGCATATGCATTATCACTATCAAGCCCGCACTTCAACGACTATTTCCATCCTCCATCCTCCTTAAGACACGTCAAGGCTGGACAAAGCTTCGATCATCTTCCTATTTGCAAAGAACCTATGCTCAAAGATCAACCATAGGATCGCAGAGCAAGTCGACAGAGCAAAGCGATAGCAGCTCTTTTCATTTACATGAAGCTGTTCCGCCGCTACCATCAACCACCAAAATGCCTGTGCAAGCAGATAAGCGAGGCTCAGCACAGACATACAGCGTTCCGCTGGACATTGTAAAAGTAAGAAACGGGGTAGGTCTGCACCATGAAGAATTTCTGTGAAATATCAGTCCTTAGTCCGAGCAACTAGACCCTCTTTTGGAAATAGCATTTTGGTCTTAGGCTTACTCACGCTTTTCGTGGAGAAGACATGGTTTTGTAAGCATCTTCGTGAGACTGACGTATGTTTGGGAGAACAAATCCTTATCTATATACTCACTTTACAATGCTCATTACACCTGGTTTTGAGAAATTGCGTAGTCCGCACATCTAATTGTGACTTAAAGATTGATCTGCTATGGCGGCCTTCAAATCACTCAAGAAGCTGTTGGCTCCCATCTTCTCTATGTACTTTTATGCGATATGTGATGAAAGTGCCAAAGGTAAGCACACTACTATGGTGATTGGACACTTGGTTTGTGGACCCCATCTTGGCTTTCTGTGGCTCTGTAAAGGATCCCCACATGTGCTTCTAGAGTCGTAGAAGAAAGCAACCCTCCTAAAAAATATAGTGGCGCAGGAGCGCCTATAAGACTCCCGTACAGAAATAGACACCACACCTGTTAAGCGTTTCAAATTTAAACACAACTGCAGGAATTCGGGTTTTACATCGCCATGAGTAGCAGCATCAAGTTTGGTGTCTATTGGTGGTCATGAGTAAAGAGATGTTAAGTTGTCCCCCTCTAAAATTCATTTTATCTAAGGGTGAATTGAAGCTAATCAATTTTTTGGTCCTTTGGATGACACTGTACTGAAGCGCTCCTATCACGATTGCTTCTGGCTCGAGATTTAGTGCATTTTTCGTGGCTGCTTTTCCCACATCATCAAACCTGCGAGCACTGCGGCACCCCCAAATGCTGTCATGACCTGCATTTGTTCATTATATCCTTTCCCGAACAGTTGCCTTATGCTTTGCTGTAGATTTGGAGGCAAGGTTTTGATAGTTTGCGCTGATTGAAGTAAGTCGCTTAACTGTTTGGATGAGAGCCAGCCAGAGGCTGACTCGATCTTGGTGTTGAGTATGTTAGTGCATACAGCTAGGCCGATGCTTCCTCCTAGGATTCGAGCTTGCGTTATCGCACCAACGAAGACTGCTGTATCGGTGTTAGCAACCTCTAACACGACATTGAGAAGACACAGACCTGTGTCTTTCTCCTCGATTGCTAGCGGGGCTGCAACGATCAATACACTCAGTGTCAATCCGATACCCAGCCCAAGAAGTACTTGATAGCCATATTGAGCCGAAGGTACTCCATTGTTAGAGACTGACAGGGTACCCATAAGGCTAAGTCCAATAGTCTGCAGTATAGCACCAACTAAGAAAATATACAAAGGAGCAACTTTGACTCTCGTCACGAGAAGTCCCGAAAGGACAGTACCCACAGGGGAGCAGAGCATAAGGGCAAGTAGTCGCCAGCTGGCCCCAAACGCCGACAGATCATTGACTACTTGAAATCTCTGTGGAATGATGATGACACTGACAATGAAGACGGCGCCTCCAAAGAAAGCATTTCTGGAATAGTCAGAAAATCTCACATGCCATATATATTCACACATGCATTAGAACTCACAGAATGAAGCCCATGGTAATTCTGTCGCTGAGTAGTCGCCATGGTAGCACAGGTTCGTATGCATCGTCGCGCTTGCTTGCAGCTTTTTGCCAACTGAAGAAGATAATCCACAACAAAACAGACATGCAAAACAAAGTAAGAACGGTAGCTGATTTCCATGAGTACTGAGTCCCTCCTTCTTCAAGCGCAGACACCATAAGCACAGAGGCTGCGAGTAGCAAAAAGGCTCCAAGAAAATCCATTTGTCGAACGGTGTCCAGCGTGATGGACGTGAACAGACCTCGTGAACCTTTCTCGCCGTAGGGAAAATTTGCAGGCATGGAGAGCCAGATCCAAACGAGTAAGAGCACACCAGGCGCCACGCTAGAGAGATGATTAGTCAAACTTAGCCGCCTGGTCAGACACGTCGTGCAAGAGCATACTTCATGTAGAAAATCCATCGCCAAGTAGTATGATCGCTGATCAGCCCGCCGAGTGTTGGACCTAAGATTGCGGAGCAAGCATAGGCTGCCGAGATGATCGCCGATAATGAAGCCAGACCCTCTGGAGGCACCATCTGGAGACTAATTGTAAATATGAGTGTGTATATACCGCCACCTCCGATGCCCTGAAGAGCTCTCATGACAACACTTGGAAAGTTCAGTGTGAAATTCATCCAGAAATATTTGATGGGAATTTACAGAGCTTCGAATGATTGCGCCGCTCCGCACGCAGCAGAGAAAACAGTAAACACGAATACCGTTAGGAGTAGTAGGGGTTTGCGGCCGAAATAGTCACTGAGCTTAGAGAGAATGATGAGAAAGCCTTTTAGGAATCCATTAAAATGCGCCTCCCGAGCCGAAGTAGGGAGGCATACCGGCGTAAGTGAGTAGGTATGAGGTTACGATCCAATTGTTTTTTTGAAACCCGTTCAGAGAATTGGTAATCGCAACGAGCGTCGTGCTAACGATAGTAGTCTCTATAGTTGAGAGGAAAAGACCGAGACACAATCTGTCAACTTGTCAAGTTGAGCAGTCTTAACGGATTGTCTCAAGACGTACGCGAAGGTCAACGAGTGGAGTCTCCAACCCTGAAGATAAACAATCGTCTGATGCTGATTGCCTTCCTCTGGAGCTCTCTCATCACGGTCTTCGATATCCGCATGGCTCGTTTCCATGGCAATCAGCTCATGTGCACCCGTAGGTCTTTCCAATTCATCTCTGCGTGTTCGTGAGTCGCTGGACATATTGAAAGACGTGGGGTGAATGTGTAAAATCGAGGAATACACCGCAGCTTGATCAAAGCTAGCACAATAAATCTCGAATGAGGCGAGTAAAGCCTGGATGACGCTGAGACACTATTATCGGGCCTTGGAGCAGGCTGGGTCATGTGATCCAGCCAAAAGCACGGCGAGTCATTCTCCTCATCGTTATGTTATGCACAACCACATCCCACAGCACATGCAGATCAAGATGAATGGTTCATGCACGTTTTCTTGTCAAGCAGGCTACGTGCAGAAGATCCTCCAACTTGCTCTCTCAGTTCATGCATAGAAGAGGCGCTTCCCACAAGGCGCCAGAGCTGAATTAAACCTGCATATAGTTTTGGTAGTGGTGGCCGTTACTCCTGCATATGCACGTTCCTATTGGTGCGGTAATAAGTTGTGATGCTTCGGCCTGCTCTTGTACGCGCGGACTGCGGTGAGACGGCGCAGCCTTCAGCCGCACTTCAACCGGTGGAGCTCGTATCACACTGAGAAGAGAGAGTACACCGACGCGAGCCCATAGGCCATAGCCTGCAGCCGTACAGAGCAAAAGAAAACTCCGAACACGAAGTATGAGGATTCTTCAGGGTCCCCTGCTACGAGGCAGGCATCACAATCCTTCATCATACGCTCGCAGACTCAAGCGCTGCTGTGAAATCATGCCACAAGGAGCATGTCGAGGTACAGATTCAGGCTACAAGTGATCGCTTCACTCGATGATTCGATGGCAAGAGCACTCTACGCCTCGTGGGTTTTCGCCGACCTAGAGCGCTTCGTGCGGCGAAGGCCGTGGTGCGTTACTGATTCTCAATCCTTTAGCAAATGTCGCAGTCGAATACCCCATTGATGTTGAAGTTCGAATTCGATGGGGTTCAAGCCGCCTTTGCCCTTTTTTAATGAGGAACACAAAAGCCGAAGGCTGCAGAAAGCATATCCTTAGGCATATGTAGCGCGTACCATAGGTGGAAAGAGTGGCTCTCGCGAAACCACCTGATGATCGACGAGGCGGCCGGAGACGAATCAACTTGATCTTGCGATAGAGAGTCGGCTTACAGGACGCTATACAGCCTGCCTAAAGTGGGCATGGAAGGTATCCACATCGATGGATGTTTGCGCGTATAATAACATCCATTCAATGTAGAATAGGAGTGTGAGCGCGATAGATTGAGCGGGAGAACAGGTTTCATCTGGGGACTACGCCGCTTGAAAGGAAGGAGGCTACAGCCTTCATGAAGAATCTCATCCACACAATGACCACAGATCTGTGGTGTTCACAAGACTGTGAGACTATGGGCAAGTCGACCTGCATCAAGTTTCGTCATGTGGAGAAGCTCTTTGTCATATTGAGCACAACAACCATGATGGTAATGCTGCTCCTGCTACACAGCGGGCGCCACGAACATTTATCAGCGACAATACATAAAAGTATTGTGAGGTCGTCAGCTTTCTACATCTCTACTTTGAAGCCAAAATCTCATAAGATAAAACACTACATCTATTTCCTCTCTGGATATTTGACGATCCCAAACTACTAGTATTGCCTTCGTACTCACAACTATATCCTCCCGCGTTCACAATAAAATGCGGGAGCCTCTTATGCCTATTGCTATAGTGGGAATGAGTTGTCGTTTACCCGGTGGAGTGTCCAAACCAGAAGACTTGTGGCAAGTGTGCGCTGAGCAGCGTGACGTCTGGCAGCCTTTGCCCAACAATCGGATGAGTAATGCTGCTTTCTACCATCCTGATTCAGCACGAAATGGCACCGTGGGTCATCAGCAACTCCTTTTACGGTTTTGACGCTCATATTGACTGATTGTGGAAGTCTAACGTGCGCGGCGGGCATTTTCTCACCGAAGACCCGGGCATTTTTGACGCTAGATTCTTCAATTTGACCGAAACAGAAGCTCGGGTATTTCATTCACGTTTCTTCAAGACTTGCCCAGCATCTGACAAACTATAAGGCAATGGACCCTCAGCAACGTATCCTGCTGGAGCTCTCTTACGAAGCTCTCGAGAATGGTAATTCTCAAACTCTCGCAACCAAGCCAATATTAACGTTCTCAGCGGGCATGCCCATAAGCAGCGTCAACAAGACTAGTACAGGGGTCTTTATCGGCTCGTCGTGTAGAGACTACGCTGATCTTCTCCGCCGAGACAGTGAGAAGACTGAGCTATATCAGCCAATAGGCAACGCACCGACGATGCTGGCGAATCGCATCTCCTATTTTTTTGATCTCAATGGACCTAGTGTCACCATTGATACGGGTATAGCCCCCTCTCGGTCACTGTTAAGTCAATGGGCGTTAATTGATGAGATAGCCTGTAGCTCTAGCCTCGTTGCTCTACATCTTGCCTGTAATGCCTTGAAGGCTGGCGACGCTCGGATGGCGATAGTTGGAGGATCCAATCTCATTCTCAGTCATGAGCCTATGATTGACATGAGTATGCTTAGGTAAAATCGAGAGACTCTTTAGCTAGGACGAAGCGCTAAGTTTTCAGGTTTCTCTCCTCGGACGGACGCTGTTACACTTACGACGATCGAGCCAACGGATTTGGTCGAGGTGAGGGAGCCGCTTGCGTTGTCTTGAAACCGTTCGAAGATGCCTTGAGGGACGGTGACGTTATCCGAGCGGTTATACGCAATTCAGGCACTAATCAAGACGGAAAAACACACGGAATCTCTGTGCCTAACGGAGATGCCCAGGTAGAGCTGATGAAGAAGACTTATGAAGAAGTCGGTCTCCACCCATCGCACACAGATTATATTGAAGCGCATGGAACTGGAACGCCGACCGGCGATCCGATTGAGGCTTCCTCACTTTCTCAGTACTTAGCCCAAGGTAGGCCTATGAAGCAGCCTCTTCTGATCGGATCTATAAAGTCGAATATCGGACACTTAGAGGGTGCCAGCGGTATTGCTGCTGTAGTCAAGGTAGTATTAATGCTAGAGAAGGGTTTCATTCTTCCAAACTTCGACTTCCAGAAAGCTAGCTCCCGAATACCAATGGAGAGGTGGAACATAGAGGTAGGCCGCCCGTTCCACTAGCTTCCAATATGTATTCATGTGCTAGTAGGTCCCTAAAAGCCTTCGACCATGGCAAAGCGATGGCATTCGACGGGCTTCATTGAATAATTTCGGCTTCGGAGGCAGCAATGCACATGCGATACTTGATGATGCCACCAGCTTTATCGCACAACGAGACAACATCGAGAAAACTTCGAATGCAAACACTGCAGAAGAAAGTACGTATCGTTACATGAATGGATGTGCCGATTGCCGCGTTCCAAGTGAATCGCTGGTCTTCCTCCTATCATCATCCGACGAAATTTCCGGGAAAAAGCAAGCACAAAATCTCGTACAGTATATTACTGATCATCAAGATCATGATGCGAATGAACTGATGAGGGACCTTGCCTACACACTCAGCGAACGTCGTTCGAAGCTGCCTTGGCGGTTTGCTTCGAGAGCACAGTCACCGTCTCAACTAGGCGAAACTCTGTCCGACAAAAACATCAAATTTCATAACATCCACGACTCCAAGCACCTGGGCTTCATCTTCACCGGACAGGGTGCTCAATGGTTCGCTATGGGCCGTGAACTGATCACTCGATATCCCAGTTTTGATAGGTCTCTAAGTCTGGCAGACGAGTGCATAGCGAGCCTTGGTGCCACTTGGTCGCTACATAGTGAGTCAAACCCAAATTTTGCTTTTCAGAATGAGGTCCTAAAAGACGAGCCTTGGACGATTCATCGACAAACCCTCACTGACGTTGCTAGATGAACTGGGAAAGGATGCACAGACTTCTCAGGTTGGAGACGCACACATAAGCCAGTGCCTTACTACCGCCCTTCAAATCGCTCTTGTTGATCTTCTTGCCTCTTGGAATATCTATCCAGCTCGAGTGGCTGGCCATTCGAGTGGCGAAATTGCGGCAGCCTACTGTGCCGGGGCCTTAAGCCAGAGAGACGCCATGTCTGTTGCTTATCACCGAGGGATCGTGGCTCTGAAACTTAAAGACTTACGAGATGGCGCTATGCTAGCCGTTGGGATGTCTGAAAAAGACATTGACCCGTTGGTTGCGTCTCTCGCTACCGGACGCGCGAAAGTTGCTTGTATCAACAGCGGTTCGAGTGTCACTGTTTCCGGGGATCGAGACGCGATCGGTGAGCTGTCAAAGATACTCGAAGCAAAGGATGTGTTTCACCGGAGGCTTGCGGTCCAAGTCGCGTATCACTCGCATCATATGGAGGACGTTGCTGATGAGTACCGTGCACTCCTTCGAGATGTCTCGCTCGCCAGCAGCAACAAGGTAGACTTTTACTCATCTGTGACGGGGGATCCAGTCCCTTCTTCAAAGCTGGGCCCAGAATACTGGGTCTCAAATATGATAAATCCTGTGCAGTTCCAGAGTGCTGCCCGCAAGCTACTGCAAGCAGGCGGCGATAGAAGTAATACAGTTGACATACTCTTGGAAATCGGTCCTCACTCCGCTCTTCAAGGTCCCATCAAACAAATAATCAACGAGTCTGGAACCACTCGAGCCTCGTATATACCGACACTTGTGCGCAATCAAAACGCAATCCACACGTGTCAAGCAATGATCGCCATGCTTACTCAAGCTGGATATCCTACTAACCTGCAAGCCGTAAACTCTCCTGAACTTTCTACCAGTGGCAAGATGCTGAGCAACCTACCGATTTACGCTTGGGATCATTCTCGATCATATTGGACAAAGCATGTTAAGCTAAGCGAGGAAGGTTTAACACAAAGCACAAGGAGTGACACACTAGGGGTCAAAGTTAAGGGATCAATACCATCAGAGCCTCGGTGGCGAAACATTGTTAGACCCGCCGAGATCCCCTGGATAAACGATCATGTCGTACAATCCTCCATTCTGTATCCTGCCGCAGGATTTCTTGCTATGGCTATTCAAGCCCGGTACCAGCACGCGCAGCAAACATCTGAGAGTCTCACAGGATACAAATTGCGCGAAATCTCGATTGGTCACGCTTTGATCGTCTCACAGGAGAGTGACGACTTGGAAACCCTAGTCTCGTTGCGACCATATCATGAGAGTCTTCGAGAATTGTCTAGTATATGGCACGAATTCACTGTCCACTCGTCCACAGACAATAAATCCTGGACAGAACATTGCCGTGGCTTGATTTCGATCGAACAGGCTATCCAAGGAACAGATGTTGATGGGGGCCGCAAAATCGCCGAAGAGATTAAACATTTTGGTCGTATACGGTCAGCATTCTCAGATAACTGCATAACGACAATCGATGACCAAGAAATCTACAAGTCCCTTGAGAGACTAGGATTGAGCTTCGGACCAACTTTCAAGAACCTCCACGATGTTCGCGTCGCTGCGCATCAATGCTATGCTGAGGTCACCATTCCAGATACAGCTTCTATCATGCCTGCCCAGTTTGAGTACCCATTTATCATTCATCCGGCTACGTTAGATAGCGCTTTCCATGCGCTCTTTCCAGTAGATGCACGACACAGAAACATTGAACAAGGCACGCCAGTCCCTACGTTCATTGAGGAGCTCTTCATCTCTAACAGTGTCGCTAAAACGCCTGGTCACATCTTCAGTGTTTACGCTGAGAATGGAGCGATGGCTGGCAACTTCGATCGTAAGATTGGAAAAGGCAACGCATCTGTGGCTGTGTTCGACAAAGTAGGGCACGAGAACAAGCCAGCGATTCTAGTGAAGGGCTTGGTATTTAAGGATCTTCCGTATGCCGTTCCTGAAGAGAGTTCAGATTCGGAGCGTCGGGCGTGCTATCAGCTAGAATGGCATACAGATCCCAGCCTGCTTTCCCCGATGCAAACAAGGGAGATCAGTGCACATTGTCGGAGACCGTACACCGAAAGCGATCATGCTGCTCTTTCCCAACAAGCAGGATTTTACTATGCTGAAAACGCTTTAGAGTCTTTAACTGACGATGAAACAATGAAGATGCAGCCACATCATCGCAAGCTCTGCCAAACCCTGACCAACTACTGTCGGACCGTTCGTGAAGGGCAATTGGGCATGTTCTCCACTGACGGATGGCTGCAGCTCGATGCAGTGGGGCGCGCAAATGTTTGCTCCAGCATCGGTCAAACCCCATTTGGAATTCTTCTTGGACCTGTAGGCGAGAGTCTCACCCAAATTGTCCGACAACAAACGGATCCCTTAGCGGTAATGATTGAAAATGATCGTTTGGAGAGGTACTATCGGACTTGGGAGCCTATAAAGCAATCTTACGAACAAGCTGCGGTCTTCATTCAGCTTCTAGGCATGAAAAATCCACATCTAAAAATTCTCGAACTTGGCGCTGGTACAGGGGGAGCAACACTGCCTATTCTGGAAGCACTCAGTACCCCTGGAGAGGGCTTCCCGCATCTCGCAAGTTACGACTTCACAGATCTTTCACCAGCGTTCTTCGAGAAGGCGAAAAAGAAGCTAGAGCGCTGGACAGAGTGGCTGACGTTCAAAAGAATTGACGCAGAAAAGGACTTGGTTCAGCAAGGATGCCAGCCGGCTTCGTACGATTTGGTCATTGCCGCGAACGTTATACATGCGACAAGCCACGTTGAGAGGACGATGAAATCCATCCGAAAAATATTGAAACCGGGGGTACCATACTCCTGATTGAAGTTACGGTGAAGACCATTGGAGCATCCTTGATTTTTGGTACCCTCCCCGGTTGGTGGAATGGTAGGTGCCCCTGCTGCCACGAGTGAAATGCTGAAAGAGACTGACACGTAGCAGCTGAAGATAATCGTTTGGATGGGCCATTAATGAATGACGACGAGTGGAACGAAGTCCTTACACGAGCAGGGTTCACAGGCGCAAACGCTATTCTTTGGGACATGCCTGATCCGGCAAGCCATCAGAGCAGTACGATAATCTCGAGCACAGCAGTGGAGACTTCAGACATCGTCGAAGGCGTCACAATAATTGTCGATGAAAAGAATTCGGAAGACTACGCGATAGAATTGCAGTCTCTGTTGATGCAAGAAGGCATCCAATGCGATATTGTTGGCCTATTATCGTACAGCCCGACCGACAGAATCTGCATAGTCCTCTATGAGCTCTCACGCTCTGTACTTCGCAATCCCGACTCAACTGAGTACGAGGCTATGAGACGAGTGTTTCTTGAAAGCAATGGAGTTTTGTGGGTGACCAAAGGTGCAGCCATCGAGTCTAGCAATCCAGATCTGAGCCTAGTTACCGGCCTCGCCAGGACAGTCAGAGTCGAAAAGGGAGATACAACGATCGTTACTTTAGATCTCGATGCACAAAATCCGCTCTCAGGGCATGACCGCACCAACACAATTTTTTCAGTGTTCAATAAGAGCTTTCGCAGGAAATCTCCCGTGGCTTCGGGGCTTGAGCTTGAGTACGCGGAACGACACGGTAGAATTTTAATACCCCGCGTAATAGAAAACGAGAAAGCCGCTTCGCCTGAAGGAACGAAGTCTGAGCAGCCAGCCTCAGAATGGCAGCTATATGATGACCGAAGCCGGCCGCTCCGGGCAGAGGTAAAGACTCCTGGCTTTCTTGACAGCATCGAATTCGTCCCAAACAACCAACTTGATGGTGAACTAGCTGATGATCACCTTGAGATCAAAGTTGAAGCATCAGGGCTCAATTTTCGAGACGTGATGACTGCACTAGGTCAAATACGGGCATTTCCACTTGGCTGCGAATGCTGTGGAGTAGTGTCTGCCGTTGGAAAGTCAGTCTCGAATATTCGGCTCGGTGCCCGTGTGGTTGCAATGGTCAAGGACGGCTCTTTTTGCAACGTCATTCGTACGCGAGCCGAAGAAGTTGAGTTAGTACCAGATGACGTCCCTTCAGAGATTGCTGCTACCATCCCTATTGTCTATTTCACAGCCTACCTGGCAGTCCATAATATTGCCCACCTACGAAAAGATGAGACTATCCTGATTCATGCTGCAGCGGGTGGACTTGGGCAAGCTACTATCAATCTATGTCAGCTTATCGGCGCCAAAATATTCGCTACCGTGGGAACTATCGAAAAACAAAGGCTTCTTGTTGATAAGCTAGGTATACCGGCAGAAAATATTTTCTCGAGTCGCGATAATACTTTTGCTGAGGGCATTATGAGAATGACACATGGAAAGGGGGTGGATGTCATCATTAATTCTCTTTCCGGCGAAGCCTTACGACTTTCATGGAACTGTATTGCCCCATTTGGAAGATTTATAGAGGTCGGTAAACGTGACTTTACAGTCAACGCTCGCCTGGAAATGAGGAACTTTGAGAAGAACGTGTCGTTCACTGGCCTCGATTCGCCTTTTGGCTCCTTACAAGGAAAGAAGAAGAAGATATGGGGCGAATTGATGGATCTGTACAGCAAAGGTCTGATTAAGGCACCTTTTCCAATCAATAGCTTTGGAGTTTCGGAACTAGAGAAAGCACTTCGCTTGATGCAATCTGGTAAGCATATGGGCAAGCTCGTCTTAGTACCTCAACCAGGTGAGCAAGTGAGGATCGCACCTTCAAAGATGGAGTGCAAAAATCCTCAGGGAGCCAAACTTTTCCGCACAGACGCCTCCTATCTTCTAGTTGGAGGCCTCGGTGGTATTGGACGAGCAACAGCAAGATGGATGCTTGACCACGGAGCGACGCGCTTCATATTTGCTTCCAGGAGCGGGCCGGACAGACCAAAGTCTAGGGAACTAATCGAATTCTTGAGAAATGAAGGTGCAAAGGTAGCTGCGGTGAGATGTGACATCAGTGATGCCGATGACTTGGAACGACTCTTGCATACCTGTGCAAAGACTATGCCACCTATCCGGGGTGTCATTCATGGAGCTCTTGTAACAAAGGTAAAGTTGACCAACTGTCACATTGACTTGACAAGGTTTGAAATTGTAAAAAGCTGACATCTTTCAAGCCAGATCTTTTTGCCAGACTGGACCATTCAGACTACAATGATGTCATGAGACCAAAGGTTGACGGCGTTTGGAATTTGCATAATATGCTTTCTAAGATCGACTTGGACTTCTTCGTTATGCTCTCATCAGTGGTTGGCATAGCTGGCGACCCTAGTCAGGCGGCATATGTATCTGCATCCGTATTCCAGGACGCATTCGCAGGCTTCCGTAATGGTCAGGGACTTCCGGCAGTCACGCTTGATCTTGGCAAAGTCGTCGACATCGGAATAGTAGCTGAGCAGTATCTGGCCCGACGAGGGGTGAGGGGTCTTTGGAGTCGCGATTTACGGGAAGAAGAAGTACTGGCTATGATCAAATCAGCGATCGTGATGCCCCATAGAGTCGATCAGCCTGCCTCAACTATCATTGGTCTCAAAGCTTGGACGGAGACAGCTGATCCGGTTTTTCAGACACCTTTGTTCTCTCATTTCCGTCGTGCAGGACTCACGAATTTACGGACGGATAAAAAGGCAGCAAGCAACGTCAACCGCCGCATCCGCCAGACTCTAAAACAATCCGCGACCTTGGAGGAAGCAGCGCGAGAGATCCGAGTCGAACTGATCCCCAAAGTATCCAATCTACTCATGGTGCCCGTAGAACGTATCAGCCCAACAAAGTCTTTATCTGAGTACGGTATGGACTCCTTGGTGGCAGTAGAGATGCGCAACTGGCTGTTGCGGGAGCTTGATGCCGCATTGCCAATACTGGAGCTTATGGCCGATATTCCGTTGCAAGAACTTTCATGGAAAATTGCGAAGTCATCTAAACTCGTAAATTGAGAAGAAATTAAGAAGTGTAGGGCGTAGTATTAGAGCTAGATTAGCTTATAATTCATAAAAGCTATATCTCTATAAATACTAAAGATATAATATTTAGCGCAAAATAGTTTTATCCTACTTGCCTTATCGGCTGCGGTAGCAACTCTTTGCGTCGCTCATCTAGCTTCTATAAGTTATTCTTGAAGAGAGATACACTAAGCTCCAGCCGTCAGCGCAGAGGCTTGTCGTGGGCGCAGCAGTGATCATTGCCTACATAGAGGTCACGTATCTTCAGATATAGCCCTCGAATTTAAGCTTAGATCTTTCAAGCTTTATGCAACACTAGCATCATTCGTAATGACAGTACTATTTCCTTGACTCTGCACACTCAACACCCTAAGGTAACCCCTCGCCTTTATATCTTCTTCATGCTGCGTATCACCAAACCAAAGAACAAAGTCGAATTCCCGAATTTGAAACTGCGCGCAGAGCTTCGCAAACCCTGTCAACAATTTGAAGAACTCATCGTAATCGACATCAGGTGTGGCCGGGGTAAGACTAAACTCAACCCCATTTTCCGCATGTGTATAGCCATCTGCTGGGACCGCCCGCTCATCGATTAACTCTAGGGGGTGAGGTGTTATATCGTATACGTCGTTTATCAGCTGGTCAACGAGCCAAGTCTGCGCACTGGTGATAGCGAGAAAAAAGTCTCCGTAGTCTAGAGCGCCGCCATAGTTGTATAGATGGTAGTGATCGTGATTTCCCTCAGTGTTAGCTCGGTAATCGGCTGGCAATGGTTGGCGTGTGTTATCCGGTCTACATGCAATAGTCAAAATTAGGCTGTCTTCTTGAAGGGGATGCGGCAGAAAGAGAAGTCTCTTTATTCATGATTCTAGAGACTCCTTGAGTCAAGCTGTACTTACGTAGTTTTGGCAGCGAGATGTTGGTCTCGAGCTTCATTCAGCGGAGCTCGAAGCCGAATGTCGGCTGCTCGACGAAAGTGAGATTTTGCTGCGACAAGCGGTGAAATGAGGCAGAGAAGGGAGCACAAGGCGACGAGGGGGTGGAAACACCATACACCATACATCTTTGCTAGAGTTAATTAGTTGTTGCGTTAACTAGGTCAACCTGGGAGAAAACAGAAGAGACAAGTCCACGCGCCTTATGGCTTTGGGGGGCTGCGCATAGACAAGCTTGCGCAGTTTAAAACATGACGCTATTCATAGTTTCGCTGCTACTTATGTGTTGATAGTCTTGCGCTTACAAAAATAGTTTCTAAACATTAAGTCATATCTCACCCTTAACTTAGTTGTCCCTATCTTCTTTACTAAGAGGAAAGAATTCTAATTCGCGTCGAAGGTCATGCAAGCATAAAAGCTGTGCATGTTAAATAGCATCTTTATGTCTCAAATACCGGACTTATTTCATTGCAGCACAGAATGATGTCCTTTAAAGTCTTATGGATTCATGGTCTTTTGTAAAATACGGTCTGCTGAGGATAACAACCTTCTACATTGCTTGCACTGCCCACGGTGCCCAGAAGCTTCGTCGCCCCGATAACCCGCCTTCTCGAATCGGCTTCTTTTAGTATTCACGTCATCTCTATAGCTTCGCATAATAGCCGTCCTAAACACTTACGACTGTGCAGATTATTATGGTATTTGTTATAGTCGTCTCAACTCTCAACGCAGGTCAACGCCATTTTTGCTTTCTCTCGTCTGAGTCTGTCTAACATGAAAGCTTCCTCTCTAATCTAGGCTTGTGCAAAAGCGTTCAATCCTTGTTCATACATCAGATCGTGTACATAAGCCTCATCTACAAACATCCATGTGCCGGTGTCCATCCCGTGCACCGCCACCCGCTTTCGGACAATATATGGAGTCGAACAGTAATGAAAGACAGCAATTTAGTCACTTGCTTACATGTGTTTCGGCCCAACACCAATGCTACCAAACCTTGTCGAGAAAACATAACGCTCTGTGATCCGAGGACATGGATGCAGAAGTACCTCGCACTTCGTCTGTATACTCGACGCAGACACCACTTACCCGCTAGCCTGATGCACGCTTTTTAGCATCATTCACCCTTCTTTTTCCTCGTGATACTGACTATAAAGGGACTTTTAAGCTAATTGTGGCGGGGGCGACGCCGACATTGTCGGCTGTAGACCAATTAGATGCCTCGGGGGTAGAGTCTCAAATAGATGGCCCCAATGCACGCAACCAAATGGCAATTAGCATGGACCAATGTCGTCGCTGGTCCTTGCATTTAATGTGAATGTGTCGCATGAAGCAGACGTTTTTGCCGTAAACTTTCATTGGTGATCCACCCGACTGCATTAACCCGAACCCATTGGAAAATCTGATTGATATCGGCAGTCAAAGCCGTTGCAAGGCACTCTAGGATGCGCACGCTGTATGATTGTAGGAATCCATTGGGCCCGATTGTCTTTCTCTGCTCAATTTCATGATATTCTGAATACCTTTGTCTATCTCGGTCGCTGGCCGGTTGCAACGTGGGTTTCCGATGACCTTCGCGGTCTGCGCATTAATGATACCAAATTGAGTCTTAATTCTGGTTCATGTCCTGCCGCTTTCTGCTGTTTTCTTTATAATAACATTTATGCATCATTTACTGTAATTTATGAAGAGTAAGGATACAGTTGAACGGCAATCAGGGCAAGACTTAATGATCTGTGACTGTGCCACAGCAAAATGCCAAGGTTTCTCGTCGAAAGAGAGGGTCAGGGAATTTCTAAGGTATACATTGTGCATGTACCTGCAGCCATAGCTCCACGCCACACTCGAAACAGTCGCTGACACAGCAGCTCGCGTCTTTCCGCTGGAACCCTATCCACTCGTTATTCACTTCGCTCTGTTGAGTGTGATCCCGCGACAAATGAGCTCACAGCTTGCTATAGAGTGAGCCCGACGCCGCAGTCGCGCATCAAATGTTGGATCTGCCATCGGCTGTGATACAAAAGGGCTTCGCTGGCCGAAAAGATCGGAAAGATTCTGTAAGCTGGAAACAACACGAGAATTCTGCCAGTTGTCAGCGATTTTTTCTCTACTCCCATGAAAGCTTTTCGCCTCTCATCATGTACAGCGTCACCAGCTGCATTGTTGTCGCAGTAATTCTGCCTGTGCTTGCGATCATTGCAGTGATTTTGCGCTTCTATGTTCGGCACCGACTGACTCGAGCTTTCATCGGCATCGATGACTGGCTAATTCTCATCTCTGTGATTTTGGTATGTGGGCAGGGAGCGATTCAGATAGTCGGTACGTGACGTATCCCATAATTGACTTGTAGAAAAAGCTAATGATTTGAATCTGAAGGAGCCACTATCGGACTGCTCGGTAGAGATGGAGAGCCTGGCCCACCAGATCCCCAAAGACTCAAGCACGCCACAGCGGTTGACTCTGCAGTGCTCGTTGTCGAGAAAGTCACATACACCACCATCAAGCTCAGCGTTCTATTTTTCTATCGGCGCATCTTCTACAGACAGCGAGCTTTCCGCATCTCTAATGACGTGTTGATCGGAATTATTACGGCCTGGGGTATCAGTTTCTTCGTGACTGAGTTTTTGGTCTGCGGTGCGGACGCTGCACCGGGAGGCCATCCTTGCTCGCCTAGGGAATGGTTCCTGCTGTGGTTTGGCATCACTGATATCTTGACTGATATCGCTGTGTTGTCATTGCCGTACCCTTGCATCCGCAAATTGCAGATAGATCGGCGCGAGAAGATCGGGCTTTCGATGGTGTTCTTCCTTGGCACGCTGTGAGCAATATGAACCCGTCCTTGGATGACATCTTGTATGGCTAAAAACCTCGAAAGGTCTGTAGTATTCGGGCTCATTCGTCTTGCATTTGTTGGGAAGACATTCGATAGTAAGTCGCACGCAGGGTCTGGGAAAGTCACGCCACTTGCCTGACAAAATGACCAGGATGGTACCATCCAAAGAAATACGAAGGCCAGCATCCCGAGCGCACGCCACCCTTCTTCTGGACCACAGTCGAGGTCTCTGTTGGCATTCTTGCTGCGTGTCTTCCGCCTTTAGGTCCACTCTTCAAGAAGGCGCCCAGGCTAAAAAATGTATACGCCTTAAAACAAAGGCATTATCGGTCTCATAATAAGTCAAGCCAGATGCAGAAATTGATGAGTAAGGAGCATGACGTTGAAGTTAGTATGACAGACACACCCTCCGAGAACTTTGCACATCACACTCCTCAGCCATCGATCGATAGCATGAAATCGTTACCAAAGTAGTCCATTAATCCTCGCGGAAAAAAGTCTTGGGAGATGCTGGAGAACATTCCAATAAGGATACCGCTGAATGTGATGAGAAATAAGCAAGTGTGTTAGTACCATGTGCACCATAGCTCTAGGATGGGGCTTCATCAAGAATGAGTCTACAGGTCGGCAGACCAACGCTAAAGCTTGGCTGACCAACCCCGCCCTAAAATTTTTAGCGGATTTAGCTTATTTAGTAATATTTAGCGAATATTCAATTGGTCCGCCGAGGTTAAAATTATTAAAATTAATTAATAATTAATTAAAACTAAACTTTAAAATAATAAAATAAAATATTTTAAAATTTTTAAAATTTTTAAAATTAAATATTAATCGATTTCTAATTGTTTCTCTAAGAATTTTCTTAGCAAATTCTTAAGAAATTCTTTAGAAAAATAATTTTTAATTAATTAAGAATTAATTAAAAATAAATACATTATTTCTCTTAAGAATTTTATAGTAAAATTTTAGTAAAATTTCTAGAGAAATAATTTATAATCAATTTTTAATCAATTTTTAATTAAATTTTTTTTAATTTAAATAAAAAAAGATTTTAATTAATTTAAAATCGATTAAGAATTGTTTCTCTAAAGAATTTCTTAAGATTTTTCTAAGAAAATCCTTAAAGAAACAATTATTAATTAATTTTAAATTGATTTTAATACTTTAAAAAATATTTTAATTAATAAAATCAAATAAGCTCACTAGACCATAAACTTAATTAGTATAAGGGATTTATTTATACGCTAATTTTTTAGATTAGCGTTGGTCAGCCAAGCTTTAGCGTTGGTCTGCCAACATGTAGACTCTCAAGAATCAGCTGCTTTCATGGACCGAGAAGGAGGGGCTGTCTTTTAATTACATGATTGTAATGTATCCATGCACGCTATCACTTAGTAAACAAGTATTGTATTTTAGCGCAGTTTCTGGCATACAAGTCGATGCGATCATCTCTCATTCCTCAACGACTCCACCTGGGACTAGCTCATCGCTACCCACTAGTTCATGGTGATCACAGCTAGTATACTTCACAGTAGTAGGTGGTGGTTGATCCATCTTTGCTTAGGAACAGGACTAGCTTAGCAGCATTCTCGAGTCTAGGCAAGGACGCACTTATGCAGCGTTGCAGAGTCCCATAATGTGGTGATCTCATTGGCTTGACTCCACACTTCGGTAATCTGACGAGATCAATTCTGCAAGTAGCACCCTTTGCGGTCCCTTCATACTCATGTTGATGACCACCTATCAACAATATCAATGTCTGAAGCACACGACCACCTGCTTGAAAAATCCGAGACAGACGAACACGCCCCGTCAAGTCGAAATGACGACTGTACTCAACGCGAAAGAATTCGATCCTGCCTCTCTTCCCCGCTCCTTCACGCTTGCGTCCTACTCCTCTACACTCTCGTATTCGCCGTCGCATTCAAATTCGCAACATCTCCCAGCTCACCTCAATTAGAAGTCCTCCCATGTAAATCAACCTCGAAAATTCTTTGCAATAAGGCCTAATCTGCTCCAGTGCCAGCGCGAAGCTCGATACAGTGGGAGACTCGCCGACTCACGATCGCGGTCGTAGACAATCCCTTTGTGGGAGAGCCCAGGCCGGAGGTGGATGAGGCATGGAGTGGGATGCTACGGAGTATGATTTATCACAATCACTTGGTTGAGATGAAATAGCTGAGAGTCCACAGATGATACGATAGTGGTATCACCAGCTGAGTTGGATGCCTTGGGTCTCGAGTCAGTCGAAATGAAAGATGGCTCTGGTGGGATCGCATCATTGTCAGCGTACCACGGCTTGCATTGCTTGGTACGAATCCTGCCATGCAATCAATCACATCCATTGACACGCCTAGAATAACATACGTCTCTTCACTTACAAAGAGCACTACCACCAAGGCAAAGACGATCGAGCGATGGCACTGGAGCGCCTCCACGCGGGTACGCCTTCTTCCCCTCGCGACCTTCTGGCGTACTGACATATCAGATCACTGCATTGAATACCTCCGCCAAAGTCTCATGTGCAAGCCCGACCTCTCCCTTGTCACCTTCCACTGGGGTCTCCAGACAGCGCCGACAGACAACCCACTAGATCGCTACCCCAAAGACAGCGATAAGAGCATGCACGAGTGCGCCAAGTGGGACAGCCTGAGCGAGTGGATGGAGGGACGGGCCATCCGCCTGTCGGATGCGTCCATGTTACGTAAACCGACTACAGCTGCATGAACCCTTTACGTAAATTGACAGACGGAACGCCTGTGCGTAGCTTTTAAGCTTAAATACAGAGCCTCTTTCTACGACGGCGGCATTCATCTGTAGATCTAATGTACAATCAACGTGATTTGATATCCACGAGTAGCTTTTACGAGGGCGGAGGCCCTGTTGCACCTTCTCTTCCCCAACTCCGTCTCTTGCACTTCACCCCACACGCGGTACGACTCCTGCTCGCAGGAACGTGGGTATCATACGCTCATGACACAGAGTATTTCTCCAACTCGTAACGCTTGCTGATCGATAGTGGCTATTGGAAGGGTTTCGGCTTGGCGAGACCGCTCTCCTGGCTGCTCTGCGCGTGGTGCTGCTCGAATTCTTCCCTGGAGAAGTTGTCATCGGAGGAGTGGTTGTTGCGGTGATCGCCATCTTTGGAAGAGGAGGATGACCTAGAGGAGAGAATGCTTCGGACGCTGCGGAGGACGCTTTCGACGGAGGATTTCGAGAGGAGGGATTTGAGGGTGGGTAGGCAGGCGGCGATGATGGCGATGCCTTCTTCAATCAGACCCCAGATCATGACGGTCGTATTCTTGTTGATGAAATTGGCACTGTCGTAGAAGCCTTGGACAAGTCAGTACGCGCCGTTTTATGAAATGAGCTGAAATACCAGAAGTCCACTCGATCACAATCGCCATCCTGACAATACCTGCAGCTGTCGACAATGCGCCCATGAGGAAAATGCCAGAGATCAAAATTTTCCGTTGCATGGTGAGCTGGAGCTTCCAGATCTACAATCATTAGCTTCACATGAGACACACAAGACGTAGTGGTTCACCTACCATTGGAATCGGTATGCTCAAGACCATCACATCTAAAATCACATCGGATATAGCGAGAGACTCGGGTATTGTTGTCGTTTGGCCGCAGTGCGCGAGGTACTGCTCCAGATTGCCCCAGATGGCCCAGAAGGCCGTCTTGCAAACAAACACGGCTGCGAAGAAATAGGCGATCGTCCATATGGTGATGATACCGAGCATGACCTTTGATACAATATCAAAAATCTTGCCACGGAAAATTCGCCGGTAGAAGAAGAGCACGGAAAGCTTGATGATGCCGAAGGTCAATGGCTGCTGCATATTGTAAAAGAAATAGATCTTTGATGGTCAACTTTCTTGTTATTGGAAGATCTGAGGGACTATGCTCACCTTGTTCATCGTCGCCATCTCGTGGCTATTCACGGTGAGGAAGCCTGTGGGTCCATCCCCGCTGGGCGTTGGCACAGCGAGCACGCCGACGGCAGCACCAGCAATCAGAGTAGCTCCCAGCCCAAGGTTGAGGATCTGCACTCATGAGCTTCACTTTCTTCCTCATGTGTCTCTGAGGCCACTCACAAGGGCGATGAAGATGAACCAGTCATCCAAGCCTAGAGGGTTCGACTTGGAATTTCGCACCCAGAATCGGAGGCTGACCGTAATGAAGGCGCAGGCGGGGATGACAGCGCCCACCGCCTCCACGGCGGCGCGCGAGATAGTGACAGCGATGGTCATGTTGTTGGAGCCGTTCACTCAATTGCCAACTTCACCCAACGTCTCAATTGGGTCGGTCACACGTGGAGGAGGCAAATGGCTTAGGGTTCATTATTGAAGCTTTTAGGGGTGGGCCCACGCATGCATCGCATATAGGGATAAGGTGCTCACATACGGACGGAACCAGAGGCGGAACAAGCAATTTCCCCACGTTGCGCCGTCTGCGTCAGGACTCACAGCGGCTTGAAAGTCTGATAGTGAAATCTTGACCGCCATTGGCTGCCAGGGGGCCATAATCTGCTATATCTGAACTAATCTCCACCTAGTGCTGAACTAACATTCAGGCGGTTGAGCTACCCTGACAGGTGGGACGCTACCCCATAGTCCTCTGCTAGATGTGCGTCTGGCCCCCTTTCTTAGAGCCGTCAGTGGCCAGATAAGCTAGAAGCGCATGACACTACCACCCCGCGTTATGCATGATCTATGTCATAAGGCAGGATTGCCTGAAGCAGTAATCTTCGAGCCGCCTGCCACATTCTCCAGCCGTGCACAGTCTCCAAGCACAATAGGCGTACATTATTCATTGGCACGTTTTCAATAAGAGCGTCCAGCGTTTGATCAGCGATACTAAATTATGACCACTTGGACAAACGGACGAGCACCAACTTGACGGTCACAGACGGAATACTTGGTACAGTTTAGACAGGTCGGTAGCGTCCGTCATTGCCATCCTACTGGTGCGCATGAAGAGAGACACCTGTCCTACTTAAGCTTACTACCACTAGGATAGTTAGTGGTCCAGCGACAAAGTCAATTCATTGGTGCCCGGAAATCACGTTGGCGATAGAAGTCGACCATGATAATTACATGGTGACATTATTTGTCCATCAAGAAGACTACACTAATGACGATGACGCGTGCAAAATCACTAGAGCCACCCAACAAACCCCGGATTCCATTTGCGGTAACAGCTAATCCTCAATGTCTCCCGTGATCGCCTGCACATCACCTTCACCATCCGTCCTCGATAATGCAATGAGGACCGGTGCAAACTTCCGTCATCTCGCCACTGTCTTTGGGATCTGCATGAGTCAGCAACCGCAGTGCAGCGTTACATCGCCAGCATAGCACATACTGGGGACTGGTGCCGCGTTTCCAAACACAAAAAGGGCCGCTGCCCACATTGCCAGGATACCGAAATGCATCGTAGATGATTGTCGGAAGAAGAGGAGGGAAAGGTGGCGAGGGAAGACTGCTTGAAGATGGGCACAAAAGGTCTGAGGTCTGGATGCGAATGGCGAAGCGAAGGATGAGGATGAAGGAACGCCTGCTGCTCTGTGTGGTCTTTATAGACCTGAAAGAAGTCCATACAAAATGCTGGGCATTCCTTGTCCTGCATCTAGATCCTATCTAAGGTCGATTTAGCTTCATCGTTCCTGAGCCAGCAGACTCATTGGGAAGGTGTACCTGTTAGTGGGATCTAGATGGTCAAAGAACATCGGACTTCGCTTGGTGTCTAGCTCGCACCCCGCAAATCCTTACCTCCCCGCCCCATCATATCTCATCTCAGCTGTATGCTCGATACATCTAATGGTAATAACACTAGAACTTAAGAAGCCCCTCGTCTTCACCGCTTCACACAGTTTCGCCCTTTCTCGTTGACGATTAAGCCGCAATATGGGTCTCCTACAGAAAGAGTATTCGATCGTATCTCAAGACGCGGAGATGGCCGTATCAGAAGAAAGACCTTCAACAACATCACACTTTTCATGGCGAGATGTTGCCCTGCTCATCCTCTTCATCTCAACAGTCGGCCTCGCCATACCATACTTTAGACGACAACCAAGCCCAGAACACAGCTACAGTAAGCTAACCCTTTCCCTCCAGAATCACCTCACTCACACCTATCATCCACAGTCGGCAACAACCATCGCATCTGGCTCCCTTACAACTGGACAACAATCTACTCCTCCTTTCTCCCCTCCGACACCACCGACGCCTGGTCCTCCATCGTTCCCGCCCACGGCATCGTGGCCCTGGACCACAAATGGGCAGCGAGCAACAACCTCCCGCAATCGATTAACCTCCCCGACGACAAGTCCAAGGGCGTCTACATCATCGACGCATACCATCAAATCCACTGTCTCGTTCGTTTCCCCCCACCCCTTGCCCCCCTCGCCCCTTCCCTTACATCCCACCTCCCCACCAAAACCCTCCCTTTTCCCACCCCACTAACCCCCCTCCCCCTCCCTAGACAATAATCCGCACCACCCTCCGCGCCCTCCTCTCCGGTCTCCCACCGCCCAAAGAGTCGGCGCACAGTTTCCACTGCTTCGACAGCCTGCGGCAATACATCATGTGCACAGCGGGGGACACGCCCCTTTACACGTTCGGCGGCAACAGGACGGGCGACGGGCAAGCACGGCTGTGTCGTAGCTGGAAACAGCTGAGTGACTGGGCGAAGGAGCATACGGCGTGCTATGCGGATGGGGATCGGCCGGTGAGGTTGATTGAGCATTTTAGACGGTGTGCGGAGGGGGAAGGGGAGGGCGAGGGAGGGGAGGGGGGGATGGGTTGATGCGGGATAGGGTTTTTTGAGTTTGATGGGGTGCAATTTTGTTAGAGACGGCATGTGGCTAAGTGCTTTCCTCGCTCATGATGGACGTGCGAGCTACGTTGGTACTTCCGGATTCTCTTCGTGTAGAATGGAAGTGCTCGCAGTGATCAAGTAACATCCGTAGCCGTCAGGCTTTGCCTAGCTGGGATTTCCGAGGATCCCTGCCCACCTCTGATCCTGATACCATAGCGTAGTCTCTCTCCCACAACAATCGCTTTCGCACGGATATTTTCCTAGCAGCAGCCACTCGAGTCGTTCGTTTCGTTCCCCTCAAACTCAGGTTCCAGCCCTCTGGAAGCGAAGCGTAGATCACAACGTTCTCGACCGATCGCCTGGGATTTTTAAGGTGAACTTTGCTTCGGACTTAAATTTTGGAAGCAGAGAAGCTAGACTGGGATCAGAGTCTTATACAGTTGCAAGCGATCACATGATCGTACGCCCGTCTCGGGAAGCTTGACGAAAGTCGGCGGCGCAGGCTAGTGAGAGCCGCTGGAAGCCAATCCAGGCACTTAAGGTGCACGGGGGTCGTGATTGGAAGCTGCGGTATCGAGCTGCGTAAGTATGCTATGCTCTGAAGTATGCAACAGCCTTGTATCTTTGGGAGTAGTGGCTGTTTGTTTGTTTGGTTTTTTTGGTTTTTTTTGATGGCTTCAGTGTTGCCCGATCTGTAACCTACATCTTAGACAGATACAACAATGCCCAGGTCTTCGGATGCCCTTGGACATTCTCGTCCCCCTCCCTACGCCAGTGAGCTAAGGGGGGTGGACATTACTGTCAACTCTGAAGAATACGAATTTTGACTCAAGAGGGTTAAAGCTTTGTTGCACTCCGGACCGAAATGCTTTGCGGATTTGGACTTTGCGCTGTTCACGGCAGATGCGACGTGCGTATCCTGGTCTCGGACCAGTGCAAATAAGATTCTGTACAAAAGCCATGCTTTGAACGATATTTCGGGGGCCGAGTGCTCGTAATTAATGATCCTCCGCACGCCGACGATGGGCCGGAACCCTCAAGCGAGGAGGCAAAATAAGACCGTGAGGCAGGCCAAGAGCCTCAAGTTATAATTACTTTGTGCCATAGTCGCTCTTCAGGCGTCAGCTGTTGTGATTGCTCGAATGTAACCAAGTGTCTTGATTTGAACACTCGCAAATCAACACGAGTGGAGGGCAGAGTTACCAAAGGTTCAAATGCGTGAAGAAGGGTCAAAGAGTTGAAATGAGACTAAGAGACACGCCTATCCGAGATTTTGATAAATGAAATCTTCCCAATTGCATTGGAACAAGATCCTGAAAAGAAGGAAGCGTACAGCGATACAGGGGTAAGTACAGTACCCAAGGTAAACCCAGTATCGAAGGACAAACCCAGTATATGTCCCCAGCTATGGTGCTGACTGGCTAAAGTAGCTTGGAGAAGGCTGCGGATCGAACGCGCAAACTCACTTTGAAGTTCGACTATCTCAACTGGAAGATGCAAGAACAATGGAAGGCTTATCGATGGGTCTACATTGACTTGTATACCGACCCTATCAGCATCCTGTCCGCAAGCTTCTCGCAAGGCTTTTGTAAGGCATTTTTGTTCGTACCTTGACATTAATACTTACAGACTGAATTTACGAGCCTCCCGAAATCTCGATAGGGAGACCGTCATCGTCTTTCATCCGCAATCGATTGAAGGACACCTGATCTGGAACCTCAAACCACATAGATATATCGAACCTCTAGTAACTAGTTGTCTCTGTTGAATATCATGTCTCCGACGAAAGTTCCAGAGGTCTGCAACGTTCATTGAAGGTAAGAATCTCGCAAGAGCGGGGAACCTTGCAGCTAGCTTGTAAGTGTGCCTGGTTGAGCACGTAGGCCCAGCGTTAGTGTGCGTCTGTAAGGCTACGTCTGCAGCACAGACCTACAGCATATTCCAACCTTCTTAGAGTTCTTCTATTTAGAAGATACCTTGATATTTGTAGGAGACATATATCATAGCTAATGTCAAAGCAGACAGCCAGGCCACGATCAAACCAAGTCGCATTCCACGCAAAGTTTGCCTGCCGAATATCAAAGTCTAGCAACATCGCACCAGGGCCAGGAAGGCAAAGCTGTCTCCACTTCAGGCGAAGAATTGGATTTCAACGTTTCCCCTGAAAAGATGCAAGACGAAAGTACGGACCATGATGCGTTTATCGCAGAGGAGCCTAGAGGCGATAATGTAGGTTCAGACGCTGGACAAAAGCATGGGAAGTCCAAGTCGAAGTCGACAACACGGAAGAACGAGTCTTTCAAGAAACTCGAGCGCCATACCTTGTCATTATGGCTAGCATCTGCATTCGCGATTGTATCTATCTTCACTTGGGCAATAACTTGCACATTATCATACAAGCCTGTTCGATTCGAAACGTATCATGATTCAATTGGTCGATTTTCCAAGGGCCAATTCGAGGAGAATGACCGGTGGCGAAGAGTTTCGAGAGTTGGGCTGCAGGTCTTGGGGACTCTCAGTATACCGCTGACATCTGCCGTGTGTGCAAGAGCAGTCGTTGTGTATTGTCAACGATCGTCGACTAAAAGGCAGCCTACTATCTCTATGCGCCAGACGCTCGTGTTGGCTGACAAAGGTTGGTTGGATCTAGACACATGGGTGAACCTTTTTGGTCCCACGGGTGGAAGATATTACAGCCCACCTTTGGTCTTGTCGATGTTGCTATGTGGGTTGGGTATAGCTACTCCCTCCTTGAAAATTGAAGATAGTTCTGATCTTTCTTCAGCATTCTCCATATCTATACTTCAAGGAGCTTTCATCGATACCGTTTCAATCACAGTCATGACCAATGCAGACACAAATGATTACAACTACACCAATAAAAATCCAGTGCCATACAGCACTGTGGGCACGACCCTTTCGGCGATAAACGGCGATAAAGATTTGTATCTTCCAAGCGTTGTTGAAGCCACAATTGCTGGCAAAGCTGGAGATCTGCAACCCAATTTATGGGTCATCGGTCAAAACCGCTCAAATCTGACAAGCTTGGACTCTTTCTACTCTTCGCCCGGTGTACACTTCGACCCTAAACCTGAGGGCTATAACATACCGCTGTATGGACCGCAGACAAAAAATTGAAGCAAAGCCTTTTTTCACAAGCTCCTTAACAGTCGGCACTGACACTGGGATTCTCAGAACTCTCGTTCTGCGGATGACTACATCGTTACAATGTCAAGACATCCCACAAGCCGGTTTCCCATCTGACTGCAATGAGACGGCTTCCCTCGCAATGAACTTTACAAATACACAATTCCGGGGGTAGCGGATGAATATAATCCCCCAAATCTTTATGTTTCGCCAATATTCTCTTTTCATATATGCAGCCCAGCGGCCAAGAACTGGACTCGAGACAACGGAAGCTCACACAGTATTACAGAAGAATTGTACATAGATCTCCAGACATGGGTAACAGCAGCGACGAGTAAAAGCTGGGGTACCGCCTCGGACATTCCTATCCGATACAACTTCACCTTCCATTGCGTTGCAGACTCAAATCTAGCATACTTCGAACCCATGAATGAATGGAAGGGGCATCAAGTCCAGGACAAAGTCGACATCAATGCAAAGTACAATCCGCACTTCACTGGCCCAAACACGCCACTAAATCCCCACGAACTGATCTACTCACCCGCCGCGCCAGGACCACTCGCAACTTCTGTTCGCGCTCTATTCGGTAACAACACGTTCTTCAACAGCATCATCAACGCAAATGATACCCGAGGCGCCAACCTCGACGTCTGCCGCGCCCTCCGCATACCGCTGACTGGGCTGTGCAGCACGCGCGGCTCCGACAACTTGATGTGCAACCCGTTCAAGTCCCAATCTGGCTCAACGCTCCCATGCATCAGACCAGACGCTTTGAGTACCCCGGGGGAGACCGAAGACCAGTGGCCTTCTGACTACGGACTCTCGAACGCGACAGCCTCGGACGGGACACTCGCATATTTCCTCTACATGTGGTTACAGCGCTTCAACAATTGGAATTCCACCATGGCAGCTCTTACGCTCACGAACTTCTACAGTGCAAGAGCGCTTCTCGACCCTAGTCGAGCGCGAACGTGGTCGACTTTCGAGAACACGACGGTGGGTGAAAGCGGTAATCCGATCGCTCTTCCAATATTCTCTAGCCCGGGATTTCGAAGCCAGAAACTCCATACACCATTCGCTGCGATCGTTGTCATCAGTACGCTTATCTTTCTACAGATCACAGGGTTGTTGGCACTAGGGATATACACCAGTATACAACGTACATGGACGGCATCATTAAATGGATTCGCACTGCTAAGGATAGGGAAGTCGATGGGGGATGAGCTACCGTTGATATCGGCGGCGGAGAAGAAGGAGGCGGATATATTGGATAGAACGGAGGGTTGGATTGGTGATGAGGATGACGGGGGTGAGGCGGGTGGTAGGCTTTTGCAGATCGGGGGAAGCGGTCGCTTGATGCCGAAGCGTCGTTACCGGACCAAGAGGGAACCAGAAACTTGATGAGAACAGCAGTACGTAAGACATTACCTCACAATGCGGGAGAAGGTTTAATTGAAAAAAGACTGTATATTCGCCAATCTGCAACTTCATAAGCTACGCAAATACTGTCCTATCTTTACGACTGTGGTACTTTCAAGATCCAACACTAAGCGACAACCAAGTCTTCGGAGCCAGTATAGGTTCTGGCTTCAGTACATCGCAGCCGCCTCCCAAGAATATTCCCCTGCTGAGGATTCAACTCACAGAACCGCCTGTTCTGTCCCTTCACCCAACTTAACTCTCCCAATCACCGATCAAGGGGACGCACAGCCCCACCGTCATCCTCCAGAAACCCTCCCACACGAGATCTCACGAGTGCTCGGCTCACGCAAGCAGTCAAAAGCAAGCTGGCAATGGAACTCTAGCACAAAGCGATGCCTACAATCCCGAAATCTCCAGATCTGCTGACAGGCTGACCGCGACCTCTGAGAAGCTGAGGCTCAGTTTACAGATCGGCGGCTTTTGACTTCCGACTTTCGGGCATTTTTTTATCGTATATCGACTCCTCTCCAGTAGTACTTGCTTTTCTTCTCTCCACCTCGCCAGACATTGGACTGATGAGTATGAGCTTTGTTACCTGAAGTTCAGAACCGAAATATTGTGGGACTTGGAGCTCGCAGCGCATCTTAGTTTCGGACCAGGGCAAATAAGATACTGTACTAGAACCTTTTTTGACAAGTGTTTTGGGAGGCGAGTACCTGTCGTTCGTGGGTGCCAGAACGTTCGTTTTTCATGCAGTCTTCTGGGTTGATATTAAACAATGTCCGCATCGAGGAGATAGTCTTTTGTACGAATTGGCTTGGCGTTCTTCAGGCGGATAGCAACAGCACCTCAGCTTGAAATTAAGCTGAGCAACAAGTATCTCCCTCTATCTTACATTCCCTCGTTTCAATTTACTCTGTCGTCGCTTCCTAGTCCTCTTTTCTTGTACGTACTATACCCTGCATTCCAGATCTCTTACGGCTACTTTTCATAGGTAGTTACCCTTTTGGCTCTTTCCCTCACAGCCCCGTCTTCTGCGAATACGTCACCCCCTCACCAATAATCCTATACGCCCCCCTGTGGTCCCAGTGCCATTATACTTAGGATCATACTCGAAACTGAACGTCCCCCTCCTCGTGTAGCCTAGCTCCGTGCTCCTACTAAAATCTAACGGATCATATTTCTTGATGCTTGCATCAATCCCAGAACCACCTTTTATCGCGGTCAGAAGTGCGTTGACAATGACCACGCCATAGGCATAGTTCTCGGGATTCTTAGGTGTGGCGTTACTGTCGGGATCAGTATGGATGATGAGGAAAGCCTCGCCGCCGCTCAAGTCGTCTCTGTGGGAATCGATTTGGGCTTTAAGTTCGTTGGTCGTGTCTTGGTAGAATTCGGGGCTAAGATCCCTTGTGGGTGTGCCTCTTTGGTCGACTTCCCAAACGTGCCTCGAGAAGACTCCGTTCTTGGAGGCGATGAATATGGTTGTGCAGCCACTCAGGCCTTGCAATGCTGCTGCATAGCTGTTGCGCTGGGAGGAAAAGGCGCGAAAAATGGCGTGTTTGTGCTTTTGTCAGGGCAGATGTTTGTGGTGTAGGTTTGTTTGAGGAGCTCGTAAGGGAATTCGTCTGCGTTGGAATTTTCGTAGAAGCGCTTTTGAAGCGCAAAGCCGGCCGAAGAGATACCAGGTGATCTCTTCTCTGGAGGATTGTTTCCTTGAGGGTAACTCGGTCCATCGGATACACTGATCTTACCACCGCCGCATAATTTGGGACACTGGTCAGGGCTGCACTTGGTGCGCCCTTGGATAGGTGCAGGAATCGCGGTTGATGTAGGAGACGGTGTCGGCGATGGTGCAGGGTTCTGTCCCGGACACTTGTCAAGAGCAATACACGGAGTCTCTCGATCTTGGAGCTCTGCAGGGGCAGCAGTACCGAATCGTATCAGTGTAAAGAGGAAGGCTGATAGTATTGCGGTCTTAATGGGCGACATGACTCGAAAGTGGCTGTTCAAATCGATATTCTTCACTGATGAGACGTTAAAAAACGTCAGCAAGGCGAAGAGAAAAGTTTAGTCCTTGAGAGGGATTGATGAATCTTGGAGACAGAAGAGCGTTTACTCTGTATATATATATATATACATATCAAGATTCCAGGCTGAGCCGACTGACCTTGCAGACTTCTCCGAACCATCCAAAAATCGTCTGGTGTTACTGGCCATCATGCTAGAGTACGCCTTGCCTCCCCCTGCAATATGGCGATAATACCTGAATAGCGTACTTTGCCCCCTTCGACTAGCAACCATGATGGCTTTAGAAGGCAGGAATGAATGCGTATGATCCGTTCTACGAAACGAAACTTGCATAAGTCTTGTTGACGCGTCATCATTCGAGATGCAGGGGGTTGAGCAAAGGTCTCAGGCGTCCTGAGAAATGGGCGCAGATCCGTCAATCTCGGAGTCATGGACATAAGCCAGTCACGGAGAAGAGTCTTTGTATGCAGTCTCTGGGCACAATAAACTCATTGGTTCCAGCACACAGTTAGATAAAATTAAAGGGTCCCGAGTACAACCGACAGGTAGAGTGTCGAAATTTGAAGGGAGGCCACTTGCCTGAAGACATGTGGCAAGGTATTTTGTGTTCCTGTGCGAATATTGCCAATCGTTTAGAATGAGGGTGTGGAAGCCGATCTCGTCAGTGGTAGAGAGGGCGGTAATTGAGCCTTGTTGTGCCTTTTCGCTGCTGTGCCACTGGGACCTCGGAAAATTATGTGCATTGACTACGGCTCAGACAGGCGAATAAGGTGCCTACCGAGCGTTTTACCCCTATTCATATACCTGATCTACGCCACTCGGAACTGCGATTGGCACCTGATATTCCCTGATCTACTGACACGCTGTCAGCGGTCTTTGACAGGCTGGGGCCTAGTTTGCAGATTGGCAGCCTTTAATCTCTGACTTCAAGATATCGTTTGTACTTTGTAGTTATCTCCCCAGTACTTCTTTTCCTCTCCTCGCCTCGCTGGATAGTAGATTGACATGTATGAGGTAGTTGAAGCGGTACAGAACCTAGGATCCGGAAACTAGAGAGAACTAGAACAGTATCACTTTACTTACAGCAATTCTGAGTATCTGAGCGGCTTTCTCAGTCCTTAGTCGTACTTCGTGCAAGTCGGGGCCTCAAGATATCGTTGTAAGTGGTAGCACGCTGCTGGTAGTCCTCGTCCTGTGCCACCTTCCCGTTCCAGTGAGTCTGACGTCATACGTAACGAGGAAAAGTGCCTCAGCCTTCACTTCACCTGTCAGACTCGTTGCCAACGTGTCTTACCCCAGGTTTCCCAATAGGAAAGAGTCATCGATAGAAAGAGCGCCGAAAGCCTTTGACGATGAGTCTTGAAGAAGAGACGGATCGCTACCAGAGACAGGACCAGCTGGTGGAAGCCGTGAAGCGTGGCGATATTCATCAATGCCAAATAGAGTTGAATCAATGGACGGCACAAAGCTCAACTCCATTCAAACCAGCGAAAGATCTTGCACCAGTACTTGCAGCTGCTACGAGCTCGAAGAACACCCAAATGGTCTCTTTCCTGCTGCACCAAGGTGCCCCAATCTCTAGCTCGGACGCACTTTTCGCGTTAAGAGGCGAGGACACCGAAGCCACCATTGCGCTGCTCCAGACCTTTCTCGACCATGGTTGGGACATCAATGGCAAGACAGACATTGGCAAAAACATATTAGTGTAAGCTCTCCTTTTTTCCTTCCGATGACACGGGAAGGCCTTGATCAGGAGATCCATGCTAACAGGTATCTCTCTCTCTCCGAAGACATGTCATAGCCAATGAGACCCTCACACGCTGGTTCCTCGCCCACGGGGCAGACGTTAACGCAATCGGCAAGGTTGGCTCGACAATACTCGATGTCGCAGCCGCAAATTCTAGTCCAGCCATTTTCGACCTTCTTGTTCAGCACGGTGCTAGACTCGAAGACAGCGATGCCTTACATTCGGCAGCTGGGGCACGGGAAACCAAAGAAGGGCGCGTGGAAATGATGAAACATTTGCTGGATCTTGGGGTGTTTGATGTTAATGCTTTGGAAAGGAGGGAATATCCGCCTTCGAGACGTCGAGGAAGAGGTACGCCGTTGCATAATGCTGTCCTTTCTGAGGATGTGGAGAGGTTGAGGCTATTGCTAGCTTATGGTACAGATCTGGAGAGAGAAAATACGATGGGCGAGACGGCTGAGGAATTTGCAGCTGATAGAGGGTTCAAGATATCAGAAGCCTTCCTGAAGGACGCCGCTGCGAGTAAGGGGAGGACGGAGAATGTCGGGGCCTGACAAGATCAAGAGGGTTCGAGTGGCGCTGGTCTCGTCTTTTAGTCTCAAAATCGGGTTGCCACAGCCCGACGCAAGGGTTATTGAAGCGCGGATTCGAATATCCCTGGGGAAGGAAAAAATCCTTTTGATGCGTAAATCCTATGTACACTCTTTGGAATGACCTACTCTATATTCCTGATAGAGTGCCAAAGTCCTCATTCCAGTGTTATCGCACGACTACTTAATCTCTACTTTGCAGTCTCTCCGAGGTTGTATACATCTCAGTCTGGGTTATTCAGAGAGCAGAACGAGGGTGAGTTTGAGTAAGGGTCTTGATGAGGTGCTATTGGATCTCTAATGCTGATCTTAGGCGGGCGTGTGCGTGACCCACGTCTTGCACCCACTTGCCACCACAACGAAGGTCCACAGGTCGTTCATACTGTTGCGCATTCGATATCTCACTTCAGACGCCTAAGGCAGAGGCTCTGGCTGACGACTCAGTGTCTCCAATCAAAAATGTCGTGATCCATATTGGCCAAGTTTCTATCTACAGCGTCAACAATATCCCAGCCAGATAGAGCCTCATTTAAAATAGCTGCACGATGAGACTCAACCGCGGTGGTGCGCTAGATTTCTATTAGGCCCGAGAAGATCAGAGTCTGCGTGACGCTGAAACAGGAGCCTGCAGTCGCCACAGAGCGCAAAGCCACTCGGTTCATATTCTGTACAGCGATGTGAAGCGATTACGACGATTCTTTTTCAGTACGACGGTCACAAAGTTCACATCGTCTCCATTTCTCATTCTTTTCCAACCTTCACTCCAAAAACTTCTCGTCATCTTCAAAATTGCCTCCCATCTATCTCGGCCAAAGAAAGCTTCCTTCAGTACAGAACAGCTGAGTAAAACATGCAGCTACTCTTGCTCCACTATGTCCTTCTTTTCACATTCGGCTGTTCTAAATGCTACGCGCATGACAGTTACCACCGAATTAATGTGGGAAAATCCGGCTTGAGCTTTGAGCCCAGCACAATAGACGCATGGACTGGCGACGAACTCTCTTTCCATTTCCACAATGGTTCACACAGTGTCGTACGAAGTACCTTCGAGAAACCCTGTGTGCCCCTTGAAGGCAACAGCAGCGTGTTCTCTGGGGTGGTGAACGTTGCGAAAGGTGAAAAGGAACAAGTAAGGGCCCTGTGTTGTATCCGGAGATACAGGAATCGCTATTGACTTCTATAATCCTGGTAGAACAACAATACTTTTACCGTCATTACTAAGGATGAACATCCTATGTGGATCTACTGTTCTGTGGGAAACCATTGTAATGAGGGTATGGCTATGGTGGTGAACCCGCCGTGCGTCTAACAGGTTCCCTTGAGATCTTTTAGGTATATCCTTGACGGCTGACTCGACGCAGTAAGAGCAAAAATGGAAATCTCACAGCTTACAAAGCTGCGTCGAAGACTGCTGTTGTTTCGGCACCAGGCATGATCGTTGGTGGCAAATTTGGGAATGGTGGGGTGATGCCCAAACCATCAGACGGGGTGAAGATTTTATGTATTGGTTTGATTCTATGGACTTGTCTCCAAACTTGGTAATATGTTAGGTGTACAATATATGTTGCATGCCTATGTGAAAGGTCGTACAGAACGGGAGGGAACACACACTATGAAGTGAAGTGGAGTTTTACCCCATCTCGAGGAATCGATATAGAACAATCTTCATTACGGGACAATAAATGCCTATCGTTCTTAGTGCTCCATTGAATTCAGGGAATATGAGGTGTTCTGCCAAGATACTTAGGTGTTGATTCAGCGACATGGCCAAAACGAAATACATGAATCAATTATTCTTCAATGACCACGAACTTGAATCTTAAAGTACTGCTCAACCTGTAATAACAACAGCTAAATCGATTTTAGCGACTTCTCTTGAAATAAGATATCTGCATCTCTGCGCGTGAAACGCCAGTCGTATGTTGCTTCAATTGCAACCAATGGCGTGTGTAGTAGACGGAGCATCCTTTCAATTACCAATATACTTAGTAAGTGCCCCAGGTACTTCCCCATCACCTCTATACATTGCATATCTGAGCCCATATTCTAATCTTTCTGCGACAAGGGACCAAGGTGACGTGCGAATCTTGTAAGATTGCGAGTGGTACAGTGCCCGCAAACGACGACAATTAGCCCTCCACCAAAGCAGCCCCGCTAGCCTGATACTATGCTGGCAACGATTCCTAACCAAAAAATGTTCGAAAAGCAGTGTGCTCTGAGACTACCTACTATCTCGCCTGGGTTGCGGTGTTTGAATAGTAGGCGTCCAATCCAGGCCTCCTATACCACATATGGCCCCGCAAGAACGGAGCGGGCACCATTTCCAATTACCCCTGAAGAGCCAGCTTGTCATGCAGCACAGCTGCATCTCACATTCTAACGACAAGTCCAGCTCGATCAGCATCTTATGGACGAGCCTACACGGACACCCATGAAGGGTTCGCACCTAGATACAGACTCATCCGATTACTTTTCGCACCGCGTTTCAAATGCAACCCAAGGGAATGCATAATTGATCACAAGTGGACCACCACGACTCATGGCTTTGAGTTGGTAGCCAATGGGAAGAAAGATGCCGTGGAGTCTAGAAGCGAGATATCGGCTTCCAGGTAAATTTTATGACGAAATCGCGTTTCGTGAAGAAATCAACATGACCCTTTTCCTGCGAATGACGGGTGGAAAAGATTCCAACATACAAGCGATGGACGAAATGGAAGGTGTATATAGGGTTTCCATTTCCCGGAAATGTGTCGTCATTTTCACATCCTACAACCTCAGATTCTTTTGCACAAGACCAATCAGCTAATCTTTGATTATCTTTCCTTTCCCTAGCAAGTTCCTCATACCCGCTTAATAATGACCTCTACAAATCTAGAAGTCATACCTCCAACAGATTCAGAGGGGAAAGGAGCTACAAGCTTCAAGTCAACAATTTCGCACCTCAAATCATGGAACACCGCAGGGGAAGAGTGGAAAGAGTGGTCGGACTTCCAGAGGTTGGACTACATGAAGGAAATCTACGAGTACATCATGAGCTCTATCGGGTTTGCTGCGGATCTACTCCGAAGTCAAGCATCATATGGTGATATCCATGATTTAAATCTCTCGAGACTTAGCGCCATGCGAAAAGCAGAGAAACTTCCAGGGCTGGTGCAAAATATCAAGGGAATCTCGTCTACGATCTGCTACAGCTATAATGCGAGGACTCGTCCGAGGTGCTGGGAGGGGTTCGAGGAAATCCTTAAGTTCAAATTCGAACCACATTGGAAAAAGATGGATGACCCATCGGCTCAAGTCTTGTCGAGCTAAGGGGTCTACTGAAGACAGCAAGGCACATACTGCGAGTAACATTCTTTGATTAAATAGAAGGGTGAACATGCCTGAGAGGAAAGATTATTATGCTTTAACATGCTTGTCTGCAAACGATCGAGTGTAATTAATCTAGATAGACAAGAATAAACACATCTTAACTGGAACTGCTTCATAATCAGAACTTTTGTAACACCTATATATGCGCCTTTGCAAGCCCTGTTCCTCAACACAAGGGCATGAGAAGCATCGAGCAGGCTACCTGACGCAACACAAGGGCATGAGAAGCATCGAGCAGGCTACCTGACGAAGGCAGAGTACAAGTCCCGAGGCAAGGGATGATCATCCAATAAATGAACGCATATCCTGCAATGTTTGTTTCACTATTCAGCCAAGGGAGTGCCGAAAGGAACCATGTGTCGCTCAAAAGAGCGCTGATGATGTCGATTGTGAAGCAAACTAGTTTCAGCTATCCTAATGAACAGCACGGCCACAAAGCTTATCCGACAACTTAGACGTGGAACATCATGCCTACGTCTCCTCATAAACTTACCTTGATCTCTTGGCTGGACGTTGACGCTCCTCGAATTACGAGCGAATGTTTCGTAAATGATCTTTAGCACTGTATCTTTTACTTTCAATGGATAGAAAATTGACCTTTACACGGGCAACGTCTCAGCATTGCTCTCTGCATGGTGGAAGTCACAAGGAACCCGCGTTTCAGTCGCAGATCATGAGGGTACATACTTGATCACCACTGGACCCTTACGCCTCGTGCGTTCGAGTGGATGCCTCAGCAGCCAATATCGTGAAACTAGGTATGAATTCTGGGACGTAGGCCCCCTTCTGCAGATCGACTCGGTCTCAGTCAGGCTCCCCCTCACCTACTCAACTGGATGGAGACACTGGTTCTAAGGAGTCTCATGTGGACTTTGCTATGTGACTTCCTCTCTGCGAGAAAGGATGCAAAATCCGCACGTACTGCTGCTGCAGAAGATAGGGGGCATAAATAGGGTTCCATTCCCCCAATTTACAAGTCACCTTCACAGTGTCCAAGTCAAGCTTCTTCTTCATAAAGGTTGATCAGCACATCATTAAACATCTTCATTCAAACTAGAAGGGTTAAATCTCTGCTGCATACTCACGCGATTGACACTGTCAGGAGTCGTAGCAATGACGAAATCCAGGGAGCAACGTTTGGCCGAGGAGGTAAAAGCGGCGACACCTAACGAGAAGGGTACATACTGGATGTCGACAAGCGAACAGCTTCGACTTCATTGGAGGGATGTCTGCTCTACTGACGAATTCATTCACATGCCCTACAAACACCAGAAGAAAACCTCGGAAGAATTCTACGGGTACATCGAGAAGAGTTTTCTTAACGCTATAGACTTTCTTGAAAAAGAGGAGGCGAAAAAACACCATCCAGCTCATCAGAAAAACATCACGGTGCTGAAAGATGCCCTCAGAGAAGCAGACACTCTTGAGAAAATGTTCAATAAGTTCAATGAAATTTCGGGACAGATACTTTTCAGCTACCCTGAGGCTGAGCGTCCAACGGACCCGCCGTGGAGTCTTTTCGAGGAACTCTTCAAGAAAAGGAACGAATACAAACGTCCTTGGGATGATTTGCAAGCACTAGCTCCGAGGCCAATGTGATATTCTTGTGCCCTTGAGGGACAACAAGCATCTCGACAGCGGATTTCACCATACTTTGCCATAACCTGGAAAACCGACTAAGCGGCTTGAATCAGTGAACGAAGATTGCACTTGACCATGCAGACACATTCATTGAACACAGGCTTATGGAGGCAAAGGAATTTATGTGAAAGAGCCTGCCTAGGACATTAATTTGGATGATAATGATGACACTATTTCTTGTTATGAAATGATTGATAGACATGCCATACATGCAATACTATTATCTTTGAAAATCAAAATCTCCCAACAGCTAACTTACGTCCTTCTATGAAGCTAAACAGCCCTGCATTTCAGTCGTTTCACATTCGGCTATCAGAAAGCACTACTTGATGCCCATATGCTTAAGAACTTGACATCGTGGTGGCAATAGTAGAGTGCGATCGTATGATGTTGCTGCGGTCCTAAGCCCTTTTATGCATGTATGGATCTAGGTCGTCCTTGTCATTCGATACAGTCCTTCCGGTATCTGCAATCCGGCGATTGAATTGGAGACCAAGAAACCTCTTTCTACTATTGAATACCAGCGATCATCTTTGTAGGGGATTTCTTGACAGTGGGTAGACTGTAGTATATGATTGGTGCTACACCACATTGCATACACAGCAAGGGCGGAAATTTACTTCGCCCGAAGTTATGCAGGGATTTGTTTCATAGCTGGTCTTCGGAAATGCATGTCTTCAGCCCGTTCGCCGATATTTATCCACATCTTTGCATTCTGTTGAGGACTAGATATGGCTAGGAGACGCTCCTTCGCAGTATTGCCTAAAGTCTTCTCAATTGGTCTTAGGATTTTCAAGCCCTTCTCAAGATAAATGAACGAGCTCGAAAATAAAGTTGAGGGTCTTCGTTTTATCTCCCAGGATTGCGAGCCAACTTACTCTACAGCAGTGGCCAGTGCAGTTGAATGCAGTTATCCATTTCGTACTAAGATGAGCATTAGTCTCAAACTCCAAACGACCCTTGCTACGCTTCTTACAATGAGTTCGCAGAACCAGCCAGTCTGTACGCAGGATACTGCTATAATGCCAACCGTACAATTATGCTGTAACGCGGCGATTGCCATAAAATGTGGTGGAAGGTGCAGCCTGTCCTTTTTCGGACAAGTACACGTCTGAAGGCGGGGATGACTCTAGATTTGTCATGGATACAGGATTATTGACATGAGATCAACAGGCATGATCGCGCCGAATATTTTCAAGTTCCATCATCGGACGAGTCGCGCTGCAACAGTAGATGTTCAAGTACAAGAAAGTAGAGATAGACATGTCAATATCCAGATGTGGCCCTACAAGCGACGAGGCTGGTTTGAAGGGATTGACGATGCAGGAGGATAAAGCTCTGAATCAGCGCACACAATAGTTGGAAGAGAATTACGATGTCGAGTATTGTTACCCTACTACGTCAGATACATCCGGTTGCTCATGTGGTGCAGAATATGTGGCATACCTGGGGCCCTAGGCGCATTACACTACAAAGTGCGCTGTGACTTACACCCTGGTCTGGTACGCAACATAACTTCTACAGCTCTCTTTTTCTTCGATAGTAAGGCTACTCAATATTCCACGTCCAGTAATGATCCGATATTCCCAGCTCAGCAACCCCCGAATGTCTCTGGAGAAATCAAATTTGGCTGGCAGAATCCGAGACTTAGTCGCACGATGCTGGGATGTTCTAATGAGAGATATATTGAAGAACCCCAAATTGGAAGACAATGGTACGTGATTGGTGACTTGATACAAGATTAGCGTAAGCTTCTCGCTTGAATGCTTTGGAGACGTAAGACACTTTTTACATTCGAATCAACCCCTTTGTCGCTACGGCTACCCTGTATCGCCCTCAGGTTTTCAGATACATCAGATAGAGCTTACTTCGCGAGGACTCCGTGGCTAGAAGCCGCCTCAAAAGTAGTTCTCAACAGCCTCTCGATGTCTCTTGAGTCCAATCAATGGCAAGTAGAGTCTGAAAGGGTTTCAACGTTATATTGGCGCGTATCAAATTAGACGTAGTCAACAAGGCTCGAGGCGAAAGATCAAATGCCTTGAAAGGCAGCATGACCCGACGGCAAATGTGATATAGATTACAACGGAGGTGATTTTCGCCGCATTCTCGATTGCTCACAAGCTGCAATTGACTCTGCACTCGCTGTTGTAGCTTCAGTTCCATTGCACAGAATTGTGAGGTGACATCCTCACATTTGCCGCTTTGCGAGTCTTCCGGTTCCGCGCAGAGCATTGCAATGTTGAATGCTGCACGTTGGCAGCAAACCGCAGGAGGGCCTTTCTAGACAGCACTGATTTCAATCAATGATCTGAAGACTTATAGTGCCGTGAGCTAAGCATCGCCAGGCGCCCTGCAGCGCGCCTGACTGTGTTGTTCCTCGGGCAACATCTACCACTTGGCCAGACGAGGGTTTGTGTCCCGTGGTCGCCTAAAATTCTTGTCGCAAGTCTTCCGCAAGCTTCAAGGACTCATTCATTGCTGATAAGGTTGAGCAGTGGTGGGTTATTAGGATGCTGAAAACAATGCACAGAAGTGCGAAAAGGCTTCACCATGATTTCGGCTGCTCTGCGCAAGTCCTTGGAAACTCCTTTGATCTTAAGAGGATACTGGAAGTCGCTCCCAAGCCACAAAGCTGTATGTAGCTCTCAATTAGTCATCGACATGCATGATCAAGTCATCACTTATCAATCAACGCTTCCGAGACCCTAATGTTTGTGGCACTGTACAAATACCTTCCTCACTGTCGAAAGCTGGGGCTTCTTTCAGAGCAGCACGTCCCCCATTAACTTCTTCTTTCAACATCGACTGAAGATCCAGAGCCATTCGGTCTAGCTAGAAACATTGCTCAGCTGAACAATCGCTCTAACATCACAATGGCATCAAGGACGCCTTTCACCTCGGCAGTAATCGCACGTCGAACTCACTACAACATCACCTCTGAATCCCCAATTCCTGACTCTCGGATTAAAGAATTCAATCGAGCAAACCGTCAAACACTCGCCCAGTGCCTTTAATTCCCAATCTGCGAGGCTCGTGCTTTTCCTTGACAAAGAACTCGACAAGCTCTGGGACATCATTGATGAAACGTATAAAGTCCAGATGAGCGCGAAGAAGGAAAAGTACGATAAGTTGCATGAAAAGTTCCTGCTATTCAGAAAGGGGAAAGGGACAGTAAGTCCTCACCTACTGCGCCAATTATTCACGATGAGACGGTTCACACAGCTGAATGCAGCTAATGGATTCAGGTGCTCTTCTACGAAGACTGCGAGACAATTCGCAACATGCAGGAGGGGATCCCAAGATGGCACGACCAATTCCCAACATGTATTTACCGCTTTTCGCCCTCCCACTCCTCCCACTCCTTCCCCTAGATACCCGGCTGTATACTGACTACTAACTCTCACAAAAGGGTCAGAGCAAGCCTCAGGCATTAACCAATACGTCCTTTGGACCGCGCTCGATAGCGAGGGCTTGGGTTGTAATTTGCAACATTGGAACCCGGTACCCGACATGCGCATCCAGCATGACTGGAATCTGCCTGAGCTTTGGAAGCTCAAGGCGCAATTAGTATTTGGTGGCAAGACAGGTGAGCCGGGCGAGTAGACTTTCAAGCCGGTGGAGGAGAGAGTGAGGGTCTTTGCATGAGAAGAGTGGAGGGGCATTGGGGCAGCTCGAATTAGCGGAGACATGAGAACTCCTGCCACTCATGAACGTGCTATCATCATGTCATTTGTTCTGAAATCGCGTGAATTGTTCTCCATATTTTCATGCATTAATCGAGCAATGCAATATTTTGCTCAAGAATATCTTTGTTGCTACCTGTTCCGCTCTCAATCCTGCGCCGAAAGATGTTACGGACTTTGGTAATACTTTCGTGTGAACAAATTGCTTGATCTTTCTTCCTTCAGATTGAATACCGCGCATTCACGGTTTGACCAAATCCTATTTGTTTGGGCCGTGCGACCTCAATATCCCATACTGCGAGTTTGAAAAGATATTATCGATCCTCATGACCAGCAACTCTGATCGTCAAGCTAGCCAAAATGAGCCTGAGTTCACTCCAATAGAGTACAATATCTGATTGTGCTGGATCCTTAGACGCTACGGTAGATTGTGATTCATAAGTATAACTGTCGACGGTGTGGATCAACGGATCTTCGCCTCATCGCGCACAACTAGGTCTTCTCTGCGAAGAATAGATGGAATTCCAGTCCTGTTACTTCCAGCAGGTGACGCAAGGACGAGCGCTGGAATCAAATACCCATCACCAATCTTCTCGGCGGGGGTGTATTCCTTATGCCACACCTCAAATGTAAACAGATAATTCCGATTGGCATGATCGATCAATCCAACTTTCAAGCCTCTCATGATGTCGACTAAATCATACCACCAAAGCTTTCTGGGGGCCACACCCGTCATCGCGGAGCCTACCCCAAAGAACAAATCAACTCCACTGGAGCTACTAAACGACCGCTTCCACGGGTCATGGCCGTCTGCGTTTAGCGGTTCAAAGGTTCGCGAATGCTCGTTGGCTTCCTCGACAGCGACGCGTTGCAAAGCATCAATTGCCCTCGAAAGTGCGATAGGGTCTATGCTGTCCCTGGCAGAGATGTGAAGCTCAAGCCGTGACATCGGGACTGCAACGATCCAGTCGTACTCCGAGCGAGTGGGAGAGTATGTCCCGTTTCCATAGACACTCAGCCACAGTGGCAAGAAGACGAGGTGAGATCATGCTTACGATGGTAAGGTATCCCTTGAGATATAGCCGGGAACTGAATTGGTCAAGCAAGAGGTCTCTCCGATTCCGGGCGGTAACGTTGGGAGAGCAGCGCTAAGGGCAGCTCTCAGATTCAATATGATCAACAGGAAAAAAGCGAAGAGTTGCGCCATGGTCTATGCAGCAAGGCAGACAGCGAAAACATACCGGCAATATGAAATCCTACCCCTGGAACGCCAAAAGATATACTTTCATCATTATCAGACAAGGACCCATCCCAAAGTGAGACTTCTCAGTACAGCGTGGCGGAGCGCTGTTGGATGTCCGCGCATAAGTTGGAAATCATGTGCGAAAATACACACTTACTGCATAATAATGTCTCAAACAAACGCGCATTTCAGAACAACAAACCCATTGTACATTACATCGTCGATGAAGAAGATCTCACCTACATTTCCCTCACCCGTCCCATCAACACCTCAAGGCAAACAAGTCAACAATCCCCCCAACTTCCCCAGCACAACCCCCTGCTCCGCCGCGCCCGCATCCGCCTTCGAATCCGCCTTTCCCACACTAACACTCGCATAGCACCCCGCCATCTTGACCACATCCTCCTCCCTCGGCAACCTTTTCTTCCCACACGTCTCTACATCATCAGGCGTAAAAACCGGCACCGCGGTCCCAATCCTGGTAAGCACGAACCTGAAATCCGCCGCTTGCGTACAGGTCGTGTCACCGACAGCACCAAAATTCACATTCAACCAAACATTCGTCGGGAGGTACGGCTTGCTTGACGCAAGGAGTGTGTCCGTAACATTCGTCGCCAAGTCGGCATAAATGCCTACATAAGGCGGCGCGGGCACATTCCAAGCGATTTTATCGCCTGTAGTGCCTGAGAAGGCTATGGCGGGGATACCCTCCTTGACAGCCTCGGTGGCCGCGCCCACGGTGCCAGAGAACTGCACGAACAGCGTGCCGGTATTGACTATGCAAACTGTCAATTCCCGCGCTAAACTTGCCGAAATGCGAACATCTGGCATTGAAGTGGTGGGGATATCTCACCTCCAACATTCGGCCCCGTAACAGCCACATCCACCGCCCCACCATTAAACAACTTCGGCGCCAAAGTCTTTATGCCATACTTCATCGCCGTGACGGGGAAAGAATTCACATAATTAAGCCCCGGATCCGACGCGTTGAACCCCTCCGCCGGCGAGCCGCGCGGACAGCTATCGAATTCACAACCGGTGAAAAGCAGCGGGGTGGCGGGGACGTCGGCGGAACCTGTGCCAGATCCATCTCGCGCCGGGGCAGATATTAATGCATTATTCCCCGCGGTTTTCAGAGAGGTGTAGAAGGTCCGGATGTTGAGCTCGGCCCAGCCGTCGTCGTTGGAGAGGATTATGTTGGCTGCGTGTGTGAGGGGGGTGAGGGCGAGGATGGCGAGGTCGATGAGTCTCATGGTGACGACCATGTGCGTGTGTGCTGGAATTACTTCGAGGAGGAATGCAGAAACGGAGAGCTTTTATGTTTCGAGCTCATCTTAGGTGGTGTGCCCAATCACATGCCGCATCCGGCTGTTTCTCCGGCGCCGGCTGTCATCGGGAGGGGAGTAGCCTGCCCAATTAGGGCTGTTGCCACACCCACATGTGGCGGGAATCTAAGCGAATAGGGGGAGGGCGCTAAGGGCTTCCGGGCGATGCTCAGGGCTATCGATGATCGCTCTTCCACACGCATGGCATTGGGTTGTACTCGGCAAAGAAACAATCTCGACAAATCTTTGTCAAAATGAGCTCTCACGCCACACTCTCCGTCTTCGTCGTAGGCCTACAATACTTTGATATCATTGAATGTAATGGTGTATCGTACTAGACGAAACGAACCGACATAGTTGAGATTGCTAGTGGTCAGAGAGTCAGCATAATCATTGAATGCACTTCTCCAAAGTGTCAAGGCGCCTACCTCATCGCTGCATCGGACTAAAAAATCGGCTATGTAACTACGATTTATCTAGTGAGCTACCTACTCGATAACAGAGCTATTCAGTATACTCATGCGTATGTCCATCTTGCGAGCGAGTCGTGGCCAACGGTAGAGCCACTTGATGAATCCGATTTTGGAACGACTACAATGGACTTGTTTACCATCATTGTCTCAAGTACGCGTTTCAGTCCAACACCCGCTGGAAAATACGAGACTCAGGAACGAGGGACTCTACATGGTCATTTGAGACTGGAGCCTGATTATTTGGGACGTCGACATCATCCCAACATGTCTGGGAGTTGTGATGCTTTAAACACGGACCCTAATCTTCCAACAAAATTTGTCAGGCCCAGATTTGCAAATCGTTGGCCGAAAATAGGCCTGTCTCAATATTGCAGCCGTGAGTATCTCCAAATTCAGCCCTAGGCCGCGCTTCCGAAACGCGAATCGAGGCTGGTGTAGACGGGACAGCTGTTCTGGAGCGTAGCGCGTAGCGCATAACAAGATAGTGCTGCGCATGGAACCTATGAGCTCTGAGACTGTGTCATTGGCGAGCAACGGAAATAGAAAGAACAGGTTGTGTTTGAAAAAGCTTGGACTTTCTACTATCCTTTATTATAAAGGCATGAGCGCCCTCTGCAACATACCCCATTATCTCACGAGCTTATTCGAGGCCCACATCATTTATTATACAACTACAGGATACATCCCTCGCCTAACATGAGGTCCCTAATCCTCATGACCCTCGCTCTCCTCTCAACCACCCAAGCCAAGACATCTTCCCCGCCCAAAGTCCTCAAGCTTCGAGACACCACCAACACCACCGCCTCCACCTCCACCTCCTGCCCCTCCGGCAACACCTACACCGTCGCAGCCGGCGACACCGCCACCACAATCTCCAAAACCTTCGCCGTCTCCACCCGCGGCATCCTCAACATCAACGGCCTCAACGCCCAAGGCACGGACCTCCAAGCCGGCGCCCCCATCTGCCTCCCACTAAAATGCCAGATCTACACCGTGCCCCCCGGCTTCGATTGCAACAAGCTGGCGCAAGCAAATGGGATCTCGTTGTTCGCGTTGAAGCAATACAACCTCGACATTGATGGCGGGTGCACGAACTTGGTCGAGGCGAGTAATGTGTGCGTGACGATGCCTGGATCGGACGCGAGTAGTGGTGGTGGTGCTAGCACGAATAGTACTGCGAGTACAACATCGTCGTCGACATCGGGTTTGGATGATTGTAATCCTTGCGATGCGAATGCCACGGCGGCGGATCTGGGAGTGACGGACCAAAGTGGTACGCCGAGTTCGTCAAGCGTGACACCTTGTGAGTATCTCAGCAAGCTAGTTTTGAGAAAGTACTGACTAGGGGAATAGTTCCGACGTTCTTCAATGATTCGGGGCCGGCGTTCGAGGCTAGTCTTGGGGGAGGAGGGACGCGAAGGGGGAGGAGGTCGGAAAGGCTGATTTGAGAGACATGGATATCCAATTTGGAGCGGTTTAGGGGAGAATAGCGATGTGGGATCTCACAAAGAGCCTCTAGAGAAAACCTGTTTCTAGAATGAAAGCCTTTGCTTCCAACTAGTGCCTTTGAAATCTATCTACCACCAGTATCAGCAACATTCGAGAGATAGTCTCTACCCCTCACTAACGCATGAGCGCAGCGGCCCGCTGCATGATCAAGAATCAATAAGACAACCATTTCCCTACCCCAAAATTCACATCCAACCCATCTCCCCCTCAAACCCCCATCATCATGACAGACCACGCATGCACCTTCTCCACCCCCCACGAAATCCACCTCTCCCGCACCACAGCCGCCCTAAAAACCCTCCTCAAATACTACGACCAAACCACCGGTCTCTTCAGCACAACCGGGTGGTGGAACAGCGCCAACGCCATCACCGTCCTGGCAGATTTCGCCATCATCTCCCCCTCCCTAAACACCATCCTCATCCCGCTCTTCTCCAACACGCTCACGCAGGCCCCGAAATCCCCGCACGGCTTCCCCGGCTTCCTCAACGACTTCTACGACGACGAGGGCTGGTGGGCTCTCGCTTTCCTCCGCATCTACGACGTCACGAACGAAGACGAGTATCTTGAAATTGCGATGGCGATTTTTGAGGATATGACGACGGGGTGGGGCGGGCCGTGTGGTGGGGTTTGGTGGAATAAGCGGAAGGAGTATACGGGGGCGGTTGAGAATGAGGTTTTTTTGGCGACGGCGGCGGGGTTGGCGAATAGGACTGCGAAGGGGGAAAAGGGGGAGGAGGAAGGGGGGAAGAAGAGGGGTTATTATAAGGAGTGGGCGGTGAAGCAGTGGAAGTGGTTTCAAGGGACGGGTATGATTAATGCGAAGTTTAATGTTAACAATGGGATTGATGCTGCGAATTGCAAGAATGATGGTGGGCAGGTGTGGACGTATAACCAGGGCGTTATTCTCGGCGCGCTGGTGGAATTGAATGTCGCGTTGCCGGACGAGGAGTACCTGGATACGGCGGAGAAGATAGCAATGGCTGCACTTGAGAAGATGACGGATCAGGAGGGCATTCTGCATGAGCCTAATGAACCAGATGTTGGGGCTGATGGAGCGCAGTTCAAGGGCATCTTTGTGAGGAATTTGAGGAAGTTGCAGGGTGTGAGACCGAGGAAGGAGTTTGGCGAGTTTGTGGCGAGGAATGCCGAGAGTGTCTGGCGGAATCGGGGGAGGGTGATGACTTGGGTGTGGTGTGGTCCGCGAAGACAGAGGAGGCGACGGCTGCGACGCAGAGTTCGGCTTGTGAGGCGCTGGTTGCTGCTTTGGCTGTTGTGGCTGGCGATGGTGTCTCTGTTGTATGAGGAGGGGGCTTTGCTCATCGAATTGTACACATGGGTGCTGGAAGGTGACGATGAATCCCAAGAATCCGATCGAGTCGTAGAGGTGTAGAGTATCAAGAACACATCATTTGATGAAGCACTTATACACATAAGCTCTGTCGCATCCTGTTATGACTAAATTCATGGGGGGATCAATGACTTCATCACAGGGCCAGTCGTACTCAAAGACGCTGACATTGAATGTATGTCAGGCCAGGAAATGCAAGTACTTAAGAAAGGAGAACACAGAGCCTTGAGAAGCTTCGAGCGGACCAGGAGCAAGATTGACCAGTGCTGTCGACGGCCATGCAGATCGGGGTTTTAGACATTCAGAGGTATATACTGTCGAACTGGATGGGAGGTTCAGCGTATCGCCATTCTAAGCAATTTTGGTCAACTTTTGCTTTACAGTCATACCCTTCAAGACGAGCCTGGCTTTGGGTCATCGTTCATGTTCAGCTTGGTCTTGGAGAAATTGAATTTGCGAGCGGACGAATGAGAGAGCCCTAAGCCATACCGTATTTGGATGCAATCCGCGGGACCGCCCAAAAGGGCAAAGCGCAATAACCCCCCGCGAGTCTCGATCTCCAGGCAACAAATAAATGCACCGCATAAGAACTCCCCATCTCTCTGCACATCCTCACTCTCTACTACTACAATGGCTCCAAACAAGAACGAACAAAGCACCCCCTTGCTCAACGACTTCGATGATTCCCACTCCCCCGCAGCAGCAACGTCCTCGAAACCAATGGACGCGTCGGAAGCCCCACCACCCTACAGCTCCTCCCCTCCTCCACGACCTGGCTCCCCTCTTCCTCCCTCATCCTCGCGACCCCCTCCTCCTCCTCCGCAGCCTACTCCCCCTCTCAATCCACCGCCCCTCTCAACGCAAGACAAGCAAAAGCCCAAGGCTACATCCCCCCCACCTCCATGACCACCTCCAGCACCTCGCACTCAGGGCGCCACCACATCACGCCCCTGGCAATCAACTGCTGCAACCACAGCGACACCTTCACGCACGCGTGCGGAGTCATCAATTGCTGCGAGGGCAAGTCTCAGGTGCAAAAAGCTTGTTTTGGAGTCAATTGCTGCGGGAGCGAGAGTATGCTGGAGAAGGCCTGCTGTGGGCTCAATATGTGCGGGAGTGAGAGTAGGTTGATGAAGGCGGGGTGTGGGATCAATGTTTGTGCGAGCGTTAGTGGGTTGCAGAAGGCGTTTTTGGGGGTTAATGTGTGTGGGAGCGTGAGTCAGCTGCAGAAGGCGTTTTTGGGGGTTAATATGTGTGCGAGTGAGAGTGCGTTGGAGAAGGCTGTATGTGGGTTTAATGTATGTGGGGAGAGTGGGAGTGAGTGGGCGGTGGTGGGAGTGGATTGTTGTGGTAGTGGGGGAAAATCGAGGGGGGGCTGCGGCCTTAGGATGTGTGGGAGCTGAGGGTCGAGAGCGATGGGTGGGGTATGCTTTGGACGTGGACAAGAGCAGGGCTATATAGAGACTCGGAGATCGGAGGGTGCAGCAAGCTTGGCTTCGTTCATCTTGAGGTAGGAATGGGCCATACACCTGTGTAAGAGCTGTGTCACAAAGCGCTGGGTGCTATGTGCTCCATATGTCTGCAAGGAAGAGCAGCTGCGCCTCAGAGCATTCGAGGCACCTAGTGCACGAACAAGAATTGAACGGGATGAATTGTCAAGTGAAACAATTGAGATTTGTTGGTTCGTCAGGCCGTTATTCAAGAATATTAGATCATCAATGGTGGTGTTAAAGGAGAGTCGTGGGCGCTCTTTCGAACTCCCTGACATTATCTTTGAACTCAGGCTCGAATCTGTGTCTTCACTTTTTGTCACCGAAAATTCTAGTCGATGCCGCCGTCAGCAAGTCTTGTGTACGAAGCAACCGTTCGACTTACGAAGGTGCTGCCTCCAACATGAGTACCGCCAGTCGAAACATCTTGGCCTTTCAGGACACCGCCGTAATTATCTCCTGCGAATTTCGTATTGGACGTGTACGTTGAGCTCTATCGGGATGTCAGCGAAAGGGTCTGGATATTTGGTATAATCTGTCTTACGTCTTTAACGTGCTTTTCACCTTTGGCCTTGATGGCTTCAACCCAGCGTCTGAGTTCATTCATGACTCTCTGATAGTTGTTGTCGTCTTCCCTGGAGAATTTGCACATTCCGATGTGATCGTCGCTAAGGCTGAGCTGTTCAAACCCTTCAATACAAGCCGAAGTCTTCTCGACAATCTTGCCTATGTGAGTGGCGCGCTCTTCGAAGAAACACATCACATGAACTTCAGTCTCAGGATCCTCTTTACGTGCCCTCAACCAACCTGGGAAGAGGGTTCCCACAATCATGAGTGGTGCAGACTCCTTGTTTAGCTGGCTGATGATGTTGGTATTGGGGGGGCTGCTCTTGTGGAATAAATGGGAGAATTTCTGGATCTTCTCGGCTCAAGCCACTTTATCGGAACCCTGAAATGGCGTTCCCAAGAAAGCTACGCCGCCTGTATCCTTGTCGAGGCTACCATCCTCCGACGTGTGCTTGTTATGTTCCGTAATAAGGCTCTTCGCTAGTACGTCAGCAATTGTTCTCAGCATCTTTCTAATCTTACATATGCACACACGATCCCACCAAGGCTATGGGTCACGAATATGATTGGACGTTTCGTCGACTCTGGCGTTGATCTCTGGCTTCGCAGCTCTGTGGCCAATAGCCGGGCGTGGTCTTCTATTTTGTTACTGGACTCTGGATTCCAAAAGCTCGAGACATCAGCATTGTAGCCCCACGAGAGGATCCGAGCATCATTGATGTCTTTTGATAGGAGTTGAGCTGGCCAGAAGACACCGTCCTTCGACCACGTGGATACACGTCCGCCGCTCAGACCATGGATGAAGCAGATACTGTCTTGCTTTAGCTTGGAAGGTTGAAGTCTCGGAGCACTCACTCGACCACAGGTGATACAGGACTGTGAATCTCGAGCATGCCTTCACCATCTTCCATCTTTGGTTTCGTGCTTTGACTACGTCGCTTTGCTTCGGGTATCCTGGCACACCTGTACTGCTTACGGTCAAAAGAAAGCGGAGGGTACAGAATTCAGCACTTCGACTTTTGGCACCCTGTGCAACTAGGGAACCGGCTACTCGCATGGCTAGTATCTCGTTGAGTCACGACTCCAGAGCCTCCTAAGCTAGCGAATACGAGAAATGCAAATATCCGTCGGCAGGAGTAATGCAACAGATATGCCACGTCACATCTTCGGTCACCTGCATTTCGTTACCTTACACCAACTTCGATGACTTCACGACCGTGATGGAGTCTGCCAAACGGCTTGTAACGACAGTGAAGAACATGCCACGAGCGATTGCGAGAGAATTGACAGAATCATACGGCGGAATAATGTTCGAAAATCACAGTAGCGAAGGCAAGAGGCGAAAAGCCGCAATAGCAAACAAACCTTGCCTCAATTTCTGCGAACGGCCGTCGGTGTGACCAACGTCAATACGACCACCAGCTTTTGCCTTTCTTCTGCTTGTCTGCCTCCAATCAGGGATGGCCCCCTGCATCGCAGCTCAAATCCTCCATCAGCAAGAAGTGTCGAGCGAGACCATCTATCAAACTTCTGAGCTGTGAAGGTGAATAGCGATCCAAGTGCTGACTGCATAAGGATCATTGATCGCAGGATGGCTCAGCACGAAGCTCAGCATACAGCGAATACCAATATTGCTGGCCCCAACCTTGGCGGCGTACAGATCGGCCAGAGTATCACTCATAATCATGGTTCGCCTTTTCAAGCGCTCATTTTGCTTGAGGTCCTTCACTGACATCTCGCTATCAGGGTCTCCTGATCGGTCGCAAACGATCAGAGATTGGGTCTCACCTCTTGGTGACGGTTTTCGTGTCAAGCAGAAAGATGTGCTGAAGAGCGCTGGCTATGTATCTGGTGCAGATCGTTTTTTGGAGTCGTCGGCATTCCGTCATTGGAAAGACGGTCGAGAGCCAGTTCTATGGTGCTCTGGCATGCGTAAGCTGCCCTTGATATTAAATTTGTGATACTCTTGCGATACTGACATTTATCTGGCTTCAGCTGGCGTGGGTAAGACTGTACTAGCGTGAGCCCCGCTCGTGCAGATTATCAAATTGAGGAACTGATGATTGTCTGAACAGCGCTTTCGTATCTGAAGATCTCTACAATTCACTTGACCGTCAGTCGAAGACAGTAATAACGAGCATCTATTGTGACTACAAGCAACAGTCTGAGCAAACACCTGAGAACCTTTTTGCAAGTCTGGTGCCGAAATATCTCTTGGATGAAAACAAAATATTAATGAAAGCCCTGGAAAATCTTTACACCAATTGTGAACGCGGCCTCTTAAATCTTGAGCTCGAGGATATCCAACGCTTCGTCAGGCTGGCTTATGCAGAACTTGATGAAGTTTATATTGTCATAGACGCTCTTGACGAGATGCTGGACCTCAATCGCGCACAGTTTCTACGTATCATTGACCAGTTTTCAACCCGTGAATTGGGTGGCCGAGACCCAAAATTTCGTCTCTTGATCACATCTCGTTACAGCAAGGATCCGCCATTCCAGGACTCCTTTGAACAAGAGATCTACGCTAATGATACCGAGATTGAAGACATGGTCAAACGATACATTGGAACACCGGATCTGTTTGGGAGCTTCAGCATGTCAGCATCTTTTCGACAGCGCCCAGATATGCGAGAAAAGACAGTTAGCTCAGTTGTCTCTCAAGCTGATGGTTTGTTCCTAACCGCCAAGCTACACTTGAATTCCCTGTATCATCTTTTCAACATTCGTCTGCTCGACGAAGCGCTCCAGAAGCTGCCAAAAAGCATTCACGAACATTACCAGAAGGCCTGGGATAGAGTCACGCATCAGGAAAAGTGCCAAAAGGAGCTAGCAGAGCAAGCGATGTGGTGGCTTTGTCTTGCGACTCGCCCTCTCACCGACCAAGAGCTCTGTCATGCCCTCGCTGTACAACCTGGAGATTCTTCTGTAAACAACAACAACCTTTCGGATATTGATGATATCATAAAGTCTTGTAAAGGTCTCATCGCGAAGGATGCGCAGAGTGGTGTGGTCCGGCTTGCGCACTCCACCGTTCAGAGCTTTCTAGAAACCCAGATTCAAGAGAGTTCCGAAGACGTTGGCGCCTTTTTGACTACAAGATGCTTGACCTACCTCCGAATCAAAGAGTTCAGTTCTAGGGTGTGTGATTTTTTCAGCCCTTCGACAACGGAGGTCGATTACAAGGTCAAAGGATACAAAAGGGTCGCTAAACAAAGATTTCTTTCCGAAAGGCTACGAATGTATCCCTTGCTGGACTATGCTGCCAAGAGCTGGGGCATTCACGCCCGCGGTAAGCCAGAGGTCTTGCTCCAGAAGCAGATTCTTGATTTCTTGACTTCAGGTCGGCCCTTGCGTAATGCTCTTATGGTACAATACCAGCGAAGATGCAGGATTCCTCACCAGGAGCTTCCTATCGACCTTCAAGACATAATACCTCTACATGTCGCAATCGGATTTGGTTTGACCACCATTACAGAAGAAGTGTTGAAGTTTTGGACCTTTGAGCAGAGCAAGCTGGAGAGTCTTGAAGGGGTACGCGCGCTCTACTGGGCAGCATGGTCAGGAAACAAGGTTATAGTAGACTCTTTATTGAGGTTCGGAATAAAGCCTGAGATTTCCAATGAGCCAACATCCTTCAATGCCTTTGGCTATAGCATTGTCTACGGACACAAGGAAGCCATAGACGCGTTTCTGGATCACGGATATGGGGTTGCAGGGAGTGCGCCTTGCCAAATTCATCTGGCGGTTTGTGCTCAGGAAATTAGAGTCTTACAAGCATATTACGATTCTCAAAAAGATAGGGCAGCAAGACTTTTGGATCTGAATAAGATCTTGCGCATTGCCAGTCAGCTTGGGGGACCGACTGTTCTCGAGTGGGCATTGAGTTTGGGCGCTCAGATTGACGCGCAGACTGAAGAATTCGATGCGCCAATTCATGAGGCCGTCACATATGGCCGCACTGACTTTATGCAATCTCTCATTGCACATAACGCTGACAGAGACTGCCGAAATGCAAGGGGTTTCAGTCTACTACAGAGCGCAGCGGCGAATCAGCAGATTTTCTGGACTCGTCTAAGTTTTGCGAAATTCTTCCATGAAGCCCATTCAATTTCCCCTTCCATGATTCGTCCTGACATCCTTGAGTTCCTAGACTGCACAAAAACGTGCTTTCAGGAGGCTGCCTGCTCAGCGAAATCGGCCATCGACAAAGCATCCTTCTTTCACCAGCTTATTGAACATTCAGACTTCCTCGAGCTCGTCTTCGAAGAGTCTCAAAGTCGAGAGATGATCCGTATTCTTCTCGCCAACGGCGCTGATATCAAAGAACGCACCGCGAGTCAGGAAACTTTGCTACATCTGGCGGCCCCAAGTGTCGCAAGAATGAAAGAGCTTCTAGAGTCATCTGCGAATTACTACGATCATCGATTTGACGTCAACGCAAGGGATCAGAACGGCAGGACACCACTGCATCATGCCGCCGCCGCCGGTTGCGCAGAATCCATGGAGTTCTTGATCGAACGTGGAGCGGACCCCAAAGCAGTAGACGACACAGGTGCAACAATAACTCATCTAGCTATCTATGATATTGCCAGTGTCATGGCTGCTTTGGATGCTGGCTGTGACGTCAATGCCTTGGATAATTGGCATAGGACACCCTATCACTGCGCATCACTGGCAGAAAAGCCTAGCAGCGAAGTGCTTAACTTTCTGAGCAATCATCTTGACGTTGATCCGCTGATCCAGGATGCGTTTGCGATGACTGCAAACGGCTACTTAGAAAAGACCGAGGATATTGAGGTAGAAAACGCGAGAGACGAAATTGTCAAATCCCAGAGGAATGTCAACGAAAAGCATCTTGATCCAAAAGCGTTCACAGAGAGAAGTAGCTGGAATAAGGATCTGTTCTCGCGAGTGCTTCACAAAGCCGAAATTGCCCGTTCACTGGGTGACTGCAAGTGGGAAGATGAGTACGCGTACTTCCTTGTCAAGGCAATGTCTCAAAGAAAGTACAAAGAAGTTCGAGCGTGGGAAGTCGTCGAGAGTTTCGAGGACGAGGATTACGTGCCGCTGTCAGAGGAGGAAACTTGGAGGCTCGAGGACGGACCGGGTGACTTCAGGTCAAGTGGTAAACCGGGCGAAAGCGTGCCCCGTTTGAAAACTAAGACTTGGCTTGCTGAACAAGCACCAATCTTCGGGAATTTTTTCCACCAGTTAGATCTTTATTTAGCCTCTGGCGGAAAGGCAGAGAATTTCAGGTTCCGGTGAAAACACTGTTCTTTCCACCACAGGCTCTGTAGAGGTGGACTCAATGGAGGCTTAAAACAAGCACCGCCAACTCAGGTTTACCAAAATGCATAATCAGAGCGCATTAGCAATGGGACACTACGTCAATCAGCACCAATACCCATGATCGACCTCCTCTGTTTGCATTCAGAATCCACGAAACAAGACATTGAAGAAGATCTTGAGACCTCTCTTACCAAGATCGTAATTCGTGGAATAATGCCAAATATCCAATGCAATGCCCTACTAGACCCTGACAGAGACTCAGACACAAAAGCCACGATTCAATAATGTCATTCGGAGCATTCATGCCAATGGATATACAACTACTTTTCAACCACACCCACTCTTTTCAACACCACCACACTAACACGTCACACCCTGCACAACCTGCCCCTGACTCCCATAACACTGCCCATCATTCCCTTTTGTGAGGGTCTGCCCCCCACTCCCTTCACCCCCTCCACTCCCACCACTCCCACCACTCCCACCACTCCCACCACTCCCACCACTCCCACCACTTCCACCACTTCCACCACTTCCACCACCACCAGACTGCCCACACGACGCCCCCGGCACCACCGCCCCGCTAGTATTATAGCACTGCCCGTCCCCGCCCAGCGTGAGACTCTCCCCACTTCCCCCTGCACTTCCACCTCCGCCCCCGCCGCCTCCGCCTCCACCTCCAGGAGGGAGACTGGGGGAAGCGCCTAGACCTGAACCCGTGCCTGTACCCGTGCCCGCGGGAGCAGATCGACTAGCCCAATGCCTATCATGCCTTGTATCAGCCCATCTCCCTTTCACCCCCCTCCCTTCCCCTCCTCCCCTCCTCCCCTCCCTCCCCTCCCTCCCCTTCCCCCCAAAAAGAAAAAAAAAAAGAACTCACCACGTAGCAGTCATCTGCCCCGGATCATCCGTGCCTCCATTCATAATCACATACTGGCCCCACGCAATATCGATGTGTGCGAGATCGCAGTTCCCGCACGTGTCGCCCACTATCATCGTCACGGCGGGTCCGCCCCCGCCCGCTTTGGCCGCCACGATTGACTGTCCGCAGATTGATGGTTTGTAGGATTGGTCGGTTATCCATTGCGTGGAGACCGCTACGACTGTGTCGTCTGTTGTGGGGTTAGTGGGGGGGGAAAGATGGGGGAAGGGGGGAGGGGGAGGAAGGGGAGGGGAGGGGAGGGGGATGGGGGGTATGTTTACTTTCCGAGTAGGTGATGCCACAGGCACCTAGATTTCCGAATCTATGGAAAGTGCCGAGGCCGGTCTGACTGCATGCGGGCTTCCATGTTAGACCTGAAGTTGCTTTCGAGAGGAGAAGATGGGGGGAAGCGATAGCTTACTCTGAAGAAAAATCCTGGCCGCCTCCACCACCTTGTGGGACTGGGACTGGGCTGGCATGTATTGCGGCTGGCGCCAGCACCAGGCTGAGAAGGATACTAGAGAGGGGGAGGGACATGTTTATTAAGAAGAGAAGTCCGCGAACCTGCGCTTGATGGTATTGAATGTATTAGGCTAGTGGTCAACACTGGAATATCCTGTCCCCACATCCCAAGGCCCTCATGCCCTCTTACATATATTGCTTGGGCGGAGAAAAAAAGCCTCACGACCTCCACGCCCCGCGACGGTTTCATTGTGCGGGGTCAACCCCAGCCGCTTGCCAATAATGAGCCGTCCTCTCTGATGGCTAGAATAATAATGTCTGCTGCCTTGTGTTGCGTGGGAAAGGGTCGGTCCAATTGCGACATCGGCGCTGTTGCCGATAGGCAGAGTTTTCCCGTAGCCCACCTATGTCAGGCTGTTCCGCCGCCAGCATTATTGTCGTATCAAGTGTCGGGGTGATACGATAGGGTCGGGACGCGGCCCTAGTTGGACAGGGCACCATGTGATTGACTTGCCTGTCCAATTCTGGTGCTGGTCTGCGGCCTGATGATGGTGTCGTTTCGGAAGATGAGCCAAGCGCGGAATGTTTCACTGTGAAACGTGTTCCAGGAATGGTCGCGGCTGCTTCAGACGTCTACCTGGCCAATCGATTGGGGAGGTCTGTAGGTTGGGCTGAGAGTCAAAGTTGGCGTTGGGTGCTTGAGCATGCTCGCAATAAACGGCGTTTGAGCTCTGAGGGTGTAAGGCGCGGCACATTCTTGTAGGAGATATAACCATTGAGCAGTCAACATATCCCCACTTGAGCAGGTCTCGCATCCTCTTGCCTCTATCATTTGAGCGGAATACTGCCTTGAATACTGCCTTGAAGCTGAGTTTCATCCAGGCGTTGCGACCGACCGGTAGGGTTCCGAGCCACTTTGTAGCTTTCCTCTCCAATCAAACGCTCTTCCGCTTCTCATGCAAGATCTGGAATCTCATTTTCCGTCTTAACCCTTATTTTGGCACGCAGCCCCGCATCCATGGCTCGTCATTGTTGCTTCTAGACTGTTTAGATGCCCTGTTTATCACACAAAACTCCCTGTTTCTGACTTGATACATCAGTGCGCAGGCTCAGCTCACACGCCTGGATTCGCGAACGATGACGTCGCGAGAAGCCTTTCGTTTCTTCACCGGAGGACCCAAGGACTCCGTCAAACATCCCCTCCCGCCGCCGTAAAGATGAGAGAGATGACGCTGGTAGCCCCGCGTCTCGTCTGTATCATTGCCGAAATGCCGTGAATTATTGTCAACTCTCGTGCATTTCTTGAAAGCTGCTAGGGTCCTCTTGCCACGCTGACTAACGCATTGTCATATATCAGGTGCAGTGGAACCAGAACTCAACGAAAGGCGAATGTGCCGCTTGGCGTCGGCGTTTTGCTTCTGTGTGGGTTCAATCCTCGTGAGATAGGACAGACACCTCGTTTCGGAGTGAGGGGTCTCTCTTTCCGTCAATTTAGTAATCAGCTCGGTGACCGGGTGAGTCTCTTGAGCCGTGCGCGGTTGATGTTTTGGGATACTCTCCAGGGTCTCCAATCCAGCCCGTGTGTTGGTCAATCCTAGCACGTGGGCCAGCGAAATCTTTTCCCACCGCTCAATGCTAGCCTTACAAGCCGGCTCCGGAAGCAAGAGCAAGGACAGGTAGGTCTCAGACCAGATAAACTTCGCTTTCCCACAAGAGAGGAAAGCCATCCGCTGCAACGGAATTTCCTAAAGCGTTCATCCGTTAAGGGCGCCGGCCGGAGCACCGAGTCGGCCTCGTATTTAACCGCAACGGCAGAGGACAGACGTCCTTGGCACCCTTCCCACTCACGTGGTTTCAGTCAGCCTGCTATTTCATAGTCTGGCGAGGTGTCTATTTTGTTGAAACCTAAGCAGCCAGCCTGATGCACCTCCAAAAACACGCGAAATGGGCTCCCCGGATATAGAACTTAGACTTCGAGAGCTGCCGAGGATGCCTTTGAGATAACCCGGCACCACCCCTTCCAGACTATGGGATATCCATTTCACTCGTTGTCGATAATCCATGCTCCAGCAAGCCAGTCATTCTCCAAAAACTTGAACAAAAAAGACTCGAGCGAGATCCACATCGCTAATACCTCCATACCCCATGTCAAGCATCGAAAACCTGAACGCGATCTCGCGCCTTGTTGCAAGGGCACTACAACGACTGATGATCCCCACCGCTATATCGTGCACGTCTTGATAACTGAATATGGCTGTATCAGTACTACTGCGAGTGTGCAGCTCGATGTGGCAGGTGCCGCTGGCCCAGATGATTGGGTTGCCTACGCTTCTTGGCCCGAATGTCATCGGTTGGGCATAGTGTTTTTCGTCTTTGAGCGAATTGAGGGCGTTCTGACAGGTATGATAGGTGACTATTGGATGAATACCTTCTTCTGGAGGTGATGGGAAACATTGAGTTATCCGTTCCCGTTCGTTTGGCGCGAGAGATGCGCCTGATGTGTTGAACATGAGGATGTTCCAATTTGTTGGGGTGCCAGATGTCATCTTGAAAAATGCGAAGAACAAGATGAGGATCACACTTGTGCCCTTCATGTCGGGCTTGGTCTTTGAACGATTCGGCCAGGCTCTAATACTTCCTTACTTTTTTACTTTCAAGATGTGCGAGCCAACCGAAACCTTCCGTTGACTGTCATCGGTCTTTCGTTTCCTTATCGAGCTCTGGTCTCATCGTCAAGTCGGTTCCAGATTTCTTTAATCCTGATGCAACGAGCCAAGTACTGGTTTCTTGCTGGAGGATCCGGCTGCCCCAGACGCAGATCACGTTTCGTACAAGAAATAATTATATCAAGACCAATGTTCGTGATATGTAGGTATGAAATCGCGCTTCTCATCCCTGAGACGTGGTTTGCAAAGGTCCCGTAAGCGCAAGACGTTCCATGAATACATGCGGGAGTTTGGTCTCTGCACGTTAAAGCCGCAACGCTCACCCAATTGGCGGTGACTTACTTGCATGATCGGCGAATGATCAACCCGCTTCGTGAGATGAATGCTAAGGACCTGACATTTGACTGAGTCTTCTCGTAACATTTCAAGAGAAACTTGTGTGAGCATAGTGGGTTGTCAATAATACCCAAAGCGACCACGTGAGGGATTGTTCGAGGTCTTGCTCACAAACCCTTGTCCATTTCAAGACTGCATCTCAATGCTCTTTTCCTTCTCTCTTTGTTCATTGCGCAATCGCTCCATGCGTTGATTTTGTCGTCTAGAGCCAAAGGACCAGCTGCCAAGGACAAGCATCGTAAGTACAACAGTGAACAAAAAGTACAACCATATCCAGCCGCTGACAACGTCATTACGAGACTGGAAATCAAAAAAGCTTGTGCTGAAGAACGTCGCAATGAAGGTGCCTGGCAGGAAGATAAGGGTTACAGCAGCATTTATTCGCATGTCGATATTGCCACGTTGGGTGAGAAAAGCAAGGTTGCGGGATTCCTCGGCAATTTCTTTCATCGCAGCGCTTTCTTTGAGGGAAGCTTCGGCGAGACGATGTGAAGAAGTAGCTGTTTCGATATTGACACGGTTGTCTTTTTGTCCGATGAGGCTAAAGACCTGCCATATATCTGAAGTCAGCTCAGATGTCAGGTAATGCATATCTATTCGCTCGGTTGAAGGCAATGCGTGTCGAGGTAGGAGACAGACCGTTTGTACTTGTGCTTGTGTCCGCTGTAAGAGAAGAGCTCGGTTCAATTGGACGCCTTCAACAAGATTGCGCAAGAATAAGACTCTCTGCTGTAGTATTTCCCGTGGAATCGAGGCTGGAAGCTTGTCATCAAATAAAGACAGCAGGTCAAGAGCTTTGAGGCTAGCGGTGAATGTCAATTCACAGAATGCTAGTGTTCCAATAATGCATGTCAACTTCTGCGTGATGAGGTCAAAATCCAGGAGACCTGCTTTCGCTTTGAGAGCCTCACGTGAGATGTTACGACGTGGGTCAACGGAGAAGCCGTACTTCATCCCAGTCTCAAGCTCGAGACTCTCGAGTGCACGAGCACGATGTTCAATGACTGCAACAAAACGGCTAGCTTTCAATCCAATCAGAAGTATTGGAATAAGTAGAGGATTGGGAAAGGAGCATTGTGAGGCGCGGATGGACTCCTTCAGTACCTCGATCTCATCTGTCTCTAAGCCTTGGACGATACAGGATGTGGTTCCCGAAGATCTTTCGTAGGTCGCAGCGACGCAGTAGTCCCAATTACGTGACCGGCCGCCACAGATTACCAGACCTGGAGAATCAGCCATGCGACTAGACAAGAATAGGAGGATTCAGACTTAGTCGCTCGTCTACTCCCAACGTCTCGCTTCGACTCGTGGTGACTGGGAACGTGTGGATCATGGCCGCGCGAAGCGCAGGGTTCATTCGCCACGCAGATGTCAAATGGCTGAAAGTGTCCTCGCTCATAGGCAGCGGTAAGAGATCCCCATCGCTGACATGGGTCTCAGGACTGCAGATGCTGAAAAGACGAATCAGCTCAAGAGTTTCAGGCTGTGCACAGTGAGACTTACAGCACTCGTAACAATCGCTCGCTCGGGTCAGTCTCTCTATCAGCTTCTTGTCTTGTGGTAGGAGTCTATTCGGATTAATTTGCTGAGACACAAGACATCGCAGGCGACTGTACTTGTTGATCCACCCAACCGCGAATCTGCCGCTCATCAAGACGGCCTTCTTCGATCATGTACGCAGGATCTCGATTGAGAAGAGTCTATGAATACATGGGTCAACTATGGGCAGTCCGGATGTGTGCATGTACATACGGGTGATTTCCAGACGTCAAGGAAACAGTGCCCATCGCGTGGGTGAAAGTCGTGACCCTGGTGAGGTTGCTTCGGTATTTGATAGTCATCGAGAGTATCAAATTGACCCATGTCGTCTTTGGGATTACTCAGAGCTTCGTGAGCATGCGACGAGAGGTCTTTTGATGAACAAAGTGGGAGAAGGCTGAAAGAGGCTGGTGGAGGATCTTCAGAGGTCGATTTTATTTCCGTAAGTCGGGGGCTAGTCAATTCTCGGACTAGTCCTTGTCTGCATTTTTAAGTGATCGTGCATGTTCATCAACGTTCAACATTCTAATGCTCTGGATGGACTCTTTGTCTCGCTCATTGCATCAAGAACATTTTTTGTCGCTGCTTCAAGTCACTGTATAACCACTTACTCCATGATCCTGCTCATTCACACTCCAAGCGGTCGAGAGCTTACAGTCTTTTCCAATCGCGACACCTCCACGATGTACACTTTGCCGTGTTGGCCATAATGATGGCTTGGCTACATCAACGCAAAGCTTCTTCGTCTCTGCATAGTGCACCTTTTTCAATCGCTTTGCACGCGATGTCTTTCACTTGCCGTTGCTGCCCTCCTTGTCAAAAATATGAGCCACGCTACAAAGGGAGCTGCGTCTTACTCCTTCACGGCGACAGCTCGCTCCTTTTCACCTCTTGCGATATTCTCTCAAGAGAACTTCACGACCAAGCGGCAGAAACACTTCGCTCTGCAAGTATAGCAAGCGCCGTTTCCATCTCCACCACATGCTCGCAGACGGGGCTGACGCCCTCTTCCGGGGCCTCCATCCGAGGCCATGGTGGCAAAGTCCCTTTCTTATCACTCGTACAAGCGAAACACAAGCTCAACAGGAAACCGTTTCAATCCGATCTCATTTTTCGTGGCATCTTGGGAGTCAACCAGGATGACTCCAGATCCTCCGCCCATCTTGACCCTTGGCTACTGGAGGCCGAGGATGATCCAGCCAATGATGGAAGCGCAATCTTGTAGGCTTTTTGGAGCCGTAATAAGCATCTCCCTTCCCTCTCGTTCGGGCAATGATCGACATATTGACAGCGGAAGAAGGGCCATCCGGGGTGGAGATGCGCATTAGCGTACCATCCCATTACCCCAATGAGCCAACAGCAAATCCGGAAAGAGTCTGGTGCTCTTACGCAGCAGATTTGGGTTTAGCACCTGTCTGCAGTAGTCCTGAACACTTGCGTATGTTTCATCGATGTCCTGCAGCTTCTTCTGACGGGGAATTTCTCTTCCGTTCATGTCCCAGGCGTTGGGTCTTTATGAGTAATGCGTGATTCCCGTCATTACCGCCTCAATGATCTTGCGGGCCCTTTCACAGCCATCATTCACAATTCTCCATGGACGGCTGACATCATAAAGCCCCTCTGTTGCGGACGCCTTCTCTCTTGGTCCCTTGCGCAATGTCTTTGATCGTCTGCCTCTCTGAAGAATGGGTACTAAGGATTTGGAGTCTCTTGCGAAGCCCCGACATGGCACGCGCATCACACCACGAACGTGCTTGTGGCCATTGACCGGCAGTCTGATTGTCACCTTCGGGCTCTCGATAGGACTGACTTTTCGCTCCAATCACCATTGCTATGCCGGAACCTGTGGAGAATGGCTCTTCCCATTGCAAGCGCGCCTTCACGTCGTCATCTGGTATGCTTGGCTATCACTGTCGACGACATTCTTTGCAGTAAGAGCTTTTCACCCGGAGATGCAAAGAGTCCTCTCCAGGCATTTAGTTGCGCGAAAGCTACCGGTCCTCGGTAAGTCCATATCCATCGGAGGACTCTGCATGATTCTCTGGGTCGTATGTCTTTACGGTGTAGTCATCGGCGTGTGGTGGCCACGACTGTCACAGTACTTTACGACTAGAAACTCAGATGCTGGTATCTTGAAAGGCGGTGAACAATTGGCGGCCGTTGCAATGACTGGACATCTTTGCGACATCACCATGGGCATGGTTCTGCTTCCCATCTCTCGCCACAGCGCCCTTGCATCCTTCTTCGTGATATCTACGTCGACGACACTCACGAACCATGTATTCGCGGCCTACACGCTGTTCACACTCGTCATAATCCATGGACTACTCTATGTGTCGTGGATCCCGGTCTTCAACAGCTTGTCAGATCACCTCCGGACTGTTATCCCTGTTCTGAATCCTACATATCTCTACAAAGAGACGTGGCCAGGTAACACATCCTCGCTCGGGATATGGAGGGCCTCCTTGATCTTCACCGGAACCTCAGCAGCCATCATTATGGCTGCTCTCTTTGTCACTACATTTCCCCAGGTTCGTCAGAGACACTTCAATCTATTCTACTTCACCCACGTGTTCAGTATTCTGATGGTGGTGATCATCTGCCTCCACGCCAGCACGATGTTCTACTGCACTTCCCCTGGCTTGGCAATGTGGGTGCTAGATTGGAGCATGCGCATCTACGAGTTACGTGGCGAGCTGAAGGGTAATATAAAGGCCCTCGGTAAGGGCTGGTATTGGTAAGTCTCAGTCTGCGTGGGTCGAGACAAAGCGAACTCATCTATCCTTTTAGTGTTACCCTCCGTTTGCCCCGCGCTCGATTGTCAGGCTGCTCGTGTCGGTCTCCACTTGCCCACTTCTACATTCACCATGCAGGGTCTTCTATCCGTGAGCTTCATCCTTTCACAACAATCACGCATCTTGCATCGCAAAACAACAGCACCCACCCAAGTGACGAAGATCTTCCGATCCAATTCCTATTTCGCAAGTCGGAGAAGTCTCCATCATCTTTAGAGCTCGAGAAGGCACTTGCGCGCCGATCACTTGTGCAACGCATCCTACGAAGTAAAGGACAGCGGATGAAGAGTGTGCAGTGGACAGCAAAATTGGCGGCTTTGGCGGATCAGACTCCTTTAGACAGAAAGGCTGAACTCAGTACGACGTGTGAGGATGCGAGAAAAGAGCATATGTCTATGACGAGTGAGCATGGATTTAAAATATCACTGCGTCTAGAGGGCCCATACTTCACCCCTGCCGACCCTCATCGCTACAATACAGTGGTATGCATAGTCGCAGGCACGGGCGTCAGCGGTGCTTTAGCCATCGCAGCCGCCTTCGTTCACTCTTCTCTCGAAGGGTCGCGGACCGCTGATGCGGAGGAACAGGCCTCGCGAGAGAAGAGCCCACGCCCCTGGCGCCGTTGCATCATCATGTGGAGCGTGAAGGCGCAGGATGACATCGACCTCCCAATTCCTACCTCGTGTGAAGGCTTGGAAGTCCGCAAGTTCCTCACTGGAGATGGCAGGAAGCGTGTGGATTTGAAATACGAGCTGGACAGAATCACTTGTGGTGGAGAAGGGAGCACAGACGGAGGCAACCCCAACAGGACCTGGGTTTACGTTTCCGGCCCGAAGGCTTTCATTGCTGCAGGCAAGGAAGCTTGTACAACCGTACAAAAGAAGAAAGAAAGTAAGGTCAGCGGGTGGATGAGTAAAGGCAGCTTGGACTTCTATGCTGCGAGCTGGGATCCATGAATATGGCACACTTATTACGACCTACCTACAATGCAGTGTGCGCGGAGGCCAGCCTATCACAGCGGTCCAGTATCCACAGTTATCGACAATACAATCTCAACGACTGTCAGACCCATTCTCCACTCACGCAAAGGCGTCTTGTCAGTCTCGTTCAATCATGCGCTTAGGGCTCAGAGCAAGCCCTTTCCCAACCTCCCTTAATCCGCCTACTGCTGGTACCCATCAAATACACCATGACCTTCAGATCATGTCCACACCGCGCGCAGCAAAGCCCAGGCATTATCAACTACGTCGCGATAGTGCAACAGAGCCAACTCATCGACGCATGATCGTAGGGGTATTCATCCCAGAGGCCGCCAAAACCGTCAATTGGCGCGCGAAATTGTGTGTATGTTTTAGACATGACATCACCACTATGAGACCAGTCTCTTAAGCGATCAGTCATGGCTTCTTAATCTAGGCTCAGAACATGTAACATGCACTTTAGACGATTCGGTGCCATGTCTGGCTACCCCACGAACTCCCGACTCCACGCTGGCTATCCACAAGACTCGCTTCCGCATACCGGCCGTAGGTGACATTGAAGAGTCAAGAAGGATTGTTGTTTCACCCGGATCGCATCCGAGATGTCTGTCAATATTCCGCACCAGATCATTGGCCGATGCGTGACATGCTGCCGCACTGGAATTCACTCATTGTTGGAGACCTCAGCTCTAGTATGATCGAAAAGCCTCCGATGATGATTGGGGTGACAACTCTTGCACCATATCACTGATCAAGACCTTATGACAACCTGTACCCAGGCGTAGACGGCACTCGGACCTTAAGCCAAAGGCTCAATGCGGCTACTAACGAGTACCCATCACCTGGCCCTTCTCCTCAGCGCCATCTCACCCATCACCGCATTACCTCAAGTACTCACTCAGCCTGGCATCATCCCGAACAATACCGCCAATCTCCCCATCCTTCCATCCTCCCAGCTTTCCAACCTCTCCGACCCTGAGATCTTCTGCCGCGAACCCTTCGATTCCAACCCACCCATCGCCTCCGTCTCCTCCTGCCGCGCCACCCTAAACGAACTCCGCACCTTCCCGGACTATAAACTCCGCCAAGGTTTCATCGAGACCACAGACCCATCGTTCTCTAAGCCCAGGCGGCCGCACAAGCCGCCCTACGTCAGCGATAATCCAGGGAGTGATTGTGCGGTCCTGATAGGTGCGACGGTGAAGAATCAATGGTCGTGGTTTTCGTTTGAGGAGGCCAGGTCGTTAGCGCAGGAGATTGTGCAGTATTGTGGGGAAGAGGGAGGGGCAGGGCGCGGGGGTAGCGCCGCGATCGGGCTTGATGAGGCGGGGAGGAGGATGAATTTTTGGGCGGTTACTGTTATTGGGAGGAAGAGGGATGATGGGGATGTGGTGTTGCCGGACACAAGTTGAGGCGATATAAAGATGATTTCCGGCATTGTTTGTAGCGACGCGTTGTCAGTGTTTGGTTTGTCATTATCGGAAAGGCGACTACGCAGGGAGTAAGCTTGAGCCCAAGTGCTGGCCGGCTTCGTTGGCAGTCGACAGGGACGAGCACGCACTTGAGCAACTCAGGTATGAAGACCGTCACTTCTCGGTCTATGACTCCAAGTACAAGTGGAAATTCTGGGGAGAAATCACTTGTGTACTGCCTGATTTTTCCAATCTAGAACGCTAGCCCCGTGCCATCCTTCCAAGAGGTGCAGAACACTTCCAGGATATCTCTATGTCTCTATCGAGATCATACCTCTCGCAAAGCATCATCGACGATCAGCCATCCTACAAGACAGCAGCTGATCCAATCAAGCTGACTTTTATAAATGCAATGGCTGATGCATTACAGACCAATCCTTCCATCCTGCAAAGCCACGATAACCAAGATCTCAAAGCTATGAAGCCTTAGAGAGGTAGCTTCTCCTTCCGACGACAAATTGATTGGCATCCATGTCTCAAAAGTGCCCGCACAGGGTCCGTGTGCTTGTAACGCTCCACAGATATACAACCATGCGCTCGCTGCCATGCGTACATACAAGCGCCATCTCAGATCTCTAGGGCCCGAGCCTTTGAACCCTGTGTCACATCGACAGCCACCTAATCCAAGATCGTGAGAGAAACATCAATGATTCACTCCATGAAGGAAACCCCTGTGGCTTGCTCCTGCAGCTGTTGACAGACTCGCTCCAATCCCCCATCATCAAGGCGCTCTTCACATCAGGAAACCCTTTCACTGATCAAATGTTTCCAGACCCTGGATCTATTTCCGAGCACTCTGTTCTCCTAGGCCCGCTAAGACGATAGCCCATCCAGACCCTTACTCGCCGTGCATGTTGTAGTAAGTGCATAAGAGGTGCCTTCCGAAACACACACACCTTCCTCGACCGCCCACCTCAGAGTCACGGAAGACGTCTAATCCCCCCCCCCTCAACCGACGAATAGAGTCCCTGAACTACCATGCTAACGACTCTCCTATCCATCTACCTCTCCCTAACACTCCTACTCCTACCCCAACACACATCCCCCTCCCCTTTCCCCTTTCCCTTTTCCACAACCCCCGAACAATCCCCTCACCTCCTCCCCCTTCCCGACACCTCCCCCACCCCACCCATCCCACCCATCTTCAACACAACATCCCACCCCGACCTCGACGGCACAACATGCTACGCCCCCGACGACATCGCCTTCACCCCAATCCCACGCACCTACACCTACGCCTCCTGTGCCCCGCTCTGGCACGCAATCTACAAACACCACCCGCTTGTCAGCACGCTCCATTTCTGGACAGATGAGCCAAAACCCTTGGCTGCTGTGGAGCCCGAGTTGCAGATTCCGGCTGCGTATCCCTCCTCCCCTTCCCTCTCCAGCCCAGCCACGGTGGAGGGGGAGGGGCAGGGGAAAGGGGCAGGGGCAGGGGCAGGGGCAGGGGAAGGGGTAGGGGCAGTGGAAGGGGCAGGCGCATGCCAATTCATCATCCTCTCAACACGAAGCCTGGATCAAGTGGTGCGTGCGGCGGCGCAGGCGGGACGGCCGTTGGGGTGGAGGCGCGAGTGGGGGGAACGAGGCCAGGCGGTTTTGGGCACGAGGAGTGATGAGGCGAGTTGGGGCCAGGTGGTGGAGGCGTTGGCGGCCCTCTTGGTCTGTGCTGATAGTGGGTATGCTGGGCATATGGGGTTTGGTGAGTTTTTTTTTCTGCTTTTTCTGCTTTTGTTTGTTGTTGGGGACCGGGGGAGGGGGGAGGGAAAGAGGAGAGGAGGTATGGGGAGGGAATGGAAGGGGATGATTGAGCTGACTTTTGAGGTCGTGGGTGATAGGGCGGCTTAAATCTTTGCACGCTTTCGTGTATCCGGGTGGACAGCGCCAGACTAGGTTTGGGATCGTGGAGTCGATGGGGATTATTGAGGGTGTGTTGTGAGATATGCTTGGTAGGACCGGGGGGTAATGAGAAGTGGAGGTTCTGCTTGGATATATTGCCGAAGGTGATACATAGGAAGTTCAGCCTTACGGGGGATGATATACATTTTGAAATAATGAAAGGAAAGCAATAGGCTTTTTATCTTGCAATTGTCCGTGATCAATCTGGAACTTCCGTGGCATCATTATAGTTCGTCTCTCGTCAGGCCCCTTCATCATCCATCCGAAGGTAACGTGGCTGCTTCGCTCGTCTCGTCAGGGAAATCTGTTGGCGGATTGACTAGTTCAACGATGCTGTCTCCTTCTTCATCAACAAGCTCATCATTAGGTGGCACTTTGTTGGTCTGTGCAAGAACTTCCCCCGCCATGACAAATGATAAGCTTGTGCCTATTTCCTCCAATGTCTGGACGGGCTGAGGAGGAGCAGCGTCTACGACTGGTGCTGTGCTCGGCTTCTGTGCCGGTAGAGCAAGCTGCTCCCATCCATCTGGAAGATATTGCTTGCTCTCATCGACAGAGTCCAAGATCCTTTGCCGAATCAATCTATCAGCAAAGTCAATGCCTGGCATCAGATTCCTCAACTCTTCAAAAGCTGAATCTGGGTCTACAATGAGGGTCCATGCCACAGGAAAGACGACTGCGAGGATTGGGCCAAAGATGGGTATGGCTCCAAGAGCCATGGTGAGCACATTCTTGAAGAAATTCTCAAGCCAACCTCCGCCTTGTGCAGGCTTCCATTGCAGATCCAACCCGAAGTTTGCATTAGCGACGGTCAACCAGGAAATGTCCCAGGCTCTCAAGTAAGTCCGCGGGTTATCCGGTCGGAAACTTGAGCTGTTGATGACGATGTTGCTTCGGTTCACAATCTTGATGAGTCTTGAAGCGTAGACATTGTCCTTGCGAAGCTGTCGGGGAAGCGGGAGCAGCTGTATAAGACCCTGGACGTCAAATCCAATCGTGAAGCCCCGGTGGGTGGCAAGACCATAAGTACTGCTGCAGGTGTGGTTCACGAAACTGTTGCCACCACGCCATACCGCAACGTCGCGCGTTCGAGCAAAGTTTACCTGAACCCATGCGCAGAGTTCTTCATGGTGCTCGTCAGCAGTGAAAGCCAGGGGAATATAGATTGCCCTGATGCACGCAAGCAACTGCTTACAGTTAGCACGTGGTTTTAGATATTGATATGGGCGGTAGTGAGATATGCGGCTTACATCAAACCATATCCATCGTTCCTGCTCCGTGGGAAGTGGCATTATCTTGAAGTAAGACTGACTAGGTCAGAAGAGGGATTGTGTGGGCATCTAGCTTTGAGGATACCTGAGCCGCACCGCCAGTACGGTAATCACTGAATACATTCGAGGTTGTGCAAAGCTCATGTTGCTCCCGTCTCCAGATATCGCCTTCCCTTGGGCCATACATGACTGGCAGGTGAGTCCAATTACCGTACCTGGTGCTGAACACGCCATTTCGGACGATGGTGTAAGTAGCTCGAGGGTGAGTATGGCCAGAAGGATGATTGCTGTCTCGATCGCCAATAGCATCAGGCACGTTCCAAAGATACTCAATCATCATGTTACTATGAAAAAGCTCAGGATTATTCGCGTCATAAATATCTGGTCGGGCCGTGACACGTAAACCGCTACGGTCGAAGAAGCACTCGCCCTCAGGAAAGGCGAGAGCCATGATGAGAATATCCTGACAGAGTTTCTAGCAAAATATGTAAGACAGTAACAGCAACTCGGTGGGACTCTTCGTTTGTTGCGATCACTGCCCCCTTATGAAAGGAATTCCACCGAAAAAAGCCGCACTTCCCTGCATTACTTCATCGAATAAGACGATCAAGGGAGTTCCAAATTGGCCCTGCATCGTGATCTCTCCCCAAGATGGCTAGGATTCAGGCGTCACCACCTTGACTTCACATGCAGCACCAGCCTATGAACGGGTGCAACGCCTTCATGCATATTTACCCCGCAAAAGTACATACACCAGCCGTGGGATGAACATACTTGAACGTACCTCCCTTTGCGAGCTCTTTGCGAAATCTCTCTCAATGCTATGGACTGTTGATCCAGCGCTGGGTCTAGATCCCTGCATCGCTTAGTATATCATTGAGGGATCTCGATTTTGACGGCATCGCTGTGTGATATCAACACGAACGGATACGATCAGTCAGAAAGAGGCATTACCACGGTTCACTTATTTCTGCACTCATCGTATCTCTGATAGCGGGCTGTCAGTAGCAGCTCTCCGCCGAGCTCGAATGCTGAACTTCACGCCTGAAGAACTGGTGGCACGCATGGTGGTCTGGCCCAGACTTGCACAAATGAGGTTTGACGACACTGTGGTGTTGATAACATACTCCACGATTTGTGCTAGCTGTGATTATCCTGCCCTCTTAGAGGACTGCCCTTTACACCACTCGCCTTCAGTCAAATATCATCTTCTTGAATGACACTACAGAGTTCCTTTCGTCGTCATGCTCGATGTCCGAACAGACGTCGAGGATAGAGATGTCCCTGTCGCCGTCTTATTTGAAGACTGACGTCATATTTTGCTTTCTTCTTTACTTCACTTTTCATATTTGAGTTTTGAAGTGAATCATTCAACACTTCTGAAATAACGTAATCAAATCCTTGGAAGCATATCACTTCCACCATCACATACAACACTGTTGATCCCTCCCATCATCTGGACTTGATCTGCGTAGGCCTACGCCGAGCAAGGATGGCGCTTCAAGACCCATCTATACCTCTTGATGGCCGCTGCCATCTGACAAGGATGCCCAATGAGATCCTAGACGCAATCTACGTCCGATGTGTCGAGCCTAACATGGCATTGTGCTCACCAATACTTGGCTCGAGGCTATCTTCCGAACGAGTCTATCAAGCAACAATACTTCAATCCTTTTGGAACTCAAAATCGATTTCTCACGTTAGCAGTTACAATGACCCACGAAAACCACAGCCAACTTTCGTACCTGGTAATCATGTTCAGAAGATTCTCGGCCCATGCGTGCCAGGCGTTCTAACACCTGAGCCGCAAAAGAGAGTTCAGAATCTGATCAGCAGTTTGAAATGGTACACATTTTCTCGCCTTGAAGTGAATTTTATTCGCTTGCTTGAGGCTTTCTTCCTGGACTTCCTTTCCGAAGAGGGAGCGCACATCAACCTGAAAGACCAAACCAAGCTTAGCCGAGGCTTCCGGCGTCGATTCCCATATGGCAGGATCCCCACTTTGTCAGGACCGGAAAATAGCATAGTCAACTTCTCCAAACGTTTACCAGATGACAAAGGCTATAAATTCGAATGGTATTACCCCGTGATTGCAGTGAACTCTCTCAATACCAAGCTCAGAATATCCTCAAGATATCTGCAACCGGTGTCTGTCTTTGTCTTGCCAGATACAGTCCTCAATCCCAGGGGCTGGACGGTAGAAGCGATCCAGAAGTTGCACTTATTGTGCATTCAACTCAAACCGAAGAGATTCTGGCATCCACATGTACATTATGGCAAGGGAGCGCTTTATAGTGGGATGGAGCTCGCCATTGTTGAGATAAACAGCGACGCTCTCTTGATTCTCTGTTGGGCCGCTGAACGCCTTTCCCATAACGACAGATTCACCCAATCCTGCGGCCCTCTGAGTTTTATGGAAAACTCTTCCGTCGCATCTGCAAGCAACGAAAAGGATACGAAGGAGTGAAAATGTTCAAGATCCTGCTACGAAGACATGCAGAATCCATACCTCGCAACGATCCTACCATCACAAGTTGGGCCCACAGACTCGCAGCTAGCAAAACCAGTTCCTCTTCAAAATTTGGCCAACAGATTCTGGACTGGGGTAGCTCCACTCCTCGCCACAGCAAAATCGTGCGAGATCCGTACCATTATAACCCCAGCTTTGATGAAGAGGTCGAGAGTTTAATGCTCCGCCTCTCCAAGTCGAAGAAGTGAGCAGATCGTATGACTGGTATTTCCAGCGAGGCCGAGGCAGTGAAAAGACCTTTATGCTTGACGGCCACATAACTCGTGATTTGACATCTGCCTAATGGTGCGAACAACTGGTGAATTGTGTTACTGTACTTCATTCCTTTTTGACTAATTAGTATTTCATAACCTGAATCGCGGAAAGAAAAGAGCAGCGGAAAGGATCAGGGATATTCGTGGACTCGGAGAGTCAATGACATGGAGGATTTTCCAGAAATCAGGGTGGGGATTGAGACGCTCAAGGCTCATTGTGTCCTTCTTATTGATAATTTGCATCAATGCAAGATATCGAATAAACGATTCACAATCCTGCATTCACCGTGCTGTAGTCTTCAGGCGGTTCATTTCTGACTTCGAGGTCGACCTTGACACCGACCTGGAGCGACAACAATCCTATCGACAGCACCTGATTTCAGTGTTCACTTGAGTTCCCATGAGGTAAATCCCTACTCAGTTTCTCTTACCTTCACCCCAATTATTCCAATTCCAGACATCGCCAAGTCCCAATCTGCCTTGCCGCCCTCTCACCAGCCCCTGCTTTCCCCTCCCACGCCCTGACGGAATGAATTCCACACGTAACAACAGACGGTTACATTTGGGGGCCATTTCATCTTTGGCACCCTCACCCACCCGGTCTAGACCTAATCAAGGACAAAACTCAACGGCTATCACCAACCGGCGCCGCGCTATCGGTCTTCAATTTCGCTAACCAACAGGCCCAGAACTTCGGATGCCACCACGCCGACGCGATAATCTGAAGCTTGCAGGAGCTTGCGGTCGACATGAAAGTATGTCGCAGGCTGGGCTGGGGGGAGGGAGGGATGGGGAGGAATAAATATTGGGGTGGTCGCCGCGTCGAGAGATGCTTTTCACGCCTACCACTTGACTGACCTGTCTGGCTGCTGTGACGAGACAAAGCCGTTCGAGCTCACGACCCCGCACGCACGCGCCGCAGACCACCTCCAGCTTTCTCCCCTACGACCCGCCTCCTCACAAGCCGTACACAATGCTCCCCACCATGCTCCCCCTCCTCCTCACCTCCCTCACGCTCATCGCCAACCTTCCCTCAACCCTCGCCTCCACCTCCTCCCCCAACCTAACGCCCCGCTCTTCCTACATCCTCAAAACCCCCATCGCCCTCCCCAACGCGCTCGTCCGCCGCGCAACCTGCGACTCGACCGACATCGACTGCGGCAACCTCTGCGTGCCCTCGGGCTACAAATGCTGCAGCGACGGCGGCGCCGGCTGTCCGATCGGCAACAACTGCGTCCCTGGCGGATGCTGTCCGATAGGCCAGACGTGCTCTGGTGGAGGTGGCACGCTGACGGAGCCTGATTTTGGGGATTTGACTACCACGGGCGTGGGGACGGGGGGGCTGAGTACGGCGACTGGGAGCTTGAGTGGGGGTGGGGATAGTGGGAGTGGGAGTTCGGGAAGTAGTAGTGGGGGAAGCAGTAGTGGGGGGAGCAGCAGTGGGGCGGCGAGTGGAGCTGAGGCTGTGGTGGGGGATCGGAGGGGAGTACTGGCCGCGTTGGGACTGGTGGTTGGGTTGGTGGTTTTGAGGGCGCTGTGAGGGGGGAGGAGAGTGAGAGGGTATTTGGGGGAAAGAAAGGAAGAAAGTATGGGAGACTTGTATTGGGGGTGTATATATTGCGTTTCGATGAATGAGATGGGATGTATGGAAGAGAATGATGGTGGTACGATCATGAGCTGTGGGACGTATGAATGTAGATAGTGGATCGTGAGGGATTGTTGAATGCAAGTCTATAATTCATACCCGTCTTTTTGTCTCCTTCATAACAATGCTCGTGATAAGAATAAAGGGCGCGTGGCCGTCGTGATCCTCCTCTATGTCATGTTGCATGTGTAACCCATCAGGCCCATCTCCTCGACAGTGTAGGCGAGAACATTCAAGCCTCAATTTTCTTCAAGCAATCTTGGAACTCCTTCCAATCATACATGATGGCCTTCGCCCCACACTCCTCTGTCAGCGTCTTCGCCATCTGCTCCATCTTCTCCTTGCTATCCTCGATCCCGTAGATGCCCACGTATCCGATCAATGGAATACCAGCTCTCTTCGCAGCTGTAGCACCACTCTTGCTGTCCTCCACCGTCAAAGTCTCCTCGGGCTTGACGCCAAGCTCCTTGCAGGCATGGAAGTAGATAGCCGGATCTGGCTTGCTGGAGGGCGGATTGAGGGAGGTAGCCGCCGAATACACGTGCTCTGGGGGGAAGAAGTGATCAATGCCGACTTTCTCGATACTAGCCACCACTCTCGGCTTCGCGGACGTCGACACCACAGACATGGGATAGCCCTGCTCTTTCAGCTTGTTGAGCTCGGTGGTAACCCCGGGGCACTCGACAGCTTTCTGGCTAAGCTTCCTGGTGACAGCCCCGAGCTCGCGGGCCACGTAGTCATCTACCTCCTCTTGAGACATGGTGAAGTTGTGTTTCTTTTGGAGGCCAATCAGCATGTTGCGGAAGTTGTGGCCGACGAAGTCTTCGAGGAGGCTGTCGACGGTGTAGCGCTCGGATTGGCCATGTTTTTCGAGGACTTCATTTGTGAGCTCCGCGCAGGCTTCAAAAGCTAGGCGTTCGGATTGGACGAGGGTGTTGTCGCAGTCGAGGAGGATGTATTTGACCTAGAGGAGCGGTGTGAGTTTGGTGGGGAAGGCAAGTTGATTGTCTTGCGATCAGAATCTTACCTTAGGCATGTTGACTATGCTCAGAGTGTTCTTGAATGTACAACTAGGATGATGTGAAAGTATGAAGGTCTAATGAATATGCAATGGCGAGCAATGGGGGGGGATGGAACGAAAACAGACCGAAAACAAAGTGCCCGAAAGGTGATGCCAAGACTTGTGCCCCACGTGCGGGCAACGGTAGGGCTGAATATTTACTTCTGCCAATGGCCCCTCGGGCCTTTCTTTTCATGTTCTTGACGACGTAAACGTTGATCCCACCGCTACTGTCCTCTGCAATACATCTCGTGCGTGTGGGAATGTATGTAGTAGTCCCCTCGTAGGCAGAGACTCAGATCAGAGCAGTGCTGATGGAGCGAGCTATTGAGAAGGATCTGACGAGGTACAGCAAAGGCCATCACGATTTGTCAAAGCGACGAGTGGCAAGCTAGCGAGCTACGAGGTACACTAATGGCTACATGGCTGGCTCTCATGAGCTATTCAGTGAGAAGAATAGAACATGGAAATGGTAAGGGGCGGACAGACAGTGTCCGTGTTTTGGTTATGTATATGTCTCGTCAACGCGTTCGGACCCCGAGATATTCATGTTCATTATAGACCCACCAAGCCTGGTCTATGTGAACGCTTTTCTATTTCAAAATCATCCCTATCTGTGATCTTTCAGATCTACGAGATACTTGATGGCTCCGTAGCAGCCAATTTCTCGTCGATAAACGAGCCTTATAAACGCAATCTTCAAGCTAGAGGTCGTAATATCTGGAGGCGAAGGATCCGCCCCGACTAAGGTGCTCGTAATTCTTCGCTGTCTTGAAGGTCAAATTCTTCGATCGAATTGATATCAACAGAAATAAGATCATTTTCAGGCCATCACTCTCGCTTTTGGCATCGCTTTCCCTGAACGTACCTGGGCAATCCTTTCTGGTTCATGTACTGAAAGTCGAAACCCGGAAGACCATAAGTGACATGCTCTCGCTCGCTCACGACTTGGAAATGCCCACATCACCATTCGCTCCATCATCTAGGGTCAGGTTCGTAGGTTTGCCATAGCATTCAAACGCTATCGGAAACAGCTCTGTCAACTTTCGGTACGGCACGCTTTTACTCTGGATGTTAAATCCTCCGAGGTCACTCCAGCTACTGGTATCCACGGGATCCCTGATCCTGATGATTCTCCCTACCCCAGAATTGTTCTTCCTCCCCTGCGATGATCTAACTTTCAGCAAGTCCAGAAGATCACCCAAAGCGACTCCGAGTTCACTCCACTCGATCTGCTCTATTGGTAGATGCATGAGGGATATGGTTTCCTCTCCCATACATGGAAATCCTTCAAAATGCAGAATGGCGTCGCCTGAAGTAACGTTTACATCGGAATGCGCGCCGCTGGGGGGAATTGGTGGTGGCCTTTGTTTTGCAGCCTCGGCCATGGCTGAAGCGCCTTCCTCAAGGGCTGTGAAGAGATCTCTCTCATCGATCATCGCTGGAACTAGAGGGCGAACGTTCTCAAAGTCGACCTCTATCCCTATGTACCTATCCCCACTGGGCCCACCGCATGACCAGAAGCTGCGCGTGGCGTTAGCTTCACACGCTGGAAAGATTCACACAAGACTTACTCTCCGCCGTAGAATGGCTCAGGGTCAAAGTCAGGTTTCAAATTTGAGTATGTACATCGGTTATTCGGTTCATTGACAGCCGGTATCTCTACAGTTTTATCCTTTCCTAAGATTTGGAGAAGTCTTCCTTCAGGTAGTTGACCCTGCCCAATCTCATTGTATACTGATAAGCCATGGGCGAAAGGAATGAAGCTGGTGATAATAGTCAAGAAAATTGTTGCATATGCAACCAGAACAGGGCACATGCTGCTGCAGGATCACCACCCTCGCGAACGGTGGATAAACAGGTGGCGAATGTGCCTTTAAGCATTGTGCAGGGTCACGCTGTATCTTGCGATGAATGAGTCGACGTCGCGCCTTAGCGCAAGACATGGCCACCCGGAGAGGAGCACGACGATTCATATTCAAATTCAGCTGCTGATTCGATGAGGCTTTTGACGCGTGAAGCGCCAATGATGGGCTGAAACGCTTTGATGACCAGAGTTTCCTGGTATGTCTCTAGCGAGGTGACACAGTCGGCGAGTTCCTAAGACACGATGCGCTCAAGCTCCCATGTTACGGCCGACAGACTTGCCACGATTATTACCCTGAGCATAGCTACCAAGGCCATCTTACATCTAATGGTTTCGTACGCTGGTCGGGTATTACTCAGAGTAAAGCAGCCTTCTTAAATACTGGCTTCTTAATCAAAAGAGCACGCAAACGATATGAGAACCTGATGAGACAAGACTTGAGGAGCTCAACGGCTGCTGGATATCTTTACTTTCATATCTTGTATTGCTCGATATGCATGCTTAGCCCCAAAATCGGCAGTCACGAGACGTTCGATCTTTCGTCTTGCATCGCACAGACTCCGCAAGTAAAGTTCGACTCTTTGAGTGCCTCAGAATAACCAAGTCCTCAAAGACTTCCTCGCACCATACTTCATCTTCAAAAGAAACCCAAGCAGTCGATCCGGAGCTCCACAGGTCGAGGTCTGTTGCAGAAATATACCTTTTGATTTTGTCTAGTCGCCAGAGCAAGCAGCAAAGACTCAGCACGCCGTATCCCAGTAGGCCTACCATCTACTCTTGTGGACACTAGGTGGACCTCTTCCTTACCCCCTTCCATCTTGTGGGCAGTGTTTTCGTGAGTACCCACAACCATTGCGCCCATGTGGAGCCACGTACCGAGAACAAATACTTCCCTTCAAGATTCATGTACTAAATTTGTATTTGCGTGAACCTAGGCATCGCATCATTTCACGCGATACGCGACTCACGGAACTCCTCAGCCTGATCGCCTTAGTACTAAGATTTTTGGGCTTCTCAGCCACAGGCGACTCTTCCACGCTCTGCCTCAATCATGTACGGCATGTGGGGAGGAGATACGAGGCTTGCTCGTCCCTCGACTACAGCTCGCGACACGAGGTGGACAGGGCTCTAGATCGCTCGATCTCATAGAATGAGTAAATCCCAAGACATCGCGTGGGACGGATTAAGCCTCAAGGCTACTGTCCGCTCGATCAAAAAGAGGGCGCAGTGCATGCGTTTGTCTTTATCGTTCTCCATTTCGTTGACTTACGGAAATGTATCCAGGCTGCTCTATCTCCCGTAGACAGAGAAGCGGCGCGAATCAACGCTACAAGACATACCATTTGACCTTGGAATCCGCGAGGCTCACTGTACACAGCCGTCTCGATCCCACGTATTCCACATGATACACCCCTCTCGTGAAGATCTGTTTTCTGAATGACATGCTCTTGGGATCTGTGGCATCGTAATCGTGTCTTCAAGGAAAGGATGGAAGCATAACACAATTCTGTATGAGATTGATCGGAGAGCCGCGACTCTATGCAAGTATTGGTTTGCCATGGGAGATGTTTTGCCGCCATCTGAATCTCATCATTGGACAGTGCTTCTAGAACCCCCTTCCATGAGAGGCGGCAGGATTCTGGAATAAACGCACAATCTGCTTCATTGTGCGTCAAGAAACATGGATTTTCTCCAAGTTATAGTAGAAACGAACGTTTGAAGAACATTCAGACTGCAGAGAAAGATCTCGTGTCGGATGCGCAACGGGCGACATACTGCCTCCCAAACGACGCGTTTACCACACGAAAATATCCGGCCGTTGTCAAAATGAGATGTCATCGGCACTGAGAACCACATTAGGTATCTCACTGCTTGCAGAGGCCTCATTATCAATCGAAATACCAAATTCTTGAGCACGGCTTCGACTGCCACAAACGCTGAGACACTGGTGCGGCTATATGCACAATATCTTATTGAGCCATGCCCTGCTATGCGACCAGCTTCCCAAAATAGTAATTCAGCGTTTGAACTAAGTCCCACCTTCCCGCGAAAATAACCCGCCTTGGTTCTGACTTCGTGTCTGCATGTCTTATGCTTCTCCTAAGGCTTAGCTGGCATATTCGATATTCAGGGAGACGAACAATGACTAGCGGGCGCAGCCGTCTCCACATCTCATCTGATAGCGACTGAATACTTTCCGGACTGGCACTCACTGACTTATGCAGCTAGGCAGTAGATGATGTTGTTGAGAATGCTGATTGCTTGGACCGGTTCGAAGAAAAATCCATCTCGTACTTGCACGGGAGGATACGACTTTACATCTCTCAACAGAAAGGCATAAGAGTCTCGTATCCTAGACGACAAGGCAACCTTTTGCCCAGCACGCGGAGAATCTACAGTATTGATATCGACCCTTACAGCTCATCGACGCTCCACTACTACAGTACACCCATGGCTCACTTTCTTTCGAGCAAAAGTATCAAACCGACGGAAGAACATGCCATCATGTCGTCGCAGGCAGGCGTATCCCTAATCGCAACCAATGTTTCCTTCGGCGTGATTGCAGCTTTGTCGGTCGCCTTGAGACTGCAGATCAAGAGAACTAGGTCCACGGCCTTCCAAGCTGACGATTATTTAATTCAAGCCGCGTTGGTAATATTCGCGACATCTGAACTGTCGGAATGCCGTTGATCGCTATTGTATAGTTTGTTTCCATCGGACTGGTCCTGACGAATTTCATTGGCGTCTTTGTCGGAGACCTCGGCGATCCCTTTGAGACGCTGTCGCCTGAGAAGCAGGTGGTTTACATGAAGGTACTAGGATTAGTACTCGATCCCCTAACGAATCTACTGATGCTTAAGAGTAGTTCGTATTCGCCTTTCAAATCTGGTATCTCACCGCCGTGGCGTTGGTCAAGCTGTCCATCTTAAGCTTCTTTGGGCGATGCTTCTCCACCGGACGATATCCAGTTCTAGTCTTGATCATGCTAGGAATAATAATTGCCTGGCTGATAGCCTTCTTCTTCGCGACCCTCCTGCAATGGCTGCCAATCCAATGCAATTGGCTCCCTTGCGAGCCCAGACCGGCCTACCCGATCATGTATATCTGTCTTTCATTCTCGGACGTCCTGATGAACCTTATCATACTGTGTCTCCCCGCTTTTTACATCAGAAGGCTACAAATGAAGAGAAGAATGAAAATTGGTCTAATATGTATCTTCGGACTTGGTGTTTTGTAAGTTCCTTGATAGAGGTCGTCCTAGACTTTGTGTTGAACCATGCCCCAGTTGTGTCACATCATCCGTTGCGCGTCTCGCATACGCAATCCAATTCAAGCGATCGTTCGTTCGGTTCGATATCCCTTTTGACGGTACGTAGCAGTCTGAAGAGAGTCTCTCGACTGCATGCTTATTCAACAGTATCTACGGTCAACATGATGATGTGGTCGGGCATCGAGGCCTGTGCCTCAATAATCTGCGCAAACCTACCATGTTACGGAGCCCTCCTCAATGTCGCAAAACGTCCCATTGCAGAAGACAGTCCGCTCAGCCAAAGAGGCGCGCCTGGAAATTCCACATCACAATCCTCGTCAACACTGTTCTCCATTGGCAACTGGCAATTCGCAATTTCGAACGACAAGATGGTGGTCTCTCCTCAAGACCACCCCGCTGACTTCACTCCTGAATTCCACGGCAGCAAACAAACCTCTATCCGTAAATCGCACCCAAGAAACATCCACGAACTTCAAGGCACGAAACCTCTCGAAGAAATGCAGGGCCTTAGGTCCCCCACTTTCCACGAACTACCCAGTGGCCACAGCACCAGCCCCAAATTTATCCATGAGCTTCCCAGTGCCGACACCCGCTCGTCTCACAGCAATTGGCCTTCTTGGAAGTCATCCCCCACGCTCTACCTGTGGCGACGATGGCGAAGCTGGCGGAAGTCTGAGTATAGAGATACTACGTGGTCGTTTGAGGGAAGGGAGACTTCTCATACCCGGTGTTGGAGCAATGGGGACTGTCTCAAGGAGGTGGTTATGCCGCCTGAAGGCCAGATATCGAGGAAAAGTACGATTGTTGTTAGGCAGGACGTTGAAAGGGGGGTTGATGAGCCGATGCCGTCTAGTGAGGGCAGGGAGTCGCAGTCAGAAGGGTTGAATGTGCAGTCTGGATGGTTTTGACGCGGTGTTTACCGCAGTACTATTCGGTTAAGCTGGGAACATTGTAAAATATGGACTGCAGCCCCATGCAAGGTGTGTTCGCCAAATGGAGACGTGTCAGGCCCGCCACATTCCACGGTCACGTTCAGCATCAAAACAAACCCTATCCTTGCAGAATCTTCCGGCATCACTCTTGACTGATAGATCGAGAACATCATCCTTCAACGTCTACATCGCATCAAGGAATTGCGAGAAATCCAAATAGATTACCGCACCGCTGAGAAGGAGAGAAAAGGCCAATATGAAGCTCTCAAGCTTGCTCAGTCTTGCTTGGTACATTATCTCGATGCTCTACCCTCGAGATACACGCTCACTACCTATCCAGCGTCTTCACCATCACTCACCTCACGACCGCCATACCCAATAAGCCAGCTAGCAAATCGCACTCCCCCTCCTCATCCCACCACACCCCCACTCCACCAAAATCCACGTCGACACGACCAACTCACCCTCCTCCTACCCACCCAGAACCCCAAGCTCGCTCTTCCTCCAGCATACACCACGCCTCAACCCCTAAAATGAAAACCTCGACATCAAAACCACCACACCCTCCCGCACCTAAAAGCGCATCTCCTCCTCCCTCGCACCATCCAACGACCCTGAAAATCAAAACATCAACGCTTCACCACCCACCCCCAACACACCACCCCAGTCCACCACTTCCCCACCCTTCCTCTCACAAAGCATCCCCAACACCTCCGCACAAGACGTCCTCTAAATCCCCACCGCCCAAGTCAACTCCCACCAAAAAGAGCTCCACAATCCACAAAACGTCCCTAACACCTCAAACCCCCAAGAGCACTCCCCACCCATCAGGCCATCCCTCTCGCCTCGCGCCCAGCAGCAGCACCAGCAGCACCTCCTCCTCCTCTTTTAATCGCCCACCCCCACCTCCACCTCCACCCCGTACCACGACAACAAAACCCACGACCTCACACCCCGCCCCCGCCCCTCCCGCACCCACGAACACGCACCCCACCACCACGTCCTGCCCCTCCCCCCTTCCACAGCAGCGGCATTTGTCCCACAATAACCACCACCCTCACAGCCACACCCACGAGTTGTCCACCGCCACCACCAGGGTGCCCGCACCCGGACGCACAGCCACAATGCGTGATCGTGACCACGACCACGGTGCCGGGGTATTGTCCCGTGCAGCCGCCTACTACGACCGTGACGGGGACGGGGACGTGTGTGGTGGGCTGTGGGGGCGGGAGAGGGGGTTGTGAGGTGCGGACTGTTAGTGTGAGGGGGGGTTGTTAGGGGGTGGGGGAAGGTAGGGAGAGGGCAGGGTAGGGAGATTTGCGGTAAGTAAGTGAGTAAGCGAGAGATGAAGGAAGGGAAGGGAGAGGGGCGTGATGGTAGGAAACGCCAGCACAGCACTACGGGGCGGGGGAAAAGCGAGAGGGGATACTGGAAGGTTTCATGGGAGCAGTATACCGAAACGGAAACGGACGAGTTTGATCTGGTCTGGTCTTGATTGAAGGATGAGGTAATGGAAGGTTCTGAGCATGCATGCATGCGGGCGGGAGAAAGACGTGGGACTGCTCTGTTAATCTTTGTTGAGGGGGAGTAAAGAGGGTTGATCTTCATGGCATGGCAAAAGGGTAAACCATGCTTGATATAGTTACAACGATTGCTCCTCGAGCGAGAAGAGGCTTAATCGATAGTCATCACCAACCCCCGTCGCCCCTTCCACCCCATACAGAATCTCTCACATCTTCAATTCTCTTATCACGCCAAACCCTCCCCCTTTCCCCCACATCCCCTTTTCATCACCCACGCTCCCCCCCCCACACAAAATCACCGTTTCTTCTTCCCCTTAGTCTTATCAACCACCTCGACCCACCCGCGATCCACCCCCTCTTCTCCAACGCCTTCCCCACAACCTCCCTCTGCGGTCCCTGCACCAGAACCTCCATGACCGGCTGTTTCGGCGAGCTGCCCGCCAACTGCCCCACGCTCGTCGAACTCGCACAGCTCTTCTGCAGCTCCTCCGCCAACAATCTTGGCTCGATGTAGAATGCCTCCAGACCAGACACTTTCGTCACTGTCTTATTCCCTGATCGTGTCTCCAATGAGATGAGGACTTTGGGCGGATGGCCGGCTTTGGGCTTGGCGGTGTCGCGCGTGTCAGGGGCGCGGATGATGGCGTAGAAGGGCGTGCAGGATTCGCGCACGCGGTCGATCAGGGCGTCCCGGGGAACGGTGCCTTTGGCTATGACTTCGCGGTCGAGGGAGGAGGAGCTGTCGAAGATGGCGTTGGCGAGGAGGGGGTTGAGGGTTACGAGGCGTTTGTTGGTGGTAGAGATGAGGTTCTCGGATTCGATGTAGGTGGTTGTGATTTGCCGGAGCTCCGGGGGGAGGTAGAGGGATTTTGTGCTGGAATTTGCGGAGGAGAATATTGGAGCGAGAGAGTCTTTGGGGCGGTAGAGGATGAGTTTTTGCAGGCGCTGGTTGATGGAGGGGTCGGAGTTGGGGTTGGTGGATGATGCGATGGCGTTGCCGCCGCCTCCTCCGCCTGAGTCCGCGCCTGGGGTGTCTTTCTTTGGGAGGCGGTAGGGTGTGAAGGTAGTGATTGCCCGATCTTCGAAGTCAACATCGAGGATGACGCATTCTCCACCGTCTCGCTCTTTACACTTTATCAATTGTGCTTTGCCGAGAGCTTTCATGAATTTCTTGAGATTCTTCCAGGTGGTTTTCTTGATGTTCAAGGCTGCAGCTTGTGCGGGCGTATGTATTGGGAGATAGGGCAGAATCAAGTTGGATAGAACGAGGGACTGAGGTATTGGAAAGTTCAGGCCGTAATTTGGGTCCTCCCTGTGTTTTCTCTTAGTATCATACAGGCCAAAAACGAAAGCTTGCCAGAAGGCGTCGTTAATATCTTCTGTTTTCATTTCCGGCTCTTCGATCTTTTCGAAAGGTTCTATATCTTCACCTTCGACATGCTCGTTCTGCTTCTTGGTTGGCAAAGCTGTTGGTAGTGCAACCCCGCCTTGGTCCTCTTGGTCATCCTCATCGTCGATATCGAGTTTCTGAGCAGCGCCTTCTAGACTCTCCGTTTTGTCTTTCTCCAGCCACCCATCTATATGCTCTGGTGGAGGCGCACCGGGTTTGCCGGATGTTGACCAAGCCCATAGTTCATCGCCCTCCCAGTGCTCAGTTCGTACTGCGTGACCTTTTGCACCCTGTACATTTCCTAACACTGCAATATCGATCTCGCAAACTCCAATCGCTATAGGAACACTCGGCCGTTCGAGGCTAGCGACAGCGACGACTGCATCCCTCGTAGCTCGTGAGGGGAAGGGCGGTCCATTAGCCAGACCCGGCGTCATCAGAGGGGCACCCGTCTGGAGCTTCTGCAGGACGAAGTCTGGTGTATGAAGGAGGGCACATATTTGAGGATTCTTCCATAGCGTGTAGACTGCCACCAAATCAGCCTCCTTATCATAGTCTTATTCGTGAGACTGACTCGTGGGCATCAACCTCTCTTCGACCTTGAACCACAGTATCCTCTGCTCTTCACCCGGATGAGCTCCAGCGTAGATAGTGCCTGACACTTGGTTGAGATCAGGTCCTGCGGTCGTGGTGAACCGTGCTGAGAGGGCATTTTCCGGAAGAAGCGAATTTCGTAGAGCGGTCAGAGTGACTGCGGAGTCTGGTTGCTGTGTGCCTGTGTCTTCAACACCTTGCTCTTCATGCTTGGGTACTTCAATGTCAAAGTCTTTGATAAGCTGGTCTGCTATCTTGCGACGGTCAGAAGAGCGTAAAGGCGCCAATGGCTTGATCTAGGCTCGTCAGATCGCGTCGTGATTTCAGAGTCGCAAAGCCATACATTTGGCTTCTTCTTGAACATTGCGATGCCTTGCCGGGCTAGCTATCGAAGTCTCCCTCGTTTGACGAACGAAGAGAACCGCCGAGACCGTGTTGATGATCAAAAGCAAAGCAAGTAGTCAGTATCCAATTCATGAAGGCCCACATCCTAGGGTATGACGTAAGGCGTTGGAGAGTCTTGGCGGCACTTTCGGGGCGTCTCTAGGGAGATAGGGGGCCCACCACTATTCTACTATATGGCAAGAACCCTGCCCCAATTCCTCAACCTCTCCCCTGCAAAGAATTATATATAATTTATTTTGTGTTTCATTTTACGAAGAAGACACTCTGGCCGAGTGGTTAAGGCGACGGCCTGCTAAGCCGTTTCATTCGTGAGCACAGGTTCGAATCCTGTGGGTGTCGATTCGTTTCATTTTTGCTTTTTGCTGCTTCTTGATTGGATCGTCTCCCTGCCTGCGCCTTTTCAGTTTTATTTCTTGACGCGATGGAGTTGGATGAAGTGGGGGAAGGGGGGAGGGGGGGAAGTTGGGCGGAGATGGGCGAGGGGGGCGGAATCAGCAGAACTGGCCTAATTGGGCTTAGCGTTATTGACCTATGAGCCTTGGTTGTCTTGTATAGCTTCCTACCTTCGTCTATGAGATCAAGCATTTATCTACGCATCATATCATATGGTATGAGCCCACTTAGAGTCCGAGTCTCTTGGTTAGATTTCGCAATGATTCCGAAAATCTCTAATCAAAATTATATAGATTTCATCATGTTCCGTCTAGCATTCGGGTCTTCTCCCCAGCATTCACGACCCCCACCCCCTCAAAGTGTCCATTTCCACCACCACCCTCATTCCTCTCAGCCACCAGACTTGGAGTCCCATGTTCCTCAGCCCTTTGCGCGCTACGATACCCATTCTTCTCAAGCCCAGAATTTTCTCCACCCGCGAATTCCAGCATCTCCCCCTTGCGGGTGACAGGCACAGCGTCCGCCCCCCACTCCAGTGTCCCTGCCCAACAGCTTCATAACCCTGCCTCTGCAACTGCAATGTTGCGTCCCTAGCCCAATTTTGCCTCTTATAATCATTTCTACCACAGCGGTTCCTGCACCAGCCCACCACCGTATCCAGAATGAGGGCCGTCAAGATAAGAAGGCCACCAAGAACGAGGATGATAGAGACGCCGAGGACGGAGAAGGAAATGTAGCCACTTGCGCTGCGGATTTTCTGGCGTTCACAGATGGTTTTCTCGCCTTTGACGAATTCGAGGCCTTGGGAGCTGTAGGAGGGGCCGGTGGCGTAGTTGATGATCTCTTGCTGCATGCGCGCCATCGAGACAGCGAAGAGGTTTGTGACTTCGATTGTCCATTGGTTGTCTGGAAGGCCGATTTGGGTAAAAGTCGAGCCGCTCAGTGTGTCTGTAACTCTGAGCGAATTGGCGCCGCGACTTTGAACGTTGTTGTATGTGCGACCATTCACCATCGTGTAGAAAATGTCGGTCAAGGTGAACGCTTGGACTTCGTTGAGGAGTAAATTGCGCGATTCGTTTTGCAGAGTCGAGACTGCGGTGAGGTTTGTGCATTTGTTGTTGACGGGGTTGCAAAGCTGGAATTGGTCTGCGCATGCCAGGACGCCTACGGTGTAGTCTGGTAGGTAATTTGTCATATTCAGGTCACCAGATGAAAGATTTGTGGGCGTTGTGGCGTGGAACCATGGATCGTAGACTGGCGATAGATAGGAGACTGTGTTTGGGGCGAGGAACATTATTGTTACGTCGGCATCAGTTCGATTTAGTTCGGGAATAGGGTACCAGGTCTGTTGCGCCTGTCCCGAGTAGGAAACAAAGGGGCTAGTGAAGTCTTGTCAGTTACGCGAATAATCATACTAAAGAGACTACTCACACAAGTGCGTAGCCGGATGTACCGACATTACCATGAAGGTTGTATATGAATGTTGTGTTTGCAGTCCCCTCATCGATCGAGGCCCCGAAGCCTCCGAAAGTGTAGCGTGCAATACGGACAGGATCGCCATTCTCATCGGTTTCGTTTGTTTGGTAAGCATGGTCTTTGGTATGAAGGACGGAGCACGTCGTAGCCTTCCGATGCTGCAACCGGTCCAAGCGTTTGGAGTTGATCCCTAAGTCATAGTGAGAATCGATAAGACCGCTCTCGATTTTGAATGCAGATGTTGGGCCATCCCAGCATAGATCCTGATCGAATGGGCATGAGACATTGGCCGTAGTCGTCCATGGTATCTTTGCCCGCGGGTATTGATTGCATTGCAAAGCATCCTGAACGCTTCCATAGCATGCTCGTGAGTATGCATCCGCTGCAAGGGTTTCATTCGCCTCTTGAGCATTAGCCGCCAGTTCGTTGACCGGATTTGATTCGGTAGGTGACAAGTCAGGCAGCAAGTACCCGCAATTGGATGATCGAACGAGAGTTTCATTACCAGCGGCCTTCGCGACTTCAGAAGAGAAGACACCAGCGGCTGCGAACAAAGTCATGTTGCAGACTGCCAAAACAATATATGGTAAGTTTTGCATGAGAGGGCTGTCGGCAATCTTCCTCCAATACCAGGATAGCTGAGTCAATTGCCATGCTGCTGCCCCTGGTGTACTGCTGTTGCGGAAGATCGCTTGCTGTTGGTGATGGATTGCGTCATGAGGACTTGGTTGTGTACGGTACTGATGGATTGCGAAACTCAAGATACGCCAGCACGCCGCACCAGCAGCTGTAACAAAAATACCCAAGAACGCTGTGAGGAGGCTGCCATTACGCTGCGTTAGGGTAATCGTTGATCCTAGTATGGCACCCCGAGACCAATTTATCCATGGTCCGGTATAGATTTCGGATCCAGAAGCACTTGACATAGCTCAGATGTTGTTTTCGAGCAGCACAGCCTTGTTGGCCGTATTGTTGTCCTATGAGGAATCGAGCCAGGTATGATGGCTTGCATGGTGCCCGGGCGAGAATTTACCCCGATGAACGGTTCTGTACAAATCTTGCGAACGCTGATCAAGTGGGTACCGTCATTGGTCAAGCGGCCACCCACACGCAATCTAGTCACTTTTGTGGCTCTTTGATAGCGTGTACGTGTCGAGGCTAACCGCGACTATGCCTTGTGGGTAATAATGAGGCGTTTCCAGGCCAGATTCGTCTTCCGCCAAGGAGCTTATGCAAGAAGCGTGGTAAAACCTACCCCCTTTAACGTCTGAGGTCCGTGCATTTCCAGATAGGCGGTTTGTGGTGCCGATCGATTGCCGTAATGGATGTTGTCAGCTGTCAACGCGAAACGGAAGCCTGGGTATGGTGAAGGGTGCCAGCGCCGCTCCGGAGCGTGCAACCTTTTCCAGGAAGGAAGCTCCACACTATCGATCGCTAGCTTTCGTCTCGACTTCAGGTTCCGTCGTGGGGATTCAGCATGTTGTCTTGACATGGGCTGCAAGGAGTTCAAGAATGTGGACGTGAGTGATACCTAAAGGTCAGAGAAATAGGATTATTACAATCCTGTGGTTCTCAACCTATTGAAACCCTGGGCCTAATCCTGGTCCATTTGTGTCGTCAGCAGCATGTTTCGAAGGCCACAGTAAAAGGTCGCCTTTGATCTCGCAATCTGTGATCCTTTAGACCTCAATGTCGGGCGTGCGACATGAGCTATGTGTAACGCCGACCTGCCTTAATCATTAAAATTGCCTTCCTTGAGTGCCTTTCAGCAGCGTTAGATGGAAGGCTAGAAAGAAGCCAGGTCCTGTCCGTTATCGACCTGCAACCCCTTCGCGGTCTCATTACCCACGTTTTGCCCCACGCCCACCCATACAAGCCTCGTCCTCACCGCATAAAACGCCGTCCTATCCCTCCTCCTCGAGATCAAAAGGTCCAAATCCGCCGGCATCCGCATATTATACAACTTCGCCAGTTCTTCAAACGCGTCCAGCACAACGCTTTTCGGCAACTTCTCCATAAAGAACCCCCTCTTGTTGATTTCAATCTCGAATCTCGTCAGAGTCTCCATTTCATAGAAATTCTCTCTTGCACTTGTCGGTGTGAAGGTTCGCCCCGGGATTTCGTCGTCGAGGTTGGAGGCAAATGAGCGGATGAAGTTCGCGAATTCGGAAGAATGCGGGACTGGTTCACGGATTATGGGGTAGATGCGCGTGAAGAGGAGACCGTAAGGGTGGCCGCCGGAGGAAAAATAGTAGCAAGTCAGCGGAGGGACCGGGGGCCAAAAGATCCTGGAGACTGGAGTTGTTGTGTTTAGAGTGATCAGCGCGTTTTGAGGATCGTCACACGGATAGCTGGTTTCGTTGACGAGTGGATCGGCGAGGGCATGAGGAGTCAAGAGTGTAATCAGAGAGAGCAGGGCGACCGAGAATGAGTTGTGATGCATTGCGCGAATAGGTCGAGAAACAAAATTCCTTCTAAGGCCGGTTGGATGCAGGTTTAGAGGATTGGCAGATGGGTTGCTTCGATTTAAAAGAGTCCGATGAGCAAGTATAGGCCGTGCTTAGACGCGCCTTCAACGGCGGCTATGGCTTGGGATGAGACGTTCTCATTGCCCTCCGTGATGTAAGACAAGAACGTCCTGCGCTAAGACACTTGCTCTTTGAGTCCCTCAATTTGAAAGACATCCGTCAAGACTTAGAATTCCTGATTTAGGGATGATCCATGAGCGTGTCGCGGCCAGTCCAGAATCTTCAAGAGCGATTCTGAGCCTGAAGTCGGTCATCATGAAAGACGTCCCGTCGGATGATACCGCGTTTATACCTTTGACATTGTGCATGACAACGGCACGTAGTCCACTAGAGTGACTGTCCGACTTATGGGACAAGCAATTGACCACCTCGAGGACGCGTCGAGAGACAACGAATGCACGATATCCGCCGGACTCAGTACTCATTCTTAGAACCCATCAAGGTCAAAAGCCCGCATGGCGACTCTGCAGAAGAAAGACACTCACCTTCTGTCTTTGATAAGGGTTCAGCACCGCCGACACCAGCGACCGTACTCTCTTCCATGATAGCCACCCCATTACTAGTCCCGATCCTCGAGGCTCCAGCTTCTACCATGCCCATAAGATCTTTAAACGTCCTGACGCCACCACTAGCCTTCACCCCCACCCCTCCACCCGGAGCAACAGCTTCAACAACCCTCCTCATCAACCTCACCACCTCTACCGTCGCCCCGGGACCACAAAACCCCGTGCTCGTTTTCACATAATCTGCACCCGCCAAGACCGCAACGACACAGCCCGCAACAATTTCATCCTCCGTCAATTGCGAAGTCTCGAGAATCACTTTGAGTAACGCGGGCGTGGCTCGCTGAACAGCGGCAATGTCATCGAAAACCTCCACGAATTTGCCAGCCTTGAGGGCATGATAGTTCATGACCATGTCGAGTTCGATGGCGCCGGCTTCCCAGGCGGCGGTGGCTTCCTCAACTTTCAGGGGGTGGAGAAAGTGCCTTCGGGGAAGCCGATGACGCATGCGACGCCGATTTTAGCGATAGCCAGCTGGGTGCTGGCGCATTTGACCCATTGCGGGCGGACGCAGACTGTGCAGAAGGAATGGCGTTTGGCTTCGTCACAGAGGCGATCGATCTGGTCTTTGGCCGCGTCGGTTTTGACGAGAGTGTGGTCGATGAGGTTTGCGGTTGCTGGTGGGGTGAGGGGCGGTTTTCCTGGTGTAGTATTGGGGTTGGATTGAAGGCGTGATCTTACTTCAACAATCCTCTTTTGAAGGTCTACTTGGGAGACCATGATCATAGGTACTCTGACGGGTCGATAGATTGGTGGAATGTGAGGTGATGGACGCGGATTCTCAGCGCTAGAGATAATGCCAAGCCGCTAATTAAAAATTACAGTATCGAAATAAATCTTTTCTGTGGAAGCACTTGGATTCTCCTTCAGAGGTTGTTGACGATTTAAAGCGTCAGCAGAATTGTACAGGATGCAATCTCAGTTCCGGAGGTTCATAAGAAGACAATATTACCACCAAGCCACTTGCATTGAAACTATGTACAAGTAAATGTTTGCCTCGCAACCACTTTCAAGAAATCAACGATGTCTTGCTGAAGTCAATCCAACATAACGCTAGCTCCTGTCTTGTCGGAGGTCGCCTCCACGTACAATGGGATTACAAAAGACCAGCAACCCAATTGGCGGCATCCGCAGCGTTTTGCCCGTAGCTTGTGTGAGCAGGAGTGATCTGATAAGTGCGTGGAGTACCACAGACGCCGTCACCTTGGGCACAATACTCTTTCAGATTGGGAATATTGGTGACTGGCGAACCATTTTGTGGATCACCGAAGATGACCGCTGAAAGTCATAATGTATTAGCTGTGGTCTGGTACAAGATGGCATGGGTCAGGCCTACCTCCTGCCGGTGCATTTGAGGCAAGCGAAGAGCCGGCTTTGTGGACAACGAAGCCTCCCTGAGAATAGCCGGACAGAACAATCTTGGTCTTGGCGCACTGCTGGCGAGCTTTGGTCGCTAGATTCGTCATCAAAGTTCCACCATTTCCACCTTGATTGGCGTTCCCCTGGAGAACCTGTCATCAGCCGAGTGAAATGTTTTCCAATGATCCCTTTACTTACCGCATAGTCAGCAGCATAAGGAACGCCCTGATAAGCGACTCTGTCGGCGCCGAGCTTCGATTGAAGAGCTTTGAGTAAGGGGGTCCAATCACTGCGCCGATGTTGCCAGGTTCGCTGGTACCGCGAGCAAAGATGACTGTGAGATCTCTGCACACGCCATCGTCGACGTCGGTGGCAGAGCTGGACCCTCCACCATACCCACCACCACCACTACCACCTCCACCCGGGAAGGTTGGAGGCCAGGAGAATTGTGGAAAAGCTACTGGAAACGCGGAGGTTGCGGCCGCAAGCAGCAGTAAGCTAAGCATCCCGGATGCTTTCATGTTGAAAGAAAAAGTATGTAAAGAAGAAGCGAAGAGTGGAAGGTCAATGAATGTCTGTCTGAGCGGAGAGAAGAAGATGGAAAATAATGAATGCGTTGATTGTCGAAGGCAAAGACGGAGCAGGAACAACATCTTTATATCAAACGCCGAGCGTCCAAGCCAATGACTTTCCAACTAAGTTTACGATGTTTGAGACGAGTCACAGCCATAGCTCAAGGCTCATGGTCCATGAACACCAAGATTGACGAATAGGAGTCGTGTCTGAAGTGCCGAAGCCGAGGAATGTGATATATACAAGGTATACAATGAACTCTCTCCACACTTGAGTGCCGAGATATTAAGAGTGACAGGGGATCCTGACCTAAAGATCTTGCTTGAACAGTGACACGAACTGTCGACCGGGGTCTCGGCTATTGCAGTGTCAATCGCACGACCATTCAATCTGCAAGATAGATGTCACTGTCCCTCACTTGTAACACACAGCAAGATGCCTTGGTCAAGCCTACCTTCAACATCCAGCGAGTACAGACGCAATATCTCGGACTGTCTTATGGTCCAGATGTGATATTGAAGATGAAACAATATCAATCAAGCTAGATGTGATCAGGGGCGAAGGCGCGGCGCCACTGTGGCATTAGCACATCCACCATCCCGAGCTGCCCGATAGGGCTGCCTTTCTCCAAATCTCCACATCTGTGAGGAGATTTGGCAAGTCTTCACGGCTCACCCTTGCCTAGAGGTGCCACTAGCAGCCCCTGATGACTTCTAGACCAGGAGCAACTAGATATTTATTTACCCCGCCTCCTGTCATTCATAGCCTGACAGCTGTACAAACCCGGTTCAGACTTGTCCATACGACTGCAATATGACACGACAAAAGCTTGAAGTGTGGCGAGACTTCCAACCCTGCATAAGCGCCTTTGAGGCATGGATGCATTATGCATATACGTCACGTCACTGGCGGTCGGAGACTTCGGCAGTCAGATCGCTATCACGAACTTGCAGCAATCAGAAAGCAGCATACATTATTTCAACCTTGAGGTGGTCATCCATGGTGCAACAGGCTTACTAGAACATAGCCTGGGGATATCGGTGCTTCAACAACTGACATATAAGTCTGACACCTGACATCTGACGTCCGATCTGACATTCCCATCTGTCAAACTGCCAGATCTTGCTATCCGCAAAGACCCCACGCACGACCTCAGCCAAAAACGCAAGTCTAGGCGCTTTTCGCGGCTGCACGGCCGTTGGAGCCGTTGCGCTCTGCATACATATGCGTAAGCGAGGTCCGTGATGCAAAAAGTTACTTCAACCCTTTCCCTCCTGTTCAACCACAACGAATACCGAGCACGAACCGCTTCATCGTCATCTACAGGCTTCCAAAAGTCAGTTCCGTCGAGTGAGACATAGAATTAAGACTGACATGACTCGGCCATCTCCACCTCGCCTCCATCCCCTCTCAATATCGACTGGGGGATTTGATGCAAGATACTGGCGGCCCAAAGAGGAAATGGCCCGATAGTCATGTGCGTAAAGTATGCTGCTGACGCCCGTTGCCATCGTACCCGAGCTCCACTGCCGATTCGGCACTCTGTCATGAATATCCTCTTACAATACCTGTTTTGCCAGAGGCGTAATCTGACCAGCAAGCCATGGACGCAACACCATCAATGTCATTCAACCAAACAAGCTACCAATACTCGATCCTTCCATCTCATCATCAGTATCCTGCTTCAATCCTTGACGCTCTTGCCTAGCTGCAGCTTCCTTCGCCGCTTGCAGGGATCTCTTAGCATCCTCCAACAGGAACTTCGACCTTACGTGCCACCTCCCGTCGTCATCATCAATCACGAAATATCGATCACGCACTCCCCTAATAACGCGCCTCATCCGTCTGCGTTCCTTCCTGCCCAAGAACACAAAACGCACTTCCTCAATATCTTGTTTGAGTCGTTCCTTCAAACCCTTCCATTCTCGAAGCCTGATCAGGTCCCCAGCCCCAGCCCCAGCCCCACCCCCGGCCCCATGATGAAACACGCCGCATCGGTCGGCAGCAGCATACCACTTGAGAGCAAAACGCACATTCTCGTAGACCAACCCCGTTCTCATGCAGGCGAGTCTCAGGCGATCTCTAGTCGGCCAGTTACGTGGACATCCTGCGTTCCTCCACTCCTCGCTATGTCGCTCTTCTTCGCATTGCAACACCGCATCGACTTCTTGAAAAGTCTTCCCCTCGATGCGGGTCGTGAGATCTTTGCAACAGGCCTTGTTTTTGAATCTTGAATAGGATTCTGCTGCGAAATCCCCGTATTGGGCATAAAGGCGGGCCTTCTCGAGCTCAAGTAAGGCTTCGTCTAGTCGACGTTCTTGTTCGCTGGGATATCGTGGCTTTCGAACAATGGTGGCGTCTACGGCTGGGTTGTGGGAAGGGGATTGTATTCTTGGTGGACATGAGAGGGACTTTGGTCGCGTTGATGGAGACATACTTCTCTGGGAAGTAATTGAGAACTTTTAGAGTGGAGGGCTGTAAGAATGATTTATGCAAATGTGGTTAGAAACAAGTCTGTGAATCTGGGAGATGGGGGTTTGTGGATGAGAAAATATGCTTTGTGACTCATTTAACACTCCACATGATGGCTTAAGCCACTAAGCGAAGGTTAGGGGTTCTTTCTCTGGCGTGCGATACTACAATGCAGTTCTATTGCAGGTTTCTATCGATATACTCGAGGATTACACATTGTGGCAGTGCCCTTCACGCCTCTTGGCGAGAAGCAGTCATAGGTCTAATTCAAGCTGCTTTGGCCAGTCGTCGACAATGGAGCTTGTCGCAGAGCCTGCCAAAACTTCCTGAGCCAAATTTGCAGTCTCAGTGAAGCGAAGCTGTAATTTTTTGGTCCGCGTTTCTTTATTGATGGCATGTATATTGGCGCTATCCCTTAGCCGCAGACCTATTCCTCATGCGCTGCCTTATTCTTTGAACAAGCGTAAAGTTCTCCAGAGAGAACTTTTCGATTTTTTCCTGGTCTCGTGGAGGCCAGGATCGGGGGCGTATTGCCTTCCCCCTGTCACTATTGCCACAGAAAAGGTCCCAGAGTAAATGGCGGGCCAGATATGGAAACGATTTGACAATTTTTGACCGGCAAGATTGAGGGCAATCGCGATGCTTGTATACACTACAAGCTTGAGTTAAATCGAGTTGCTCTTCGTCTTGCTTTCCATCAAGTACGCAGCTCGATGAATCGATTCCCTCTTGATCCAATAGAAAGGCGCGCCGTCTCTTTAAATTGCTACCTCCGTCATTCATATATGAATAGTTCATAGCACTTGAGACCGCATCGTTGCTTGTTGTTGATGAATTCATCGATCCAAGCCCACAACTCCAAAGGCAGGCATCCCACATTGGCTGAAATTCGATAAGATTCGCCCAATCACAGGGTCTGTAACCACTATAGTCTTCAGAATTCAAGTCGCATCCAAAAAGACAGAGCAGTATGATCCCTTCGGAGACAAAGTCTACTACTGCAAAATATTTGACCGCAAAAGCGTCCACCAAATCCTTCAATGGTCTAATATTAGACTCACGTAGACTTCCTAAAAACGGTGGCGAAAGTAGGAGCAGATGGTGAAGCATGTGGCAGCCACCATCGTCAATTTCGCTAGGGTCTGCACCAGCAAGGAGCACTAGCAACAACCGAGACAAGCGGCTTTCAAGCAAATTAGACAATTCCTGTCCTTCTAGCGGCTCAGTGAACACCGACTGTTGAACGGTGAGCAGCAGTAGTTGAAAATTATTGACCCCGTTCTCATCTTGAAAGTGAAGATTAAAACCAACTCCTTGTAAGACTCCTAGCCAATCGAGAGTTATGAGCATGGCATCAGCCTCGTCTTGTGCGATAACGAAGGTGTCCATGATTTCTCTCAGGGCCGCAGACCATCCCGTTTGAACATACTCGACACCTTGTCGCTTCAGTAGTGCTCTCAACATCGGGACGCTTGTACGCTGGTAGTGTTCCAAATTATCCGTCTTAGATGCAATTCTGTGTGTATATATTAATACTGCTATGTCTAGACCAGTCCAACCAAATCTGCTTCTATCAGCATACATTTCACACGTTTCCTGTGCGTGCTTCACCTATCGGCCACATAAGGGTCTGCACCTTGAGAAAGCAGATCTTGCACTACGTCAATGGAGCCCCTCAATATTGCTGCCTACCATTCTATAAGTGTGTGCGATCATTCTGCATCACATATGCAACAGTTGATTGACACACCTGTAGAATTGTGCCTCCAGAGCTTACGTCGCGATCCGATAGAGATACCGCTCCGGTAGAGAGCGCCATTCGTACGCCGTTGACATCGTTAGCCTCTATAACATCGTAAATTGGGTCATCATCGTCGACGAGGCCATATGTCCAAAGGCCCATGTCCTTGAGTAAGGGATATCCTCGATTGTCATATTGCAAGCTATATTGGAGCTCCACGCCACGAGATACGAAAGCTGAAGGCACGAATAGGAGTCGTATCACGTTCCTCCCTGGGTATCGAACAGAACGTAAGACGAAGTCCCCGATGATTGTATGTTTCCTTGAGGTGATTGTAACATATGGTCTGCTACTCAAGTCTTTGGAGCAATCAATTGACAAATCACTTGACTGGTCTTGCAATTTAACCAGAGCCCCCCTTACTGTAGTCTCACCATCCGTACCTGTTCGATGTATGTCATCATCGCCTGCAGAATTGGCGTAGGCATCGTCAAAATCGTTGTGCACATGGCGAGATTGCGTCAACAGGGAACTAATGGCAGTCGTAAATTTATCTTCGAAAGTATCTGACATCCAACCTCGAATCTCCTGCCGATTAGATGCGATGAAGCTCTGCTTGAACTCTTCGAAAGTTCCACTCAAGACGTCACGCAAGATCTGTTCCACAGGCCTCTCTTCGCCATCCTCGATGCAAGCTGTGACGTCAAACCTGCCTCTGTCGACGTCCAAGCTGGTGAAGTCTCCGGTATAGGACCGAAACTCTGGTTGCTCTTGGAAAGCTAGCAAACGCAAGTGCCTGCTCAACCTATCAAGCTCGTTCACGAAAAAGGACAGATCTGCAATCAACCGATCAAACTTCTTTTTGTCAAATATCGCCCATCGCGCTTGTCGTAGGATTGATGAGTTCCTCTGTCGCCTCTGCGCCTTAGACTTGATACTGTTCTCCATAGTAGCGAAGGACGTAGATGGGTTGCCGGATGTAAGAGCCAAAGCGCTAGTGCCTTCATGCTTCAGCTTCAAACCGTATCTCGACTCTAATTTATCGGTATCTTCTAGCATCCCTTTAATAGCCACCAAGTATTTTGCCACTGTATCCTTCTCTTGTATCCAGTAGCTCCTTAGTATCGCATTTTCTTCACTTGACTGCATGACCGCCAAAGATTCCCCCATCTCTTGAATCTAGCTTTCAGTAGCTCAAACTTCGTCACTGATAGCTCATAATCCTTGCCAATGTTCTGGGCAAGGCGTATAGACTCGATACACTCCACGCAGGTACTGTAGAGACCAGTAAGGGCGAGGGCGCCGACAGCGAGTCCAGCGAGCTCTGCCATCTTTTAGAACACTATGGCATTAGCCGGAATCATCATTTCACAAAGAAGGTACAATCTCACGAGATGGATACGATGTAAAGCCGGCATTGAGAGGGCTTAGAGCCCCTCAGCCACCCCATGACTGTTGTGTTCATGCAGCTGGTGAGCAGGCTGAATGTCGTGTCTCAGATATAAATGCCAAGACTTTTTTTTACAGATAGCGTATGACGTAGCATGACGTCGTTAACCAACCAAGCTCTCAGCCTTTCGTCGACTTTTGGTTCTGGAAGTAAACAAGCATCCAAGAATTTCTTCGCAGCCCTCAATATCCACTCAGGCATATTCAAATATCTCGACTACCGCTTGAGTCGACACTCTCACCTTCACACCAATCCACAGCCCGGCCAAACCCATCACAACGATGGCAGACAAGAAAGAACAACCAGGAATGTTTGCCCGCGCCTACAACTACGGTATGGCTACTGCCGGCGACGTCGCCGGTAACGCGGTCGACTCAGCAGGAAAGACAGTCACAGAGAAGGGCCAGGGAGTCGGTACCTATCTGTACGTGTCCACCTTACCCCTCTTCCCCTACCATTTTCTCTTTCCCATCATCGTCCCTTGCCCTTCCTTCCATCCCTCCCATCCACCCCCCTCCCCTTCTCCCCCTTCTCTACTAACCACTGCTCCAGCGGCTCTTACGGCAACACAGTCTCCGACTACGGATCCGGCCTAAAAGACGCCACAGCAGCCAACGACACGAAACGCACACCCACCGCCTCGAACCCGGCCGGATTATCCAAGAACACCGAGGGCGGGAAAAACACGCTGAAACAGGGCGCTGCAGGGACGAAGAAAGCTGCTGCCGGCACGAGTGCTGGGGCCAAGAAGGCCGCGCCGCCCGTGAAGAAACCCGCTGCTCCCACTGGTGGGGCGGGGGTGGAGAGGCGCGCCAGACGCGATCACAGACCAGCGGCGCCGCGAAACCTGCAGAAGCGGCGAAGAGCACGGCGGCTCCTGAGAAGAGGAAGCCGCCGAAGCTGGGGAAGCCGAAGAACGCTGCTGCTGGTGCGAAGGCGGGGGCGGGGGCGAGTGATGCTGCTGCGTCTGCGACTGCGGGCGCGAAGGCGGGTGGAGAGGAAGCGAAAAAAGGGGCGGAGGGGGCAAGTGCGCCGGCGAAGAAGGCGGCGAGTGGGATTGGGAGTGGGAAGCAGACGAAGAGTAATCCGCTTGGGTTATGATGGGATTTGAACAGACTGGCTAAATTGGAAGAAGGAGGGGGTGGAAGGTGTTTGGGGAACAGGTGGGATGAACGCAGGAGAGATGCAGGTGGAAAAGGCTGATTTGACGCTGAAGGGGAGTGGGGGGTTTTTGTGTCGTGCGTTATTAGCTTGTCATTATGTGCGCGTGCGGAGCGTTTGTTGCTTGTATGTGTGTGCGTCTTAGATGGGAAGTGTTTTGTATGTACATGCTTCAGCTGTCCAAGACTTCTTCACCGACGATACCGTACGTGTTTGGCTAATCCCGAAGGATTTGGACGTGCTGTCTTCACTGAAGCGAGAGCTTTCATACTGAGGAAATGCCATAATTCTCGCAAAACTCGACCTCATCATGGTCTGAGCCTCGGGCCCTCAAATATATATTTTCCGTATCATTACGACATGCCCTCTTGCTCACTTTGATTTCTCCTTCTCCTTCTGCTTCTCCGCTTTGCTATGATCCTTCTCTTTCTCACCATGTTCTGACGCCTTGTCCTTCTCCTTTTCCTTTGCGGCCTGCTCTCCAGCCTTGTCGTGGTCCTTGCTCTTTGATTTGTGTTGTTCCTTCTTCTCACGCTCTTGATGTTTCTGGTGAGCCTCGTCCTTCCGTAGATTCTCCTTCTGCTCCTCTGCTTCTACCATGTCTAAAAGGCCCGGCAATCAGCATTGTATCGAGGCAGGGAAGCAGGTATGCAAACCTCTCCACTGATCCTCCCCCTGATAACTTTCCTTGTGCACCTTCTTTTCAATCAAGTGCTTATGTTCCGGGTCATCCGGGTCAAGCACCTTGATCGTCTCCCACCGCCCCTCTCCTTGATCCCGATCCGACAACTCAAACACTGCGCTGGCGATCAAGACCGCCAGCGTCAACCCTTGAGCATACACACGCGCTTGCACCAGTTTTTGCGCCGAAGATAGGTAAGGATTTCGCCCTACAAAGGAGAGGGAGGCGACCATGGAAAGCACCCACGAGCCACCGACAATCTGGTATCTGTGCTCCTTGGCCCAAGATATCGAGCGCTCCCATTGTGTTTTTTGGGCGTCTTGGAGGGCTTTGGCCCGCTCGGTCATGTTTTGGTAACCTTCATCGGGGTGTTGGGCGGCTTCGAACCTGCGGGAGAAGTGGTCGGCTGTGACGATTGCTGGGGGAAGAATGAGAAGTCAGCTCTTAATGTCTAAATCCTTGGCGAATGTGAAATGTGCATTCTTCTCGCGATATGGGGGGCGAGATTGTTGGACGTACCACCGAAGGTAGATGAGCTCGTGATAAGAAAGGCTCGTAGAGGTAAAGTCAATTGTCGAAAGGCAGGGTATCTGGCAGCAGCTCCCCAAACGCCCAGCGCTCCTAAGGCAAGACCTGCTGCACCACCAAGGCTGCCACCTTTGAGGGTTTCACTGCGTGAGGTGTAAGTAGTGTGACCATCACGCCCTAGGGTGTTGGCCTACTTGTAGTGCGCCTGCTCCTCTTCCCTCGTCAAAATCTTCATATTAAAGGTGCTGGCAGGTTTGGAGAGGTACTAATGCCTCAATGAGAGTGAACGGAGGTATCAATGGATAGTAAACATTGTAAAGAGCCTATAGCCCTCCGTCCGAGAGGTCCGTACCCGAAGCAAGCTGATTACATAGTTAGCGCGTGTGACGTCTTCTCTGTCCTATGTAGAAGACCTGGGTTTCGTCCTATCCATATTATGCAGGAGATTTCTCCACGGGGAAGTAGCGTGCCAAGCCTACCCTTTTTGCGTATAGAACCAAACTCAGTACCTGCCACCAATGCGAGTCTAGAGCCCTTGAGCACGAGCCAGGACGGCAGACTCTCGTATGCTCAAATGAATGCCGTGCATCTTATCCTGCGGCTTGCATTATGTAACGCCAATTAGACGCCTCCACAGACCCGGGAAAGTATTTCCTCTTTTAGGTTGAGTAGCTTTTGGTCGATGGTACCTTATGTATCTTACTGTGACTTCACGAGACATTTTCAATCTTCGACTATTCATCGTCTGTGGGTGTAGGTGACAGTAAGCCCGCTTGATCTATGGCAAGAAGTGCCCGGTAGTCTCCAGGTGGCACGGCAAATGACCGACATGAAGAAAGGGATCAAGAAGCTGTTGGGGAAAGATGGAGGTACGTTATTTTCAGTCGTTTTGTGCGTGTGCGATGTATCTTTGGAGAGTCAGATGGCATATATGCATAATCATTATGCTTATCGAAAGCGAGATCTTGGACCGATTAAGAATCAAAGACCTCCAATCGTTCTCTGAAGATTGCCGGGACCTTTGCCACAATTGGAGACTTGATATCCTTGGTCTCGGGTACACCCATACCCACATGACTCCCCACGTTATCAGCGTTCAATCAAATGCTTTCCCTATCCAGATGACAGATTTGACGTCTCTAATTAGATTCGTCTTCGTCAGGACGTGTGCCTACCAATGCAAGCATATCATCGCTTGCAGGTAGTGGTCTACAACTTGAAACGCCCAAGACCCGTATCGTCATTATGAAGACTCCCGATCCACGGCATATGCCTTTCAGCGTTCTCACGACTTTGATGAACAACTTCGCTCGACAGATTGACTCCGAATCCAAGGTCTATAGCACCGAGTATCCTGTCTACAGAGACCCAGCATTTACCTTTGATGTCCTAAGTATCAGTGTAGAGAGATGTAAGGAGCACCCCCAGCAGGCTGAGCAGCTGCTATACTCGGACCTCATCCTGCTTGGAAGTACGATCAAGGAGCACCTAGGCAGAATCGATGACGAGACATGTGATCTCGAAGTTTGGAAACGAGGGAAACGAGAGGATTGCCTGGTCGCCAAGGGTTCATTGGGATTTACGAAGGCGGCAATGCTTGTAGAGGGAGACGGGCCGGCGACCAACACAACGGATGTGAGATGGTGACACAAATGCTTGGAGTCTGGATATGAAAGAGCCATCAAATACCGAAAATGTACATTAATCAAGTCATATGAGGATTGAAATGGGTAGCGTTACAATATAGTTGATGTTGTGTTCTTCATTATCAAGTTGTGCAGTGTGCTTTCTTTATACAGGCTTTGTGCAATCTGATTGGCATACCGCTATCTCCGCGTATGGTAGACTAGCGTATAATAACTTACCACCGCCAGAAGTCGAGTCTGAAGTCACAAGGGCACCTACGTCTAGCCTCCCAGCATCATTGGTACCAAGAGTCAAGGGGATTCCGACGCTTGCTTAGCCCCATATCGTAATATTAGCTGCAGAAAAGTTGCCAGCATGAATGGCACGTCACCAGACCGCGCCGGATTGCGCCCTCACCGCCCATCCAACGCAAGACATCCTACAGCTCCAGCAAGGATGGCCGTGAACGGACATTTCGCCGGCATGGGCGGCCAGGCGACAAAAGAGCAGTATGAGCACGGCATACAGGTGATAAGTGAAGACCAAGAATTCAAGTAGGCAATACAGAGGACCCTTTGAGAAAATACACAACTGACAATGAGTAGCCCTTCAATCTCCAAATACCTCGGATTTGAGAAGCTCCTCCCCGTTGGCTTCAACTACCACCTCATCTCCGTCTTTGGCTCCCAGTCAACCGGCAAATCCACCCTTCTCAACCAACTGTTCGGCACAGACTTTGGCGTCATGTCCGAAGAAGATAGGCGGCAGACTACAAAGGGCATATGGATGTCGAATAACAAGAAAGAACGAGCAGAAGGAGACGCCAAGAAAATGGCAGATAATATAATCGTAATGGACGTTGAGGGCACGGATGGGCGAGAGCGGGGGGAAGACCAAGACTTTGAACGCAAGGCCGCATTGTTTGCTCTGGCTACCAGCGAGGTGTTGATTGTGAATATATGGGAACATCAAGTAGGATTGTACCAAGGTGCCAACATGGGGTTATTGAAAGTGGTGTTTGAAGTCAACCTAGAGCTCTTCCTTAAAGATAAAAAGTACACAAGCACCCCTCGGCACTGAAGCGCATGCGCTGACTCTACCAGATCTAACCCCCGATCACTCCTCTTCTTCGTCATTCGAGATCATCTAGGCACCACTCCACTTGCGAACCTCAGAACGACCCTCATAAAAGACCTTCAAAAGATATGGGCGGGTCTGAATAAGCCTGCAGGGCTTGAGAAATCACAGATAGAAGATTACTTCGACTTTGCTTTTGCCGCCCTTCCACACAAGATTCTACAACCAGACAGGTTCATTTCAGAAGTGGGAAAGCTTGGCACAAGGTTCAAAGAATCTCATCGAGACTCTAGAAGAGATGGCCTACAAACCGACCACCAGCTCGAAGGTGGTGTCTTCCTCCCCGAATATCACAGAAGAATTCCCGCGGACGGCGTTCCCATCTACGCCGAACAAGTCTGGGATCAAATCGTCCACAACAAAGACCTCGACCTCCCTACCCAACAAGAGCTAATGGCCCAATTCCGATGTGACGAAATATCCCGCGAAGTGCTCATCGCCTTCGACGAATCCATCATCCCGTTCGAAAACAAACAAGCCGAGGGCATCCGCATTGGCGCCCCCGAAGTCCTCGGCGGCCTCGGCGTAGCCATGCGCACAGCTCGGATGAAGACACTCAAGAATTTTGAAACAGAAGCAAGTCGCTACCACAAAGGCGTCTACGCCCGCAAAAAGACGGAGCTCGAAGCGCAAATTGACGGTCGCCTAAAATCTCTCTTCCAGAACCAGATCACCGCCTCCCACAAATCAGGTGTCCGCCACTTTAGCGAAGCAGTCGGCGCAGCAGTAAAAGCCGGCCAGAAGAAAGGAAGCTACGACTTCGCCCAGATTGTCGAAGCCGAGAAAAAGCGAGCCCTCGACCGTTTCGAAAAAGAAGCAAAATCCACCCTTGTCGAGGGCGCGCCATGGAGCTCCTACAAGCAAGAAATTACACTCTACCAGAAAGAGCTAAACGAAGTAAGCCGGCAGCTCCGTCGCGACGAGATGCGCCGCCTCGCTACACGGGTAGAGCGCTGGGTCAAATCCCGACTCTCCGAATCCGTGGGCCTCGAATTCAATGCGCTTGGTTCCGGGCGAGGTGGTGGTGGAGCTCCCGAACACGGTGAACGTGGGGCCGAAAATGAGATCTGGAATCGTGTCTGGGATGTCTTCGTCAAGACGGTGCGGGAAGCCGAACAGCGGTTTACCGAACGCGCGAAATCTTTCGATGCCAGCCCTGGCGAGGTGGACGTGGGCTTGTGGCGGCTACGGCGCAAGAGTTGGGGCGTGCTGAGGGCGAAGATCGAGGAGGAGATGATGGAGGGCAACCTCCTGCTCAAATTGCGCGAGAATTTCGAGGATAAATTTCGCTATGATGAACAGGGCGTTCCGAGGATTTGGAGGCCGAATGATGATATAGATGGGCTTTATACCAAAGCGCGCGAATCGACGCTCACCCTTATCCCTCTACTCTCGAAATTCCAGAACTCGACATCACGGGAGCCGCCGCCGCTCGACGACTTCATTGGTGGGATGCCAGAGGAGACGACCGTGGCTGATGAAGAGGATCTGCAGCCCATCGGCGGCGTAGACGAAGAGGAGGGCAAGAGTCTAGAGGAGGAGATGACGGTGCTGACGGAAGCGAAGAAGCAGGATGTCACAGCCCGATTCAAAAAGACGGCCGATGGTGTGTACGTAGAGGCGAAGAGGAGTGCGATTGGAGGGATGACGCAGGTGCCGTTGTATTTCTACGGGCTATTGCTTGCGCTGGGGTGGAATGAGATTTTGGCTGGTGAGTCTTTCCCTCCCCTTCCCCTCCTCTTCCCTCCCCATTTTCCCCCTACCCCAGAAAGAAGTACACCGGCTAACCTATACCAGTCCTCCGCAACCCAGCCTACTTCGTCCTCCTCATCCTCTGCGCTGTCGGCCTGTACGTCACATACATCCTCAACCTCTGGGGCCCGATCCTGCAGATGACAAACGCGGCCTCCGCGCAGGCGCTCGAGGAGGGGAAGAAGAGACTTAGGGAGTTTTTAGAGAATAGCGAGGCCGGACGGCAAGCGTTGGCGATGGAGGGGGATAAAGCTGGTTTGGGCGGGGGTAGGGTTGGGGGTGCGGGTGCGGGAGGGAAGAGGGAGGAGGAGATTGAGTTGGAGGAGATATGAGTTAGTGTGATGGGGGCGAGGAGGGGGGTGAGGGGGAGGGTTTGTACGAGTGAGCATAAGGCAGAAATAGGTGGGAGTGGAGATTGGTCTGCACATAGCCTTCACTTCTAATCATGATTTGAGCCCGCCCTTGCTTGTCCATTTACAGAACAGAGGGATTGATGTCGTCCTGAGCACTATCTCCCGCCTCCTTCGCCTACGCTTCGGTTTGTATCGCCCTTTACTGCCCCGGCCTTCCCACTATGCCTGGCGTCTAGACCTGTGGGCTGTTTTGGGGAGGGGTTGGCATTCGTGTTCAAGCTTGTTCATCCAGATGACTTGAGGTACTATGCTGTGTGGCCATCGCTCGCTTTCAATGCCCTGGGAAGAATCAGTGTAAATGGATGTGCCACAGACTTTATGGGGAAGAAGTTATCTTACGAGGGGATGATCTTCGAGCGTTCCTTGCACTGTGAATGCTGGGCAGTGCTGATGCTTTCGCAGATGCCAGGAGAGAGGCCGGGCGGTGATATATGACAGTACGATAAGCTTCACAATGTAGTAATGACGTCCTATCCTGAGCAAGAGACACACATGAGGTATCACCGCCAAGATAATACTTCGTGATCCGAAGTCAGGATAAACGAGAAACGTTTCAAGACGTATGGATTAAATCAAAGCGCATCGCAGGATAGGGTATGAGATCCAGGGGTGCCTAATCCCAAAAACCAGGAGTCAAGCCTGTACAGCGCTCATATCAGATACCCGAGCTTCAACAATTTGACGTCCCTGGTTGTCAATAAATATCGTTGAGCAAAGTCGCGACATGTGGACACTCGACTCTGGCATTGTGTGACCTCGCTATAAGATCGAGTCGTCTCATTCTTCTTCAAAATTCTCCGCCTGCTTCTCCGCCAACTGTCTAGCTCCCCCATCTTCATCTTCTTGAGGCGGTATGAATCTCCTCATCACCTCATCTACATACGACCGCGGTACTCCAGCAGCAATCGCATCATGGATGCCCATGTTCATCCTGTAGATATACTCTTTCTTGGGCTTCGCCTCTTCCAATCGCTTATGATCCACGTACACCAGCATCTTCTCCGGTTTAGAATCTTCCTGCTTCAAGCTTCCCACCTTCTTTAATTGCGCCTCGGACCATGTTCTGACATCGATCATCTCTTTCGCGTATGTCTCGGGCACGCCCTCATTCACATCCAGTCGCCTCTCATCACTTGAAGAGAGGGTGTAGATGAGTCCGTAGACGTAGTCATTCGAGGAGGGGGAAGAGGGCACGACGTTCGCGTAGCCCCGTTCACTAATGATCCAGCGATATTTGTCAAGGCGGCCAACGCCTACGTAGGTAGACTCTGGACAGCGCTTACGCATCTGGTCACGCCAGAGGTTGGAGCCGTAGCCAAAGTAGACAGTACGAGAGCTGGCTGGAGAAGGCATGGCGGTGGTAAGACATAGGAAAAAGACGAGGATGTAGAGGAAGCTGAGGCGGCAGGGAGAGCAAGTGCCAAGACTTCGGCGAGGGGTGGCCATTCTGGTAACAAGGGATTACAGCGTGGTGATCGAGGTCTCAATTTTAATGCTAATGGCCAGAGCTTATGTATGGGCTTCCCCATACCTGCACAGGACTACAGAGTTCATGGTTTGTGGTGGCTTCTCAGGGACAGCTCTGACGCGGAAGGCGCTGTCAATATGCCCCCAGAGCCTTCTGTCGAAGCCTACTCCACCTCAGCTCACTCACAAAGTATTATGTGTCTTGATTCCCGGACAGCTTGTCCTTGCGCATGTCCAAATCGTGGAGCTGAACATGTTTTGGCCAAGGGTAGCAGGAAGTCTCCCCCGAATAGACGAACCTCGAACTTCAGAGGCTGAAGGTCACGTTGCGAGAGCTTCCCTCGAGGAGTCATCGAAGTTTAGGCCTACACATCGTGGTACGTGTTGAAAGCAGACGTGATGCCTGAATCTCTTAACGCAAACGTTCTTGGACAACATGAGAATTACGAGAAGATCAAGATCATCCACAAGGTACATGTGCCTGATGGGAGACTAGAGTCGCCACTGATAGGCCCAAAAAGCTCCATCCTCCGGCGTCATGAAGCCAATCGGCTGGCCCCTGGCCATGCCGACATCGACCGTGCATTAGGGCGGAAGATCAGCCCCCACAAGGCTGGCGACTACTGTAAATCTCTGAACCTGCACTGCCTCCAGCGATTCGTTGGCTGCCTCCTGATCTTTTTACTGTGGCAGATCCCGCTTGCGCGACTACAATGAATCGAAGCCTCGAAAGCCAAAGCAGCAAGTACATGGACTGAACTTCAATCTAGCCAAAATCCAGAGGCATGGAATACGAATCACGCCGAGCCAAGACATTTCCTGTCAGGTTTGCGAATACTCAATCGTCCCCAGTGAGAAGACCGCCAAGGGGAAAACCACGTCGTGTGCCAAATTCGGGCTCGTATGGCCGGTCACGACGACTCATTGCTGTGAACTCGCCACCATCGCGCCGTGAATGGGAAAGGAAGAATGGCATGTCACATCGGAGTGAAAGACATGCTCATTACGACGACGATCACAGTTCTCCTAGGACTACTTACGGACATCGCTCGCGTTTTGCTTCTTCCTCTTCGGATTCAGATCATAATGGTCGTCCTAATCATTCAAAATACCCAAGACAGGTTAGGCTTAACAAGAATTACGACGATCCTGCATATGAGAGCTTTGGAGAGACTACAGACACTGATTCCGACTATGACTCTGTATCGTCTTACGACTTCATCTTACCAGGCTACGGAGATGCAGACTCATATAAGGAAGGTACTCTACCATCGATGTCCGATGACACAGAAAAGCTCGCGCTCTCACCTGAGCCGCCAAAGCAGCCCTTTTTATCTAGATCAAACACAACGGTAGAAGTCATAGAATCTAAATATACAGGAGAGACGACAAATGAAGGGCTACGGTCTGCTCAAATAGTCTTGAAGCAAGTGCAACCTCCAGAAACTAGGAAGAGATCATCCCCACTCTTTAGATGGACGTGAGTCTTTGCTTGAATTGACGTCTGATGTTTTAAGTAACGACGTAAGCAGTCATTTTGAGCATCCTATCATGGACTTTGAGGCTTTCAAGGTACAGTATTGAAGGGATTATTATACCTTCGAGTGCCTGATTAACGAGATTACTAGCATGAAGTCGGCCAGATTCAAGCTTTGACCAAGGTTCAAAAGACTGGACTTCACAGTTTCCTGGGGCGGGTCCAAAGGAAGTACGATAAACCTGTTCAAACTTCATTGGACGTTTCTGCAAGATACATGGAGCCTTCTCATCTGGAAGACACACTTCCACCGGAACCCCAGGGTAAAGACTCAGCGTCCAGGACTGTGACGTGGCTATGTCTACCGTACTTCTCGTTGGAGAGTTATGCTGGGCAAATGCCAGGTTCACGATCCTCCTCACATCCGATCAGAACGTTGCTCCAGTTTCGACATTTGCAGGTCAAGAAAGCGCGTGATTTACAGCAGGCTGCGATGTTTCAGGCCGCCACTCCCAGTGACCATTGCTTTCATGTTGCACAAATTTGGTCTATCATTATCGGAGATTGTGAGCTTTCAAGCCTCCATGCGAAACTTGCGAGCAAATCGAGTTGCTGATGATCATTGGGTAGCTATTTTGGTAACCTGTGGACGAATGTCTTTACCCAAATTACAGAGCGAGTCGATCAGTAATGTCTCAGAACTGACGGCCAAAAGCCTAGAAGGTCAACAGCGGTCCATTGTCATCTACAATGGCAGCGCTTGCTGTTTTGCACTTCCGCTTGCTGATTGCCGAACATGGTCTGTACGTCATACTTCAAAACTCGGAATATTCCAGAATTTCCGTGACTTACAACTACTAGGACTTCATGTCCCATTTTTGGGAATACTTCCCACAAAGTTTGCAGTTTTTGGATGAAAGCCGGGTCCTAACACCTGAAGATTGGCCGATGCTTTTGAAGCGAGCAGAAAAAAAGAGCATCCGACTTGATATTCAAGAAAGGTACACTATGTTGATCTTTGACAAAGCATATCTGATCCTCGTAGACGGACTCCCCGAGAATGGCAACTCGGCGTTGAAAATATTGAGCAGGTAGCTCTTGGCCAATCGACTAGCACGCACACTAACAAAAACGGCCTCCGAAAAACCCAGATGCCAAAAACGCGTCCAGGATCGATCGAACAAACAAGCGGAAATACATCTGAGGTTCAGGGAGGTCATCCTCAGCAACAGTTTGCCTCGCAGAAACTTGAAAATAAGGACCCTCAAAATAGAGTTGAAGATGACGCTTCCTCTGATGAGGTATCAGCAACTCTGCAGCACCGTTCGAACGCGTTCCATGTCTTCGCATGGTCAGGTATCGGTATGGGTGAAATCGTTCGGGAGGACCCCGGCCAAGGCCTTCCATCACGAGAATCGGGCACACCGAAGCTCAGCAAGGGAGATGCGTCTCAGGCTCAGCAAAGGATACATGATGATTTGAGTAGGGTCGAACTATTTCTGAGCACTAGAGCCAGTCCGTCGGATCGCATACGCTATCGAAATTGTCCCCAACGAACAAGAGAGCAGGTGTACTTTGACCTCGCAGAGCGAAACAAACAGATGTCCGTGGCGCCTGAGGATCAAAAATTTATGAAAAAGTACGAAATTGGAGTAGATCTAGTGAAGGTGGCCGACTCGCTTTTTTGCTTTTTCCTACCGCCAAAATATCGGGGACCAACGGTGGACAAATACTGGGGAGCAGTTGGGCGTCGCTTAAACGTGAGTATTGTAGTCAACATATTTTGGTACAATAACCAATGTGATAAATAGTCGACGGTTCAATCATTGCAGGCAAATGACTCCGAGGATTCTGAAAAGGGGCCACGCGTTGGACCGCCCAAACGCAAGACTCGTGCATCAGGGCGATTCGAATACGAACAAGACTCATTCCTGCCTTCGTTGAGAGATGATGCCCAAAAGACGCAAACATTCTCTAACCTCGTATCTCAAATACCACACAACAAACGTGCTTCCGCCAGAGTCCCTGCAGAATTGCCGGAAGCTTGGCTTCACCTTCTCAGGATTCTAGCGAAGAAGAAGACCACGAGATATTCTTCTGGGTGGATCAAGTTCAAGAATCTTTTAGATGATGGTATGCGAAAATTCTTGCTGGGTCTTGGAAACCCGAGCCTTGCACCTTATTCGGTTTTTACGCCTTTCCAGGTTGTATGTTTGATCAGCTCCGAATTTCTCAGAGGCATGCCAAGTACTATCCCAGGCATTGATGACATATATACCGACTACATAGAGCGTCTTGTAAGTAGGGAATAGCTCTCCCATAGATCATTCTGCGTTTGCATTAATCGATTATCCAGGGCTCTGATATTGCAGCCAATCCACTGGATAGAAAGCACCAAGACAGGCTCAGAGATGTCAAGCAAGAGATTTCTGCCATCTCAATCCCGCTGGATCGCCAACGTCAAGTTATGAGAAAGCTTGCACCACATCTCGCGGCCGGTTATTACAGGTCTCATTACGAAGGACACAATCAGAGCCGCCTGACGAGCCATAAATCAAAAATAAACTCCCAAAATATTGATCATTCCAGCTCTGAGCAACGATCAATCCATCCAAGGCCAGCTGTTGAAGTCACAACTTTTGATGACTCCACCGATAGGCCCATGGATATGGCTGAGATACAGGACATGTTGTGTCAAGACAGTCTTGAACTTCTCGACAAAAGGTGGCACTCATTCCAAGAAAGCCTCCATGCGGCAGAAGGACTTGAAGAATGGGTTAGTCGAAGTCGAGATGATGAAGACGATGACTTATGCTAATTGCGGCTTCGAACAGCAACAAGATCAGATCAGTCTGAACAAGGATTCTCAAAATACCGCTATATACGCCTTTACCATCGTGACCGTCATCTTCCTCCCTCTAAGCACCGTCGCCACTATCCTTGGTATGAATACTCGCGACATCCGTGACATGCGTTCCAGCCAGTGGGTTTTCTGGGCCGTAGCTCTTCCGCTGACCGCTTTCATCATTTTGATTGGTCTATCGTGGACGGGAAAGATGCAGCACATATGGGACAGATTGGGAGAGTTTTGGCAGGGCTCGAATCGCAGGCATCGGCATTACAAAAGGATGCAGCAGGAGGACTTTCGACAAGATCGGATAGGAGGCGATCTTTACATTCCAGAAATTCGGAGACCACGGCCACCTCGTCGTCGGTATTGATACATCATCGTCGAGACAATAATTAACTCGGATGAGCTATCACATTCCATCTTATCGTTCCTCTCACCGAGGTCATCTGTAGTACCACTGGATCGTCTCGTGATTTCTCGGTAGCCTCACTAAGATTTACTTTTGAAAATCCTGATAGAAACACGCAACACCGACACATTTTTTACTACGCCACAATGGTAGAAATTATCGAAGGCGACAAATAAGCAAAAAGTCATCCGCGCGTCTATTTCATTTCATTTCATTTCTGTATGAAATCTTCAATATCCGGTGATGACCATGTGGTCCTCATTATTCACGTCTTTCTATCCTTCTAAACTCATTATTCTACACCCGAAATCGTTTCCAATCGTGTGTTGTTGGCGCGCTTGCTTTTGGCGTTTCAATTTTAGGGATCAAAAGCTTGTTATCTCGCCCACTCCATAGCTGTGACAGGAGGTACCTTGCACTTGCCAGTCCGGAAGTATTTGGCATCGCTTTCTATTCTTTTACCAGGAAGCGTTGCTCTTCTGTGGACTATTAGCCAGTTTTTCTTCAATGCTAAATAACAAAGCGTAGTAGTGTTGGGAAATACTGCGTCAGTGCTGTGGAAATGCTGTGCTGAACCAGTGTTGGAGTCTCGCTTGATGGTTTATGTGCAGTCCTCGACGGTGTCAATTATATGCTCAATTCGCCCTTCTGCTGGGAAGTCTTGAGGGAAACTACTGACGATTCATAATATGAATGTTTGCTAGCGTTCCATTCTACTGTCTGGCGCCGCTGGACTTTCTGCTTCAACGTTCGTGAGTCTGTAAAATCCCAACTGAATGATGAAAGGTTCGAGATCTCCTGCGGATCCTTCTTTTCAGATTCGCAACCGTATCTGAAGTCCTCTGTTCAGCAGACTTCTACCGCTCTTCTGGCGGCAGACCATTCAATGTATGGTATTTCTTCAGTACTGGCTCCGTCGATACCTCGAGCGCCGAATATTCTTTCGAATAAGGTTGTCACATCCTGGCTTGGTAGTACGAGTCGAGCACGCTCAAGACTCCATATTGGAATATTTCCTCATGGGAGTTTGAAGTTTGCGTTTGATATCTGCGAGAACGGATGTCAGCTGCCAGAAAACCACGGGTATAGCACCTTGATCTCCTCTCATGCATCTTTGAATGGCTAATCATAAGCTAGGGACACGTATAATGGTTTTCACTCGACTGCAGCATTTCCTGGGCTTCAAATCTGAAAACTCGTATGATAATTGACTTCTAATGAGAAGGGAGTCGCAGAAAACAAATGTTCGATACAAACGGGCGTTCAGCTTGCTTGACGGCAGATTGCACGGGTGCTGTGGAAGTCTCGCCTTTCCCTCTCCCTTTGCCACGAGAGTTCTGCTGGCCTCTGCTTTGTGGAGCAGGCCAGGCAGACCCGGGCGGAGCCATGACCGACGAGTTGAGACATCAAACCTCGGTAGGTCCAATCCAAATGAGTGACATTATCAGCCATGCATCGAGTGGTGTTGCTTTTGCACTCCCAGCGCTCGGAAGGTTGTGATTAACTGCACTTGATCTTTAACGAGCCGCTGACAATTAAACTTCTCGTAAAATTGATCCGCTATTGCATCGGTGTCGTTTTTGACCGCCCGTTGCCACTCCCGAATCCGGTCGGTCCGGAGGCCTTTAGCAATAGTATCATATGCTGCACCTAAGTGCCGGTCGTCTGGTCGTGGGTCTTGTGGGTCCTAGTGTAAATGTAAACTAAGCATCTTTTCAGCGCCTGCTGCTGCGACGACCTCGCTGGATGTATGAAAGCTTAGAACATCTAGCGTCTCTAACAGGCTATCTCGAGAGTTCCAGAGTAGCGCAACAATCTTGTAAATGTCTGGCATCATCGATAGCAAATTAATGAGACCACCAGGACAGAACCAGACATTAGAGATTCCTGAATTTGATTTAGAACCCTGGGTATGAAACGACGGATCGTTCAAATCGCAATGATTAATTAGAAGTACGGTCAGCCAGCTAAAAGAACATGCTTTAACCAAGGCTTTAAATAGAGCTCTATATGGTCAATATTGAGGACAGCGTCCTAAGCCAGAATTATGTGTCAGGTCAGCATTATGAAGTACATTTACACCATAGACACAGGAGCGAGCCACAACAGCCCAACCTGCCGCTTTGTAACAGAACTTGCTATTCCAAGTAAGAACGCAACATCGATCCTCAGCATCGTGAACGAACGGTCGTCATCGAACGCGACTCTGGGACTGCTGTACCGCACATCAAAAAGACCTTCTTCTAGATCAAAGGAGTCTTTTATGCATATTAAATCCCACGTTCCGTCGGAGGATCACGAATAGACGCCGAAAAGCGTAAGAAAAGACCCAATCGAGATCGTCTCGACAATTTTTGGAAGAGTCGAAGAGTAGACGAGCATGGAACCAAAGGTGTGACACAGCAAACTTAACGTCGTTCTCCTGCTGCTATCAGATGAGGCAAACTGCCTGTGTCATTTGTCTTCCTTCCACTGTCATATCCAGTCACGCTCTCTGGCTTGAGCTCAGCGTTTTTGGGAACTGTGTTGCTATCACAATCTCCCATTGTCCCACGATGTGTAGACGTATCTCGATCCCATTAATGAACATTCCAGGAGTGAAGCTCTTCGTGGCCCCAAGGCTAGCCATATAGCGACGAGCTGAGACCGAAGCTCGATGCCTTCGAACTATCGATATGAGGCTGGATCAGGAAAGAGATACTCAAGCATCGATCAAGTAAGGAGAAGTTAGCGTCGCTCTCCATACCTTTCTTCCTGTGCTCTCCGCATTCGACTGATCTTTCCGAGTCAAGTTCTCCCTTGTTGATCTTTGCCCAAAGTTGTTCTCGCAGTTCTCCAATGCGCCGGGTTTCTGTTCATGATACTCGACTCGGACCTAACAAGGACTCATCTTATGGACAGCATCAAGGTTTGTGTATTCTGTGGTAGTATAGATGCGACAATCCTGAACACAACTTTTTTCTTCTTGCCGAATTCGAGCCCTCTCATGATAAAAATAGCCGATACTAGAGACTTTTTGGGACGTTCGTGGTGCTTCCAGCACCCTGCGTTCTGATCTGGGTAGAGATTCATCGACTCGAAAGTAGTGCCTTGGGGTTGTCGGGAGTGTTTACGTTTGCAATTTCCACATTCGCGATATTGAATGGAATTCCTGATTGGTGCTTCGCGAGCCCACCCTTCTGTTTTCTGCCTCAATTTGTGGACGGATTTGAAAAGCTTTCTGTGATGTGCACAATGGCAATCAATCTAGCAAAAGTCTTGCGTGTGTCATCGAATCCTGTGGACGAGATAACGGCTGCGATGCTCCATCAGCTCCACCTTTAAGTTACAATGGGCTCTTGAAGCCACTTGCTAAGTGCTCCACTCTATTCTGAGCTTTGCATCAAGCACGGACTACATCAAAAAGGTTGGTTCTAGTAGCAGCCTCCCAATACTGCATCTTGCTGTACGCCGCTAGGGATTTAATTACTTCCATGGGACGGAGGCAAGAAACAGTATCTTATATTATACGTCTTGAGAAAACCAAGGATTTAAAATCTGAGGGCCACAAAAATCCTTGAATCTTCTGGTCTTCGATTACGTACCAGAACCGCGTCATCTCCTCGATTCTTCGATGGATCTGGGTACTCACCTCCATGGATTCCATGACGTGAGACAAAAAGTCGATGTATCGAAACACTCTCCTGGATTCTGGCATGATTTTGAAAGCACGTGATTTCAGAATAGTGCTTAGCTCTCCGATGTCTCCCCATCTACCATGATTTGGCGTTCCGGACGGGAGACGACAGGCCCTTTTTGGCAAGCATTCGCAAACTTCATGAATACTCCGGTTTTCGTTTTTAAACTCGGCGCTCATCCAAGATAATGATGTTGACCTTTAGGTCTCTGGGTTCCCACATGTCCATACACAATGCTGGCCACCATGGCTTGGTACGTTCGCGCCTTTCCCGGCATTTCCATTCAGTTTAGCCTGCTCGCTCTGCGTGTAGCGATGATGTGGGAGTGGCACCATACTATGACGATATGATAGCTCCGAGCTCCACTTTCGTGGTCACTGAATCATGGAAATGGAGAATATGGTGGGAATGCTCTCATCATGCTCAAACGATTTTCCTCACATCGTTTGGTGCTTCTTCTATGAGTAGCAACAGATTCTCTAGTGACCTTTCGCACGGGACTCTGCAACAATGGCTTCCTGTTCTGCTTTCTTCAATTTCCTGATTTGGTTACTTTACTGGAGACGAATTGTGGCGATGCGTTTTGCTTTCCTCTATGTGTTTGCAGTCGTGCCCAGAATAGGGAACAACTTACCCATGGCAGTGGCGTTTCCAGTATCGGCGACCTGCCCGAGGAGCTGTTGCGCATAGTTCAAGGCGTCGACCGTGTTCATGAGTGCGGACCCTTGATCCTGCAGTCTCTGCTAGGTATGCGGGTGCGTGTGGATCGTCTGTATCAGCTCATCGACGCTCTTCAGCGAGCGCCGTTCATCGGATTTGAGGAGGATTTGGTCCCGTAGGCATTCCCTTTCATCCCGGAAGTCCTTCAAATTTGCCTGCAGGCGCTGCTTCGAGACGGCATACATCCCAGCCTGTTTCTCCACAGATCCTTCGCACGGGTCTATCCGGGATCACTTTGTTGCGTGCTCTCTGCTTGTCGACATTTAAGTCGTGTAGAGGTGGCGGGTGGGTCTGTGGGTGCTGGTAACGACGGTCCGAGGTTCAGCTTTAGGTGTAAGGAGGAAGGAGGTCGGGTCACGGCTACGGTGTTGGAATGGGTGGGTGATGTGGGTCTGGGATTTTCCAATACTGCTCGGTAGAGGAGCTGAAAGGGGGAATGTGGAGGGGGGCTGGTGGGTCGGTGGGTAAATGATGAGGTTGTTTGACTTTCGAAATGGCGTCTGGTGGAGATTTGTATGGAGGCGTCGAGTAGTGGTACCTTGACCCCAAGTCTTCGTCAACTCGTCAATCACGATCTGCAGAGATTCTTGATCTATGCTTTTGGTGAGGATGCTATTCTCTAGATCGCCTGTTTGAGACTGAAAATCGTCTTTATTCTTCTAGACCTCAGAAAACGAGTTAGCACTAGATGCAGAGGCAGATATGCCCCTCCAGGTTTTTGCGACTGATCTCGGCACTCCAGAGAAGACTCGTCATGATTTAGAGCACTCTCCACCGTTGGCCGAAGCGAAATAAATATAGCGTATAACAAGTCCTGGTTCGCTGCACAACCACGGTGCCCAGGAGACGGATGCCTCCATCGGAAAATTACCTGACATCGTAGCCTGAAGATCCGCTTTGGGATGGAGATGCAGACAACAATTTTTTACTCCAGATATTCAATTGCTGATAGTTGCTTGAAGACTATTGTCTCTGGCTGGGAGTCAACGCCAGTGCATCGTACTTCTTCCAACCATCAACATTATCGGCAGAGAATGTTCGTGTAACATAGAGAGACATCAAACCCTGTGACACGCAGTAGCAGACTTGTGCAGCAAACTATGTATTTTCTCAAGCTGTGCGCTGAGACAAAGCCTGATCCATGAGAAATTGGTCAGGAATCTGTCATTTTCCTCCAGCGTCTTGATAAATAGCACGTCATGGAACCATTGCTCAGCTGTATAGGAAGGGGTAAGTAGAGCCACCGCCCATAAATATGACGATTCTATCGTCTTGAATTTTATCTCCTCTGGTTGGGAGCTTCCTTGGGCCATCTTTGTGCCTGTGGCTGCAACTCCGGATTTTTAAGGATGCCGTGGACAATTCAATCGACCATTTGCTGACTGGACGTCTGGATTTCGATTTCCATCACTGTCCGGTCAGACGTGGTGTCCAATTAAATAGCAACTCCGTCTGGAACCTATCACATTCCTGCGCTCCTCATATCTGCTAAGAAGTTCTGGTGGTGAGATCTTGCTCAGGGCGGAGAGTTGCAGCTTGACGGAGGCAAATCGACCGCTTCTTCGTGCTGCTGCGGAAAGCGATTTTCGACCGGCAGTGCGGCCAGATTGCCGTGACCAGACTTAACCATACCGTCGGGCTCCATTACCTGTTCGACTGCGTCTTCTGTGAGGGTCGTGCTTGCGGTGTCCGATCCTGAGCTAGGGTCCTGTGACCTCGATGGTTGACGATGTACTTGGACACCGACGACCTTTGGGATAGTCTCTGACAATTCCTCTGCACTTGTTCAATGTGAGCTCAATAGTACGTCGGCTCACATAGCGTAGTGTTGAACACTGGCTTGAAGGACCAAGAAAAGCCAATCGAAGAAGATCGATGGCTTGGAGGCTATAAGTCTTGGGGCTGCCTGTGCGAGAGTGAAAGGAAGATGAAGGCGTCCAATCAAGCAGGGTCGTAAAGACAAAGAGGTAGCAGTAGAGTATATATATTTAGAGAGGAAGACTATGAAAGCCGAGCCCGAAGGCAACAAGCCAAGGAAGACTAAGGATGAAAAAGGAAGGAAAGAAAGAAAGGAAGAAAGAGGGAACCAGCCTCCTTATATACCCCTCCGTCCTTCACAATCTCGAAATAGACGCGTAATTCAATAATGCATGTCTTACAATCCATTCGTGATAGTTTTGGATGAGAGACATGGAAGTATATGTGTGAAGGGTTTGAGACATACACTTGCATTCTGTAAGATACGCTTTGTTCACGTTTGTGGACTATGGTCATGAAACATGTACGCCTGCATTTTGTGAGACATTTCCTCTTCACACATGGGGATGGGGGGCGAAAAGTTGTGAATTTCACAAAGATAGTTTATTATGTGATAGGGAATGGTGTAAATGGGCAAGGTAATTGCTGATCGCTGGTTCATGCTGGTTCCGGTGCGATGACGGGTGGCAGTGGGAACAGACCACGCTCGCGAGTATGGAGACTGTAATGATGGGCTACAATGGTGGCAAGCGAGTATTCCTGGTGAATGTGTCTCAATTGCCTCAATAACGTTGTACCCGATTGCGTATACTCCCTTGAACAGGCACGCTGTCTCATATTCCGCCACAGGTGATTGTTCACTGTGCCCAATTCACGCCGTTTGTACGTTTATTCATACATAGAGTCAAAAGTCTGCCGAGTTCATCAATGTGTAAAGTTGACGGAGCATTCACCATGTGTCCGTGCGGAAGGTACGGTGATCAAATCACACATACACGAAATTGAAAGACTCCTAACTAGGTGGTACATGTACACCTAAAGATGGATCTCCACGCTAATCTTTGTTCGCTCGTAGCAGGTGGGGACAAGGCATCAATGGTCAGCTTGCTGAGAAAAGGTATGTTAGAGGAACAATATATCTTTGTCTGGCGTCCTTTAGGACGCGCATTTGAAATGGAAATCATTGCCATGTACCATCGTCCTGACGCACGCCACCCCGTCGTCAAATTGCCTTACCAGCTACTCTCCCGACTACCGTCTCATCAAGTAGCCTGACTCCTATGAGCTCCGCATATAATCATACGGGCTTTCCTACTAGTCTCCATAACCCTCATCGCCGGAATCCCTTTTCAACTCCATCTGTATCGTCCGAGTTTGCGGTCGCGCCTGGCGACTTTGGCGTCTCAATAATCTCTCCCTGCTTCACAAGTCGCTTACTCATCACGTTATACTCGTATGCTTGAAGATCGACTGCTCGCCGCAGCGGGCTAATTTTGGTAGCCAATGTTTCTTCCAAGTCAGCAATCTTCTCTGCTTGCACGTTCTGCATATGATCGAGTATCTTGGCCTGCACAGACTTTAAGTGATCGTTCTTCTTCACCTGCTCTTGGAGGCTCTCTTCTGCTCGTGACCAATATCTATACGCAGGGCTGATTTGGCATTCTTCATTATGCGCCTCTTCTGCCTTGTTATACTGCGAGCTGTTCAGCCAGCAACACCTCCAAAATTCTCCTTGTGGGGTTTGACAATTGTGGATCGTCGTCAGAAGCGTGCCTACTTGATTCTTTTTCGAATTGAGATGCAAGGTCTCAAATGCCATTGATCTCTACTCCAAGCTCCGATCACTTACAGAGATTGTACAAAAGTGACTACCGCAGTCGTTATCGCTCGATGGACCAACTCTGGGTTTTCTACCATGGCGCAGATATATATATATATTTATAAAGGCCTCAGACAGCCATATTTTCTGAAGGGTCGATAGGTCCAGGACGAAGCTTTGCTGGTATTGCCCCTCATAAGAGATGTCGAGTCCAGGTCAAGAGAGATCTCTTGTGGTGATCAGCAGCCAAAACACTGGGATAATAGACTTTCTGTCAGTTGCTCTTGATGCACCTGAGACGCCTTTGGAAGTGCCCACAAACTTGTCAAATTTGACATCGTTCTTTGCCAGCAGCAGATTGAGCACTTTTCCGCAGATTTTGGCAAGACGTATGTACTACCGAAAGCGTCAAGCTCAAAGACTCCCACCAGAGTAGACGATAGCTACTGCATCAGGTTCAGAAGGTGTATATATATTTAGACGTCCTGCTGGCCATTTTCATCGAAGAGTTCAAGATATGTGAAATGATATGCTGTCTTGTTGTCCTTCCTTAGTGCTGTCGGTGTCCCAGGTAAGCAGTCTGCCTTTGGCCTTCAGAGGTAGTAATGTTGAGGCCGTACGGGCGAGAAAAGTTCTCAGATTCCGGAAAGATCAAACAGAGAGGGGCACCGGTCATGAAAGATATGATCAAAGAGAAGCTCGGAGATATCATCAACTTGAGAACGATGAAGACATGAGAGATTCGCTGATGACGGCCAGTGGGAGTTCCCACGTTGGGGCTTGAAGAAGAAGAAGAAAGGCAAAGGCAGGGGGAAAGCTCGAGTTTAAATAGAAGCAGCACGCGGTGGCAAATCAGGGCTAGACTAGAACAAAGTGTTTGTCACGCAATGATACCGTGTTGTTGGAGAGTGTGAAATCCAAGACATGCCATAAGACACGCTCGTGATACACTTCACACGATCTGTGAAGGACAGAAGAGAGTGAAGTCGCTCAATTGAGTTTAGCGTGCTTTTCTTTGTTCTGCAGCATTGCCTAATCAGACACGTAATTGATTCAAAATCGTCACGAAATACAATTCCCACAGATGCGAACATCACTCAACAATCTTCTCCAAATGCTGACGCCCCCTTCCAATCTCAAGCTGTGGTCGACTTGCCTCAGCATCCGATCCTTTTGCTACGCGCTACCTCCCAATGACGATCTTGTCATGAATCCTTGGCTTGAAAACATGCTGAATGCTATTCTTCTGAACGACATTACTCTTCGTCTTGTTCCTCGTCACTAGAATGTTTAGTCTGCTTCCGCCGGACTATCCGGAGTTCCTCGTCGCGTCTGGCCAGTTTGCCTGTCAAGACACCGACTTCCTTTTCTAAAGCTAGAACGCGAGCTTCCTGCTCACAAAGCACGTCCTCAGCACTCTTTCTTAGCTGATCAAGAGCTTGAGCGTGCTCAAGCTCCATTTGGTAGATCCTGGTAGCCTGCTTGCGCAGCCGGTCCTCTCCTCTTGACCAGTATTCGTACGCGGGATTGGTTCGGCATTCCTCTTCGTGGGCATCCTCTGCTATGTGGAAAGTAACATCCTCGTCTTTCCACATCTGCGAAAGAATTTTCGAAGCGCCCCGCGGTAGATGATGCGACTTGTAGAAAGCACCAGTCTTGCGCCCTTCATTAAGATATGCAGTCAGCTCCTTGACCCCGCTGATACTCGCTCCAGCCTTGGATCTCTCCGCCAAACTTTCCAGAAACCTCTTGCATTGTTCCTTGATAAATTTTCGGTCAACGACTAAAACATTTAGCACAGATTCTTGGGGAGATGGAAATATATCATTACCATTTCCAGGAGGCTTTCTCGAGTAGTACATTTTCATCTTTGCAGTCCAACTTTTCAGGACTTTATTCGACTGTCGCCTATGAGGGATGGTAGTCGACTCGAGTTTGCGCCCTGAATCTTTGGACTTCAACTTTGAACCCTGAGTTGGGGCCATTTAACAAGCTTCAAATAGTCGAGAGAGCAATGCTAAGGTAGATTTTTATGAGTTGAGATACGGCGCAAGGTCGATAAATGAGTGACAGAAGCCAACTTCTTATCTTCGGACACTCTCATTAGGCAACCCCGCATTTGTTCAGAGGCAAGTGTTGAGAGACAATTTAGGACATAAAATCCTGAGTGACTTGCGTCATTCACACTGGTGGCTGGGGAATTTGCCCCTATCTCTTCGCCTATGTGAATGACACCGATAGCGAAGTCACGAGGACGAAAGTATGACGTGATTCGGGTCAGTGTTGTGCTTTCAGCGCTTTCTATCACCAGCCTCCTCATTACAACACTCCAAATATAGTCTAGCTCTTGATGGCTGGCTGTGGGTACTTAAGGGTCTTCCCTCCCAAACATTTCTGTCTTCCTCCACATCACTTCCCATGAGTCCTTCATGTGACGTGGTTGCGGGTCATTGAGGGTCATTGAGAATCCGAGGGATGTACATCCTAGTGTTCATTTGCCAACCCATGATCGATCAACATTGGCGAGCTGATGGGTCTCGTCGCTCACGGAAAAAATCTGGCGACCAGTGGGCGTCGCGTCCAACATGCGGGTGGTGGAGCCGTAGACCTCCTGGAGCTCACGTAAAAAATTGCGACCTGTGGGCATCGCTCTCACGGAAAAAAGCTGGCGAGTGGGTGGGGCTCGTGTCTGCGGAGGGTATTGTGAGCAGCGGACCTCGTGGAGCTCACGGAAAAAACTTAGCGAACTGTGGGCATCGCTCTCACTGTAAACAAATTTGGGCGAGTGATGAGGCTCGTGTCTACACGCGCGTTGGCGAGCAGTTGGACCTCGTTGGAGCTCACGGAAAAAATTGCGAACTGTGGGCATCGCTGCATTTGAACACAATCCACTTTAAAGATGACAATTCCTTCGGGAGGGCAGGGAGTCCAGTGGATGCTCCTTGTCCCCATCATTCTACCACCTTAATGGGGTAGCATGGAGGGGATTTCTACCATGTAATTAGCACTGTCAGATATGAGGTAAGTCTCCATGTACGTATGTCCCTCCACTGTCTTTCAGAGCTTCTGCTGGCGTCAGTCGGCGCCTTCTATCGCACAACCAGCATGTACGATGCGCGAGAACATTCAAAGACTGGGGACTATGCAAGAAGCCTCGCCGACCATGACATGAAGTCGTCGACGTGAGATTGAATGCTCCTGCAGGGCGCCAAGTGGCGTTTTTAGGGGCCGCGGCCTAAAGTTGTCGGCGCAACCTTCCCTAAATTCTCATTGTTTGATCTAAGACAGAACAGCAACTCCACCGCGCGGACACAAGAGCTCACCAAAGCCTTAAGACTTCATCAAATAGATGATCGCATCAATCACGGCGTGTGAGAACGCGAATCTAGTCATTCACTCGTCTACAGTAGCCCAGAAAGCCTCTCCAGCGATGAACGACATTCCCGTCCTCCTTCCTCCTCGTCGACCTACCCTGTCCACTTCAGGTGTCCAGTGGCCCCAACGATTACAACACTACCCCAGAGCTCGAACTCCTGAGTCTGCGAATCAAGATGGAAGGATGTGGCACAATGATCATGATTGAAGAGCTGGATTTCGAACAAGGACAAATGCGAAGATCGAAAGATTAGTACACACAAGCAGCCCGTCTTACGGCTCGTGTCACGCGATGCTTTCAATGGCTTCTATCATACATGTTTAAGTACTTCAGGAGAGTTCACAATATCAGAAATACGAGCTGAGGGATAAAGAGCTCATACCCTCGCTGCCGACCGATGTCTACCCAATCTCACCGCGTGATCGTCTACACACATTTGAGGAACTGGAGCTCTTCTACAGTCTCAATCAAAGCCTCTTTTGCTGGCTCACAAACGAGGCAATTGCTTCAGGGCTAGCATCAAGAGGAGGACAGTATCCCGAGATCATGTCCTTGCTTCGTCCTCTTGAACAATTTTGACAGGGGCCGTTGCAGCTCCTTCCCTTGGAGGAATGCTCTTCAGTCTCGTTGGACACATTGTATACCGTGACGGAGCCCGGGGCGCTATGGAGGTCATGTCCAGTGGCTATCGCATCTTGTGGTACTATCCTTCACGGAATGCGGGCACCTCGAGCAGTTCTTGTTCATAATTTTGCAGATCTCCCTGGATATCTTCTCGCGGACGTAAAGTGACTTTCACACCGTCTTTGACGCAACATGTCAAAGTCAACTGCTCTTTCCAATCAGAAGGCCCAACGGCGGACATGCGATCAAAATGTTGCAGGAACTTGACTACCGTGCATTCCACCTCAGCAAGGGCTAGATTTTCTGCATATCTGTCAGCAAGATCTAAAATGAAGACCTACAGTGCTTGAAGCGGGTTCGCAAATGAAAGGATGACGTACGACCAAGACAGATGCGCGGACCACCGTTGAATGGCAGCCACTCCCATCCGATCTTTCTTCCAAACCATCGCTCCGGCCGGAATTCTTCAGCATCTTGTCCCCAAATGTCGGTTCTTCGATGCATTGCGTAGACGCAATAGCTTATGATTGTTCCCTTGGGCACTGCAATTGGCATATCGCCCTCTTCACCCGTTCCTCTTGGCAGTGCTGTCGTACGGACGGCTTGTCTGATATTGACGGGAACCGGAGGATGCAGGCGCAGAGCTAAATTCGATCAGATCTCATAGCTCGGTCAATCTCCCTGTGTTGTGGTAGGATGACTTACACTCTCGAATGCACCCTTGAAGGTACTTGAGATCCTTGAATTCTGCAGGATCTGGTCGCCTTCCTTCAAGAGTCTCGACTTCTGCCTTCAGTCGATGCCAAATATTAGGGCTGCGGGAGAGCACGAAAAAAAGATTCGAGAGAAGTGATGCAGTGGTATCTCGGCCTGCGACTAGCAGTGATAGAGCCTGATCTCTCAACTGCCCGATGTCTCCACATTGACCAGCCATGTCTGCGAGGATTGATGGAGGCTGCTTCGAAATATCTCCCGATTCTTCGCCACGACTCCTGTTAATAGCAATGTTCACATACTTCTCAGCGAAGGTCCGCACTGTCAAGCAATCCTTCTTGAATTGCGAATTGGGAACGAAATCTGCCACGGAGCCAACAACGAAACGATCAACTAGCCTCTGCTGACTTCGATTGAATGCATCTGCAAATTCAGTGGCTGCGCTGTCATTAGCTTTTGCCGCCGATAAGCTGTGACAGGAGTCCCCGAAGAGAAAACTTGTCGCCACATCAAGCGAAAAGCGAAAGAAAAGCTCTTGCAAATCCACGATTCCATCCCGCTTCTGCTGGGCATGCACCGTCTCCACGAGAGCATTCACGTGTATGTCAATTGTCTCCGCTCGAGACAAGCGGTCTTTCGCAAAGCTTGGCCGCAGTTGTTGGCGCGCTTCTTTCCAGATATGGCCGTCACTAGCGAAGATGCTGTCTCCGAGCAAAGGCCGAAAAGCATGTCTTCTCCGCTCCCCTAGTTCGAAATCCTGATGTTGCGTTGCCAACAGAGCCTTCAGATTCTCAGGCTCGCAAGTCACAATGATCTCAGAGCCGGGAATGCGAGCCACATATGTGTTCCCCGCTTGGGTGAAGCGCTCTTGGCATGTTGACAAAAATCTGTGCAGTCGTAAACGGTGATAGCTCGAGACTACTGTATCGAGTCCAAGAAAAGGGTCAAGCTGCCACAACCTCTTGGGACGTAACGTCTTAAACGACGTACCAAGAATAGAGCTCAAGATATATTGACACAATTTAATGAGGGCTAATATTGCAGCGAGAATCAAGGGAGCGAGTTCTGGATTCGAAAGCAACATGATGCTTGCTGCAACTAGTGCTCATCAAGACAGGTCTATGTTATAGTAAGAAATTGTCATCGGCGTCTCATCATTGCAACCCGGGATTCACCTCAGACACTACAAGCCTCTTGTGATACAAAACTGATAAGCCTTGGAATCAAGATTCACAGGCTGCGCTAATAGGATCCTCCCGATCTGTAAGTGAAACTCGGAGGCTCAATACAGAATCCCGTTACAGCCGAACCGTGTCCCGTAAACACGTGGATTGAACTTACTAGGCGAAGTCATTTATGATAGATGCGTCTGACATTTGAGCTCCACTAGGGCCCGTGTCGCGTTCATCCAGACACAGACACGACGTTTTGGTTTGATAAGGGGTTCCTTAGACCTGCTTCAGTCATTGACGCTGAGCATGTTTCGTTGATGCCGTACAGGCTCCTAAGATTGTCTGCAAACCGTCTCTCGATGTAGCCAATTGGAAATCGCTAGCTACGCTCACCAATCAATCATCAACCCGCATTTGTGACGCCCCAGTATGAAAGGTACTGGTCTTATCAATCTTGGGTACATCAAGAGAGCTACAAAGCATTGCTGGACCTATCTAACCCCTCAAAGCTTTGATGTTGGCTGAGAGAGCCCCTTATTTACGTCAGGGTTAGGCCTCTTTCGAGCCTCAAACTGCCTCTTCATCCAAAACAGCCGATCATCATCAATAGTCCGCTTAGACCTTGAATCGGTGCGCTCCCACAGGTCCTGCGTCCTCTGTTCGTCCTCTCTCCAACGTTTCAATTCTTGTGTCAGCCACCGTCCAACATGTACAGCAATTTCCGCAGGCTTTTCGAACGTCAGAAAATGCCCGCACTTCTCAACGATAACATCCGCTACTGCACCTGCAGCTACACCACCGCTACCGCCAATACCCGTACCAGTCACCTCCAGCTTGTCAGCCCTTCCTTGCGGCTTCGCGCCTGCCATCAATGAATTTGAGCCATGGATATACAAGCACGTGGGACGAAGATAAGGGAGCTGCATAAACGTCAGGGGAGACTCCGGCCGATAAAATGCGTTCGTATAATTCCGAGCATCTCCCGAACCCAGGTCTGGATGCGAAAGCCCGGTTGGCTTCAACTCTGTGAGTGGTCTCTTGTCAGGTGGGTATGCTGCACGAGCAAAGGTAAATATCTCGTTGTGCTTCGTTGTCGTCAGTGTTACTGGTCGTGTTCCCGTTTCAATCTTTCCATCATACAGCGATGTCGGTAAGTCGCGAAGAGCGTGTTTGCCCCAAAGACGAAACGCTCGCTCGTCCCATCGCTTAAAAAGTGGGTTTCGCCCTGCCTCTGCGATTGCTTTCTCGCGGCTTTCCCAAATGTCTTTTTTGAGTGCCAGGCCGTAGAAGGTGTTGAAAGTGTTCTGCATCTCTTTCGCACTACGATTGATCGTAGGCTCGATTGCAATCACCGTGGTCAGTAATCGTGGGTGGAGTAGGGCCAGATTGATCATCTGGTTGCCGCCCATACTGTGGCCAATGCCGACTATTGGACGGAGCATTTGGTCGCGAAAGTGATTGACCATCAATAGCAGATCTCGTGCGTGGTCAAACCAGGATGCTACTCAAACTTGTGAGTAAGTCGTTGCATGATCAGCACAAGTATTCTTACGGTCATTGCCTGTTTTGTCTTCATTCATAATACCGCTGGCGCCTTGGTGAGCCACATCAGCGAACCAAATGTTGCGTATTCGTAACCCATTTCCTTGCTTAGAAACTTGTAGCAAATCGTCCCATAGCGGTTCGTACAGCTCTTTGGGAAAAGCACTCGAGTGAGCACCAATGATGGTCACATCTCCCGGCTGCGGTGAGAGATTGTCCAGCGGCGTGTATTGCTTAATCTCAAGATGCAAAACCTCCTCCTGTTTTCCAGCTAATGATCTAGGATATCCTCGAATGTGCTGGCATGGCACGACGTGCTTCTCGCAGCGAAAATTGGCAGTTGACATTTAGGCAGCTGTATACTACTCAAGTACAAACTTTCCTCATTACTTTCTGTACATGCAACTACGCTATCACTGTCTTTGAATGGCGAGATGATGCAAACAACCCCTGTGATCGGCAATACACTTGACACAAAGCTTCGAAGCGCGCTTGCAGGGTATTAGGGACGGGTCGCATATTCTCCCAAATTCAATGATAAGCTGATCAATGTGGGTCATTAATGAGACAGCTTTCGTATCGGCATGTGACTATGGCAATTCATGCAGTCGAGTGGGTTTCGCCCGCACAGTCCTCAGGGCACGACATTGTCGAAGTTTCAATGACCATGGACTGTTGACTCTGCAACGTACCTCAAACGTGATTCCCCGTACAGAAATTTCAAAGCTTTCTTGAGGACTTACAATCCCAGCTACTAACGATGGGAGATTCACAGCTCCCAAAGTCCACCAAATCCAGCTGTGGTCACAATCAAGACCAGCAGCAAGAGAAAGCGCCCGCTACATATCACGCCTCCCCAATTCCGTCCAGCAAGCCACACAGAAAACCCCCCACTTCTTTCTGGCAAAAACAATGGCAGCACCTCCAATCGTCCAACACAGCACCCGCCACACCCCCCGACGGCGGCCTCACAGCCTGGCTCCAAGTCCTCGCCTCCTTCCTCATCAGCCTCAATAACTGGGGTCTAGTCAACAGCTTCGGCGTCTTCGAATCCTACTACTCCACCACCCTGCTCCCCACATACTCCCCCTCTGCCATAGCCTGGATCGGGACGCTCCAAGGCTCGCTCCTCCTCATCGTCGGCGCGCTCTCCGGTCCTGTGTCTGACATGGGGTATTTTAAGCCCACGCTCGTGGTCGCTGGATCCCTTCTCTTCCTTGGCCTCATCATGCTTAGTCTGTCGACAAAGTACTACCAGGTCATGCTCTCGCAGGGCGTGCTCATGGGCGTGTGCTCGGGCTTCCTGTATATTCCGAGTGTGGCGCTCATCCCGGTGTATTTCAAGAAGCGGAGGGGCTTGGCGCTTGGGTTGGCTGTTGGCGGGGGGTCGATTGGTGGTGTTATTTATCCTCCCATCTTCAAGAGCCTGCTGAGCTCTGTGGGCTTCGCGTGGGCGGTCAGGTTGATGGCTTCGATCGCTTTCGTGTGTCTTGCTGTTGCGGCTATGATTATTGAGCCGACGGGACCTCGTGCCAGGAGGCAGTTGATGGATTGGAAGGCTTTTAGGGAGGTGCCTTATGTGGCTTTGATGGGGACGGCGTTCTGTAAGCTCCATCTCCCTTCTTCCTCAGTCCTTCCCCATGACTTCCACTACTATGCCCCTTCCGACTATCTGCACGAAACACATGCTGAACCATGCGAAAGTCACCTTCTCCGCCATCCTAGTCCCCTTCTTCCTCACGCCCACCTATGCCGCGCAAACCCTGCACACCTCGCCCACCCTGTCGTTCAACCTTCTCGCAATCCTGAACGCCGCTCAGTTTCTCGGCCGCGTTCTTCCGGCTTGGGCATCTGATATCACCACCACCACCACCATCACCCCTGCGCCTACCTTTGCCTCTGGCCCTGCACCTAAACACCCCCGTCCCTCCTCCACTACCACTACCAACCACCCTACCCTTACTCCTACCGCTCCCCACCCTTCCTCTCCAAACCACACGTTCCGCCTCCGCCACCTCCTCCGCCCCGAAATCCTCCTCTGTCTCGCCAACGCCCTCGCAGCCCTCCTCGCATTCACCTGGCCAGCCATCCACGCCCTCGCGCCTTTCATAACGTGGGAAGTTCTGTTCGGGTTCACGTCGGGGATGCAGTCCACGCTGCCTGCTATTGTGTTGCCGATTGTCAATAAGAATGGAGTGAAGGGTTTGGGCACGAGGTTGGGTATGGTGTATTGTTGCGCTGGGGTGGGGGTGTTGATTAGTGGGCCGGTGGCTGAGGCGTTGGGGGGTGGTGATGGGGGTGGAAGGGGAGGAAGAGGAGGAAGGGGTGGAAGGGGAGGGAGAGGAGGGAGGGAAGGGAGGGGGTTCTTGGGCGCGCAGATCTGGACGGGTGCGTGTTTGTGTGTTGCGGCGGGGTTGTATGTCGTGGTGCTTAGGGAGGCGTGGAGGGTGAGGAGGGTGCAGGGGAAGTAGTTGGTTTTTTAACGAGGGGTTTGGGCGGTGAGGGCTGGAGATGAACGGAGTTGGGTCACGGGAGATGGGGACTTTGGGGACCTGGGATCAGAGATGGTCTGGTCAGCCTCTTTTACAGGGCAAGCTCGCTTCACAAAACAAGATTTACTCGACGAGGACACAGGATCGCTCAGCAGCATGGGGGTCACACTTTTCGATACAACGCGTTCAACTAGGCAAGGCCCTTTAATTTAGAAGGCAAAGATGGATGATGCAATCGGCTCCAGGTCATGATGCTTCATACAATTCGACCTTTGCATCTCCCAACCCGGCACAAACGAACGCGGATGCCCGAGCAAAGAGTGAAATAAAGAATGTGATCTTTACGCTGCTGACGTCGTGTTAGTGAAGTTGTTACTTCTCGAGCGAGACTTGCTTGTGCACAGGAAGCTATTAATCCTTCCGCCAGCCTCGACAGTGAATGTACAAACGCATTTCCAAGACTGAGAATGTTTCATCTCACAGTTATAATTGACATCGCAAGGGCCAGCACGAAGCGATACTCCTTCACTTTAGCCTGCATCGAACCGATGAAACGATCCACCATCGAAATCAGTGAAAACAAATGCACATAGTTCACAACCCCAGAAATGAGAGTATGGTGAAGATGCCCTTGAGGCCGAATTTCGACGAAATACGTCAAAGAACTTGTAACCAAGACTGAGCCCGACGCAGCCTTTGTAACCAATTGTTTCAAGTCCAGGAGCCCTTTCTTCTCTCCGCCTCATTGTTCGACTGAATATCATTCTGAGACAATGACTTGATACAGCAACGCTCCTATGTGCAGCCTCCGATAATCCTTCACCTCATTTCTGCCCTTCTACTTCACCAATATTTGCTCACACAAAATCTAAGCCCTACACCAAAAACAACAAAAAAATGCATTTCACACTCCTACCAACGCTGGCGCTGGTAAGTCTCGCCGTTGCCGCTCCCACCACCAACACCACCACCATCCCAGCCGAACTTAACTCCACAGAACCCTCCTCCCTCCTCCTCAAACGATCAAGCAACGGCTGGATCGGCTCCGCCTCAGCCGCCCACTGCCGCACGACAGGTACACTCCCCAAAGACGCGCACAAAGACGACCCTAATCTCATGGATGGGGGATGGTACATGAAACCACGGCCTGAGTTGACGGAATCGCATAAATGCTACCCCTTTGGACCGCAGACGGATGATGTGGGTGTGAATTGGTACCTCCCCCCCCCCTTTCCCCTTTCCCCTTCCCCCTTTCCCTCTCTCCCCTTCCCCCTCCTTCCCTTCCCCTTTCCTCTTCTTTTTGAATGATAACTAACGGTTTGGTTTTTGGCGGGAAACAGGGGTTCAGCAGCCGGAACCTTCACACGCTTAATCCTCTGGGATAATGCCAGTTGTAGTGGCACGCCCATGTTTCGCATCAATCAGATCGAGCATAAATATGGGACGTGCTTTCGCACCAAGGATTTCCCCGGCTTGTCTGCTGTTATGCCTATGTGGCGCGATGATTTGAAGGATGGGAAGTGGTTTGATGGAAAGGATGGGGCGCCGCAGGGGAGTTATTAGGTTGGGGTTGGGGTTGGGGTTGTGGGTTGTGGGGTGGATATATTAAATGAAAGGTTTTTTCAGAATTAAGGTAATGAAGATATATACTGGTGGGGTATTCCGCTGTGGATTTTGATGTGCAAGATCGGTATGCACAGCTAGCTCTCTGATGACGAAGAATTAGACGTAGGATTTTCATTGAAGCAAAGCTGGAGGCTATAACGTACTACCTCCGCCATATAAATATCGCCTCAATTTGAGACACAGAAATCAAAGTCTGTTCAAAAAACTGTTCACAGATTACATGCAATTAAGCTTCCATGCGCATCGTTACTCTCTTGCAATTCCAATACCAATCCCATCCCCACGCAAACTTCATACAGACACGACCTTTCGCAAGCAAGACAATCTCATAGCCCCAGATCAACACCACAAACACATTCTCCCACATCAGGCCTCGTCAGTCAATAAGGCAAGGGGAAAAGAAGAAGATGGAAGAAGAATGGCGGACGTGAACCCCTCACCTTTCGATTATGATGACCAATCCATAAGGGTAAGAGCGGGGGAGGGAAAAAATAGCCATTTCTTCCTCGCATCTGAGCTGGCAGGAACGGTTGGGGGAGGGGGGTGAAGACTTGAGGACGTCATTGTTCTGCTCTTTTGGAGGACGTCGTGGATGCGTGTGCTTCATGCTGGTGTGGATGTGAATAAGGGATTCGTCGATATGCGTTCATGGGAGTAACGTTGACTGTTGTGGAGTCAGGTGGGTCAGTTGGCTAGGAATACAACTTTAGAGGCTTGGGTGGACCAGAGATGAGGGAGCTTGGTATGGGGGCCTCCTGGAAAGAAAACGAGGGGGGAGGGTGATGACACGGAGGAAGGTGAAATGAATTTATGGTACTGTCAGAATTGTAGTCTGAGGGACATTTGGAAGAGATAGTGGATTGGTTGGGACGACGAAGGAAGGTTGGAGTCCGATAGAGTCGTTGAATGTCAATGTGGGATAGGTTAAGAGATTTCCGGCGTTCATTGTCCGTGTCTGGCGGTCAAGCGTTGGTATTGTTCGAATCTCTCGTTCTCTTCTGGTTCACTGTGGAGTGGAGAGAAGTGCCCGACGGGCCTCGCATCATACGTCGGCTTTCGAGCAAGTTATGCGCTGATCGCGAAACCGACATCTTGTTCCAGCTATGTTCGACGAGAATCCCAGTCCTGCACTTGTGCATGACTGGTCTCTTCGTTTACATATAAGTTTCAGAGCTAAGATGCGAATCGGGCTTCAAGGATGGCCCTTTTCAGATATCAAGATCAGGTGATTATTGATCAGCGGAGGTGCTGACGCTAGGATGTTAATGTAATTGTATCGCCATGCCGCACTAGTCGGGAACAGGGCCTTTCGAACGGACCAACAGGCCGCGTATGGTCTCCGCTGTCACTCGTTCTTAATTTCGACACGTGGACCTGTGGGGAGCCGTATGTCAGCAGTCATTCCATCAGCACTAGGGCGGGAGACGAGCTGTGACAGGTCCGAAATGTACGGTTCGTATAGCCTTCGTTTAGGCTGACGCGGATGTATAGAGGCACAAAATGGGGCTGTTCGCCCGATGAGCCTCGAAAATTTGGAAAGTGCCATTCACATTTCAGGCTAGGTAATTGCTCGTACGATGGCGGACGCAGCGTTAAATCGGTTCCCATCAGGAACATCTTGGTCATTGGCAGCGGAAGCCTACCGTCTAGTCGACCAGTATGTCTCGCTTCCTCTGTCTCTGGACCTTGCTACGGCAGTCCAAGAAATTCTCCCGTTGGATACGCCTAACGCCTTGGCTTTTGACAACGGATGTGGCCCTGGCACCATGGTTGCCGTGCTGAAAACTTTGGCCTCTGACCTGCCAGTTGTCGCGAGCGACCTGTCAGAAGGTATGATCGCACAGCTCCAAGACCGTGGGAGGGAGCTTGGGTGGAAGAATGTTGAGGCGAGTGTTGTTGATGCCAGGGATTTGAACGCATTGAGTGTCGGGGCCATACCTGAAAAGTTCTCCCACGTCTTCAGCACCTTCATGGTATGTCTCGCTCAGGAGCCGGAGAAGATAATGAAGGAGATGTTCCGTGTGATGAAGCCTGGTGGAATATTGGGATTGGGCGTCTGGGCTGAGCCCTACGTATCATTCTGGAATGATGCGTTTACGAAGGCCGCGAGGGAGTTAGAGCCAACATATTCCCCGGTCAAGTTGATGGCGGAGCAGTGGACTTTTCGCGAGGAGGTTGAGAAGAGGATTCGTGAAGCAGGTTTTGTGGATGTGAACGTATGGGAGACGCAGAAGTCTCCAACTTTTCCAAATGTTGAACAACTGGCTGCTGTTTTCATAGAGGGAAGGAATCCAGCGTTGCAGAAGATGATCAACTCCTGGATAGTTTTGGGAAGAAGTATGGATGAAATGTTGCCTCTATTCACGAAGGCACTGGTTGAATTGTATGGGCGTCCAGATGGAACTCTTGTGGGGCCTGTGCATGCTTGCTTGAGTACAGCAAGGAAGCCCAGTTAAGCTGGTGTACTCTATGGGTGACTTCGCCAGCAATGTAAACAGCATTGTATATGATCTCATCGTCCAGTAGCCCAGTAACGGTCGAGGTCGCTTTGTTTTATTCTACAAGCCATCAGTATATCTTGCAAAGAGATACGGAGCTACAGGGCACTCACTCGTAACCCCACTGAAAACAAGTCTGATGCACAACTGGGCTGACGTCCTGCGCATCCTCATCTTCGCCGTAATCAAAGACTTCTCTGACACCCAGCTGAGTGTACTTCTTCAGCAATGTCCTCCTCCACCTCCCATTCTCTCCCACGCATCTTGCCCAACGTCCAATTTGCCTCTCATCATCTTCGCATCTCCTTCCCATGAAGAAGCGGCAGTACCATTGAAACCAGCCGCGTGGGTCGTAGCGATGGTCTATCCATCCTGCTGCCTCCCACTCTTCAATTGACTGCCCACACTTGACTTTGTATTTATTCACTTCAGGGTCGTAGTCGGGCGAGGTGAGGAAAAGGGAAATATCGAGTCCAGTGTACCATTCTTTTGGTATATCATCCCAGTCATCAGAGATTGTGGCGCGTAAATGACGCGAATAAAGAGAGCGGAAGTAAGAGCCTCCAAATACACCTTCGCGAATCATGTCTTCTGGAGATTTATTTGGGACGAAGAGAGGGTAGTCGGCAAAGCGAAAGGTTGTGTCTTCGTCTTGTATGGGTAGGGAAGCCGCTTGAGTCCACGATTTCCAGCCTGCGCGTACCTCGGAAATGTCTGCAGAAGAGGGAGGGTCGCTGGTAGGGAGGGCAGTCTTGACTGTAGGTTTCATGACCGTTTTCTTTGTAGATTTAGATCTTCGTGGTCCCACCTCATCCCCAATTGCATCTTCATTGTAGACAGCTTTCGCAGGCGCCGCAGCGATGCGCGCCGAAGACCGCGAGGGTAATTGTGACTCGATTTTTCGCTTCTTCGCTGACGGTTGTCGTGATGCTACTATCCTCACGCGTGAGGCTGGCTTATGAAGGATCCCAAGTTCTTTGAGATGCGCTTTGTTGCGTTGAATATTGGCTTTCCTCAACTCCTCAATGTCGGCCAGCTCTGGCCCGTTCGGCCTCATGTCGGTGCTTTGTAGCAATCAATGTGACTCTAACTACACATTCAGCGGATCAGAGTCCAGATGCGTCAACGGGCCATCCATGCGTATAATACCGTTAATACGACCCTGAACAAGCGGTGATGTCATGCGCTAGAGCTAGCGGTGAGCCTCATACGGTATTTTAACCGATAGCACCGCCCCTTGCTCTCCTCCATTCTCCTCCAACATTCTCTCACCTCTGTTTGCGCTTTGGGAAGAAGATCTTCGTGCACCGTCAACATCAGCGATCAATACTGAAGATGACTTCCACCCAGCAGAGCTATATAATCAAGTTCCAGAAGTGGCGGACCTCGTAGTCAAAGAGCTTACTGTCACGGAGACGCAAATGCTTCTCATCAGGACTGATGATGCTCTTACAGCCTTTTGTTATGGTCCCGAGTATATTTTGGAACGCTTGCTAGGCATCAGCTATGAATGATACTATGCAAGGGAAAGGCTGTACAAGTTGCCATCTCCGCCACGTCTTCCACAAGGCACATGGGAGAAGAAGCTTGTTGGAAAGCAGCTGATTTCGGAGGATGCGCAGCCAGGAGTTGATGTACGTCCTATGATTATTCCCACAATTGAATTCCACCGCGTTACGAATAGCTCTGGACAAAAACGGGGCGAGAACTACCTGCTAACCCCTTTTGACCAGGACGTTCGAACGATCCGATGTCCTTGAACCAAATCTTGTAGGAGTTTCCGCAAACGCAGACGACATCCTATTTGATGAGATTCGGTGAAATTGTCCACAGAGAAATCTTGGACCTGGCTGCCGCTAACAGAGTGTCAGACTTAATGTCAAATCGCGTCAAGACCGGGTGACTCACGTATACCATCGCTAAATACGAGCGATACAATCCGAGACCTGGAGTCCTTGGCCGTGGTACTTGCTCAGCAGAGTATTTCATGGAGGTACCAACAGGATCCAGACTTTCTAGGCACGAATGTTATTCTAACGTAGCAAACGCTTACCAACAAACATGACGGGGCCTCCTTTCGTGCAGACTACAGCGTAGGTAGCCGCCTACTACTCTATTTCATGGGAACCATCGGACAGAGCGCTGTCGAGCGCACTCAAAATCGAAGGCCATTACTGGTGAAAAAAGCAACCGACGCCGAAGGATTCACACTAGCCCTCGAAGGATTTCGGCCTGTCAATTAGCCCTATACGGCGCAGAGATCCTCTACGCACGCAATCTTGTCTTGACCCGAAAGCATTCAACGCCGCAAATCTTGCGGCTCATGCATAGCCGCAAAACCTAATCTCACTCAACCAAGCCCGGGGTTCTAAAGACACCCCGCCGTATGTCGATATCGAGAACATAGCATTCAGGCTTTCGTGTACGGAAGAGTCGAAGTGTCCCCTCGAACCAACCAGAGCCTAGATCATTGAGCCTCAGGGGCGCAATTGCTGGCCCACGCTTCGAAAGGGGTTCTAGGCACGCAGAGCGCCACTCGCCCGTGTTGGCGATCTATTTTCATCCCTCAAAGGTCAAAGGTCTAGAGAGTCTATGGTGGAATGGGCGACCATCGCCCATGAATTGCTCGGTCAGTCACGTAGATGACATTTGAGATTGGACGTTTGAAGGGGGAACGTCTAAACCAGGCACACTAGGGTGGCCCGGTATATTTGCCCTGCAGATGTCCAAAAAATTGGTCCGACTGTGCCGTATTTGATCATATTCTAAGTGCTTCGAGTGTCGAGCTGGCTCCAGTCAGCCTCATAATCGTGCAACTTTGACTGGATTCTAATGTCGAAGCCTAGTGCTGCACACTAAATGCCCGGCATTTGGATCACATACGTCAGAGGCAGTGATCATTTCTTGTTTTCAATCAACCATTCTACTTGATCTCCGAAGGACATCAGTGATTTCTCATTCAACTCGTGCTCTGATTTGGTTCTGATCCAGCGATATACACCAGAAGTGTCATGACAATGACGACTACCAAACCGCCACTGACCCTTTCTGCCGTGTTTGACAAAGTGCCTGAGGTCGCCGACCTAGTCGTCAAAGAACTTGATCCAAACGACACAAAGGACCTCTTGATTGAGACTGACCCCTTGATCACGAGATTTTGTCACGGAAAAGGCGGCGGATTCGATCGTCTGATTGCCATTAGTTCGGCAGGAAAGAAGGAGAGAAAAGGCATCAAAAGGCTACCCTCTTTACCTCGCCTCTTGGAAGGCGAATGGCGGAAACGATTGATGGGAAAAAGACTTGTGGCGGAAGATGCAGAGTCTGATGACACGGTATGGGGCTTCTTTCCTTGCACTGCTTGCATTTACGTCCTTGTTCTATGGCTCTTCCAACACTCTCTGCTTCAATGAAACAAAACATTACTGATCGTTGTTTCAACAATAAAGACGTTCAAGAAGTCCGATATTCCTGCTCCAAATCGTATCGGCGCTGCGGCTACTGATTGTTACATGGATTTCAAGAAGAACAGGTGATTTGTCCAATCTTGTGACAAGCCTGTCGGAGCTAATCTATCCTCAGATTGAACGTGTATCTTTGGGAGGGCAAAGTAAGTAATGTTGGATACGGCTAAGTCATTAAAGAGGAAACTGGTGGGGGACCAAAATGCTACACGGCCTCGAATCCCCGATACTTGTTTCACCTTGGGCCTCTCCACGAGAGATGGATGGTATCTTGGCGCTGCGCCCAGAGAATAGTCTTGTCTCATGCGCACTCAATCCTTCAGCATCATCTAGATTCTGTCCTGGATGATTTGGCGATTGCTGGGGGCAATTTCATCGTGGCTATGGCTCCGCGCACCAATGAAAAGCACGACTGACCGATGAGTAAACATTCAACTAGATTTTCTTTCCGAAGGATTCGTTCCAACCGCTTGCATAAGTTAGTGCGGCACTTCGACGTCTCTAGTGTCGACCGAAGGATCTGCATTAGGGTTCAGTGATATCAAGGTAGCGCATAGCCGGATCCTCTCCACCAATCAATATTCCAACAAGGCTGAGGCTCTTAAGCAGAGCGTTAAGCCATTGAAGATCCAATTATGGTAGCTCGATGCAAAGCATTTGGCCATTTGAGATCCTACGAATTTCTAAGTGGCCTCACCTACTGCTAATTACTTGGCCGAGGCGTTCATGTTCAAGCCTCTAGCGGCGAAGGGTTTCGAAAATCTCGGGATTCCCCCATGAGTAAGGCGGCTGTACATGGTTAGATCAACCGCAGAGTCAAGACCGCCTCGACCGAGAAAGCTGCTCTCAAGTTCAGTTCCTAACATTAGGCGGTGCAACACGCTCGTTTCATGACTACGAAACAGATCCTATGGGCAGAGTGTGGCTTTTGCATTATTATTTTGAGGCGGAGGAGACCAAGAAGGCAGGACATGGAGTGGACAACCTGGCGTGAGAACGCAGGTATAAGTACGGTGATGGCCTCCAGACGTTCTTATTGCTACAAACACTTCCCTTTAGCATCTTCCCAAGACCTTACAGTTGACTCATTGAACACGAACCTTCCACCATTTCGGGCGCTTCTTAGATTCTCTAAAACTATTCCCATCTACTGAGACACCTTTCTCTGGTCAACTAGCCAGCTTTAACCACCGACCGGCAAGATGCTGGTTGGAGCACTCCTTCTCGCTCTCATAAGCGTCGCGCGAGCCGATAATAAATGGTATGCGATATGGCCTACGGATAGCGCGAACAAGGCCGCCAACCAGAAGATTACGGATGATCTGACTTCGAAAGTCAAAGACAACCTTTTCGTTTCCAAAAGTGGGCTGGGTAACCACTACTGGTATGCCCTTCTAAGCGATGATGATAAGAAGCACTATGACGGCTTTGACGGTGTTCGCCACGTTGCATTGCCAGAAGCAAATTCAGGAGACAGATATTTCAAACCAATAACTCAACAAAGCCGATCGCTACACAAGAGAGATCCTCCGGAGTCACAAAAACCCGCACCCGATCACCTTAAAATTATCTCGCAGGCCAATGGCCAGAAATTTTCTGACTTGGACGGGTACTATTACGACAAATCTGCGGGAGATGGCATAAAAATCTATATCATTGATACAGGACTCAATAAGCACGATGTAAGTTTCCCTGCCACTTCCACCATTTTTAGTACTTACGGAAGTCGTGTAGACCGAATTTCCAAACCAGATCAGCTGGCTTCACGCGGGCCCCTTCCCAGACAATGTAGAGAATGACTCGGATACTTCCCCGGATGAGGGCCATGGGACTTGTATGGCTTCCTCAGCCCTTGGTGTGAAAGACGGGGTAGCTAAGAAAGCTGTCCTCACTATGGTCAGAGCCGATACCCATACTAGCACCGACAAAATTCCCGATGGAACAGCGATTTCGCCTGAGCGCTGGATCGATTCTTTGGCAATAACATATGACGACATTGTGAAGAACAATCTCAAAGGAAAAGCAGTCGTCAGTATGTCTTGGGGTGTTGACCAGAAGAAGGAAGACAACGCTTACTCCGAGTGTATTCGGGACGCTTTCAAATTTCTCTTGAATGAACTTCTGAAGCTGGATGTTCCTCAAATCATCGCAGCCGGCCAGAATAAAGGACTCCCAGGACCAGGTGTTGATCCAGATCTGATAACTACATATCCTGCCCTCCTCGGAGTAGGCGACACCCCAGACATCCCAGGTCTCACCGTAGTTGCCTCAGTGGATAAAGATGGTGACTATGAAGCAGGTAGCAGACGGGATGATAAAAAGACAATTGCCGCAATGGGTGACGGAGCAGAATGCGCAAAATCATCTGGAAGTGGAGAGTACATTACATCAGGAACATCACCTGCTACAGCCCAAGTAGCGGGACTTCTCGCATATTTCATGAAGCTTGGCAAGTCAGGAGCTGACGCCCGCACACAACTATTTGACAAGGCTTACAAGCGATCCTCAGGCAATGACCCAGCAAGCAAAGTCGCCTGGAATTTGATCAACACACGCGACCCCGGCAGCGCAAGCACCCCCGCAAATCCAACCGCATCCTCTGGTAGCACACCAAACGGCCTCCAATGCAAAGGAATTGGCGGTGACCTCTGGGTCTTAAGCCGCGATCAGGCAGCCGAAGCAGCAAGACAGTTCTGCGGCCAAGACGTCTCGCCAAAAGAATACTACCAAGGCAGCGCCAACTACCTCTCCCTAGAAGTAGCCAACGTCAACGACAAGACCAAACCTATGACCGCGGCCCCCGACTGCGCAAACACGTTCATCAGCCAAGTCATCGACGGCTGTGACGGCTCCGACAAACTCAACAACCCTTTCAACTACAAATTCGGCGGCACTTTCACCACCCCCGACGGCTGGCAATTCACGCTGACCCCGAAAGCGCAGAAGACCAAGGACGAGAGCTGCAACGTCAAGTATAAGTTCCTCTTTGACGATTTTGAGGTCCAGGGGAAGTATTTCCCAGATGCAGTCTTGGGCGCGAATGGAGAGGGTCTGCAGAAGCAGATTTCGGGCTGTGGGAAGCTGGAGAATTGGAATTTTCAACGCCATGCGACTGATCAGGATAATGAGTGGCAGTGGACGGCGAGTGGGCGGTTGCCGATTGGAACGAAGAGCTGTGTTGGCAGCGCCACGAGGAGCGCGGGAGGGAATGATAATGCGCCTGATGGATGCAAGGGAGCTGGTTAGAGCTACCTACTTTGAGCGTGGTCTTGCATTGTTTGGGTTATATCTATCGAGCGTTTTTAGCGAGCGAGGCGCATTTTGCGATGGTAGTGTATGATAACATCCGTTTAGATATAAATGGCGATGTATACATAGCGACTGCACTTTGTATTTTAGATATTACCGTCATCTAGACAGGGATAATGATGTCGAGATAGCAACTGCATCTCTCCCTCTGCATATTCCCATCATTTCAGGCATCTACATATCTAAACCTCCCCCAAAAAGACTTCGATTCTGTTGGCAGTGCCTAATTCGGCTTGGCGCCGACGTTGCTGCCGCCTTGCATCAATTGATTATCGCCAGCCTTCTCACCAGACCTACACGAACAAGCGCGACACAGAACCTCCCAGAGATCATGGCCTCTAGGCCGATCTCTTCAATAAAATCCCTAAAGTCATCGATCTAGTCGCTCCACAGCTCGATCCCAGCAAAACCGTACGCTTATTAACACAAGTCGATACCACTATCGCAAGGTTCTGTCACGCTAAATGCGGTGGCTTCACTCGATCGGAGGGTATCAGTCAGCGAGGCAGGAAGATCCGATATCTACCTTCTTTGTGTCGACTGCTGAGAATTGAAGGGGAGGGGAGGCTTATTGGGAGGAGGGTGGGAGGGTGGGAGGGTGGTTATGGAAGATGAGGAGAGAGATGATGTGGTATGTGATACTTCTCTGCTTCAACGATGATAATAGTCCTGCTAAGTCTGAACTGCTGACAAAAGTTTGACAAAGACTTTTAAATGGTCAATTATTCCTGATCCAACGCTCGGGGATCAGGGGGTGATAACATGGACGTTTAGAGGAATATGTGATCTGACTGGCTTTGTGATTTCTTTGATAGGGATGAGGGCTGGCTGTGAATTTAGATTGGAAGTTTGGTTTGGTAGTGAGAGGAAGGTAATTCAAGTCAGTCATGGTTGAGTCATTGGGTAGAGGTAACGCAAAAGATCTGCAATTGCTATTTGTTCCTTCAATGTACATGTTTGAATGCATTAAAAATGCCTGCTAATATTGGAACTCCAGAAACGCTATTAACATCCTAATGAATTGAACAAACAACACACAAGAGCGGCAGTGACTGTGACACATGGACATCACTCATTTGTTCAGTCCTACTCTAAATACTCATCCGATATTTTCGCCCGTGTCCGACCGCGAGCTATCTGCTATCAATCAATGAGTCTTGCTGATGTTGATCATGAACGGCCATCTCGACGATGACGATTCAGCAGAGCTTGAAAATAAAGGCAGGCCAAAATCGGCGAAGCTTGAGACCTACATCAGCAACATTCACTATCGTCACTCAACGGACATCAATCGACAAATCTTTAGTCATGGCACGACGCAAAGTCCTCCAATCCTCAGAAGCGATCGCTGCAATCGTATCATACTATTTTGCGGCTCATTCAATCCTCCCCACATCGGACACCAGCAATTACTTACACATACTTTCTGGAATAGTGGAGCCGACTTAAACATCATAGCGGCAATAATCTTCCCTTTGGACGACGAGCGCCTGGAAGACAAATTCAAACGCAAGAAAGACACAAAAATCTTCCCGAAGGCCGAACGTGTACGACTGTGGAACGAGAACAATCCTAGCCATTGGTTCTGGGTGTATGACCGTTTTTTGGATGACTGGGACGAATTCGAACGATTGTTGATCGAGGACACTCTCATCGATGGGTACGACGTCAAATTCACGTTTCTATGTGGAGCGGAGTTCGTCGATACGCCAGCTCTGCCTGAGCGACCGTGGGATTGCGAGGAGATCATCGTCAGCGACGTAAATAGATCTGGTAATTTTTACGGACAAGGCTTCATAACACCGAGAACCATCGAAGACTATCATCCTTGGGAAATGATTCCCTTTTTACCAAAGCCGAAGGCTGGAGGAGGCGTCATTAAATTACCTGGCGTTTCCGTATTGTCGAAATCAAGCTCATCACAATCCTACCTCAAAGAAAATCAACCTGCTCCTAGCAGTCCGTCTATTCTGGAGAACCAAACCCACCAAACCCACCAAACCCACCAAAACCTAGAAGGCAGCCAAATAGGCGGCAAGCTTTTCTCAAAAGACTCACATCGAAACTCAACCGTCTGGGAGTGCCGGCTCAAAAGCGAACCTCTGTGCAGCATCCGATTCGTGCCGGGCAATACTTCCCAGCGCGGGATTAGCTCGACACTCATCCGTGAATATATCAAGAATTTCTCGGGTGGAGAGCTTTATGAGAAGATTAAGGATCTGGCTTTGAACCCGGAGATACTGGTTGAGTTATTGGATTGGTGAAGGGAGGGGGGGGGGGGGAGCAAAAAGACTTGACTGGGTTGTGATGCGAAGAATGGGCGTTCTAATTTAATTGAGACACTGATGAGGACGAAGTGAGCTTTTCACTGGGGCAATAAGACGGGTTTGGGCTTGGGGTTAGATTTACTATGAATCTTGAAAAGAAAGTCTAGAGAAATCATAGAACAGCGAATATATCTAATTCTTTCCATTGATATTCTTAATAAGATATCTCGTACTCTCTACCCCCCACCCGCTATCACTGTAAAATGGTGAATTAGAGACATTCGTATATTCCGTGCCCCCCGACGCCTAGGAATTGGCAGCCGACTTGGAACCTAGCACAAGAATCCAATCATGTGCTATCAGCATAGTAAAAGGGATGGGGATAGAGGAATGTTACGCGAAATACTGCTCCATCTCCAAATCCATACTCACAACCCTTGCCGACACCCGTAAAAGACATCTGCCACATCCTACACAATCTTCCCATTTCATATATACCTCCACCTCAGCCCCCGATTCAAGAAGCAAACCAGGATTCCTCCTTCCGCTTAAACGCACCGGTATCCTCCCCTCCTCACACACCACCCTCGTGACCTCCCTAGCCCACCACCGACACCCCTTCGCTTGCATCCTCACACAATATTTCCCTTCCTCCAACCCCTCCAACCCCTTTACAAGCCCTCCGATGCCTACGTATCTAATACACGGCGCCCCCTCCCCCAACCCCCTCTTCCCAGGCTTTAAAACTACCACATCCTTAACCTTTGGCCGCCCGTCAGCAATCCTAAATCCACAACCGCGTTATCTAGCCATTCGTTCTCCTCACCGCACCGCTTCCCCCATCTGAGAATGCACGAGTTGCAAGCTGGACGTTGGCGGTATACGGGGCAGCGCATGGATCATCTTCCTTTCACAATCGTCCTGCGCGTCGGGGCTAGGTTGGAACGGGCCCCAGGGAGCGAGAAAACGTTGGTGTCCCTTTGTTTGCACAGTCACGGCGTTGTGGCCGTGATTGGACACAAAGATTTCGAGAGTAACTTCCTACTTTATACTACCAAGAGCGGGTTCAGATGGCAATGAAGATGGGCTGGTATAAAGTCGGATCCTTGTTTCGATTTTTAGTGGCCAGGGAAGCCGTTCGAGTACTGTGAATGCCGCGTGACTGGCGGTGCGTTCGCTGTTCACCAGGGCTATCCCTTCGGAAAAAGAGCCGGCTTTTGTCACTGTACGTCCGGCGCTTCACACCCAGGACAACACGACGATTTGAAAGCCTTCAGCAAGATCAATTCAATCAACAGTCTCCACTCCACCCCGAAGGCAAGCCCATCTCGCCCCTTCCTTGCTTTCACCAGCGTGAATGCATATCAGAGACATGCGTGTATCAGACGCCACCACCCCCTTCCTAAAACCCTGCTCCAATAGGAAAATCTCTCATGGTGTCACACCCCCGATCAAGAAACCCCAAGCATCAACACACCAAGAACAGTCTAGCTTCCTCCCAGCCCCTCGCCACACCGTGTGTACTTAACCCGCGCTCCCCCGAGAAATTCCTTCCTTCCTACACACCACCTCGCAAGAAGTGCGTGCAACAGATCCGAGGGCTGGGGGTCATTGAGGGTGTTGCGCAGACAGGACCGTGATGCGAGACCATTGGCCTATCTTACATCACTGCGTCCGTTCATGAGAGGTTGGGTTGTCCCATGAGACGAGGCTAGCTCTTCCCTTCTCCTTGTGAGCTGGCGTTCTGCCGTTGAATGGGACAGCTTGCCTTGGGTCGTCAACGGGTCCGAGGGCTGGTGGTCATTGAGGGTGTTGCGCAGATAGGACCGTGAAGCGAGGCCATTTGGCCTATCTTACATCACTGCGTCTGTTCATCAGAGGTTGAGTTGTTCCATGAGAGCAGGCTAGCTCTTCCCTTCTCCTTGTGAGTTGGCGTTCTGCTTTCAGTGGGATAGCTTGCGTGGGGTCGTGTACTGAGGGATTCTCTACACAACAAGGATCTTTCGCAACGGGTTTCTCAAAACCAGGCCCCTCCATCCTTCTCACCCCTGTTTTCTTTACAGATGGTGATGCACATGGGCTGTTGTTCGAGAGAGACTCTTAGCGGGGGGTTTGGCGTTGTGTAGGTTTTGTCAGGGGGGATTTGCTATGCACCAACGATCTCCACGACGATCTCTTGAAACCGGGCCACTCCATCCTTCTCACTCCTTTGTTTTCATGAAGCTGCTGAAGTTGGGCTGCGTCAAGGAGATCTTAGTGGGGGGTTTGCGGTGTGTGGATTTTGTCAGGGGGGCTATGCACCAAGAATCTTCGCGACGGGTCATTCAGAACCAGGCCCTTCCATCCCTCTCACTCTTCTTCTTTTTACTGATGGTGATGTAAATGGGCTGTTGTTCGAGAGAGATTCTTAGCGGGGGTTTGCGGCGCGTAGAAGCGATTTTACTTGGAGACGTTGAGTCCTTAAGGCTAGCCATACTAATGCCTTGGAGAGACTCCATTTTCCTGGGATCGCTGCGAGGGTCTGCGGCGCTTGATAATAGTCCACGGAGGGCCATGGCGAGAGTGGTGGACCTCGTTGATGCGATTTATTTAGCCCACTATAAAGATTGGTATATCCTTCGGGAGGGCGGGGAGTGTCGTGGGTGCTCCTTGTCCCCATCATTCTACTGCCTCGATGGAGTAGCTTGGAGGGGAGTCTTCTTACACCTGTCGCAGCGGCGATGGAGGATTCAAGATAGTGTTGAGATACGCCCTCTGCTTTTACCTCAAGAGGCTATTTGCACGTTATGATATCAAACCAAAGACGAGAAGAACCTACGCACCCATAACGAAAGGTGCCACTACGTGTAACCTTTTGAAACGAGTTCAAATGAAGATGCCACATCGTCAGCATCGAGGCAACGAGTATAGCGGCATTCGGATATCTCGTGACGGTAACGCTTGTCTTAGGCTGTTTCTTGATTTACTGTCTACGGTCAACATTAAGATAATGTGATAGAAGACTGAACACTCATTGTCATTGATGATCGATGTTCCACAATTAGTGAGACTCTTGGGGTGACGGCAATGAGAGCGAAGCCTTTGTAATTGATGTGACGGTTGGATACAAGCTTCGTGCCTGGCAACGAATAGTCAGCTGAGACAGGCGTTCTGTAAATGCCTGTTATTGCATGAAAAGGCAATGAGATGCAACAATTGAGGATTCTGAAGCAGCTGGGGGCGTGGTTAAGTTCTGCCACTGGCGATATGATGAAGATGGACCCCTCGAACATTGGTACTTAGTGGCAGAGGGTAGCAGGACGGATGCAGATGCAGCCCCTCAACTTGCATCATGCCCAAAACATTCAAATACCATTGCAAGCTCTGTGGAAGTGCTGATGATGACCCAAGCCCACAGGCTTCGCAGAAAAGTACGTCGATTCCAATTATCCTTGGTATCAAAATTAATACAACCCTCCTTCCTCCCAACTCGTTCTCAAAAACATGACGTACTCCTCAAAGCGTCGCAGTACTAAAATAATACTCCTCCCACAACCAATCGTAATCCTCCACTACACCACCCACCATATCCAGCAACGGCTTCCCCTTCAACTTCTTCACCACCCCCTTCACCCAGCTCCCCGTCACATTCTCATAAAACGCCCCTCTCATCCCCCACCACGCCAGTCCCGCCCCGCGCCGCTTCATCTCCTCCCTTTCAACCTCGCTCAAGCCTCTCCAGCCCCCCACAACATTCTCGCTAATCTCTTTCTTCGCTAGTTGTCTGCTCCCCATTTCCATGAGGACCCCGAGGATCCAGGGCCGCCAATCTTTCCTGTTCCCTTGCACACGCTGGAGGGCGAGGGCATAGAGCACTGGCCGCAAGATCCACACAATCTCTGATATATTCGCCCTCACACTCTCCATATTCCTAACTAGCTGGCGCGCGCTCTTAATCTCATCGGGTCCCACGGCCCTGCTTTCCAAGAACTCCACCACCGTTTCTCCGGCGTCTAGTCGTGGTAGTTCAGGCAGGAGCATTCCTGTCCGCGGCATCCTCCATCCCCTCTCCTTCTTCGTTCCCGCGTCTTCTCCGTCATCCTCCCTCTCCTCCTCTGATGGTACTGGAACGCTGGTGGCTATTTCGCCGCCTACTTCCGTGCTTACTAGAGCACGCCGACCAGTCACTTGCACCATGATGAAGCGACAGACTGCTTTCACGGCCTCGAGGACGACGACGACACGCCAGCGCATGCGCTCCCTGAACGCTTAGCGAGCATTTCGATGAGGAGTTGGGTATATTGTAGGGTTCGGAGGAGTTGGAGGGCGCGGGAGTAGATTTGGCCCTTGATGCTTCTCCTCGCCGGGGATTTGGCGAGTGAAATGGGGGTGGCGCTGCCATTGGGTGGTGCTAAGCTTCCGTTTTCTGGGGCGCGGGCAGGCAGGGGAGGGGAAGGGGGGAGGTGGATGAGGCCCACGCTTGGTAGCGCTGGAGAGGCGTCGGTCGGTAATCGGCTGGTGGCGCGAGGAGAGAGGCATGGAACGTTGAGAAGAGATTTAGAGCTGTGTGGAGAGCTTCTGTTGTTATGGCAGCGGATGAGGGGATGTGGCGCGATGTTGGGGATGGAGAGGCGTGCGAGGGGATGATGTAGATTATATTTCTGACAAGGGACTCGAGGCGTCGGACTTCTGTTATGTTGGAGCGGATGAAGGATGTATATGCCTGAAGGTAGGTTGACGGTGGAGTGGATGGAGATGAAGAGGCTGGAGGAGGATCTGGAGGAATGGGAGGTGGATGGCTGAAGGACGGAGACGGAGGTGGAGATAGGGGCGGCGTTGGCATCGCCATGATTGAGTTGTAGAATTCGTACGGTGCAGTGGTCTCAATGATCTATCCTTGATAGCTGTAAGAGGAGGTTGGGCAAGGCCGAGGTTGACCGATTGGATGATGACTAAGCAACCATGTCGACACGCGCACGCGTCTTTCAATTATCAAGACATTAGGTTCTACTGCCAACATCGTGAGAGTCTATCAAAATGGAGGACATAGACTATGAGACTCAGCTCGACTCTCAAGATGTAAAATTAGAAGAACCAGCCAAAGATGTCTTCATCGCTCCATCAATCGACGAAAATGCAATCTTTTCTGGGGCATCATACACACATCACTCGCCCATCCCAGATGCGATCGCCAACGATATTTCCGCTCCATGTGTACTTGGCGTCGACGAAGCAGGTCGAGGCCCCGTCCTAGGCCCCATGGTCTATGGCGTGCTCTATCTCCCTCTTCCGCAGCACGAGTCAATCCTCAAAACCAAATACCACTTCATGGACTCCAAAGTCCTCACACCAGCAACTCGCTCCTCCCTCATGGAATCGCTTTGCACGAAAGACAATGACCTCTACAGCAACTGTGGCTGGGCAACTCGAGTGATTTCAGCTCGAGACATCTCCTCCGGCATGCTTCAACCAGCAGGTCGCGGAACCTACAATCTGAATGCCCAAGCCATGGACGCAACCATCGACCTCATCAAAGAGACCTTTGCACGTGGTGTGAATATTCAAGAGATCTATATTGATACCATTGGGAGTCCAAAAGTCTATCAGACAAAGCTGGAACGTATTTTTCCCACCACGAAAATTACCGTTGCAAAGAAGGCGGACTCACTCTACCCGTGCGTTAGCGCGGCAAGTGTAGTCGCAAAGACGACAAGAGATGCGGCGTTGAAAGTGTGCTACAAGTCTTATGCTGGAGTGGACGGGCAGGTTGCAGAGGGATGGGGGTCAGGCTACCCAAGTGATGGGAAGTGCACAAGTTGGCTGAGGGAGAATATGGATCCTGTGTTTGGGTGGGGCTCAGAGTGCCGATTCAGCTGGGGTACGGCGAAGGATATGCTTGAAGCGAAGGGGAAGGGTGTGAAGATTGACTGGCCTGAAGAGGAAGATGCGGAGGGAATGAAGGTGACGGATTTCTTCTCGGCTTCTGGGCAGGATGGCCAAGAAGAGGGCAGTGAGCTTGCCAATTGGTTCGGACGGCCAGCTCCAGAAGCTGTGTTCTGATCTGTCAAGACTCCGTGCCAACGGCACACAGAACTGTTGACGAAGCACGTGGGTAGGGCAGTGCTAATTTCCTCCTACATACTCCGGACTGGCGGTAAATCGGGCCGCTGGCATTGTCGGCCTATTATGTTCCGGTCTATGCTTCGAGCACTCGAAGCTGAGGAAGATTGATGTTTCAGACTTGAGGCAATCGTGATTGACATATCGCTATAACAATTCAGATCGACCTGTTGCCGGCAACGGCCCGACCGAAGTACAGCCCTACCCAAAGCGCAAAAGTGCGTATATGATATAGCTCTATTCTCAACAAGGCGCAACAGGCTGAAGTTAAGGGTAGGCTACCATCTCGCCAGAATTGGATGTGAAGCCCCGAGCAGGAGAGCGAATCCTACCACGGATGGTCTCAGTTTCTAGTCTTGAAAGACGTGATGAAATCTATTAACGAATCTCTTACTTTTCAGAATGCGCGACGACCTCAATCATAACCTTCATCCCCGGCCCAGCCAACTTATCAACGCCAACCGCGGTCCACAGCGGCTTGTGATCTGGACACCATTTCCGCAGACACACAACCATCAATTTCGCTGCCTCTAAATTCATATTTACGTGGTACGATCGAACTTGGTAAACCTGGTTCCAGCCCTCTCCACCGGCATCGATCAACGCGCCTTGTATATTTCGGAATGCGCCCGCGATCTGTGCTGATACTGACTCCGGCAACTTGCCAGTCTCGCGATTGCTGCCACCTATTCATCCAATTAGTCAAGACTGCGGATGAACACACTGAAGGAGAGAGTCGGATATGGAAGTGAGAGACGTACCATGACCGGATGTCTCGATACGGTCACCTATCCGGACTGACTGGCTGAAGTGGAACTGTTCTTGAAACTTCTTGCCGACGGTGGAGGGTGCGCAAAAGTCGAGGTGAGCCATTGTGTATTTGTTTGGACGAGGTAGGGTGAGATGGTTTGCCTAATTTGACTCGAGACTTTGAGACTGTCGAAATCCGCCGATCTAGGCCTGTTGAAGAGCTACCAGGATGACTGCGCAGGTTGTCTGCAGTGAGAATGCAGCAAGATAATCAGAAAAAGGGTCCTCATATGTATACGTTCCTTACGGTCCATCGTGCGGGAACGTAGTATGGGCATTTAGGAGTCCGATTCTGCATCTTACAGTTCGGACTCCGAAGTCAGCCTGGTCTTCTACCTCGACCCGCCTAGCTTTTTCTTCTTTCCCTCTCACAACCTGCAAATCCTCCACGACTGCCTAATCTTGGTTATCTGCTCGCATTTCGGGTTGTTGATTGATACGGGCCCCGTTGGCGATGTTGTTGATCTTCGGGTTCGTTTGCTTGTTCGCATACTTGACGCTCACCACAACCTTGGCACTGCGGAATGATGCCCCTGAGTCTGCGCCGCTAGTGCCGCTCAAGTCATACCAGCGCCGGTTGTGAACAACGCAAGCCCGCATTTGGGCCGACCAGAGAGACAGATCTCTGCAAGATCTGCAAGAAGTCGGCCAAGAGCTTCATCCGTGCATCTGCATATCCTCCGGCGAATCGTGACAGTCGCACAATTGGGAAAGACACTGTCTAAGCCGCGCAAAGGTCACCCCGGAGGAGGTCGGTTCCGACGCAAGCATTGCAGAAGACACTGCATCGCTAGATTCCAACCCCATGGGAATTTTGATCCTGCTGGTAAACGCCATCTGCTTCTTTGCAGTCCTCACCCTGAACACACTCTTGGCAGTGGGAAGCGCAGCCCCTGAGGAGCCGACGATTTTAGGGCAGATCACGAACATTCTCTTTTGAAGATAAAATCGGAGGAGAGAAGTTTTCGAGGATCGATCGAAACTATAAGGTCGAAGTCGGGAATACGTGTGCGATAACATCCTAGCGCATTGAGCGTTTCATTCGGTGAGCGAGGTGCTCGCCCACTACCACCACCACCATCATCAGTACCCCTATTTCGCACAGTCAAGGAAGAGATTCCTCTGCAACACACTTCACCAGACAATCACATCAGCCGGCCAGCCAGCCAACCGACCATCTCGCGCACCAAACCGAAGCATTCCACGACTGCCACCGCGCACAACCAAAGGAATGTCCCCACCCCAAGCCCCCTCACCCTCCCCTACAGCCAACAAACCCGACAAAAGCTCAATCTCAGAAGATACAACAACAACAACAACGACAAACCCCGCGCTTCAACTCCCCTCCATGAACGAATGGCGCCTTAACCCCTCCACCTCCCCTGATCTCTCAAACACCACCACAACCACACAAAGCGCCAGCGTTAGTGAAGAGGTGGGTAGGTTGGGTAGTGCAGGCAACTCCGAACCACTAGCCCACCTCCTCTTCAGCCGCGCAGCTGTGTATGTGGGAAGGCGGTTTTCGTGGCGAATGCGGCGCGCGGGGACTGGGAGACTGAGGGGGGGTTATTGTAGGATGGGGGATTGAGTAGAGGGATGGAGAACGGGTGTGAGAGGGTGAGGGGGTGAGAGGGTGAGGGCGTGGGGAGAAGCAGCGGCATCAGGAGCGAGGGGATGAGCGACGGGTAAAAGAGCGGAGGGGGGAGGGAAAAGGTGGCCCGAGAAAGGGAGAAGGGGGTGGAAAGTGTTGTATTACACAAACCATCCGTCGGTAATTTGATAATTTTATGAGTTTCAAACATTTGACGGTTTCAACCCACTGGGTTGGTATGGATCATTTCCTTCCCCCTTTCGATGCGATGCTACGAAGCGCGGTCATTCTATCCTATTAATTTATTGACGGGCAGCCTGCTGCCGCTCACACTCCCCTTCAAATCCCGACACCACTGCTCAAACTTCCCGTTCAGCGTCTTGCTGAAAAGCCATTTCACCGTGTGCGCCAGGATACCGCTTTGGCACTCCCATGTGCGGTAGAGGCATTTCCCTTTCCCTCCCTTCCCTTTCCCTCCCTTCCCTTCCTCCTCCCCCTCCCCTTCCCCTTCCCCTTCCCCTTCCCCCACTTTCCCTCCACAATCATCAGGCTCGAGTTCAACAATCTCACTAACCCTCTCCCCCTCAAGCCCCTGGCCACGAATCCCCCGCTCGTCGTCCAGCATATCCGCCATACCCTGCTGAGATCGCGCTCGAAACTGCCCTGTGATAATTCCGCCTCGGTTAGATAGGTGGATGGGGATGATGGGGTTGAGATATCGGTCACGCGCAGCTCGGTGGGGGTTTTTTGTGGGGTTTGGTGACGTCCATTATCACGCCGAGGGTGAAGACTGTGCCAATTTCCAATGTTGGGGAAGGCGGGTGGTTGGGATTGGGAGGGGGGAAGAGTGCGAATTTATCGTTGCGGTCGGGCAAAATGTGTTCCAGGATGGGTAGGCGGCGGTGTCGCGCAGGACTTTGAAAATGAGGTCGCCGGGGGCGGCGATGGTGGTGCTAGAGGATATTGTGAGGATTGCTGAGGTGGAGGGGACGATGTGAGTTGATAGACCTGCCTTTGGGGGCCAGGTGGGGGTGGTGAGGGGCATGGTGTCGTGGTGTGAGAGTTGTGCGTGGTCCAGGAGGAGCGGTAAGTGGATTTTGCTTGTAATTTGATTATTTTGGGATATTGATGGAAGAGAGGTGTTGATCGTTGTAGGGTCAATGTCACTGACATCAGCGTTTTCACTAGCCACAGGTGTTGTGGCGTCAATTTGGATCGAGGTCCTTGTCTTGAACTTGCTAGACTGGACATGTAAATGATTGATTTCAGGACTGGGGTTTTCGCCGTTCTATTTCGATAGGATTGTAAACGTGTACATTGGCTCCAGGGTTTACCATATCAGACGCCTCCACACGCTCAGCAATATCTGTTACACGTCATCGGGAATACTCACCTCGTAGGTCAGGGTGCACTCTTTGCATTGAGGCGGCCAACACATCTTCATAGATTGCCCTAAGTCATATCGACTGTCAAGAATCCTTACCAATGCTACCCAATCACCAGTCCAGCAAGGGGAGACTCTATTGATAAATCCGTCTTTGGTAGCGCCGTCCAATTTCTGTTGCCAGAGGTTCGTATATGAACGATGGCAGTTGTCTTTTTCGTATCTTCTCTTCCGAAAAACCTCCACGTGATAGGCATGAGAAGATTTAACAACTTAACTCTCACGAGCTCAAACTCGCCTGCTCGACACGTTAGTGAAATCGACGATGCGAGCACAATATTTTCGAGTTGTTCAGCTTGTTTGAAAAGTTGAGTTTATTCTTCCTCTCGGAAATAATGATCTATGCCTTTCTATTGGTTGTGTCTGTCGCTTATAGTGTCTCTAATTGGCCCCATATCATCAATTTGTATGGCCCCATCGTTTGAAGCGATGATTTCTCCATGGTCATAATGTCGGTATGAATCTCCATCCAGGGCTTCATCATGAAAGAAAAGTTTTCAATTGTGGATCTAGAGACGATGAGAGTTCTGCGAGAACTAAAATTCAATTCGTACGTTAATGAATCTCTCTGAAATCTCAAAGGTCTCTTCATCGGTCCCAAAATTCTGCTTATCCAATTCATTGATGTAGTAACTCGTGGCAACAGTTTTCGTCGTATATACCAGCTTTTGAAACGTCAGTCATCTAGTCTTCGGTTTTCTAGCAGAGCTGGCAGCAGTGGCCCTAAATTTTTCGCTATCCGAAAAATTGCAGGGCACTCGTAACTCGTAGAGAACTCTTGAGCACGTAAATTCAAAGGAAATTTTTTAACTTGAAGTCAGATATGGTGAATAATCGTTTGAAAAGATAGAGATCGATCATGCTCTACTAGATTCTGACAAACGAATGAAGAAAGCTTCACCACAGAATTCAGAAAGTTGAAATATATGACGGAATGCAAACCTCCCTTTTACCCCCATATCTAGAAGAAATAAGAAAGACAATTGAAGTAAATAGTAGACTCCTCTGTCCACAATCGGTGTTGAAGAGTGTTGAAGATATCATATGTACAAAGCGGGAGATTGGTTGGTGCTCAGAACATGGTTCTCAATGAACAAAGGGCGGACGATGGCAAACATGAAGGCCATTGAAAACGTTCGAGATTTGCACTGGGTAATGGTTATCCTTGATGACCAAAATCAAATGAACCATCCAACGTAAGCAGGAATTTTGCTTGAAGCCCGACACTGATGAGGGAGCCGCCCCCAATCCAGGCTCTTCACGTGCCAAGCCCGACCGATCGCGCTAGCTCTGTAGCGCCAATCTAATCTAATCTGACATTTCTCATTCTTCGTCAATTTGAAGATCTCTCCTCACCACCTTCTATGCCCGATTCTGGCAGCATTGGGGCTGAAGGAGATGCCACAGCTCTCTACGAACACACCCATGTCCACTCAATCTACACTCAAATAGCCCCCCACTTCTCCCAAACCCGCCATAAGCCCTGGCCCTTGATCTCTCAATTCCTGCTCTCCCTTTCCCCGGGCTCCGTGGGTCTTGACATTGGCTGCGGCAATGGCAAGTACCTGGACGTAAACCCCGCGATCTATATCATTGGGTCTGATCGCTCAAGCAGCCTGATCGACATTGCTCGGGCAGAGAAGGTTGGGGACAAGCTTGGGCAAGAGGTTGGGCGTCAGGGAGGGAATGATGTCGTCGTAGCAGACGCCCTGAATCTACCGCATAAAGATGGTGGAAAACATGAGAGGGGTGGGGTGAGGGATGGGGGGTTCGACTTCGCGATCAGTGTTGCTGTGGTGCATCATTTGAGTACGCGGGGGAGGAGAGTAGAGGGTATACGTGCTGTTTTGAGGACATTGACAGCGGGGGAAGAAGACCAAGGCATAAGAAGAGCAAAAGGCAAGGCGATGATATATGTGTGGGCGCTGGAGCAGAAGGGGAGTCGAAGGGGGTGGGATGTTGGTGATGAGCAGGATGTTATGGTGCCGTGGGTTATGAAGGGCAATAAGGAGGAGGGGGAGAAGACTTTTAAGAGGTACTATCATTTGTATAGGAAGGGGGAGTTGGAGGAGGATGTGAGATTGGCTGGAGGTGAGGTTGTTGAAGGAGGGTATGAGAGCGATAATTGGTGGGTTGTTGCGACGAGAGGTGATGGGGGATGAAGGTTACTCGGTGCTTGGAAGGAACTTTGACTATTCGCAACTCGCCTGGATTCCTGGCCGTGGTAAATTGACGGCGTCTGAGACGGGCAACCAGTTGCTGGCTTTGCATCCTTAGGTCTGGATATCTAATCTTTCAACCCGTAGCAACAAAAGCGACTGCCAGCTCTATCGGAAATCTTGAAAGAAAATTGGAGATCCTGTCAAATTCGCCAGACCTAGCATGTCTACCCGGACCAGCTGTTCAAAGCGAGATCAGGCACAATATCCGGATCGGTCAACCCCATCTGCAGATCTCAAAGACGCTCAGGAATTGATTATCGGGCTTCGTGAATACCTAGACGGCTCAATTCTGCGATCTTGAGCTGAGAGCTTCATCATTGCTTGAACATGCAATCTATCTTTGTCGATGTACAATGCTTTAGCCGCCAATGCTATGCATGCGTTGGTGCCCAATCCTACAAGGATCCGTCCTCAATGCATCTTGGTCGACCACCAAAAATCCGATATACTCCGATGCGGCCCGCCACGAACGGCTGAGCAGCAAATTTCAAATTTGCGGATCTGCGGAAGCCTTTGATGCACGGTGATTATTGGATACTGCCGCTCCTGCAGGCTTTGGAGCCCAAACGACGATGAGCAGGAAATTGCAAGATAAGGCTGCACCGGCAACCGGAGGGATGCCGCAGCAATAAAGACCGTTCTCTTGTCGATCCGTCAAATGCTCCTGCAGGAGCTAGGAGCGTTACAGACTGATGCAGCTATTCCCCGACCCTCCATCAAGACTTCCCCCATGATCATTGGATCAATTGAACCTGCATCGGTCGATCTTGAGGATGATTTGCGTTTCATGCAAGACAAACAAGACATGTAAGACATCCATCTGCAAGCAACTGCACGTGGCAGGGAAGGGCCCGTTCCAGCCTTATGGTCCAAACCTACACCGCAAGACGCCATCGTCCAACCCAGAGATGAAGATGCAGATGGACCAAAGGATGTTGATAACTCTCCAGTACTTTCGCCTAGACTTGCCCCAAGTCACTGGAATTCGTACAAATCTTGAACCACCTTCACCCTCACAAAACAACCTCCACCTCCTTACAATTCCAAATCCTCACCAAATCTCAGCTTCTACAATGTGACAAGAGCTGCAGAAAAGCCACGTGCTCCACACACCATCGGGAGAACTCATCGCAGGCACCCCACGGCAACAATAACCGCAACGAGAACGACTCGAAACAAGGAATGACCACCCGATTCTACTGCACACAGGTCCGTCGATCAACCGTTTCTGTCTCTCTCAAAGCTGCATAATTGCCAGTCCTCGAGCCGGAATCAGCAAGACACCCCGCGCAGCTCCGTTCGCATTGTAGGAGGTGCAGGACAACCCGCTAATTCATGCCATGCCATACCATGCAAATACCAGAGTTGTAGGAAAGAGGACACGGCGACGCGGCTGAGATAGGAAACCCTCGGTTCGGTTCTATAATTAAAAAAGGCCGTCACGACTGAGTGAGTGTACAAGTCGAGGCGCGTACGTCCCCCGGTGCCACCCACCGCACGGCAAACGGGAGTCCTGAGCGCGAAACGAACGACAACCCGCCTCAGGATCAGACCCCACCCCACCCCACCCCATCCCACGCCCTTTGTCCTTTCAGTCTGTCTACCTGAACCAAAGCAACCAAGACTCATGGGTCCTCAATTCTCAAAGCCTACCTTACCACGCTGGGCTCGCCTTTCCCAGCCAGCCAAGAGCTTATCCATCTCTTGAGCTCCCAAAAATGGAAATTGACTGCGGAGGGTAAAAGTACGCACTCCACGACCACTCGAGTCTCTCCATGCTCTTCCCAACCCACCCCAGTCCCCCCCGCCCTTCATCATCTAGATCCCATCCCCTTCCCCTTCCTCGTTCTCTAGCCCCCTCCACCCCAAAATCGAGAGCTTTAAACCCAATTCCGTGCACTTATTTTGATAAACCACCTCTTCTCATGCACGATGAATTGCTGCTTCGAAATATATTTCTTACTCTCTTAGGGGCCAGCGGTGGGACGTGGAAAGGGTATGGAGATGACATTGCGATGGCTTGGGCAAACACTTCTTAGCAACCGAATTCGTCGTGGCTTCATGCCAATTTCTTGTCAACTGTCAGAATCTCTAGATATAGGAGTAGGGGTGCGGGTGGGCAGCAAATCACTGATGAAGTTGGTTTTCTTCTTCCTTGAGACTTATCTAAGCTACTTGATAGACTGACTGGGTAGGTGATAAGCCCCATTTACGTATGCTGCTTTATGATAATTATACATATTCCAGAGACGAAACCATCCCATCCTTGGGATGAGATGGTCCTTTTCATGTTGCCTCCCCGCCGTTCTTCCGCTCATCTCTTTACCGTTACATTATTCTCAGGCCCACATCTCAACTCCTTGCCTCCTACGTATGTATGTGATCCTCCTTCCTCTTCCCCTTGCACCCAACCACCCCCATCCACCATGTTTATTTCCGAAAAGAAGTAATGCCGCCCGCCCTTGCTTGCTGTATATTGGTATCATGTGTGTGGTATCATGCAACTGAAATTGGATATAGTGAGAGTAAGGAAACAAAGAAAAAGCCCCTTGCGGGGTGCAACAGATTCTTGGTCCGAAAGGAAAGGAAAGAATGCCCGAAATTAGAGTAGCTTGCCGCCGTGACCTGTTTAGTCCGTAACAGGTTTATGCATGACTTGTTGACTGATTGAAAAAGGTTGATGAGTGTCCGATATCTTTTGGGCTGGGTCACGAGGACTCAGCCAAGGCCAGGTTTGAGATTGAGGGTGAGGGTGAGAGTGTCCCAAGGCTGGGGAATGAGGAGGATGAGTATTATCGTTGTGGTATTATGTGAAATTTGTGATGTCATGTAAGCTGGTATGCTGATGTTTGTTTGTGTGGCACGAGAACTCGAGCCTGCCACGAGGCAGTGACAGGGTCTGTGCGCACGTATGTAAGTACTGTAAGTGTGGGACGGAGTTCTCGTCGATCGCACGTGCTTGCCCACTCACTCCACACAAGGCCAGCTGAAATTGAGAAAGAAAACGCAGCAGAGAGGGTGATGCGGCTTGATCATACGGCACCGTTCCAGATCGCTCCATCATGTAAGGGACCGGCAGCATTTGTTGGCGGAAAATAGCGGCGACTTGCTTCGGAATCGTTAGATGAACCGGCTTTTTCGACACGGTTATGCGGATGCTTCGTCGATCTCCTTTCGCCCCACCTGCACGTAGCCGTCATCTGCACTACTCCCACTCCCTCTGCCACTCCCACTTCCATCGCTCTCGTTGCTATTGCGACGAAGAGAGTTTTTCTCAGCTATGCTAGCGTCTGCGAGGGTGTGTAGTCGTTGGCTGGGGTGGCTTGCATCGCTGACGTTGCTGCTGCGATGACTTTGCGGACTGCTGCTGGTGGGCTGTGGTTCTTGAGGAAGAAGATGAGGTGGCGCCTCCTTGCGGCCTCCATGACCCGCGTAAGCTGAGATGCCGTTGTCGAGATCTGCCAGTCCGGGGAGGCGTAGTCCCTCATCGGGGGGAAGTCTCGTTGAGCTGACTGCTGGGGGTCAAGGTTTCGGATTTGTACGCTGTTGCTTTCAGTTGGGCTGACATTACCACCTTCATATTCTCGTCGCGCATGATGCCCAGCATCGCCATTCGTGGTGACATCATGTTGGTATGGGAAGGCACTGATGGGGCCATTGGCTGATTGACCTGTTTGTAGCGCCGCGAGATCACTTGGATCGAAGTGGATTGTGGCATCGTGCATACGGTTTGCCTGAGCAATCCGCCCGTTGCCTTCTCCCTGGGGTCCCGCCGTGTTCGCACCGCTGATGAGTGCAAAAGGGACAGTGTTTGCGCGACGGGCAATTTCTCGCTCCCCAAGGAGCCAGTGCATTGCTTCTGCTGAACGCCATGGGACACCGAGCTCTTTGGCCAGTGGCTGCCACATTTCCAGCCTCATCCTAAGAAGTGTTAGTAAAGAGATGCTTGGGGTGGCGGCAAGAAGGAAGGAAGGGAGGGTAAGCGGTGGCAGATTCAGACGTACCTTTCGTAGACTCTCGCCAGCCTTGTCTTTTTCTCTTCATCCCATTGCCCTCGCTTCTCGAGGTAATTCTGGAAGTGAAGTCGGCATGCAATCTCTGTGCGACCTGGCAGCCTCTTGCTTATTTCTGCCCACTTCTTGCCTTCTCCTCGCAGCTGAATTATCCGCGCGTCCTCTTCGGCGTCCCACTTCTGGTTTGCACCTTTGATCTTCTTCGGACGCTTGGAGGAATGCTCGTCAAGGCTTGAGGCACGCTTATTTGGGGAATATGTCGAACCTGGAGGTACAGAATAGGCTGCAGAAGCCTCATATCCATGGTAATCGCGCCACTGCGCAGCTTGTAGAGCTTCACGGGTCCACGCTGGATGCGAAGCCGGCGGATGCTCTGATTTGATCGGAAAAGGCGTGCTTTGACGCCGATGGTAATAATCTGGAGCGGAGCTGATCGAGGGTGCTGGTGAAGGAAGGATGGGAGGCCCAGCATTGCTGGAGGGAAGTGGAAAGCTTGGCGTTGGATGAAGTGTATGATGTGGGTCAGAAGAGGCTGTCAGATCGAATGTCGAGTCTCTACGCTCTGGGGCCTGATGAGAATCCGCGTTGGAGCCTAATAGATCCTTGATGTCCATTCTACTGAAATCCTTTGGTAGTCGAGCCGCCGACACATTCGCCATGCGGGGAAAGTTTGTCCGTATTATCCAGGCATCGAATGTCAGCAATAGAGATGATGAGATGTTTCTGGGACCAGACGGAGCTGCATATCAGACTCATCACATGTTCACGAAGGTCGCGGTTATCGTGCAGGAAATGTAGGCTGTATGAACATGCTTGATGATTCCAAATAAACCTTGAGAGAGTGAAGATAGAGATGAAGGCGCATCAAAATAGATCTTCCTGATCGGTAGTTGCTCCGACGAGGCGCTAACCGCTTTCCTCCGCTGTCAACAACCAATTATGATGCTCAGTCATGTGATCTTGGATGTGAATGGGTGGGCTTAAAGTGCATGGCCTCAACCTTGGAACGCTTCGAGATTGTAATACGAAGAGAAGTGAAGATCAAAGGACGTTGGCAAACGACCTGCATCAGATTGGAGCTTTGCAAACAAATGCAGACCAGTGAATAGTTGCACTAGCATACTCTGGCGTCCGGCCAGCGCAGTAGCTCGTAGCAGACGCACTTTGGTGTGTACTGCCGGCAATGCTGATGAGGTCAGGGAAGAGGAGGCGCGGGGCTGTTCGGGAAGAAGAGCACGAGGGCGGCCAGGGGAAACAGCAACTGAGGCAAAGAAGGATGAACAAAGGAAGGTCGCAGGTCGCAGCACGATGCTGTCAGTGTCCAGAGTGATGGGTCTGACGCCGAGCTAAATCGCGGCGAATTTCGGACCTTAACAAATAGGCGGTGAAAGATGGACTTCTGGCCATCGATTGGCAGGCGGCTAAACATAGCACACGAACCATGATCTACTTACTAGATGTCTTCTGAAAGGTTTAAATTGACGCCGCCGCGCAGGGCTAGAGTTTCGTAGGGCGTTGCTGGCTTCGACGGTCCCATCTCATCGAGGGAGGCGATGGCGGCCGTTCTTTGTTGGCATCGATGGATTGTGGCGGACGTGTTCCAAACTTGGCGGTGAGCCAGCGGATGAAGCAATATAAAGTTCAGCCCCGGGAGGGGCGAATTGGCAACGAAGCCAGGTCGAAGATTCGTATCAAAGGGTAGAAGGGTAGGCTGAGTCCCTCGTTCGAACTTGCTCTGCGTCAGTGTCAGTGTCCAAGTCGCAGATGTGAGATGAGCTGGCAAGGGTTGGTCGTTCATCGGGCAGCAACGTAGCGCTAGTGCTTGAGCATCCGCCTCGGTCCTGTCCCTTGTCTTAAGGCGGTGAGGCCGGGAAATATGACGACGGATGATGTCTCAGGGACAATCCATTCCGTGGCATTGTGGCGCGGTCGATGAGCCGAGGCGAGTGGTTGGCAGGTCATTGGGCAGGTGAAGCAGCAGCACCGCCAGCATGTTCTCTTTCACTTCTTCCTTGGACCGGGCACGTCATGAATGCAGGTTAGGCATGATGGACGGCCAAGTTGCGAATGCCTTGTCCTGGTCGTAGCGAGTTGTTGGGATGTTGGCAACAGGTGGGTGCATGCTTTCATTCCCAGGCCAGGAATAAAGTGAGAGAACTTCGAAGCGGTGAGCGTTCGTTGATCGTTCTCGATCGACAGTTGCGGCAAGACCAACCCGAAGCCGTTTGGTATGGAGGCTAATGCTGGCTTAACGATGTCTAGTTGCTGTCTAATTGTTGTCTAAGGCATGCAGCCAGCGAGCTCCTGCATGGATATGCAGATGCACTAATGATAGTCGACGTTCCTGATGGCTGGTGGTGGTGGTGGTGGTGGTGGTGGTGGTGGAGGACTGGTTGGCGGCAGAATCCTGAACGGCAGTTCGTTTCGTGCCCTGCCAACGGCTCCTCCCTCTTTGTCTCACCGGCACTCTGCAGTCTGGACCTACCATCATACCTCACTACTCTGCTCTGCAGTCTGGACCTACCATCATACCTCACTACTCTGCCCTCGATCAGGCACCATAAAACAAGGTTCAAGAACCCCACCAGAAGTACTGAGCTAAGACGAAGAAAGAACAGCAGTCTAGACCGCTGAACGCGACGCACGTGAGAGGCACATAGACTCCTCAAGTTATGGCAACGATCAAAGACATTCCCCTCCTCATCACTAGTCCCACCTCCTCCTCAGAGCGACGCATCACGCCAACATGGACCATCTCCCAGCTCAAATCCAAGCTAGAGCCTATCACGGGGATTGCTCCCTCAGCGCAAAGATTGATTCTCCGCCTCCCAGATCAAAACAGCGAGACTCCAATCGTCGCCGACGACGAAGATGTCGCACAGATCGGGAATTGGCCGCTGGCTGCATATGCTGAGCTCAAGGTGTGTGTTACAGATCATTCATGGTGCTTATGCTCCGTTTGTCACCAGCAACTCTCTACCACCCCTGCGTCCCAAGCCATGAGTACAATGTACATGATGCATGCACCCGATGTGTTTTCTCCGCTGCAAGAATCCGCCTGTGCAGGAATTGAAACGTTCTATCTCAATCATCTCTGCATCTCAAAATACGATCGATCATATTGACATATTGACATATTGAGATATGGGCTCTGCACTGTGCATTAATTTTGCAGCGTGACGCGACTCATCGGGCCCATAGAGTACCACACCTTTCTCTCGCAAGATTTGTATTTCTGTCAAGCCAGCACAATAGCAGCAGAGATGCGCCTGCTGCATGCATACACGACATATCATACACGACAGTGCGAAGCTTCATCGCCACATGCACGCCCCAATGCGATCTGCCTGTCCCGTCTGCTTCAACGACACACCAACCCACTCTCTCCACTACCCGATGCACTCCCCACAATCCCAACCCGCCCTAACAGCCCCCTCAGGTCCTCCCCACCCACCCCTCCGTGGCTCTCCTCACCACCGACACCTCCTCCGTCCCGAAAACCGAAATGCCAATCTCGACCTACGAGTCCCTCCACGGCACAGTCCTCGACTTCAAGAAATCTCACCAAATCGGGCGTTTCGACCCCGCTGCCGACGAGAAGAACCGTCAAAAGGTTGCGCGGCTGCAGAAGGACGTTGAGGATAGAGGTATCTCCCCCTCCCCTCCTCAACCAACCCTATCACCAAACCCCCCAACCCCAATCTATTTCTCCCTTCCCCCTTCCCCCTTCCCCCTTCCCCTTCCCCCTTTTCACTCACTCACCCCGCTTCAATCCGCACAAAAGATCCGTATGTACGTGACTCACCCACGCCATAGGCATCAAAGAGGGCTCACGCTGCCATCTGACCTCGCAACCAACCCGGCGAGGCACGATCCGCTACCTCGGCCCAATACCGTCTCTGCCAGGGCTGGAAGGCGCGCCCTGGGCGGGCGTGGAGCTCGATGAGCCGTTTGGGAAGAACGATGGTAGTATTACCACCCCCACCACCCCTGCCCCTACCCCAAGCCCTACCCCCACCCCTGACCCGACCAAGGAAGGAGAAGAAAAGGCGGCGGGGGAAGGGGGGTAGTGCGCTACTTCCACTGCGCACCCAATCACGGCGTTTTCGTGAGGCCGGAACGGGTGGTCGTGGGCGATTTTCCACCACTGGGGCTGGAAATTGAGGATGAGGATATGGAAGAACTATAGACGGATTTAGTGAGAGGGTGGGCGGACCATGGGCGAGAAACCCAAGGCAGGTAGGCTTTTAGGCAGGTTCGAGCCGAGGGGAGGTCGATGGAGATGACCTGTTTGAGACGAGTATGGTGACCGGAGAACGCGTCAGTTTAAGCTTTCGAGAAGATTTTGAGGGGGGAAAGGGGGGAGGGGGACGGGGACGGGGGATTGAGGGATATCGAGCGCGTAGAGAGAGCGTAGACTTAGGACTGTAGGACATAAGAGCAGGGAGCATGGTCACTAGTTCCGTAGGAGTGAGGAGATAAAGTAGCAATGATAATGCATAGAAATTACTCATGCAACACCCGAGCTAGATATCCAGTCATGAATCCACTCTCCCCACAAGCTACTGCCCACCCGCTGCCCACATCGACCCACCCACCTCACATGCCCGCGCAAAGTGCCTCATCATACCTCACAATCTAAGATATCTACCTCAGGATAACCGAAATCCGCCAACCAGCCAACCAGCCAGCCAGCGCCCGCTCATACGCCTGCATGCTACACTTTGTTGGGTAATCGACATACTCATACTGAAGAAAGGGTGCACAGCGCTCATCGTGCCTCACTGGGGACCCAGCAACTGTGTCGCGCCCTCCGCACCCTCCGGTTCAAGACCATCCCACTGACATCCCTGCGCGAAGAACAATCTCGCGTCTTGGTTTGGTGACTCGTTGCCGATGCTGTAGAAATTGCCTGTTTCTGCATTAGCCCACCTCGCCCCAATCTAAGCCAACCCAGGCCCCACTCCAGCCCCCCAAAGCAGACACAAAAGAAAAGGAAAAGGGAGAACTCACCCCTGGGAACCATCCACTGCCCCCCTTACCAATACTAAACGACGTCGTCGGCGTCCCCACATTAACCGTGACACGCCCAAAGAAGACAAAAAACACCATCTGCATTTTCCGCGAGTTCTTCATGCGCTTCAGCCCGCCGGGGGGAGGTGCACCATGCCGCTGCCGAAGAAGGGAAGGGTGAGCGTCTTGGCGAATTTGAATTCCGCGCCTTGGATGTCGCGCATTTCGATTGCATCGGCTGCGTAGGCGATGTCTGGGTTTGTGTTAGTGTTATTTTGGGTGAGGGGTGGGGAAAGTGAGGAGATGGGAGGAGGCAGGAAAGGGAAAAGGGGAAAGGGGTGGATGGGGGAGTGGATGGGGAGGGAAATACCGGTGACATAAATATCGGTCTCATCGTAATTGTTCGCTCCGTCATTCCATTCCATCACCTGGGCCCTTTGAATCCCAGTCTCTGCCTCCCATGGCTCGAGGTCTGAATCCTCTTCATCGATCTCTTCGAGAGGCTGTGCTGTGCCTTGCCTCCCCCTTCGACGACCTGGTCGAAAATTGCCCACGCGCTTTCTTGGAGGCGGCATTATCTCATCTGTCCGAACAACTTCCAGGATACCTGGAAGGGAGTCTCTGCTTGATGGTTGGCTGAATATCACTTTCTCCCCTCGCCAGGATGCTAGGGGTTTGATGGAGTTTCGGCCGCTTCTCGTTGTGATTGCGCCGCTGTCTGTAGCAGGTGTTTCTGAGCGTTGTATAAACGACGGAGCAGCTGAGCCTGCGCGGGAGAAAGACTGTTTGATCTCTATTTTAGGTTTCTTCATTTTGGTATTGGGATCGCGCTCTGTCAGAGGTGGTGCTTTGCGCTTTCTGATGGCTGGCTCGTCCATCGATCGTGACGTTACGGTCAGCTTTGCTGCTTTCACTGGCCTTAGCTTCGCCGGTGGCTTCTCTTCCATCAATTTTGATTCCTCAACATCTTCCTGCTCCTCTTGCTTCCGTGGTTGCGCTTTCTTTCCTGGACGTCCACGCTTCTTGGGCTGCTGGGGTGTAATAGCTAGAGAGGAGATATCTGGATCTTCTGCCAGTGCTTTAGGCTTTCGACCTCCACGAGATTTCACTGTAGGCGGTGGCATAGCGCCAACTGTCGTGTCAGGCTCCAGGATATCATCCTCTGGTAGGTTCAGAGGTTCCCCGCCTTCAAGCGACTGGATTGTAGTGTCTGGTTCGATAAGTGCATCTTCTGTCGAAGGTACTTCTTGCTCTTGCCCCATACTGAGCAAACTCGGATCGATTGTCTCATTATCGCCTTGACCACTTTCGTCATCTGAATTGTCCAGATCAAAAGGGCCCTTCTTCCTATCCTTTCTTCGTAAGCTCACCGGCTTTCTTCCTCTCTTTGGCCGCGCTAAGGGCGCCTTGTGCTGCAATTCTTCGAATGATGCATCCACTGATGGTTCGTCAGGTATGCGCGAAGGCGTTCCGTTTGTAAGTTCTCCTGCGGGTGAAGAGATTGGTGGTATCGACCGCCTCGTAGGTTTCCTTGGCGATCCTTGCATGAGACCCTTTTTTGGCGAAACAGAGCGAGGTATACTTGCTCTTGCATTCTTGCTGGTTCGCGTAATGTCGGTCGCCTCTGGGAAGGTGCCTAGAACGGTGTAAATGAAGCTCTAATTGGGGAGGGAAAATCGACGTACTTTCCACCATCTCCATAGAGTCATCAGCAGTGAAGGTTCGAGTATTATCTTCATCACCATGATGAATGCCATTTGATTGTGTAGGGGCTTTCTCGGGCGAGGAAAACGAGGGTATAGGTTCCATGCCATGTTCATCTCGAATACCGGTGTCTGGTAAAGTGGCGCCCGTTTTCCTGATACCCTAATTAGCACATTGGACACGATTACGCAGTTGTAATAAGGTCAACTTCTGGGGTCCACTCACCTCCCTCTCTGGCCGACGGCTCCATAATCTCCTCCAGCTCGCGGTTTCCTCGGCGTATGTCTTGGAGCCATTTCGCGTTGGTTTCCGTCTTATTAAGTTAGAAATGAGCTTCGGAATGTGGAAGTGCCGAAGAGATTTTCAGGATATGTAGATGGCGCGACGCTTGGGGTGCGTGCGAACGAGCATTTCAATTGAATAATTACTCTCTGTAAATGTGATAGAAAATGCCAAGAGCAAAACACGTTCCCAAAACGGGAAAGCGCGGTCTGACGCGCCGCCAACCTTCAGCCTCGGCATTTGTTTTATTTCGCCGACTCGCCGACAGCTCTGTCTGCCTGACATAAATAGGGTCCGTTACAGTCTTTCAATCTGGTGAAGGCATTGATCAAAGGAGATCCGGAATCACACTGCAATGGCTTCACATGTCATGGCTTTACTTCGACGGTTGCTCCCTGTCAACCCTTGGAAAGCGCTGGCAATTATCTTGGCCGTTCTGAATCTAAAGTCGCTCCCCTTGGTCTGGCACGTAAGTCTACCCTCAACGCTTCAATTGGCATTGACTGATGCCGACCTGATAGTTACGCCTCCTTCGTAGCCTCTTTGCTCATATACGAATCTCTCGTACCCGCTTAAAGACCCTCCCTGGCCCCTCTACCCTCTTCCAACCCCTCATTACATCCTCACGATCCAGCCCATACGAATGCGATTATAATCTTCATAAGAGCAACAGCACATACTTCTCTGACTTCGACCTTGGACGTCTCGGTCTCCTAGTTTCGCTGTGTGGGAAAGGTATTGACATCACGCGCACTCAATTGCGGGAAGAGATGCCAAATGATACAAGTGGGTTTATGACAGCTTTGGGCGGTGTCGCCGTCAATTTTAGAAGAGAAATCAAACCTTTTGAGAAATTTGAAGTTTGGACTCGAATCTTGACCTGGGATCGCAAATGGATATATGTGATTGGACACTTTGTCAAGCCTGGGTCCGTGAAGCCAAGGCGGTACGTTTTGCAGCCGTGGAAGAACAGCAAGAGTGAGCCCGAAGATCACGAAGTAGCTGGTGCCGACAAGAAGGTGAACGTTAACTCAAAGCCGTTGATATTCGCGACAGCTATATCCAAGTACGTCTGGAAGAAGGGCAGGCTCACGATACCACCAGAGAGGATCTTACGGGCGTCTCAATTGCTGCCTCCAAAAGCAGAAGATCATGAAACGCCCCCAACCAGCTCCACACCACAGCCTGAGGGCAATTCAGTTGATGCAGCGAATTCCACTTCTATATCGCTTGCCGAAAAAGTGACGCCTGACAATGCTAGCGAGGTACTTGCAGCCTCCCTGGCCCCGAAGCCTGATTCTAGTACATGGAGCTGGCAAAGAATCGAAGATGAGAGACTGAGAGGCATGAAGATTGCCGAGATGTATGGTGGTCTTGAACAGCTGAATGGGGAATTCAAAGGTGAAGACGGCATCGCCTTGGCCAGATCTTGAGCAACAGTGGTCCTCGAACCAGACTGCAAATCTGAGCCTGTGAAATGAGGGCCTCCATGTGACCGAAAGTCCAGTGTATGGCACTCAGCTGGCAGCAAACGGCTTCCGTTGACAGACGGCAACTGTAAGGTCCACCCGCCTCCTTTGGGTCTTCGTGCCTTGCAGAAGCGCATCCGTCGCCACGTGTAAGGGCAGGATCCTTGCCATCCATTTCTGCTAAATGACCAAGTCAAGAGGCAAGATTCACGACCCACATCTTGCCCATACTCCGTAAAAGGAATTCATCGCGGTCCGCCTGCCTAATTGGTACAAGTGGATGACAGGTTCAAGAGGCCCCCCGCATGGCTCTCACTCCACGAAGCGCTATACAGAAAGTTCCTTTGCCGCGAACATAGTGACCTCCATGTCGCCGAGCGGAGCCAGGCAGCGGCAGTTGTTGGCTAGCTGCCGTCTGTACGGATATACGGATCACCACTTAATAATTCACATCCTGCAAGTGATGCATGAGCTTTGCTGACGTACATGATTGAGCGTGCGTTACTCCTGCAATATTTGATTCGAAAGCTGCGAGCTCCTGCGTGCCCGTTGTGCACCTCTCTCTTCTTTATCAAGTATTTACATTTTCTCTTTCCCAATGCGTATCCCAGCGTTCTTAATTGTGTTCGCGCTCCGGCTTTCCTTGTCCTTAGCAGCTACACCACGCTACAATCCAAGAGCCTTTGGCCATGTACTGAACCAAAGACAATCCTGTTTCTGCTCGCCAGATGCACTGGTCGTCGATCTGGGATATGAGCGATATCGAGGCGTGGCGAACCAGACCACTGGTCTGAATACGTGGAAAAGGTAAGCTATACGGCTCGCCTGGGCAGCGTCACACTGAAAGAATCTCCTTTAGTATTCGCTATGCAGCACCTGCAACAGGGTCCAATCGCTTCCAACCTCCACAAGTCCCAACTGTCAATCGAGATCAAATCCTTTTGGGCGATGCACTCCCACCGCGATGCCCGCAGAGTCTCAAAAGTCCTTTGTAAACCTTGCCTGAAATTCACGCACAGCTTGATGTTCTTTGTTAAGCTGACTCGATTGTGTAGCCCTGCTCCATTGGGTGTTACCGGGCCCGCCGGCCTGAACACTACTGGCGACGAGGATTGCTTGTTCCTTAGTGTCTACGCGCCCCGTGATAAGACCAATCTTCCGGTCTTGGTCTGGATCCATGGTGGTGGCTACGGACAAGGTCAGGGCGATGAGGATATGAGCGCTATAATCAAGACGAATGGAGACTCCTTCATCGGTGTTGCAATTCAGTACAGGGTGAGTGTAGGACACGATGGTGATGATATGACTGACTTAAGCAATCAGCTTGGAGCGTTCGGCTTTTTGTCTTCGGATGAAGTCATGCGATTCGGCGCGGTGAATGCAGGTCTTCTTGATCAGAACTTCGCTTTGCAATGGGTACAAAGTTACATTTACCTATTCGGCGGAAACGCGTCCCAAGTGACAATCTCAGGGGAAAGCGCAGGAGGCGAGTGAGCACCTTGTTGTTCCAATTCAGCGGCTGACTTGTTTCCCCTCAGGAGGTTCCGTCATGCTTCAAACAATGGCCTTTGGCGGATATCTGGGCAGTTCACTATTCAGCAATGTAAGGCTGATTACCCTAATCAGCTACGAGGATACTGATCTCGTCTCAGGCTATCGCTGCATCGCCGTATCTACCACAACAGTACGGTTATGCAGACTGGGTCCCATCCCAATGCTATTACGCCTTTGCTGCGGCAGCTGGATGCTTTGGTCCGCCTGCCCTTCCGCAGAACAACATCAGCAATTCGGTCTTTCAATGCCTGGTTGGGAAAGACACGCACACGCTCCAGAACGCAAGTGCTGCCGTTTCGGGCGCTAGTAGAATCGGCACCTGGGGCTTCCTGCCCGTAACAGACGGCGTCTTCATCCAACAATTACCCAGCCAGCAATTGCTCCGAAAAGAACTCAACAGCGTGAATCTCCTCGTTGGCGTAAGTCCCCAAATTCAAACGCCCCCCCTTTCCCTCCGTCACTGAACCCCACCCTCCAGAACAACGCCGACGAAGGCCCTGCCTTCACCCCCCAAAACGTCCAAACCGAAACCGACTTCACCACCTTCATCCAAAACACCTTCCCCCTCTTCACACCCTCCGACATCGAGAAAGCCGTCCGCTACTACCCCTCCCCCTCTCCCCCCATCGACTCCACCCCCTAGACTTCTCCACAAACGGCACCAACCCCGACATCACCGCCCTCACGGAATCCACATACGGCAGCGGCCAACAACAGCGCGCCAACAACCTCTACGCCGAATCCACCTTCGTCTGTCCCTCCTATTGGATGGCAGAAGCCTTCACCGGCTCCGGTCGCAAAGCGTACAAATACCAATACTCTGTCGTGGGCGCGCAGCACGGAGCCGACGTATCCGGGTATTTTGGCCCCGCGGCACTGAACCAACGCGACGATTTCGTCAAAGCATTCATGACTATCTGGGGGAATTTCATCACGAAGAACGATCCGAGTATTTCTGCTGAGATTGCTGATGGCGCTAATGGAACGGGCGATGGTGGCGCTGCGACAAGTTTCCCGATGTTTGAGGTGGGGAGGCCGTTGCAGGTGGATTTGAATCAGACCGGGGGGAGCTGTATCAGATGCCGAGTACGGTGGGGGGAGGGGGAGGGGGAGGGGGAATGTGACGCAGTTTAAGAGCCCGGGGTTGAGGAATCGGTTTGCTGTTGTGGATGCGTATGCGTGGGAGGGGGGACGGGGGGCGAGATGCGATTTCTGGAGGAGCGTGGCGGGGATGGTGCCGGAGTAGGTGGGAGGCAATGGGGGAGAAGTTGGTGATGGTGGGGCCTGTGGGGATGTTCTTTTGCTAGTGATGCATATAGGGGGAACGTTGCTTGGGCATTGAGGTGTTAATAGGATGGGATGGGATGGGATTGAATGGGATGGAATGGAGTGGGGCGTGAGGAGTCCTTTTCGTGTGTGTACAGAGTCGAGAAATATGCTTGATATCAAGGTGTAGAGATGTACGTGTAACGAAAAGGCTAGTAGCAAGAATAATATGCTATATTTTCATACGGGCTGTTGTGGAGTAAGGTCTTGGTTTTGTGACATGATGTGCTCACGCCTTGCTTTCCTTTCTTGTACTAGTATTTGACAGGCGTCGGCTTTGATTGATGGAAGTATGACTTTCATAGCTCACCCGAAGAAACCATCTTTGTGATGGCAAGGAAGCCAGCACTACGAGTAAAATCAGCGACTCATCGCTCCCCAGTCGAGAAGCATTCATTACGCCTTCGCATCTTCCAAAAGATGGCTTGACCCCTCCCAAACTTCTTGAAGCTCACTCGAGACACATATGTAGGAGAAGCAGTTCATGGTCATGTAAACCCCTGTCATATCGACTTTGAGGTATCAATCTCCCGGCCCCACCCCACCATCAATATACACACGTTCACACAGCATTTCCAATACTGTGAACATCCACTGTACCTTCCGAATCTCCAGAGCGACTCGCACTAAGCTCACTATCCGTCCCCGTCCCCGACCCAGTCTGCATCTCCCAATGCCGCGCTCCTTTCTCGGCGTCGAAGCTATCGAATAAGGGCCCGCCTTCGAGGTTCTGGAAGGGCAGGAAATCTTCCTTGGTGCCGGTTCCGGTGCTCTTGCTATCCTGAGGGTGGGCGCTGATCAAGTTTCGCTTCGTGGACTTGGACTTTTGGGAGGATGGATGGGAGGGATGGGAGGGGTGGGTGAGTCGGATGTATTCGTTGCGTAAGTGCTGGTGTAAGGGGCGGAGAGTGGGGATGCATGCGGCCACTACGCCGAAGAGAACTTCCCAGGTGCGCCAGTACCAGTTGGGTATTACGAGCCCTTTTTTTTTTACGTTAGGACTTTGTGATATCTTGCTTGGGCTGAGGCTGGGAGGGGGGACGGGGAGGGGGAAGGGTTAAGGGAGCGTACAAGTAGGATCGTTCGTCACGTTCTGGTAATTTAGGACGGTGCGGACTAGAGATAGCGAGCCGGTGCTGTTTTACGTATTTAGCAAATTATCGGCAGGTGGAGAAGATATTGGGTGTGGGGAGGGGAGAGGGGGGGAACTTACATCACGCCCAATCCCATCAGCAGACACAACCCGACTTTACTCCGGAAACTGATCTGGACTTTCCGCAGGATGAGGATCGGGAAGGCGGAGAGGAAGTAATCCGAGATAATAGAGATGACTGCCACAACATCATCGTAAGCCTCTAGCTATGCATTCTCAATTGAAAGAATATAGTGAAGATTGTACTTACTAGCCTGCGAAATAATAATCCTCTCAATCTGTCCCTTCGAAAAACACTTCCCTGGCATCTTACTATTCCACGCCTTGTCCAGATGCGGTCTACACTGCACGATCCACAGGACGCTCAAGACCACATTACTGACCACCAAAACGAAAATCGCGGCGTATAAAGGTCTGATGAACGCTTTGGTGATCGTGATACGCAAGAGGAAGAGACAGATTGAGATTTTGGTGAAGGTTAATGTCGCGAAAGTCTGTTCGCCCACGACAGCCCAGTCAGTCGGTTGATGTCTACGAACAAGATAGCCACGCCAATGACAGGCTGACTGACCTGCAGCCACTCTCCATAAGCATACTTCATGAACTCCTGAAATTGATGGTCGGTCAGGTAGTAAGCAGGTCGACCAAAACCATAGCCGATGCCCTTGGTAATGAGCCCCATGCCGACCATATGGCCGAACTATTCAATGCTTTGTTTCAGCCTTCATCTACGTCCTCATGCGGGGATTGAGTGCTTACGCCGGCAAACATGATGCACCAATCGTCCCAGCCGACTTTCTTGACGATCCAGATTCGAGTGATGAAGCGGAGGGTTATCATCAGTACGACGATAGTCAGGGCCAGTATTGAGGTTGCGAGGACGCCGCCGGATCGGTCTGCGTTGCCGATTCGGGGAGGTGTCTTGGGTCTCTCCATTGTTGAGCGGTGAGCTGATGGTACTGCTTGTGATGAGGAGATGCTGAATGCGGTTCCAAGTAGTTGAGAGCCTGCGCGAAGTGTCTTCAATTCTACATAAAGCCTTCACAATGCAATTCCTCGAGACAATAGTTAGTGCTGTATTTGAAATTAATCAGGCGGTTGACAAGGAAGACTCCAAGTCAATCAGTAAAGTATGAAGAGAAGTAAATGTGTTTGCGCATGATGTATTTTGTGGATGTACAAAGAAGATTTTGGCGAAGGAATAAGCCTGCCTTCAAAACGGCGATTCAACTGAAACAAGAGGCTGTACAATCTCCAATGAGGTAAAGCAGTGCCCCATCATTGCATATGGCGCAAACATCAGATAATACGCAGCAAACCTGTGCCGTAAACATACGGGAATCTTAATGACTGGAGTATGCGAAGGATGCACACAGCCTAAATTCACACGTTCTGCACATCATAGCTGTGACAAAAAGCACGAAGTACAAAGCGCGCTCCGAACAAAATTGCGATCCTGGCAGGAAGGATTTGACGTGCATTGCGGCGTAGGCCCCGCCTGAACCCCGAAGACAATAATGGATCTCGATGAAAGCCAAACTTTTGGTCAGGCTGACTTCGACTTATTCTCCACGAGGCAGCTAAAGAATGATTGCGAACCCTGGCGATATATGGCAGCAATTCGGTAGGCCGAGACTCGGTATACGTTGGAACATCAAAGCAAAACTCGACTCCGGTACGGCTCGTCGTCACCCTTGACAAGGCTCGCGTGCTAGGATCCATCTTTAATTGGGCCGAATTTCGTCAAGATCCCTTTTCCTGGGTGAAATGTCGTGGGATTGGGGCCGGCTTCAGCATGAATGGCTTTGGACAGGAGGATCCTCGCAGCATCATCAATGGCGTTGGATGTGTATTTGAGATCCTCGAATGTTATATCATCGTTTCTGTCTTCCGAAATGACTCGCGACCACATTTCTTGCCTTGAATGTGCATGAGATAGAAGTTGATTTCGATGTCAATGACCACGATAGTGGAAGGTACATTCTATCGAATTGGTAGTCAATTATTTAGTCCGACTGTGAGGAGTTTTTACATCGGTTGTCCGTGTTGAGCTCAATAGTATGCAATCTTTTTGGTCAGTGCCAGTCCATCTCAACTTCGCAGCCAACCCTTCTCTCGTTTCTCACTCTTCCCTCGCCCGCATTGATAGATGTGCATCTCATCCATTGGCCGATTCCAAACCGTAATTTCCGTCGCCTTTTGAATGCTGCCCGCCTTCTCCCCTCGCGCTGCATTCTTCGCCGGCATTGGTGGTCCAGTCTCTACGTTGCCACCTTCAAGGTCAACCACATCTTGCGATAGCCCCAGATTTTCCTCGCCCCCTTTGCGGCGACGTGACCATATCCTTTCCACCCACGCCAGTTTCCCTTCCCTTGCCTTCTCATCTCCAATGTCACTATGACTGGGACTGCTTGTGGTGGCACTACTTCCCCTCTGGTGCTTCACTCGACTTCCACTCCCACAGCTCTTCTGACCCCGTTTGGAGCACGCCTTAAATAAAGGTCCAAAACTCGGCAAGCAAGCACAAATGACCCCCACATTCGTTTCCAACGCTGTCCAAACACCCAAATCCACAAAATTGTAGGTAAAATCCTCCGTGCCCTGATGCTGGGCAATCGTGGCCAGCCGCAACGCTCCTACCACCGTTACAAATCCGCCCACCCCAAACACTCCAGAAAGTGCCAATTTCTGGGGAAGGGTGATGCGCAAGCCCAACAGCCAGTGGAGCGGGAGCAGCATTATGAGGACATCGAGAAGGAGATTGGGTATCACTTGGCCCAGGAAGTATTGGAGCGTATTAATACATTGGTGGTTTGGATAGTCCTGCGGAGACCAGTAGGCGGGGACGGGGTGGCAAGAGAAGATGGCTGTTAAGGCGGTTGCGAGGCCCCATGCTGTGACTATCACGCCGAGTGCGGTGGAGAATTTCTTGAAGGTGGACACGTGGAATATGCGATAAAGGAAGCAGAGGATTGAGACTTTGATGAGGGTGACGCTGATGGGGTAGATTATTTCTGCGATGTAAAGATTCAGCCAGAAGTGCTTGATTTTGTCCTGAAATCCTTGGGGATTTCCAGAGGCGACGAGAGCTAAGTGTTGACCAAGACCGTAATGGGCGGAGGCATGGATCATTTGGATCGAGGGGATCCAGGCGAATGGGGTCTCGAGGAGGATTAGCCAGTCGTCCCAGAGGAGGGGCATGCGTGCGAGACGCCGGGCTAGCAAGCGGAGGCCGAGTGCGATACCTGACAAGGCAATCATGACCGCCATTATGCGAACGAGGCAGGGTCCCCTGTCTGTGTGGAGGTCGTAGCCTGGAGGATATTGGACTTGGGACATGTTGAGGAAGTTGGACACGGTTGCAGTAGGAAAACGAGAAATATGTTAAAGGAATGTTGCAGAGACTTTTTAGTTTGACGGTCTTCTCTTATAGATGCTGCATCGTAACGCACGACGAGCACTGAAGATGAACCCCGCAATGCGAGCGGATCAGACTCAAACACACACGAAAACTGACTTGCTTGGCCTACCTGGTGTTTTGCGAGATGCATCTGCAGTCAGCACAGCACTGCTGTGCTGCATCGTACCGGACCTTCTACTCACAGGATAATCGGCATGTGCATCAAAGCCCACACGGGAGGCATCTCAGAGCGATTGGCCGAGATTGTTGGAAGTCGGTGCCAAGGCCGTGTAGGTTGATGGCACAGTCGTGGAGAGGCCAACGCCCAGCTGCATGGCGGGCTTCTTGCTTGCATAAATGCTCAATTCTGATCAGAAACAGGCCTCAGTTGCGAGGACATCTCTGGTGAGCGCCGCAGCAAGGTGTCCTTGCCATAAATATAGCCATCAGGCGCGGAGTGCGAGAAGCGTGCCGGCATATGCACGTTTCCACTTGGCTCGCTAGGTCCTGCAAGCACAGATGTGGTATCGAAGAATCGTGATCGAGAATCGGTACAGATTTTATCACCAGGGTAAGGTCACTTGTCGAGTGGCAGAGGTGCGTTCGAGCAACAGAACGATGTTGACAATTTCTTGAGAAATTTTGGCCTATCGTCTTGTTAATCACATATGAAAAGCATGTTGCATGATATTTTAGTTCTTCATTCATAACAATTGAGACATGAATTGCGTCGATGATTCATCTGGATGAAGATGATGCATCACAAGAAAAAATGGCAAAAGAAAAGACAGGAGACGGAGAAAACACGCCAAGAAATGTAATCTCCGGTGCACATTCCACCTTGATTGCAGAAAATATGACTTCGCCCGGGACATCAAGATATCTTTGCGTCGCCATCGAGAATGCCTCCTCCATTTAGCGAGGCCTTCAGGGCCAAGATCAAGCGAGACTTGGAGGTGAGCTCAATTCAGTACCCATTTTGAACGGCAATTGATTTTGAACAGGAGGGCAAAGATGATATGGCCATCCGTGCAGCACATAACATCTCAGCGCGCAAGGTGGGAATGTCGCTGACTTCCCAGGATATGACTGATCGCGAGCTTACAGATAAGGGCGATGCGTCAGCTATGGAACGAGAAGGGTGAAGTCTGGATCCACGTTCGCAAGGAAGGCAGTGGACGAAAACCAAAGATCAAGGATGAGCATGTTGAAGAGCTTAAGAAGCTCATTGCTGAGAATCCGGATGTTTACGTCAGAGACATGACCAAATTTTTACAAGCACGATGTGGTCTGCAGGTAGATGAGACAACAGTGTGGCGTGCAGTACAAAAGCATAATCTGGCAGCGCAGCGAAGACCACGACCTAAACCGAGGGACGCGCAAGGACTGTGGCTACCAAATGCAGACCAGGATGGAGACGGCGACATATCACTTCGATACGGTACACATGAGGCCCGTGATAGCCAGGAGACCACTCCAGCGACCCCAAACCCTCCCAAGACTCCCACCAGCACGCCGAGAGCGAAAAAGCCGAAGCCAAATGCAGCAGAAAAATTAGTAGAAAGAGCTCGAGACTACGCCAAACGGCACATGTCCAGCGCAAGGTTCGATGGCAGTCACGACTGGGGTCATGTCGAGCGCATGACCAAGATGGCCAATCACCTACTCGAGTGCGAACAAGCAGCGCACCCAAATATCATCTACGACTCGCTCCTCCTAGAGGTAGCAGCACTGATGCACGACATCGAAGACCATAAATACACCGCTCCTCCTCCTCCTCCTCAACCACAACAACAGAATGGCTACCACCCCCAACCGCACGCCCACCCTTCTGTACCTCCCAATCCCCAGACCCCGCAACCACCCTCGTACCCCTGGCCCTCGCAAATGCCGCCACCGACACCTTCACCCCCCTCCCCTCCGCAGTCTACACCTCACCACCACCCCGGCGCCCCAACTCGCAACATCCCCCCCAACAACCCTATCCTCGCCGCGCAACAATCAGCCCTCCACGCGCACCTCAAAGCCATCCGCGCGCCCAATCACCTCATCCACGTCCTCACAACCCTGATCCCGTGCATATCGCACTCGTTCTCGCAATCCCACCCCGCGCTGGCTGCCTCAACGGCTGTATCGCACCCTGAGCTCCACATCCTGCAAGACGCAGACCGGCTCGATGCCCTGGGCGGCGTAGGTATTGCCCGTGCTTTCATGTTTGCCGGGGCGAGGGTGAGAGGACCAATACCACCTCCTCCTTCATACACACAACAGGGTATGCAGACTGGGATACAGCACGGAGGAGGTGGTGGCAGTACGCAAGCATGGGAGAAAGAACAGCAGAAATGGCTTTCCACAGGCGGCGTGATGGGCGAGACACTGCGCCATTTCGAAGAGAAGATCGATAGGCTTGAAGTCCTGATGTGGACGCCTGAGGCGAAACGGATCGCGAGGGAGCGGACGGGGAGGTTGGAGGTGTTTAAGGGCTGGTTGAGGGGTGAAATGGGGACGGGGGATTTTGGGGAAGTGGTGGGTAGAGAAGAAAGAGGAGGTGGAAATGGAGGAGGCGTTGACAGTGATGAGGAGATGGACGTCGAGAATATGCATGAGGGATACCACGCGCAGCATACAGAGGGAGCCAGAGGCGAAGGACAGACCGCGACCGGTGGAGGAGCAGCTGAGGTAGCGAGAATGCACCCGCAGCTGAGGCAGGAACAGGACAGGCGTGATCGAGACATCGATCCCGGATTGCAGCTTCTGGTCGAGATGTACGGCTCGAGATGACTGATTTCTACGCCCTCCCCTCCCCTCCCCTCCCCTCCCCTCCCCCTCCCCCGCTCTTTCAGCTAAAACGACATCCACGAAAAGGTAGCTATGATGGAAGGAGAATCACTACTCAATCCATGCCCCTACCAACCCTAGTAAGCTATTTAAGAAGTCTCCAATATCCACAACTCTCTCTTCTACAGCTATACATTCGAGCCTGAACCCTCACGAGACACGACGCCCCCACCACCCTTGCTTTCCATGAAACGCATACAAGAGAAATAAGTATGAGTACAATAATGACATTTCATGCTAGCAAGGGTATATATACCTTACGCACTCGCCTAGCCAGCTATCCCTATTTGATTTGCCTTCCTTCCCGCTGTCCCATCGACGTCGTAGTGGTTGGTCGGCTTCATGGAGTGAAGGCGACTGACTCTTCTTTCTTCGTTTACAAGTAGAGGAAAGATTGTGGGTGCCAGCCCCAGCCCCAGCCCCAGGCCCGGTCAGACTCGGAAAATGATATAAAAAGACTGAGTGATAATTGATGTTAAGAGAAAGAAAAGAAAAGACTGTGCGGCCAGATGTACCTTCGTTATTGTCACATCCCCAACATTAACACTTTTCAAAACCGTCCTTGCAAGAGCATCCTGGGTGATCAAAAGACATCATCCCCCCACTCCCACTCCTCGCGCTGAATATCCGGCAGGGGCTTGTCCTTCCAATTCTCCACTCCACCTCCACCTCCACCTCCACCTCCGCCACGAAGCCCCACCCCACTCCTTCTCTTCAGACTCCTCCTTACCCCCTCACCATTTCCATCGCGGTCCCCTAACGGACTTTCCTTCCCCTTATCGTCCTTCACCACACCAACACCACTGCCCCGAGAAGCCCTCTTCTTCACCGAATCAGACACCAGGCTTGGTGGTGGGGGCGAAATGCCGCGTTTTCGACTACGCGTTTGGATTGGTGAGAAAGTCGGCGGTGGTGCTGGAGAGCGGGCGCGGTTGGTAGCTTGGGAGGAGATGTGCAGGGTTTTGGATTGCCGCTTTGTTGTAGGGGTGTGGCCTGCGTTTTTGGTGAGGAGATCGGATTCGGGGACTGCGGTCTTGGAGTCAACGGGTAAACTTGGGACATTGTGTGTTGTTGGAAACGCGGATGGGAGCGCTAGTTGTGGATCTATTAAATTCATTGGTGGTGATTGCTGCTCGAGATCGTGAACTTCGGCAGAACCGACTCGAGAAGATTTGCGTCGTGAAGAACTGCGTCTAGGTTGTGGATCCGGAACCTTCTTTCCCTGAGAGACATCGGGCCAAGAGCGGTGGTTGTTGTCTTTCAATTCCAGGCTTTTGCGAGATCGACGAGTGCCGCTCTCTTTGAACGTCGCATCTGAAGCTTGGTCCAGGACGCGTTGCGCACGCGCTCCTAGCAGGCGTTCCGAAGGTAGAGTAGCAAGTGCACCCGGCACAAACTGCTTACGGCCTACGGTCGTTGGTAATTGCGGGACTGCTGGCGCGGAGTCCAACGAATCTTGTAATTCTTGACGTGCAGAGTCTAGCTTCGTTTCCAAGTCACTGACCCTTTTGTTAAGTTTCTGTACGCGAGCCAGCTCCTTTTTAGACGGCCGTCGCTGTAAACCTCTATTGGCTTCAGGAGTATCGGCCGCAAGCACAGAGTCAATCGATGGTATTTCCTTGGACGCTCGATTCTTCTTTGACGGTAGCTGAAGATGAGATTTGACCTTCTTGAGATCCTGGACTGAAGGAGACCTCAGGTGCGTAAAGGATCTTCGGCCTGAACTAGCTACTGAAGCTGGACTTTTAGACCTGTCACGGCTCCGTCGACCGGGGATTTGTAGCTTGTTGCTGGAGGTAGTGTCATGGCTGTTGCGCTTGCTTGGGGCTTCTACATCGATGGCTGAATCATGGAATGAATTTCGGCAGGCATCTTGCAGATCCTCAAAGTTGAGAGTCGGCTCAACGTTTATGTGCTGATGGTTTACGGTCGTCTTCATGCCCTGGAAGCCGCCTTCCTTTAGAGCGGTATATGCTTTGTTGATATCCTCCTTCTGGGTGTCTGGCTTTTGATGCTCCACATGAGCACTAGGTTGTTTGTCCTTTCGAGAACCATTGAACCCCTGCCAGAAATTGACAGGATTCAGTGCTGTTGCAATCGCCTTGCCAAAACGAAACACGCCCGTAGCCTTCGCAGTCTCTAGACCAGCAGTGTAAACAGTATCTGCTTGATCTCTTGTAGTCTCTTGATTTGCGTATGTCTCAAGAGGATCTCCTACTTCTAGAAATGACGATGGAGGCTGTTTGCTGGGCTTGTCATTGAGACTGCCCTCTTTGAATTTCGACGATCGAGTCTTCTTGCCATACTTCTTACGTTTGGAAGGAGGTGATGAAGCCTTCTCACGTGGCTGGTCATTGAGATCGACACCATTCTTAAGAGGCCACTCGGCTGTTCGAGGCCGCTTGGGAGGAGATTCGGGGTCGTCGCTTCTCTCTGTGGGATCAGCCGAAATGCTAAGCTCATCAGGTTTCTCTTTTGGAAGAGCACGTTTGCGTGGGCTACTCGACAACTCAAATGTCTTGGATGTTGTTTTCCGTAATTCCATAGGCAGCTGCAAGGAGATCAGTTTGCGGGTACGTGCAGAGGTGGGTCCCATCACTTACCTCTCCGCCTGAAATAGCGGGAGCTTCTTCCCTCAAGCTGGCCATGGTGACGAGCGATTATCGCGGGTTGTCACGAAGAGCCAAACTCCGGTTCATATTGAATGAGACGTAAATCAATGCTCTGAAATGACATGAAGCTTGGGGTAAACAAACCTCAAGTAAATCCGGCGCTAGCATTAAATCCGTGCTAGGATGCCGATTTCAATTACTCCCACCTTAGAAACCTTTCAAGAGACACCTCAAAGTCCTCTCTAAATTACTAGAATCTTACTAGAGACGACTGGCCCCGAAATACACAACGCCAACGCATATAAAACAAGAACATGAACGCGCCATAGCCGCCACCGCAATGATAGGGTGGCGTTTCGTCGCCCAGGAGTTGGCGGCGGCTACAGCTTTCAATTTCAGCCTTGCAATTGACTTTTCCTTGACTCGCAAACTACCGTCTGCCTACCAGTATGTTTCTCGCTAGTCCGCGCGAGAAAATAGTGAGTCGTTACAGTTGTAGCTTGTGCATCGTGTTTTATGACAGGGACTAAGGCGAAAGGGGTTAAAGACCAGCTTATACATGATTCAAGGAGAGATACAATATCTCTAGGGATCATACAAGGCATTTTTCACTGTATTCATGGTGCACCGTAGAGAGTGATGTCGGATTCGGGAATAGCACCTAAGTTGCTTTCAGTATTTTAACATTAGAATTGCGGGAGAATCTGTGTAAGTTTTAGAGTATGTAGACATTATCCTTGCAACAAGTTCCGCCGATCCACTGAGTGCCCACCACTACCAATTTTCCAAGAACTCCCTATTTTTACTTTCCCTTTTTCCTCCCTTTATATACAAATGCTAGAAGATCCACAAGACCGTCCACGATAGAGAACCCCGCCCTTCTCAATCTATACGACGCCCCGATATACTGTCTCTTACTGCCCACCAGCACCGGCAGCAGTGCCAGCATTGGGCCCCGTCACCTGCCCAGCACCACCAGCCCCAGCCTCATCCACACCCTCGACCCCAACCCCAGCGCCCTGGTTAGGCAAAGGTTGTGCAGCGGGCGTTGGGTCGGCGGCGGGACCAGGTTGTGCAGCGGGTGTTGGAACAGGGGCAGGACCGGCAGCTGAGCCAGCTTGTCCAGCGGAGTTCGGTTCCGGGGATGAGTTTGGGGCCTGTGCAGGGGCGCCGGGGTAAGATTGTGGTAGGGCCATTGCGAGGCTGGTCAGGAGAGTGAAAGTAGTGAGGAAAGATGTGAGACGCATGGTGATGAGTGAGATGCTTTTGCGTGGTGATTTTGTAGATGTTTGAGAGTTTGTGGGTGATGAGTGTAATCGAACGTTTTCTGGAGATGGTTTTGATATTTTGTTTGGGTTGGGAGTTGCTGAGAAAGAGCTGGGTATTGAGATGTGTTTTATAGACGGCGAAAGGCCCCGAATTAACTTCAATATGGTGACTATGTTAAGAAGCTGGGTCGTGAATTGGAGAGCTGTGCCTCGCCCTTCGTTATGATGGTGGATATGGTGGAAATATGTTGTTTGAGATGTATGACATGCATACTTGGCTACGACAGCATGAGAGAAGTAAGCGGTATATCATGGATGTGAATTGCTAATGCGCCCCATGTGGAGTCTTCCATGTTGCTATTCTTGACTCTATACAACATAATCGGAGAGACGACCTTTCGAGACGCATTGGATTGAAGCAGCGAAGATGGTGGTGATTGATCAAGATCGATTGAGATTCGTCGAGCCTTCTGGAAACTTGGTTGGTCAGAAGCTTCCTGCGTTCTATAATACAATATCAGGTAGTTGGAGGACTTGCGCCTGTTCCTCCTTTGGTTTGCTGAAGTCATTGATATGAGAACTCGATGAGACCAGTGCCTCACTTGGTATTTCGGCGGAATCAGGCTATCTGCTGCAGCCACAAACGATTTGAGCTGACGTCTTTTCTCCCAAGACACGTTAATATCATACCTAAGATACCGAGTGTCGTTTACTGGCTGGTCTTTTTGCCAAGGGGCGTCAAACATGAATCAGACCCACTGAATTTCGCCGTCGAATGATTTTGTCCAGAAGTTCACGGTACCTGACTTGTGGTCCGATCACTTGTACTTCTCCCAAGATAGATCCAATGCTCGTCTGATTCTTGCATGAGATGTCTGCAGTCATCCCATCATGAAGGTGAAGTATTGTTGAAGCCATAGCGGCAGAGCTATGCAATGATTGGGTGTAACGAACTTGGTCTAACTAGGTAAGTTCCCATCTCGCGCATCACAGCGCTAGTGTCTAGGCAAGTGAGATTGGCATGCAGGAAGAAAGCTGAGCCAGACGCCCTCACCCTGCGATTTCCAAGCCGTTTCAATAGGTGACTGGCGATGAGATGAGATGAGATGGGATGGGAGTCTCACACAAAAAGTGTTGTGGTGAGAGATTCGAAAACTTGTGTCGCCTTTGTGGTGTGACATGTAAATGTGTAAAATGATAGGTAACGTTTCGGTATGAGGCAAAACTTAAAACCTAGGATTATGAAGTTTGGTGTGATCGAATTTAGGTCAAGAAACACTGAAACTTGAAGAGGGATGTAGTAGAAGGAAGTGCTTGCCGAATAAGTTTTGGTGTGGATAGAAAGGTATGTAGGTCTATGTAGTATGGAAGGCTTTGAGCGGTGCGGAAGACGCAGAGTGGGGAGAGACGAGGTCGCGGAAAGCTATAGCTGAGGAGCTGGGGTGATGTGTTGGTTGAAGTAATACCAGAAGACTGCCTCATCGAGGATGGCTCCGAACCTGAGTTCATTATTAGCTCGTGGGTTATGAAGAAACCGTCACACGAAAAGCCACTGCAGTATGCAGATGAGCGATGAGTAGCACATGGATCCAACCTACCCGCAACATTGAACATAGGGACTTAGCTGTCTCTTGAGGGTATCAACGCCTGCTCTGCTCATCTGAGGGAAATAAGGATGGTTGTGCAGGATATGCCATGCTTCAATGGGAGTGATCTCGCCTTGAAGATTTATGCCTTGGCTCAGGCTAAGCAGTTGCTTGATGATAGTCCCGCTAGTCGTCCAGCTGGTATCCGGGCTTTCCGTCGGGTTCCGCGGTGCGCCTGCCATCAATGGCGTCGATAGCTGCACGCAGACACGAATTAGCGTTCACTCATTCGAACAGATAACGAAGACGGCATGAAGATACAAAGCATTGTGGACATTGCTATAGTCATACAGAGATCTCTGTTTGTGACGTGCACGTTGATATAAACTATATGATCATTGGAGAAGGAACGTACAAGCATCATATGATTTGCAGGATCATCCCCACCCGGATCTGCCGGATAAGGGATATGAGCCATACAAGGATGTTCTAAGGCCAAGACGAAGTCTATGGCGGTCTCTAATGTATCAATGCTCGTGGGTGATTTCTGCTTGGCAGGTACATAGGCATGACGTTTTGGTGGCGACGGCTCGCCACCAGAGACGGAAAGTTGATCCAATGAAAGTTCTTTGCCTCCTTCAGTATGGCCCCGCGCCCGAGAAGATGAGAAGCCTACCGTTGGGGAGACTGGGCAAGGGCTTGAGATCACCAAACCACGACTGATCACCAAATGGCTGCGACGAACCAAAGCCATGCTCGGAATATGCTGGGGCGGGTGGTTGGCTTGGTTCTGGCCAGGAGACATGAAGACGCTGGTGGTCGAAGTCGTCAGGGCCATAAGAGATTTTTGCCGGCATATCGAATTGCGAGACTGGTGGCGTAATAGCCAGAGCCTCGGGGCTTTCAAGGTTGGAGGGCAAAGACATATTGGCGGAGGAGAGCGTAGCCTTAAGAGTCTGCACCGTTCCCTTCAATTTGTCCCGCTCAGTCATCAGTTTCGCTTCAGACTCCCTTAGGCGAACAACCTCCGACTCTAAGGTCTTGATGTAATTTTGGGTTCGCTGACGATGCGTCCTAGATCCCTATGTCAGATCGCTTATCGTCGGGAAATCGTTACGAAAGTGGAAAGACAACTGAACACAAGATGCAAGCACAGCAGTTGTTAGATGATCGTACATACCGTTGAGCATGGCGCACTGTTGTTGTGAGATTAGTAAGATTCATCGAAAAAGGCAGAAGGAGGTCCAACCAACCTTGCTCTCGTCGTTTGTTTGGGGCAGCTGGTCCCGATGCGGAAGTTGAAGCGCCTGTTGCCGTTCAAAAACAGGTGTTAGCATAATCATTGCTTGATCAAGGTGATATAGCGTGGGAATCAAAGGCTGGTTGATTCCAAACCCCAAAATCCTACCATGCGCATGCACCCAACCAAGCGCATGGCAGGTTTAAGACAGCGCATAGCACCTTCAGTTCCCAAGGCGATCTTCCGCGCTTGGAGGTAGACTCCGGCCGAAAGGGAAACGTACCTGGCGGCTTGGCAGTGGTCTGCAAGAAGGCAAGATTCTGAGTGCCGAGGGTTCGTCGAGCTCTCTTCCACAGCGAGTCATTGCCCTCCCTCCTGGTACTGGTGGATGGCGGCGATACCGTGGAGCCTGGTATGCCGCCTGATGACAGCTCTCCTTCAGAAGACATCTTCTTTGTTCTGGTGGTGTCGCCAAAGATGTCGCAATGATTGATGATCCAGTACGCTTCTCACAATGTGGATCATCCAACAATCGTAGGGGGCTATCAGTCTAGGATTCCAGCATCAACAGGATGGGAGATTTGGAGACTGGCTCGCGTCAACAAAATAGCTCCTTCAGTTCCTTTTAATTGCTGCATCGCCGCCATGATCTTGCTCATAGCTGTGGCTTGATGCTGAGCCGTGAAGGTGGGCGGTCAGAGGGTGAAGAGAATGATGAGGAATCTCGCGGGAAGTTGCCAGAGATAGGGTGTCATCTAAGGTTTCACGCTAACCTTAGTTACGGCTCCGAGTTGCGCATCATCCCGATTGGGTTAGCGAGGGGGCTCTCAACTTGCCTCTATCTTCCTCGAAAAATGTATGTCCTACTCCATCCCACGGGCATCATATGTGCTTGACCGCGATTCCTCATCATCTGTTTACACCGCATCTTCCATTCATCTCATGTCTCCATTCGTCCATGCGCCTCATCGCTTGATTGACGCGCAGCTTTCAAGCCGATACCGTGCGTGGGGTTTTCAGCATTTTCGAATATCATTGCGTCGACTGTGCTGGGCTTGATCCACTTCGCTCATGCCACTGACTGAGCTTCCTCCTATTTCTAAGAACATGGTGGAAAGTCTTTGACTGGCGATCTGGTCACGGAATAGCTTCACTCGTCACTATCGAGCCAATTGACTTTTCCGCGGGTAGACTACGTGCCACGGCAGCTTCTTGGTAAGACATTGAGTGTATCTTGGATCTCATCCAGATGACATCTTTATAATGCCTTTCTTTATGCCTGATATAAAGTGACAACAAACACGTACGCCTGTTTCTGTTACGCGTCACCTTATACTTCTATCCCGAAAGCGGCACGCCAGGAAAAGCACCCGTCCCGTCTTGAACTTTGATTTGGTCTCATGTTATGACTTTACCTTGTTTAGTCATCTGACGCCGCGTGTCTGATCACATCAATGCCTGACGTGGTCCGGGTCCAAGGCTTGCGTTTGGCAATCTGACAGGGAACATGACTCCAGGTCTCAAGACTGGCAGCCTGTTAAGAGCGATGCAACAGAATATCACGAAGCTTATCCCGGGTATATTACATCCAAGAATGGCCCAAGAATGAGCGACTAGAGGTTGAACCAAATATGCCATACTATTCGAGCGCATTCTCCCATATCCCCGCAGCCAGATCTCAAATTTCACGTTGATCAAGCGGACAACAACATTCTTGCCAGACTCATCAGGGGCAAAATCCCACAGTGGCGTATCTAGGAAAGTGACAAGCACGTTGCCTTCCTGATGCCCTTCCCAAGCGCTCCCGGCTTCACGGTGGTTGTCCCCCGAACCCATCTCACAAGTGACATCTTCTTCCTGGATGAAAAAGACTACAAGGATCTCTTTGGAGCAGTTTTCGCTGTGTCTCAGATCCTGAAGAAGGCTTTCAACACCGATCAGATCTGCATGCTTTTCGAGGGTTTCGAAATCGATTACGCCCATGTAAGGCTTGTTCCAATTCACGACACAGTCAGAACATTGGGAACGGATGCTTAATTCGCGCAGCTGCAGGAGCAATACACCGATAGATGTCCCGGCTATGTGACGTCGATGCCAGGGCCCAGACTCAGTGATGCTGTTGACCTCTCTCAGGCGGCTAAGAAAATCAAGTATTTGGTCCCACCTATGAGGCTTAAACCACCAGAGACTTGGTCGACGTCCGTAGCAGCCGTATGAGCGGTCTGCAGATTTGCAAGAACAGAACATGATTAAGACGAATGTATGGAGAATGGCTTTGAAGGGCTTCCTGGCTTGAATTTTAGGCACGAGCTGATGTAAATTGCATGGTAATGCTGTGGATGGGAGACATCGACGGGAATGAGATGTCGAACGAGAACGTGTGCTTGGAGGGTAGAGTAGCTTGAACGTAAAATCCCTGGGATCAAGTTAGCAAAATATCCAGTACGCAGAAAAATAATGGAGACTTTCCGTGAAAATCCTCTTCTGAAATGTTACCTCTCCGAGATGAAGTTTTCAGAATTGACAAAGATGACTCGTTTTGCATCAATCTTTTCCGCGAACCACACCTGTTATGGCTTGATAGCACTACGTTCAGGGACCAGCTAAAACCGCCCAAAACGGTCAAACTTATGGCTTTCTGAGCATTGAACCTCCCAAACCCCCAACCTCCAAGCTGAAGAATAATTACCCGCCCATACGTTCAAACCAACCCTACTCTACTCCTATCAACCAGGTGGACACGGAAACACCGTCTCAAAAAGCACCTTTTCCAACCCCTTTACATCCTCCTTCGCCAACCCGTTCTCCCAAACAGCTCTCAGATTCCTCCGAACCATCACCCTCGTCATAACCTCGATCTTCTCCTCCACCGCCTCCACCCCTACCCCACTCCTCCCCACACCCAACCCCACATCCGACCCCATCTCCGTCCTAAAAGCTTCAAACATCGGATCCACCCTTACCATCTCCCTCCACCCCCTCGCACCACTTTCCACCCCTTCAATCCCGCAATCGCAAATACTGCCCGCGGGCCCCAAGATCTTGGATTTATGAATCTCGTTGATGGTTGCGAAATAGAGTAGATGCCCCAACCGCCCGGCTCTGATTAGGTGTGCCGCATTAGCGATGACATCTTCTCCCCCCTCCCCCTTCCCCTCCATCAATTCTTCAATTTTCATTTGCGATGCCATTGCTCGATCCGCAGTCTTGCCCCCTTGCAGCATAACCCTCACGCGCTTGAGGTAGAAGTACAGACGCCGCGTCGGTAGCGTGCAGAACATATGGCCCAGTTTCTCGCGGATGTCTTCGCGGGTGGAAGGCGGGAGGTGTTTTGACCACACGTCGATTTTGATTCGCATGTTGAGCATTTTGGATGCTTGGTCGAGATCTTGGAGGAGCGTTGGGCCGCTGCCGCCTGCGTATCGTGTCAGTTTGGGGTTGTCAAAGGATAGTTGGGAAGGGTTCTAACCAAGCTTGGTGTAGATCTTAATCATTCCAGTGGGTTCTTTTGGGAAGCTGTCGGCGAGTTTCTGACGCACTTTTTCGAATTCGTCAAGACCGAGACTGGAGATCGTGGCTGTGATGTTGGTACCGAGCTTGCTGACTAGCTGTTCCAGTTTCTTTATGAATAGAAACCTGGGGTCATTCGTCATGTTTTCGACGGTCTTGAATGAGCGGAGACCATTTATTTCGCATGGTGTTGTCAGGTATTCCTGTAACGTTCTCTTGGCCGCACTGGGGGTCTTGAAGACCATCGTCGACGCGGCGTATGAGTTTTCCAACATTATGAAGTTGATTCTGTCTGTTTGCTGGACAGAGATGGGAAAGAATTTGAAGCAAAATCGATCAGTTGAGCGAGGGGACCATGCGCTGCTACCTGACGATCCCGGTGTATTGTTATGGGGCTGAGTGTAAAAATTACTTGCTTTCGTGATCGGCAGATCCTTGAGGATAGACTGCACGTTCTGCAAGTCATGGGTTTTAAGTAGGAGTGCGTTCTGCCGAAACATATCCTCTCTCCATGCTTTTATTTCTTCGTTGACATCTTCTTCAGCGACGGGGAGCATGAAGCTTCGAAGAACAATCATTAGTTGTGGGGCGATGGCGGCAAAACAATGATACTCGGTGTAACACCCCTCGGAAGTTTTATTTGTACCAATGTCGTAATCGAAATGAACCGGTCCCTCGTGGATGCTGTAGGCAAATTCTGACAGCAAAAATTCGCCCTTCGGATCGGAGGGCGTACAGAATGCAAGATACATCATCTGCACATGCGCTATGAACCACATAGCGTCATCAGGGTAGACTTGCTCCAACAATCGAGTCATCCAGCCCTGCTCGGGGTCCATATCCAGGTCCAGCATCGCGTTTATGTTGTCGAACCATACGTCAATCGGTTTCTTGAATCCCTTTGACCGCATGTAGTCTTGAAGCCTTTCCTTGTCGTTGGACGAGTAATCATCTGGTTTGTCGTGGTAGAATCGCTTATGAGCTGTGGAGCCCCGATACTTCATAATAAAAAGGAACTTGCGTAAAATGTCCCTATCCGTGCGATTGATCCAAATTCCATTCTCTTTCTTCTCGAACGCCTTACGTACAGTGTTAATGATTACAGCAGCACGGGACTCCAGCTTAGAAAGCTTTTCCTCGATGTGATGTGGATTGTCCAGGTCCGCAAAATCTCGATACATGTCGGTGATGCCCAATGTTTTGGCCACAGGGCTTTCACCGATATCTGCAGATGATCCAGCGAAACTGAAGGTGTGAAGCATTGGATCTCCTGGATAGCAACCATTCTGGCTCCGTTTTCTGCGCCGCCTGTTGGGCCCCGCTGGGACTTCAAATGGATGGGCAAAGTTTCGTAGGATGAATCGTGGGATGAAATGATGATACTGAGCTTTTACTAAAGATTTGGTTGAGGTTTCCATGACGTTGGCGTACCCTGAGATGAAAATCCGGAATCCTGGTAGACTGTCGAAGGATAAGATAGAAAAGCAGCAGGTTTGATAAATCGTATGACAAACACTCTGCTTCACTGACGAAGATTGTTTTTGGATCAACGGATTACCATCTCAAGTTTGGTCGCGCGGGGACTTCATTGTAGCAAGTGTCGAAAGGATGTGTGCTTTTGTACCACCCTTCTGGTAATTCACTCACAGAGTAGGCCTAAGCGCCGAATCATCTGATTGCTCAGCCTTGTAGGAGTTGCATGTGCGGCGACCTGCGTAGCCACGTCATGGTGCAGTATGACTCATTCTGGACCTCCAATAGTATTGAGTTGCTTGTAGATCCCTCCTTACTCTCTATAACATTGGTAAAAAAAGCATCAGATTCTTTTCACTCTTACTTGCGCAAGAAGCAATTGATATCAGGGCAGATCGATGTTGTCCCCAAAGTTTCGCTCAACTTAAGCTTAGACACACATATGTACTCGCGCAAGACATCAAGAAAGTGCCCTTCATCAGAATTTGGAGAAAATCTAGTACAACATATCTCCTTGGTGTTTGTGTTGACAGTCCTGCCTTGACGTTTTTCGTCTAATTTGTCAGGCCTTATATCATTCACGTCGTCCTCCTTAGATCACTTGCAACCATGTCAGCGTTCGAAAAGGCACCAGTATTTTTGGTATATCCTGGAAACGCCACGTATCAAAGTTTGGTATCCTGTGGCCATGACAACAACCCTCCATAGCAAGGCTGACTTTGGCTTTCAATGTGCATTCATTCCTCAAAATAGCCTTCATTCGCTTGTGCTCCCAACAGAGTGGATGCCGTACGTTTACCAGCTACTTTCTCAACAGTAGTCTAATTATTTGAGCGGTGAATGAGTAGACTGCATCACTCTAATAGACCTTCGTCACGAGCCAGTTCCAGGCGGGACTGTAATTCGTATTTGGACCGCAGAATCGAGAGCATATTAAGTATTATTGGGAATCAAAAATCGCCTTCCCCGTAGTAACCCGAGGTCTCGACAACATTGTTCAGTAGACAGCAGTTTTGTCGAGCCAAAGGTGAAGGCTGACTTGTCATGAAACATTACCTAGGGTCTCGCTGAGCTCTATCTTTGTACTCAGCTTGTCGCCCACGTCCGACATATCAAAATTCGGACCTGTCCAGGTTGCATGCTTGAGGTCTTACTAGATTAAAGGTGGATCAAAAGACTTCAGACTTTCTTGAATGATTGCATCTTTTACTACTGCGAGAAAAAATCGGCCTAAGGTTGTATCTTGCTCGTGTGTAGCGTGAGTATTTACCTGAACATCTTCTGCACAGACTTTCTTAAATTGCTCGATTAGAAAGTCTTGAGCCTTGTCACAGAAAGATACTCCGGTATAGTCAGGAAACGCGCTTGCCAAGGGTACGCTCATAAGCTTGTGTTTGAAGATGGTGATATTGTCGAAGAGTAGTATCACATATTTATATTGATCTCCACGGGGGCCCATTGTGTCCTTGAATATGGCCAGACTGCGAACAATTTCAGGCTGAGTCATCCATTCTTCGTCGAAATCGTCTATGGTAGGTATTCTGTCGTCTGAAAATGATTCTGCATTGTACGTATCAAGATCAACGACGAAACAAAGCACACGGAAATCTCCAGCCTGCAATAATGATACACGGCTTCGCAGCCGCGAACTACACGCAACAATGCGAAGAACAAGCTGGCCAAGTGTTATTGAAGTTTCCTGGACTTGACTCTCATACGATGATTTCATCGCTTGCATATTGCCAATGTCAGCATATGTCGGAGTATACGACGGCTCCGCCAAGCGCATTATGTTATCCAGCATGCTGCAGACCGATTAGTGACCTCCATTATAGCCGAAAGTATTGACATACGTTGAAGCTGTGTGGCTTTCTTCTGATATCGAGTCCTGCCACAACCAATGCACCGCATTTGCTTGCTGCCTAAGATCCTCTAGTCCAGTACCTGGAGGCTTCAGAGCTGAATGCACGGTCTCACTATAATCATCGACAGTCTTTCCAAGATTCCGGTAAAGTTCTTGGAAACGAGTGATGGCCATAGTTAGCATCTCTATCTGCGTTGCACGTTCGATACCTTCGAAGTGATACTGTAGTTTTCCCAAAATGATGCGGTAACTGTTGCCATTTCCTCCAGTCAGCAGTAAAGGGATCTCCCTCATCTTTATTCGGGTGTCTTTCTCGATTGACTTCTCGATAATGGCAGATCTCTCAGCAGCCTCTTTGGTCTCCTTCCTCTGTCTGAGCGTCGCTCGTATGTTCAAGGCGGAAAGGCTGGTAGATTCGGTCGTTGGCATCACTGGTCCACGAGGCTTTGCTTTGAACAACCTGCGTACGGCTCTTTGATAAACTTGGGTACTAATCAATTCTGAATCGAAAGGGAAAATTGCTGAGAACCTAGCCGAGTTTTCGGTAGAGACGGTAGCTTTACTGAAGAAAGACGCACTGTCATGAAGCACGATCAGTGACGAAGAGTCGTCACGAACTCTGTCGAAAGCTTCTCGTGTTCCAGGATCCTCAAGACGTGTCCGTTGTTCGTGTAGCGTTTTGCTGCACACATTTAGTAAATTGCTTTGCCGTGGGGACACAAACGAGATTAATTTGAAGTACCAATTGCATGCTGTTAGTAGTAAGTTGAGAGCGCTGATCTGTCTCTGTATGAAAGTCTGAAAGGTCTCGAAGTCGCTATTATTGAAGAAAACCTTAAGTTTATCCTGAAAATCCAGGGTCTCTGTTCCATTTTGATTAAGCTGCTCCATGTTCTCATCCATTGACTTGACCAGTAATCGGCAGCAGTGTATCGCCTCTTCGAGATCGATGATCAGCTGGTGATGTTGAGGGGAGTTGGAAAGGTCAGACGATATCCATTCCGAGATCTTATTCAAGGCAGCTTTGAGCGAATTCAGCTGTGTGATGAGGTTGGATACCGTAAGGGCGATGGTTTTCCATCTATCTCGCAGATCTCGAAGGGTCATGATTGTCTTGGTGACAACGTCGACAATGCCCACGATAGCACCTGTCGTGCCAATGATTGTAGCTGGGTCCATGTTGACCCACTCTGATCATCGTATGTCATTCAATTGCCTCAGCTCTATTGAACGATAGATTGTGTGTAGCGATGAAATGTTGGACGAGCTCAAGTTCAGCTCCGCTGCTCAGCCTTGTGGCGATGTCGCGCTCCTTAGTCAGCGTTCTTGTATCAGCCCGTGAGATATTCATGCCAGTCTCATTGAAGAATCTTGATTTGGAGGTGTTTCAGGGGTTAAAGCTTGGATGAATTTATGAGCGACTGTTCATATATATAGACTTCCAAAGGCAGAATAATGCCTTCCTGTTGTTCTCGTAGTCGCGAGCCACCCCGGCAGCAAAATGTTCATACGGGGCCTGGGTGAGTGGGCCTTCAGCAGATGAATTAGAATTATGTACTCGTAACACTGTTGTCTATTTGATCATCAAAAAGCCTCCCAGGGGTATATGCATCAGCCATATCCCAGTTTCGACCCGTCCTTCTCAGTAGCCATACAAAGCTTGCGCATAAGCAATCATCAGTTCATGAGTCGTACCAGTGTCCTACCGAGCATCCCCTCCACCATTAGGACCACCAGCCCACGCCTACCCTCAACATCATAATCCCAGTCACCACCCACACCCACCTCCCGACCTTGCTTCTACTTCCTGCATCGATAATGACATAACACCCCACCGTTCTAGTAGGCTGTCCCACATTCGCCTTCACAAGCGTCGTATATCCCCCATTCCCACACGCCTGTCCGGGTGGAACAGTAGTCGTAACCCTCACCCCCCTGCCGCAGCGCCCACAACCGTCGTAGGCGTCTCCGTCACCGTGCCAGGCACCGAACTCGTCACCAACGTCGTGGTGGGTTGCCACGAGGTCGTCACGGGCGCCACGGCTGCATAGCTCGTCGTCGGTTGCCATGTCTGCTGCTGATACACGGTCGTCGTCTGCTCTTGGCATGTATTGCATACTGCTTGGCAGGTATTGCATCCCTCTCCTGCTGCGCCCCACGAGGATTGAGAGTATTTGGCGCCAGCGTAGTCGCCTTGGTAGGGTGACCCGGAGCAGCTGGAGCCCAAGGCGCAGCAAGCGACGTGTCCGGCGTCATCCCAGGCGCAGGATTGGCCACCGTTGCAGCAGTAGGAACCACTGTTTCCGCCCATGCCTGAGCAGGCGGAGTAGCCGCCTGGGATGGCGCCGTTGTTGTATTGGATAGCGGTGAAGAAGGAGCCGATTTGTTGGGATGAGGCTGGGGGGAGGAGGTGGAGGAGTAGGAGGAGAAATGTGGTGGCTGTGGCAGTGAGGATGTGGGGAGACATCGTAGATCGCGAGACGAAGGTCGATTGGGGGCGTTGTGAGCGGAGGAAGAGGTGATAGATGTCTGATGAGGGGCGGAGAAGGCAATACGAAGCTGTGGTAGTAGGCAATGGGTCAGGCGACCTCAGGCAAGCGCACGCCGTCTATGGTCATCTGCCTGATCATTGGAGCTGTAGACAAAAGTGAGGAATAGATTCTAGGGGTAGTAATCGTCAGAGATGAGGGCAGCAGGCAGGGAGGAGCGGAGAACGACATCATGACCGGCAAGCTCCAGCTCTTGCTTCCTTGCTGACCACAAGCGCAAGCCAGGGGGCAGTCCCCAAAGCTTGCAAGGCACGCAAAGGAAGGAACCAAGCAGGTTTGCCCCGCCATTTGCTGCATCCGGATCATCTCGGCCCGTGGCAGGGGTTAAGGTTGGATCGAGACTGCCTTATCGGGCTGCCAAGGGCCTAGAACGTGCCTAAATGAGATTGCATAAAAATATGCATAGTATATCTTTATCTCTATTGTTAGCTACAACTTAATCATTTATACTCCGTATACTTGGAACCCATCAATTACAATCAATGCCTGTCTCGTCGCTACTGATACGTATGCTCCCTATATCGAGCATCTTGTATCTCCTAAGCTGCGAGAGCATACTTGAGCTACGCCCGTCCATCGACTTTCTGAAGACCAGAGTCCACAGGATGTTCGCCTCCGGCCCGGCTTACTCGTGTTCAATCCTACAGGCGCAGACAAAGTGGCCCAGGTGTACGTCTTACATGCATACCCGCTAAACTGCCATGCGCGGAAGGATATTTCGCGGGGCAGGATGTCGGTTTTTGAAACCTTTAGACGATCCTATGAATTTGCAGAAAACGCTGGTAGGATTCCTTGCTTCTATTGTTGCAGTCTTTCATAGCTGTCATTCAAATTTTCCGATGACTACGCAGATCTAATTGTGGGCCTTTGAAACCGGCTTGCTAACAATTGCTTTCCTTCTAGGGTGAATCCATCAGCGTGCTTTCGTCTCCCCTGAAATGATGAATTCTTGTCCTTGTTGCTGAATTACGTGTGCGTCTCCATCCGTATTCAATCTGGTTGAGTCTGTTCATTTCAATTCAATTTTTGAGCACAGTCCATTCCTTGAGGAACCGAAGACCATACTCTGAGGCGCCATGATCTGTACATTAAGAGCAAGTGAAGATTACTATATCTAGATCCACCTGCACTCCGCTTCCTTCGACCTCCGCCCGCTTACGACGCGGCCTTTAAGAATAGCAATCTCACTCAAGGTCCACGCCGCATCTCAGAGCGACCCATAGTCAGCGGCTCCCTCGTCTATTGCTGCTGCTACCAAAGCCATTCGCCATGCATTCCAGATATGGACATCTGTATTGAATCCTTCAAAGTCAAAAGCGAGGCGTGAACTCCTTGGTTTCAGCGTCTGATTACCTACGATGCTCACCTGCTCTGATATAAAGGACGGAGTACGATGCTCAATATTTCTTATCATCCGACAATTACTCTTGAATTAAGACACCTAGACTTGACACCTCCGACTTCATACAGTATTCAAAACTTTACACAGTCACAACCCAAGCACAAATCTTGATCATGCAATTCACCACCCTCCTCACAACGCTCACCCTCTTGGGCAGCCTCGCTCTTGCAGCACCAATCGACCCTCCTACCTATTCCAATACTGCCTCCGTCCCAGCCCAGAAAAGGGATCCCAACCCCGCCCCCGCCGCCCGCCATCGCAAACACCCTGAAGACATAGATCTAGGTTCTGGCAACGCTGTGGCCAGTGCGGGGAAAAGAGACCTCGATACCCGCCATCGCAAACACCCAAAAGGTACAGAGGGAGGAGATTCTGGCAACGCTGTGGCTAGTGCTGGGAAGAGAGATGTCGATGCGTAGGCTGTTGAGCCGGTGGTGTTGTTGAGGCTGGCTGAGGGGGAAGGGGGACGCGTCGTAGGACGATATGTTCTGCATTTCTCTTTGAGAATGTAGCGTAGCGTAAATAAATGCTTGCGTAAATTGAAGAATCTGTCTCTGGCTAGGAATTTTAATGCGTTTTAGATGTGGGAGACAGCTAAACACTGTGATTCCGCGAATCGATAAAGAAATTTAGCTCCGAGCATTTGTCATTGCACTTTATTGCACATTCTATGTCGAAGTTTGTGCTAATGGCGAGGACTACCAGAGTAGCTTCCACGATCTCTGACTGCTAACAAGCTGCACCACGCTTCGTCAGCCCCTGCACAGGCATCAAGACTAAATATATGATAAGATGCTTCTCCCTACTCTGAGCGTGCGTACTGGGTCAAAGGAGGAGCAACAAGGCTCGGGAAGCCGAGTTTCATTCGCTATGGGAAGCTGGTGGGTGTTTCGTAGGCCTACACCGCTTTGAGCCTAGGGCGCTAGGAATTTGGGGGCGAAATGTAGGTCAGCCCCCTAGATAGAATCGCTGATAAGGACATCTCTCACCGACATCCTTGCTTGAGGCTGCAAGGCGGATTCGGGTGCTGGAAGAGGAATATGCAACCATTTCGTTGTCTTCTAAGGCTTTCCAAGCTCATGGATGTTGTACCAGAGGCACAAGGAACGATGCCAGAGGTAAGGCTGTGGTGGGTGGGCAACCCTGTATAGCCGCCGGCCAACGCATCTAAAAGAGGCATAATGCACTAAACACAGCCTGCTGCTGATCAGGCAGCTCTGTCTTAAGAAAGCAGTGTTTGCTATGTAGGACTCTTTTCTTTTCAACAGCCTTCTAAAGCTTTGATCATGCTGCAGACCCGATCTCGTTACGTTAACGGACCTGTAAGCGCTGTGAGGTCGTTCGCGAGAGCTTTACGTCGAACGTTACGCTACACTTTTGGTCCTTGTTTTGGTGCGTTAAAGCGGTCTAGTAATGCTATCGCGCGTGGCTCTCAGTGGTTGTGGCGTGGTGAACAGCATGAAGCACCGAAAGCTATTCTTCGAAAGGGATTCTGGCGCGCACTTCTTCGATGCTGGGCTCATTTTGTCACTCTTAGCGTCACAGCCGTGCTCACCTATCTTAACATCCATGGCTCTTTCATTGGTGAGCAATTTCAGGGCTGCCCAAGTGCTAACTGTCAAACACTTGATCGGCTTGGTCTACAAGTAGCTGCTAAATTGATGGTATGAGAACCCTGAATGATTCTACACACAGTTCCTGACACATGCTTTGTCCTAGGAATTGCTGATAGTTGCTTCGCTGGGATCGATCTTCCTAGATATAATGCATAAGGAGCTATTGCAAGGCTCTGATGGCTTGCCGCTGGGCCTTTTGAGCCTAAAACAACGATTCTCCCAAGTACAATATCTCGCCTCTCCAGACTTCCGGTTTGGGCTCGCTGGTCTTTCTCCGTGGTGGAAAGTTGTGGCATATGGCCTCTTAATTGTCTTGTCAACGTTGATATCCCTTCTTGCAGGTCCTGCAACGGCCTTGTTACTGATTCCAGATGTTCACAGCAATTGGCCTGCAGGCGGGGCTTCTATATGGCTTGGAGGAAGTGATGATGCTTTATGGCCTTCCGTGCTATCAGGCAATGCAACGGGTGGGACTCACTGCACTTCTCCAACACCGCAGATGATAACATCAGGGGCTCTTGTGAACAACGATTGCCTTTGGGCGGGGAGCATACCAATTGGTGACAAGTTCAAGGAAGCTCAATTTGCTAGTATGACTGATTTGCCAATCAACGACAACCTTCTGCGTCGAAGTTTTGGCGAGGGATTCAGAGGCTTCGGCAATGTTTCTGCAACAGGAGGTCCTGAAACATGGGTCAGTGGAACGCATATCGCACTAGGGGTCATGATGAAGAACGCTGGCCAGGTATGGTTTCAGGCGTTGCTCAGCGTGACTTCGTCTAGTAAATATCATGCGTTACGGTGGAGAAGTCAGGGCGGGACTGCTGGATATGGTGGAGGTAAGGCACCAGTAGTAAGAACTACTTGTGATATTGTCCAACCTTTCTTCCCAAATAGTTCAAGCCTTCAAAAGGTATTCTTGATCCGCTTGTTAGAATAATATCGCCTTAGATAAGATCTCGCTGAAACGACCTACAGTACCCTTATCTACCGGAATATGATGTCAGCCTGAACCTCAAACTTCTTGTCCAAGCGCAGGCACCAGATATATCTCGATTGAATACTTATTGGGTGCCAGCTCCTCCATCCGCTCGCCTCACCGATAACACAACAACGACAGACATACCCAGTGCTTTGCTGAACGTTTTCATTCCTCCAAAGGGCACAAACTCCAGTTCAACGCTCTTTGTCTGCTCTATTGATTCAAGATGGGCCAATGCTGGCTATAGCGGCAAGCCAATTGATTCGTTCGACGGACACTACATCCAATCAGTCACGGGAATCCATACTCGGAATTACCCATCTTCATATCCCGGCTTCGAATACAGCCACTTGCCAGTCAATGATGGATCTTGGCGTAAAGTCAGACTCGAGAGGGACTGGCTCGAAGCTTTGATGCCTTCAGTTGACAATAGTAGCTCTGGATCTACCACACTTGCATCTCTTCTTAGCGATATTGACATCGGTAACCAATCAAACACAATTGCGATTCCTACTCTGGAGGCTATAATTGCAACTTTAGTGACCGACGGCATGTCACGAACAGGTTTCCGCACTATCTTGGGCGCACCTGAAAGCCTGCAAGATCCACTGACATTACTCCCTGATGAATCAGCGTCGAAGTGGTCCAATTTCATGGATGGCTCCTACTCCTTTCCACGGCCTGCAGGCCCAGCAACAGAGGTGAAGTGGTCAGTCACGGTTGAGGGTTACGCGTATCATGCCACCAGTAAAGCCTTTCGACTTTCATTAGCAGTGCTCCTCCTTCACGCAACACTGGCCATTGGGCATATTATATACGTATTCTGTCCTCGCATTTATCGCAAGCCCTTTTTCCGAAATCCGATTTCCTGCGACACTTGGGATACGATGATAAGCTACATTGTGCTAGCTGCCGCGTCTGATACCGCACCTAGCTGCACAGATAACGAGAATTCGAACACCGGCTCCTATGCGACTGGTGCGTCAGGTACAAAGCCTCCTTCAATATTCGAGAACGCTTCTTCAGGTATATCGCGCTACAGGACATTGAAGACCCAAGTCAGGATCCGGGCGAAAGCAAGTACTTTGCATGGTATTAATGGTCACAGTGTTGACGTAGCCGGTCCTGGAATGCCAGTCCAAGCCAAGATGTTCGCGAAAGCTAAAATGCTCTTTGGACTTGAGAAGGAAGAGATATCCCGAGCAGGAGGTCTTGAAAGAATAGCAGTCGACGAAGTCTACTCCTGACTTACTCTATGCAATTCACATGCCTCCTTGCTGAACCCAAGGCTAAGCACCACTTTTCCCCATTACGCCGCACCGGTTAATTTGATTGAAGGAAAGGTTGCTAAAAAAAGTCAGACCGCAACTGCATCAGAACATCAGAGCATCAGAGTTTTAAAATCGATAGCCACAGAAGTAGGACATTATCACTCGAAAAAGTCAGTGCTCGAAGTCTGTCCTTACTTTCTCGCATACGCAGCGATCTTAGAGACCGTGCAAGTTCTCCCCATTCGGCATCGACAGCTTACAAAGCCAATGCTCCACTAGGTCGCGCGAGACATGCGTATAATCTCACACCGCTGGAGCTTTATATAGACATAAACATCTATATTGACGCGTAAGGCATTGAGGCACAAGAGTCAGCAGTAGCAAAATGCCCGGGTATTAAATGTGTATTATATACCGGAAAGGGCGGGATTGAATGCCGTAATCTACATATAGAGCGCCGAAAGGAGCCCAGAGCTAGTGTAAGATTACATACATACGGAGTCAGGAATGACGCGCTTGATTGGTGAGCACGAGTAAGCAATCGATAAGCCCTCGGCTTGGCCGTTGTGGATATTCGAGCCGAGCCATCTGCCGACGTCAAACGGGCATGTCTCATTGATGTTTTAACCACAGCATCGACGCCTTCGACCAAGAGTGAACAGTCATGCCCATTCTTGAGTCTATCTCAACTCGTCTTCACAAGCTCATGCTTCACTAAGAGCACCCGTGAAGACTAGGCTCAGCCGCGCCACCTCTTGACTCTTGAATGAATGTGAAGGGTCTGATCTTCACTGCCTGAAAGAGATCAATTGACTGCATTTCCCCCTTCTAAACATGTCAGAGTCTCCCTCACAGTCAGGGCTACCTAGCGATGCAAGGACGATACAATGGGCTCCCAATGTACCTGCAGTGACAGGCTCGGGCAAGCCTGGGCAAGGTAGCATTGGAGCCTGCGACGCTTGTCGATCAAGGAAGGTATGCCAAATTCTCGCATGATTCGCTTTGACAATGCTCATAAGCTTTCTAGGTTCGCTGTCTTGCCAGTGAGAACTCTCAATCCTCCAAATGCCAACGATGCGCTCGAGCCGGACGAGAATGTGTCTACACAGTCCATAGCAAGACACGGAGGCGGAAAAGAACAGACACAAGGGTCAAGGAGCTAGAAGAAAAAGTCAAAAATCTCAGTGTACTACTAGAACAAGGCCGGAGTGGTGGTGGTCTCTCGACTCTGCCTACGAAAGACCAATTGGGTATTGACCTTGACGAGGGGATGGAAGACGAGTACGAAGACGTGACCGATGAAGAAAACGAGGAAGACGAGCTGCAAATTCAAGACGCTGCTCCGTCATCTATGGGCGCTCAATCGCAGAAATTACGACCACCAAGTCAGAACCGCAAATCCTCTGCAAATACCTCACAATCCCCAAATCACCAAGGACAGTCAAGCTTTACTGTTCCTGGCTTTTATGATGGCACTTCCTTGGGTGACGCAGGTCACCGTTCTGATGTAGTCGATAGAGGTCTCTTGAGTATGAAAGAAGCTACCGAGCTCTACGAGCGATACGTGAATGTGCTCGCGCCATTATACCCCTCGGTGATCATCCCTTATGGGACCCCTGCCATCGAAGTTCGGGAGAGCAGACCGATATTGTAGGTGTATATCCCGTGAAATACAGCGACTTACGCTCATACATGTGGAAGATTTTTAGCAATGCTGGCTGCTGCAGCAAGCAGTGCGAGTCCAGATCTCAATTTGAAATTAAACAAGGAGATCCTCCACATTTACGCGACAAGGGTTGCTCTTGAAGGTCAAAAAAACGTCGATCTTGTACAAAGTATCTTGATTTCAAGTCTTTGGTATTATCCGCCAGAACGGTACGCTCATTTCTTATTTTGGTTCTATCTGCTTTCACGGCCTTTTGCGCTTCCCCTCGCTCGTCGGCAGCGGCTCATTTAATAACTGAACCCCAGATTTGATCAGCTCAAGTTTCATCAGTACATTCACATGGCAGCCACAATGGCTCTAGACTTGGGCTTGGGTAAGAGGCCACGGAATCGAAATAGGCGACAGCCACCCAAGCCTGCAGTCATCCCAGATTATGAACCACAAAGAGCCATTGAACCTAACATGATGTCCTCCCCACAAAAACCTGCCCCAGATAGCTCTACCATCGAGAACCGACGTACCATATTAGCATGTTACCTTCAGTGCGCCAGTGTCTCCATGAGCTTACGATTACCAAATGCCCTACGTTTCACTTCCTACATGGCGGAATGTCTCGAAGTCCTTGAAAATTCACCCGATGCCGCTCCGACCGATAAAAGATTTGCAGCTTGGGTACGCCTTCAGCGTCTGGTCGAAGACGCGGTCAATGCCTTCGCTCTCGATGACCCTGAAAGCACCGTTTCACTTGTCGACATCCGAATTCAAAATCAGTTGAAAGGTTACGAACATCAAATGAAGGAGTACCTCCGCAATCTAGAACCGGGAGTAATGAACAGCTTTCTTGAAGTCAACTTTCATGTCAACAACGTCTTCCTCCACGAAATCAGCATGCACCCAGATCACGAACCCGAAGATTTTAGGCCACCTTTCTACGTTGCCACACAAATAATTTCAAACATTCCAACCAATCAAAATCCTCATTATGTCAATGCCATTATGGAATGTGTTTCTTCTGCCCAGTCAGTCCTAAATTTGTTCCTGAAAATGCCACTGGACACCATCAGGGCGCTGCCAGCTCTGATCTTCGTCCGGGCAATCTACAGCTGTGTCGTTCTCATCAAACTTGAGATAAGTACCAACGCACCTGGTAGCGAGCTTGCGAACGTGCTAGACCAGAAAAGCCTTAAGGTTCCGGCTTACTTACAGAAGGTCATCGCGCAGATGGTTGCTATTGTAGGCAACGAAGGCAAATTCATCATTGCTGCCAAATTCATGTTGATCGTAAAGCGACTGGTCGAATGGTATCGGAATTACAAAACGCAATTAGCCGCTGGCACCGAGCAAGACACGATACCTTTCCAGCCTCCAAAACCTCCGACGCAAGTTCCTCAGCAACCCCAGCAATCGTCCCAGCCTCAATCCACGCTTCCACAATTCAACACACTTCCTCCCCAACAATTTCAAAACTTCTCACCTCCACCACAACAGCAATCACAGCAGCAACTGCCGCCCTCCGCTCAAAATTTCAACACCTTCCAAGCCCCAATCTTCACATCATCACCTCCCCCAACGTCACCGCCTCAACCACAACAACCCTATGACTTCCACGGCGCGATGCTCGCCACAAACACTTCCTCCCCTAATAGCGGCGCAAGCGACTACAACAGCCCCGAATACGGTCCTTCAGATGGCGCAATCCCCCCAGGTGACGAAAGCAGCAGCCTAAGCGCCAAAATGGAAGTGGATCCCAATTTCTTCAGCCAGCTGCAGAATATAGAGCAGCCGTTCGCGTTTAACCCGGACCCTAATGATTGGATGTTCGACCCACAGGGTATGATGGGGCTGGGCGACATGGGTGGGATGGGCATGGGGATGGGGGCGGGTGCGCCGGAGTTTGAATGGGGGCCCCTGGGGGAGGGTCAGGCTACGGGTGTGCCGTCATAGGATCTAGGTAGGCAGAGGCGAAGGGCGGACGGAGGAGAGGGGGGGGGAGAGGTATGTATGGAGTATGCGAACACGTGTTATGAAAAGTGCGATGCTTTACGTGTATACGTGAAATTTAGTTGAGCTTAACCGGGCGCGTTTAGAACGAAGATCTTTATTGCAAGGCAGGCTTACTTGAGAGGCATGTGCTGGTTGAAGAAGGCACCTTTTTTTCTGGATACAGCGGTTATGCAGAGGCGGCGTGGCGTTATGAATGATGACGGCAGATCATGTGAATTAGTGTGTTAAGGTGGCGATGTTTCTCTACAACCTGCATCACTTGCAACAAGATATGTTTCGGGCGATGTCTTAGCACGAAGTGACATGGAACCGAAGGATCGAAGTTGAGGTACTCGAATTTGAGCTTGTCGAAGGGGCGTTACGAGTGTGTCTGTGGGGTGCAATATCATGTGTAAGCGTCTAGGTATGTCTTTTACGAATTTGCACACTTTTACTATCTGTCCTATCGCTTCATCCTCTTGCTTATTCTTAGTTTCATGTAGTATAGAACAATTCAATCACTGCCTCCTATGATATGCTTTGTGAGTGACCTTGTCTTTGATAATGTCTTAACACATATCAATGTGGCGTGAATGCATCAAGGTCGAGCTTTATGCAGCCGAGTGCCTAGGAGAAGTATTGGTATACGTTGTACAATATCAAGCGAGGGTGTCTCGGTATGTCTCTCGCACGTAATTCACACTCCTTTTTCGCCTCTTGAGACACAGAAATGAATGAACACATCACTCTTACCTGCGGCACCGCTTATCTCACACATTCATACCCCGTGACTCCCGAATTGTGAAGTGTGATACTCCACGTCACTCGACCAAAGCCAGTGTGTAAGGAAGGGCAAAGGTATAAGAACCCCCTCCTCCCCCAGGACCTTTCTTCTTCCTTCTTCCACCCACCTGGCCAAGAAAGACTCTGTCTCTTAAGAGTCTTGGGTGGGATATATAAATATATATATACGAACAGCTACGCTTCGAGCTCGTCGTCTCCGGGGTCTGGAATCTGTCCGGTGATCTTGCATTGGGAAGGACCTTCGTTCTCCTCCACCAGCTGGCATTCGATCAATAGCACCTGCTACAGGAGCAAATTGTACCGCTCGTAGTCATTGCTACAGCCATGTTGTCGACAAAGCGCAAGCCAGAGATCACCACAATGCCGCTAGAAATCAAGACAAAGATCTTGAAACATGTTGATCCTATTGACATGATGAACATGATCCTAAGCTGCAAATCCATGTACGACGCAGCAGTCAACTCCAATGTTCTAGCAGATATCCGACGAGTCACCAACCCACCTGGTGAGGCACGGCATATCTCGGTACAGTCGGGCGTTCCCCGATGGCCCATGTCGTGCTTCCTTTCGCTGTCCTGGACGGAAGAATTCTAGTCGACATACGGTGGTTGTGGGTGCGTACGAAAAGTACCTACCTATTCCCGGTTACGCATTCAGACGTCTGGAGGCAGTCGTCTTTGATAAAGCTTTCGACGTGGCGGATTCGTTCAACACGGATCCAGTTTTCGACCACGACGTCGTAGACCTTCATGTCTCCGTCAACGTTCACGCTTGCCTTGTCGACAGAGAGCTCATAGATTGCTGGCAAGAGATCTAACGAACCCTCGCAATTCGCAACTCGTGCTTCCTCTCGCTGATGAATACTTAGCCCCAGGCCATCAAGTTTGTATCGACATTCCGGTATGAGTGGCGTCCATTTTTATTGTCTTACCCCAGGCATGACGCATGGTGCCCTGGCTGCGTTTGGTCCGCCAAGTAATACATGTCAAAGAAGCGTCTATCAGCAATCATAAGCAAATGCTTGGTGGGTCATGAAGCCCCATGACAACGAAAACTTCGCTCTGCAGGCACCTAGATGTGCGCAGAACGACGTAATACCTCCCTCAATGTGGCTCACCTACGATGCATCTACATTCACCGCTAAGCCAACACCCTTCTTCAATAGCGCAACTAAGTTAGTGTATGGTATAAACCCCGGGTAGGACGCTGTAACACCTTCCTGGCATTCTGTCGTGCTGTTATCGGAGATCCAGTACTCAACGACTCGTCTCTCGACTTGAAACTCTATGAAGTGATTTCAAGAACAGTGCTTTGTCCACAACGACGAGTCTCGCTCCATACCTTTGGTGATTGACGATCACGTAGGAGACTTTGCAGCGAGACGAAATGACGAATCGCGTTGGCCTCAGGCACGGTGTTCAGAATATCACGGGACGAACATGCCCTGGGTGTGGATGAATCTGCCAATTCGGTCATGAGTGCGTAGGAGGAGCACAATGGTTATCATAACACTAGCTGGCCAATACATCCTGGATGTTACAGATTCGGCAAAAACATGGATCCTTTCTGCCCCAAGTGAGAATCCATCTTCTTACGAAGATTAGTCACAAGCATATAACGAAGCTGAAGCTGCATTGGCCGAAGATAACGGCTCTCGAGCTGTATTCGACAATACACTTTTCGCACCCATGCCGCATGTCAATGCAAGTAACGACACCACTATTACCTAGCGCTGATGTCCGTGAATCCCGACATGTCACTAAGCCAGAAGCTGAAGATACATCGGACAAGAGTCAGTATCGCGTTCTACAGCATTCATCCACTCAGCAGACAGTACCGCTTGTTGCTACCAATATTACCCTATTAAGAACGACGACTGTTTGTTCCGCGGTTCCAGTCTATGTCGATGATTTTCTGATCTGCTGTAATTAACAGGGAGAGATTGATGCATTCAAAGCTGAGCTGGATAAACGATTCACGATGAAACATCTAGGACCAGTTAAAACGTATCTCGGAGTGAGTATCATTCGCGATCCAGATCTTCGTACTATCTACGCCCATCAAGCTGGCTATGTTAGTCGAGTTGTGGACAGCTGACTTCCATTGAAATCCTAGCACAGCCTCTCAGAAGTCACTAAGTCATTGTCAACAATTCTACGCCATTATGGAGCTCACGGGTACATTACCCTAATCTTCTGACTGATAGTCGATTGGGCCCACTCCACTGACCTCAAGCTTGGCTCGAGGGATTTTAAGGTCAGTATTTATATTGGCAGGGTGTCCCGCTCCACCAGATCAGATGGAAGATGGACGCCAGAACTTGTCGTTATCTACAAAGAAATAAAGCACTTCGAAGTCGTTATTCACTTCAATCAAGTCAGAATGTCTGGTGTCAAGGTGTTGGCGGCGCTCACGTATGACATCTGCAAGGTTAACCACCGGAAACTGTTAATTTTCGTGGACTGGCCGACGGTTCAATGGGTCGTTGAGTTCTTCTTGACCCTACTCGGATTTAAATGTTTATGTGTGCGTGCTTCCATGACAGCCATCGAGAGGGAACAGGCTATCGACGCTTTCCGAGATCCCACACACGAAGGCCAAGTCCTAGTGACAAGTTTCCGCATATCCGCGACGGCGATAAACTTGCAGACCGCGTGCTGTGATGTCTGTTTTGTTGAGATCCCACCAAATTGGCAGACCGGCCTACAGACCGGATGTCGTGTTGCGCGCCTAGGACAGCTACTAGCGTCCTTTATATGGATCGCTTTTCCCACGATCAGCTTCTCCACTGCGGTTGCAAAGAGATTGGTTGCTCAACAAAGAGATTTTCTGGCTAGAGTAACGAAAAATTAAGATCGTCTTCTCACACAATTCCGACGACGAGGCAAGCGTAAAATGGTGAAAGAAGTGAAGAAGCTTCTAAACGAAAGGGAAAGCTGGAGAGAGAGACCGAGCAAGGCAATACCAAGATGGGTTTTGCCAGGTCGTCTTATGTCTGGTTGAAGAAATATTGCGAGGGTCTCCACGCCCGAGTTCAGGGCCAAGTGACCCTTTTGGAAGATGGTGAGGAAGAGCTTGAGATCATTCGAAAGCAGGCTTAGGTCACTCCGGTCACCTTCAACGTAGCTCCGTACACCATGACCTAGCTCGAAAAGTCGGTCAAATCGCCAGTCCTCCAGCTTGCATGATACTCAGCTGTGAAATCATGCAAATCCTCGAATCGGACTACTTGCGTAATTACCACCGACGTCGAGAAGCGAGATGCCTATTCAAGAAGACACAGATACGTTCGGGCTTTGTTTCTCCCTTTTGCTCTTCCTCTTCGTGAGGGTTTTTGGCGAGCTCTAAATATATATATACATACGAAAACGACGTGAACCCTGTGGTCCCGAAAAGGATATACACGTGCCTTTCGTAGGACAGCCCAGATAGGCAAATCACAAAAGAAACGCACCTGGGGAGCGCGTCCGAGAGATGACAAGTTCAAGCCAACATCTTCTCAACAAAAGCGCCAAAAAACTTCCAACGAGCATCCCAAGAGGCGAAATTCGGTTCATCAACTTCGATCGATTCCGGCAAGGACAGCGTGTACCGCTGGTCATTCGTTCCACCACTAACGCGGTACGATCGGCTACTGGCTGGATACAGGAGAGCGGTCGCGGGGGTCGCTACGGGGCGAGGAGTAGAGCCGTGATCTTCATCACCACCAAGGAGAGTAGAGAATACCTAGGGACAATACGGAGCTCAATCGACGATGAAGAGCATACGATGGCACGAATCCTAAGGGACACAGAATGCCGCCGTCTCCCTATTGCCCTCTTTGCGGGTCCGGGGATGGTGGCATTGACCTACGCAGAATTGGCAGGCGCGAGCAAATGCGACTGCTGCATCCACGAATACCAACCAATTTCAATGTTTGGCAAAAACAAAGTCTTCTATCTCGCTTGAGCACAACTCGCCAAAAAAAAGGCTTTGCAAATATCGGAAGGAATAAGATATCATGAGAGATTTCCAGGAATGAAGAGAACAACGCCCATCGCGCTTCAGTGGGAGCAACATTGCGACGACAATCGTGGTCCATGTTCCTCTCAACGATGGTGACGGCTAGTCACTCCTCAAGTCTGCAGCCACCAATGAGACTTGCAGATGCTCAGCAAGATGTGTAAGAGCCAGTGAACTCAGTCTGTCACTCTAGCACAATCCAGCTATCGGTTTCCCAGCCCAGAACATCTACATCATTGGCTCGAGATTCTAAATATATATATATACAGCCTGCCCCTGGCAAAGGGACGACTCGCAAGGGAGTGATCGACCTTTATATTTCGAGAACTTTTAGACAAGCCTGCTTTTGGTATGCAGGGGAGATTGTGTTGATGTGGCAGACCGGTGAATATGTCTGCCATCGCCAACAAGCGGGGTATCAGCTAGTCATTAGACCGCGTAGCGTCCTTACTCTTCAATACAACTACTGTCCAACATATCCATCAAATTGAGGAGACGTTGAAAGGAGGTTAGCAAGCACCTGAAAGTTCGAAGGTCAAGAAACTCGCATGATATCAATCATCTTCAGTACATCGAGCATGAAATGATAAAGGCTCAGCAGACTCTTTACAGGATCCCAAAGAAACACGGAGGCTGGTTCCCGGAAGACGAGGACACGGCGCAGGAGGGCCAGAAAGGCAAAACTGTCGAACTTTGCAGAGTGAAGCCGCAAATTCAAGGAGCCCAGGCGGCCCACCTCGAAAAATCGGAAGCTCTGCCACAGCTCTTCCCAAGCAGCAGGGAAACGAGTCTCTGACACCAGACAAAGAGGCGTGCACAAGGAGAATATCCCCCTTTTGGGGGTGGATACGATGAAGAACAAGAGACAAATCGCCGTAATATGGCCGTACGTCGGCGCCTGTGCCAGCTGACGTTCAACAAGCGTCTGGATCGTATTTGGCCTGAAGCAGTAGCTCAGAGTAATTAGGGACTCGACAGCACCAGACCAGCAATTTTACTCGGATAGAGCGAACACAGAATGATCTAAGACTTGAAGTATGGATCATGCAATCCCAATTTTTCCTTCCTTCTGTGGCGCCATTGAAGGCTATGAACTGGCCCTGAAGCCAGGGCTATCGGCCGCCCGTGGAGGTGATCAAATCGACTTGCTCGCCTCTGTGAGAAGCCTATTTGCTTCTGTTCCCCTTCTCATCGACTATCGATCAAATAATCCTATGACGGATGGTCCGAGGTTGTTTCAAATGGTACACCAACGGAACAAGCGGTGGAAAAAGATTTGCCGGCGGCTTTTAAATATATAGATTTACGAGTCGTGCCTCCTTCGCACGACCGTCGTGTGATTTTTGAGAGAGTTTTCGCTGGGTTGAGGCAATAGCTTCTTCATTCCTGAATACAACATGTCCAGCATATATCTATCTATCAGAATGAATCATGCCAGCCTGGTGGATGAAGGTGATGGAGCCTTCGACCGCAGCGGCACAAATGATAATCGCCGTCAGATTCGGACGTAATACCCAGTCATTTGATGAGCTCGCTACTCCAGTATGGACGGATCTTCTAGCTCGCTCGACGATACACTGAATCACTATAGTCAGCATTCAACAAAGATCGAGATATAATGCATCGCGACATCATGGGTGGGGATTCGGGAACGACAGCCATCACCCATAGTCATGATGCTTGAACAATTCACAAATCTCGCTAACGATAACTCCGCTTTCAAAGCACGATTTCGTCGCGAAGAAAGAGTAACAAAGCACTATGGACACCGAGCGAGATCGATAATTGGCTGTGAAAGGAGGCCAGATCGTTAACGTGCGGGCACGCCTAAGCGTGCCTTACTCAAGACAGCCAGGAAGCTCATTCAACTGAGGCTCATCATCAGACATTCCCAACAACCTCACGATAGCGTGCCGCATCTCGCTCCACCAGAGCCCACCGTCACAACCTCTGAACAGCCTGACGATAGCGTACCACCTCCTTCATATGATCGCGCTGTTGGCGTTACTCAAAGAGAAGCGCGATATAATGCTGACAAGATGTTTGATCCAAAGATGTGAAAATCTTCAACATGTAGGCAAGACCGAGTATCACGGGAGACCATTCCTGAGAAGCCAACAGGCAAAGAAGATACTGCTACGGAAGGTCGCGAACCTTAGAAATAAGAATCAGAGCATCATATAGCTCGAGAACATAAACATCATGGATAGTATTGATCTGACTGCCGATGAGTGAGACTATAAACTTAAGGAATTGAAGAATATATATCGGTGCCTCGTAAAACGTACATCTCCATGCTTTAAACTCCTTCTTCCTCAATTCCCAAGCGCTGCAGTGGATCAAGCGAAACGTGTCTCCAACTTTGCAAGTCCTCCCATCTTTCGAGCCATGACACGTATAGTAGACTCAAAGCTGTACATTGTAGATTGGCAAATGACATGCAACATTACAGTACACTTTCTCCAGTACGCCTGGTATTGCTCTAACCAGCGCAGGGAGCAGACTCTCCAAATGACTCTCTAAGGAAAGGGGTAGTTGGTATTCTTAGAGACCTTCGATTGCCACTTCAATCTCCGATCCTAACCCCGGTCCGACTCAGACGAGCGCTATCTCTTCCCAAAAGGAGACAATTCAGAATCATGGAGATAACGTCACGTAAACAGGAGACATATACATGGATCGGGGCGCAGACTTGAAAGGAGTATCAAACTTCCGGTTCGCGGTTTCCGTCTACAATTGACCGGAAGTCCGCTTTCCATTGGAGCTGAAGCTATAGGACCCGGTGTGGCAGTGTGTTGTAAGTCCTTCCTCTCCTTGCTTGTCATGGTAACACTGAAGACGATTGGGGGCGATTGTGGGCAGTGTCTGAGGGAGCAAAGGATGACGGCGGTATTTGAATTGCGCAGAAAAGTAATATGCTGTGCATCTAACTGTATGATTAGGCTTCAGTCTCCGTCGGACGAATAGTCCGCCGAGCGGTCCAATTCGTCCGCTTTGCATCAACCACCACGGAGCTAGTGCAATCCTATGGGTGTATGCTGCGGATGAGTGTCCTATGTCCGAGACAGTCACCAATCACATGTGTTGCCTATTTTGTAAGGATCTAGTTCATGGCAGTCAGCATATTCAGCTCGGAGAACATGTCGAAGCGTCCTCTTCACTATATTTACGTAAGGCTTGCTTGACTTCCTAGTAGTTTCCTGAAGAACTTTCGTCAGCCATAGACTCTCCTCAAATACCTGACTAAAAAGCATCCATAGATTGTTAGCGAGTATCACGCTTGTCGAAAACATGTCGCCTAAATATGCCAAAGATATGCCTCAAGACTTTACCAACCGCATAGAGCGGGTTGCCATCGTCGGAGTACGTTGACTTGCTTTTCTCTCGGCGAATCCATATCCTCTGATCACTTTCCTCCACATCACGCACACATACCGCCACAGAATACTAACTTTCCATCCAGGCGAGCGGCCAGATTGGCCAATACATCACCAAAGCCCTCGTAGATACTGGCAAACACACCATCACCGCTCTAACCCGCCAAGGCAGCAAGAACGAGCTCCCCTCCGGCGTCAAGACAATCCTAGTCGACTACAACGACGAAGCCGCCCTCATCGCCGCTCTCAAAGACCAGCAATTCCTCATCATCACCCTCCCCGTCACAGCACCGCCAGACACCCACTCCAAAATCGTCAAAGCAGCCGCAAAGGCCGGCGTTAAACGCATCATGCCCAACCTTTACAGCATGGACGACTCCAACGAGGCTCTCGTCAAAGAAACCCCGCTAAATGCCAGTAAAGAGGGTATCCTCTCCGACATCGAAGCTGCCGGCTGTTCCTGGACCTATATGATCTGCAGCCTGTGGTACGAGTACAGTCTCGCCATGGGACCCATCTGGTTCGGCTTCGACTTCGCGAACAAGAAGCTGACGTTGTATGATGAGGGGACGACGAAGGTGAATGTGACGACGTGGGAGCAGTGTGGGCGGGCTGTGGCTGCGTTCTTGAGCTTGAATGAATTGCCGGAGGATGAGACTGACAAAGGGGTGACGGTGGAGACGTGGACGAATAAGCCGCTTGTGATCTCGAGCTTTTTGATTAGTCAGAAGGATATGTTTGAGAGCTGGAAGAGGGATTCGGGGGATAGGGACGAGGATTGGACGATTGAGAGCGAGGGGAGTAAGGAGAGGTATCAGAAGGGTATTGAGGCGATGAAGGGTGCGCAGGACCCGATGTCTGCAAGGATGGGGGCTGCAATGGCTTCCTTTGTGAGGGCGTTCTTTCCCAATGGTGGAGGAGACTATGAGAGTACGAGAGGGTTGGACAATGGGAAGTTGGGGTTGCCGAAGGAGGATCTTGATGAGCGTACGGCTGTTGCTAAGGAGATGGTGGAGCAGGAGTATGCGGCTAAGCTGTTCGCTAAGATGGCTCAAGGCTCTTGAGATCCAGAAGTTCTGCGAAAAGGGCGTGTTGCGATCATTTCATCGTAGTATCGCTGTTGAAGGCTCAGCTTTAGGTACGCCTTAATATTCGACATTGGTAACCTCAAGGAAACCTCATTAGATGCTTGGTGCTTCGTTAGTTTCAGGTGACATCAGATACTTTAATGTATTCACAAGCTCCAGGTCGCTCTCAATCCAGTCTGGTAGACGCTCATAGAATCTCACATGAGTAGTAAATGAGTCAGGCAGGAGTATCGAGCGCCTCCAGGAAACCCTAACACTGGATGCTCCAGCTTGAAGGCTTAGTTCACCCTCCTAAAATAGATTCTTGAGGAGCCCAGCCTCACTGACGCGGCCCAGCCATGATAGAAGCATTAGTGCAAGTGTGAAGATACTCGTTGTGTAAAGCCAGACTGTAGTACAATCAGACAGGGCTTTGCTGTCCAAAATGAAGGTGTTCTTGTCGCGGGATCGAGAAATTGTATCCGGTCAACAGAGTTGCAGTCGATAGTAACGAACCACCTTGCGGTCCATGCTGAGTTCAGATCTTTCATCTCCCAACTCAGGCCATACTTATCCAAGGAATGCCGGATATATCATTGAAATACGGGATCGGGATGCATACATCTCCGCTCGGGTTCAATCGAAATGCTCAACAGATCAGGGTTGACGGGAGTGGCACGAATGACAGGTGACATTCATGAGGACAGAAAGCAATCTCAAATCCTAAGCTGGCGATGGTGTCAGAACGAAATTCTGTTCGCGGTGCCTTCACAATCGTCTTTGGCTTCTTCTCAGTACAAATATCCTTCCTCGCAAGCTCCCTGAGACATGAATGCAAGTGGTAATGAATACTCCGGACCCCAGGATCGCTTGCCTCTGAACCAGCAATGACTTTCTCTTTCAGGCGCAAGGACCACGCCTAGGTGGGAGTATTAATTGAGCCTGATTCTGAACGTTTAGGATGGAGAGCTTCCTGGACGCCTCTTCAAAAGGGGCGAAGTCTCGAACGCAAAGATCGACGTAGCACCTGCAGCATATAGATCAAGGGACTCGGATCCAAGTAAAGTGCCACGTTGCGAAGCAGGCAATGACAAAACGCCAAACGGAGCGTTATTCCTGCCCAAAGACCCTCATAGACATGCGTAATGCTACACACTTCCACTTACAGGCCCGACGCTCCAGACGTCTCTTGATGCCAGCCTTCAGTATGGAAAGAAGCATGTTCATGTCTATCCTCGAAGGCGCTAACTGCTGATCTTTGCATGCATCCTCACCGAGTAACTTTGTAAGAGCCAAAGTCTCAAATGCCCGAGTCGTATAGAACTTCAAGTTTGGCTTTCCAATCGATCAGTCGACGCGTAAAGATGCCGGTTGGCTGTGAACGCGACCCTTCTGGTCGAGAGCGTCATGTTCAATCGGACTTAGCATTACAAGACGCTAAAGGTAGAGCAGACTAGTGCTGCATCGACGGAGAAATATGATACGCAGCTTGGCCTTATGTGCGTTTGCCAAGTATGACCTGGGTCTCCGAGGTACAGCTCAGCTTCAGCTGCGTCGGAGCAACGCCACCTCTGCGAGGCGTACGGGAGAGATGAGAAAAGGCCGTAAATGGACAAGAAAGGCTTTGTTTTGGGTTCGACCATTCTTTATTTTTGGATGGAATGACGTGTCTAGCCCCAGATCTAGACCCAGCCAGGCTTATCCAGGCTTACTAGCGGGCTGTAAATGTCAAGGAGTGGCTTTTCGCGTGGTGTTTGATTTGGCGATAGTCAATTCCAATACCTAAAAGACCCAAAGAGGCAATCATTCGAGCCAAAGGTGACTAGTGGGATGCTTATTCCAGTCTGGATCGGAGATAGCTCGTACCTTCCCCGGTCTAGACTTAAGCCACAGACCAAGACGTGTCACTTTCTGTGACGATCCAGGCATCTGGTACAGTGCTACTTGAAGTATCACTAGTCTTGGCCGAGACATTCCGAGAATAGACTGAAAAGCCTGTTCGTCATAGATCATTCCAGGTAACTCACCACCTTAGGCCGCTGCCGTCCTTGCATGTTTCTCATCTTTAATGCCTGTCTATCACGATGAACTCTAAATCTTTCCTAATACAAGATATGTTGACAACCCTGGCCAGGATAGAATCAATTGAGCTTCAAGCAGCGAGGATTTCAGCCACCGCCATTCAAGTTCGATTGCCCCAGCCACGACGATCACCAGCTTCGGCCGTAATCTCATGCTGAATAGTGATACTTCTTGCGTATTTCAGCAGCTGGGAATCCGTCTCGTCTCCAGTGGAAACCCCTCATTTGAAGCAACGAGCATTTTTAGCACTTCGGTCTCCATCGAGTTCTCCAAGACGGCGCCATCATGTTGCAGTTTCATCTACATTATGTCTGCTAAAGAGGCTTCCAGAAAGTGTTCTGGGCTGCTTCGACTATCATGACGACCTTCTGACGTAGCAAATTAGGTAAGTATTCCACTAGACCGCTCTTTTGTAGGCCTCCCACGACAATTGTCAAGTGAGTGCACTCGCTTTGAGCGGACCGAGTCTTCGTATATTCCGTAGCATTACCTTGATATCTCTGATGCGAAGGATTTAAACCTGCTGCGATAAGTATTCCTAAAAGGTCATGACTGGCCAGTTGGCTAGGTACATTAGAATGGGTTGGCCAAATACTGAGACTGTGAACTCCTAAGCCAGGAAAATTCTTGAATAGACTTCAATAGCCTTTTCATCGGACCCAAACCGATCACAATAAGGACTGGGTACGGGCTAGCCTAATGCAGTTGAGCTTGACGTAATAATCGGGACAGACTTCTGACAGCTACGTCTTTGCTCGTTGCTGTAGATCTAGCACTGTACTTTCGAGCAGCCTACGGAACAAATCGTAGCTGACCGTAGCATCAAACTGATTCGACGTCTTTGTTGAGAGTAGCTGAGAGATCTTGCGTAAGGGCGGCGCAGACAGAACCTCAATCAGCTGACACAATGGTAGCAAGTGCGGGAATGGATGTGACGCGCTCGTCAGACGACCATCAAAGACTTTGGAATAATGTTATATCTGCCCATTGATAGAATATGTTGACAATCTTTGGCCGCTCATGCAGGACCGACGCTCAGTGGGTTTTGCATTCCTCCTGAGCTGTTTGGCGCTCAGATCACGCACAAAAATGTCAGGTTTGACGCAAAAGACCTTTTTATTTCCCCCAAAGAAAAACTTGTTAGGTAGCCACTGTACAGTTCATCTAGGGGTTACACCTTCAGCCTTGACACATCTCTAAGAAATTACTTCTGTTCCTACGCCACCTGGCTCGGTCGTGTAGTCATCATCGCTGATATCAATCCATCTTCTCTTCTTGTCCTGTATCTTGAGGGATGACTGCGGCTTGATGGTGGGTAGCCTAGGTATTTGTTGGATACCGAACTTGCTTTTTTTCAAACTTTGCAGGGAGAATGCTTCTCTCATCCTGCTGACCCAAGTCCAGGTGGCCCAAGGATACTGTACTGATGAAAGAAAGAGGGGCTTGAGGGTCGGAATGCAAGCAGCAATGATACCGATGTTGATTTCGAGCCTAGAAACACTCAATATGTCAACACTGGTCCACTGACGTGGGGTATGGATGTTGAAGAGGGAACACAGAGAAGGGTTGGTTGAAATGAAGAAATATTGACCCACAGTCCCCATATCATCAAGTCAACCAAGTTCCCTACACTTGAGTTCAGTGCGATTCGACGAGGTAAAAGTCAGAGTCCCGGTATTTGAGCTTACATGAAAGGTCTCCACCATAAGGCTTTGACAGGTAAAGTGTGCGTACAATTACGCACACTCCAGTGCTAAACCAATTGACACACATCAGCTCGGTCCCTGCACATTCGACTGGTAAACTAACAAGAAGCCCATTCCCATGAGAATACAAATGCCGACCTTCAATCTCAAGCGGATTTGTATATTCCACATGAAGACCGATGGCAGTGCTGCTAAGGCCCAGTCAGTAGCTGCGAAGGCGGCTTCGTATTGAGTCAGCAAATGAAATCAGCCAAGTGTGGAGGAAGATAACGTATTACCTCCACTGAAGCGTCCAACAGATAATGTAGTGCTGGGATGCCAGCAATTGCCTGGAACAGGAGGGTCCCAGGTTTTCTCGACTGGGCGACATTCCAGAAATACCAACGCGGCAGTGGTCACGTGGACTGCTACAGAACAGCCGATGATGGTGTACACAAGCCATCGAGAAGATGTTTGGGTGCCGAAAATCCGCAGTAGAAAGAGACCGATGGATATTTTAGTGCACATGGAGGACAGGATCCCCATGAAAGACGCTACATAAAACCATTTGACGGCTTGCGACAGGCGGATCGAAATTTCAGGGTTCACCGAGAGGTAGTACTGATGTCTCCCAACACCGCCGTGAATCGCCTCCAAGTGGGCCGCCGGATACACGATCGAGAGCACCTGTCAGAATAATGTTATGCCTGATATTGGAAGAAGGATTAGTCAGCGCCTGGTCAGACTCAGAACGATGAACGCATCATCATATCCAAAATGCCGTACGATCACCGAGCGAACGTAGGATCGCAAGAAGACTGAAACTGTCCCAATAGTGATGAAAACTATGTCAAGAGCAATGACTGTGGAAGCTCGATTGCGATCACCATCAGGATGCCTTGCTAGCAAGGCGACGGTTGAGATCATTGCTTTGCGTGAAATTGTGACCTCGAGAAGGGTTGCGAACACGGTAAGATAAATGAGTAAAGTCGAAATTTCTCACGAGTCCACTATACAAGTACATGAGCATCTAGTTCTCTTACAAAAGTCTCCATAGAGGAGATATTCTTATTCTTTTCATCGACAAGGGGTACATAGCCTTGCTGCAGATGGGCGATCGTGCCTTGATGACAGCCGCACATCGCATGACAGAAGCTCATACGTGACTGAAGCGTGTTCAACGATTGGTCATTCCCTTTTCTCAAGCCAATGAGGAAACGTCGAAATGGTTCCCACCTCACTTAAATTGGGAGTTCTTAAAGCAATCAATTTTGTGCCTGGTGGCACCACCATCGCGAGCTCCGACTACGCGCATCGATCCCCGGGTCGGACTTTGGATGAGCATAAATGACTGGCTCAAGCAACGGGGCTGCACCGCCGACGTACATATGTGCCATATGCACAGTCATCGCCAGGCTTCTTGGTACCAAAAGATTAGGTGGGATGCCCCGATTAACTACTGGAGGACCATAAATTGGGTAAGGATTAGCTTGATCGTACTCTCACTCATTTTGTCATCTGTCAACATACTCCACACTATTATCCTTCAACCTCAAAACTTTCAGCTGCAGAATTCTGGGTGGCTTAGTGATGCTGTGTGAACAAACTTTGCCTCCCACTTACTGCGTCAGAGATAATACCTATCGTAGTTTGTCGACGCATATCGATCTGCCAGCTCAGACGTCGTATCACTTATCATATAGGATGATGCGAGCTAGGAGACCTCACCAGTCATTACAGGACCTTGCTGCCAAGAACTCCGAGGTTCTCTTTAGTATCAAGACTTCGATGTCGTGTATGACCTTGGTTGATGGAGATCCCTGTCTGTTCGCGGCCATCATAAAAAGTCCACATCACGTTGGGCAGACCCTAGAGTGCGCTGTCACATGTGTTCGCAAACAGGTAAATCAAATGGTATAGTATCGTAAAGCTTAGTTCCCGTGATGAGACACAGGCATGCAAATTCGCAAGCAAAGCAGATCAAAGCAAGTTCAGCGTCTCCATCATTCATCGCTCGTGAAGCACTCATCTCTTTGTCCTGTTCTTGTGTCGCTTCCTGCTGCCCCCCGCCTCAAAAATTAACGACTATCCTCTGAAAGACAGCTGTCAGGGGCGAGGAGCGCAGTCGCGATCTACAATCATCATCAAATATGAGACTGTCGTTCTAGTGAAATCATTAGATGAATTCAGATCATTAATTTGAAAAATTGAAAAGGTTTTAACGTTATTGAATGGGACCTGGAATGTCTCACCTGACCGTCTAACCTACCCAGGCATTCTCGATGTTTGGCTAGAAAACATTATATAGATGAAAAGGATTTTCTTTCTACCGTTGACTTCGGATCGGCTCGCACTTTCCTGCAGCCATCATTTCTTGGAAAGTAACAATGCCCAAGATGATGATTGCCAACGATTTATAGACATGTAAGCGGGGTGAATTGATGCGAGCAGGTTTCAGGGCGCAACGTAGTGTTCACGATGTGCTGATTCTTCAAACCAATGGCAGCAATTGCACATCATTATTGAGGTGACTTGCGGTATTGGATAGAGAGTAGATACAAGTCCTGAACCCTTGCGAATCCGCTATCCCTTCTCCGTAGCCCGGCCGGGGGGCTTATCCCTCACCCGCCATTGTCCGCATTGGAGTTGTATCTCATGTTGGAGTAATGAATGGCTTCGGGTGCATCCTCCTAGCTGTAATCGAAAAGGGTCATACTGCATCACTAGCCAAGGGAGCATTGCCGAAGGGGAGAGGAGGGCAGCACAGAGCCAGATCCTGCATTGAATGACGGCAGTGGCAAAACCTCAACCACTACAATTTTACACTGCAACATCCAAACATCAACCACCATCAGAGCTTCACCCAACATCTGATAACCACACCAAACAAGCAATGACCGAGTCAACTCCACCATCGTCCACCGCAAACATTGGCGCCTCTCCCTCCCTCACAGCCCTTGACCCAAACAATCCTCAACTCGTTGCATTCTGCACCCGCCTCTACGCCGCCGCCCGCGCCGGCTCCCTCCCCGAATTCGAGACCGCCCTCCCGGCCGGCCTGCCTCCAAACCTTCGCAACGACAAAGGCGACACCCTCCTCATGCTCGCCTCCTACCACGGCCACGCCCCCCTCGTCCGTCTCCTTCTTTCTCACAACGCAGACCCAAATATTCTAAATGATAGAGGCCAGAGCTGCCTCGCGGGTGCGGTGTTCAAGAAGGAAGAGGATGTTGTGAGGGCGTTGGTGGAAGGGGGCGCGGATCCGGATTTGGGAACTCCGAGTGCGGAACAGGCGGTGGTGATGTTTAAGATGGAGGGAGATTGGGGAGCGTTGTTTGCAGAGGCGAGGAGGAAGATACGGGAGAAGCAGGAGGGGGAGGGGAAGAGAGGGAGGGAGGGTACGAAGGCTGCGACGGAGATGATGTAGAGGCTGGACCGTCGGTGTTGACACACCACCAGCTGCCTCGTCACAAAACTTCGCTTTACCTAGGCAAGTGGAAGAAGAACGTGAGCAAGCCGCAGGTCAAAAGGGATTTTCTGAAGGCTATAAGGGAGTCAACAGAGCGCTGGAATAGCGAAATGCGTTACGAAGATTTTGCAGAAGAGGCAGACATACCTCGTGGAATTGAGAAGCTGTTCTAGTCTGGGTGTCTGGCTAGGGTTGCTGGTCGCCCAACGAACTTGACGAAACGAGGTACCCTTGACTCAATGACGGGGGTTTTCTTGCTCTTGAAGCTGGGCATTTGAGATGCCAGGAGCTATCTCGCCTTAGTGGATTGGAGCCGAAAGAAAGTGGCTGCATTTCTACGATCTCTCGTTGGTCACGCAGCGGCGTCACTACTCTTACGGTCATGCATATGGTCTCTGAAGAACTACGCACATGCCATTTGTTACGGACCAATCTCATATGAAAGGACACCGAATCCTACAATCGAATCACAATTGAATTACAAGTACTGAAGCTAGAAGTCAGCATTCAAAGTCATATATCATTCCTCATAGCGTCAACTATACAATTCAAGATCGATGAGCAATATCAAGAAATTCACGTCTTGAACTCAAACCCACCATGGCTATAACACGCTCCGACCTCATTGAAATACCACCCATGGCTCGACCAATCAAAAAGATTTGACGCATGCCCCTCATTTCCCTGCGTATTCGCATCGCCTGTGAAGACGGTAAACCTATCCGCCGTGAACGGCCCCTCCTCATCACCCACATCAATATAATACTCCGGACTAATATGCTTATACCCCAGGGCCAGCGGCGGCAATCTCGGCACCGGATCATCCTTATGCGTAACCCTGAAGTTCGCCCCCTTCCCCTGGCCTGTGATATAATCACTCACCTTCGCCTTCCCAATCCGCGGCTGGCCATACGTATACAGATCCGCGTTCGCAATCTCATTCCTGATCTCCGCCGCAGCAATGACAGCAATAGCGCCACCAAGCGAATGGCCCGTCACCACAACCTTGAAAGTAGGATTAGCAGCAACGGCGGTTTTCAGGGCCGCGAGCACGCCGGTCTTGGCTTCATTCCAGGATTCGGCGAAGCCCTCCCAGACTTCGCAGCCGGGGCAGATGGCTTCCTGCGTGCCGGCGCCGAAGGTCACATCGGCGATCCAATTCCTGAGGGATTTGGAGCCGCGAAAGGCGAGGACGATGAGCGATCGGGCGGTGTCAAGGGCGATGTAGCCGGTTACGTCTGTTATTAGGGAGCTGCGGGGAAGGGCGTGCGTCAGTTCGGAAGCGGGAATGAGGAAGACGCTTTGCGGAGGGTGAGGGGGGGAAGGGTCACTTTTGGAATTCGTAGACGGCAGTCACCTTGTCTGCTTCGACCAAGGGGCAGCTACTCGTGCCAGCCTTGTCGGGAATCGGGCAGGTGATTAACTTGCCACCGGCTGCAGTGCCTGTATTGCCTTGGCAATATGAGGCAGCGGCGAATTGCTCGAAGAAAGCGAGGTTATCGAACGTCGCGGTATCGATTGCTACCGAGACGCTTCAGATTTAATTCTTTATGTAGACCGGTAGATGAAGCAGTAGTAAACTTATATCGGACATACCTCGCCGCTCAAGCGGGCTTGGAAGTACCAGCGCGCCGAGGAAGAGCCATACAGCAACCCAGAGATGGCAGGAAGGTAGAGAACTCATCTTGTAACGAGGCTGAAATCAATCCTTCACCAAACAGAACGCGGACTGATATATCCAATTCAAATGATTCACACACCCAGATCCAAGTATGAAATCAATTCATCCGCAACCCACCATTCTCAGACCGTCAAAAAACCAAAAGGAAACAACAGCACGAAGTACGAGGCAGAAACGGGGGGGAGCTTTATAATCCCTTCGAGGCTTTGGATCGCCGCCGCCGCAAAAACCGCAAGGCGCAGAAACAAACAAAATGCCCCCTCCCCTCCCCCGGAGCGAATGACAAGCAGCGCTAAGCGAACGTGGTAAACATTGTTTTTGGGTGGTTTGGGCAAATAAGGAAAGTGGCTATTGTGGCTGTTCGTGCCCGGTTCGCCTACCTACCTACCATTTATGCATATGCAAGGGCGTGATGATTTGGACAGTCCGATTTGAGCGGATGAGGTTGGTGGTTTGGTGTGGAGGAGAAGGGAGCTGCTTGATTAGGGATGGTGGGATGCGGCGTGAGAAGGGGAAAAAGGGGCGGGACCAGGGAGTTGCTTCGTGGAATTGGGGGGCTATTGAATGTAATGCAGATTCGTGATTCGAACACGCGATTTCTCAGAATGCAAACGTCTTGATATTCAATTGTCATTCACATTTCTAACATTTTGCACGTAAGGACATAATTCATCAGGCACCATGTTATTCCATCACGTCAATTTGGGGCACAATCCACCATGCATGATGGCTCTTCTCAGCCGTAGGTATCGTCACCATTACTTGGTCCTTGACGGGTCCAAGCTCTGTCTCTCTTTTGACTGCCTTCTGTAAAGTGTCGATGGCCAGGCTCGTAGCAATAGCCGCTTTGTACGCGTTCTTCACGTCGCCTTGCCAGGCAAGTTCGCAGTCGCGACTTCGGGCCTTGTCAGCATTCCACCGAGTCATATCTGCCCATTTCGCTTTGGCTTTTTGCGCAGATGTAGCTGATAAATCCAAAATACCCACCGCTTGCTGCCACGGACTCGCACGGAACAGTTCCTCCTCTGCCGCGGTATCTGTCCCCTCTGGCTTCAAGGATGTCGCACACAAATTCCGGGTAAGAGAAGGCAATTCTGGATCGTGTATGCTAGCGAATGGCCTCATCCGTAATTCATAGCGTAATTCTGGTGAGCTGTATGGGTATTCACAATCCGATGAGTTCATCAATCCGGCATGAGCAAGGAATGAGTAGAGCTATTTGTGACCATTAGCCAAGAAGTGTTGGGTCGGAGTGTTAGAAGGTGCTCACGTTTGAGAGGGCGTCTGCAAGTTCAAGCACGGCTGATACTTCCCAGATGCTGGTTTCGATAGTCTGGACGTTATTGAGAAGGGTCGTTTTCTTTTCATGAGCATGACCTGGCGCTGCGTTGAGTCTCTTCAAAGTATGATGTTGTATGTGCGCAAGAGTCAAAATTCTTTGTCGTGCAAGGTATTGTAGATACCTGCATATCATTCAGCACCGTATTGCAAGCAAATTATCAAAAGTTGCTCACCAGTACATCCCGGTCATTTCTTCTGGTCGATAGATCTCAAGTTCGAAACCCAGCTGAACGATCCACATCATTATGCGTATTTTATGCGCCCTGGCCCACGAAGAGAGAGGGTTTGAATGACGAGGCTCTCCATTTGTGTGCTTTTCGTCAACCTCGTCATCAATATAAGTCCACAGATCAATATCAATCTCTCTTGCCTACGACAGATTAGTCTATTGATCAGTCTTCATCCTGAATTTACGGACATATGCTTCAATACGATCCCACTCATGAACCAAATGGCAAAATGAACGTCGAATGCGCGGTCGATTCATACAAAAAGTCAGATATATCTCTAGAAAAGCCTATGCTGATTAGCTAAGCTCCCACCGACCGGGTGAAGCTGATTCACCTCTGCACTGCGCCTTATGAAGTCGTCTATGATTTCATTGATCTTGAATCTTGGGTCTTGCGGCACCTCTACATCTTCATTCTTTGGGTCTATAAGATTGCTGGCGGGAAGCACCGTTTCAGCAAGGTCATTGAGAATGAGTGCCTTGAACGTCCGGTCGTCCAAACAGACATCATCATGCCACAGCAGAGACTGTAAGACACATCGCGCATAGACGGGAGGCCGGGGTTCTTGAGCTCCAAACAATCGTACTGAATTCTTAGATCGTGTCAGCAAATGTAGTGAGGATAGGGAGGAAGAACGAACCAGCAGGTTGGAGCATCCATGAAATTGTAGCACGTAGCATGCAACGACGCTCCAGTGACAGAGGGCGCCAAAAAAAATTCTTGCGTCGTTGTAGGGTATCTGAATGAGAGATCGCGGCGGAGTTGTTGTCGCAAGTCTCCTCTGTAGTCTGATGCTGTAGGAGCCTGGGACATCCTCGCCGCAGTCAAGGGTTTTGTTCAAGCAAGCTGCAAGCATGTCGCAATGTTTCCAATGACGCACATTATCTGTAACAGCTCCACCAGTTACGACAGCTCCTAAGAGGCTGGACCGGAGATAAAGTCGGTCTACAATTGCTTCTCTGAGGGTATCTGGAAGGTCCGTTTGCTGTTTAACGTATGCTCGAGCATCTCCCAGCAGAAGTTCAACATCTCCCACCCTGGATTCGGAGAGGAGACTACGAGAGTAAAGTTGAGAGACAAAATCCTCTTCCTAGTTCTGGTTTAGTATGGGGGAGGAGGGGGTGCAGAACATTTGTCAAGGTGCTTAGGAGCTCGAACGCACCTCCCATACTTTCTCGGTAGATATTCGCTCATGGACGAAGTCACATGCTTTAATCAAACCCACGCAATAGGCTCTCAGTACAATGTGTAACAGACCAAGTCCGCTTTTGTGGAGGCGTTTGCGAGATTTCGTAGAGCCCTTACGATCGAACGTAGCTTCTTCGAGACAACTTGGCTTAGGCCATAGTAATCGGTCGATATAGTACGACATGAACAAGGTCTGGTAAAGAGCAAAGCCCTGATGCCATGCCATCTGTTGTTGTGAAATCAGTATGAGAGTATAGTGCATTGCAGCACTTGTATGGGAAAGAAGCATGCTGACCTCAAAGCAAAACAGCTGATCCATGATGCCAATGACCTGCTGTGGAGTCAAAGGTCTTAACACATCGTATTCATGTTCCTGAATCGTGCCGTTGGCTTCGTATCCACTGTCCATCTTGGGATCCATGATCTTCACTGCCCAAGTCAGCCGTCGGAACACCACCTTGTAGCTCGTTTGATGCTGACCTCCAGAGCACTGACAGCCTCAAATGTGCTAAAGGATGCATCTTGGACGAGACGACCGACATGTAGGGCTACCATCGTGTCAGGAATGCTCCATGCGTCACATTTTGTGGAAAGCTCACCTCTTGTAGCTTTAAGGAACCCATTTGTAATCTCGCGGGCAGGTGGGACCTTGCCAGAAGGCGCTTTTCTTTGTGGTGGGCTTGATGCTACTGTGTTTGGCCCTGGAATCTCGGCGTCACCGGCGGAGAGTTGCGACATCTATGCATCTTAGCGTCTCTTCAATCTTTGGAGATAGCATCGCCTACCTTCTGAGCTAGCATCGTCACTGTCGTCAGTCATGGCGAGAGTCGCAATATCAAAGGGTAAGACAAGGTTTCCAAGAAGTGTTGTGCAAGTGCTCAAGGTGCAGTGTTGCCAAAAGAGGAAAACGATTGGATGAAATACTACAACACAATAGTATTACACAGGTATCTCGGGTCATTGAATGATGATTCGGATCTTGTACGTCGAGTCACTTGTGGAGGTCAACGATCAAATAATTCAATACTACCACTTCCTCAATTGTTGCAGGCAAGAAGTCAAAGTATCTACATTATTGATTTTACGTGAAAGACTGATGCCGAATTCTCGCCCAACGCATAACATGTGGACCCCGGCTTCCAAGGTCTAGCCATCTCGTTTCTACCTCTAGCGACGAATTTCGCATTCCTTGACTTCGTCTCGCCTCTTCCTATGTGGATTTCTCCGCTCCTTCTGCCATTGCCTGAGCATTCGCTGCGCCTAAGTTTTTATTTTCCCCCTGCTTGCCATTCTGCAGAAATCGTGTCAGCACCGTCTTGGAAGGTCTTCTCTTTCTTGCCGGCTCCGTTATCTCACCTGCCACTTTGCAAACCTCAGGTCTGATTCTCCTCTTCTCTCCGCTTGAACTCTTGGTCCTTCCTTGAGTGATCGCCGGACCGTGCGGGCTGCCACCGCTAGGTACCGATTGTATCTGGCCGAATCTCAGTAGTTGCAGCCCAATTGACCATTGAATACAAACGTGAGACCTGCTGCTTTCCAAGCGAATGCCATTGTGGGTGTAATCGGGAATGTTGAAGGTGTATCTGAAAGCAAAGAGTACAGCCAGTAAGCGCCAGGCCATGGAGTCTCGGCAATAGCTCGGGAATAGACATATGGAATCCCGATTAGATAAGACGGCGACATATTCGTCCAGAGCTCACCAACGTTCCGCCTTCTGGAAGACATAGGGTTGGCCTGGATGCGGGCCATGAGGAAACGAACACATGAGGAGAACGAAGATGATGTATTGACTGAACGTGAGGCAAAGCGCCTACGAGCAAGTAAACCGGACCGACTCTCAAGCTTGAGCGACGAGCTTCTGCTCCGTACACTCTCGTACCTATCAAGGTCAGACATCGTAGTATGCGAAAGGCTGTCGCGACGCCTCAAACGACTTGCAGCTGATGGTCAGGTTTGGCGAACACTCTATTATGATCGATTCGTGCGGCTTGCTACAAACTCAGTCGCCACACCAAAGCGACGACTGGAAAATGATGTCGCCCGCTTCCGAAAGCTCTACCAAAATTGGGGTCATAGAGAAACGATACGGTGGTTTGAAGAAGTGAAAAATATCATCTCGAGTGGGAAAAGCACTTGGAAAAAGCAGTATAGGATACGGCATAATTGGTCAAGAGGGCAAGCCCGTGTCAAAGAGACGGAGGTTGCGGAGCAATCATCTACACCTCCCTTACTCGTACGCCTGTACGGTGATCTTGTCTTCATTGCAGATGAAAAGCTCAGGCTTCGAGTCTGGTCACTCAGGGACCAGGAAGGATTGGTTGCCGCCCAAGACTTGCGAGAATATGCTTCTGGAGAGCTAGCAGCTCCGACCTCTTTGGCGGTGGATGTCAACGCTGCAAGGCAGGAAGATCTTTTGATCATCATTGGCTACGCTGATGGAAAGTTCTCATGTTACAAGATGAATAAGGAGACGCGAGCATTGCTTCATTGGTACACCTACACACCTGAGTCTGCCCACGGAAAAAGCGCAATTTCAGCTCTCGCCTACTCCTCACCCTACCTCCTGATGACGGCTTCTGACTCCAGAATGATGTTGTTCGCTCTCCCACAGACCTTGAACGATCAAGACTCTCCTACATTGCTCTCATCTCTGAGATCGTATACTGCGTATCCACCCTCTTCCCTTGCTTTGAAGACAACAGGTTCGTGTGTCACTGCTTCAATAGCTTTCGCATTACCTGGATACCTGAATGGCTGGACTATGGCAATTCAGGAGGTACGACTGAGCTCAAGTGGCAGCATTTTAGATTCACGCATTGCGTCGGGACCCAGATCACGAAGTGACGGTACCACCTCGCAGGGTTTGACGAGCCTTTCTGGCGATCAGGTCCACGTCCACCCTCTGAGTAGCCAACCATCATCGATATCGTACAACCATCCATACCTATTGACCGCAAACCTGGACAACACAATGACGCTATACCTTGTATCATCCACGGCCACCAAATTATCAATCAGCTCAGGTATGACCTTGTGGGGGCACACATCGTCCATCTCAAGCGCCCACGTGGGCGCTCGGGGCAAAGCTGTTTCGGTCAGCACGAGAGGCAACGACCTCAGAGTATGGGAGCTTGAAGGCCGAGGTAGTTGCAACATGAGGACAAGATTGCCTGATACGAAAGGTGGAATACGGGTCCAGTCTGAAGTGAATGATTCACTTCAACCGGAGCCAGCAGACTCGAGATATGAAACATCCAAGGGTTGGATTGCCTTCGACGACGAAAAGGTTGTCCTCTTACGAGAGAAATCCCATGGAGCACAAGCTGTGGTCACGTACGATTTCAGATAGACGACCTTGGATTTGACGACGAGATGTCCTGTAAATAGCAAGTGACATATTGGGGAACCGACCACATTGGCGGTAGCGACCTTGTTTGGCTGTTTTGGCTGTTTGGGCTTCCATGCAGGAGGTTAGTACCTTTCTCCGCAAGCCAAATGTGCCACGATTCACTCTTGTGCAGCACTTGTGCAGAGTGACGCAACCGCCTTGCTTACCGAGCCATTCAAGCGAGCCGAGGCCAGACCCCTTTGGGCTTAGCCCGTCGTTTTGAGCCAAACCCCACGGACCAAATTTCAACGGCCTCCTTCACTCAAACACCACATGAAGTTCTTCGCTCCTACATACTTGTTGTGCTACTCTTGATAGAGCTCTACTTGCTTTAGCACGTTACAGCGCTCAGTACACACTTGTGCTTCATTTTGGAGGCTTGTTGCTTCTTGAGTCCCTTGGATCTACCTTTGCTTTGAACGAAGCTTCTTCAAATCATCAACTCACTTTACATTCAAAATCACGAGACCTTTTCAGTAGCGATGGATTACGGACAACCTGGAGGTCGTGGCTGCTACAACTGTAAGTCTTTATCTCAAGTACCGCGTCCTCAAACCTCTTGCGCAGATCAGATGGAAGGTGTGGTCAACACTTTCGTCTTCGTCTACGGTACTCAAATGCCGTTCGACCGAAGATTGCAATCAATCAAACCTCTCTCTCACCCTACCTTCATCACAATTGATCGTTGCTTCTTATTACTCGCGCAAGTGCAAGCACATTCTCTGTTCATTGCTTGTTTCATCTCCTGTTGAACACTTCACTTACACATTTCGTCTAGGCGGCGACGCATCCCATCAAGCTCGAGATTGTCCGAAGCGCGGGACTCCAACATGCTACAACTGTGGGGAAGAGGGTCACGTGTCCCGTGAGTGCAATGCGCCTCAGAAAGAAAAATCTTGCTATCGCTGCGGCGAGACTGGTCATATCTCGCGTGAGTGTCCACAGAGTGGTGGAATGGGCGGCGGGGGTATGAGCGGAGGCTACGGTGGCGGCGGAGGAGGAGGAGCAGCAGGCGGCGGCGGCGGCCAGGAATGCTACAAATGCGGTAAAATCGGGCACATTGCCCGCAACTGCGACCAGGGTGGATATGGAGGTGGTGGTGGTGGCTATGGCGGAGGGGTGTGGAGGGGGGTATGGTGGTGGTGGTGGTGGCTGGGGCTCTGGCGGCGGTGGCCAACGTGGCGGAGGAGGTAGCGGTGGACAGACCTGCTACACTTGCGGTGGTTTCGGACATATGTCTCGAGACTGCAACCAGGGGCAAAAGTGCTATAATTGTGAGTTTTGAGTCTTATGTGTATGTATCCAACTGACCTCGATATAGGCGGAGAAGTCGGACATCTTTCTCGTGAATGCCCCTCAGAAATCTCTTCAGAACGCACTTGCTACAAGTGCAAGCAGCCTGGCCATGTCCAGGCATCATGCCCTAACTAATAGTCTCACCACTCCTCTTGGGCATATACACTTCTTCATGAAATTGGCGGATCTTTCTGGGAGTAACGCAACCGTCCTTGATCATTAGCAGCAGGACAAAAGCTAACGCGTCGGGTGCGTCGGTTCGGCATTATCTAAGTTTACATCGGCCTCTTGGACTACAATGATACCCCGGGAAACGAGGAACTCACGGATTTGGCAGATGAAATGTGGGAGGGAGTGTGGCACGAGTGGAGGGAGGCGATTCGATGGTGCTCTTAATGGCAAGTTTCAACGGTCAGAATTTTCACAACCAATATGCATAGCGACAGCAGAATAAAGATAAAAGGGTCATTTGGTACTTGATGCGATCTTCGGTAAGATTGGAACGGTCTCATTAGTGATGGACTGCAACGAAGGCTCGGGAACTGTGCATAGATGGGTCTCTTGGTATAGCGGCATGAATAACATGCTAATAGAGATAAACATCTTTATCCATTGTCACATCATACAATGCATACGCATTAAAACGAATATCTCAAATATTTAGAGGAATTTCTAGCATTCACTATCAATTTACAGGGGGATTCCAATATCGTACTGAGTAGTGGTGATCTCGACCCACGATTGGTTTGCCGGGCCTTCGCTCCTCGGCTTCGCCTTGAGTAAGCTCAACATAGAAAATCAATTGAAATGACAAGCAGTTCTCCGTTCATCACACTAAGAGAAGTAAATTGTCAGGCGTTGACCCTGCAGACGAATGCGTTTGGAGCGCCAAAACGTCTCAGCACCCACACCAAAAGAGACCCGATGATGCGATCATCTGAGAAAGTCACTATGACCATGCCCATGACCCTCCAGCAGACCGGTCAATACGTGCGCAAAGGTGACAAACCCACATCCTCCAACAAGAGACCCTTTCCAGGAAATGCGACCTGCCGTTTCATACATCAAAACAACCTCGAGCCGGAGTTTGGCAGATGCATCAGTCGGTGGCAGGCCGATTGAGTTACGGGCGAGACTCGGAGCGGCATGGGAGGGGATCAACTACGGGTTCATGTCGAGGCCGGGGACCTTGCAGAAGCGAACGGGGGTCCTTTTCACACCCGTCGATGATTATGCACGAGCGAAAGGAACAACCTGCAGCAGTGTGCAGTGTTGCAGTACCGGAGTGCGTCAGTTGCCCGAATTGTGGCTGTGGTCCGAAAGAACGCGGAAGTCAATTGGTAGAAAGGGTCAGGTGGACGAATCACACGACTACACGAAAGGGTACGAGGGTGGTACGGTGATGGCTGATCTGTCGCCTTTTCTCCCCCAATTGATCGTGACCACGCCTCGTGAGCATTGCTACCTGACTGGAAAGTCAATAGTCGATAGGTGCAAGACCAGGTGAGAGTAGTAGTGCGACTGTTTGAGTGCTGGTGACGCGCTGATGGTTGTTGGTGGTGATGGAGGGAGAGATGGATGACGAGGTATAACAGAATACTTGATGCCTGGTTCGAAAATGCGAATGCGATAAACGATCGGGTGGCTCTGGGGGCTAACTGGGTGTGGCAAAGGGCGCATCTTGCATCCTTGGGATTCCCTGTTCTGGCGCAAGCGTACGCTCCTTAGGTTTGGAAGTGAATGCCTTAGATGCACTAGGAATAGTCTTGCGTAGTCTATTACTCATACGTCTCTTGCCTCACCCAATGTTCCATCTTCTTCTCTACACCAATTGATCCTCGGTGGAAGGTGGATGGCATTGGAACGCCGTTCCCACCCATTCTACCCTCGTCCGGATCCCTCAAATCAGGCGGCAAACTGGTGCTGATGCTCGACCTTTTTGAATTCGGTGGCCCCGCCTCGTGAGTCATTGGCAAATCATGTGTCGTTGATTGAAATGTCTGTCACCGGCCAGGCAGATGACCTTCTTCGACCTTATCCTGATGCAAGGCGCTTACAGCCTGGCATCGCCATTCCTTTGTTCTCACTTCTGACAGCCTGCGCCCCATTTCTCCCCCATGACCTTCCTCACGCATTGACCAGTCACTCTCGTCCTTCATCGCTGCCTAACTGCTGACTTGTCCCCACAAAACCCTGCTTCCTCCCACTCCCTCCCTCGACCGGATTTGCCCTCTGACTTGTACCACCCCGGCTTGCAAGACTCATCTACCAACCTGAACCACCTGGAAGGACAATTGATCACTGCTGGACAGTCGACTGGGGACTTGCTTTTATCTATCAGCCATTGCTTGCAGCCTAAAACCTTCATTCTGAGTCATTTATGACAATTCCGACTCATTCGCCACACCATCGGACACTGGACACGGAAGAACACTTAACACCGCGCCAGCCCTGACAAATACGACACACTTGATAGTGTGTCCTTCTTTTGACTTCTGTCACCCTTAAGGACTTATTGGCCATTGTTCTTCTTTCATCAATCCACATTCCTCCAACCTTACAACCATCATCAACATTCTCCATCCATCATGGAGCCATCACCCACAACCCGGTTACCATCAGTGTCGAGCCTACTCTCGCCCCCAATGTCAAAACCTCACGACACTTTCAATACGACGCCCTCCAAATCTCCTTCGACCTCCTACAAACGAGAGTTCACTCCGGACGACAAGCTCGCTCCTTTGCGCCACAGTTCAGGCGACAAAATGAAGACGTCTCCGGATATTAAAATGCATATGTTCCCATCTCCTCCTGTCTCGCCCTGGCAAGAAAGATTGCACAAACCAGAAAGAGCATCGCAAGGACATGTCAGAAAATCAAGTGACCTCAAGGATCCTCCTCTGTTCGCAGAGAGTGAGACAGGCAGCAACAATGAAGAGCCTTTGTTTCATCCAAGGCCTGTGGAACCGACCGACGAGTCGATAACTTTGCACATCAAGAATCATTTGAACCAGTTTCCCGACAAGTTCAACAAGCCAAGGGTGGAGGAGTACCAATTAGCAGTCGGTTTCTTTAGCAAAATTGGTATTGGTTCTCTGTACAACCGGGATCCTGCTGCCTACTTGAAACGACATCGGGAAGAGGAGGAAAGCACATACTATCAGACCAAGCGCATATGTGCTGGGCCAGGTGTGAAAGCTGGTCGGCCTGTCGCCATCGCACCGGCCCCAAAGCCTAACAAACGCGCAATCAAGCCAATTACACCAAAGTCTACAGCTCCTCGGGTCAAGCGAACACCTAAGAACTCACCACAATACAAGATGCTTGATTACGAGCCCAAAGGCCGGTCAACTACGCCACGTCAGACTGGCCAGAAGAAGGAGCCGGATATCAACTACAATGCGTTCAAAGATTACGCCCCTCCTCCTGACACCGTCGACATCGACCACCATTTCCCTGTCGATACCATCAAGCATCCCACTCCTCTCGATCTATCCAATGATCCTGACCGCCACCTTCTACGTGAGCCAGAGTTTCGACTTGCCTCGGCTATCCGGCTACCTGTTGCGCAATACCTCACACAGAAACGACGTATATTCCAAGGTCGGGTCGAAGCGCTTCAGCGGGGTCAGGAGGTCTTCAGGAAGACAAATGCGCAACAGGCTTGCAAAGTCGACGTGAACAAGGCGAGCACGATGTGGAGTGGATGGGAAGCGGTCGGTTGGTTTGATAAGCACTGGTTCGAGCAGTACAAGGACGACGTGATCGAATAGTTGGAAGTCGATCTCCTCACCATTACAGCATTTACGAAATTTCTCATCGAACATTCCATTGGAGCCCACAGATTGTGCGCTAACTGTCACATTGGCCGGCATCGTGCCGCCTTCAAATACTTCTTCTCTTTACGATTTTTTATGATTATGTACGGTGTCTCGGGTGGCTTGGATGCTACACAACAAGATACAGATTGTGTAATGTTATTTGGCTTTTTGTCTCTCAACTCAGATACCCCTTTAAGCAGATGAAATGGAATGGAAAGCGAATGGAGGACGGAATATGCATTGGGATAGCATACAAAGTCACTTTGCGAGAAGATTGAATCCCAATGTTTTGTGGTATATCAGATCTTGCTCTGGATGAATAATGTTGTGGTGATAGTATTGAAATAGAAACCATTCAATCGGACGCTCTTTAAACCCAATATTCATGTCCTTTGCTCGTGCTCGTGCTCGTGGTTGAAGTCGTCTGTGACTTTCAGATATCCCTGCTAGACTTGCGGGAGTGCGATCGTTCCTGCACGTCATGTCGTGGCGCTCGATCTGTGGCTTAAAGTATTGCGATCTCATCGTCGCCCTCTCTTTCCATACAGGCATGTGCCTGCTGTCTTTGGCACCCACTACTTATAATCACACCCTACAGCATCTCTTGACCATGGCACTACTGCACCTATCTGTTCACTATGCTACTCCCTAGCCTCTGCGAAGCGACGACATGGTTTGTCGCCGATGTTTACACCTTTTGCCTTGATATAAGCAGCGGGGGGCTCAATAGTAGTCCGTCTATGCTCAGACGCAGCACAGCTTCCCTTATTTGCCACGTTTGTCCCAATATGCGAATCTTACGCATCACGATCACTTCACTGCAAATGGTTTAGCGTAAGGGCCGTATTCGGCTTCTCATTGCTCAGCCCTAGAAGGCGCGGATTACGGAGAAAAGCCGCATCTCAATCTCAGATTGTCAACTATTTCGCAAGCTACACGGGCTCTGCGGATACACCGGCGGACAGTTCGGAGGAATACAAGTCAAAGCTCGGATGCGTGGATTCCCCTCAGCATGTCAGAGACACACACCCATACCGACTCCTTGAACGGAGCCGACCATGACCCCGATCTTCAGAAGAAAGTGAAGAGTAGGAGACCGGCGAGTACGTACCGCACAAGCTCTCTGCAGAATCTGATTACATTGGCAAAGAGGATGCAGCTGGTGGATAGTAATGAAATGTGTTGACTGGGACGTCTCCGCAGATACCGCATTTCGACAGCAGCGATTGAAAGCATGGCAGTGAGTGCTGCTTCAGAATACGAGGAAGCCGGATGATACTAGGACTAATTATTCCCAGACCCATCCTTACCCCCAAGACCGTCCTTCCTCTCTTTTTCGCCATTGGCATCATATTTGCTCCTATCGGGGGTCTCCTACTCTATGCTAGCGCTCAAGTAAGTGCATTCTACGAACTGGTAGCTCGAAAAGTGCTTATGGCGTTGGTCAGGTCCAAGAGATAGTCCTAGACTACTCGGACTGCCATGATGTAGCACCGAATGGCACCGCGTATGTCGATATGCTGAAGAAGTCCTCCCACTCCTCCTTTAAGTACAACAGCCCGAGTCCCTGTACCAAGAATGCACCTGCACCGCAGTGGAAGCAAAGCACCATACAAAAACAATATGGCGTCGGTACACCGCCTGTGGACACTCAAGTCTGCTCGCTCCGATTCAACATTCCTGACAATCTCCAACCCCCCGTCCTCTTCTATTACCGTCTCACCAACTTCTATCAAAACCATCGGCGATACGTGAAGTCGCTAGATAGCGATCAGCTCAAAGGCAAGGCTATACCTGCCAGCACTATCAAAGGAGGTTCATGCGATCCGTTGAGACTGGATCCTGACGGCAAGCCTTACTACCCCTGTGGGCTTATCGCCAACTCGCTCTTCAATGATAGTTTCAGCAATCCCATTCAGCTGAACGTACACAATAGCCCCCTACCCAACGTCACATACAATATGACCAACAAAGGCATCGCTTGGAGTAGCGACTCTGCACTGTATGGCAAAACCAATTACAAGTTGGACCAGATTGCTGTTCCACCAAACTGGCACTTGAAGTGGCAGAACGGATATAGCGAGGAGAATCCTCCTTTGCCTATACATGATGATGAGAACTTTCACGTATGGATGAGGACTGCCGGGCTTCCAGCGTTCAGCAAGCTTGCAATGCGCAATGACAAAGAAGAAATGAAGTGTAGCACCTACCAGGTGGACATCGAGAACAGTACGTAAAGCCTGGGCCATGTGCTACTCTATCCATGGCCACGACTAATTCGTTGCTAATTCGTCGCTAATTCAACCCAGACTTCCCAGTCAACATCTACGGTGGCACTAAATCTATTGTCATATCCACACGAACGGTCATGGGAGGGAAGAACCCCTTCTTAGGTATTGCCTATGTCGCCGTCGGTGGCATCTGTATAGTCCTGGGCGCTATATTTACCGTAACACACATGATCAAGCCAAGGTGAGTCGGGTGCAAACAGCATGATGAGCCATTTCTTTGGCGTGACGACGCCACCTCCAGCATGCTGACATACCCTAGGAAACTCGGAGACCACACTTACTTGTCCTGGAACAATGACCAGCCCAGTACCGCAACTGCAACCGGCATACAACGACCTGGTCAAATTGAGGCTTAAAGTATGTCTTGTGAATGCATTCCATTCTGCTTGAGCGAGAATCTTCCGCATGGGCTATATAGGCGTTCTGGAGCAGGATTTTGCACTGGCCTGCGATGACCTAGACTTTGACATTTCATGATTTCTTTTCAGCCTCAAAAACGCCCCGAAGGGCACTCATGATCGAACCGCATGTTCCTTTTGATGTCGTGCCGATTGTGCCGTTCCTTTCTTTGACCACTTCCTCCACAAAATGCACCTTGCCTTGTAGTCCTGTCGCTAAAAGGGCCGTTCGCGGTATCTGGCAACGCTCTTCCCTTTCCTTTGAGGGCCCTCTTTCACCTGCCACCTGCACCGTTTGATGGACAGCGTCTGCGCTTTGTGAGGACCACGCCATATGAAACATGTCTCTCCTTTTACAAATTTTGGGTCTCGTCATTCCTCCCGTCCGTTCGTTCGTTCGATCGTCATCTCCGTGGATCGTCCGACGCGAGGAGTCGCATCATCCTGCCCTACTCTGCCCTGCGCTCACGATCTCCTGATCTATCGCCAAAGTCAAGATGAGATCGGCCAGCTCCTCCCCTTTTCCCTTCAGCATCATCATGACGTCCTACCTCTCCCTTCTCCTCTTCCTCCTCCCCCAGGTCTCAGCAGTAGCTGTCGCGGCTCCCTACCCCTACCCCAACCCCAATCCAAACCCATACCCCCATCCTCGACCCATACCGGAGGCGTTGGCGCAGAGCCTGCCTTATATCTCCCCCACGGACGATTCAAGCCGCATCATCCCCGCTACGGTCGAGAATCCTGATACGGGCGAGGCGCAGAATACCAGCGCGCAGCTTTGTGGTACTCCGCCGCCGCCGGGGGGTTTGAGGTGAGTCCTTTCTTGATGTTTATTGGGGGGTGGGGAGTCTTGTTCAGGGCTGTGAGAGGAGTATGGGGGAAGAGTATGAAGGGGTGTTGATGAGGGGGTGGGGGAAAGAGAGGGAAGAGGTGGAGGAGAGGGAAGGGGTGGAGGACAGAAGAGGTGGTGAACGGTAGAGCTGACACTGGGATTTGACAGGGATAAATTGAATCAGTTGCAGAACGCACGGGCGCATGAGAAGAGGGGGTTGAGTCATGAGGAGAGTGGACTTAAGGGCATGGGATTGGAGAAGAGGGATGTTGCTGCTAGTGAGTGAGACTTTTCTTCTTGGGATGGGGTTGACGGTGGAGGAGGTGGAGAAGATGATGAGAATAATTGGGTGGAAAGGAAGATTGCTGATAAGGGTCGCAGGTCAAGCTATCCAGGTCGAAACATACTTCCATCTCGTCGTTACCAAGCAGATGAGTCGATTCTACACTGCGCCCGTAAGGAAGAGTATTCTTAATAACCAGGTAAGCCTTCCCGTCCCTTTTCCCCCCTCCCTGTTTCTCCTCCGCTTCCCCCACCCCTTTCCCAAATCAGATACTCTGCATCAACGCTAACCAAACCGGTGCGATTTATCAAGGTCGTCTCCTTGAACACCGCATACCGCCCCTCGGGCATCAGTTTCCACATTAACACGCCGACCTTCACCATCAAGGACGAGTGGGCGACTGACCTGCAGAGCACTAATATGAAGAAAGCCCTCCGCAAAGGCAGCTATTCGGCGCTGAATATTTACTTCCAGAGTAATCTGTCGAGTAATCCTGGGGGAGGGAGTGCGGCTGGTGCGGCGACGTTGTTGGGGTGAGTCTTTCTCGTTTCCCATTCTCTACCGCCGTCATGTTCGATTCTCTCCCTCCTAGAGAACGCGGCAAGGAAAGGCAGGGGCAGTGCTAATACTTATTCGTGGGGATGGATGACAGTTACTGCACCCTCCCCACCACCATCACCTACAGCTACGGCGGCCAAACCTACGAATACCCAAAAGCCGACTACGCCACCGACGGCTGCAACATCCTCGCCTCCTCCATGCCCGGCTCCCCCATGGCCGTGTATGGGTACGACCGCGGGAAAACGGCGGTGCATGAGGTCGGCCATTGGTTTGGCTTGCTGCATACGTTTCAGGATAATAGTTGTTTGGCCAGTAGTGAGGGGGATTATGTGGATGATACGCCGCAGGAGGGGACTAGTACCGTGGGCTGTCCAAGGGGCAAGGATAGTTGTCCGCTTGTTGAGGGATTGGATCCGATTACGAATTATATGGATTATTCGATTGATGAGTGGTGAGTTTGGTGACTCTTTCTTTTTCTTTGTTTGGATTGGGGGGGGTGGAGAGGGAGTATCCGGAGGGGGAGATGTGTAGGATGAGATGGCATAAGGAAGGGAAATTGGGAGGAGGCTTGTGAATGGATGAGGCTGACGCTTTTATGCAAACTAGTTACACGGAGTTCTCGCCAAATCAGCAATCGAGGATGAAGGATATGTGGACGTTGTACCGGAAAGGATACTGAAGGAGTCATGGGCGTTGCAAGGAACGGAAGGAGTGAGGTGCTGGTGGCAGGGAATTGATATTGCTAGCTTGGGTAATTTGACGGTCGATGTGATGATTAGGAAACAAAACATAGTGCTTTAGACGGTCACCCTACTTGAAACTATGAAAGGTTTGTTTCGAGGTGCTCTGCAAGTCATTCGATGTGCTCATTCGGAGGCTCACCCGAGCATTTTCCGTTTTCAGTTGTGATGTGGATGTGGATGGTGGCGCCACACATAGCGCTGATCTGAATGCTTAGAATGGTGAAAGAATCGTCGATAAAGGGAATTTGGAAGGATGTCACCGTTCACGTCCTCCACAGTCGGGTGTCTCTCAGGCTGACATAATCGCATCGCTGACATTCGACTCTGTCTGGATATGTCAGCAAGCATTCTCAAATATGATATAGTGCACAATAGACTCTTCACGATTGTTCACTTGGAAAGCACACCCTTAACTCTCTTCTCGACGAATTTCCAATCGCTTTGTTCATCAGCAATGACGTAAGCAGGCGCCAAGACGGATTGGTAATCCTCCGCGCACCGCGAGTGGTCCGCGCCCCGAGTCTCCTTTGGGATGGGGAAATTAAAGTCCGATAGGGCTGCAGCGAAGATCCGAAGAAGCTTCGGCCGACACCCTGAACTTCTTCGTCAATACTACATCCAGGCCAGCACCCACCATCATCATCATCTCTGGCATAATCAACATCTGAGCTGTGACGCATCATCATCATCATCATCATCATATGTCGGTCAGTGAAGACGTCCGAGAGCCATTTGAGCGTAGGTTCTGGCTTGGTCATGCAATAACGCCATAATCCCCGCGATAAGAAGTATTGATGCCTTGTTTTTATGCATCTGCTTCTTACTACTCCTTCTCAGGCCTATAAATGTTGCCTATTCCATGTTAGCTGGCCGTTCTCAGCCACGGTCTAGTATACACGTGGTCAAGTCAGCAAAGTTTGAGTCATGCCATCTTTTCATGCCTTCAAGTCTAGAACACTTCACTCGTCATTTGAACCCTTCTTCTGCACAGACACTGGACATTCGACCTCACAAGAGCCATATTACCCTCAGGACCATGGCCGCTCTATCATCTCCGACGGGCACAGCCTGGCCTATATTTACAGCATGACACATATCTCATAGCAACCTGCCAGTGACGAGTACGAAAAATGAATGCCTACAGCTCTGCCCCTGATGTGGCAAATCACGGCTCAACCAACCACGACCCGTTGTATACTGAGGCTTATTGCGGGTGGCTTCAGAGCCTGATGCACTATGGGAACTAGAGGGACTCAAACCAGGCCCAGGCACCACTAGTTTCGACAGCTCTGCCTTGTTTCCTGTGGTGTGAGCATGCCATCAACGCAATCTTTCTCAGCTCACCCTAGTCTGAGTATAGCATGCTTCCTTTATTATGTTTTATGCCTATGAGTGGCGACTGCCGAACCGGCTCGTTCACACTTGCCGAGTCTCGAAGCAGCCAGACCTTCAAAGAGGATTTTTAATCCTTCTATAAGAATGTCAGACGTCAACGTGACACCATCTTCGATTACTGTTGCAATATTACCCACAGCGGCTGTGGCTTGCATGTATGACAGAACGAGTGTAGCAGTTGCAGAGCGTTAAGCCAGAGTCATCATCCTGGCTCCTCCTAAAGGGATAGAGTGTGATTGTCTGGAGGGTCTACTACCTCAGCACATACGGGAAACCATCAGTAAGCTAGACCATCCATAGCTTCCGTCTCACTGTCCTCCGTGTCATTGCAAATGTTGTGTCACTCACGCGCGCAAGTCTCGGATACGACAGGCCTAGAAATGATCTATCATTGATCTATTTTGGACGTCTATGCTCACGTTCTCTAGTGTCATCTGATATTACTGCAATCAGGACACTCCTAGGAGTATACCACAACGCCTTCTCCACCCCAGACATCGACGACATCCTCGCGCTTCACAACGAAGAAGCAATCGTCATACTTCCAGTCCTCAGTAATCCAGCAGAGGGTGAAGATGCCGTTCGTGCAGCGTACACAGCTGCTCTTGGCACTACTCGATCTGCGACAACCCAACCGCGATTGCAAGCCCAAGCTCCGACTGAGCAACAATCTCAAACATCTGGGAAAGGCAAAGGAAAAGGCAAGGGTAAAGGCAAGCGCCCACGCGACTCGGATCCCGATCCTGTACTCGAAGAAGGTGGGCAATTTGAAGGTTTGATTGTCCAACGACAAGCAGTCGGGGAAATGGATGTTCTCGAAATCGTACCAACTGCACCAGACTGGGGTTTCGCGCGCACCGAGTTCAATGCACCTACGGCCACAGCGGTAGAGGCGGGACAAGTAGAGCCTCTAGTAGGACGCAAGTGGCATGGCATGTTCATTTTCCGAAAGACGGATCCAGAATTGCTCTACCAAGGATGGCGAATTGCTCGGTTGGTTTTCACTTCTCCTCTCTCTATTTCAAGAGTACCCGGGAGTGAAGGCTTGGGGCTGACTATGACGCCAGGGTCATTTTCACCCGCACATCGGGAGAAGGAGGAAGAAGGAGGAGGCAAGAGGAGGAAGGTGACGACTAGTGAGCGGAGGGAAGAGCTGGAGGAAGAGCCGGAGGAAGAGGGGGCTGGATGAGAAGGGCGAAGGCAACGAGGAGTAAGGGTGAGCTGCTGGGCAGCGTATCTCACAGTTTTGCTTCGTTATATTTTTGAACTTCTTTCTCATTTTGGGAGACGCGGGAAAAGGGTATATACCAGGGAGCACATTGCTTTTCACGCTTCGGAGACTTGGACGACACTCATTTAACTATATCTATGCGTTCTGCTTTTCACTTTACAGAAGAATGATTTCTTCGGAAGCAGGAAATTGCATAAATCCAATCGAGTCTTCCCTTCATCTGTTTCATTGTCTGAATCTCATGTACCGTTCGAATTGCGGGAACCTTCTAAAATGTCTACAAACTTTCGAAAACAAATCAATATTGCATAAAGTTCAGCATGGTTATCTTTTAACAGCATTGCTTGAAACTTTCAAGGCGAGGAGCTTATGATTTGAGTCAGGCTATTCATGCAACGTGAGAAGAAATTAAAGAGACTGTTACAACCCAGAAGACCGCACGGTATGTCCAACAGGTTAGCTTCATTCTGTCTGTCTTGAAGTCTTGTCTGTATCGCTCTATACTGTGTACTTATTTCTCTCTTTGCACATATCAGACCAAAACCTACAATTCACCCTACCCTCGCCATTCCCGCATTTCGTGTTGACAAATATACAGCTTGATCTACAAAACTTGCCTCGAGTAAATCGTACTTGATGTTTGATATTCATGACATTCCGGCTACGCACAATAATCTCAAAACGTTTATCTAGCCTGAGATGCGCGAGAAGTGAAATGACCACGATACATCCGGCGATATTCAGTGTTACACGCCGCCCCTCAACTTTGAGCAAGATCTCATGATCCTCTGAATACGAAGTCGCTCAGCAGCTTAGACACGAACGAGTGTAACTCATCACGGATTTATCTCCAAGCCACACCACGACCTGCTCCTTTACCGCTCCTTCGTTCCTCAGTGCTCACCACTCCCTTACTGGAACGTGCTCCATCATTCCATCCAACAAGATTATCGGCCCCAACTGCACCCTAACACTTCGAGCAAGTCGAGGAATACGTGTGCAAAGCTACGCACTCGAGCGCTTCCGAGCGAGGCAGTAAATGACTGGGCGATTTACGTTGGTTCGAGGCCATACCGGGACATGTTTGCAAAGCAGATGGGCGATGGTCGAGCGAAGGAGCTGCCCAGACTGCTTGATGGACGGTTCTAGCTATCCTGGGACATGCACTTGAGTTGATGGAAGTATGGGAGTGGAGGATGATATGATATTGAACCTGGGGAATTAGGGGGAAGGGGGGCGGACGGTAGATGAGGGGAGGGTCGGGGGCTGGGGATTGGTCAAATTTAATGGGTGGGGGCATTGGATGCATTGGGCTGTGGTGCGGAAGGCGAGGGGGAGGAGAGATGGATCTGGGAGTATCGGGATTTGTATAGCTCTGTGGGAGAAGCATCATCGGCGTGGAATCGAGGGTGTGAAACTGCAGGCAATGTCATATTAGATATATATGATAGAGATGAAGGAGGATGGTGCTCGAGATGGAATGACGGGGCTGTTGTCAAACATGTCACATAATCTTGAGGCGTAATTGCAACAATGCTCCTACGCGTATGAGACGGTCTGCTTATCTCACCGTCTTTGCATGATACAGCATATCTCCGTGTTACCCACTACGAAACGTCAACGTCATCAGCGCCTGGTAATAGCTGTCAAAGGCAGAGGGAAGTATCAAACTCCCGGTCAGCTCCACAAGGCCACGGCAATGTAGCCTTGCCGATTGCCGTTCATGCTAGCCCTAATTAAATTACTCAAACGTGCTAAATTGGCGCTGAAACATAAAAATCTCAAGAGGAAGGTCGCATTCAATCCTTCGTCTTCTCTCCTTCCCAGATCATTGCACCCATCCAACACCAACGCAAAGTTTGAAAAGAAATGTTATATGCACGTCTCGCGCCAACATGCCTCGGCCCTGGACATATATACAAGCTGCCAAATGGGCCGTGCTCGCCTGAACCGCATATGGGGCGTGTAAAATCCTCGGTGTCTTGCTTGTTGGAGAAGATCCGATAGGCGGCTAAGACTGTTGTCTTGCAGTTGGAGCCTCAACGCCCATTAGACGCCGTTATGTTTCTACTATTATCAGTCTTTGCCACTTTATGAGGACCACTCTCCATCCTCGCACTGGCTTGTTGCAAGGTTTTACGTCGCAACGACGGTGAATATACTGGTCATGGTCTTGCATTCGCGTGGAATACTTCCGATGCCGTGCATGGGGCCGTGGGAGGGGACGGGGTCCATCCTGCCGATCTGGCAGAAGGGACCTGCATATTTAAACGCCCGTCCTGCCATCGTCGGTCCTGAAAGGGTCGTTATGAAGCGAGGGAGGGACCGACCTGTAAGCCACGCGAGTCATATGATTTGATAATCACGACCTTCTCCGTCTCTATATCCAATTCTTCTCTCCCCCTCCCTTCCACTCGCTCATCTCTTCCCTCACTCCTATTCTCTCCCTCTCTCCCTCTCTCTTGGCGAAAAGACAACCCTTCGAAAAGATGCGCTCCCCATCTCTCACCCACCTCCTCCCCCTCCTCCCCCTCCTCCTCTCCACCCTCACCACCGCCGCCCCATCCTGCCCAACCTTTGAATCCTTCTCCGCCTCCCTCAAACCCCTTCTCACCACATCCACCCTCTCCCAACAACCCATCCAACGCTGGTCCGACTACGGCGCGCCCACCCCGGCCTTCATCGTCACCATCAACGCCGAAGCGGACGTCCCAGCAGTCATAAAATACGCATCAACCAACAACCTCCAATTCCTGCTCCAATCGCGCGGCAACGGATGGGCCGACACTTTCAACCTCGGCCCCTGCGGCATCCTCATCAACATCGCCCCCCTCAACACCATCACCTTCAACGCCGACAAAACCCTCGCCACCATCGGCGGCGGCGCGCTCACCCAGGACATGGTCAACGCCGCCTACGGCAACGACACGCGCTTCGCGAACCCGACATGTAACTGTCTCGGCTACCTCGGCGCCTCGCTCGGCGGCGGCTTGACGCGCGCAATGGGCCTCTACGGCATGGGCGTCGACCAGCTCGTTTCCGCGAACCTCGTTCTCGCGAGCGGCGAAAGCGTCGTCGTGTCCGCGACGCAGAACCCGGACCTCTTCTTCGCCGTGCGCGGGGCCGTGGGCAATTTCGGCGTCATCACCTCCGCGGTCGTGAAAGCGTACCCTGTCGCGGGCGGGCAGAATGGGAATGTCGCATGGCAGGGCAGTTTAACGTTCGCGGATAACCAGCTTGAAGGGCTCGTGCAGGCGATTCACGATCTCGATCTGCAGCCGGATATGGAGATTGATTTCCTCTTCTCTGTCTCCCCCGGTGTTGGCGCGGCCGTGACGGCGATCCCGATTTTCTTTGGGGACACGGCGCAGGCGGAGAAGGCTTTTGCGCCCATCTTGGCGCTTAAGCCGGCGGTGGCGAATCAGGCGGCCAGCGTGCCGTATAATCATTGGGCTGATTTCGGGGATACTTTCTGCACGCCTGGGTTGAGGAAGCCTGTGTATGGCTCGTCGCTATCGCGAGCGGGGCTCGATCCGAAGACGTGGAGGGCGGTGTTTGAGGAGTTCAAGACGTTCACGACCACGTATCCTGAGGCGGTTAATAGTAGTGTGTTGGCAGAATACTATCCGGTGCAGAAGGCGGTGCAGCTTGGTGCTGGCGGGCAGGGGGCGCGTACCCGCATCGGGATATCCCGCTGCATATTGTGGTTATTCCGTTGTATGAGGATCAGAAATTGGATGGGGCGGCGCAGGCTTTTGGGGAGAAGGCGAGGGCGTTGTTGAGGGCTACTGATCCGAAGCTGGAGAATGGGACGTGAGTTTTCCCCCTTTCCCCCTTTCCCCCTTTCTTTCTTTGTGAAGTCAGCCTCTTCCAGAGGGAAGGGCCATACTGTCTTATGGAGACTGCGACTAGCCTTGTCTTTACTGCTCGAATATGGCTGTATGGATCATTGAGCTAACGTGCTGGGTGGGCCACAGATACATCAACTTCGCGCACGGCGACGAAACGCTGCAGGAGATCTACGGTGAGAGCCTGCCGAAACTGCAGCAGTTGAAAACGCAGTATGATCCGCACAATCGGTTTAATCAGTATTTCGATATCACCGCTGGTGGGAGTGGGACTCAACATGTTTCGTCGGCAAGGCGGAGGTGGTAGAGAGCGGGAGGTGCGGCGGGGATTGTGCGGGGAGCTGAGGAGAGCTGGGAGCCTGGGAATTCGGTTGGGGAGAGGGGAAAGGTGTTGGTGGGAGTCGGGGGGATGGTTCAAATTAGGGAAAGGGTGGGGAAGGGGTCAAAAGGGTTGGGTATAGAATGGATTATATCGGACTGGATCGGACTGGACGTGGTTGGGTTGGGTTAGAGACTGTACATGATTGACGAGGAGTTGTGGATATACTTGGGAATTCTTCAGTGTATATATTTAGCATCCATCCATACAACTTTACATGAAAGAGATATTGCATACTCAACCCACTCTCAGCCATCGAAATTTCCCCCTTCTCGGCGCAATCTCTTCAGGGATCCCCCCTTCCTCCCTCTGCTCACAAGAACTCCTTCGTAAAACATCCATCAGGATCCCACTCCCTCTTCAACGCCCTTAGCTTCTCTACCGCCTTCGGGTCTTTATATCGCCATTCCACTGGATCATTTCGACTCGTATTCGTATACGCTATGTATGCGTCCTCCCTCGTATCAGCGCGCATTATCTCCTGCGCTCTGTTGTCGAATTGCAGGACTTGAGCGTGATAGCCGGGGTCCGTGTACCATGTTAGGATGTTCCTATAATTTGGTCAGTAGCGAGTAGCGAGAGGGGAATGGCTGATGTGATGATTTTCGTGGACTTAGTATGAGAGTAAGAGTATCGTGATATGGGAGGGAATATAGGGCAGGGGAAGGGGGCTCACAGCCATATCTCCACCCCCTTCATCCCAAACGCCGTTTCTGTCTCCCTCGCCCCCGTTTTCGGGGTAGAGGTATGCCATTCAATTGTGAATACCGATCTCTCGGTCCCCGGTATTGTTTCCAGCAACTCCCTGTGCAGATCCACCAGTCTCGCAAAATTCGCGGGATTTATTCCCACCAGCCCTGTCTGGCTAAACCGTTTGTACTCCCCCTTCGGACACATCCAGCCCAGGTGATCGCTGTGCTCTTCGAAGTTGCTAGGCCCATGTTGGTGATGGAGGGGTTCGAGGTCGATGATGGGTTGGAATGTCTTCTGCAGTTCTGGCCCCGTGCCGAAGTATTGTGGTGCTACCATCAGCACTTGTCCGCCGAAATCGGGATTGTGCATGCTCATGAAATGGCCGGATGAGATGTGCTTGTCAGGATTCTCGCCTGGGGAATCACCGACGATGTTTTTGAGGGTTTGGCAGACTTCGGCTGCGCGCGGGGGCGGGAAGAAGACCACGCCGATTTGGCGGATGCCCGGAGGAGAGGGGTGGATCAGGCTGAGGGGGTAGATTCGGAGGGTTATGGAAGTTGTGATGCCAAAGAATTGGCCGGCGCCTCGGAGGGCCCAGAGAAGAGCGGGGTTTTGGGATGAGCTGCAGGTGGTGAGTGTGCCGGTAGAGGTGACGAGAGTTGCCGAGAGGAGATTCTCGCAGGCGTAGCCAACAATAGGAGAGTAGGAGGATATGCCACCGCCAATGACATACGGGATGACGCCCACTGTGTTGCCATTGGCGATGGCTAACGAGGGTCAGTACGTTATCCTGAGAACTCTTCGCCGGGCAAAGATTCAGGATGAGGAGGGGGAAAGGGCATACCTGTAAATTGACCTTGTTCGCTGAGAGCGATTTGGAGCTCTTTCATCAGGACTCCACCACGCACCGTGACTGTACGCTGGTCTGCATCGACAGACACTTGTTTGTACTTGGATAGGTCAATGATGATGCCATCTTCGACGGTCGACCACTCGCTGTGCCCACCAGATGCGGGCACAAATGGAACGTTTGCGGCACAAGCAACTTTGACCTTATAGAGACAAGCTTGGTGAGTCGTTATCGTTTATACGTGCGTGTACGTCTGAGGTTCCTTACCACGGCAACAACATCATCTTCGCTTAGAGGCTGTACAATCACCGCCGGTGTTTTGCGATCAATATTGGTCCAGCGTACGTGGGCATCAGTAAATTCATTGTCATCTTTTGTCAAGATTGGCGTTCCCTTCGAAACTTTGTCTCGTAGGCTTTCGACCAAGTGCATGCTTGGGGAAACTAGTGTGCAAAGTGTAAACGAATTCAGGAGCAGTCAATACGGGAAATGGAGATTTTAGGAGGGTACGCAGGGGTAGCACAAGTTAGACATTCATGCACAGCCGTGCTATCAGTCTCGGTATGTCTTGATGACTTGGAAAGTATATGCTTGATGCAGGTCTTGTTCTCCAGCCGTGCTCAAACTCAGGGGACTGCCTCAATGCGGATCAGATCCAATGGCGACGATCCACGAGGCTCTGAGGTACAGCCGGCTGGTGGGGCACGTTCCAGACACAGGATACATCACATGCATGGCGGTTCTGGCTGTTGCTGACAGACAGTCAAGCATGGCGTTTGCAGAATGAGGTGAATAGATGTGGAATCTCATTGAAGGCATCAAGATGCGGGCCGTTAATTCGTACAGCGGCAGCTAGATCTAGCCAAGACCTTCGGGTCCGGCCAATCAGGACTCCGATGCCAAGGCCAGCCCCAGACGGGGAAGGCGTAGGCTACAGTAACCTCCCGGTACATGCCATCTACCGAGACTTCTTGTCTTCCTTCGTCGGTCCATATGCTATTTCAGGAAGGAAGGATGAAAAGCTACCAACTTGAAGCTCCCACATTATTCCGAGAAGGTCCTGAGTAAAGAGGCACGGTCCAGCATTGGTGCGGATCAATCAGGATTGGCTAAGAAACCATGCCTTCTTAGAGCTATACCATTCCTCACATAGCCGAAGACCGGCGGCTTTAGCCTCCCTCTGGATTGAACATATGAACACCGACGCAATCAACATCCCGCTCGTCAGTAGCGCCATGCATGTCTTACTCTAGACCTCGTCGTGATTATGGCGCTTCCTGCGGCGCCAAAAGGACCCTAGCCGACCACCACCAATAACGCCTTCCCTACTGACTTCATGCGCCAACCGGTGGACATCTCTTCTGATTGTGAAAGCATATTCACACCCTGCAAACTGATCTCTATAGCCCCAAAGCAGGGTACTCTGGAACCCCCCACTGCCAAAATACTCCTGTCCGCGCCCCAATGATGCAGCTAACAGCCATAGCCGTTATAACGGCAGCCCACTTGAAACGTGGCGGCCATGCAAGTGCTTTGCTTGACTCTATCTCTCAATGCAAATACTTGACCTACTGGAAGAGTCGATCGATTGACCGACTTCCCCGGTTTTTCTATGTCCCGTCTCCCCAATTATGTCGTGAGGAGCTTCTTTCATTCTTCAACCATTGGCCTTTGAAAGCCTCATGAGCCATGGCAGTCTCAGAGAGCGTTTTTTCTCAATATCAAAAGCCTGTGTTGGTTGGTGTTGGCTTAGTCTTGACCATTCTTCCAATTATTGTCGTCGCCCTTCGATTTTGGATACGCCGCCGCTCGCCGGCAGGCTTTGGCTTGGATGACTGGTGTATATTGGTCGCCCTGGTGAGTGCTTGCATACGCATGCAGGCAAGATTAAGCATCTGACAGATTCGCAGGTGCTGTGCACAGGAGGCGGTATAGTGGAAATCCTACGTACGCATCTCATCAAAAGTCATCGCGCATTGTTCAAATGCGGCGAGCGCGACCCACGATTCGAGCTCGTCTGACATGATGTAGTGGCCGAGATCGCTGGAATGGGTCGCCATCAAAGGTTGACTCCTAGTGGGGAGCTGATGCATTATCGGGAACTTACCAACTACGAGAAGGTAGGAATTGCGCATTATTTGCTATGGACTTCGAGGGGACCGGACGACTAAAGCAGAGAACGATCTTGCTAATACGCTCTGGATAGTGCCGATATGCCATCGAACTGCTTACGACGATCAACCTCAGTGTCATCAAAATCTCCATTCTCTTGTTCTACCGTCGACTCTTCACGGTCAGGCCATTCAGGATCGCGAGTAACATCTTCATTGGAGTAGTCGCGGCTTGGGGCATAGCATTCGAATCCGCGATGGCAGCTCAATGCAGTCCAACCCACTTATTCTGGGATCTCTTCGAGATGGAATATGTCGGGCACTGCATCAATGTTCAGATGATGTATCAAGCACTAGCATACTCCGACTTGATTCTCGATATTTTGGTGCTAGCTTTCCCAATTCCAATGATTATATCCCTGAGACTACCTTGGAAAAAGAAGATACAAATATTAGATATCTTCTTACTCGGTGGCGTGTAAGTCTACTATTTCGCACAACTTCAAAATCTAGAGCTAATAAGATATCTAGTGTGCTTGCGTCTGGCATTGGTCGACTTGTCTCTTTCTTGCAAACTGTAGACTACACCAATCATAACCCAGAGAAGTACTTCAAAGACACTCTATGTACGTCCGCAACACAGAAGATGCAAAGCGATTTAGAGCTGACACTCTGTGACTTAGGGTACACGGCAGGGCCTTTATTCTGGCTATTTGCTGAGAATTCAATTGCAATCATCGGCGCCTGCCTACCAACTTTGGCAGCTCTATGGCAGCGAGGCACCCCGAAGTCCTCCAAGGGCTCGAAGGGGAGCTCCTACTACACGAACTCCTGGATAGGACCGAAGCAAAAGGAATATGAAACCATCGACTCACCGTACATTAATGGAGGCAACGTTGAAGATGCATCTATACGTCATCTTGTCGCAATGGGACCGTCAACGAATATACGCGCCGATAGTATTCCGCTCCATGATCGACCTAATCCGCAGGAGGGCATTAAAGTGAACACCACTCTCCAGAAAGATACCAAGAAGTACGCGATATGAGCATCAAGAAGGATTCATGTTACATAATAGACGTGTCGACAACATAATGCGACGGCTCATGCATCATTGAGATACCCATTCTTCCATTTCTTTGCGGCACATCAGAGGTTACTGCATTCGGAATATTTTCTTATTTGAGGACGCTTATATACCTTCCATATGAAGGTGGCTGAAACATAGAGGCACACTTCGCAAATAGAGCAGTACGGAGAAGGTTCAGATTATGATGTCGTCGCCAATAGCCAAGATACACTCGGGCACTCAAAGTCTGTCCAACTGATCGACATAGACCAGAAGGTATCACTAATGCAAGTCTAAATCCCCTCCAATGGGATGCGCACACCTGTTAACCGAGTTTTTACTACGAGAGAAGCTGCAGTCTACATGGGTCTTTGGAGAGCATGGTCCAGCAAACCACCTTCTGACAGCACGCTCGGTGCATTGATCGGAAGATTGAGCGGAGGTCCTTCGCTTGTACCTTCGTACTATCAAGCTGGCGGAGAGCTATGCCTTGCTAGCACTTCCCGAAATCCCATCACATTGTCTTCGAAACTCGATTGTTGTTACATCTCAGCAGAGGGCAACAAGGTGTAGATGGACCTTTGCAGCACCACTCGACTTTGACACCAAGATGCTCCGCTCCTCACGTTTCATCAAAGCCTTGCCCGGAATCCGCCCATCAACCAGTCCGCACCACACATTTCATGCATATTCATCCCGTCCAACCACCTCTCACTCGGTTCGAAACCCTCACGTCACCCCAATAACCAAACCCTCTTCCCCTCACCGAACTCTATCCACCACACCATCCCTCCTCACAACCCAGCAAGACAACTCCGAAGATTTCTGGGCCGTCCCCGCCACCGACACCACCTTCTGGAACGCCTACGTCTCCACCCGCCCGAACTACTCCCCAGAATTCTACCGCATCATCTACGACCACCACGCAGCCCGTACGCCCTTTCCCCACCGCGTCAACGACGACAACAACCCAAGATGGGCCCTCGCCCACGACGTCGGCTGCGGCGCCGGCCAAGTCGCCGCCGAGCTATCCACGAAATTCTCCCATGTCGTCGCTAGCGATAACGCCGCCGCACACCTCGACGTCGCCAAGTCGCGCCTCACATCCCAAGGCCTGAACGAACCCCAGGTCTCCTATCTACACTCCAAAGGCGAAGATCTAGCGCTGCACCACCCAGGGCGGAGGGCCGACCTCATCGCCGCCGCGGAGGCTATCGTGCTCATGGACATGCACGCCGGGTTGGACTCCTTCGCGCGCGTGCTGAAGCCCGGGGGCACGCTGGCGTGTTGGTTCTACGGTGGTCCGACATTCACCTCCTCCTCGCCATCTTCCCATGGCGACGCCAACATCAAGCCCCTCGATCGCGCAAAGTGTCAGCATTTGCTCAACAAGATTATGGTCACCTCCTGGCGCAAAGTCATCCGCAATTCACCCCCAAACGCATGGCGGGCTTCAAGCGCTGCGCGGATCAGATGGCCTCTTGGCTCGATTATCTCGATTTCGACCCCGGTGTCTGGGTGAAAGTGGAGAGGTATAAATGGAATACGAGGAATGGCACGCTTGCGTTCTTTGGGGAGGAAGCTTGCGGGTTCCCCGTTCGTCCTGAAAGGAGGGTCAGGGAGGGGGAGCAAGTGACGGAGAAAGAGGTCGATGAGGACTGGTGGCGCAATGAGTGGGATATTGAGGGTTTGAAGAGGTATTTTGAGGTTTTGTTTCCGGGGTTCAGGAAGGTTGTTGATGCTGAAGCGGCGGAGGAGGTGGAAAGGTGTTTCGGGATGTTGGAGGAGGAGATGGGGGGACAGGGGGTGAGGAGGGGGTTTACGTGGCCGGTCAGTCTGGTTGTTGCTGGACGGAAGTAGTGGTGTAAGGAGGGAATGGTGTTGTGGGGAGCTGATCGATGGGTATATAGATGGAAATTTGCCTGCCTGCCTAATTGCCTGCTTGCCTGCTTGCATGCTTGCTTTCCAGTTTGGTTATCTGCTAGCTGTTTACCTGCCAAAAAATGACTATATTAAGCATATGTCAAGCCAGATATTTTCCAAAGTCAAAATCAATTCGGCTCACCCGGCGCCATGTTGGCTGATATGGCTGGCTCGCCGTAGCCAAATCCATTATTTCACTACATTTTACTCGAAAGTATTTGACATGTACCAATTAAGATGAACCCGTTGACGAATTTAGTGCCAATTGCCAGAACGAGAGTAAAGCGAGTAGGGCAAAAAATATTTAGAAGGAGCCAAAGGATCCCAGACAAGCCAAAGTGTTGAATTCAATCGACCATCCTCCTCGAAGGACTCCGACTTTCACGGTACAACAAGGCTATGCCATCGACAGATCTGGCGTCTGCACTAAAAGACTAATCATCCCAAGGCAATTTCAAGAGCTCGGACGACGATAACGCCGCTAAATGATCCCACAAAAGCCATGACAACAAACGTGACCCATCCTGTTCAACACACCGCTCGCCATTCCCACATTAACAGAATCCCCTAACCACCTACAGAGGCTTCCTCGCAGTAACGACCTGGTACATCTTCACAATAGCAGCTCCCTGCTGCGTCTCCTTGTGACACCCCTTCGCCAACGCTTTCAAAGCCTCGCTGGGGCCCAATGGACCATTAGCATCGGCCACATTCGCTGCCAGGCTCTCTGTCGCGACGGTGTCGGCTTCCATCCACATCTTGCGGTAGCAGGGTGGTGGTTTGTGGTACGATACCGTTGGTTTGTCGAAGCCGCTTTGGGTTAGGGTGGTGGGGAGTTGGGGGACCCATCTGCATATGTTTTAGCCTTTTCCTTGGGTGCGGATAATGGCATTAGTAGCGGTGGTTTGAGAGGGGGAAAGGGGAGGCGGGGACATACTTCTGCGAGGAGTGGGTTTTGGCATTGTCGACCATACGTTGCAGACTCTCGGTAGACACATCTGGCTTGGATTTTACGATCTCCAGATCTGAGAGGTTGAGTTCGTCCCATTGTAAGTGACCGCCCGGCTCTATTTGGCAACATCAGTAGGCTGTTTTGGGCAAGTATGGGATTACGTCGCTTACTCAGCAGCTTCATGCAGTGGTCAATTACCGGAATTGGGTCTTCCTCAATTACCATCACGAAGAGACGGATGTGCACGATGTCGTATTGGCCCCACAGTTCCTTTGGCGGCGGTTCGAACGCATTGAGGGCGCGGAATGAGACATTGTCTGGTAGCCAGCTCTGATCTGAGAAGCCAGCCGAGGAGACATCAAAGCCATGGAGTTGATATGAAGAAGGTAATTCTTCGGCAAGCTCTAACAACCAGACGCTGGTTGATTTCAGAAAGACATTATTTCAGGGCTGTGATGAAAACGATGTTCCCCTGCTTACCCAGTGCCGGTGCCGATGTCGGCAATCTTGAGTTCTGATGATCCTGAATCTAAGGGTATTGATGGATGCAGCAGATAGCCTGTGGTTTTCCGCATAAGATAGTGCTGAAATCCGAGTCTAGACACAGTCAATCGTGGTTCGTACTTTCAAAGAGGATGCTGCCTTGTACCTGACGGCTTCTACGTGGCCCCGCCCAAAGACGTATTCATTTGCGGTCATCTTGAGTCTCGATAGTAATCAATGGTGTTCGAAAAGTACAGAGCATGTATATTTGGAGAATGAATTTGGAGTCTATTCGACAATTTGTTCGTCGATGTAAGCGTGCTGCCTGGTCACTCCTGCGGCTAGTATTTGAACGGCCAATCAGCCATTTCCATTCTTGAGGTTTAGCGCTGACTCGAAAGCTGCATATGTTCCTTCCCGCAACAGCACGATGGTAATTGCACCACAGCAGTGCTGTGAAGATGCCTCTCTCGATGTCGGAGACAAGATCTGGAATTGAGTTGGGTGGTGAATGAAGACGTCAACATACAATTTATTTACACATCAGACAGCGGGCGCTTGTATCCCGGCTGGAAGACTCGTTCTAGCTTTTGATATTCTTTCGAGGAATCATCGCATTATAGGCGATTTTGAGGTGTTTCGGAGTGAGACAATCAAGTGAGAGATGAGCGATGTATTTATTCTCCAACATTCACCAAAGTAATCTATAGGGGTATCACAAAATAATGAGGAGAGAACGCTTTGGGCCTACCAAAACCTATTGCTCAAGGGGAGGTCACACGCGAACAGGGCTATGTCAGAAGTATGTCATAGCCATCTTCTTCAATTTTCACGGCCTCAGACGCAAAGCCATATCTCTTCCTGACCAGTTCAAAGATGATGAGACCAGCTGCCGTGCTTGGGACTTGCTTGATGGTATTCCACCAAAAGCCCCTGAAAAGCCACTTTCTCCAACTACCAGCCTTTCTGACCCGCGGTGCACAAATTTCAAAAGTCTTCTGATACCGTCTAATATGCGATTGCACCATCTCGTGGCTGTGCTTCGACATCTTGGCTTCTCGATCTACGGCCTCTATTGAGCGATAGTAGACATCCTGAACGCGTCCAAGAGGATGCGAGACCGTCTGCTGAGCGACAGCGGCGGTAATGCCAGCAAAGGCTAGAAATGTAGGCTCTATGGCATAGTGTGGTTTGATAAGATCGACGGGTCCCGACTCATCGAGTTTAGGCTTTAGTATAGGGGAGAATAAGTCACCTCGTAGGTCGCCATAATACATTGCGATGAATCTATAGTAGGCTTGAGCCTTAACAAATTCGAAAGTCGTGAAGAAGAGCCCAGTACCCAGCGAATCTTTGATGCAATTGAGACCCCAGCCAGCAAACACGCCTCGCATACCAATTTCTCTTGTTTTTTGAGCCCCATATTCCCACATGTTTCTATAACGGTTGTTCAATATGTCTGATGTACGGAAGCGAACGGAGAGGGCGTCCAGTGGAGCTGCGATGACGGACTGTATAGCTCCAGCCGCAGCTCCAGCTCGGAAAGTGGCGGAAAGTGGAGGCGGCGGATAAACTCTCTTCAGGGATTGTGAAGAAGGTGGATGTAATGTACCAAGGATTTGCAGGTATGATGTGTATAGAATGGCACCGACGCTGATGTTGGCCAGCATAGGGGGCAAGACATGATTCGGTATGAACCCCCAGCCATAAGTCTTTACAGCGTGTGCGAGTAAGGCAGGTGTACTCATGCGGAGGGACCAGCTTTCTTGGGCTTGCACGCGGGGGTTGATTGCTCTAGCAAAGGCCTATGACTGCCGTTAGTGCTGGCAAGTGAACGTTCGAGAACAGCATACCAGGTAGCTACATCCTCGTGAGCTTTTCGCGTAAAGAACGTGTGCGCATCTTGCTTACTCGACTCGCGTCCTGAAGAAGGCTTTTACAGGAGCTCGAAAGTAGAAGGCAACGGCTTGTGAGCCAATTGCCCGTGCGCCCGCAGCGGAGGCTCCTGTAGCTGCATTGTTCTTGGGATTCCTTCGTGAATTTAGGTCTTGGACTGATGGCATGGTTACGGGATCTTGAACAATTTCCACCATCCTCTGAGCAAAGACAGAGCGGCTCTGTTACCGCGCATCGATGTCGAGTTGAGACTCTAGTCACCTCCGTGGCGACCTAGAGCTGAGGTACATCGAGTGAGAGACCGCGAGAATCAATCACAGGTCTTATGAGCCAGGTGATAGCAGCTTCGGCCTTCGATATCATTCTCGTGAGTCTCGTGCCGGTGTGCGGGTGATTTCTTTCCGTGGTGAAGCCGAACAGGTTTTAGCGCCGTTGTTGAAGAGCAAATCTCCACACTTACTCCCCGGCGTTGCCATGATGTAAACAAGATCTTAGTCTATTCGTCTGATATTCGATCATTTAAAGAGACTACATCAGCAGAGGCTCCACATGTAAGAGATGTATCGTGGACCACGTCGTCGAGAGACAATACGCGAAGATGCAACGAAGGCGGATCAGACCGTTCGATTAGAAGTCGATTTTAATGAGCCCAGCTCACGCTCTTGGGACGTAGAGAAGGGCCGTAACGAAGTTTCGCATGCTCAGCAAGAGAAAACATCGAAAAACAACCAGACTAGAGGTCCACGTAGTTTTGTCACGTCGTTCTTTTCGACTCGCCAACTCTCGAGGCAGTCAAGCCAGGAGGTGGTGAGATTAATATCGAAAACGAATTCCGGTGCAGGGCTTGCACCAAACCATGCGTGGCTGTTCGTTCCAGCATTGATTCCATAATTCAAGCTAATCGAATTGTGAAGGCACCTGGAGGATGACTCGATCACCATGTCTGACTTTACGGTAGGTAGGCTGATGGATTTTCAGCACCTGAGTTGGCTGACGAGCGCAGAATGAAGCCCTTGGAATGATTGCAGATCCTGAGTACCGTAGTTTAGTAGGCCAGTTACTCAGACGAGTACAAAAAACAAGCGAGAAGAGCTTTGCGCACGGACGGTTCTTGAAGCCAACGACAGCTGTAAGCAATGCGAGGGATCGGTCGAAGCGTGTTACCTTCTTTTCGTTGCCGTACTTCTCAGTAGAGCCTCAGCGAACATACAATTTTGACAAGCACTTTCCCGGTCACCCCGTACGCTCGTTAATGCAATCTATGTATCGGCTTGAATCAACAAGGCAGCGCGACTCAACGCAGATCATTTCACAAAAAGAGTACAACCGCATGGCTGTCCATGTGCCTGATCTATGGGCTCTCATGATTGGAAAACGTGAGTGATTTCTTCCCTTGTTGCTGACGAACCACTGTGGAGCTGAGCAAATTATATTGGTCTGCAGGCATTCTAATAACTCGAAGTCCGACCAATTTGAAGGCACTTCAAGGGCAGACCATAGCTATTCAATCGTTTTCAAAATCATTCAAAGATCAACACGACACTGCTGTGCAACTCACAGATTTGAGCAACAACATGTACTATATACCAAGCGATCTTTGCCAATCGTATTACGTAAGTTAGATGAATCCTTGGAATTGTGGCATTATCTGAGTCAAGGTCAGGAATTCGTCAGCCACGTCGTCACTCGATGTCTTCGAATAGGTGGATTTCCTCAGGAGGAGAGAAATTATCGATCAAGTCCGTCCCTTTGGTTCTACGACGAGTCTGATAATATTATCGAAGAGCAGTCATGGGCAACTTTCTTGAAGGGCCAATCTGATAATGCCCTGTTGAGGCTTCGACTGGGCGCAAGGTCAAACTCGAAAGATGGTGTCAAACACAAAAGGAACTCGCAGGCTGATCAAAATGCTGAGATACCATCAGAAAGTGACCTAAGTTCAGATCAGTCCTCACGAGCGGGGCGGTCATCTTCGGGCTATTCCTCTCCCAGAAGTCGACACAGAGACGAGACGGATGGCTTGGCGGACGTAAAAACCGAGCTGAGCGACTTGTACGACTCGTTAGAAGACGCGAAAACTGTTGATGACTATGAAACTATTTATGCTGTAGAGTCTCGTCAGCTACCTAAAGCTGAAGCCGGATATTTAGCCGTTCTGGATCGAATCTATGAAAACAACGTCGAAGTACCAGCTGATACCACCTCGAAAGCGACTCGGCGTGCAAGTATTGGAAATCCTTCTACAATTTTTGACAAAGCGCGACGTCTGAATAAGAATTTGCAACGGAAAACAGCATTGGAATTGGAGATGGAGAATCGTTTCATGGATGTCACCAGCCTCTCCAAGGGTCTCAGTGCCTGGAGCAGCATGACTGCAGTCAACATACAGAAAGATAGTTTGACCAACAGCACTTCGAATTCATCTTCAGAAGAAAAGGAAGGATTAGTGGACGAGAGCATATGGAAGGAGCACGGGAGACGCAACAGAAGAGCACGAGGTCCTCACGCTCAGTACATTCCGTCAAAGGAAGCCGTCAAACTCAAAGTACAGCAGATTACCCCTCAGACATTTTCAGTCCAGGAATATAGTTTGGTAGAGAATGGAGATATCCTTGTAAAGGCAGGAGCATCATCGATCAGGGTAAAGAAACGATTGAATGAAATTCTAGCGAAAGCAGCCCGACTTCTTGAGAGAGATAGCCGGGGTACGCCTTTTTTCGGCTGGCCTGTAGGCTTGGAAGTTCGCGTCGGTACAGAGGACGAAACAGTGAGTTTTGATATCAGAGATAGCGCCAGCATTATTCGCATTATTGACAACTAGACGCAGGATCGTCAGTCTCCACCTAGTCTTGACACTCAAGTAGCCACACAAAGAAATATGATGACTATAGTGTTGGACGACATCGACCGCCTCTGCCGGCTTGATGAGAAGCGAAATTGGACATCCGACCTCGCAAGCAAGATTCTATACAAGCGCGCACCGACGAAGACTTTATCCGACATCGAGGTTCGGCTCGAAATGCTGAGAACACATTTGCCAGAGTCAGAAACGCTCTCGAACTTCAGAAAAATGCTGTTTTCATTAAGTAAGAAAATTTTGAGCTTTTTCGTCTTTCAGGATATAGATGATCCGGTGGTTGGTAGGTATTGGGGTGCAATCCATGTTTTGCTCGACAATGTGAAGGTCTGATCATATTCCCTCAATCAAAAAATAGCCCTGACCTGAGACAGGATGAGGATCAGATGGGTGAACTCATTGAAAAGATGCTGAAAATAATGAAAGCACTACAAGAGCTCCAGGAAGGATCTCTGAACCCCGACAGACTGCTCCCAAAAGCGTATCGCATTCCTCGCACCTTACCAAAAGTCTTTAGGGATCTCACTTTGTTTTTAATATTTTACAGCGCATCAATTGCTCGCGTGGCGTCGCCTGATACGCATAACCAGGTAGTGCAAGTGGAATCCGATAAACCGTCATTGTTTGCGCAAGCTCAAGTTTTCGTGACCTATAGAAGATGCCGTGATTCTATTCAGCAGTCGAAAGCCGAAATCGTAGTGATCCTCAGCGAGAACAAGGCTGCTCTCAGAAGAGGGAATTACGATTTAGTGTCAGGGGAAGACATCGCAGTTTTAGCCATTTCAGCCTTGCAAAATCAGCTGATTACAGAACAAGGCGACTTTTACCTTACAGATCTCTACGCCGAATACGCAACTAGAATGGTAAGGAATAAAATGACTTCAAGGGAAAGGCTAACCTTTGAAAAGCAATATGTCGCGGGCAAGAAGGCCAGCGTACGAAGATACGATGATATCAATAGATTTCGAGAAGAAATTGAAGCCATCAGGGCTGTTCTAGCCCAGCAGTACGACAAATTGGGCGACCTTTTAAATTTATTTCACAAACAGCCCGCAAGGATCGCCACTGCACTGAAAGACAACAAAGAGCAACGCGACTCAAGGATAGACACCATTCGCCACAACATGACAGACAAATTGAGAAACCAGATTCAGCAGCGTTTGGAAAATTTCGACGACCTTTTGGAGCAAGTCGACAGAATTCAAACTCTGGTAAGACCCTACAAGATCCATTTCTCAGGATCTATATTGCACATGCTACCTTGCCCTCAATCTTTACGCTACGATGATCTTATTGGCGCAAATGTAACTGATGGCATTACAGGCAGCACAATCGATATCCCTAAAAGTCGAGTCAAACAACCGGGCTGTCCTCATTTTTACCCTAGTGACGATCATATTCCTTCCTTTGTCATTCGTCACGAGTTATCTGGGCATGAACACCTCAGATATTCGTGACATCAATCGGAACCAGGGCCTCTTCTGGATTATAGGAGCTCCGCTGGCCGTTGTTGTCGTTCTGGCCACAACCGCAATTGGATATTACGAACGCATAAGTCAGCATGTCGCCAAGATCGTCGCCCTCCTGTGCTGCGTGACGCCAGCAAGTCTGTGAAGGGGCTTTCTGATAGCGGAGACTGCGGGCTGCATTCTCTTCTATCAACCCTTGCAGCTTCTTACAACAGTAAACCCTGGCGAGGCCAACTGCACCTGTACTTAGTGACGCCGACATAGCAAAGGACCCCGGCAATGCTTGCGGCACTCGTGCTGCGCTTAAAATCCTGACGACTCAGATGCTTAAGCCTTGTCGCAGATTGTTTCGGCAATATCTATATGTGGGGTACGAAGTCAATGCATGATTCAAATCTTCGAACAGAAGTCGGAGCATCGCCACACGTAAGCTAAATAAATATAGCATGTCATGGTGGGGGAATAAGAGGAATGTGCCATAATGACGACGTCTGTAGCACGTCAAAACTAGGTCGATATAAGTATCTGCACTTTCTCCAGGTTTCCTCTATCATTTGTCATAGCTGTGTCATGCCATTTCTCGATCGATCATTTTTTCGTGCCAGTAGAAAGATTTGTGTTTGATCCCGGGAAGACTTCACTCATTTTGGCTTGTCAGCACAATCATGCGCAAAAAACTAGTCATATTTTCAAGCTTACTAGCTGTGATCTCGTGCACTGCTCTTCCACAGACCCTCGCAGCAACAGGTACCACTGCTGTAAAGAGCATTCATGTTTTAGGCGAGAGACAAAACCAAGCTACCGACTCCAGCCTTTTCGCAGAGACCAATGAGACTGCACAAGCTAGCAATGACCTTACCTTTCAACAGAACGTCGCCCGTGGTATTGTTCGCACCCGCGCAAAGTACCCTGCCGCTGAGCTAGTTGAAGTCACTGTGCAGCCTCGCGCCCTCTCTCCCGCCGCCTCCGCCCAATCTCTCAAGATTGGACTCACTCTTCTCTTGTACAATCCAGCTAAAGAAGAATTCATCGAAGAAAAAGCGACCACCGATAACGCCAAGTGGGGCGAGTGGCAGGACCCGGAGGTGCGGCGGGAGGCCTCCATCGGGCTCCTGAGTTACGATTGGAATATTCTGAATTTCGACTTGATTGAGGCGGCGGATCGGTGCAAGAGGGCTGGGTACAGGGGAGCATGGGAGCACGTCACGGTGTCGAAGCGCGTCAATACGCTCGACGTGGTGTACACGTTCTGGCAGGCACGGACAGATATAAACTTGAAAGCTGTGCTGGTGGATGCGATGACGGGGGAAGTCGCACCGTATTATGCGAGGTCGGACGTGGCTAGTGCATGAACGAGAGATACCATTATTTGAGGCAGAAAAGCCGTTAGACAGAGCAAATAAAGACCTTCTCTGGTGACTCGTACCTTGAACTTCTGACCCTGTTACAGGGATTGTTGTATTCGCTGGCCGTGGCGTGAAGTGCTTGGGCTAATTAGCTGCCTAAAGGGTGCATCGCACAGTCTGCGTAGAATTATGAGTGTCCAACTTGATTTGTATGTAGAATCTCATCGAATCTCATCGAAGAAGCGGCGCAATGTCTCCATAATTGGGGCAATTGAAGGAAGGAAGGAGCGTCCGTACGCCCCTGAATTGTAAAAAACTCTGCTAGTTTCCACCCCGAGCTGTAATTAACAAGAACAGGTTAGCGTTGCGGAGTTCCGTACATGCGGGTGGTGGAGCCCCTGAAAGGCTGCCTAGAAGGCGTCCCCTAGCGCTGAAAATTTCTGCGTCAGCGGGCGAAAATACACGTTTTTTACGCCACTAGTACTTTCAATGGAACATGGGACTACATCCCGTCCCCACAATCCACAATCAGCCTCTCATTTTCGACTTCGCGTACTCGTTCTGCCACCTGTGACACTTTTTGAGTGGATTCAGGGCTGTAAAGCTAATACAAAGATTGATTGACGGCTAGAATTCCCTTTGCTCTGGCCAAAGCAGCTATTATTTAGTATAGAAGTTGTCTCTCAAACCGATCTTGCTTGATTCTAATGTTAAAGGTGGTTGCATTAGCTAGTTCTAGTCTTGAAGCAGACAGTTTTAGCCAATTACAATATAGAAAAAGACTTTTTTTATTAGTTCCGCTGTTTGAGCAGGCTTGTTTAACTATTCCTAATATTGAAAAAAGCTTGTTGAACCAATCCCAATGAGAAAGAAGGCTTGTTTAGCCAGTCCCGATCTTAAAGTAGGCTTATTTAGTCAGTGCCAATGTTAAAGAAGGCATGATTAGCCAGTCCCACTGTTAAAGAAGGCTTGTAGAGATGTGGGCCAGGTGGATCTCGGGTGGGTCTGAGAATGATTCGTCTCAATTGAGGCAAGCTCTAGAAATTTCGAAATTTTCGCCTGCCTGACATGTCTTGGCATGCCTATATATTCTGCCTCCCTCTCTCTCTCTTTCTTGCTCTGTAGTCAGTCATAGTTATCGTTTCAACTGGCAAAAACACGGTCTAAGAATTCCTCATAACACACAATGCTGACTTTTGGAATAGTAATCAACAGTAATCAAACCAATTCCAACCAATTAATTCACTACTAAAGCCAACTGCCACCAAAGACACCACTCCGCCAAACCCCAAACCCCCAGGTACGACGTCGTCCCCTGCCTCGGGCTCTTCCTCTCGCCCTCCTCACCAACCACCATTCCCACAATGGGTTTTTTCGCCCGCCTCCTCTGCTGTGGCAAGGGCGACCAACAGGACGACTTACCCCGTCCTGTCCGGGTCGCCGACCGACCGAGGGTAGCCTCGTCGGTCAACGCGGGTCTCGCCCCGCTATGGACGGTCGCGCCCCCGCCTCCCCGCAAGACCTCGTCCGTTTACGAGGGCGAAAGCCCACAAGACATCCCCTCGGTCCGCCTCTCCACCAACGACCTCCGAGCCGTGCCGGGCTGGAACCAATCCGGCACCGTGGAGAGAATCCGTGCCGGTCCGTTCGCCGTGGCTCCGCCTGCCTCGTCAAAGCCGCCCAAGGGGCGTAAAACAGTCAGATTCGAGCCACCAGCACCACTCTCGCTCAGCGAGCAGTACGCGGACTTCCGGCGTCGACAAGACGTCTAAGCGGTGCCGCGGGCACTCCTCCTCGCGCCCTACACTCAAGAGAGGGCTCTCCAGCATGTCACAGCTGGAGAGTCGGGCTTCTCTCCGGCAACGAACCAGCGCAACGACCAGACTTATTTTTACCACCACTATTTTTATCCATATTTTTACGACAAGAGCTGCGGCGCCAGGCAGCCTCTCATCGCGCCCTCAGTCAAGAGACGGCCTCTGGCATGTCACAGCCAGAGGTCGGGCTTCCTCCCCCGACAATCGCCGTGGAGCCGGACGGCAAACATCGACAAGAGCTGCGGCGCTAGGCAGCACCTCTTCGCGCCCTCAGTCAAGAGACGGCCTCTGGCATATCACAGCCAGAGGTCGGGCTTCCTCCCCGACAATCGCCATAGAGCCGGATGGCAACACCGACAAGAGCTGCGGCGCCGGGCAGCCCCTCTTCGCGCCCTCAGTCAAGAGACGGCCCCTGGCTGGTCATAGCCGGGGGTCGGGCTTCTCTCTCATACCAAACGACGACGAGACGAGATTAGAAGTGAATGATCGGGCTATTGCAGCCAATCTTATTTTTTTACGGCATCATTACCACCAACATCGGTTACCAAAAGTGATTTTCGCGACAGCATCAAATTTTTACGACATTTTTACCACCAGCATCAGTTACCAAAAGTGAATTTTACGCGGCCGACGGCGCTGGTGTGACCGGCGCACCTGGCTCCTCTCCTGCGGATCGCAGGCTGAAACGACTTCTCCTTCGGGATCGACGGACGTGGACGCCTCTTCGGAGGATAGAAGGAACTGGGGGTGCCTCCATCAGAGGCCAGGGAAGGGAGGGAGGGGGGCTGCAGCCAATAGGTAGCTAGCTAGCTACCGAATTAAATGGGGCGCCATCACATCTAATGTACTTTTCGCCCGCTCTCTACAATTCAGATCCGAGTCTTTCCCCATCTCCTGCAGCTTCTCAACGAACCCCATCTCCTTCAGACGCCTCGCTCGGTCTCTGCACCCAACGCTGTCAGCCGAATCATTATCCCACGACAGGTTGTACGGAACCCAACTACACGAGACTCGAATCTCTGGATCTGGATGGCTCAACAAAGGAGGCAACGATTCTAACAATTTTGTCTGATGGATGAAAAGGTTCTTGTGTCTCGGACCGCCGGCAGCGATGTGCACGAGACAGTAGACAGCTGAAGTGAGGATATCCGAATGTGGTGAAGTCGACCTGATACGGCTGCTATCGAGAGATCTCCTATCACCACCAAAGGCATTGAGAGCTCTGGGCTTTATTTTGGACGCAATTATACGAAAGAATTCGTCCTGGCCAATTTGCTGGAAGACAAAGTCGATCATCCCCTCAATATCATTACCAAGCATGAGGTTGCGGACAAATTCAAGGGCCTGCTTTACTATACCAGCTTCATCAGGGACATCGGGGAGGAGTTCCAAGGGCTGTGAAAGGCTTAGTGGTGGCCCATTCCTTGTGACAGTGGCGCGTGGCCTCAGATTTAGATCATTCTTGCTCAGAGAGCCAATACTATCAGACATTCTTGTGTCTTCTTCTACATCGTCTTCTGGTGCTTGACTAGACTCTCTAGAATCTTCTACCGCGTTCAACAAATCGACTTGCTCGCCAGCGGCGTTTGGAGTGCTCATCCGAATGGGCGTTAGATTACCGTCATCTCGATCGCCAGTGCGGAAAAAACTTGGTGTGCTTGGCACTTCCGGGTCAGAATTGATGATTTGTCTCAACCAACCAATGCCCAGGCCTTCGGCGCATTCCTTTTTCAACTTCGAGCTAGCATTGACGACAAGGTGTTTAAGTGCCCAAAGAGAATTGAGTCGGAGACTTGGATCGTTCATATGCGCATGTTCGCAGAGGATTCCGAGGATTCCATTGTCAAGGACGGCCTGATCAGATTGTCAGCACATTGGCATAAGACACTTCACTAAGATCGAATTCTTACCTCCCGCATCGGACTAAATTCAAGCACGAGGTTACATATGACAGCTGTTGCCGCAATCTTGAGTTCGATGTCTCGACATTTTAATAAAACGAAAAGCGGAGCCGCCAGCCCTGCATCCATGAGATTTGTCCTCAGAGTCGAAACGGACCTCGAAAGCGCTCTCGCTGCCCCACATGCTGCAAGAACAGTGTCTTTACAATTTGAGAGTCTAATCCTCTGCTCAATGTCCTGGTCCTCGGGAACAATCGAACTATTTGAAGCGCCAAATCTGACATCTTCAGCTTTGAGAGTACGAACGATGAATGAGATAACCCCCGCATCTATTGTCGCTCTTCGGTACTCGTCCTTGTCAGAAGCGAGCGCGGCCATAGCAATGAGAGCTGTTTCTCTGACTTTCATCGTATGCCGCACTTGAGGTGATACGCCAACTGGGCCGACTTTCGACGCACCATCCGCATCCTGGTTTACATTTGAAGTTGAAGGCTCAGAGGACCACATAGGCGAGGAAGGAAACGTGTGCAGTGGGTCGTATGATCTCTTTAGAAGTTGCGACAGCACTAGGATTGCCCCCGCGTCAACCGCAGCCTTTTGAGTTCTCGAATTGTTGATAGTTAGCATAGCTAATACAGCCGGACTTTCCTCTCTCATGAATTCGTCCAATGAAGCGTCAATACCCGTATCAGAAGGCAAACTTCCCGCCTCAGCTTTTTCTAGGAGACGCACTAATGGTGGAATGATAAGCAAAGCAATGGAGACCTCTCTGGCATCCTTGACTAAACCTAAGCGGTAAAGAACGGCCAACATCCAAGCCGCCATGAGGCCAGTGACGACGTCCGTCCCTCGTGCAATGTGGATGAGCCAAGCTATGAAGGTACTTTCTTCATCTGCTATTCGTTCAAGACCACTACTCGTGAAAATCTCGATCGCCGAACTGAGACTTCTACTGCCTTTTACGTCCATGGCTTTGATTGGATCCAAAGGAGGGAGATCTCTGGAAGTAGCGAGACGTCGGGGCTGTGAACCAGGCATAGCTGGCGCTAGGCACTCTGCACTTGTTGGCGCAGGAGGAATTCTACCCTTCATACTCGTTGGGACATTGGCGGTCAAGTTCTCCCAAGCACGCCTAAGCTGATTGTCCGCGTTTCGGAATATCCCATCAAACATTCTCAACAGCTTCTCGGCGCGATACTTCGAGTGGTGGATTATGACGCCGGTGGCATGTAGCAAAGACGAAAGCCCGCCGTGGCTGGACGACATCGATGCCTCAGACGAAATGCGCCATTCCCATCTGAGTCTTTTCCCGTCATCCCAAACAGGAAATGAGGGAGGAATCCACGCGACAAGCTGCCTTGCAAAAGCATCAAGGACTCCACTCTCTGCCGCCAGCTTCCGTTGATATTCTGCTTGACATGTCTTCGAGATGAGCGTGGCAATTAGAGCAATGCGTTCATTGTGAGGAATTGTTCCGGGGGAAACACTACTGTTCACTTCTTCCAAGAGATGTGAGATGTTACGAATGTTCTCTTGGGTGTAAAATGATCTTGCGAAAAGGGTATCTGTGTTCCGCTCAGGGGTGGATAAGGATAATGCATCGGCAATGCTGTTCAGTGTTCGCAATATTTGCACGATGGTTTGAGATGATATATCGGCTGAAGATAGCAATGAGAGCAGGGAAGGTATCGCATGACTTGCATGCAGTGAAGGAATGAATGCTGGGCCACCTGTACACTATTAGACAGGGTTTCCTTTTTCATATTTTCAAATGCAGTATTGAACCGACCATGAGCCAGACTGCCGACGACTATGATTGCTTGTAATCTAGCATTCTCTTCCTCGCTTCTATTTATCTTCCGTCGTGCCCCCTCCTCCGCAGCATTTGATTTCGCGGCCCTTGTCATTCCCTCTCCCTTGTACGAATTGAGTATGTGGACCAGAGATGGCAGGACTCCATGTTCAACACAGAGCTGCTTCATCTGCTCGTGGCCAATGACATCATTTTTCAAATTCCGGAGCGCTTTGACCTGACCGGCGGGAGAATGGGCGCTGTACAGCTCGGACAATATTGGAGGGGTGTTTGGTCGGGTCATGATGCACCGCTTGTCTTTGCCTCACGAGACACTGCGACATATGCTGAGGCAATCGGGAATCATAGCGAGCGTGTGAGGCTTTGGCTGCAGCGGCTAAGGCATCAAACTCGGAGATCCAAATGTATAGAGAAGCTGGTTCCGATACGGCAACATGCAGTGGCCCAAATACCCTGAGCTATTCCCTTTGTGAGCACGAATCCATGTACTTTACATAACACGCAGCGGCTCTTCGACCAAAATGGGAGATGAGATGAGATGAATGCAAGTGTGTCGGATCAGCGCTTAGTATACAACATGTCAACACCCAACGGTCCGCAAAACGTTCCTTCCCATATTGCCTCTACCGTTTTGGGACTAGCGCAACCTGGGGTAATTGGCGTCTGTGGATGTTCGAATTTGTCACCTGCTACCGCAATCCTGGAAGTTGCATTCTCGCCGTACATATTTCCATCAGTACCTAAAGCAAAGCGCCTAATTCCTATTTCTTTATGGTTATCTACGGCTGCAAGTGTTCTTTGTTCAGTCACAGTGGTATTTGTCACCCGTACCGGCGTTTGGGTTGGCTTCTATGGACAGAGGATGACGCAGAATCGTCATTGATATTCTCGATGTTTATGGAGTTCATCTGAACGTCAACACGTGCTGGATGTGGGAGAAGTGGTTGGTCGATAAGAATGTGAGTCTCGAAGATAGAAGCGAGCGCCTATGTCACATCAGAGCAGGTACCCGACGCCATGGTCTGCCTGCGGCTCTGCTGAAAAAGCTTGCTCTCCCATAGGTGAAACACCTGTTACTCCATTCTCGCTGCTTCCAAATTTGCCACACCACACCTCCCTGGATATGGCCGTTTGATCATCGTCGGGCCGTGCTAGCGGCAGTCGGCAGTCGGAATGCACCAGCACGAAGCTTTTGTGGGGAAGCGAAACCTGGGGAAAGAACGAAAATAACATTTGTTGCAAGAGACAGTACCAGCGATCAGGAAGGCAATGCGAGGACAACATGTCATAGAAGGAAGGGTCTGTTCGCCATCCATATAAGATCATTCTGTTGGACACGCGTTTTCTGTGCCCTTAGACTGCAGGTAACATACTATTCATCCTTCAGTCAATCCTGCCTTGACGATCTCATTGATGCAACAATCTGCTGCAAGCGATTCGATCAACGGCGAAGAGGTGAGGTCTCACGGGACCCCCATGGCACAGAGTCGGTAACAAACAGTAAGAGGAAGAGAAGAATACTAGTGGTTGACGGCGCACCCGCGCCAAAGCCAAGTGCCAAGTGCCCAGCGCTCAGTCAGCGCCAAGGATGATAACGCGGCACTACCAGCCCTATCAAGGGTCTTGCAGGCAGAACGTGGCCTATGGCGGGCGGCATGTCCTCTATGACGGAAAGTGGTACAATCTAGACCCAGCAGGAGCAGTGGGCAAGGGCAGCGTCAGAGAGTCAAGATACTCGGATTTTGTTCCTTGTGATTACGACGAGCGAACTCTATTGACCCGCATTCTCCAATCGTTCAAGTATGCTCGCTCTTTTCTCATTCAGACCGACGGCCAGACTTTCCTCAGCAAGTCCCTCTCCAACAATAGCAGCGTTCGCAGCCGTGGCAGTTCCACTCTCTGCGATTCCGACAATATTGAGATGATAGCCTCCTCACCCTCTCCAACCCTTCACGGAAGCAATGCTTCGTACTCGCCCACATCCTGTAAAGGATCCTTCCACTCCTCACGATTCTCCAATTCGCCCCGCTCCCTCCTCAAACGCCCCTCTCCGGCCGCCTTTCCCCACCAGACCGCTCTTTCACCCGTCGCTCACAAAAGATCATGGCAGGCCTCACCGAAGGTCACAAAAGACGCCGGGACACAATGTACGCCAGCAGAGTCCTTGACATCACCACAAACCCTAGGCAAACGCTGCGGCACCAATGAATCTCCCAAACCTAAAGAGCCTCCGCCCGAGCCAGCGCTCCCACCTCAAGAGCACAACGAGCCTTCCTCCAACAAATCATCTCTAGCAACTCAAAATGCGACCTCCTCCAAACACCCAGCTCAATCCTCTTCCTCATCATCCTCAGCGTCCACCAAGAGCTCCAATTCCTCCCCCAAACGGGCCCGTACCGCTCGACCAGCAGTGAAGGTCATGCCCGCCCGATACGAAGCCTGCGACACCAAAGACCTCGTCGTTCTCATCAGCAACATGCTGCTCGAACTGATCCGGCACAATGACGAGATCCCTCTGCAAGACGGCCGCCTCACTCGTTTCCACTCCCGAGCCCCACCAGGCATCAGCGTGAAAGACTACCTACAGCGATTGACCACTCATGCGACCCTCCCTCCTCCAATCCTGCTGAGCATGGTCTACTACATCGATCGTCTGTGCGCGCTCTACCCCGCTTTCACCATCTCCAGCCTGACCGTTCATCGCTTCCTCATCACAGCAGCCACGGTGGCGAGTAAAGGCCTCTCTGACAGTTTTTGGACAAACAACACGTACGCAAGAGTCGGAGGAGTCAGTCTGAAGGAATTGGCTTTGCTAGAGCTTGAGTTCTTGTGGAGAGTGGAATGGAGAATCGTGCCGAAGCCGGAGGTGTTGGAGGACTACTACCGCTCACTTGTGGAAAGAAGCGACGCTTTTCGGATAGAAGGATCAAATGGAGCCAGGAGTGGGAGCAGGAGCAATGGCTCCGGGAGCTCAAGCCAGGAGGGTAGCGGGACTACTGGGTCGAAGCCGGCTCAGACAGGTGGGAGTTAATTAAGCTGGAATGCGTGTATATACCCCGGGAACGGCAACAGTGAAGACGTTTGATGAGGATGAGCATTAGAGGAAGCTCTCAAGACTGGCAATATTACTTTGGATAACCGGAACTCTGTGCCTTGAGCATTATCTTGTTGCTTTATTCAACACCTGCAGAATATTCGATCCTTTTTTGAAGGTGTCAACACCCTCGAAAAATATTTGTGGCAAAGTGGGTTTGCCGCCCAACCACTCTTCATCCTATCGCTGCGACTGGGCACTACAAGTCGTCGCTGGAGACATACACCATCTCCATCTCCATCTCCCAGCTTCTCTCCCCCTTTTCACCTCATCCGCCAAAAGAAATATATCCAATATTCTTCCATATCCTCACAAGGAACCCACCTTTGCCACCCCAGGTCTCGCATATTCCCCTGCATCCTCCCCAGTATCCCTACCATGCGCTACTATCCAAACTACTTTCCTAATCAACTCGCCTCAAATCACCGATCCATAACTCAGTCATGCCGCCACAAATACTCATTTGTGAGACGTGAGCTTTTGATCCCCCTTAACCTCTCTAAATCTCGACTCCCATAGATGGTGCTGACGTAATTCTGTGCCTTCCAGCAGACCCTCAGGTTCGGTATTGCGGTATTGAAGGGGTGAGAGCTAATGAGAGGAGATTTAGTTTGGCGACTCAATTCTCTGGAGAGCCATTTTGGTAAGAGGATGGGGCCAAGAGAGGTTGATGTGAGTGCGAAAGCATATGAAGCAAGGCAAAGTAATGTATGTGTCCCGCTTGCGACTGACTCATGTTAGAGCCGTGTATTTGAAGATTGCCGGTTCCAGTAATGCTTTCGGCTTGAAGTTGACACGCGTATGATTATGGTGTTGTTCACCGCGCCGATATCGGGTTGGGACTTTCGAGTCTTAAGGCGGATCGTTCTTTGACGAGGGTGCTTTCTCTGACGAATGGGTTTTCTTTGACGGACGGTCTTCATTCTCTGACGAATAGTATTCATCTGACATATAGTCTTGTTCTGGCCTATAATCTTTTCTGACACGAAGTGTCTCGTTGACAGCGGCAAAAAGGAAGACCAAGATCGATGTATTGGTTGGTTCTGCCACGTATGGGTACAGTGTGAGCGTCTTCCTGTTACGCTCTTGAAAACGTTCCACAACATACGATGTTGCTTCATGCGAAGTGTCGTTCCCTAGATACTCCGGAAAGCAGGTTCTCAAGGGCACTCTACGAAGTTTTTCATGGAAAAACTCGATGTTATCCAGTAGCAGTATGACGGACAGTCTTTCACATCTTGAATAGTTGACGAATTCTTCGAATGATCTCAAAGTTATCAGGAGCCGCTTGTCGAAGTACGAGGAAAGGTCAACTATGAATACTAGCGACACAATGTCAGTATAGATGTTGAGAATACTGGTGCTTTCATTTTGTGGCTCGATCGAATTCACTTCGATCTTCGTTCCGCCCATGGTCAAAGTTGAGACCTCGACGGATCTATGATGTGCCGATACCGGTAATTGACAGATGTCAGCGTCATTCGGTAGGTAGTCTGCCTCAACAATCCTATCTACATTTTGGAAGAAGCTGCATCGACCTGAGTATTAGCGTCAGAACGAGGGCAAAGCAGACGAGTTGCTCACTAGAACAACCGAGGACTGATTGAAGAGATCCAAAATCCGGTTTCTCTCCATTCCTGGCTGCGTTGCAAAAGGTTGAATATTTCCCGTAGCGTGCCCAAAAGAACCTCCTGAGAGTGTTTTGAGAGAAGTCTAAGGGGCCAAACCATCTTCCTCAGCGCCTTGATTCGGGCCCTTTGTACTTTGCTCAAGTCATTGAAGTCGCACAACACACAAATTTCTCCAATCGCAATCCAACAGTCGACAATCATGGCTAGAACTTCTGGCAGATAACGAACGCGTTCTTCTTTATTGTAGCCTCCTTCGCTCATCGATCTCATTTTCACTAGGATCGCTGTTCTACCATGGCCGCCTGCACTAAGCACTAGAACTCCGCAGCTTGTTTGCACATGCCTTTCCAGAGTCTCCGTGGCATTTTCATTAGGCTTCTCTGAGACATCGGATCGCAGATTTTGAACAAGATTTGATGCGCCCCCATTTGGTCTGTAACTGCGCTTAAAGAGGGATCGTATCGCATTTTGATAGACCCGGGAGCCGGTCAATTGTGAGTCGAACGGAAAGATAATCGAAAGCTTAGATGACCTTCCGGTGGATTGGGAGATATTACTATAGCAGGAAGCAGTATCGTGCAGCACTATAAGAGAAGAAGAGCTATCTTGGACATCATCAAGAACACGCCGACTGCTCCGTCGCTCTAGCAGAGCCTTTTGTTCAGTAGCTGTTCTACTAGGCAAAGTTTCAGTAACACAATCGGAGACAGAAAGATGAAACCAATGCTGTACCAATTACAAGCTGTAAGAAGTAGGGTCAAAGCACTTGTCTGCCTCCCAATGAACTTCTGCAAGTCCTCGGAAGCTCTGCCTTGGAATACCATCTTCAACCTTCTTGAAAATTCCATAGAATTGATACCAATGACGTTCAATGTCGCGATCTGATCATCGATGGTTTTTACCAACATCTTGCAGCACGAAACGGAGTCTTCCAAATCCATGACAAGTTGATGATGCTGAGGTGAGTTAGTAAGATCTAAAGATATCCATTCTGATATCTTGGTGAGAGCCGCTCTCAGTGCAGTCATTTGAGATATCAAGAAAGACAAATTCATATCTGCTTCTTTGTACTGAGTATGTAAAGCGCGCAATGCTTGGATACTCTTGGTGGTGACATCAATGATGCCAACGATAGCGCCTGCCAGGCCGATAGCAGTGACAGGATCCATGACAGGATTCCTATGGCTCGAAGCAAATCAAATGCCTCTAGTATCGCCGGATAGCAGGTAGGGATTCCACCAGAGAAGTCATCATTCCCAGTTTTTCCGATAAGAGAGGGTAAATTCAGCCTTGTCTATTTTTAGCCAAGGGCCAGAAGAAGGCCATGACCAATCACAAATTGGTTTATTTGAGCCTCATTCATAGTCATATACATCCATAATTGAGGAAAAGGGTTTGGTTCGATGTCCAAATCCTTATGTTCAAAACAGCCTTCACGGCTTCTGGGCACAACTGCGGCTACATTACGGCACAGAGTGATTTGCATGGCCACTCCTGAGAATTATCGATACTTGAGTACGTTCAGAACGAGTTAGATGCTGTGAGATGTACCTTAATTGGCTCACGCTTGATGTGGAAAGGCCTTGTATGGCCTAGACATTTCATTATGAATATGGTTGGGTTGTGCGGGCAATGAGCTCCTTCTATCCTTCATTGATGTGTGACATATGCAATGTTGTCGAAAGATAGCTGCAGATTCCTCAGGCGTTGCTGATTACTTTCAACAAAGGTAAAATTCGCCAACTTCAACCCTTGCATATTTGCTTGCACCTTGATCATAGGCGCAAGCGATGCGCCTGGCTTCGCTGTGTATGAAAACGTTTTCGTCTGTTTGGCACCCCCGACAGCGTTGGTACCGGTCAAAGTACATTTGCAGCTCGTTGGCTTGTAACCGCTGTCGTCAGTGTAATCGAAGAGAATGCAAGCTGTATAGAAGTACGTCAAGTCGAAGCTTTTCATCTTCGTCCCAGCGATCGAGAAGAGAGGTTGTTCGTGGAATGTGTCGGAGCCAAGTTCGCCGTTCATTGTGTAGTTCTTAGACTGGGGAATGATGGGCGCAAAGATGTATCCTTCATTGAAATTCTGAAGAAGACTGAGGTGGGTGAAGTTGAGGCCTTTGTATTTCCATGAAGGGTAGTTTGTCGTTGGGTTCTCGTCAAACTAGTCAACATCAATCTCGGGCTACAATTGTACTCTGCCTCAAGCGTACAGTAGCAAGCTGGTTGGTCGAACCTGCACGCTTCATGAGATCCGCCGATTTAGCTTTTTCAAACGACTCCCCAGACGCGAGAGTCGCAAGTGCGACCATGACATTTTGTGACAGCCTCATGGCAGGGTATACTAGCGACTCGAATGCTAAAGTTGAGATGTGATTCAAGTACCACAGACAAGTCAGCCAGACAAGAGTCCATGTAGTCTCGAGCGCAGGAAGAGGGTTGCTGCTTTCATCATATCCACTGGTATCCGAGCCCAAGCTAGTAGTTGTGTGAGTGGATTGTTGTTGCATATTGGTGGCTTGCATAAACCACGTTCTAGGCCCCTGCGCAATCCCGAAAAGAAATGTTCGTGCCCCATGAACCAATCAGCGGGAGAGGATAGCGAGAGACGGCGTCGTTGACTACCTGGCTTGGGATAGCCCGGGCGCTGCTTTGGGACGTCATGTTGCTGTGAGAACAGAGGCAACCTTCTCACTGCCCCCATACTTGCAATTCTTCCCTCGTACATTGAAGTCCTATGTCTGGTACACCTGAAATCGACGAAGACACTCACATTCTCAAATTCTTCAGGGCAACAACATTGAGCAATCGAGACACTTTACAACCTGATTTGTTCAAATGTAAAAGATAAAGCAGGCAAGGAATCAATGGTTCGTTATGTGACCCCAGATCAGGGTCCCGTTTTAAAAGTGTAATTGCTTTCAATCAATGCGGATCCTGTTTGATGCGTTGGGAAAGGAATCAGCGTGGAAGTGTTGCATCACAGGGCTCTTCACTTCAAAAACACCAGCTCTACCGAATATGCCAGGCATTCAGTATAAAACGCTATGACTTATTTGGTTCGTCGTTCCAATTTTCGCGCTCATGAGCTTTGCGAGAGTCGCTCATCTGTGCAACTCGTACACGGATTTGAACACCCCATGCATACCTCCCATCGATAGCTTTGGCGGCTTGTCGTGCCTCTTCGGCGCTCTCAAAATCAACGAAGAGGTAGCGATGATTATACGCCTTCGCATGGCCAAATTCTGGCTCTTTTGGAATAATTACCTTGCTGACGGCCTCACTTAAGACGATGATGATCAGCACGCTGTGTCGAGATAATATGTCGATTACACTTACATGTGGAACCCGTCAAAGATCTCGCGAATCCCGGCATTAACAGCAGCGTGCCCTGCCATCCGCGGAAGTCCGCCCACCCAAAGCCTACGACCCTCCTCAGTGTAACCTTGCCAATGATTGGACGCGTCAGTCCTAGTCCAGCGTTGAAAAACAGGTTCCTCGGGATGTTGTTGATTCCTCATGTTGCCTCTAGATTTCCTTTCTGTTGATCTTGCAATACCAGGCCCAAGTTTGACCGGTCGACCTAGCAAGTCTTGGCCACTCAGCTCCTGCGTCGCACGATACGCTTGTGCTCGGTCTCCGAGTTCCACAAAGCAATATGATGGGTTTCTACCAGTGTATGGATCGATTGACATGTTAATATGCTCTCTAGAGGCGCCTTGGTCAGCAATGCGGATCAATATGAATGGTATCAACACCTTGTCAGCACAGTTAAGACAGATTGTGATGCTATGAAAGGAACATCACGATATAAAGCTGAGTACTGAGATACCCACATTTGATACCTATTGTTCGAGAAAAACTGGGTGATGTCTTCGGGTTTTGCCATGGAGGGTAAGTTGCCCACATATAGCCGTCTTCCTTCCTCAATGGCTTTGAACGTTTCTGGATCATTTTCGCCGCGTATAGTCTCGATTTTAGTGTTGTAAGAGTGTGTTTGCTCAGAATTTCGCTTGTTATTGTTGTCCGGTAAAGAAGAGATGGGTCTACTGGTCCGCCAATTGCTAGAAAGCTCAGCGCGATTAGCCATAGCACCAAAGCAAGAACAATTAATAAAGGTCAAACAGTAATCGTTCTGTGCTCCTTACTCATGATGAAGCAGTCGCTTTAAGGAAGGTGGAGTCTTGTGGGTTATGGACGGTCTTAAATACTGACCATAATGAGCTGTGTTTAGGACCCCACCTGACTAAGCATTTGCGAGCAACCTCACGTTTGCCACACGTTTGCCACCGTAGGCTGACACCTAGCAAAGCCGGGTTCAGCTTTGGAATGTAATGCGGGTCTTGGCAATGGTTGAGTTTAGTCATCAAACACCCTTGAGGCTTCAACGCTTCCACGCCAATGTAATAGTCTATAACTATTAGTATAGAGCAATCAGGTAGTAGATCTGTAGAGTATTCAGTGAAAATATATATAGACTCGTCGTTGGTAATTTTAATTCCTTGGATACATAAGATGTTGGAGTTGTGCCGGAATATAGTTGTTCCGCTCCGGGGATGCCACCCTTCGACCCGGATGACCCGCTCTTCTCTCATTGATAATTCCCATTTCTCGATCATTCGAAGCCCCTCACCATGAGAAACCAGCGTACAATATCTTTGACCTGGATACTTCGCTATTTTCTCTACAAAATGGGAAGATTATGATACAGCTTCATGATAAGAACGCAATGCTCATGCCAGTGTCTCTAATAGTCATCTCGGGCACATGATGTTTCTAGTCGGTCGCAGCTAATTCTGCCTGATGTATGAGAGCATGTATGCTTTTTGAAAATAGCGATATCTTAAACCTATAAGCACCTATAGTGACAGAGCTCGCTGCTTCTGATACCCCAAGTTTAACCTTGGGGTCAAATGCCGTGCTGGTGATCTTACATGAGCTTCCAAGCAGCAATCCAACTATCATTTCGCGATTGACAATGGTCAATCTAGGCCGCCCAAGTGGCGCTTGTGAGACCTGCAGGGTACGGCGTATCAAGTGCGATGAGTCTCGACCCTGTTGTTCTCGGTGCGTTGGGGCCAGGAGGACTTGCCTAGGTTATCGTCTCCGCCCTGTGACCGCTCACAAACCAAGAGGTAAAGGACAGCTGACGAACCCAAATGTACAACCAGAAATGGGAGCTACGAATGTTCAACGCCTAGGGCTGTCCACGCCTCTGGTCAGAGACTTAGTCGGTCTACATTTCGTCGAGAACTTTGTGTTGAGCTCAACGATGCCGACCCCGAGCTCGCTGGGCTTTCTTTCTGGGCTCGATACATCTTTAGTCAAGTCCGAATTTGGCACGACACTAGAAGCTACCCTGAGCATTTCCGCTAAAGGCTACTCTTCGCTCGCCACGCCGGCACAAACGCTGGGCGAACGACGAGCTTTGCTCAGCGAGTACCAGATAGCTCTGCATGCTATAAGGCAATCACTGTCGTCAAGACACAAAGACTGGACGCTTGCTGTGGCTATATATCTCCTTGCATTGTTTGAGGTAAGTCCATTCAGATTTGCTGGCTTACGTGCTAAGGATTCGAATCGTAGATGATTGTAAACACGGACTCTGCTGACGCAACTTGGCAAAGACATTTCAATGGTTTGCTGGCATTTCTGGCCTCAGACCACTTTTTCCTGTCACGCCATGCAACCTCAGTCAATATATTCTCAGCGGATACAGACATTGTCATTTTCATTTTCAGGCTGCAATCAAGGCTTTACGAGCTTACGCCAGAGTTGGATAGCATTTTCAGAAGTGCGATCTCTCCAAGGAAGATAGATGTATTGAAAGTGCGTAACAAAGTCAAGATTATTCACAAAGATCTGTGTACTGCGCTTTGCACTTCAAAAAGGAAGACCCTCGGGTCGATTGCGATTCTCAACAATTTGCGTACCGCTTCAATCATCTCAGCCAAATTTCTGCTTGAAAGTGGAAATTATCTTGACTCCAAAAACGAATGGTCGCTCTCGAAAGAGTCTCGTTCACTACATATGATCATTAGAGAAGCCCTGAATGATATATCAGGTACGTTCGCTAACCCTGGTGTACGGAACACTATTTTCGGAGGTACCTCTAGTAAGACATCATCACGAGCAGTTGCCGAGGAACCAAGGGCTGATAGCCAATCAACATCCGGCAAAGCAATAGAAGGACTGCTAGCAATGTGGCCACTGCACGTAGCTTCAGTAGCGCCTGGAGTCACAAAAGAACACGAACAGTTTTGCAGAGACCGTCTTCTCGCGGTCGGTGAGCTGTGTCACATACCAAAGGCAACTTCATTGGTATGAGATTCTACCCCGATCCAAGATTAACGTTGCTTGATGCTCACAGTTATCACAGGCTCTCAAACCAGAGACTGATTTCAATTACACTGAATTGATTGCAGGAAGTATACTCATGACCCTTGGAATGTTCCTCAGCCCTTCCCGCCTTGGAGTCTGACATTGTAGACCACTCGAATCGATACCTCCTGGAGCTGCTCCATCTTTATGTAGGCAAGAGATGAGCCACGTCTACATGTAGGCAGATGCAGGTCAGGCAACAAGCTTCTCAAGACTGCTTACACTTGAGAATAGCATAGATCTTCATTCCTGAATCAATTACAACCACTCGATATCTCATAACTGGGAGGGCCTGCATTTAGATGTCAAAGGATATTGCTTCACTTTTCAACTTGCAGCAAATTGTAGCGAATCTTATGTTCTGAACCATTCAGTATGCTGGGTCAGAACTGCCAACCCCACTGGTAGTCTCCAATCAAATAATGCACCAAAATGTGGGTTTTGAAGTCAAGAAATGTCTAGACCTCTTTGAGGACAAGAGGCAACGTTAGGATGGTTACCTTCTACATGCAGGATGCTACATAAGTGATGATGTACAAATTGACAACTTCGACTGTGCCTTCATGATGCAACTAGCTACTAGCGATGCGAGAACACTAGCGCAGGTCAGCAATTTTGTCCCTGACTAACCATATCGAGAGAAGTAGATGTAAGATAGTGGACCAATTCTCACAAGCTGCGAGTTTGCTAGCGTTTCGTGTTTCTGGCTTATCGCTTGGATGCATTTACTTTGCGTCATGACACCCATGACACTATATGAAGACCGGCTTCAGGCCCCGTTCTTTCAAGATTTCGTAGACAAGCGAAGTATTCAGAGAGCCGGAGACACTTCGATAGAACAAGATGAAGCCCATTACTGTGTGGGGCCACTGGGGTGGACCAAACCCATTGTATTCGCTTTTGCGTTTCTTCAAAATCTGCTGAAGAGTGGCTTACCAATGTGCACAGAAAAGTCCGCATCATATTGAAAGAGCTCGAGATACCGTTCGACTATCACATCGTCGAGTTCTCCGAGACAAAGCAAGAGCCATACATCAGTATCAATCCCAACGGCAGGCTCCCGACAATCGAAGACCCCAACACAGGTATGAAGATATGGGAGGTATGTAGCGGGGGCCTTCAAGACAGGAAGGAAGGAAGATTGACATCAGTCAGACCGGTGCAATCATACTTTACCTCATCGACCACTACGACCCCGAGCGCAAGATCTCTTTCGACAAGTCCCCAGGGATGTATGAGTGCTTCCAGTGGCTCATGTTCCAAGTCAGCGGTACGATTCCCCTGACGCTTTACTCCCCTGTTTGTCAACCATTAACAATTCTACAGGTCAAGGCCCCTACTTCGGCCAACTAGCATGGTTCGCCAGATTCCACAAGCCGACGAACCCCTCTGCTATCGAGCGGTATGCAAACGAAATGGAGCGAATCATCGGCGTCCTGGACAAATCTCTTGATAAAAAGGAGTGGCTGGTTGGTGGCAAGTGCACGTACGCGGACCTGAGCTTTGTCACTTGGGCGCACGTGGCCAAAGGCTTGTTGAAGGAGATCGGAAGATCGAACGTTATGACGAGTTTCCCGAACTACACCGCGTGGCTAGAACGCATGGAGGCTAGGAAGCCTGTGCGAGAGTGTCTGGATGACACTATTGCAGCTAGAGTCGAGCATGGGCTTCCTCCCTAGGAAGCCTTGTGTCACAAGATTCTTACACGACTCCTTCGGCCTCATAGATCACGTTTCTTTACTTGACTCGGTGACAGATAGCAGAATCGATTCTTACTGTTTGTGCTGAGGAGAATATGCTTTTGAGCTTGCAGTAACCTAATGTACTTTGTTTTCAAATCCCACCTTTTTCAATTCTTGCTAAGTCCCCCCCAACTGTCTCGCAATATTACGATCACCTCCCTTCTATATTTCGGTTCTATTCTCTGCCTTGTAGGATGGTCGGTCAATCGGGACACAGCTTTGCCAAATGCGAGAAATGTTAGGCCATGGCTTATTTGCAGGAACAGTCTATAGTCCATGGTCTATCGTCGACTTTACTATAGCTACCTCATAAATTAAAGTGGAGGAGTTGGCGTGACCGACCTCCCACCCTCGTGTATTCCCCGGGTCTACTTACTCTTCCGATTAGCAGCCGCGCATACGTAATTACTGACCCTCGTCCCTCCGCCAGGCCTGAAAATAGCAAATGCAGCATTGAGCACATCTTCAATCGACTTAATCTCTGCACAAAGCTTGGCCAAGTCCTCCTTCGATACGTTTATTCCTCCCGCGCCAGCAGCAACATTGACAGCAAAAACCGCCTGATTAACGTATGCCAGCCCTTCTTGGTTTTGAACGACAATCTGCGAGTACAATACAGGATCAAAGGTCTGAATGGCACCTGCCTGGCAGACCAAAGTTTGTACCTCGGTACCATTGAAGAATGTGGTGTTATCAAGGGAGATGGGATTGAAGGAGCTGCAAAGAACTCCTGGAAAGCCGTCGGCGGCAATGAAAGTCGCAGCCAGATCCAAAGTTCCAAGGTCAGTCAGTATGGCACTAGCTTCCTGGCTTAAAGGTGGAAAAGGTGGGGGTGGAAGGCTCGCCGTGGTTGAGGGTACGGAGGAGATGGTTGGACCTGGCGTTGTCGGAGGAAGACATTGGAAAACCTGGGATGTTGAAGTGACGTTTGACAAAGTTGTCGTGGTGGTGGGCGATACAGGCTGTATGCTTTTCTCAGACAGATTTCTTGATGATGTTGATAGCTAATACTAGGGGAAGAAAGACTCACACCAGCGGGAAAGGTATAGGTACTCGTGACGAGCGAGCAGCCACGACATTCGACCTTCGAAGTAGTAGTGACTGTGGATGCGAAGACAGTGCTTGTGTTATCTTGCGGAAAAGGAAAGACTGGCTGAAGCCTGGTACACCCCGGAGCTGGTGGGATTTGAGCAACAGCGAGAGCGACATTCAGGAGCATGAGCATCGTAATAAACATAATTTGGAAAGGAAAATGTGAGGAAGTCAGGAAATAAGCCAGAGAGTAATGGGAAGAGTGATTTTCGCACAATGAAAGTAGAGAGGGCGCAGCTTTTAACATCATCTCTGCAGCATAATGACGGTCTTGTTGTCAGCATATTACGTACTGCATTAACTCATATCTGTATATCTCCAAGGCTTTGATATGCTTTGAGTTTGGGACTTCCATCGCCAATATGGCAGATCTTAGAGGATAATGTGCTGCTCTCACCGATGCATATCACCTGACATTTCGAAGTCTGTCGTCAGCAGATCGCCGTGACCATACAGACAAATTTCCTTGTGACGAATTAGGCTTGGTCTATCGAGCAGTTCGTATCCACAAGATCTCTGCTGAAGGATGTAGGAGATCGTTTCCTGCGATGTTGCTAGTCTGGGTCTGCTTGGTGTTTGCCCGAAGAAGTGCGAGCGAGCAAAGCCGAAGGCGATTTAATGACCTCACTCAGCGAACAAATCCACGACACAATCTCAGCTTGATCAAACAAGCCTTCATCAGGAACGCGGCCGAGCGTAATAGTCGTCTCCTCAAGGGCGAATTGGTTGCGAAAGGCAGATCTTAAGCCCGAAAATCCTCATCATGAGTAGATATTGCTGGAACACAGGCCCAAACGTAGGCTACAATGATCTGAACACGTATAGACTAAGTCAGAATGACATGTTGAAAGACCATCGAAGGTTTCTACATGTAGTAATCTAGGTGTCTGAACGTAGAAAGGTGGTGTCTGTAGTTAAGTGTGCCCAAATTTTGATATTGGTAAGTTCCAAATACGCGCAAGCGTGATCAAAGCTGCTGCATATAGTTCTACGAGCTGCATTCGCACCCATGACGTAATTAGCAAATGGTATACTCGTATCTAATTTATAACATTACTAAGAGTAGACTCTTATAGTGTGGGTTTTAATATAATAGATTAATTGTTTAGTAAGCTAATTAAAAACATAATTATAGAAGAAAAGCTATGCTAAGCCGGGTAGGGCTAAGCTAAGCCTAATTAGGTAATTAGATTAATTTAAGCTCCTAAAGGCCTTATTAATAGTTTGCCTTTCTTTTGAAAATACTTATACTTTATAAGCTAGTTTAACCATTTATATTTTTTATCAATATACATCGGCAAAAATTTTTAGGCGACATTCCGCGCAAAAAGCGCAGGTAGCCGGCTAAAAGCGCAAATGGTATATGTCTGCTTTCATGCGCAAACTGCAAATCAAAAAAACAAAACCTTTATAAAAAACCCCCGTTTAATAGGGGGTATATATACTTAATAAATTACTTACTAAGACTGCTTTTAGCGTAGATTTCAAATCTTTAAGAATTTTTAAAATACGTGTAATATTGAGGGAGTTATAAGGGTTTTAAAATAAGAAAAAAAGATTTGCTTTGCCAAAACTCTATGATTTTTCGCCAAGCCCGCGTATACAATCGGTTAAAAGCGGAAGCTGCTATTTGCGCTTTTTACAAGCATATACGCAAACTGCTGCTAGAACTTTTGCCGATGTAGTTTTTATCGTTTCTAAGTAATTTAAAATATATAAAAGCGCTTAAGTAAATAAACTATATTACTATTAAAATTAGTTTTAATTAAAACTTGTAATCTATTATTATTTCAACTTTTAGCTATAATAATATATAGGTTAATACTAAAGGCGTTTATAGCTTGTAAATATAGGCATAATATATATAAATATACTTATATAGCTTATTATTTAATTAGAAGCTTATATAATAATATTTATAAATTATTAATTAGATAGGAATAAGCTAAGCAAAGTTAATAGGAATTATATTATTATTATTATTTTTATTATTAAATCTATAGATATCTATATAGAACGCTTAATTATTATTATCCTCTTTTTTAATTAGTTAGTTAGTTTAACTTTTCTAAGGCCTTAAATTATAAGGTCTTTTCTAATTACTTTTTTTTCTATATTTTTTAGGCTATTTTTAATATAATTTAGGCTAGGGAAGGAAAGAGGAAAAAGGATTTTAATTTTATTATTATTTTAAAAAATTTAATTAGCTTGATTTAAACTAATATATATTAAACTATATAAGCTTAGTAGAAGTAATCTAAACTATAAAATCTAATAATATTATTATTATAGAAAACTAAGTTAAAATAATATATAAGTAGGCTTTTATATAGTTAAAAGCGAATAAAACTACTAATTTATTACTAAAGCTTATATATTTTATTAAAGCTATAATTTATTATATATATTTTTTAGGATCTTTATATAGTTTAATATTTAATATTATATATTTTAAGTTTTATTAAAGCAATAGATAGTAATTCTTTAAACCTATTTTTAAGCTTATTATACTATAGAGTTTTACTAGTACGTAATCTAGCTTTTAATATATTTATAGTTTTATTAGTAAACTAATACTTAGCTCTACTAAGTAAATATTAATTAAAATTAAAAGTTAAATTATTAATTTTTCTTTTAATTTAAATTTATTTTATAAAAGAATAAATATTATAGTATTTAGTTTTACTGTCTAACTATTTAATAAGTTTATAATTATTATTTAGATTAAAGAAACTAATATCTTTAAAGTTGAATTTTATTACTATAGCTAGCTAAAGGGTTTAATTAGCTGCATTTTAAGCTAAAAAAGGGATAATAATATAAAATAGTAGCTTTTAGAACTGCTTATTGCTTATAATAATGTTTCCTAAGGGAGCTATAGTATTAGTTAAAGCAATAGCTTAGTAGAAAAAATTCTTAGTAAGTAAAGTACTTAGTAAAAATAATCTTAGTATAGAAGCTAGTACTAATAGCTAATACTATAAAGCTAGTGGATTAGTTCTTTAAATATTGCTATTAAATTAAGAGTAGACTTTTATAGTATAGGTTTTAATATAATAGATTGATTGTCTAGTAAGCTATCTAAGAACATGATTGTGGAAGAAGAGCTATGCTAAGCCGGGTAGGGCTGAGCTAGGCCCAATTAGGTGATTAGACTGATCTGAGCTCCTGGAGGCCCTGCTAACAATTACTCTATATGTCTATCAACCCCAGCAATTGCCCGCAATGAAGCTCGATCCGGCCATCATCCGTGCGCTGTCTATCTCCCCCACCAACACCACAGTCGCTTCACACGGTGGCTCCGGCTTCACTTCCACCTCAAAGATTACCTCGAAGCTACCTGACGGGAGCGAAAAGTGTTATTTCCTTAAGATTGCCAATGAAGCGGAATCAGAGCTTATGTTTGCAGGAGAGCATGCCTCCTTGAATGCGCTGCATACCATCCCATCTCTCTGTCCCAAGTCCTTTGCTCATGGAAAATTGGAAAAGAGCGCTGGTCACTTCCTAGTCACAGATTTCCTCGAGATGGGTGGAATATCACGCCTGTCTTCGTCTAGGGATTCTGAAGAGAAGGGTTCGGGCTTGAGCCTTGCACAAAAGCTAGCTAAATTGCACAATACTCCAGCACAAGTACCGGAGGGACATGACCGGCCAATGTTTGGGTTTCCGGTACCTACATGCTGCGGTGATACAGTTCAAGAGAACGATTGGACAGAGAGCTGGGCGGACTTTTATGCCAATCACAGATTGCTAGCTATACTGAAAAAGAGTGAAAGGACGAATGGCAAGGATAATCCTCTACGAGCCATGGTTGAGAAGACCGCCCGAGAAGTGGTACCCCGCTTGATTGGCGACAGTCATTTGAACAACGGCAAAGGTGTGACACCCGTGGTTGTACATGGTGATCTATGGTCGGGTAACAAGGGAAGAGGAAGAATCGGAGGTCAGGGCGCGGTCGAGGATGTGGTCTTCGACCCCAGCGCTTGCTACGCACATGGCGAATACGAACTCGGCATAATGAGGATGTTTGGTGGATTCGGTGGCAACTTTTTGAAGGAGTACCATCAGATATGTCCGAAGACGGAGCCGGTAGGTGAATATGAGGATCGAGTGAGCCTTTATGAGCTGTATCATCATCTGAATCACCATGTAAGTGTATCCCGAACCGCTTCTTGAAAATCGTCTGGTTGCTAAATGGACAGGCTATCTTTGGTGGCGGCTACAAAAGTGGTGCAATGTCGATAATGCGAGAATTGACCAGAAAGTTTGGAGCAAAGAGTGAGATCTGAGGCAGCTCGCAAACCAGCAATCAACATACAATCAACCCAAGTCTAACTGCTAGCTTCACTCTGAACGTGGTAATACGATGTTTGCGTTATTTGCCAGCTTTCAGTAAACCATGATTTGACCTTTCTTGAACTAGAAGGAAGTAATTTCCAGCAATGGCACCTGGCTCATCCGACGAATCTGCCCTTGGCAAGGGACGTCAATCATTTGCAACTCCAGCTTTTGGATTGGCTTAATATGACAGCAGACTCGTATGAAGGTACAATCAAGGTCATCGCCCTAAACAGAAGACATCTCATCACGCCTTTTCAATGGTTGGAGGACAGAGGTAGGGACGATCCCAATTAATCGAGGCATCCAAATTGGAAGAATTTGGAAATGGAGGCACCTTCTCATGTCATCTTGGTAGGGAATGACCAAGACGCCCGAGGGACCGGTGCAAGATACCAATCTGGCAAAGGGCCTTTGAACTCTATCACCAATAGCTGCTTCGCACTGCCAAAGGGTCTCAATCGTCTCTGAAGTTGAAGCGATTTTGGATCTCAGCAGGACGCACGTTTTAAAGGAGCACTAACTCCAAATGATCATTTATGTCATGAGGGGCATGGCCAAGACCATTCTTCAAGTCAGAATCATTTTTACTCAAATCGAAACGAAGGAAGTCGGCGTCAGCCATGACACCCTTAAGTCGTACGATCTTCATAGCTATTATACTTCACCTACAATGGAAGCTCTAGCTTTGCTCGCGCGGAACAATCCTGTCAACGTCGCACTAACAACTTCAAGATGGCACTCTTCTAACAGCAGAGCTTGTTGTGAAAGTGGCCAGATAGAACGTTTTGCGGCACTCTCTCGCTTATTTTGAAGCCATGAAGCCATTGCTTGTCTGGTGAACCTGTCTATCCCGAAAGGAAGGAGCTGCTCTGCGTCTGAACATGTCTTCTAGTATTCCTCTAGTCATTTCCTTTATCTCAACTTCCCTTTCAGACACCATTGATAATTGCTGCTTAAAATTTTTACAAGCCCCGAGGTAATCATGTCACTACTTCATTCTCTGTTCTTCGTTGCGTTTCTAACATCCACTCCCATCTCAGCGCAGTTTCAAAAGTCCCCTATTATCGTCCTTGACCTTTCTTCAATTCATCAATGTAACAGCAATCCAGTTCGACAGCCTCGCCTCCATCTACCCCTGCTCAACGAACATCATCCCCTTCTCCTACAACGACCTCAAAGGCATCAAATTCGAGGACTACACGAAAGGCGAGACCGACTATTCCCCTCTCAACATCAGCTCCGTCTATCCCTCTCTAGGCGTCTACTCAGACCCGGGCGGTCTTGGGCTCAAGAGTCTTTATCTTGGCTGTGCAAAGCCCCAGAGTGGTGGGTTTCCGGCGTCAGGGAAGCCGCAGCGTTGTAAGATCAAATTTCAAACGCGGACGGCGAGTACGGGGGCCCAAGATAGTTGCGACGCAAATTTGCGAAATTGATCCTGCGAAGGCCGCGAAGGGGATGGAGGACTTGATGCAAAAGTGTCTGTTGGACTTTGATTATTCCTTTGAGGTGTTGCTCAGTGTGGATGAGCGTGTGAAGATGCCGGGCGATTTTGGTGGATGATTTTGAGCACATCAGTTTCTCGTTTTATCTATATGGTGTCTAGGTGGGAAGTCAGGGCGAGGATGAAGTCATATTACGGTTGGGGCAATGTAGTTTGAACGGCATTTTCTTAAGACTCAGATGAGTGTAATAATCTTCTTGCCAGGGCCTGAAACCTCACAAGCATAGACTTTCGCTTCATCTTTCGAGAAGTCGCAATATTGCCAGTATCCGATTCTCTTGTGATAGTCCTTCTCCTCGCCTGTGCCCTTAACAACGACGAGACCGGCTCTGGATCGTCGCCATCCAGTAGCCGAGATTCTCTCGTTCGCATTTAAGATGGGTATACAACGCAAATTAGCTTCCGCAGCCAGCGATTCATCACTTCTTGTAGTATCCATTGCTAAAAAGCACGCGTCTCTGTCCATTTCCGAGCCAGATATATCCCGTTGTCTCTCTGCTATTTCTGACCAAAGTTCATTGAGAGGAAAGTGAGGACCCCTGAGCCAAATCTCGGGGCCGGTATCCGACAACGTCGCCTTTGCTTCACGTTCCCAAGATCCTTTAGACTCGTCAGAAGCAAAATAGGTGAGCATGTGTGAAACGCTCAATTTGCCTCCCAGTATATGTGCCCATGAATAAGTTGGAGTGTTTGTATAGACCGGGTCAGAAACCGGAGTTTGATGATACCAAAGCAGGTCAAAAGGAATAAGGGGCTGCCAGATACCGTGAAGGCATGTCATGCCCGTTGAATAGCTGAGTCTCTGTATTATTCCGGAGATTGCAATCAGATTGTCGGTCGGGAAAGTGAGGTGGGAGTTCCAATATCTAGTGAGAATGGAGTGCCAGACCTGGTAAAAGTACAACATCATTGGTGTCTCTTGAACCGATATGAACTGGTTCTCGTTCGCAGAGGAAGAGTCGCGGACTGCTTTTTGCCGCAGGTACGTTTCTTCGTCGTCGAGAGGTAACAGCTCTTGGTCCAGATCTGGGTTCGATTCGCTCGCTTCTCCTTTGCGACAAGTCCAATGTGTCTCGATCGGTCCAAAGAACAGCACTCTAGTGGATAACCAGCGCTCTTGCAGTACCCATCCACGCGTAAGCAATGGTGCGGCCTCCCTCAGTTGGTCAATTCTAGTACCAAGACTTTTATCATTAGGCATTGCAAAAAGACTGTTCGCCGACGCTGGTCCAATCCTACAGGGCTTCAAAGTGAGAGGGTTCCTTTGAGTAAAGCATCCTGCCTCGCCATCGCTGCCCCAAGTAGCGGCAATGGTAATGACGGAATTGTAATACACGTCACCCATCTTCGAAGCCTCCCTCTCCCAGTCACTTGTTGAATCCTGGAATATGCACAAAGAATCAATCCATATGTACTGCAACCCAAGTTGCCGGGTGACTTGAACAGCATCTCTGTAAGTGTGGGGCAAAAGAGCGATGTCGAAGCCAGCTTTTAATCGCTTGTGAGTGGATTCAGTCAACTTCAAGGTTTTTGCTTTCCCCCAGCAGTGGCTCAACGTTGCGTATTCCACATTGTCTTCATCATAGGGAGAATTGCGCAAGCGAAGCCCCTCGGATCCATCTGAGAATCCCACATGAACAAGGCGAGTTGGCGCTTTGAATACTAGATCAGTAGTATGGTGACATAAAGGATGATCCCTGATACATGTCTTTATCCAATTTGATGCCTGCGTTAGTGTATGTTGAGAGGATGTAGAGACAGGGACAGTTGCATCAAATATGGGTTTCCACGTCTTTCCTGCGGAAAGTAAGCGATTTGAGTAGCTCAAGATATGAAGTAGCGAAAGACTTGATCTACCCACGGGAGTGACGTGCGTGAATTTCCAGGGGTTGGTTCCTATTCAAACAGAGAGGATCTAAGGAGGGACTCGTGGCAGAATCTTGATCCTCCATGCTCAATTTGAGCACGTCAAGTAGGATACACTGGAAATTTTCATTTTCTGGGTAGTCCGTAAGCTTTAACCAAAGCCCAATATTGCCCTCACTTGGCTCAACGTCGAAAGTATCGCTGGTACAAATGCCAACTTCATAGCTTTGTTCTGGACGCCTAATCTTCCTTGATCTGTCAGCCGACAGTTCTGATTCATAATCTCGTAGCATTTTGCGGGCAGGTGCATCAAGTGTGTCCCAAATCAGGGTGCACAAATGACATCCGGATTCACCTGCAGTGCGAAGCTCTTCACTGTCAAGGTGATGCCCCAAGACTCGGTCTTCGACTTTGTCGTCAGCCCAGTCCTCTTGTTCCACCAAATCTCGAAGAACCTGATATAATGACAAAATCTCTTGTGAGATGTACTTGCACTTTGAGCACAGAAAGTGCAGATCGGGTTCCGCATTACCATCTGTCTTTGGGTCGAGCGGAATTGCTTTTAGGAAATTCGCAGGCATTCTATACGCTGTATACCGTCTAAATCAGCCTCTACGTAGGTTAACGTGAGAGATAGGTTTGCGGGGAGCAGAATTGAATCAGAGTCTCATTCGTACTTGACCTTCAAATCCACTGTTTGCGGGCCCGTGCTAGCGGTATGCCGTTGCCCAGTGTGGAGTGGCCAGGCCTTCTCATTCGCACCCAACTCTACTAGTTCGCGAGTGATCAACAGTGCATTGATCTAGCCTCCAGCACGAAAGTCGCGCCTCCGTCAGATCAGCTCTCAGCATATATCAAACTAGTCGATCGCCATCGCACCAGTGCGATGGGTCTGAGTGTTTCCCTAGCTAAAAAGAGCGTGAGAACAGTAGTGACAACGGTTGGGAACGTATTATTTAACACGCAGGTTTTGAGAAACGCGTTTCCAGCCAAAAATAGGCTCACAAACAATCGGGAAAGCAGCAAGCAGCCGTGCAGCATTGCAAGCTGTTTGCAACGCTCCCTTCCAGCTTAACACAGGCCAGAAAGGGGCCAGAAACAGCAAAGAGGGAGGCGTGCAGCGAGCTGGCCATGCGAACTGTTTGCAAAGCGTCAGAAGACTGCCATATAGTGACACGCGGCACAAAGAATACAGAAGCTAGAGAAGTGACAGCATTGATCGAAGGTTTCACATTATCTCCACGAAGGCGGGTATCTCCAAAAGATTGTTTATACAGCGGATAACAGGGGTTTGAACGTCGCTTTAAGTATGCAAGAAATCCTTCAAGGGCCATAAAGAATTCAATAAACATACTATGCTCATTAGCAAGCTGATCGGGGGTTAGGTTCGAAGCGGAGGCCTACAGGAATAAACCAGTAAGGAACTTGCTTTTCGTACTCATCCCACGCGCTACCATACTGTCGTCGACACTTCTGTTGGTCTCGAATCGCACGGTGGATGATCATTGGCAAAAAGAAGGCTGCGTAGAACCATGGAAATGGGCTCTTGAAGCCGGTGACAAGACCCCATGTGAGGGCCTAGATTCCTCATCAGTCCTGCATAATGCAAGATGGGGTAGAAATATGACTTACGAAATACATATCGCACGTATAATGAACCTTCCGTGCATACTTGTACCACCCATCCACCAAGATACTATCTCCCGTCTTCGTTTTGATGGTGTTTGGATTCTCAAGAGTAGTCCACGGTACTTGAGGGAAGGTCTTTCGGTATGATAGAGTGCCTCTTTCCTGTTGGCGGAAACGATTTTTCTGGCCGTTACATGAATCCCAAACCCAGTAGACGAAGAGGTAGGAGATGTAGAGGAGCGCAAGCAGCGCTCGATTCCAGTGGTACTCTGCTGGTGCGTGACTCGCAAGATAAATGGCGCAGTGGCAATAGGTGTAAGGAACGCCCGCCATATTCCAGAAGATTAGCATGAAGCCCCATTTCTCGTGATACATGTCCCTAAGTTCTGCATTAGCATAGTAAATGAACACGAGGGAGGCTGTCGCACCATGTGGTGACAATTGCCTCCTCAGCCTTGGAACAGGCATTCGCATATAGGAAATGAGCGAGTAGCAAGAAACCAACTTCTCCTGTCACATATCCATAGCGTTCATATTGCCTCGCTGCCGCGCCTAGCGAAATGAGAAACAGGGTGTACCACGGCAGTCTCACTTCGCAGAACATCTTCAGATCCAGCCATTGACCAATCCTCGGATTCAGCTCCCCGCCCATGAAAAAGTCATAAAGAAGTCGTCCAGACATACGATGCTGTTTACCCCGCCAGATGGCAGCCGCATATGCAGCGATTGAGACTCCGAATCCGCTAATGATAGACACAGTCATGATAGGCCCAAATTCGTCGATGATCGTGTCGAGACGGAAAATCCTTGACGCATGCAATCCCAATGCGACAACAATTGTCAGGTAAAAGCTCCATACTCCGCTGCAGTAGTAATCCAACCTCTTCCCCCTTTCCCACTCAAGAGGTTTTCCTTTCACGTATATCCCAGGCATGTAAAGATATAGCACTCCTTCGAATATCAAGAAGCCCCAGTATATCGCCCACGCCTTCAGTGTTGGGAAGGCGCCCTGAATTACCAGATTGAGCAGAACCAAGCCGAAATGTGTCCAACTCTCCTTTCCTTTCTCCCTGGCAGGGAATCCTCCGCGGTAGTAAGCTGCACCGAGCCACATGTACCACATCAGGATAGGAAAGCCGATCATCATAGCCGACACTCCCAAGACGCCTCCGAACTCCAATTCCTCGCCGTTCGCGCCCCTGGCCACCGCGTCTTTGGCTGCTTTAGCGGGACGACCCCGTCCCCGCGTGCTTGCCGACCCATTTATGTTTGAACCGCTTTTTGCGGTCGAGGTAGGAGAGAGGATTTGGGATGAGCTAGGTGAGGTGCTTGTGCTGCCACTATCGCTCGGAACAACAGATTTGCGCCCGCGCGTTGAACGTCGTGTAGGTGTCTCAACGTAGCCCGGATGCTCTGTTCGTCTAGGATGGAATGTGAGTATTTGACGTACAAGGGAGCATGAAGATGTGTGTCTAGATGCGCAGGGGTTTGAAGGTCCAGCCTGCGAATCGGCAAGATCTGAGCTTACCTTGGTGTTTCACCTAGCTGGGATCGCGTAAGCGTCATCCTTGCAAGATTGACAGGTCCACTCAGGTAAGGAGGGACTATGGAGACGTAGACAATCGCTGATGGTTGTCCCTAAAGCGACTCATTTGCTCGTCGACGTCAGGACGTGTCTTAAAGCTTGGCGCGTCAAAATTGAGTTTCGGCACACTTCATTTGCAGATGCGGCTAGCACGCCTCAGCTGCAAAATTCTGGGTCAAAGGTCTCTGGTCTCTTTTTCTACGGATAATCATCTTACAAAATAATGCATCTCCTGACCAGTCCTGAGTCTAGACCCGCTATATACATTGAAGCTTTCAGATATACTCAGGTTTTGATTTCCTGTTAGTCGAATTTCAAGCTCCTCTACGTGCATTCGTGCTCATTAGTGTGATTTTCTTGCCCTTCTTCTTCTTGCCACTACTCGCCACGACCTGTGTTGAATTGCTCGTTTCGATTCGCATGCCTTCGATCTGAGCTGTCAGCTCTTCGTCGCGAAGCAGCTGTGTTTCCCAGTCCTGGAGCCAACCGTCGTCACCTGGTACTTCGTCGTCTCCATCGATAGGAGCTGTTGGTGGTGTCGAAGGTGCTGCAATTCGTGTTCCCCAGACGGTCCTTTGAGTTGTTGGACTCGTAGATGGCGATGCTAATGTAGCAAATGCCGAGCCTTGCTGCCCCTTTGATCCGACCCAAGGGGGTGAAGTCGACGATGCATGAATGTCCGCTGCAGAGGGATCGGGTAATGGCTGGAACTCCACACCAGAGTGAATGTCATGACTGAGACTGGGTCTCTTCCTGCGTGCGGTAGCCCATCGTTTGTCGTCTTCTTCTTTCTCTGCACGAAGCCGCTCCTTCTCCTCGCGCGTTGCTTTTTCGTTGTTCCTTTTACGTCTACGTTCGATTTCGGAACCAAAATGCTCCAAAATCTCAGGAGAGACAACGTCAGTCCAGTCACATGCCAGGAAGCCCACTTCGCAGCCGTGGGGCAGGTGGCCGAGATATTTCGCTCGCTTTCGGAGCTCATCATCTAAAATGTGCCCAGTTGAAACGTGTTCCACTCGTGGTAGAATCGTGGTTGGGAAGGAAGGATAGTCTCCAAATGCTGCCTTGAGTATTCTTATGTCAAGCGATGAGAGGTAGAAGTGGAGGAGAGCTTCATAGAAAAAAAAGGTGAATCGTTTCGCGTGTTGTGCGAAGCAGCAAGAGACCTATTTCGATGTGATCCGGCAGGGTATGGATCTTGAGCAGGTGTTGAAGGCGCTGTGGATTGGGCTCGGGAGCTTGCTGAAGCACCTTCAGCCGATGAGGAGCTAGTACCGTCTGCAATCTTTGCGGCTTGATTTCGGGCGCCTGGTATTCTGGATGTCTCCGTGGCTACGGCTGAGCCAGATCTCTCATACTGAGCAATGACAGAGCCCCTTGATGACGACTGACCAGATCTCTGAGCATGTTGGTGTACGTAGTGCTCGGGCATTTCATCAGTATCCGTTCGATATTCAATAGGTGGACGTCGAGGCTTTCTTTCTCTCGGTACTTGAGGCGCACTTGGTGGATTACCAATACCTTCAATTTTCCTTGTCGCTTCGTCAATAGACGCGAAAGCTTTCCTTGTCCACTGAGAATCTTCGCCAAACATCAATTCATCCTCTCTCTCTTGCTGCCGTAGCTCCTCAACTTCTTCGTCGTATTGCTCCATCATGTAGTCCTCACTTCCTTTCATGATCCGAGCGTAATCCATAACCTCTGCAGCTGAATACCAAGGTATCTCTTCCGTATTCTCAAGCATCTCAGCGCCATCACGAGGCAAAGCAAGGGTGCTTCCAGGTCTCCTAATCAGAAGTCTGAGCACAACGTCGGTCCCTTCCTGAGGACGTTCGCCTTCCTGACCAACAAACCACCGCACAGGCCGCGTCTCGGAAATATAAATGATGTCGTAGCATATTGGGCACTTCTTCCATCTAGCTCGCTTCTCTGGGATGGGATTTGTGTCATCAGTAGAGTGCATGTAACGTATGAGACATGGCAAGCAGAATATATGGCCACATTTCGCCATTCGGGGAGCCACTGGTTTTGACAAGCAGATAGGACAGTTGGTGGCCTGCGATTGCGCGGAAACCAAGATCTGCAAGACATTATCCCAATCGAGGTGTACATCCGCGTCAACGGCTTGGGCACGATAGTCACCGGAAGGTTTGACAACGAAGCGATAGTTGGCATGAATGTATCTTGTACTTTGTCAGTACTGTGTGAGGAAGCTTGAACCTCATGGCATCAAACCTGATCTTGTCTTGGGCGTGATAACCAGAGCCCACTCCCCAGGTTGGGTTGCGTCTAACGTTCCGCCCAAAATGCTGTTGAGAATTATACTGCGGGCGAGGAGGGAGACTAAAGTTCATGAGATGTGTGATCGACGTTCGACCTTTCCGGCTACTGGTCGATTGCATGGCCGCCTACTCTGATCAGCCATTGGGCCAGTCGAAGTTTCGACTCGTTGATCGCTTCCTGAGAAGAGCACTCACGGACTCAGCAGCAGCATCCTCATCCGCGAGCCTTGGACGACGTTGATTTTTATGTTGCTTGCGGTTCGCTTGACTGTTTCTCGCGCTTGATGACGTGGATCGGTTCTGTGAGCCAGCCCCGAAACTACCTGAACCTCCAATCCGCTTGTGTGAATGGCCCTCTGTCGCTGAAGAAGATGAAGCTTGTGATTGTGCAGGTGATGGGATCTGTGCTGAAGCAGACGCGTTCTTGGACGTTGACAACGTAAGTGCTGGGTTCGACAGCATCGCGGTTCATAGTCGAGAATCTCTCAGATCAATGCAAATTGCCACCTATGTCAGATGACAGACTATCTAAGCTCGAGTATAGCAAATACTGTGACTCTGCTCTGACCCTCGGGGATATGTAGTCCCCAGAGGGGTTGGATGTTAGTCACATCACGAACATGAGGGGCCAAAGGCGATCCGCCCAAAGTCTGAAAAGTCTTGGCAAAACGGTCTCATCGCAGCCTCGAAGAAAACTCCCGGCACAGCAGACAGCTGAAAGTCTTCACTTCACAGCAACTCGTCACACTAGTCCACTTCGAACCCTTTGTAATACAGCTGACTATTGTTATTGACGTCTCATTCCTATTGTCGATTCATCAGACTATTGTTAAATTTAATCCTGCGAAGGCGCGTCCCCATCGGTTTCGGGGTTCTCCATCTTTCCAGTACGCCTGCTCTATTCCTCTCCCTTAAGACCGACGACACACACTTTCAAGGATGTTAGAAGTACTGACAAAAAACCTTGCAGGACTGCTACGACTAAGCCAAGATCAAAATGAACCTCTTGTTGGCGCTTGCGAAGACTAGCAAGAGTTAAGGAGAAGAGCGCTCGGAGGAGCGCAACTCTTCCACATCTTTTCGCCATGAATCAACACCAGCCTGTGCTCTCACAGGTTCCTCCTGCCGTACCCTTCCCAAATGGGCGACCTGGTCAAAATGTTTCATACAGCTCATCACCATATCCTCCACACCCTTCCATGTACCCGGGGTATCCATATCAATATCACATGCCGTACCGACCGGCTCCTCAACAATGGCAACAACAATATCCGATGCACATGGCCATGGGAAGGGGCTATCCACAATATCCTCCGATGAATCCTTACGCCCAGCCCCAGCATTATCCAGTCATGAGACCATCACCCCATCAACATCCCTCATCTTCCTCTGTTCATTCAGGCCAAGGCCTACTCTCACCCTCTCCAGCCAATACTTCGCCGTACACCCCTATGATTCCACCACCACAAGCTCCCAGCCCTCAAAGAATCGCTCCAGCGCCTCCTCCTGCGCCTAGGGCACCTTCTCCGGTACCTACTCGGACGACCTTCTACCCTCCACTTCCTTGGCAGTCTTTTGAGGGCGATTTTGCAGCCCAAAAATCGAGACGAAGAAGAATATTTGACGCTCAATCAGACAACATACCTGTCGTGCTACCACCACGACCAGATGCCAGTGAGCTGTCCATGCAGGTCGAGCCAGACCCTCCCACCAAGACCGAAGCTCCTATTCCTGAAAGACTACCTTCCGCAGGGCCGCCAAGCCTTGAAACACCCCCGACATCTCGACCACCTTCTGAGATAGTGTCGACACAACCTACAACTCCCTCGTCCGTCGCACCTCCTCGTCAAATTACACCCAAAGCTTCCTCTACTGCGCCATCAGCGGTACCTGCAGTCTCTATTCGACCAGCAGTGCCGAATATTCCTCTTCCAGCTCGTGCGTCAAAACAACCTAGTGGAAGCGTGGTATCCGAGACCACAAAACCTTCAGAACTATACGTCGACAACACGGGCTTGACACAAGACTCTACTACAGTACCTGAAGAAGCCAAGCCGGCGCCGGCCAAAGTTGCTCCCAAATCATGGGCCGATCTCGTCAGGACCAAGGCTGCCCCTGCGTCTAGTCCCGCAAGCTCAGCAGCCGCTACATCGAATGGAAATGCCCACAAGAATGAATTATTTGATTCGAAGACGAGTTTTCTTGTAGACGTGCTAAAATCCTATAATGTCAAAGAAGGTACCGACAAGATATCCTTCCTGGAACCTCGTGGTCTCGTCAATACTGGCAACACGTGCTTTATGAATTCTGTGAGCTCTACTTGATGACTATCTAGTCTATACTTCAATTTCTGACAATCCCTCAGGTTCTGCAAATCCTTTTGTTTTGTGTCCCATTCTATGCGTTTTTGGAAAAAGTTGGCAAGCAAGCAGTACATAGCTTCAAGAGTGATACCCCAATGATGGATGCTATGTGAGTTACAGATGAGTTACTTCGCAGTGTGACTACTGATCAAGCATAGGATAATGTTCATGCGAGAATTCAAAATCATTGATGCGACTGTATCTGTTGAGCAGCTTCGCATGCGTCTGAAGGACAAAGAGCTTGAGCAGTACGGAGAATCCTTCGTTCCTGAATTTGTCTATGCTGTGATCAGGCATGTACCACGCTTTGCCTCTATGCGCGTAAGTTCATACACTTGTTTGACGCCAAGCGCTTGCTAATCGAAACAGCGCGGTCAACAGCAAGATGCTGAGGAATTCCTTGGCTTTTTACTTGAGGAGCTGCATCTTGAATGTAGCCGAGTTTTGAATTCAGGCGGACCAAAATCTGCAACCGGCGCTTCATCTCCCAGCGAAGGTGTAAAGTCGCCACAAAGTTCAAGTAGCGGAATAGCAGTAGTCGACGAAGGCATGTGGTTAGAAGTCGGCCCAAAGCAGCGAGCCGCAATCACACGTTCATCTGGCGCCATTACGACCGAGTCCCCAGTCACGAAGATTTTCGGGGGCAACCTCCGATCAGAATTGCGTATTCCCGGGAAGAAGAACTCCGTAACTCTCGAGCCATATCAACCTTTACAGCTTGATATTGGTGCGCCGCAAGTGAACAACATCGTTGATGCTTTGAAGAATCTCACCAAGCCGGAAACATTGCACGGTGATTTCGAATCCCCGCGCGGACCCGGTTCCACTGCAACTAAACAGGTCACCATCGAAACGCTTCCAGAGGTCTTGATACTTCACCTCAAGCGCTTCCAGTACGACAACACGGGTGGGGCACAAAAGATTTGGAAGAAAATAGGCTACCCCCTTGACCTAGAAATTCCCAAAGAAGTCTTCCCCCAGCATAAACGCGGTGGACTTGTAGCTCATGGAGGTCTTCCCAAATATCGTCTTGTTGGTGTCGTCTACCATCACGGCAAAAATGCAGGCCTTGGTCATTACACCGTGGACGTACGACGACAAGATGGCCGCGAATGGATTCGTATCGATGACACGGTGATTAAGCGGATTCGCAGTGACGACGTGGCAGCAGGTGGCAGCGAAGAGGACCCAAAGCTTCTGGCGAAAGCACTCGAACAACATAAGAATGACCAAACCACAAATAAAGGTGGCAGCGTCTACGACCAATTTACTGTAGACGAGGACGAGGATCAGCCGAAGACCGAGAAGCCTTGGAGTCATGTCCATGAGAATCTCAATGACGTATCAGCAGGCAAGAAGCGATCAGCTGCAGTCAATGGTAACCTCACGCCGAAGGCCTCTAGCTCAGGAAAAGCGACGCCAGTTGGCAGGCATACTTCGGTCAAGGACAACAAAGTCGCCTATATCTTATTCTACCAGAGACTATGATTCAAAAGAGCATCATGACCCCTAAGCGTGACTCTTAGGCGGCAGCTAGGATCGAAGTCGACTTAGTAGGTTCTATACAGCTAGGTATGTGAAGGGGATGAGATGGACCAGACAGTGTGAAGATGGTGGTCCAAATTTTGCGTGCCATCTATCGCTTTTTCTTAATCTATCGAAGATACCCAAGAAGCAAAAGGCGAAGATGAAAAGAGAAAAATTCGATCCAAATGTGTACAAGCCTGTGCCGAGTCAGTGACACATGTATATGTTCTGCATTTTTTGTCCCTGCGCGACCAAATATAGGTTTCAGGTAGTATGAATAGGGTCGTCCGTTGTTGAAAGAGACAGTTGAGGCTCACGCTGACTTTGGTTGACATCCCTGATGGTTTTCGAGATCTTTGAGTGTACATAGTTATATCCGACCGCAAACTTTTGGCCCTGTTCGACTTTCCCAGCTCCAAATCAGATTGATTAGAGGCACCAAATTTTACCCTTGATCACTTCTAAATATCTTGTGCCCTTTCAATGCTCATGAAAAGACATTGACCGCTTTAATCAGTTGTGCATAATCCGGTCCACCAATAATTAGGACAGCGCAAAACCTCATAAAAGCTCACAGCTCAATCTTGGTCCTGATAACATTCTCCGCCAACGGCCCTGCAACAAACAACCACCCCTCCTTCCTACCCTCATTCTCCCGCGGATCGATGGCTACGAGGACTGCTGTGCTAGCGGTATGGATGACACGTCCATCATCCTGAAAAATCAAATGATGTTCCCACCCCTTCTTCCCTTTCTCATCTCTCCCCTCCCCCTCTAGCATCCCGTCCCTTCCTCCACCCTCCGCTTTCGCCGTCCTCTGGACCAACCATACACTGACTGGCTGACTCTCATCCTTGGGAAACCCCATCGCCCTTGTCAAGCACGCCAACACATACCCACTCGCATTCCGCCCCCCACTCTCCCGTACATACGGATCTTCGAAATAAAATGGATTATCCACCGTCGTCTTCAATCTCACCTGCTCCGTGATCTCTAGCGTCTTATCATCCCTCGGCCGCAAAATCGCCATCATCCCTGCCACCGCTCTCCCTAGGACCACTTCGCCATTGGGCCCATGTCCTAGCCCATTCGGATTGTGGGTCTCCCTCAGCGCGACCTTCGCGTCCACGCCTTCTGTCCCGCTCGAAGCATCTAAAGATGCCCAATGCACGTACACGACATCAGACCACCCGGCAAACTCGTGGCCGCCAAATTCCTCAATCTGACGCATTAAGCCGCCGCGGTAGTAGTGGTCGTTTGTCACATAGATCTCGTGCTCGTTAACGGCGTATATATCGTTTGGCGTACGGATTAAAGGGTGAGTTACCGAGCGAAGGTGTGTCGTGCTACTGTTGCCTATCGTGTACTTGAATAATTCGACCTGTGACCGCGCGGCGGGGATGTCAACGGCGGCGTCCTTTATCCCGGCCAGATGAGCTGGATTCGGCAGATGGTTGATGGCGAGGATGTATACCGCCTCCGGCTCCGAGGGGGAGTGTAAATGTCGATGCCATGAGTCACAAACGGTCCGGAGAAGTTTTCGAGCTCTAAGACAGTTTTCTCCGTGGTGGAGGGATCAATGGTGAAGATCTGCCCCGTGCTGAGGTTGTGCGGGTCAGCGTAATTGGCGGTGCCAGGGAACCAATTGCTGCGGGACCGGGGGTCCGTTTCTGCAACGCCGAAGATCAGGTTGCTGGCGGCATGGTAGTGGATGTCTTCGCAGCCGTTGGTGTTGGGGATAGTGGTGAGGTGCGTCCCGTGGACGTTGCGGATAGTGGAGGGGGGCGAGAGAAACCCAGAACTTCGTACCGCCAGAGGAAAGCATCTTTTAGGAGGTAGATGAAAGAGACGGAGATGGAGAGAAGGAGGATGAGAATCGAATACAAAGTATTTCTAGCCATAAGAAAGATCAAACGAACGAGCTACTTGAACGAGGTATTTCTCTCACCCTTATTTCTGCAGATCAGTGCACGAACATCATACACGGGTCTTCAGACAACATCAGTTGAATACAGGCTATCGAGACTTCGATATTTGGCATAGCTCAAGACACACAGATGGTATAAAATCTGGTGTTCCCAATGCTATGACGTCTTGGGAATGACGAAACGATGTATCAATGGGGTATTTTTCCATTCCCGATTATGCTGCCACTACTTTGACAAGAGCAGTCCAGAGATGTCCCAGAAGAGACACTTACAAAGGAAATCGTAGCATGTGTAGACACGTCCTCCCAAATTGACTGAATAGCACTCAGCCTGAAAGGTGGCTCTGCTGAAATTTACTGTCATAAGGAGCTCTAAATGACAATCATAGGGAGCCAGGCCCTGGAGCATACCCTATAGACCGATCTCTGGGGAGAGATCATTAGGGGGCCATGTCGGGGGAGCTTATGCGCTAGCGTATCGTATTTAAATTACACTTAAACGCGTACCTATCGCGAATTTCTTTGCACTCATTCGATGTTGATAAAGCCTTGCTTTTACATCACCTCTATCTGTTGAACGGTCGCCATGGCGGAAGAGGTCAAAATCGATAGAGAGCTTTTTCACAGCCGTCTCTCTCACCTGATCTCTACTTGGAAGAATGACAAACGATCATCAACCGACGCGTTGTTTGCTGGAGCTGGCTCAATAGTGATAATACTTGGGAAGAACGAAGAAGTTCCAACATATCACAAAAGTAATGCTCTGCATGTAAGGGGGAAAAATTTCGTGCTGATCTCGAAGATATATTGCTGACACACTGCAGTCATGGCTACTGGGCTACGAATTTCCAGCTACTTTGATGGTATTCACGCCAGAATCCCTCACCGTTGTCACAACTGCGAAAAAGGGTACATGACTCATACTCAGATCACACAAAGCCTAGCTAAATCGATCATACAGCAAAACATCTTGAAGCGCTGAAAGGTGGCAAGATTCATCTCGAAGTTCTGGTGCGAGGCAAAGATTCAGAAGAGAATGCAAAACAGTTTGAAAAGTGCCTAGATGTCATCAAATCTGCCGGAGTAAGACCTATGATCCAACCCTTGGGACTGTCGACTGAATACACATAGAAAAAAGTCGGAACCTTACCAAAAGATACTGCCGCGGGGCCGTTTGCCGATGAGTGGAAGAAAGCCCTTGGTGATGTTTCAAAGGACGTCGAAGAGGTTGATATCTCCACGGCACTATCCGCTGCGGCTTTCTCCGCCAAAGATGAGACTGAGCTGGTAGCCTGGAGCCCAACGTCATGACTATCAAAGGCTAACTCAAAATCAGCGTTCAATGCGCAACGCCTCGAGAGCATGCACAGGCATGCTAACCGAATACTTTGTGGAGGAAATGTCGTCGATACTGGACGAGGAGAAGAAAGTCACCCACAAGAGCTTGCAAGACAAGATCGATGGGAAACTCGACAATCCCAAGTTCTTCAAGGGTCTCAAGACAAAATTACCTTCCGATTTTGATAGCAGCCAGCTTGATTGGGCGTATGGCCCCACTATCCAGAGTGGTGGTCATTACGACTTGAAATTATCGGCGCTCTCGGACGACAAGAACCTTCACGCTGGCATCATCATTGCGGGACTCGGGCTACGTTACAAGAGTTATGCTTCGATGGTCGCGCGAACTTTTATGGTGGATCCGAACACGTCTCAAGAGCAGAATTACAAATTATTGAGTTCGATACAGGATATGCTGATACGTGAGGCCCGGGAGGGTGTAGTAATCAGAGACCTTTACAACAAAGCTATTGCCCTTATCAAGAACAAGAAACCGGATCTAGAGAAACACTTTTTGAAGAACATCGGTGGAGGTGTGGGCTTTGAGACTCGAGATCCAACTCTTGTCATCAATGCACGAAACACAAGGCAATTGAAAGACGGCATGACCTTAACGTTGGCTCCTGGGTTCACCGATCTCTCGAACCCGAGCCCACAGGACAATAAGAGCAAGAATTACAGCCTCTTCCTCTGCGATACGGTCCGAGTCCTAGGCAAGCAGGATGACGCAGCCAATTTCACAAATGGTGCTTCCAGTGAAATTGGTACTGTCTCGTTCTATTTCAAAGACGAAGAGGAAGACGAAGCGCCCAAGGAAAAATCGAAGAAGAAAGACCCAAAAGTCGGCGCAGTTGCATCCAACAACATTGTGAAGACCAAACTTCGAGATAACCGTGGAAAGCAAACCGATGATGGTGCGGAGGCTAGGCGGCGTGAGCATCAGAAAGAGCTTTCCGAGAAGAAACAACGCGAAGGTGTCGCCAATTTCAGCGAGGCGACTGGTGATGCCAACGGGGTTCAACAGAAGAAATTCAAGAAATTCGAGTCTTACAAGCGGGACAATCAGTTTCCTTCCAGAGTGGGTGAGTTGGCCATTGTAGTCGACGAAAAGGCTTCAACAATTGTTCTGCCCATCATGGGCAGACCGGTACCTTTCCACATTAACACCGTAAAAAACGCTAGCAACAGCACAGAGGGAGAATTCGCCTACTTACGAATCAATTTCTTGTCGCCAGGCCAAGGCGTTGGACGCAAAGACGACCAGCCCTTTGAAGATCCTACAGCTCACTTTGTGCGGAGCCTTACTTTTAGATCGACAGATGCTAATCGTATGTCGGATATTGCGGATAAAATAACTAATCTCAGAAAGGCAGCGGTACGCCGTGAGCAGGAGAAGAAGGAGCTGGAGGATGTTGTAGAGCAGGACCAGCTCAAAGAGTTGCGACGTAGGTCGCGGACGACCATTTCTGAATACCCAGCTAACAGTAAGCAGATGCAAGGCCACAGCACCTCGATAATTGCTACGTACGCCCAGGCTTGGAAGGTAAACGGATAACTGGCGAGGTCCAAATACAAGCGAACGGCCTGCGCTATTTCGATGCTCGTGGCCAGCGAGTTGACGTTCTATTCAGCAATATCAAGCATCTTTTCTTCCAACCCTGCACTCACGAACTCATAGTCATCATCCATGTGCACCTTAAAGATCCTATCATGATTGGTAAGAAGAAGGCTAAAGACGTGCAATTCTACCGAGAAGCCACGGACATGGCATTCGATGAGACCGGCAATCGGAAGCGCAAACACCGCTATGGCGACGAAGAAGAATTCGAACAGGAACAAGAAGAGCGTCGACGCAGGGCACTACTCGACAAAGAATTCAAGAATTTTGCAGAGAAGATCAACGCAGCTTCTCCCGACACAGGCACGGACATTCCATTCCGAGAACTTGGCTTCAACGGAGTTCCTAACCGCTCTAATGTCCTCATGCAACCAACACAAGACTGCCTTGTCCAGCTCACAGAACCTCCATTCACAGTCATCCCCCTGGACGAGCTCGAAATCGTCCATCTCGAACGTGTCCAATTCGGCCTCAAAAACTTCGACATGGTCTTCGTCTTCAAGGACTTCCATCGGCCCCCAGCTCACATTAACACCGTCCCCGTCGAAGCTCTCGAGAATGTCAAAGACTGGCTCGACAGCGTCGATATCTCCTACAGTGAAGGCCCCCTCAATCTTAATTGGAGCACCATTATGAAGACCGTTACTGCGGACACCCACCAGTTTTTTAGGGATGGCGGATGGAGCTTCCTCACGATGGAGAGCGATGATGAGGAAGAGGAGGAGGAGGATGAGGAGAGCGCGTACGAGATGAGTGAGAGTGATTTTGGGGCGAGTGAGGAGAGTAGTGCGGACAGTGAGTTTGACCATGATGCTAGTGCTGATGAGGGGGATGCTAGTGATGATGATGAGAGTGGGGAGGATTGGGATGAACTGGAGAGGAAGGCGAAGAAGAAGGACCGGGAGGGAGGATTGGATGATGAAGAGAAGCCGAAAAAGAAAAAGAAATAGTTCGGTCATGCTTCTGGGCGTTGGGGCTCTCTTCCGTGGGCTTCACATGTTGCTAGGAGATGGTTGATTTACTCATGGCAACCAAGGCAGATTGAATGGGAATTACTAAGATACCATGTGTTTGACTAGAATGATATTTGACATTGGACTTGTCATCATGATCATTGACATCTTTACATGATTTCCATTTGCTTCGTACGTTGCGAACGTTTATTATGCTAACCTTCTACAATGCTCCCAAAATGCAGCTCTCGGCACTCAACGATGCTATGGAGACATTCACAGGACATACAACCAATAGAGTAGATACGAACGTAGTAACCGCCGAAGCTTTCACCTCGTCGCTTTAGCAACCTCATCAGCAAATACCCACAACCCGCCTCTCAACGCTTCCTCCCTTCTCTCCTCTACCTTCCTCCGCTCCATCAAGCGCGCCTGCTCCCTCAATTCTTCGTTCTCCTGCGTAGACGGGAAATCCGTGTCCCAGAAGCCTGGCGGCTCGGCTGCCTTCGAAAATGTCTGCCGATGCTTGCCGAACCTGTCTTTCCACTGCTGACTGCGCGCTTTGTGAAGCAGCTCCTTCTTCTCAGCTGGGGTGATGGTGGAGAGGGTACGCTGGTAAGAGGGGCCGAGGTAGTCTTTTAGGAGCTTGTCGTCGTTGTCGCTGGTGGTGAGTGGGTTGTTAGTGGAAGAGGAAAGAAAGCCGCTGGCGTCAAGGAATTTGTCAATTTCTTTGCAGCGTTGGCAGTTGGGATCTGTGCAACCGCCGCGGGATTTCTTCTCGTCGTGTCGACGGAGGGATTCGTGGAAGGCGAAGGAGCTGTGGGCGGGGTTTGGTTTGAAGTCTTCGAGTTTGAGACGTTGAAGGGGACGCGCGCGGAGGGGCTCATCGTCAGGTTGGATGGAACCAGATCTCAAGATATTTGGTGTCGATTTCCTAAGATATATTTTGGGGTTGCGAAATTTGGATGCTAGAACTTGGGCGGGTTCGCTGCCTGGCTGAACTATAGCTTTAGACTGTTTTGCAGGTGCGGTCTGGGGCGTCCTAAGCGAAGCTTTGGCCCCTGGGGTAGTCGCTGTGGGCATCACTTTCTTGGTTTCTTGATTGTGATCCGAGATTAGAGGATTCTTAGGGGGTGAAGGGTCATTCAAAAGCTGGCCGAGCCGCTCGTGACGGTTGGGATCCTTAGAAGCTACTTTTACTGTGACGCCCTTGCCCTCCTTGATAGTTTTCGAGGTGCCGGATGGCACTTTTGGGGACGTGAGGCCCTCTCCGTCCTCTGCTAGCATGGGAACTGCAGCAGCTCCATGGTCACGCCGGCTGGGAGGAGTACGTCGCCCCTCGAGATGCTTGCTATGACTTGTCCATGGCAAGGTAACCGAGCCCAAAGTGGTCGTCATGCCAGAGCTAAATTCGTCGTCTTCGTGTCGGTGTTGTCCGGAGAGAGTCGTCAATATGCGTGGCGTCTTTGGTGAATCCGTGGTATTTACTCTCGCTAAAGATCTTTTTGCGTGTACACGTTGGTTATACGCATTCTGTTGGGCTATTTGGGCTTCCTTTCGAGCTCGTCTTAACTGCTGCTCTAAGATCTGAGTTTCACTTTCAATGCTGGTCGTATCTTGATCTGGAAGTATCAACTTATGGGAGACAGACAGTGGCCCAGCCTCGTCATGAATTTCTTCTCCCGTAATCAGCGTTGGGTCTTGCTCTTCCAGATTTTCATTCCATGCCATTGTAGACGATCGCATCACTTGCTCAAGCCTTTGCCTCTTTCGCGGCGTGTAGAGCGTTCCCTCGACATCATCTAAGTCCAGGCTGTCGCCTGCGTTGTTTCGCTGGTTGACGAGTTTAGAAGGTTGTAGGGGGCTACTTGAGAGCAACTCGACCTTGACACCATGTTTTCTTTGGGCAATTGGGTGAGCCACCCGATCTTGGTGGATATCAATGCGTGGCTCTGGCTCGTTTGATAATTTTTTGCGCTTCAAGGAGCGTTCAGAGACAACGATCGGTGATGAGCCTTCTGAATGTTCTACTTTCTCAGGCCGTGCCTCTAGATGAACTAACACATCTTCACACCCAACACGGGCTGCGTCTTCTGCTTCTAGTTCAGTAACGTCGAATGTTTCTGCAAGCTCATCCACCACTTCGTCTTCCTCTTGATGGATTGCTGTTTGAGTTGCCGCGAAATTAAACGCGACTTCTTCGCCACCGGCATCAGCACCTAGCTTTACGTTTCTTCGCGCGTTCTGGTGAAATGAAGTAGGCCTAGACGAGTTACCTCCATCGGAAGAGGTCGGCGGGCATGTTGGGGGCGCAGAGTCCCTTGGAGACTTTGGTTCGAGACTGGGCTTGCTCGATGACTCCCCATTCCTTCTGCTTTTCTTTGGTGAATGCCGCCGATGAGGTTGTCGCTCGATCCAATCACGATAGTAGGCTCTCCACTCTTTTTGTATTGCTTTGTATTTTCGGATTCTAATCTCCAGCATTCTTTTTGCCGTATTCACCTTTCGGAAATCCTCCTTGCATAGTAGAAGCTCAGCCTCGACTTCTTTCAGTCTGACTCCAAGCAATGCCGAGGAGACCGCCTCCCCAGCTCTGCCAGCATTGTGCTGTTTCTCATCTTCGAGCTCTGATACCCGAGCTTTCAGCGCGTGAATATCTTGCTGATATCCATTCCTCTCAGCGTCAAAGGCCGCATCATCTAAACAGCCATTTAGACAGGTTTCCCGTCGTGACAATGGTGGAAGTAGGACGAACGAGATTTTTGCTCTTGGGCAAGCTCTGCTTTGACATCTGCGATGTGCTCATGCAAGGCTATCTGAAGGTTTTGTTCGAGGCCATTCAGTGTCTCCATATGTCTTTCAGAGTAAGATCGTCATGCGCAGAATGTTGATGCAATTGCATCGACCAGACGCCGACGCGGCGGCAGTGGACGTGTGGCGGAAATAGCACGGGTATAAGAGCAGGTTTCTTGGCGAGGGCCGGCGCGTCTCCTTCTTGAAGTGGCCGTGTTTCCTCGACGTTCAGAGTACTCTTCTCATACTGTCTTGTCTTGAAGGTATGTGTCAACGTCTATATGCCATATGTGATTATCTGCCTATATTACACATCGAAGCGTAAGATGGCCAATGTTGGCGTTCACTCTCATCGGCCTGGCGGGCCCTCGGTGCTCATCAAAGTCCGCGCCAAAGCCACTCTCGCGTACAAATACAACATCAATACTTTTATTTTCAAAAATAAAGATATATAATTCTGGCGTCTCTTTCTGCTGTCTTCGAAAAAAAGCCCCCTAACATTCCCGGAATGACTGCCTCCCACACCCCTGCAGCCTACCCAGGCGACAACCTCATCCCCGTGGCACCCATGCTGTACGATCAATATCGGGTCATAGATGCTTCAGCTTCTGATATTTGGCCGTGGATTTTGCAGCTCGGCGCAGGTCGCGGAGGATGGTATCTCACCACGTTCTGGGAGCGCTTCTTTCCCGCAGGATGGACAGCTAGCAGAAGGATCGAACCGCAGTGGCAGACGCTGGTGGTGGGGGATAGGGTCAGGGACTACGGTAAGTCTGTATCAATTTGCAGGGAATGTGTCGACTTTGTGTAGACGTAAATGAACGGAGACTTGTGAGACTCGGGTGAATTGGGAGAAGAGAGCATTGGCCGCGCTGACAAGAGGATCATTTCAGGCAGGGATAAGTGGTTTAATGTTATGGAAATCGAAGCACCAAGGGCTTTGATATACAGGAGCGAAAGGTACGGATGTGTCTTTTCTTGGGCGATTCTGTTGGAAGATGCAGAGGGGCGGGAAGGGTACTCAACTGTGCATTTGAGGTTTAGGGGAGCAATAAAAAGCGAAGGGTGGAAGCGGTGGGCCATCGTCTGGGGAGGGGGGTGCTAGATCATTGGACGACGAAACCAATGCTGGCGGGGTTGGCAGAGAGGGCGGAGAGCCCATGAGTAGTAAGTGGTCTCGTAGGATCACATACATCCGGGGTACATTCTGAGACAACGCAAACCTTCTCTGCAAAATCAAGTATTCGAAAAAGGGTTCTTGAAGAGGTTTTGCGAGCTGCAAAAGCCATCCCTAAGTTTTCTGCGAGGGGGCACCAGGGGGTGGCCCTCTTTGATCAAAGTTTTGCCAAAGATAATAGGCATTTACGTGGCTTGCTGGGTTTTCTTGCCACGAAGTTGCTCCCAATAGCCATTATGAGCAATCGTAAATCCTTCATAGCAGCTAGCTAACTAGGACATCTACCGATAACGCTCGAGTTGTTATCCTCGGTAACGGTCACTAGCCAAGAAAGCCTTGATATTGGGGCGCTCCTCTGTCGCATTGACGAGAGCCTTGAGTCTTGGATACTCCTGAAGACCCTTCCCTCCTTCTTGTGTCAGATTCTCGTCGTGTAAGATCTGGTAGAGGACGATATCGGCATAGGTAAAGTTCTGGCCCAGGATAAAAGACCCGCTTTTCGAGTCGTGAGTTGCCAAATGCGACTGAATGCCCTCTAGGAAACGTTTACGGTCGCCTTCTTGGTGCTTTGGATATGTTTCTTGCTGGTTCGGATTGAGGAAAGCGGCGAGGAAAAGCGTCCGCCCTTGAAGCAACAGTCACTCATTGTTGCAAACAAAGCGAATGAGGTCAGAGCTTACAGTCCGAAACAACATCAGTGATTGCATCAATCCAGTATTCCTCGTCTTCACTTTGCCCTCCGTATTTCCCCAGTACTCGCGCAAAATGCCTGAGGATGGCATATGACTGTGTCAAGATCTTCCCGTTCAACTTGACCACGGGAATCGTCTTCACCGGGTTGAGCTTGGCGAGCCCCGTCTCCTTCCATTCAGGGTACTCTGGAAAACTGTAGCGCGTATCGTCATAGGCAATCTGGGCATCTTCTAGCAGCAAGCGAACAGCTTGCCCACGCCCACGTGATTGAAAGTCGAAATAGAGGATCTCAGGTATGCCACCCAACGCGTCATTGCCCTCCGATGGGGAAAGTGCTCGTTGGGTAGTTGGCATCTTTTACGCGATGTAATGAGTCAATCGTCACTTTCTTTAGAAGAAGGCACTATGTTCAGGCCTAGAAGGATTTGTAGCGAGGTAGCATAGGCTAAAGAGAGTTGGAAGCGAAAGATAGAAGGGCAGATGAAGATGAAATGACATGTCACGCTGGCCCTGCAGGAGCTTCATTTTCACAAACCCTGAGCTCGCTTGACAATGCAGCCTTGATAGCTTGTGATGTCATTTCAACATGCACACGTTTTCGAACGGAACATTTTCAAGCATCGGTGGCGCACGTGGCCCGACGCGAATCCGCATCCCACATGCACGCCATCCCACCGGCCACTACCCAAACAATTTGCCTGCCGTAACACAAGTGGCCAGAGTGGGACATCTACCTGATATTGAATATCCAAGGCTAGTGAGCCTTGCGGGTCGACTGATCGGACCTGTGGATGACACAGTGAAGCCTCTCAGCATCAGGAGATGACCCTCGTGCGGCCAACATCACGGACAATGTTTCTCTCAGGGATATGATGCCACTGTCCCCCGGTTTGCGGAATGGATCCCACTTGTAGTACAATATAAGTAGCAGTGCTTGGCTGCATCATGAGGATACATACCTGTTCCTGCATTCAGCATCCCCACCTCCTCAAGACCAAATTGCGCTCTAGACCTTTACACAATATGCGACCTTTCCTTGCATGCTTGGCATTGTTGCCACTACTTTTTACCTTCACATGGGCCCTCAATGCCGGAGAAGAACTGAAAGTCAGGACTACGCTGTCTCGCTTCGCCATCTTCGTTGACGACGATGACTTTGACCATTTGGACCAGATCTTCACCCCTGATGTCTACGCCGACTACGCTGGCTCCATCAATAAAGGCCTGCCCGCATTCGAGGCATTTCTGAGAAGGGGCCTCGGCGGTATCGTCTCCCAGCATGCCGTAAGCACAACTGTCATCGAGGATCTTGGGGATTCCCTCAACTCCACCGCGTATGTTACAGCCGGATTTTTAGGGCCAGGCAAGAATTCCACAACATGGGTTGGCTCAGCTGTGACACTGTATGGCAAGTACCATGACACATGGACCCGTGTTGGTAAGGATTGGAGAATCAAGCAGAGAATTTTTGAGCAATTCGTACGTTAGCCCAACCTGCATTCAGACAGGCATTTACTAACAATGGACGCCAGCCACCTGGATTCGTAGGCAATCCGGCCCTTATCCCGCCCCCGTGAGCTTCTGCGGGTAAGGAATAGCCTATTGGGTGACGCGAAATGGGCAATACTCGATGAGTAGAGACAAGGAGGTAATTTCAACGTACCGCGGATGAGGTGACAGTCTGTAAAATTAAAATTGTTCAACCAAAATGGCGGCGCTATTGAATTGGTAGACTTTTCAGTGCCTCTTATGCAATGTTTATGGCTTGCAATAAGCTCACCAAAAAAGAAAGATAGTAGCTTGATGGGTAATGCTACGAGCGTCGAGGAAAGCATGACTTGACGTTCTCCAGTGGGCTCTCTTTAAGGCTCTACTGGCGGCATTTATCCCTAAAGCAGAACCATTCGCGGGCATGCCCATTCGCGGCCCCTATTTCCGCTCCCATACCTTAGCGCCCGCTGTAAGACGTCAGCAAGATGGAACTCCGCACTCTTCATCGGCGCGGTAGATCCGTATTATGATCAATTGATCCGTCTCATACAGCACGATAATCTGCCTTCCCTTATTACTTGCTCCCACCAACATGCCTTCCCAATCGCCAGGCCCCACAGCTCTCACCCAAACATTCACCTACCCACCATCTTCTCCCCTGCCTTTTCGCATTCGCTACACTCGGCTTGGCCCTTCAGATGGCATCCCAGTGATCTTCATCCACGGAACGCCGTGGTCATCACGCCTCTGGGCTCCTTTTGCCCTCGCCCTTTCACACACAGGCCACTCGGTCTACCTGTTTGATAATCCAGGCTATGGGGAGTCACCAGCTCCGGAAGCTAGTGCTGAGTATGACATTACGAAAGATGGCGGCCTCTGGATGCAGACCGAGGTATTCGCGGCATTATTTGCGGAATGGGGCTTCCCAATAGCAGGAGGAGGGAAGCAGGAACAAGGAAGCGGCGGTACAAGAGGCAAGAAGCCACATGTGATCGCACACGACAATGCAGGGCTGTGTGCACTGAGAGCCAATATTGAGCATGGATGCGAATATGCAAGCCTCCTGCTCGTGGATGTTGTTGCAGTGGGGCCTTGGGGCCTGGATTTCTTCAAATTGGTCAATACGAATCAGGGAGTCCTTGAGGCTCTCCCGGGCAACATGTTTGAAGGAATCGTTAGGGGCTATATAAAACCCGGTGCATTCAAGCCCCTGAAAGAGGAGGTTGAGGATGATTTGGTGGGGTGGTGGGTCACTAAGGAGGGGCAAAAAGCGAAGGGGCCGGGACAAGCCGGCTTTGTGAAAGTCTTTGCGCAGGCAAGTGGAAGAGTTACTGAGGATGTGGAGGAGAGGTATAAAGAGGTGGTACAGAAAGGAGTGAAGGTCAAGGTTGTGTGGGGGAAAGAAGATCGATGGGTTCCTGTCGAGCGCGGAGAGAAGCTGAGGGAGAAGCTAGGAGGCGAGACGAAGCTTGTGGTCGTCGAAGAAGCGGGACATCTGATACAGCTGGATCAGCCAGAAAGACTCATGGTTGAGATTCTAACGTTCATACAAGAGGCGGGCAGTCCAAATACGTCCCAATGAACGGCAGCGATGAATGGAATGAAACTTTTCATTCTTAGCATGCGAGCTTGCTCTATGCGAAGCTGAAGCACGATAGACATACACTGTCGGACGTGAAAGGTTGCACCCATAAAATTAGCCGATCTCAGGGACAATTTCTAACAGGAGGGTCCAAAGTGCTCATAACGGGCTTCACAAAGACGAGGGTCGTTTTGTGATAGGTGGGTTCCTGAAGGATGAACCCCGGGTCATCCTACACAATGCCAAATCCGTCTGTTCGATATCCGCTATGGCGAAAGAAGTCTCTGAATTCCGCCGGCTTTACTGAACGAAGTATCCTTCAACAAAGCGATCATTGCACTAGATTACTATCATGAGCACGGTCACAGTTATGCCAAATACTTGAACCTCTTCGTCGCAGTAAGGACGATTTATGTTAGACTTAGGGATACAGCTTCTTAAAAGATATGATTCGAGAGTTCCAGAGGGTGGATTTGGGATCTACAAAAAGTCGAGCTTGGATTCACAGGTTTCAATTTTCCTTGAAATGGGATATTCATACAACTAACGTTCTATGCTTCAAAACTCCCGCGTCGTCATTGATCCATTCTGGGCCCAAAGCCCTTGGGGGAAATGCTTCCTAACACTAATGTTCGCTAAACCGACACTTTTCAATACTGGAAATATTCCGGGACTGTACTCCCAATGAAATGGATTTCTAGACCGTCTGTTTCAGTCGAACGACCAACATGTCGTCCAAAACCTTCAAAGCCTCCTTGATATCCTTGGTGGATGGAGTCTCAAGTACAGACTTTCCAGCCGTCATTGTCAACCGTTCGGGGGCTGGCTGTTCCAGATATGGCATCACCCGAGCCCTGTGAGCTGCTCTGAACACCTTCAAATGGTTCACGATCTTCTTGATCTCTTCCGCGATCGCTGAATCGGCTGTCTCATCCAGCTTGTTCCGAAAGCAGTTTTTCTTGAGTGAAAGACATAGATCTCTCTGGTTGGCTGGAATATATCTATCCATGTTCAGGTCCGTAAGATAACGGTCCATACCCAGGAAAGCATCTAGTGCTTGAAAGAAAAGGACGTGATTGCCGGAAAGTCCATCAAACTTGACGAATTCGCCGTCAATCATTCTTCCCACACCCCAGCCTTGGAAGCCTTGAACATAACTTAGCCACACTGAATGCGACACTTTAGACTCAGTGAGGTTCTGATAAAAGACCATAAGAAGATGTCGAACTCTAAAGGTCATGCTTTCCAAGTGTTGCAGGCACGTTTCCTTGTCACCTCTCTCGAAACAGATACCAGATTGAACCATGTCGTAATAGATCGGGAACGCCTGAGACATCATTAGCAAGGTCACAACATCAGTTTCATGGATGCGAACATACCAAAACTTCCAGATCGTAGAACATGCGGAAGAAGGTCTCCTCTGAGGAGGTAATCACGTCTGACATGCCGACGTTGATTTTATAGACTCTTTCGCCTTTCTCGTTGAAGTTGTGCAGAACGTTAGCCGTATTGTTGCCGGAGTCCGCCTCGACACCGAAGCTTTGCTGAAGATATGGCCATGGAACATTCAGTGACTCTGGAAAATCGACCGTTTTCTCAAGTTGAGCGACTTTAACAACCGGAATAGTTCCCCAACTATACTTTATTAGCCTTAATACATCTCATCCATGCGCGGGGAAGGTACCGATACGCGTGTCGGCAGACCGCAACGCAACAATAAAATCCGTTGTAAGCATCTCGGGGGCAGGCACTCCAGTCTCCAGCCTCGACGGCAGTCATTAGGTTTTGAACCTCAGTGACGTTGATGCGCTCCTGCAGAAGCTTTCGCATCAAAGAGCGGTATTTGCCACGTCGCTCTTGATTAATGTCATCATCTGTCGATGGCTCTGCGGCAGGCAACAAGGGAACACACTCCAGGTAAATATCTTTGTACGGCTGAAGCGCGGCTGGCCACGAATCATGGTTGGCTTTCGGCGGCCACGCTCCTGCTCCATCTTTGTCAACCAGGTCTGATAGGATGGACGCTGTCTCATGTTGTGCCTTCAGGACCCTCAAATCTTGGTATATGCGGCGATTCCCAGTCTCATCGATGTTTTCGACAGGCTTGCTGAGCTTTTTCCACGACAGAAGTGTCGTAAAAAGGGCTAGAGCACCAAGAAAGCCGGAGATACAAAGCAAGACATAGGGTTCGTTCAGCCGGGGCTTACTCAATGCAAATCGTAACATGCTGAATTGGAGGTAGGTGTCTAGGTGAATGTCGGAAGCAGCCTTCATGGTAGACGCAAAAGATTTCCACAATCCAGGATTCTGGAGGACCTGGGCGACCATGCAGTCTACCGTTCCCAGGCATACTATGTATGACATTGTCGAGATTGCGTCTCTTGGAGACGTCTTCGGTGAATATCGAAGCATCTTCAGTGTTGTGAGAGTGAAGTGATGAGTATGGGAAGGCAAGAGAAGGCAAGTGAGTCAGGTGATTTGAGGCAGGATCTACAGCCTGAGGAGTTGGAATATCAAGAGGACTACACACTTTATATGCTCAGTTTGAGCATCTACGGCAGTTGCAAGTAGTATCGACATACTTCCTGGCTATGAGGCTACCATATCACGTCAGTGGCATACCATTAGCGACGGCAGGATCATTGATGATGGTGTGATGGCGCTTTCTCCCGTCAGCCGGTCCGGCAGAAATCCTGATGGTTGTGATGTCATATTGTACACGTAAATGTGTCACAATCAGTGCCAAATTGGGTCGCAGGAAGATCCACGTGGAGAATGCAACCAGGTACGATATCGAGTGAAACGGAGGCTAGAGCTGAGAGTGAGGCAAATGCTTTACCTAAGGTTTAATATCCCACATACGTACAAGGCGTACAATCGGGGTCAGCCGTTACCTACAGCCTAGTGTAGCAGCATATGGGATATTCTAGAAGAATGCGAGCTCCTTCTAGTCTACAGGGGTACTTGGTGAAGCGCCGATCGTTGCTCAGGAGATTCCTTTGTCCTACAGCTGAGCGAATCGAGATCCTGTGGGTTCCGAGAGCTTACGGACGCAGGCATGGTTCAACATGAACAGAAGCTTTCTACACTAGTCACACGTTGGCGGAACATTTGTCTCTCCTGGGTGATTCCTCCGAATGGTCCAAGATACACATGCAATTCGCTTTGACCTCTTTCGCCAAATTGCAGAGAGTGGGCCCACCAATGGGTCAGGACATCGTGGGAGCCGGTTCTGTGCAATGTTTACGTCGTATCTTCCGCAAAGAACGTGGCATGCGTGTGAGTGGAGGTCCAAGTAAAAAATTCGCTGAAGAATGGAATGGAAGTCACTGACGGCTTGAAATCATCGTCTAATGGCATCAGCAGGGCCGCTTCGTGCACTGGCATCTGTGGAGATGGCAACTCAGTAAATCATCAAGCATAGAAACGGCGACTTTCTACATCAGCAATCATGGAGAAGACGACTTTCTGAATTGGCAAATACAAGCAGGGCATTGTTTTGAATCAATCGACACATGGTGTCCACCGCAGCCAACTATCAACATGGGAAGTGCCACATGGGAAAAGTCTGATTCTGATTGCTAGTCTTCCTGAGACTTGAACAGATTCTAGTCTGGTAGAAGAGTCTACTCCATGCTTCCCACTAAGACTTCCTTCCAATGGTAACAGTGTATTTCTGGTGCACACCCTCCTCAGACGCAAGGTCACGAAGGGCAGTCTCAGTCAATGTCCTGAGCTCATCTCCTGTGATACCTTCCGCCCCCAGCATTTTACGGAGCAGTTCAGGGTATTGTGGGATAAGTTTCGCCTGCACATATCTGCCCATAGATTGGCTGTTGGGTGTCTTGCTCGACGGGACGAATGAGAACTCAAACTCCTGAACGCTGACAATTTCCAAGCCGGCCTTTTTCATAAGTGGAGCTGCTCCAGAACCAGCATGGGTGGACAGACCAGACTTCTCAGCCGCCGAAACTACATGCTTATGCCAATCCCACTTATCGCTCAGGCACTCGGACGTGCCCACACGGTAGAATTTCCAGTCCAGGTCTTGGTGCTCAATGATTCCACCAGACCTCAAAGAGCGAGCCGTGGTGGAAAAGTATCGTGCCCAATCGCTGATACCCAGGAAAAGCATCCGGCCGAAGATGTAGTCGAGTTCACCGGGAGTAAAGATTTCATGGCTCATCACACTATCGTTACGTGGTTTCTGACTGTCGTTCTCCCGCTTGTCATATTCGATGTCCAAAACGTTCCCCACAGCCCAAGTAACGTTCTTTGGAGCCATTTTCTGCGCAGAGTCGGGGACCTCCGAAATGTCGAGGCCGTAGACTTTAGCAGATGGAAAGATGCTGGCCAATTGCACAGTTGCAACGCCAGTACCACACCCAACGTCAACCACCTTCGACACGTTGGTCATGGAGTGGATGGGAGCCAGACAAGGGAAGCCACCAATCATCTCAACAATGGCAGCCGCTTGTGCATCCAGACGATTCTGCTCAACGGAACTAGGCAGAGAGGTTTGGTCAGGTTAATTTTCCCAGACGGGAATAGGACGACTCACTCATTTGGAAGGACGTAAGCTGAGGTTGTGTTATGATACTTACGATCGCTAGAGCTGAAGGCCTCCACTGCTGCCGCCATTTTTTTGTGTTCGGTATTGAATAAGTGGTTGCAAGAATCAAAAACGATCAAAGAAAGTCTTCAAAGCACGTCTTTTCTACGATTCCATGATCTACCCAAGGACACATCGCCACAGGAGATGACATGTCTTACAAGTGCGGTGGCAGAATGTGGGATTCTCAACCACACCTTTAAAGTTTGCGGTCGAAGAAGGGACAATGTGAACAACGCGTCAGCCATGATCTACGGAGGTGGGCTCATGGCATTGCCATGAAGCAACGATGTTTCGAGCAATGTCGCGCCTAACCGAACTGAGTTAAGCTTGTATACAAAACGCCGGTATGTAATGATCTACATTCTCGACGGTGTAATTATCAATGCACGGGTCAGCCCAATAATCAGGCGACAAAAGCGGTCGAGCTCAGCTCCAGCAGCTGTCAGTACAGTTCAGCACTCTCTTACGGATCAGCATCCATCGTATGATTGTATTCACGCAGCTCTCTCTACCAATACTTGCCCAACATCCAGTCACCTGTCAAATTGAAACGTGGGTATACTTCCGTGCGAGATCGCTCGGATCTCAGGCAGACAGCACAGGGATCGCTTTGGTGCTAGACAGCACAGCGGCAAAGCACTGTAAATAGGGTCAGGCCCTTCTGAACAGCATATGCCTCGGCAAGGAACCTTGCCCCTGCGTAAGGTAACATTGAAATTACCCTGGGGCATCCTCGGAGCATTTGGCAAAGAGAAACTTCGACAAGCTTCCGACGGATCGCATCGCAGTTAGCATGCCGAGCATACCGAGCACGCCATTTCAATTTAGAGGATGGTGACGTTAGCATCATGTATGGCCTGGGGGGTTGGTGTGAGAAGGCAGGAGTAGGCCGCATGCAGATCACGTGCCGGCATCCCACATGAGGCCGAAGGGCGAAGGCGCGAGGCATTGACTCGTTACCTAAGCACTGGTGGCACTTCACACACGTCCGCAATAGGAAAGGGTGACTTGAAGACTTGGCGATTTGTGGACTGCACATCGTCATACCGACGCTGGAAGAATGAAGAAGTCGTAACATCGAACGTTCCATGTCCTTTTACCAGCAACTTCATACTCTCATCTCCTTAGGAGCCTCAGGTCCATCTACGCGTCCTACCTAATCGCTATCTCCGCCTCGAACTCGCGAAGATGTCGACGCCCAGCATTTTATCTTCTCCAAAGGTAGCCCGATTTCCGTTTCCATCAAGCGAGGAACTCCAAGATCTCCCGTCTACATTACATCAGCCCAAAGGCTTCCCCGGTAGCGGCCTCAGCAAGGAGAACTACAATGCCGACGCCTACACCGAGCCAATATTGGAGAAGGGCCCGTCTCCGCCCAGCGAATTACGGCAGAACCTGTTCATGATCTTCATCACCGTGACCCAATTAGTTCAAATGATTCCTCTGGGCGTCGGTATCAACTCAGGTCTTGCTATTGGTGAGGCTCTGGGCGCACCGCATATCAGCTCAGTATGGATTGTCGCATCGTATCCTTTGACTCAAGGAACCTTCGTGCTCATTGGTAAGTATTGTTCGGCAATGTCTGCCATGGGCAAAACGTGAGGGATGGGTTTGATCGCTAATACTTTCCTTCCAGGTGGTCGCCTTGGTGCTGTCTATGGTCACAAAGTCATGTTCACCGTTGGCTGCATATGGTGGGTGGTATGGGCTTTATGCGGCGGATTCGCCAACAACTTGGTCTCCATCTGCATCATGCGAGGACTCTGCGGTATTGGTGGAGGCTTGATGGTTCCCAATATCGTGGCACTGCTGGGCATCAATTTCCCGCCAGGGAAGAAGCGGAACCTTGGCATGGGGCTGTTCGGAGCAATGGCGCCTGTCGGTGCCGTCGGCGGTTCACTCGTTGGTGCTGTTATAATCCAGCTATCGGAATGGAAATGGGTGTTCTTATGGCTGTGAGTGGGCTCGTGCGCCTTCCATTCGGAAAGTCGCGCTAACGTTGGTAGCGGATTGATGGGTTTCTTGGTCTATGGAGCCGCAATCGTCATTGTGGAACAAGACGAAGCAGTCGATCCAAACGGGTCGATTGATTGGGTCGGCGCCTACTTGGGTGTCGCTGCCCTTATCCTCTTCAATTTTGTCTGGAAGTAAGGCATATCCTGGATCCAATAAGCTTCGGAATATTGACATGTTTGTAGCCAAGCGCCGCTTGTTGGGTGGAGCAATCCGTACGAGATCGTCCTCCTGATAGTGTCCGCCCTTCATTTCGCAGGTTTCTCCTATTGGGAGGCCAAAGTCGCCAAGGAGCCCATATTACCCTTCAATATCTGGAAATCACCCTCGTTCGGTACTTTAATGCTCGTCACCCTCTTTTCGTTCATGAGCCTTGGTATCTTCTTCTGGTACATGAACATATACATGCAAACCATCCGCGGCGACAGTCTCATCAAAGTTGGTGTTCAGTACCTGCCCCTAACCATCATGGGCTGCGCAAACGCCTTCTTCGCCGCCTGGCTTGTACCTCGTGTACCAGCCCAAGTCATTATGGGTATTGGCTGCTCGGCAATGGTCATCATCAATGTTCTGCTGGCCACCGTTCCAGCACACTTAACATATTGGGCGATGTGCTTCCCAGCTATGTTCATATCCGCCTATACAATCGACCTAATCACCACCAGCGCCCAGATTGTGGCAAGCAATACAGTGCCAATGGAGCATCAAGGCGTCGCAGGGTCCTTAGTTGGCACGTTGCTGAGCTACGGTATGAGCATCGGTCTTGGCTTCGCTGGTACTGTAGAAGTCAACACGTTCAAAAACGGCACAGATTTGTTAAGAGGCTATCATTCAGCTGCGTATCTAGCAGTGGGCTTGGCTGGTACGGCTCTGGTTCTCACTGCCCTTTTTATCCGTATTCCGAAGGATACGCGAGAAGGTTGGGGTGAGGACCAGGCGCCGGAGGAAATATGATAGATTTAATGTCAGGTGCGGGATTAGCTGGAAATGGACGTCTGTAGATTGCATGGTTAGATCCTGAAAATAGCATAGCCTTTACGAAGTATGACCTACATTATAGACAACTTTCAGATCTTTTGACTCCCAGATTACTTAGGTTACATCGCACCAAAACATTACCGTTCAAGTCAAAAGGCATAATCCGTAGAAAAGAGAAGGTAACTCTAAGTAAAATATCGTGTAAAAGTATTCCAGCGGTTTGTTTGCGGCATTTTTGAAGACAGTTTGAATTATCTAAATCGGGTTTTCATCCTTTTCGCCATCTACCGCTCTCCAAGAGAAATCTCTTGCACAATTTAAAATCTACATCGTCACCGTCTATACTGTCGCTCTACGATTCTCTTTCCTTCGTCTCCCCTTCTTCAATTCAAGAAAGTCTGAATCGAAAAAGGATCCACATTCTTGCCCTTGATCTTATTCGACTTCGTAAGGATGTCTGTCGCGTTCTTCAACGCCTCCTCGTGGAACTTGGCGAAATTCCTCGGGTAATTGGTTTCGCAAGCGTACACACTCCACTCAATGGCGGTTTCGTACTGGAAAACATGTTGCGCAGCCAAGGTAATCCTATCATAAGTATCAGCTCACCATGTATCTTCATGATGCCGTTTCGAAAGGCTCAACTTACCAATAACCTGCGATCTCGCCGCTACCATTGGCATACTTCACCGGCACCGTCGACTGCTCCTGCTCGAACTTCTCAACAAAACCCCCAAACTTCTTGTCCTCATGATACACGGTCTCGACCTCGGTGATGTCGAAGATGCCGGCGAGGGTCGGGAGCTTGCTTGTGCGGACGGCGCCGGGCACGTTGTCAGTGCCGGATGTTTTGTAAGGGGACACGCCGAGCCAGTCGGTGTGGAAGAATGAGGAGATGACGTTCGTGACGTCGTTAGCGGCGGCACCGATCACGGAGAAGGTCACGCTCTCGCGATAGGTGGTCCCAGCGGGGCAAACACAGGGAGTGATGGATGTTGCGGAGCACTTTTCTAGGCCACTGGCACTCGTGTCAGGAGTGGGGATAGCGAGGACAGAAGAAGCCAGGAAAGCAAGGCTGGTGAGAGAGATTGAAGTCTTCATTTTGAGAGATGTGAGTTTACAAAAGGCACAAGTAAGAACGGAGTGGTTTTGAGATGTTTGTGTACGTTCGTGATGAATGGCAAAATGACAGCACAAGATCTCGTAGCACCTTTAAATGGATGGAAACTGGTGAGTACAGAACGGCATGCAATCCCACCGCGACGCGTGTAAGGTGGACTGGCGGAGGCGTGAGGGTAACGGCATTACGTAGGTCTTCCCACAAAGCGCTCCTGCAGATCGCTGCCATCAAGCCTCATGGCCTGCTTCTATACTCGTCGTCCATTCTGGGCCGAAGAAGGTGGTAGGGCGCCCACGGTTCGGGAGTATGTGGGATTGAGGCTAGTTCTCAGCAAGGCTTCCCCTTCCCAACCCGCACGTGTCAAGCTTTCCACTATGTGCGTGGCGGCGTGGGGTGACGATAGGCTGATATATTGGTTCCGATGATCGACATGTTTCGATTCGACATCTGGGAGGGAAAAACACGTGGGTTCGGAAAATAGGGGGATTATACCAGTCCGGCCCCTGTCAATCCCCCGGAGAAGGCCGCTAGGGAGGCGACGACCCTAGAGGGTTAAGTGGGGACACTAAAGTCTTAGGGCGGGGATTGAGCCTAAGGAGCCTAAGCAGACCCCAGAAATCCTACCTCTCGCTTTCTCCCTCCATCCATCTTCATCAACGCTACGCCACCAAACGAAATTTGTCGACAGTCTCATCTCTAACGGCCGGGCATCATCATGACTTCATATAAGGTTCACTAGATTCATCATGCCTGCTGATAATGCGGATGAGTGCCGCGACAATGGAATACGGCCGTCTGAGAACGGACCAGGCGCCACCATCCATCTACTACTCACCGTCCACCGGCATCCTACCACGTCTCAAGATTGCCCTTTCGACTAGACTCTTGCGAGCCGAAAGGCAGTTCACCCACCATGAATCTCGTTAGGAGCTCAGGTCCGTATGCCTCACACCACCGTCGTACGCCTTCCCGAGTGCAAGCTTTTGGGATGGGAAGGCTAGTATGTAGCATGGCGACCATCAGCTGAGCGTTGTGGCCTAGTCTATCCTGACGACATGTTTTGCCTGGTCACTGCATGTGCTCGAAGATGACGGGACTGGCTGGTCAACATGAATATTGGGCCGTCTCCCAAAGCTTGGACTCTCATGCTTCTAGAGATGGATAAAAGACCCGCCCGTTCTCGCTGTCTCGATTCACACTGTCCTCCAGATTTTCAATTCCTCGTGTAAGACTTGTCTCTCATTTTGGGCATCTCCTTCTCTGCTTCCTCGTCCATCGCCGTCTCATATATTTCTTTGATCAAGATGAAGGTCGCTTCACTCGCCCTATGCCTGTTGTATACAGCAGGCAGCCTTGTACAAGCTGCACCGACGCACAACAATACCGAGGCAGAAGCAACAAAGCAGCTCAACAAATGGCAGAAACAGTACGACCAGTACATCAAAGCGAGTCTCAAGACTCGGCAGACAGGCTGCACCAATGACAATATCGTCAAACGTGCAGAATGGTGCGTCCCAACTGTGTAGAAAGCCAGCCATCATTCTGACATCAAGGACAGGGGAAGTCTCTCCGCTGGCGAGCGTAAGAATTACATCAAAGCAGTCCAATGCCTCACAACGAAGCCCGCCAAAATCTCAAAGAGCGAAGCCCCTGGTGCCCGAAGCCGCTTTGATGATTGGGACGCAGTCCACATCAAACTAACCAACAACGTCCACTTCAGCGTGCGTCCTCACCTCCCTTCCCCCTTCTCCCCTCCCAGATATCCCATCCTGCCCAGTCCACCATTCCCCTCCAACATAGACACCCCACCCCCACTAACGCGCTCCTCCACAGGGTCTCTTCCTGCACTTCCACCGCTACTTCCTCTGGCTCTACGAGAAAGCGCTGCAAGACGAATGCGGCTACAAAGGCACGCAGCCCTACTGGGACTGGACGCTCTCCTGGCAAGACCCCTCCAAATCCACCGTCTTCGACGGCTCCGACACCTCCATGGGCTCCAATGGGAAATACATCCCCAACCGCAACGGCACCGCCATCTCCGCCTTTGGCCTCCACGCCGTCATTCCCCCCGCCACCGGCGGCGGCTGCGTCTACTCTGGCCCCTTCCAGAACCATTCTGTGAATTTGGGGCCCGTGGCGTATGCGCCTTACGGACCTGATGGAGGGTTGGGGTATTACCCCCGCTGTTTGGCGAGAGATTTGGCGCCCGGGTTTTCGAATCAGACGAAGCCAAGTGATGTCGTGCATGTGATTAGGGATACCGATGATCTCTACACTTTTGATGACGTCTTTGAGGGCTTGACGGGCGTGCATGCAGGCGGCCATTTCCAGATGGGTGGGACGGGGATCGATGCGTTTGCGTCTCCGGGGGATCCGGCGTTTTATCTGCATCATGCGCAGGTTGATCGAGTGTGGACGTTGTGGTAAGTGCAATTTCAACTCGTAACTTATGAGTGGGTTTTGCTGACGTTCGTGCGCTGTAGGCAAGACCTCAAGCCGGAGGAGAGGAGGAATCAGGTCTTTGGGACATCGACGGCTTTCAACAGTAAGCCATTTTCTCGCTTTCACCCCGCTATGGCACTAGAATTGCTGACGTCGATGGGATAGATCCCCCAAGCGCCAACATCACGCTCGACACAGAAGTCGACTTCGACGTCTTGGCGCCGAAGAAGAAGATCAGCGATTTGGTCAGTACAGTTGATGGGCCGTTCTGCTATCAGTATGTGTAAGGTGATGGATGAGCTTGGCATCGATCTTGGGGTTTCGATCCTGTTTGAAAAGTGAGGGACGCCTTTTGTTGCAGGTGTCAATAGTTTTGGGCGGCATAGATAATTTTCACCTTGCTAGAATATGTTACTTTATAAGTATAAGATAGTATTCGCAGGCTTCTTCTGACTTTTTCCGCGTAGTTTTACACTAGGTTTTATGTCTCTGCATCTTAAGATCTTATCTTTACAGACTTATTCTCACTTCTAGCCATGTGCGAGCGCTTTCGCATCATTTTACATTATAGTTCTTACCTTTTGCATTTTAGGTCTTTATTCTCATAGTTGTTCTCTTATTTTTAGTCTCATGCGAGCCCTTTTCGCATAATTCTTCATTGGGGTTTATGTGTTTTGCATTTTAGTGATTTGTGTTTATAGCCTTGTTTTTTTTGCCAGTCTTGTGCAAGCATCTTCCGTCTTATTCCACGCTAGGTTTTACGCTATTATGCATCTTGGGCTCTTCCAATCGGGGAAGAAGGATCCTAATTTTCCTTGTGGAGCTGATGTATTTTGTCAGATCTCCAGAGGCAGAGGCAAACTGTGCGGTCAACTTGTGGCTCTGGCGGGACTCAAGACTGTCTTGCCTACTATCTCTGGCTAGCTGACTACTGAGATTAGTAAGGGATGTAGTGGTAGAGACGAGGTAATATCAGTGAGCAAGGCGATGGCACAGATGCTGGCCAAAGCTAAAGCCTTTTATTGACTTGGTGTATCTAATCATATTTTACAGTTTAAGTCATGCTGAGTAAAACCATATGTTCTTTCTTTTTCGTCTTAGCACACAGTCAGGTATCTTGCATCTCTCCGAGCATAGAATCAGGCATCTCAGTAGAAAGCGCCATCAGTTGTCTTTGCCTCTCCAGGCCTTGCAACATTTGCGACAAGCTGCTCCAGCTCGGCTTCGCTCAAATCCTTGAGACCCAAAAGCTCATTGTCCGTTTTCTCGTAATGAGAGCCATATCCCTCACCCCAGACTCCTGTTTTCAAGAAGCCGAACACGAATACCATATGGTTAGGTTGTTCCTTCTTCAACTCTGCCCAGGCGTTGTTGTACATCTCCTCAGTAGACCCGTCATTGATGGTCCATCCATCCTCACCAGCTGCCTTCTTGCAGACCGCTAGCAGCTGCTTCAGGGTGATGGCAGTGTCTTGGATGTAGACAGCACGGTTCTTTGTCTCTTCAGGGTGCTTAAGAATGTTCGCTGTCGCTTTGCCGACGCTGGGAAGTGATGTGGCGGAGAAAACGCGCTCACCGCCATCCCAGAGATCGAATTTCTTTTCCGGGACGTTGCCCACGAAGCCGACCTTCAGACCCCAGTCAAGGAATGGGCCGTTCAAGACAAGCGTGTAGGAGATACGGCCAGCATCAGCCTCCTTCTGCAACGCAGCCTGCACAGCCAGCTTATCCTTGTACACGGGAAGCTGACGAGCCTTTTCGTTGATGGTGTTTGAGCCGAACTCAGAAGGAATGAAGCGCTTGACACCGGCTTTCACGGCGGCGTCAATGAGGAGAAGTTGTGTTCCGAGCGCTAGGGAGGCGAGAGTGGAGACAACGGCATCTTGGCCTTGGAGGGCTGAGGTGAGAGAGTCGAGGCTCTCGTAATCAACTTTGCTAACGTTCACGTTGGCGGGGAAGCTGTGGGTACTGGATTGGCGGGTGAGGACTGTCACTTGGAAGCCGGCGTCTAGGAGTCCTTTGAGGATGGAAGGGCCAAGGTTACCGGTAGCCTGTAGAATTTTCGATCAGTATTAACATCCAGATAGTATTAACATCCAGATGAGGAGCGAAAATGAGAGGAGGTGATGAAATCGAAATGAAGTGTTGAAATGGAGCGGGGAGGTCAGTGGACTCACACCGGCGAGAGCAACTTTGGTGATGGAAGCCATATTTGCTGGTGTGGAAGGTGCTGTTCGCTTTGTAGTACCGTTTGTTGTTGTGGTTGTAGAAGCTGCCTTAGATGGGGGAGAAGAGTTGAAAGGGCGACGAAGCCAATTGAAATACTTTGATGAAGTCAGTTTGGCGGTTGCGCTTTGAGGAGAGTTGGTCTTGCTGAAATGAACCGCCGTGTTATCGGAGACCGATGTGCAGGCAGGGACCGACTTCAAATAGTATTTCAGAGACCCCGCGTCAACAGCACGCGCTGGAGAGGCAACCATTTGTTCGGCTTACATAACTTGCAGAGTTTGGACGCAATATGACGCCATGACGAATACCGATATGTAATCACCCATCAGGCAAGGAGGCACTTGAAGAACGACACGCAGAGACAGAGGGTGGTCGAAAGTGTTGGCCTGTGGCCTGTGGCTAGTGGCCATGACCTTGCTGCCAACACTGTACAGAGATTTGCTAAGCAGGCCAGCGACGAGCCGGCGGGGAAAACAAAGCTGTAAAGCTGATTTCCTCTTTAGTCATTACCCCACAACCTAAAGAGACGTAGAGTAAGAATAGTCATAAGGATCTTTCTCAGCCATCCCACATCCCACATGACCCGATTCGACCCCACATGCCACCCAGCGGCAATCACGATAAGCACACTGTAAGTCATCGTGTTATGCATGTTTTGACGGCATTGCAGCTCGCGCTATGCGGAAGGCCGAGTCCCCCCTGATCGCCGACACTAATACCCTTCAGATCTAACGCGCCGCCGCCAGCCGAAGAAAGAGCTTGGCACCCAAATCGGACACTGCTAGTCCCGGACATCGGGCCGTCATGACGGTTGAAGCCTTTTTGATTTCATACGGTACCGTATTGTAATCTGACAAAGAATCGACTGGGGCAGTCAGCCTGTCGCCTGTGCAATGACCTGTACCACTGTAATCTAGGCTTTCCCGCGAAAAGAAGGGTCACCATGGGTCTCGTAAACGCCACGCATCCTCTATCGTCCTTTGCGTTGCTGCTTTCCTTCCCTCCTGCATCAATCGTTCTTGTTCTCTTAGCTGATAAGGTGCCCATGACCGATTCATCCACTCGATATTCGACTGCTCATTTTCTCTCCACCAGGTGTGGGTTTCGACATTATATCACCGATTTTGACAGAGCCTCGAGCTTAGTCACAGCCCTAGCCCACCTCGCCCGGAAAGATGAAGTATCCGACATCGCAAACAGCACTCACCCAACCGGCGGTTCGCCGTGTGGAATGTACTGTTCCAGGATGCGGCAAGCAATTCAATCGGAAAGAGCATCTCAATCGACACCTCAAATCCCATGATCCACAGCGCCAATATGCCTGTCACATCTGTGGACGTCGATATGCACGAAGGTAAGCGCGCCTGCCCTCCCTTTCCCCACGCTGGCTGGCGATCTACCCCGCGGGGAGATCATACACCATCTCTAAGTCTAAGCCTAATCTTGATCTTCATGTAGTGATGTCTTGAAGCGGCATGTAGAGCACCACTCGCAGGATAGCAACACTAATCGGACTCTCGTCGCCTGCATTTCCTGTCATGAACGAAAGCTAAAATGCGACGACAATACACCGTGCCAGTCATGTGCTCGGAACGCTACCGAGTGCAGCCGCTTCAGTCCCGGCAGGGACACCAGAGCCAGTATGGAAATTGACAGTGGCAACGTCAACCCGGTTGTCAATGGTGACGACCAGATGCTGACCGCAGACATTGGCAATATGAACGAGATTACCAATTTGCTGCCGGGGGGCGACGGTCAACAGGCTTGGTTCTCCTCTGCACCAGATTCTTGGTCTGTACCATACACGACTGCCGGATTCGAGTCAACGTTCCCTAGCGTTCTGAATCCTACTGGCCTTGAGCAATGGACTGTAGATCCTGTCTCAAGCGCACAAGTTCATGATGCATTCGCTGCTCTTACTAATGGGGACGCTTCATTTATGTTACCAACAACTACTGAGCCTCAAATAGAGCGCTTAGAGAGCGCAGTTCGGCATGATGTGGAGCCGCATCATAGACCTGCGTCATCTACTGCAGCACAGTCACCTGCGTCTTCATCTAGATCATCCACAGCAGATCATATAGCGGATCTGCAGAATAACCTTGACAGGGAGTCTGACGCGACCAAAAAGCTTGTTCAAATGTTTTTTTCAGATATTCACCCTCACTGGCCTATTCTGCATGCGCCGACGTTCAAAATAGAAGATGCTTCACATAATCTTTTAGGGGCTATGCTTATGCTTGCTAGCTGGCTGCAAGATACGACAGATCACGTAAAATTGGCTCCTCTCGTATTCGATGCCGTGACTGCGACCCTATTGGTACGATTCTTTATCACTTCATCGATTATAGATTTCAATTGACGGAAGTATCCAGGGAGCTAGTCCTTCCTCCGGTAGAGATATTCAACCAACAGCACCATTTCAAGCTTTGCAGGCTTTATTATTATGCGTCGTGTACTCAACTCGATGCCTAGTTAGTGTTGATCTAAGGGTAGAATTGCCTCATTACTGACCCCAATACAGACTACTGAGGGCATGCTGGCCAGAGCGGTCCATTTGAATGGCATTCTGATCTTGCAGTGTCGCCATCAAGGGGTCTTTAACGGGCAGTACGTGGATCGCGAGCATGAAGACCCAGAGGATTCTCCATTTGCGTTTTGGTTAGCTCAAGAGCAACTTCATAGGTATGTCGCCTGGCTTACACCATTGCCTTCGAAGAGAAGCCTTCTTTCTCTTATTTCCTTTCGAGATCCCACATCTCTTCCTGAAATACCTTTAGAAAAAAGCATTCCTTTTTGGGTTCGCCATTGAAGAGAAGACTTCTCTTCTTCATTCACCTTCGAAGGTGGTCTTCATTCTCAAAATTTCTTTAGAGAGGACTTCAGGTTCTTTTCTGATTGTCAATACAAGCGAAAGCTTTTTCGCGAGGACCGAATGCTGACTTGTTTAGACTCGCCTTCTCTGCTCTTCGCGCCGACGCATACTTGAGTCTTCTGGTAGACCAACCGCCTTCAGTCCGCTATCAAGAGATCTGTATCCCACTTCCCAAATCGACTCATCTATGGACCGCTGCTACCGAAGACGAGCGACGTAAGCTGCAATGGAGTGAACCGGCGGGTCGCGAGAAAGCACGCTTTTGCTTTCTTGTGCGTGATGCCCTAGATATGAATAGCACTCAAACCCCCTGTCAGCTGACCGAGATTGATTATCACCTTGGACTTTGTTCCTTTCAAGCGGGGATATGGGAAGTGGCACGCGAGGCCCACAGCTGCGATTCTGACGAGCTCTTTGCAAATTCTAGACCCAGAGATCATGTCGAAGGCTGGAGGTCCCACCTCGATCTTTGGCGCGACAATATGGAGAAGGATTGCCAGCTTCGCCAGAACTATTTCTCCGCCTCCACAGCCAGCGCCGACCACAAGTGCGCCCCCCTGAGCATTATCTTGTGGCACTATTCAGCCATCATACTCCACGCTCCTCTCAAATTGCTCCAGGGACAGGGCTGTTGCTTTAAATGCCGCGCCGGTACAGCGGGTGCAGCTAGGAAGAATAAGGCGCGCTACCGGGGCTGGATCGAGTCTTCCTGTGCGCGCATCGCTGTATGGAATGCCGCTCAGGTAGCCAAAGTCGTGGAACGTGAATTCACTAGCCCGACATCTGCGAATCGCCTCCGTCTGAATCCACTTGCAATCGCTGGTCTGCTGAAGAGTGCCATCGTAATCTGCTCGTACGCCTACAACACTGTCTCTTGCCCAGCTTGTACAGGTGGTCCACCAGTTGACCTAGTGCGTCTGTTCAGCGCCGCTGACAACGATGAGAACTTGGCGAGATGGAAAGTGACGGGCGAGGGTCTCGCAGATTGGGAGCCACTGTCTTTACCTGTTTGTAGGTGCAGATTCAAGAATCTGGTGGAGTGGTTCTCCAGACCGCTTGCCATGGACAAAGGGGCGGAAGCAGAATTCAGGCGTTTTCTCGAGGGCTTAAGTAAGGCATAGGTCTCTCGCAGCTCAAGAGGGTGTGTACACGGGAATTCCTGTTTTGGTATGCGGCGTAAGGGACCATCATCACCTCACGACATAGATTGCTGTTGGCAGAGGCAACTCGACTTGATATGCAATACGATATAAAAGTCTTTCGGTAGCCTTGTTTGGTAGAACAGAAATGAAAAAGACAAATATTGGATCAAGTGGTCTTTTCAAGAAGGGGGAATATTTAATCAATTGCTCTACAAAGCAGATATGCCCAAACCCCGGCTCAATCAACTCAGTGTCCTATGAGATGTCCTATCAGTCCCGACAAGGCGCTTTATCAGTGAGTCCCTGAGAAGGGTGAGAGAAGAAGTCCCCGGGGGCTCAAGCCTCCAAAATCCCACATCGCAAGGATTGCCTGTTAGAATCGCTGCGTGATTGCAGATCCGACTCCTGACCAGACGTGGGAGAAGATAGGAACAGCGACAACCTACCCAATGAAGAGGATTAACACTGTATCCTTGACAGTTAACACTGTATCCTTGACATACATGAAAAGACTCGGAATTACGACGCAAGGACCTCCATGGTCTGTGTTTCTCCCGGGTACGATATCCCGACGCACTGGCAGCGATTAGGAGTCCACAGTATGCATATTTGAGCTTATCTTGAGATTGACATATGTCCCAGAAGGTATCCTGCCAATTTGTTCCACTCACACACAATGTTGGCGTGTTCGTCCGCGAACGAAGGAAACATCCAGCGGCCAATCAAAGGCTCACTTCGTGGGAGAGGCCGCTAATACAGATCTGGAATAGTGTGCTGAGATATCAAAGCCCAGACTGAAATATACCAAGTGAATGATGCTTATGCCATCTTTTCTCTTTCTTCACCGCTTCTATGCCTCCCTCCCACCTCGCCCACCATGCACGTTTTAATCCTCCACATCTTCATTGCAATGATACGTCATCACTACGAAGTGTAGATTTGCCGTCACGAAGGGACCCTCGTCCTCGCCCTCGCCCTCGCATCGGGCCCGCGGCCCATCATGGCCCGCTGGCAGACGCCAGATGGCAGATGGCAGATGGCCTTGCCTGCGGCACATAAAATACTGGAAGGACTTCTGAATGTTACTGGTACCATACAATTTTCGACGTTGCATCGTGGGATGATTCCGTGCTTGTTTGACTGAACTTTTGCGTGATTTGAGGGTCCACCTCCTTCGTCTCACGGAGTTGGCCTTGCATGAGTGTGCCCAATGCCCATACGCGCAGCCGAAACGGGGAACGTGGTACCATCTTATTCTCCGCTTTCGGCTTGCATTTTATCTGATTGATTCGTTTCTTGGTCCTGGTGGATCCTGTACCCCCCTCCACTTACACTCCTGCCCGTCTTCCTCAATACTCCTGCCATCCTTCGGTGGACGGTTGCTGCCCCAGTCTTAGGCCCGCAAGGTGCGAATCTCACCCTGGTTGGCCTGACTCCACCATGTGATCTGGCACTTTTGGCATTCGTGTGGCGCAATGTGGTCGTGTCGCGTCCCCCGAAGCAATGCTCTCTGGTCCGTTGACTTGGTGGCGTAGTGGGATGAAGGCACAATTTCAGCGATTCACACATCGAGCTGCGGCATTCAAGCTGACATGATCTGTTCAATCTATCCCATTTGATCTGCGACTACACCTGTGGGGAGGAGTTTCTACGATGGCCACCTCGACCGAAATTCCGCGTAAGCAGCCAGTGAAAGTGGATGAACGGCATAACGATGCATTGACATAGTTGAGCTTATCCCGCCCAAAAAACCTACGGACAATGCAAGAAATACTAAGACATATATTCATTCACTTCCTCGACTAGCAAAACTTTTCATCATTCACTTCTTGTAGTAAGCAATACCGTTCACTATTCACTTTCTTTGGTAGGCAATCACCAAAGTGTTACAGGATCAACACATCTCACTATGGCGCGCGGGGCAATAGCGATGATTAACGAGAACACTCGAGGTAAATTACACATCATGCGAGATGGCAAGCGAAACTGAAGGCGGCGCAGTCACGGCTGTGAAGCCAATTATGTCGCCAGATTACGTTCAGTCTTTGATCAAGATCAATGTAATACAAGGCTGAGGTTACTTGTCACTCCACTGAACGCTGTCTAGTCAGAAGAAGCAAGGCGAACAGTCATCGAAGGCCGCCGCCAAGTCAGCTCCATCATTCACCAAGATTCCGACCGCCTACTAGTAGCGGTTGGCCCATGCTCCATTCACGATCCAAAGGCTGCTCTTGAGTATGCCTGTCGGCTCAAAGATCTAAGTAATAGACTCTCCGGCGAACTATGCGTAGTAATGAGGGCATACCTTGAGAAGCCCCGGACAAGTGTTGGCTGGAAGGGGTTGATCAACGACCCCGACCTGAACAGCACCTTCGACATCAACAAAGGCCTCACCACCGCCCGCCAGCTGTTCGCGGACATCACAGCCATCGGCCTCCCAGTCATCACAGAAATGCTCGACACCATTTCCCCACAGTACTTCGACGACCTGATCAGCCTCGGCGCTGTTGGCGCGCGAACGACTGAGTCGCAACTTCATCGCGAACTTGCGTCCGGCGTCTCTTTCCCCGTCGGTTTCAAGAACGGAACTGATGGCGGCGTTCAAGTGGCTGTCAACGCCATCCAAGCGGCCGCTGGGGCGCACAACTTCATCGGCGTAACAAAACAAGGTTTGGCTGCTATCATTGAGACGTCCGGGAACGACAACGGGTTTGTGATTTTGAGGGGAGGGAGCAAGGGCACGAACTATGATGCGCAGAGTGTGAAGGAGGCGAAGCAGAGCTTGAGGAAGAATGGGCAGAGGGATGTTGTGGTCATTGATTGCTCGCATGGTAGATATCTCTCTCCTTGATTTTCAGTATTGATGCAAGTGCTGAGTATTGGTTCAGGCAACTCGAATAAAGACTACCGCAATCAGCCCATCGTCGCTGCCAATGTGGCGGACCAGATCAGAGGTGGCGATAAAGGCATCGTGGGCTTGATGATTGAGTCGAATCTTGCAGAGGGTCGTCAGGATCTTTCGGATGAGGGACGGAGAAATTTGAAGGATGGGGTCAGTATCACAGATGGGTGTATAGGGTGGGACTCGACCGTGGAGGTTCTAGAGGATTTAGCGATCGCGGTGAGGGATCGTCGGAAGGCGAGGCTGACGCTGTGAGGTCGATCGTGGAAAACGAATTGACTTCCGTGTGGTCCAGTGATGATTGCAAAGGGCTCCCTCTGGTGAGTTCTATCTTTGGAAAGTCTTCATCTTGGTGAGGCCAGTGCTTGGAAAGGCTTCTCGTTGATTGGATTGTTTGTATGCATACTTTCATTGACAAAATGTGACAATATCTATGACCGCGAAATGCAGAGCGTCATCCTCTATGCTTATTTGTGCTGTTCATCGATGCTTTATCTGTGTCTGAGGTTACATACACAACGTATAAATGAGCCGTTTAATGAATGTGACACTGTTTCGCGAGATTCGGCGACAAAAAGTTCGGAGGGCTATACCTTCAGCCATATGTGTTTCAATTCATTTGCTTCGTACTTCATTGCGTAAGAACAATAAGATGACGCCCATAACGGAGGTGAGATGGCGGTACACTCTTGACTCTCATTGTGGTATCGGTCCTCCACCTTGTTTGAAGACTTGTAAGTGCTTACACCTGAAAGCGCACAGTGGCCGATGTATGCAACTATCTCGAATTCTTTCCCGAAAACCACAACGCCTCCCCCGCTTGCAGCACGATTCTCATGGATATTAGGGCGCGTCAAAAGTCACCGAGCGCAGGACACCCGTTCGCCATGTCACGGGCAGGTCTTTGTCTGACATGATCTCTACCTACGAAAGAACGAGATGCCATCCCTGTCCCTCCATCCACCTTCATCGATCGCCCCCAAGAATCGAAACAAATCTACCACGTCAGGAAGGAGGTCGCGTGCGATCTAGAGCAGGGCTCTTTGATGTGCCTCATGTGTAAGCTGAGTGCACGATCTGGACTAGTGCTAGCGTGCATGAAGCTTGCTCGCACGAGGCATTAGGGCGTACATCCAGTTTCGATCCGGGAGAGCAGGGTAGTATTGACGTACGCGTCTTGCTTGCTGGGCTGCACGCGGGCCTTTTTTGTTCTAATTGCTTGCGCGGCGTGAGGTGCTTCGATTTGTGACGCATCTTCGCACCATCGACCTCATTCCAGTCTCTGCGAAATTGGTTCGATTGACTGGAGGAGTTGAAGTTCACTCCTTCAGCAATATGAGACCTTTCGACTTGATGCAGAATACCTACGACGAATGGGTGGTGCTTGTCTCCATCGTGTTCATGGTATATGTGAGTATGCCCATGTAGAAAACATGCTGGTCTCACATGTGGTCTTAATAGGAACTTTTCAGAGCAATCTACAACCTGTTTCTCAGTCCTCTAGCCAAATATCCGGGTCCATTGCTCGCAAAACTCTCCTCATGGCCGTCTTTCTACCACTCAATAAAGCGTGATCGCCATTTATGGATCTGGCAGAATTTTCAAATCTACGGTATGATCACGGATTATCCAACAGAATACTCCCAACAAGCGCTCTGATCTGACTCCATCAAAGGCAACATCATTCGCGTCGGTCCAAACACCGTTCTCTTCAATAGTCCCAGCGCTTACAAGGACATATACAGCCACAAAGCCAATACCTTCAAAGACAAATTCTATAGCGTGTGGAAGCGAAACGAGGACGATAAATCAGTCTTCAACACCACGGACATAGCTGTTCACAGTAGAAAGCGGAAAATTTTCAACACCGTGTTTACCGACAAATCCATCCGCTCTGCGCAGCCATTCATCATCAACATCATTGATCGCTGGAACGACCTGTCCATCACAGGCGACGATTGGTCCGAACCGATTGATCTCGCACCATGGATTGACTACCTAGTCTTCGACATTCTAGGAGATCTCTGCTTCGGCGAGTCCTTCAGGACCATCGAGCCAGGGGAGAACGTCTTCAAGATAATTCCCGACGCAATAGTCTCGTACATGAATTTCTGGAACATCGTACACCCCCTTCCCCCGCCCACATCTTCCCAGCACCAAAACTCACACCGCTAACAACCATCCATCTAGATCACCAAATCCCCCTTCCTGGACCTAATTCTCCACCTCAAGCCCCGCGGCCTCAACGGCCTCCTCGACCTCCTAACCCCCAAAGCAATCCAGCACTACTATGACTTCCTCGACCAAAAAGTAAGCGCACGCATCGCGTCCGAGTTACTTCTGCAACAAACGACGGAAACGAGGAAGGGGGAGGTAGACCGCTCCTCGATCGAGCCAAGAAAAGACATGCTCCACCACCTCCTCCGCGCCACGGATCCCACCACCGCTCAGCCCGCGTATCCCTCCAAGACAGAGTTACTGGCAGAGGCGAACGTGCTCGTGATCGCGGGCTCGCATACCACGTCGACCGCGCTCGTGGCGATTTTCTTCTATCTCACTCACTCGCCGCGCGTCTATCGCAAATTGACGACGTCAATCCGGGATACGTTTGCCTCCCCCGCCGAAATCGTCGATGGGTCTAAACTGTCTTCGTGCGTTTATTTGAGGGCGTGTATTGATGAGGCGCTCCGCCTTGCGCACCCCGGTCCGAGTGAAATGCCAAGACGTGTGCTTCAAGGTGGTGCGAGCATTGATGGTGTTTATGTGCCTGAGGGGACAACGGTGGGGTTTGCCGGGTGGGCTAGTGGGCATGATAGAGGCACGTACGGGGATGATTTCGCGGTTTATAGACCCGAGAGGTGGATTGTTGGGAGGGATGGGCATGGGGATGGGGAGGCTGAGGAGAAGGTTAGGTATATTAGGAGTGCTTTTCATCCTTTTACCGCCGGCCCTGGTAATTGTGTTGGGCAGAATCTGGCGGGCTTGGAGATGATGCTTATTTGTGCGAGAACGTTGTGGAGGATGGATGTTAGAGTTGCGACGGGGACTGGGGAGGGGAAGGAGGGGGAGGTTATGGAGGTGGAGGATGCGTATATTGCGCTACCGAAGGGAGTGGTTGTGCAGTTTCGCAGAAGGGAGTTTGACTAGACCATTGGATGAGGAGAAGTCGGACTTATTTTGGGTCGTCTGCTTGAGAAGGCCTGTCTGCAAAAGTCTATCGAGGTTTGTCTGTCGTTCCTAGTATTCGATTTGTGGAAATAGCGTCTTAATGCTAGGACGTTCTAGCTCTTACAGGCTGTTGCGTGAAGATTGTTAGCCCTGAGCTTTAAGCATCCCAAGAATTACCCTATCTGAGAAGCGTGATGGTCCACTCAAGAGGTGGATATCTCTGTCTTGCAACGTGGTAGGAGCGGTTCCGCGGAGAAGCTCGGCGAACAAGGACTAAAATACACAGCTGAAAAGTACTAATCGAAGTGGAGGGTATCCTCTCCAGCTATTGACTGGAATCTGAGGTCTGTCCCGATGCCTGGAGATACTAGCCGTGGAGCTCTGCCTGTCAGTGTAGGGTTCGAAGATCTCACACTCCATTGTAACCTAGACCGTTGCCTCGTTATTCTAGCTGTTTTAAAGCTCGTGTAGTATGTTTCTCAGTGTCAAAAATGCAAAGCTACTCTTTTGTGGTGGGCATCGACGTGACGAATAGGAAAAGCATCCACTCATAGCCTGAACGCGTAATTTCGTGGCTTGACGAGTTTTCTTTGTTGTTGAACCTAGGCTTTTCGGAATGCTGTACCCTAATACTAACCTAAGACAGCATGATTATAATGTTGAAAGGTCTGCTTTGATAGGTGCAGAACAGAGTCCTGATGGTGTGCACCTTGACGCGTCGTTTTGTGGCTCAGGTACCCAATAGCTCTCAAGGCATGCCAATAGCATAGCGGGGCTCGGAGAACTATCTTTGTGGAGGGTTGTAGACTTTGCTGAGATGAACAATCTGACTTTGACAAGTTGTGGAGACTGTCCATGCCACGCAGATGCATATTTTTGGCCCTCAACTTAATCGGCCATGTCATCGATCGCACGTGGAGACACGTGGCTGATTTGGAGTAGGTGTGGTAGTAGGGAAGTTCTTGAGCTAAAGGAACCCGTGATGGGGCAGAATCGTCGAACTCTGCTTACCTTTCTGACCAAAACCGTCCCATTTTAACATCCTCTGCCTTGTTCGAGGCGGTGACGGTGAACTTAGCTTCAGCATTGTGGTTGTAGGTCGTTGATGCAGAGAAAACTCTGTTACTCTGGAGTCTCTCTTGTCAAGGATCAAGGTATGGAGCCACGATACATAGTGTTTGGCCCCCTCAAACGGAAGTACCTGTCAGCTTCGTCCTTGATGCCAAGCTGTGTTATGTTTTAAGATTGAAATACTGTAGAGGGCGAACACATAGATTGGCGAATCAGCACGTACTGGTCTGCCTTTTTCGTTTATCCAGATATCTTCAGAAAACTCTGCCGTAAACCCAGATTGCCACCACAAACAAGGCTTGGCGCTTTCTCATTCTCTTTGTCCATCGAGCAAACCCTGTCCACACTTTCTTTTTGAAGGCAAATAAGTCCCCCGAGGCTCATCTAGGTTTTCGGACTATGCTGGTGCCAGGAATTGTGGACCCAGTGGTGTGTACCGGTAGTCTTACCCAGATTGGTGCCATGAAAATGGGCCTCCAAAATGTATATATGAAGTATTCTGCCTTCTTTTAAGGGAGATCCTCACTCTATAACCATTCGAACCTTTTCCAGACTTTGACCTACCTTCGACTCTGTCTCAGCAATTGGTTGATTTTTATCGTCTTCCCTCCTCCTGTAGAACTTCTCAAAGATGAAGTTCTCAACTTCTCGACTCGTGGACCCCTCAGACTATCAGCTTGAAGGTCTCGATGGTCTCTGCGACGACGTACCTTTTCGAGAGCACAATGACCCTATCAAAGGGGATATTGGTGCTATTCGCGCCCAAGAGGATTGGAAGAGACTTGTGGGCCCCTTGAAAGATTTCAAAGGAGGTCTGGCACCCAGAGGTAACTTCGTTGCTATGACTATGCCAGAATGCCTTCCTGAAAGGCTTGAAGTCATTAGCTACGCGAGCGAGTTCGCCTATCTACATGACGGTAAAGTCCCTTCTTAGGGGTAGCAGTCTCCTGTCACCTTACTTACAACGACAGACGTTACCGATACTGTTAGCAAAGCACAGGTAAGAGATCTCAAGACGTCTCTTGCGTGTCACTGCAACATTACTAATTACCCAAAAGCGTGCTGCTGAGAACGATCATATGTTAGAAGCCTTCTGTGAAAGTCTGCAAGATGGGCCCATGCAGCCTGGTCCTCAAGGAAAGAAGCAAATTCAGCTTCAGCTACTGCAAGAGATGATGGCAATTGATAAAGAGCGAGCATTGATCTCGACCAAAGCCTGGGCTAGATTCGTGGAGTTAGCGGCAGGACGTCAACATGATGCTTCTTTTACGAGTCTGGAGACTTACATTCCATACAGGATATTGGATGTTGGGGAAACGTAAGTATCCATACATCAAGAATGCTGTCAAAATGTCTAATAAACATGAAGTTTCTGGTTCGGCATGTTGACGTTCGGTCTGGGTATCACAATTCCGGAGGCAGAAATTGAAACATGCAAGCAACTTACTAGACCTGCATGGATTGTCTGTGGACTTACCAATGACCTTGTATCTTGGGACAAGGAATATGATGAGGCTGTTCGCACGGGAGCTTCAGGCGTTGTGAACGCTATATGGGTACGTACAGCCCCTTGGCCCTTCATCTCCGAGATTGAGTCAGACGGAAGATGGCCATGGCGGATGCAACGAGAAACAAGGGCTTGTTGCCCTCTGAGTGGCGCTCAGGCCTCAGTGGTATCTCGAACCTGGCGTGGTTTACTTCTGTCCAACCTAATCTTGCCTCCCTGTGGCAGTCTCTCGCATACTCTTGACCCCTGGAATAAAGTTGTACTGCAGAGAAGCTGATTGGTTTCCATAGGTATTGATGAAAGAGCGATCCACCGGTATTGAACAAGCGAAACAACTATGCAGAGAAATCGTCAAAAACAACGTCAAAGAGTTTCTGAAGGTCGTCAGAGACAACAAAGACAACCCAAAACTGTCGACAGATCTGCGACAGTACCTTGAAGCCATGCTATATACCCTAAAAGGACATGCTGTTTGGTGTTTGACATGTCCACGCTACAACCAGAATGCCGAGTACAACGATCGCCAATTGGCAATGCTGATGAATGGTGTCAACAGCTACATACACAAGAGCGTAAAGATCACGACTGTTTGGGGTGCAATGTAACGCATACAGCGTCGAAAGTGGCGTCTAATCGGTGGTTTTTGTATTGAATGAGGCCCCATATCGAATAGATTCCTTCTCTTGTTGGCCTGGGAAGGCCTGATTCGTTCCTATGTAGGCTCGAAGCAAATTTCTCCAGCTTCAGCGCCTAATTCTGATCGATATCCTTCCTTTCCTGTCACTCACGTTAGAAACGTGGGTCTAAACGATGATCATGCTGCCCATCTCATTGTCGTCCATGACTTCCAAAACCTTTCACATACAAATAGTTGATGAAGACTGTCCTATCCTGCAGGTCAAGTCGGTATAGAATCAAAAGTAGCCGTCTTTGGTAGCCGAAACGGTGAACATTAGAGTTCACGCTAGACTTCAAAACTAGTACATTCTGGTCGAATTTCGCGAATCAGCCCTATGAGTCTGAAATTAGGGAGCATTACTCACTGTCTATCATCCAAGTTCTTGATGGCAAGGCCTCGATCTTTACACTAGATTGATTTTGAGTTCGCCATTTGCAATGTCCAGCCAACTTGTTGGAGCCGGCCGCCAGATTGATCAAGTATGTCCCTTGCCCGTTGATCTTCATAAAATCGTGCTCTTCCGACACAGGAAGAAAGAATGGTAGATGATTGTGATTTCTCTGGACGTACTGTATAAACTGAAGGGTCAACCGAGTATCCACCATCCAGTGTTGAGTCAATGGTTAAGAAGCCGCGCAGTGAAGGCTGCCGCGTGTGCGTTACGCGGCGAGTCAAATGCGACGGAAGAAGGCCTTATTGCAAACGTTGTGAAAAGGCAAATCGGCGATGCCCAGGCTTTAGTAGCATCGAGTTTATAGACGAAACTCCTGCAGTGCGCGAAACCTACGAAATCGCGAACGACCGACGGGTGAAAGGCTCAAGGCATGCCTCAAAAGCTACCTCATCCGGTGCATCGGAGTCAGCAATCTCCCGCAGGTCATATAGCCTCTCTGCAGGCTCAAAAAGCCATGACACAAGAGAGAATCTATTGGCTCTTGAAAGCGCTTGGCCTCAAGGCACGTGTGAGCGTATCTCATTGATATCACTCTTCGCGCCAACCCTCTACCAGGATCAATTACTGGCCGATTTCCTGCATTCCATATACGAGCCCAGGCATGCCGCTAGCCTGCCTGCACATGGTCTGTGGCTAGCAGAAGTAGCCAAAAAGTCCACACTGTCCGACGCTCTGACATGGTCGATCCGCGCCCTCTCAATCTCGCAGATCGGGCGAAGAGCGAATGACACCCCTTTGGTGGAAACATCTAGGTATCTATATGGCAAAGCCCTAGTCAAGCTCAACGTCGCTTTGCAAGACGTAAAAGAAGGCTTGTCTTCAGATACATTGAGCGCGACGCTGCTGCTCTCCTTTTATGAAGTCTTCAATTGTACCAGCGATCATTCTTGGGTAAGGCACGCTGGAGGTGCAGGCAATCTCATCCGTATACGCGGGCCAGCAATGCACAGGTCTGGCTTCGATCGGTCAGTCTTCTTAGCATGCCGCTTCTCCATTATTATGGAGGCATTCAATCAGCGCGTGCCTTGTTTTCTAGACAGTCAACCTTGGCGGGCTCTAGGATGGGATTTACGGAATGAATTTGCGAACGAGCTCGGATGCGGAGGGTCGTCCCTCGTCCTCGACAACACTGATGAGGAATTTTTCCAGAGGATTGTAGCACTTCCAGGCTATTTGAAGGAGAACAGAGAATTGATCAATCGCGAAGAAGCGACTCTCTTGGAGCTCGACGCCATGCATGAACGAGGCAAGTCTTATCGTGCGCAACTTGCACAGATCCACCAAAAAATGTCTCAAGCGATGAGTCGAGCTGGCACCATCATCACTGAAGACAATAACCCTGCTGAGGATACGACTTTTCCTGTAGCGTACGTTTTCCCAGATATCTACATCGCTTCGCTGTTCTGCGGCTATCAGACAACCATAAGCGCCATCAACATTAGTATTATGAGCCTCGAAGCTAGGATAGCCGGTCTGTATACCCCAGACAAAATGCCAGCCGTGACCACCCTGCTAGGTGTGTACAACCGTCCCAGTGAAAGCATTGACACGCAATCACGGCGCCATCTCAACGGTGTGTGGTACGCTGCAACCCGAACAGGCAATGCTCACAAGCTCAACATGGAGAATGCCAACCACGCGAGAGAAATTTGCAAATCCGCGAGATACCTGGCTCGTGCACCTTTCCTAGGACCACTACACCTGGTTGTGTCCCTCCGCTTTGCAATGCGGATGTGTATTACTAGAGCTGAAAAGGCTTGGTGTGTTCGTACGCTAGAGCAACTCGGTCGCGGAGTGGGCATAGCGAATACGGAAGTGAAGAATTACATGGGGCCGAAAGAGGGCACTGATTTTGTCGAATGGGAGGAGGCGGCAACTGGAAGTGGGTCCTAGGCTGCGATAGAAGCAATTAGCAGTAGGAGCATATTGGTAACACTGTTAGAGACTGCTTGTAAGATGAGTCGCGCTTCCTAGACCTGCTCACATAAGGCGCACTATGAAGAAGAACCCCTCCCATGAATAGTAGTACCCTCGAGAAGCCGCATATCATCGTCTTCAAGTTGTCAACTGCCGGTTTGCCACGCCCCTTTGCTTGTTACTACCAATTTTTGAGAGCAACTACGTGGAAAAGTCCGCTTTCTACTTCCCATTCACTTTGTTAGTACTCTGTCTAGCGACGGTAGCCTACCAAAGAGGTTAAAATGTTTTATTCACTTTCACAGGGAATATTTGGCGTTATCCATCGTTCAAAGCGGCCTATCATACCCTGTTCTTATGTTCTCGCAAATACGCGTCCAATTTTGAACTAGATTAAGTCAGCCTGTTCAATAGGGAGGTATTTTCTGGGTAAAAGAGACTGTAGAATTAAAGACGCAATCCATTTTGTGGCCTGACTGTTTGCAACCGAGACTTTTAAGCTTCAACTCCATCTGAAAGGAGCCACGACATGGATATGGATCAAATGTGATTGTTCCGCGAGTAGTGGAGTCATGATCAGCGATTCAACAATCGAAGAGTACTTGCTCCATCAGTCAAGCAAATCGGGAGTTGTAGAGGAACCTTTTCTAAGATCTTTCTGCGCTATGATACAATGATGACCTGAAACCATAGCCTATACATTCAAGCCTATTTCCTCAGCAAATGGCAGAACATATAGATCACCAACGGCGGAGACCGATGCTTTTCCATCCAAAAGCGCCTTCGCAGCCTGGAAGTCTATTAGCAATCCTTCTAGTAGGATGAAATGTGGATCATAATGACTTACCTTTTTGACCTGCTCATCTGTCACACCATCAATACTTTTTCCTACCTCGTCTATTTGGTATGCTTTCCCTCCCTGAACCAATCCTGCACCCGTCAATTCAATACCGGTATCAATATTTTGCCCGGACTCTAGTGCCCGGAACTTCGCTGTGGCCTTTGCCTTTTTGATATCCTCACTGCCGACCTTTCCTCCTGCAATCTCCTTGATTGTCTTGACGACTTCTTTACTTGCATCTCGGACTTGACTAGCATTGCCTGTCAACGAAACCGTGAGTAAGCCGGCGTCTGAGTATATCTGATGAGTGGTTGAGATGTGTGCTTGCGGATACGCCTCAGTGGCTTTGGAGAGTAGCGAAAAGCCTGGACTCCATTTGATGGTAGTTTGCCCGCCCAGTAGAGCTGTAAGGACAGAAATTTCTGGTTTGTATGAGCCGCCAGTGAAGGAGCTTGAACCAGGGAATCCAAGAATCAACGTGTTGCCGGAAGCATGCGCAACGCGTTCTTCACCACCGTAGTATTTTGATGGGGCTTTGCCTGAATCGGGAACATCCACACGTGGAATAGAGGGGGAGTCGGTGAAGAATTGGCCGACCCATTTGTTCAAGTCGCTGAAGCTCGCACCATTGGCTACGACGGCGAAGTTAGGCTTAGCGTAGGCAACTGTGCTGAATTGCTGTAGCAGGTCCTCTTGAAGATATTGGGTTATTGGCGTAGAGGAAGATGGGTGCAGGGGGTTTCCAAGGCCTCGATGGAATGCGACGCCATGTGCTGAATTGATCGCAAACTCGGATGTACTGCCTAATAGCTTTTTCCGAGCAAGGTCAATAATAGGATTCACCTCTTCGTGTAGCTCATGACCTTTGCGAATGTCAATACTGTTCATACATGAATTACCCATTGCGTCTTACCAGTAAATTTTGTCAGGGAAATTGTTTCGCCCAGAAGTTCGGCAAAATATGGTAAATCGTCTCGCAAGAACTTGGCACTCAGCACCAAATTCTCTCTTGAATGATACGAGCTCAATTCACCACCAAGCAGCTCTGATTCTCGTGTTATTCGAAGAGCGGAGCGTTTGTAGGTGTTTTTGAATGCGAATTTTTCCAACCCGTCTGAGTAGCCCGGCAGAGGCTGGAATCGAGTGCCAGCTTTTGCTACGACAGCCAGATGTGTAGTAGGGCCTGGCAAGTCTCTGCTCGCTATCTTCACGCCCGCAGCTTCCCCGGTTTCGTAATTGAAGCTCCCAGATGCCGCAGTCGCGAGTTGCCTTGTCTGGTGGCTGCATCGGTGGCATCGAAGGGCGCGTTGCCCGTGGCGAGCAATCTGAGGCGCCAAGGGCATCTCGACAGGCTGGAGCAATCAATTGACGCAACTCATATATCTATGGCAGCAGGCAGAGCTCAGGATCGTTGTCGACAGAAGCCCCGAATTATTTAGGCTTGCGGCTGCCACTAGTCAATTCTTAGGGCCACTTATTGGTGGCCTCGGGTTTAGGATTTAATGAGGAACGGGCCACAGCGGAGGCTCGTACCCCACCAGAATTGTTTAGCTGAGAGAAGTCTCATCAAGCTGTTCTAGCTTCCAGATTCTGCACACTTACAGCCTGTGCAGTAGAAATCTTGGTTCAATGGCCCAGAATCGATGACACTGGTGAAACTTCTAGAGATTTGGGCATAATCTCTAGGATGAACGTAATATGTCTAGAGTACGTGGATCCAAGTGTTCAGGTCTTTACCCTACTGATACTGGATTTCGCAGCACATTTCGAAATTTACCACCCTTCTTATCGACGAAATCTTTGGATCACTGGCGTCCGTACGTTGACAGAATATCAATCTCATAACCCCCTTGTTGCTGACCATCCAAGGAAATATACCAAACCCTCCTCGTCCACGGAAGATGCACTCTCGGCGCTTTAGAAGCTCGGACGAGTCTGGAGACCTCCGAATTACGCCATGGTCTTGCTGTCTTAATCCAGAATACTTTTGTTCATTGGCGTGATCGTCGCCTTAAGGAACCGCCAGCATTTGAGGCGAATGTTGACGCTCCTTACAACCTCTCCCGATATGGTAAATGGGTTCAGATGTCAGAAGAGAGATACAGCCCATTGGCGGGTCAGATAGTTTCGAAGCTTCTGTTCATGGGTCATGCGCGAATTCCAGATCTCATTGCGGCGCTAAGCGCAAATAATGTCGGTGTTTCAGGGGCTTCATCAGCCAATGCTGGGGCAAAGCTTCCGAACGGAACCGGTATCCATAGCCTCAAGACGAACGGGCGCATTCTTCATGAGAGCGATACCACTATTCACAGAATACATCAGAGTCTATCTGACTTGCGGGAGGCTGGTCTCATTAGCATATGCCACCCCTCACACTTTCGGACCTACGCAGACAACCGAACTGCAGCGGAGGATGTTACCCCAAAGATTGATTCGTTCACGCAAAAAACAAAAGCAGAGAGACAAGCCGCATGGGAGGCTGCTGTACAGCAAAAGCTAGATGAATGGAGGTATGGGACAACCGACGAACGAGCACAAATGGCAAGGCTGCACAAAGGGCCAAAGCGTCAGCGCGACGATACAGAGTCTTCTATCTCGAATAAGCGTGCCCGCCTCGACAGTGGGTACAATGGGGCTTCTGTCATTGAAGGAAACGTTCAGGGTGGACTGGATTCATGGTCGTCTGGTTTGAGCAAGGTACTCTCGCATACGATGAACTAGTAGACTCAAACTCATGAATGTATAGTCCGAACCTGCCTTTCGTGTCAACCACATCAAAATGACGGTCCTTTTCCGCAACCGGCAACTTGTGAGATTGGCCAAGGAGAGCTTATGTAGTGCCACTTCGAAGATTTATGAGAAGGTGCTCAGCCTTAGTGAGAATCACGTACGGGAATGTAGAGACAAGGCCAGCCATGACAAGAGTGGTGAGATTGGTGACGAACATATACAATATTTTACTACTCCGTACATGACAACAGAAGAGGTTGCACGAGCTGTCCCTGACTCTGCAGATCTCAAAAATGCTCTAGGTTTTGTTGGAAATCATGCGTCACACGACGAGGATATCGACCATCCTAAGAAAAAGCGCAGGAGGAATACACCTCAATCAGAGGAGCCCAGCAAGTATGAAGCAGAATCGGCAGGGGAAGACGAGGACGGACAAGATGCCATTTCTGGCTCTGATGTGTCAAGCGACGCTTCTTTTGACTCGGACGATAGCGATGAGGAAATGGCAGCTGCTCAATTCAATTCGATCAACGGAGCATCCGGACACATTGGCCTTACCTCGCACCAAATGATGATTCGATCACACCTGCTACTTCTGGCTCAACATCCTTATGGTTTCCTAAGTCACTTGCGTGAGACGAGTACTGGTGAAGGTTGGAATATCAATTTCCCCCAAATTAGGGAAAAGCTACAGAAGCATACTATTAATCAAACTATATCTTCTCGGTATGGAACTCGGTCGGTACGTCTAGCCAGCATTCTGGCTGAAAACGGAAAGCTTGACGAGAAAACGCTCTCGTCAATGTCATTGATTCGAGAGAAGGACATGCGAAATCTGATAACGCCAATGCACCAAAGCGGCCTTATTGAATTGCAGGAAGTTCCCCGTGACAACACTCGAATAGCAACGAAAACGAACTTTCTTTTCTTCTTCGATCTTGATCGATGTATAAGTAAAATCACTGGAAATTGCTACCAAACAATGACTAGGCTTTTGGAACGAGTAAGAATTGAGAGAGAAAAGGTTCAGGGTGTGTTGGAGAAAGCCAGCCGTAGCGATGTTGTGGGTAGGGAGGAGCGAATGCTTAATAAGGCAGAACAGGAAGCCCTGAAGCAGTGGAAGGTCACAGAGGAAAAGTTAATGGGCCAGCTAGGAAGGATTGACGACACGGTGGCCGTCTTGCGAGACTTTTGAGACGTTTGCATGTGATACCCCGGATTTGCGATGTATACATTATGATACCAAAGACGTCTCGAAAGCTGATCTTGGCTATAGACGCAATAGACACGATAGTATGACCAATGTAGATAGAACTGGTATGTTTTACCTTCATCAATAATGGCTCCAAAGGAAAGGAGAAAAAAGGGGGGCATCCCCGCCTCGTGCCCCACATCGGTCAACCTCGGCAGTTCCTCAGGATGACCTTCCACGAATGTCTTGATTTCATCTCATTCATTCATTCATCCTGACCTCTATTACTAGTCACATTCATCTCACGTACCCCCCAATCTGAAGATGTCCCAAAACACCGACAACATAGCCCACGCCCTCGCCGGCGCCGGCGGGGGCATCCTCTCCATGACGCTCACCTACCCCCTCATAACCCTGTCCACACGCGCCCAAGTCGAATCTCGCCGAATCTCCCAGTCTACCACCTCCCTTTCCGCCTCCACCTCCGATTCCACCCTCGAATCCAAGCGCAAAAAGACCACCTCCGCCCTCGCAGCCGCCAGACACATCCTCCGCCGCGAAGGCGTCAGCGGGCTCTATTCAGGCCTCGACTCCGCGCTCTTCGGCATCTCCGTCACGAATTTCGTGTACTACTACTGGTATGAATGGACGCGGGCGTTCTTTGAACGAGCGGCGCTGAAGGCGGGGAGGGTGAGGAAGGGGTTGACGGCTGTGGAGAGTATGCTCGCTGGTGCGATTGCCGGGAGTGCCACAGTCTTGATTACGAATCCGATTTGGGTTGTTAATACGAGGATGACGGCCCGACAGTCTGAAAAGGGTGGAGAGGGGGATGTAGAGGGTGGGGAAGGAAAGCGAGTGAGAGAGAGAAAACCGTCCACACTGGCAACGTTGCTGGCGCTATTTAGGGAGGAGGGACCAAGTGCGTTGTTTGCGGGTGTGTTACCGGCGCTGGTGCTGGTTGTGAATCCGATATTGCAATATACGATCTTTGAGCAGCTGAGGCAGGCGTTGGCGAAGAGGAGGGAGGTGAAGGCCTGGGATGTCTTTCTGCTTGGTGCGTTGGGGAAGCTGGCGGCGACGAGTATTACATATCCGTACATTACTGTCAAGAGCAGGATGCATGTTGCGAAGAAGGGGGATGTAGGAGAGGGCAAGGAGGGGATGACGGACAGTTTCAGACGTGTGGTAAGGGAAGGAGGATGGGGCGGATTATACAAAGGTATGTTCAGTGGAACTCCGGTGTCCGTTGAGAGTGTTTTGCTAATTGTATGGCCAGGTATTGGACCAAAAGTATCGCAGAGCGTGATCACAGCGGCATTTTTGTTTTCTTTCAAAGATGCATTGTATGAGGCAAGCTTGAGAGCGAGAAAGTCAATACCAGCCAAGGTACCGGTCAAGTAGGGGCTAAATCATGTATGATTGATGAGAGCAACATTTGTGACCTTTGAAAGATGCACAGAATCCTTGTGCGCCTCGCTTCTTCCAGTTTATTAAGGCTGCGGTGGTTTCGCCTCGTGGAGCCACCTACCGAGGAGTTTCTTCAAATTATACCACTTCAGATTCAGCAGTCAGACATATCTGTCGAGGTGAGATGTTCTTGACCATTCTTCTGCTGCCCGAGTCATACTTACCCTCTCGTCCTCACTCCTTAAGACGCGTCTTTCCAGTAGTCATGACATTTGGGCCATTTGACCAGTGGACAATGGGATTGCTGGGTTGCCGGGAACGTGAGAGTGAAGTCTAAACACCAACAATATTGCAGTGTCCTGAAGTCCTTTGCCCCTAGATTGAAGACTGCAAGCTATACACGCTATGCAAGCTTTCACTGTTTAAGCCTTGTTCTCGAGGGTCCGCCACAGAAATTTCTACGCCCTGAGTCGTAATGAGATCGAGCAATGCTAGACATCCGTCCAACCAGCATATAGATTATCGAGCCTTCTTTTGGCCTGATGCCATCTGCTGCCTCATCTTCATCCTCCTGAATGCATCTTCACCACTTGCGCCTAGCGGCCTTGCAAAAGCACCCCCAGCGATTTGTGTACTCTTAGGAACAACAGTATAGGTCTTATTCTCGATCTCTGCACGAGCCCTGTTTGATTTTACACCTGGCGCCATATAGCCTCTTGCTTTGACGATCGCCGCCGCTTCCTGGGTGCTTATCTGAGAATTACCGCCTGCCTTCCGCGTACTGGTTGGGTCATAGGATGCCTCAGCAAGGACACGTTGGCGGTAGTCATCACTACGTTTGAGAATGGGACGAGACCATTCACCGACCAAGCGCTCAGCAGCGCGTTTGATGCTGATCTCTGGCTTCTTCGACTTTGTGTAGAAGGCAACCACCTTACCGAGTCCACTACTAATCAGACTCTCTTTGTCGATAGGTAGCTTGGCTAAAGCGGAGAATATCTCGCGCTGGATGTTGTACGCAGGTAATGAGCCATCGGTGAGGGGTTCCAGGAAGTAACGGACAGACAGCAGAAGATTATTTTCAGGGTCGACAATAGCAGCTTCAACGTCTCTGCTGTTACGGTTCAACAGTGCAGTGACTTCCGGAAGCATTTTCAGCTTATGCATAGCAGGTCGAGGTGGATTTGCCTGTCGGGCAAGTACGTCCGCTTCCGCGGCTTCTTCCATGCGTTTACGCATAGTAGCGATTTCCTCATCTGCCATGCTATTAAGATCCTAGCCCTTCGTTAGAATGGATATCGATTAGCGCAACAGTTTGACATACAATGTCGCCAGCTCTTCGTCGCCGTTTTGTCGGATTTTTGAGTGCAGCATCCATTGCCCTGTCAAGTGCACGTCTCCTCCCTGTTCCAAGTGTGAGCCTTGCTGCGATTCTCAAGTTTGTGGGTGGTTTGACTCACGCTCTTCTGGGTCAAGATTTTCCTCATCTTCTTCAACTCTCCTTTTCTCGACCTTTGGTCTCTCCTTTCTATTATCTCCTTCAACAAATGACTTCTTCTTCCGTGCCCGTTTGCCTTCTATCTCCTCCCCACCACTGAAATCATCATCACTGTCCTTCTTCTTTCTCAGCTTCTTTGGCTTCTCTCTTCGTCCTTCCTTTTTCTTTTTCTTGCGTTCACTTTCGCCTTCGACGCGCTTTCGCTTGTGTCGACCAAGAAGCTTGGCATTGTCTTCGTCTACTGCAACAGCCGGACGCTCTTCAATAGTAATTTGATTAGGGTCGAAGTTCTCGAATTGAGCTTCATCTACATCCGAGAGAATTGATTCATTATCTGAGTTGTCATCGTCTTTGGTCGCATCTGGATCGGCCGCTTGGACTGTAGGATCGTCTTGTAAATCTTCTAGTGGATGCTCGGTTGCGTCATTATGGTCAGCGTCTGGCAAATCTGGGGTAGGCGACAAGGAAAGGTCTGGTGAGGACATAACGATTGTTGATCGCACAGAATAAAAGATCACGAAGAAGATGGGTATTGAGAGTGAACGTCGCACGACAAAGGGAATGACATCTCTTGGCAGTCTCACTAGCGCGAACTCCAGCGGGGCTCGCAGATGCAAGTACTTCCCGGACAACCTCAAATGTTTCCTACAATATAGTTCTTCTTTTAGAACATTCTGCAAGCAATTTCTGGCTTGTAAGCTGTTCAGAATTATGAAATCAACCAACAGAGGTGATCATACGTTCTGTGCTACGCAGACTGTTGTCGAGGCCTTCTCCCACCCGAAAACACCTCAAAAAAAGTAATGAGAGTGATCTCTGCTATAGCCAGCTGGCAATACAACAAGCCATTAGCCAGACGCGTTCCCAGTTGCTTCAGCCACGTAGCCCACCTCGCTTCGTGAACTCGGTTGTGAAATGGCCCTTCTTCCGTGATAACCAACTCACGAGATCCGTCTCTTATTACAGCTCTAGTGGCCTTTCACCGAGAATCTCCGATGGGCAAATATCTCCAACGTTCTAGCATGAACCTCTAACATATCCGCAAGTCGTTAGAGACAACGCTTAATAATGTAAAATCACTGCTACATCTGTTATATGCACGGCGGACAGCGGTGGCGTAAACCTTCCAGAAAGCTTGGGCGGGATGTTCAACGAATGAAGGGCACCTTATTATTCGGGGTTTCAATACGGTGGGTATTAGTAGTAGTTGCAAGAGGAGGAGGAGGAGGAGGCGCAAATGGACCCAACGGCGTGATTCTGCATCTTAGCCAACTCACGCACAATAATCCCCTTTGTTGCTCTACAAAGGACGGTCACAAACGTATGCCAATTCATCTGCAAGGAAAATATAAGCTTGCGAGATACTGTTGTAAACCTTAAGCTAATGCGACCTATATTGGTAGAATGTTCAGCCAATTAAAACTCTTTGGGCTGAACGACATGCCGGACTTTCAGCCTATCTCCTAGCTTCGTGCCTTCTTATGGCTGCGATTGACGAGTCAAGCAGGAATTTCGTCCAATATTTGGGTAGATTTGCATCTGACGGTCGAGGCCAGGACTCAAAAATCTAACAGATGCTGTTCCGTGAATTAAAGCATGCAGTGCATCAGAGAGATGCGAAATATTTCCGCTCACTGAGAAGAAGACTGACATATTTGCTGTGCATTTTCTTTCTTACAAAACAGTGCATTACCTAAACATCTTCATCTCATTTACACGTGCCTTCTATCTATTTCTGACTACCTTAGCTTTTGTAACGGATACGCTCGGTGCAGGTTTGACTTGTTTACTTTACAATGAAGGCTGGCAACTAATGTCTTAGATCCTCATCTAGAATTCGAACTCAAGTCTAGATCCCCGCCCTGATGAGGGAACGCTTCCCGACGATGCCAGACCCTGACCCTACCAATATAAATTGGTTCAGCACGCGCGTCATCCCTTTATTTGATGAGTGAGATTTCGAAGCACACAGGCTTGGATCCATCGAATTTATTATGCAGGCAATCTGCTTTGCCGTTGCTCTCCTGCTAAGACTTACTCTCTCAGCAACTGCCATTCCAGATGATTTTAGGCGACGCTCTGACCATTTCACTCCATTGCGCCCTAGTGTGGAGACCATTCAGCATGAGCTTGGATCACGATTAAGCAGATATGCTTCCCTTCACTTTCCAAGCAGTCCGGATTTCTCGAATCTCACAGAGCGATGGGCCGCAAATTCGAACTCTAATTTCTCAGTTGTAGTCGTGCCTGCAGTGGACAAAGATGTAGTAGCCACTGTGCGTCCCATTTCATACCCATCATACGGTCTCATAATAATATATTGTTCAGGTGCACTTCGCAAATAGGTTTCATATCCCATTCTTGGCTGTCAATCGAGGTCACGGCGACGCAGCCGGTCTCTCTGCAGTCGACGGAGGTATCTCAATCTACATTCGCAACTTGGACAGCATTGAGGTCGCCGAAGATGGTCAATCAGCCTCTATGGGTGGTGGCGTGTTTCAGGACCAAGTCGTGAGATATCTATTTGAGCGGGGTAAGGTAGCTAGTAAGTGATCTGCCCTACCATACTGCAGAAAATGATGGAGGTTCCTAATGAGAGCAGCTTCCGGGGCATGTGCTTGCACCGGCATGATGGGTCCTGGTCTTGGTGGGGGCTTTGGCCGCTACCAGGGATACTTTGGCTTGGTCCTTGACAACATACTGGAGATGGATGTTGTCATTGCGGACGGCTCGAAGATCACAGTGTCTGCCTCCTCTCATCCAGAGCTCTTCTGGGGCATGCGGGGCGCTGGTCACAACTTTGGCATCGTCACTCGGTTCCAGCAGAAGATTTTTGACAACCCCAATTCTAAATGGTTTTTCGCGACACTCGTTTTTCGAGCTGATAAGCTTGAGGCACTAATTGAGGTGCTCAATGTCTTCGGTGCTAATGGAACACAGCCAAAAGAGGCCACTACCTACACTCTCTTCGCTGTAAACCCTGAGATCAGCCCCAGCGAGGTATGTCTGCCTAATTTCGTATCCACTGGATCAATTCCATTCTCTTTGACTGCCCTGTCTTTTCATAGCGCCTCTACCGCGAAGTCCTTTTCGAAGTGACAATTTATCCGGATGAAAGTGTCACGATTCTAAGTTGACATCTATTCAAAGCTCTCCATTAATTAGTCCAATGGCGTGGCAATTGCTCCCCACGAAAGATCAAAGTTGCCAGTTCTGTTAAATAGAGCAGACTTACAGCGGTTTTTGCACGTTGATCACTGTTTAGCTTTGGGCAGCTAACACGATTTTGGTAGCCAGTAATTATCTTCACCCTTGAGTATGGCGGCTCTGCAAGCAGTGCTGCGCCAATCCTGGCTCCTTTCTACGCAATTGATCCAGTCATCACAACGAACACAACCGTCCCATACACTGAGGCAGCCCACGCTGCCGGTGCCGGCTTGGAAGACCCTCCATGCCAGCCTTTAAGCAGCTGGAAGCTGTTTCCTGTGGGGCTGCAAACCTTCAATATCCGCACTACACGTGCCCTCTACGAACTCTTCTCCACAATGATAGCTGAGAATCCAGCATTCAATAATTCGATAGTCCAGCTCGAAGGATATCCGCAGCAAGGTGTGAGAGCCGTTGACCCTGATAGCACGGCTTATGCCCATCGCGACGACATCCTGCTTGCGTAAGTGGCGCTCCTGTACTTTCTGCGAAGAAATCCTGCCTTATCAAGCAACTACTAAATCTAGCAAAGGTCCCTTGGCGCCGTCTGGCCACCGAATCGGCCCGAATTGGAGAACATAGCAGTTCAATATGGACACCAAGCGCGTACATTGCTTCACGCTGGCGACACACCAGGACGTCCTCTGAATACCTACGTGAACTATGCGAGCAGTGACGAAACACCAGAAATGCTGTATGGGCACGAGCCATGGCGGTTGAAGCGATTAAGGGCATTGAAACGAAAATATGATCCAAATGGTAGATTCAATTTCTACAACCCGATCATATAAGGTGTCTGGAGCTGCATTTGTTGGTTGCAATAGTAGGAAGCAGGAGATGAGGATGGACTACTAATGAGATAAGAGTGTCGATTTGAAAGGGGGTAAATATACATCTTTTTCGTCTCAAAATGCGAGATAAAGTCTTCTACTATGTCAACGGCATGTCAACACAATTTAGCTCATGTATGGTCAACGAGCGCCGACACCTCTCACTCCACGAGTACTACCGGCAAGTCTAGCAACGTGACGTTGCCATCTGCCTCGTGAAAGTAAACTCCCGCTTCATGATACGTTTCAATGGCCAGATCGAACCCAGGGACGTTCTGGTCCCAGAGCCCCACAAATTCTCGGATACATTCCAATGACTCCGTAACCATCCAAACTTTCATCGTCTGTTCCGCGTATTGCTCCTCATGCATCTCAAACCTCAATGGAGGTCGCTGGGTCGTGTGGTCCCACTGTCGGTTGGGTCCAGGGAGTGGGTCCTGCTGATGTAACCCGGCTGCTAGCACATGGGCATTCCAATTGCCCTCAACCTCGTTAATTGCGAGATTCATTTGACGTTTGGAGATGTGATTTGTAGTATAAGCGTCGAACTCGACCGCATAGTGGATACCTAGAGCAGGAATATCGCCTTTGCATTCATATCCTTCCGGCGGGTCATCACTAATGGTGGTATTCGTACGAATTGAGCTGCTCAGTTGCGGCGCACTCCTAGCCGCCAATGTCCTCGTGATCCTGCTCGACGCCTCGATTTAGGTACACAGTCTACTGTCAAAGCTTTGCTCGAATGAATGGAAGACTTACTGACGGGCATTGACACTATCTTCCGCACGTGGCAAAGTTGACCCTAGTGAGAGAAGACTCAAATTCAGGGTGAAGCACGACAAGGCTGCATAATGAAGTGTCCACATGCTTCTAAAAGAAAAGAATCGACTGGAATCGCACCTACCAGAGAAAGAGTTGTGGAAGCTTATGCGCAACCTTCAAGACGTGCCTGCATAACAGCGGAGACACTCGAGCTCTTTAACATCGCCATTGACCTATAAATACGAGAGACTCGGATATCCGACGCTGCTTGCATCCGAAAAGAGAGACATGACGGGGCTCATACGTGCGCAAACTATAATTATGTGAAATTGTTGGTGATTGTCTCCAGCATCTTCATAAGGCAGATTGTCCAGGTCCTAGGAGATAGACCACTGTCTCTTGTACCAGAGCAAGTAAAGTATGCCAACAAAAAGGTAAAATATCCTGACCTAGAGTTTGGAACAGACAGTCCGATGCTTTTGTGACTTGCGCATCCGCCTATGTTTCACGAACTCCTTTGGACTTCCGTCCACGTAAAGCATTGTGAAAGACATTGTACAGGCAAGCGACATGAAAGTTGATCTTATGCATCAGACTGTTACCCCCGAGCTCCTCGTACTAAATTCTTTATCGTCGTCTCATAGTCTTCCGGCTGCCTTCCCAAGATCTTCTCAAGCCGCGTAGATGTCTCAGCGGCCTCACCACGTTTGATAGCCTCAAAAGTGCTCGCCCATTTCCTAGGTGCGTCTTTCGCCGCGTAAGGTGCAAGACAGGTTTGGACGATAGGATCGTCCACATATTTTTCGATATCGATCTCTTCGATGGTAATCGCCGTATTTAGCGCGGCCCCGATGATGTTGATCGATTCGGACAGGCTGTACGCTTTTGGCCCAGTCAGTAGGACAACTTGATCATTGTATTCGGAGACGATATCTGCATCACCGGCCCAGTGTCTGTGGACGACTGTGGCTATGGCTTCGCCAAGCTCGTCGGTCTTGGCCCATGGAATACCTGGACCAGATCCATCGTGTGGTATTCTAATAACGTCCCCCGGATTCTTCAGATTTAGGAATGCTGTGTAAAGGTAATAGGACTCAGAATAGAGAGCAACCCGAATCGATGTCCAGAAAAAATCATTCTTCCCGTTCGGGACTGCTGGGAGAGACTTGAAGTATGCCTCCGTTGTCAAATGCGATGCCATACAGTCGGATACAGAAGTGGTGGAGCTCTCGCCACCGAGTGCGAAGGACGTGTAGAAAACGTTGCTCACACCAGACTGAATAGCAGCATCGACGGCGTCTCTATGCACCTAACGTGGTGGTTTAGGGAAACTGTTCGGAAGGGTCCTTTCAGCATCGTCATACCTTGTTACGGGACTCAATCTCAAGGCCCGGATATGAGATCAGGATTAGATGCGAGACATCGTCGAACGCATTGCCCAAAGTTCCCAACTTATCATAGTCCGCGGTCCGTCTAGTGACACCGGCTTGAACATACTGCGAAGGCGTCTTTTCTGGATAACGTGATACCAGTACGACTTCTTTGGCGTCTACGAGCTGTAGGAGATGTCGATAGATACATGAGCCAAGGGCACCAGCAGCCGGAAAGACACCAATTTTTCCCATTATGGCTCAGTAACAGGGGAACATGCTAATGTCGAATTGCCCAAATTCGGCCACCAACAGCTGCACTTCCAATGGAAAGCGAGACGGAGGCGAATGATTGTAAGGTGACAACGATTGAAGCAGATTTTGTGCGAAGGCTCATCAGCTGACAGCATAAACCTACGGCTCCAAGAGCAAAGCGCGGCTGTAACCCTATGCATGATTATGCAATGCATGAGGCACGCGAAGCGCAGCGTAGAGGGAACACGCTATGTCATTCCTTGTAGGCTTTTTCAAGACTTTTGTATGCTATGACATATTAAAAAGGGATACTTGACTAACCTTGCATTCTTTGATCTAGTTTCTGTAGATTACAGGCAGTGTATAATAGTCTGGTAGAATATTGTATAATCTAGTTTCCCCTAATTCCTGTTGGGCCGCTTGAAGCTAGAACTAGTGGTAGACCTCCCCGGGAAACTGTTTGGTAGGCGACGAAAGCACTTAGGGAAAGTGCATTTCAGGGCTGAAGCGGGTCGTGCCTCGAAAGTGGGAGGCCTGACTGACTCAACAACCAAAGCTGCAAACGCCATTATACTTGTATATATTTTCGTGAACGTTCCCTTTCTCTGTGCATTTGCTTCTATATTCATATATTATACATGTTTATGTAACGGCAGGTGGTATATATCGCGGTTCCTGCTCGCCCTGATAGTCTATATTGCTATGTTTACGACTAGTGTGTGACATGATGAGTCTTTGGAATGAAGCGCGCGACCAATTTGTGCAGCAGCTACGAAGTGTGCCCGAAGATCCCTTGGCCATCGAGAAGTTTTTGCAGGACAAGGCTTCCGTCGATGATGCCCGCCGAGGCGTTGCTACGCTTCGTGAAGATAGCGACCGCAAATATGGAATGAATGAAAGCCGCGGAAAAGGCGTCTCCGGCAAATGGATACGTAGGATCATGGAGAATCTTAATCAAATCACGACCTTTGGTAATGTGGCTATGATAGCCGCGCCTGAGTCGGTTGGGGTTGTCTGGTTTGCAGTTGAAAAGGTACTCAGCGCGATTCAGAACGACTACAATCTCTACGGCACTTTCAATGTCGCCTTGCACGATATTTCAGAGATGATGGTCCTCGTACGGACTTATGATGAGGTTTTCCAGGATCGAAGGGGGAAGGGGGATGGGAGCATTTTTCACGAGCTTTCCAAAAGCATTCTTGAAGTCTACATATCCATCTTAGACTTTTCCTACGCTGTCAGAAAGTATCTATCTGGTGGCAAGCGTGCGAAGATCGGGCATGCTTTGAAGGATGTGGTCGGTGCATCGAACAGACAATTTGAGGGCAAGACAACCGCGCTTCAAGCCCAGAAGGCTAAAGTCATCCAATACTCGGAAGCAGCTTTCCAGCAAAAGACGAGCGATAGCTTAGGGGATGTCTCAGGCGAGCTTGTTGGCATGCAAAAAACCATGCGTGATGTATTTGAATTTCACCAGCGGTCATCGACAGAAATGAAGGAAATTCTGAGTGAAATCAAAACAGCCAATAGAGCGCCTACCCATGGCGAACTCGCGGTCTTGGAGTATGACAAGAACATGCAGCGTTTGACACCATGGCTAGACGCAGGTAGCGCGACCCTGAGCACACACGTCAAAGCCCGTGAAGAGGGCACTTGCACTTGGATCAAAGATGCAGCTTGCTATACCTCTTGGCAAGATGCTTCCAAGAGCTCCATACTCTGCATAAGAGGCGAGACAAGCTCCGGCAAATCAGTCCTAGGTGCTTTCGTGTATGAGACGCTCCGCAACGAACTCAGCAATAGCAAAGACAAAAACACCTTGGTGCAGTACATATCGCAGGATATCAAGTCTACCGGTGACATAGAGAAAGCCCTCAAACGAATGGAAAACACCCTTTTGCGTCAGATATACGAGCACGCTCTGGATGATGTGGATGATGATTTACTCCTGCAGCGCTGCAACATTCTCTTCAGCCATCCAAAGAAATCCAAAGGCAGAGATAATCCGGGTCCTAGTACTACTGAGAAACCAATTCTAAGTGGGGTTGCCGGTGGGCAAACCACTTTAGATTTCTTAGACGTATACCCTAGCCTTGTTGAATCGCTTAAAAAGCGGATAGTGGTGATTATTGACGGCGTAGACGATCTTCTTGACGAAGACCAAGCAAAATTTGCTGAGAATCTAGTCAAATTAAGGCAAGAGCCGGATATTCATGTCCGTATCCTCCTTCTATGTCGACCATCAAGCCCAATCCGCCTGAAATTGGGGGATGAGACGACTCAGATAACAATGGCCGATCACAATTTGGATGACATCAGATTGATCATTAGCAGAGGATTGGAAATCCTGCCTGGCCTATCATCAGACGAAAGGAGCGAAATTGAAGCTGTAATTACTCAGAAGACAGGGCATCGAATCAGATATGTCAAACAAGTAGCCCTCCCTTTTCTGCACACTCCCTTCCAACGCCCAGTCACAACATGGCTGCAGTCTCTACCAGAAAATGTCAACGAGACATATCACCAGCATCTACGTCAGCTTGCTCCAAATTATTACGATCTACTTCGCTTGGCTTTGAGCGTGACATTTGTTGCGGAAAGACAACTCCGGATAGACGAAATAATGGAAATATACTCGCGGATGTACTTAAATGACAGCACGACTGATGATCCGGACAAGACACAAGTGAATTTGGAGCTTTACCGCAAACAGATACTGAAAGCTGGAGGGCCATTCTTGAATGTGCGCGAAAATAACCAAGTCGAACTCACTGATCCTGAGGCAATTCGCGAGTTTTGCCGTCCGAAACCGAATAAGGCACACGCGGAAGACGCAGAGCGATCGATGTGCTTGAAATGCAGGCAGAATACGCATACGGTCGATGCGCTACCGGTAGATGAAAGACATGCACACTTAGCACTTGCCATCACTTGCAGTAAGTCTGCTCAAGCTATCCATGGCTTTGACTAACAGTGTCAGTGAAACACCTCAATTCTAATACGTTCCATGTCCGATTCTTTGCCGATTCGCTCGACGAAGCTAGATCCCGGGTCGTGAAAGAGAAGACTGCTAACAAGGATACGGTCTCGGACGTAAATTTAGAGACCGCGGGTTCGCCGCAGAACTTAGCTTCTACGACTGAGTCAAACCAGCTCAATGTAGCCCAAGCTGGCGATTCCGACTCGAAAAACGAGCAACAGGAAGCACTTTTGGAAATCCGGGAAGCTGCTACCTCCTCACCGAACGAAGTAAGTGACGATGACTCCCAATTCTCGGATCAAGAAGGTGATAATGAAGACTTCGACCAAGCTGACAACGATGACTGGGACGATAATTCTGACTGGTGGACTTCAAGAAGATACGAGATTACAAGTTGGTACTACAACATACAGGAAGCTGAGCGTCTCTGGTCGCCCGACGAAAGAAAATCTAGCCCAGAATGGCAAGAGCTCTTGAAAGAACTTGAACGCTTCTTCCTGGACGGGACCCTAGCTTTTGAAGCTTGGAAATTAGACTGGGTAAATTACTCGTGTGAAAAATGGGAGCCACTTCACTTTGCTGCATGCCATGGACTTATGAGTGTAACACAGATGCTCCTTGATAGGGGGGCAAAGGTGATGGGCCTCACACCCGATGGCTGGAGCGCATTACACTTGATCACTCAAGCCCCGAAACCGAGTCAAGCTGCGATATTACGCCTGTTCCTACAAAATGGTGGCGACCCTAATGTTGACGGTGAACAGGAATCCTGGGTCATGCCGGCGTTCCATCATTGGCTGTACAACGGGGCTGACCCTGAATGTGTCAAAGAACTGCTTCGTAGTGGCGCTTCAAATTCTCTGACAAATTCGCAGAATCAAAATGTAATGCACTATTTTGCTTTGGATGGAGCTGATCCGGAGGTGTTGTACCTTCTGCTGGACAATCCTCTAGACGCCAATAATCGTGCAGATATCAATGTCGAAGACGGCGACGGTGAGACGCCTTTACACAGGCTACTCTCTCGCCCAAAAGTCCCGATCGACCTTCTTAGGGCGTTCCTTGCACGTGGGGCTAATGTCAATATCGATGATAAACAGTCCGAGCGCCCTCTTTACGAAGCAGCTCGCTGGGGTGAGAACGATGCTGTTGAAGCCATTATTGAGCAAGTGACAGACATCGACGACGATAGCAGATGTGGACAAACAGCACTTCATGGCGCGGCTCATGCTGGCCATAAAGAGACTGTGGAGTTGCTCTTGAAGCATGGGTCTGACCCAAATCGAAGAGACAAACACAATAGGAGTCCTCTCTTCTTGGCCTGCCTGGGGCGAAGAGGGTTCATTCCGGAGGATGTCCATCAGGAGACGGCTGAATTACTGTTCAATGAACAGATGAGACGCCGATCGGCTTTTCACGATATTAATGTTTGTACCAAACGTGGTCGCACAACGCTTCGCGAAGCGGCAGGCCGCGGCTATCTACAGATTGTATCAGGCATCCTAGAGCAGATGGCACCCGAGGAGAAGGTATGGATTGACAAGCGCGACGACCGAAAGCGGCGTACTCCTCTACAGACAGCCGCGTCGCACGGACGGGGGAAGTCATTGAGATCCTCCTCCAGCACGGTGCAAATGTATTGCTTCGGGATGGTGTCGATGGTAAAGGGATGACAAGCCTCGAGATTTGCCTGGATAGATGGGCTGTCATAGGGTCCAATCGTTACGAGAACGCCATGGTTCGCCTCATTGATGCCTGCACAGACGAAGCAAAGGGTAATAAACTTTTGCTGACCACAGCAGCCATTCATGGAAGCGTTCAGGTGCTGGGAAAGCTGGCAAATGCAGGTGTCAATCTAGACCTACCGGATGCTTATGGATGGACACCGAGTCAGCTAGCCTCGCAATTTGACCACTTTGAAGCGGCAGCATTTATCAGGGGGTCATTAGCAAAGCGAGCGTTGCGACCAACTCAGTGGACCGTTGAAGGCGACGCAAAGATCACAACATTAGAGGACGATGGCAGGGGCGTCAACCACGAAGAGTCCCCGAGAATGTGTATATTAGCCGATCACCCGGTGCCTGCTGGTCTGACAGCCTACTACTATGAGATAGAAATATTAGACGCCAAAACCGGGAAATCGATTGGTAAGAACGGCATCATGCCCCTTGATCTTCACTTGCTGACCAGTAGGACAGACTCTCAGACTCAGGGGAATGAAGACGAGCCGGAAATCGCCATGGGTTTTGCAACTGCATCCGCCAAATTGGTCGAGTTTCCTGGATGGCCTCCAAAACCAGTTGCTCCGAATGTGCAGTCATGGGCCTATCATGCTGATGATGGAGCAATTTGTGCTTCAAATCGGAAGAAGTGGCCGTCCAGCTTTGATAAGCATTACGGACCAGGCGACACGGTGGGCTGTGGATTGGAAGTTGAGGCAAAAAGAATCTTCTTTACAAGAAATGGTGTTAGGATCGGTAAGCGCTTTCTTTCAATGCCAGCCCATTTGGTTTCAACCCTCGACCAACCAACAACAGGCTCCTTTTCTAACTGACACTGATCGATTAGACGACCACGTCTTCGAAGATTTCAACGGACGCGTCTTTCCAATCATTGGCCTAAGTGAGAAGATGAAGTTGCGCACAAATTTTGGTCTCGACCCCCAAATGCCCTTCAAATGGAATCAGCAGGCGGAAGAAACCTCGAAGGAGGTAGGGGAGAAGCTCGTCAATGGGACCGGCTCGTGATTAAACTTAACCACCAACCGAGTTCTGACGCCCTACGCCCCGCCAGTAGTCGTGAAGAGCGTGTGCGAGGAGAACGTCTAGCATCTCCACGCAGGAGCTGTATATAGCCCGGCTTGAAGATGGCCCAGGCCCTAATACCAATAGGAAGTTCGATGAAAAATTCTGAACTTGTGGTCCACTAGCAACGAAATCAGGTGGCTGAATGCATTCAAACAAGAGATTGTTTGCTGAGAAGGCGTGATAGAGACCGCCATTTGAGATGTGAGTTATTTCAATCTATCCGCCTTGATACAGGAGCTGTGTATAATCAAGTATACTACTTGGGAAAGCATTTTTTCATATTTGGTAAAGCCCTGAACATAGCCAACGCCAATCCTATAAAGTAGTAGGGGATAAGCGGCAATGCCTAGCATTGAAGATCAGCTTACAGGCATGCCCCAGGGCTTGCATCCCTCTAATTGCTCCCTAAAGTCCAGTGCCGGTATCACCTTGGCGGGAAATGCCATTTCTGATTTTGAGCAAAAAAGCACTTTCGCTCCCCGTATAAATTTGCATCATTTGGCGGCTTCCTTCCAAGCACCTCCTTGCATACAGCCTACCCACAGATTTCGTGACCCATAGATAATAGACGCCATGTTTCAAGGTACGCACGAACAATCATGATTGCTGAGTGCCAGAGACCCACAGATGGCTCGCACAAGCGTACTGACAAGGACCAAGGCGAGCCCCAGCAAAGTGCTCAAGAAATCAGGGTATGTGCATGGTTTCTCTGTCTGAACACGCAGTCACTCATGGTGACGATGATATTTAGAAAGCGGAGGAAGTATCAAATCAGACCATTAAACAAGTCATCGCGGGATGCATCTTGCTGTACCTCAGTATGCTCATTCAGCCTCAAGATTGAAAGCGACGTCGTGATTGACATTTTGGCTTCTAGGTCCGTTCGCGATTGACTACGTGAAGAACTTGGTCTAAAGACAAGAATGCTTGGTCTGGCGTCTGCAAAGAGCTACACATAGCATGTTTTGGTGTTAAGGGACAATGACAGGGCTGGAATGATACCCCGGTCTTGAAGCCATTCACAGAGCATATCCTAGGAACAGCAGCGTCTTATCTACATTACAACCAACTTTCCGCTCAAACAAATGTCCGCTTTTAGTCTATGCAACGTCGCGCCTGTCGTCGATCACGTTCATCTGCCATTCAGCAAAAACCTTGTTGGCTTCTCTTGCTGCTCATACTCCTTCCAATCCTTCTCGATCGAAGCCAGCTCCTTGGTAAGGTGCTCTAGCTGGGAATTGTAATCTTCTAGAATCTGTTCAAGTCAGCACACAGATATTCACAGACCGTTCTCTTTGGGTGGGTGTGGAGGGTGTGTGCTGTAGGGAGGGCGTGTAAGATGATATCAGCAAAAGAACAACACATACCTTCTTCGCCCTCTTCATCACTTCTTCGTCAATCCCTCCGCTCTTCGCTTCCGTCAATCCCCGTCCCGCTTTCTCGTAAACCTGCTGTAACTGCCGCCCCCGCTCCCTCACGCTGACCATCCGTGCCCATATCTCTTCTCCCTTCCCGCTCAGAGCTGGATCAAAGGCCGTCCTTTCGAGCAGCAATAATTTCTTCCTTAGTTCTTCCTCCGCAGCATCCATGGCGTAACCCCTATTCCTCAACATCTGCGTCTTAGCCGCCAAACTCAGACACTGCCGACTCAGCACCAAATGCTTCCGCTTACACTCTGCCGTACGAATCGAGAGATCCAGGTCATGTTTCTGCAGCAGCGCGTTCAAACCTTCATTGATCTCATGGAGACGCCCTTGCAGTACGTTGAGGTTCTGGTACTGGCTCTTCATACGGAAGGAAAGTTCCTCGAAGCCACGAGCAGCGACGGGGACAGCGCCCGGAGAAGGTTTCTTGGCAAGAGCTTCCTCCCATTTCACCTCGTCATCCTGAGGGCCAGGGCCGTAGAAGGGAGCACTCTCAGGGGCGACGGCATTATAAAGGTAGGTTTGAAAGGGCGTATGTGGAGATTGTGGATTCCATTTTGCGTAGGCGAGCTCGATTTGGTCTGTTACTGACTTTTGACGAGGAGCTATCTGTGAATCTTGGAATAGCCGTGACTGGCTTTGGGGTTGACCGAGAACGCTGCCTTGTTGCTGTGTTTGTTGTGCCTGTTGCGCAGGTTGTCCAAAGCTGCGGAAGATACCGCTCCCTTGCGGCGGCGGCTGATATGCTGTGCTTCCCAGACTTCCAAACAGCCCTTGCTGAACTTGAGGCTGACCGAAGATACCACTGCCCGTCTTTGCTGGCTGCGTACTCCCGAATAATCCTCCACCCTGTTGTGGTTGCGAAGTGCTCCCGAACAAGCCTCCTCCTGCGGCAGGCTGGCTTGTCGTGCTTCCAAACAGACCACCTCCCTGCGCTGGCTGAGATGGTGTGCTACCAAATAGGCCTCCAGTCTGCGCTGGCTGTGATGTCGTAGATCCAAAGAGTCCTCCACCCTGCTGCGTAGTATTGTTTGTATTCAGTGAGCCAAAAAGATTCGATTTATTCTGAGTCGTGTCCGTTGAGCCAAAGAGACCAGTTCCTGTGTTCTGCTGCCCGGACAGATGCTGAGAAAATATTGATGACATGGCAGTCCGGGGTACCTATGCTGTAGAGCTGAGAAGGTGGAAGCCCACGTGAAGGATGGGCAGAGGCGCGTCGGCGGCGCGCATCACTGACTGGACAATTCGTTCAGGTATAGTAGAAAGTCATAGGGTTGCTTGAAAGGTGAGCTGTACTGCACTGAGTCGATCAACACAGCGGTTTTGCGCCTGTCTGTAAGTCCTCTGTTTGCCTAAATAATTGTTCGTCCTGCAATTCAGGAACCAAAATTCCTATCCGCGATTCAGCGCCAGCCAATCAGAGCTCACCTGCGACAGCAGCTCCGACCTCACCACCGCACTCTGCTACATATTGTATCGTCTCCTCCCTAGCACTGACAGCCACATACCTCTTTGCAATGTCCACCCGAGAGCCTAGGTATCTCTTCCTTCCTCAATTGCCCACCTGACTCCGCTAAGCACCGCCCAGATTCAATCAACATGTCCTCATCGACACGACCCCTCTCCCCTCTGACATTCCTCCAGTGAAAGAATGTGGCGCCTCTTCTGCACCCCTACTAAGCGCGAGCTTCTTTATCGGCGATCGCTGCAAAGCCTACAATGACGACTATATGCAATGCAAGACGGAGGCTCGGGGGAGAGGGGAGTTTGACTGTATGAAGGAGGGGAGGAAGGTGACGAGATGTGCCAAGAGTGTGTGCGTGTATCCATTCAAGATGCAGAACGCGAAAATGGCTGCGGTCAGATTGAGCGGTGCTAATGTGAGGGTGGACACACAGAATCGATGATGTAAATCGAAGTTGCCTAAAGGAGTTTCAAGAACATTACGAGTGTTTGGAGCAGAACAACCAGCAATTATGGGACTGTAGAAGACCGGAGCAGTTCTTGAACAAATGTGTTTTCGACAAGCTGGTATGTTTTATGTTCATATTCAGACGCAATATTGACAGTATGAGGCAGAATCTTAAGAAGGAGATACCAGGCACCCCGCCCCAAGAGACGCCAGTGCATTTGAGGCCGAAGCAGATCTTTTCTCATGCCTACACCAGCAGGAGGGTACCAGAAAAGAGCGAAACGAAGACATGATTAGCGCAAAAGGGAGCTTCTATTAAATGGATGAATTGGGATTGAAATAGTCAGTCTATGGACAAAGATGTATCTGTGACTACACAGCATGAGGCATGTATAGCAAGCACTTGGGAAAGAACATCACAGCACGTTATTGACAAGGAGGGCCATGTTATGCCAGCCAACGTTGAACCTTTTACGGTACGATGCCGCCAATGCCATAGCCAAATGTGTAGAGACAGAGCAGCAGGAAATAGCTGCTCACTTCTCCTTCAATATTCTTCTCTCCCTTTCCTAAGCAAGTGTGGATGCTCTGAATGAACAGCCTCCATTTTCAGGAGACTTGTGATGATCAGATTTTTCATGACAAGCTTGTGTATGAAGACTCTTCCTCTCCAGTGAGCACATGCTGTCATTTGCCAACGAAGGGATTTCCTCCGCGAGTCATCGAACTGGTTGATTGATGTCACGATTCTCCGCAAAACCAAGTTGCGGTGTTGTCAAAGCTTCTCAGCATTGATTCGGCAGGATATGAGGCAGCATTGATCTTCCTCATTCAGCAGGTAGCGGAGTTAGATTCATCAATTCTCGTGACTGCCTCGTCAGCTTGGCAATAAGACGAAGTGACGTGTTGTTCGGTTGCTCCTCTGCAATCTCAATGTAGGCCGTTTGAAGACGCTGGCTGATTACGTCCAAGACCTTGCGTAAGACTTGCTGGATCTCAGGTTGCTAAAGGACGACCTGTTAGCTGCTTCCATCGATTTCAGACTAAATCATACGTACATGGGGATCAAGGCAAGACAGGACAACATCAACCCATGCAAGACGTTCCTTAAGGCTGGTCGTGAAGGACGACGTGACAGCTGCTCCGACCGAAAGAACGACAAGGGGGGAGATGCGGCGCAAGTACCCTGCATTGTAGCTAACGAAGGTTTGATCGAAGAGTGCCGTTTGCTGGCTTGATTGAAGCCACTACAGATGGCGTCAGAGAGAGCGTTCTGAGGGTGAAAGATGGGAACTGCTTACCATGATCGTGGCCTCCTCGTAATTACCTTTTTGCATTGCAGAGGCTACAGCCTCGGCCTCCTGCTGCTCCGGTGTCACACGCAAAGATGCAGACTCACTTGGGGTTGGGGAGTCGCGGCGGACTAGGGCCATGCCGTCTTGAAGAGATTTTTGCCCCAGCCGCAAGATTTCCGACTGAAAGTCTGACTGAGCCTCCGCCATCTGGTGAATAGTTTCAGAAAGCACACGAACAGAGTTCGCAAGCTGATCAATCTTCCCAGCATCTTCGCGGCGTTGTACTTCGGCTTGCTGTAACTGGCTGCGAACCCGATTTTCCGTATCTTGGCCGATCTTTTGCGCAGCATTGACAGCGAGGTTCTGAAAGCTAGGGATGACCGACCTCTGGAGAGTGCCCATGAACTCTTTCTCTACAATGCCAGTCACATTCCTAGTAATCTGCTCCGAAACTGCACGATAATGGGCGTCGGACTGGACCATACGAGTAAGAGCTTCAGGTACTACTGAGCTAAGCACAGATGGAAGGACGTGCCGCAATTTTTGATCAATTACGGAAGGTATGTTCTTCTCGATATTGTTGGCAGTCAGGGTTGAAATTGACGGAATCACCGAGTCTTTGATAGCCCGCGTCACAATTGTTGTAAGTGACTTCTCCACGTTGTCGCCCAACTGCTTTGAGACCAAGCGCAGGATTGCTTCTTGATTAGCGCCTGCTGCGGCCGTTTGCACCTGCCTGTCATTGTCAAGGCGTCGATGCAGAGCGTCCAATTCGCGTTGAAACGACTTATCAAATTCTGCGGAAACTCCGAGTTCAATCTTGCGCATTTCTTTATCAAGCAGCTCACTAGAGATTCCGAGGCTGATGGGCTCTATGTCAGAAGACGTTTTAGTCTGACGGTCTAATATAGGGGCGACAGAAACATCTCCCGCATCATGCGAAGCTTGCTTCTCCTCCTCCTGTTGACGGATGACCAAAGCTTTTGGAGGTGGCGAAGGAGCTCGATGTTCTTCACTGGTTGGTTCAACCACCACAGGCTTTATATTTGATTCAGCTGTGGAGGCTTGCTTCGCTTTTTTCTTTTCTGATTTCTCACTTGTCTTTGAGGAGCCCGTAGGGGTAGTCTTGCTAAGCTTCTCCGTTTCTTTGAGAGTCGATTTTGGTCCAGTTTTCATAGAAGACGCCGAATCGCCGTGAGAGTAAGATGAATCAAGAGATGATCCCAAGGGCTCTCGAAGGTCTTTGACTTTGATGAAGCCTTCTTGCTCTGCGTCCACCGGAAGCAGCGCTTTGCTGTCTGCCGACCAGCCAAGATCCTCCTTCTCAAAGCCGAGACAGGTAACACCCTTCGAGTGCATGACATAAAGCTCGAACAATTGGGAGTCTCCCTCATCTTCGGCCCTTTTCGCAGCGTCTACTGCAGGTGGTGTAATTTCCAGGCTTCGAAGCTGACCGATATCAGCGAGCGAATATTCGCGTAGGCCGCTCATAATGGCTGTAGCTTCAGCACGTGGAAGAGTGGAGTCCTTAGTAGCAAGTCGTTGGACAAATTTAGCCTGTGACATAGGTGGTAGGTTATATCTCGGTGAAGAGAGATGGATCAAGTAGATAGAGTTGCGCGTAGGATGACCTACGGCGATAATGCCTGAGTTGGGATGGTAAACCACACTGCAGATAGCATCGGCCTCATTTGAGTGGGGAAAGCTCAGTTCCTGCACAGCTTTGCCAAGACATAGATCCCAAAGCTGAAGTATATGATTTTGTTTCATGCCAACGATTATGAAGCGCTGAGCGATACCCTTGATGTACGCGCGAATCTTGTCAACAAAATGGACCGAAGTAGGCCAAGATTTTTCAGCAGAATGCGTGGTTGAGTAAGTCAAAAGCGGAGTCTTGACTTCAATGCCAGCAAGTTTGCCCGCGTATGAGTTATTTGGGTCTACTAGTTCACTGATGTCCCAGACCCTAAGCTTACCAGCCTTATCAAGTGTCGCAATTGTCGTGTCATCTTCGCTGAAGGCGAAGTCTTTGCCGGCCTTGCCGGTTGTTACCTTCAGGCTCCGATCAGCAAAGTATTTTTCAGTATCGATGGTTGATGAGTCCCCAAAAAAGGCAGAGTCACGAGCATGAGATGGAAAGACGATCTGTATGGACTTGCCGCGGCCAATACCGAAGAATTCTGGATGGCGACTACTCTTCTTTGCTCGAGTCTTGAGTTGACCGCTTGTAGCTGATTCCGAACCAGCAGCGCTCGGAGGGAAGATGACCGCCCCAGACTCCATGTCGGCGAGCGAGAGGTCTTTACCAGGTTCCCCAATAGTTGCCCAGTAAACAGTCCCACTAATTCCAGTGGCAATGACTCTCTGGTACCCAGGACCGTCATACACTGTGGATACTACAACATTGAAGACACGATCCTGGGTATTCGGAAATAGCATCCTGGAAAGACCATTGTCTTGATGTATCACTCTTATACCTCCATTCCTAGGCATCCCATAGACGATAAAATCTCTCGTTGCTGCTGCTAATGTTCGGTCAATCTGGTCAAATTCTTTCTTGAAGCGAGCAATATTCACAATTGATTCTCCGTTGACCGATAAACCGACGGACTTTTTCACAATCTCAATAGAAACGAAGGGCTTCATTGGAAACTGGTAAGAAGGAACATCTCGATGTACCCAGGTCGGAGGACTAGAGTTATCGCCATTGTTGAGCTTTCCATCATTGGTTGCAGCAGTGTTAGAGTCATTCAAAGTATCCTTTGGTAGTTCTTCTTTGGTCTGTGGCTCCTTCTTTTCCGCTTCCGCCAAAGCATGTTCCATTTGTTTGTGCACTTGGTCACCTACCTCATTTAGAGCCTCAGCAACTGTCTCTACATCTTTGCTGGGCGCTCCAATGTCCATCAGAGCTTCTACTTGGGTGCGGCCATCTTTGGCGCGCTCGGGCTGGGGTGATTCAATGCTCTGCATGACTTCGTTTCCGGTAGTGGTAAGTTTCTTGTGAGCTGGTCTCTGTGCAGCAACCGGTGAAGGTGATTTTGCTTGGCGCTTTTGGGAAATTCCATTCGACTTCTGACGGGACTGCGTATTCAACGGAGACGAATCCGCAAGCTGCTCGAAAGGATTGACATAAGTGAACATCGGTGCATTTGTCGCAGCTGACGGTGACTTGGCGAGAGACTCAGGGTGGAAAGGAGTTGGCGTGTTCTCTTTACTGCCAAACACACGCACAGAAGGCGAGTTGTGAGCGGGCGAGGGGGTATCTCGCGCTGGGCTTCGCTCTTTCAACGTAGGAGTTGAGCGTCTTTGCTCCTCTGCATTCACTGCTGTCTGATTGAGAAGCCTCAAAAGCGATTCCTGATGGCTTTGTGAAGATGAGCGCGGCATTGATTGCGCCGGTGTGGGCGGCTTCGACCCAGATCCGCTACCTCCACCTCTGATGGAGGCCACTAAATCTGAAGCTGAGATACCCCTACCGTGAACACTGTGGGTGCTAGTAGAAGTGTGCGGAGGTCTCGTAGCATCAGCTGTTGCGGCTTGTTGCGAACTTCGCTGGGTCGGCGTGGCTGACCCACCAAAGTTGAGGAGACCTAAGAGATTTGACTGTGCGTCGGCGTGTGAGTTTGCATGTGCTGTGTTAGGTCAGTATGATATGAAAGCGACGGTGATGCAATAGACGTGTCAAGCACGTTGTTGATGTAGGCTTACCTTGGTTAGAGCTCCGCGAGGGTGCAGCTCCGTCAAAAGCACGGGCATTGCGCTGCTGCGTCAGACCTGCAGCAGCTTGTTGTGGGCTAGATTTGGAGGACTGATTGAGACTGGCGAACAAGCCTTCCAGGCGGGGGTCTGTGCCTGAGGCGGTCATGCTTTGTCGGAACACCAGGGAGAGAGTGGAGATAGATGCAACTTCTAATGAAGGTAAAATCAGTAGAGATTATGCTGGTGCGCTAAGCTGGTGTGTCACCAACCTAAGCTAGAACTAAAAGCTCTGACCCGGAGATCGCACCACTTTTTGGCGCGGGAAAATTACGCAATGGTGCCTGAAGAGAGAACAGCCAGTCCTGGTGGTCGAGGGTCTCTCTCAGCTCTTACATCCCTTGCCATTAAACATCTTCAAGTGAAGCATTCGTTTGACCACATCAACGATTCGAGAATAATATTGAAGCATGGGTTCATGTGGAATCAATCACTGATTGTATGCCTTTGCCATCCTCATCATGTTCTGCTTAAGGAGGTGAGATTCATCACCTTGCACCGAAAACTGCGAGTCTGTCCAATAATGGTAGCTAAGCTGACAATTTCCGGTAGTTGGCTACCAGCCCTTCTTTTCTTTCCTCTAAATGCCAGTCCCTAGTATGTCGATATCACATCATTTGAGTCTGATAACCCGAAGACCGCTGATTGTCATAGCTTCGTGATATCCTTCTTCGTCCTCACGTTCCTCCTTCAACGACCTTGCCTCTACTGTTCCGCCCTACTTATCGTTCTTTTCTGGTATTCCTGTTCATGGGCAAGCTCTTGCTTCTTTGACCTTCGTGGCAATTGGTTCGAGCCCCGTCTTTTCGCCTCTCCCTTACCAAGCTCGATCCTTTTTCCCCCCGGGGCGTCAAGATCGTTGAACCACAGCTCAACAATCACAACGGGCGATTTCAATACAGAAGCTACACTGCTAGCCGCAGCATTCAATGAGACAGCCGCTCTACTTGCAAATGCTGCTCTTGATAGCGCCAAATGGAACATGCAAGGCAAATTAGAGTGGAGTGGAATGGGCATTGGATGGCTACGAACCCTCTCGGAATGGGAATTCAAGCTGCCATGTGTGAATGTGCCGGTGCGTTTGTGATGAAGGCGAACATTGAGTTGGTACAGTGTCATGATTATTAGGCATAGCGAAGGTATTGAAAGGCGTTGGGGGCTTCACCTCATTGAAATGCCTATTAGCTTGGAATTTAGACAGATCAGTTTATAACGGATTCTTTCTCGATGCCCCAAAAATAGCAATTTTAGGCAGGGTGTGAAGGTCAGGACCTCTTGTGCCTCGGTCTACCTTTTAACCACAAATACCCTATCAACCCCGGGGCAGCAACAAGGCCTGATAGCTTCCTTGATTGTGCCGTTCAATCTTCTTCCTGAATATTAGCTTGACTTTCATGTCATTGATTGTCGGCAGCTTACTAAGAATTGGGATCAGGCGGGGCGTTTGCACGCACCTCCGTCTTATTACACCAGCTGCCTTACAACCCCATAAACGTTTGAGCCGCCTCGAAAGAAAATCTGGATTTGATGCATCAAACCGCATCTTACGACAGAACTCTAGTCTAAAAACTCTGTGCAGACATCATTCGACCATGGCTGCTCTCGATAGAGACGTCCTACCTCCCATGTGTGTATCCTGCCTGCTTGTTTCATAGAACAAATGTTGAGAGCCTTTTAGACTAAAACCTCTACATTATAAGCTAGACATATACGACCTAGAGCTTGGTGGAGAGTTCAGCTTTGCAGGTACTGTTAGAATTGACATAGGTGTCAAGTCACCGACGAAAAGCATCATCATCAATGCTCATAAACTGAAACTGAGAACGGCGCAAGTGTCCGGTAATTAAGGCCAATATCATTGCAAAGGACCCAGGAATTTGTAGGTACTGTCTGACTCTGTATTTAGGTCAAAAGGCATCCGAGATCACATACGATGAGAAGCGTCAGCGAGCTACTCTTGAGTTTCCTGAGGTCATCCAAGAATCCAAAAATTCCGTTCTCCAGATTGAGTATACTGGAATCATGAACAGCGACATGGCTGGCTTTTATCGATCGAAGTATAAGCCTAAAGATCAGCCTGCCAAATCTGTCCCCAAGGAAGGAGAGCATCATCTCATGTTCAGCACACAGTTCGAATCATGTGATGCTAGAAGGGCTTTCCCTTGCTTTGACGAGCCAAATCTGAAAGCCTCGTTCGACGTAAGCATCGAGCTTCCGAATGACCAAATAGCCCTGAGCAACATGCCTGAAAAGGAATCGAAGTCATCTAGCAAACCTGGCCAGAAGGTTGTCTCTTTCCAAAGGACACCAAGAATGAGTACCTATGTAGGTTTGATTTACCATTGCTTTGTTGTCAGCAACAATTTCTTCAACAGTAGCTTCGAGCCCAATCCTCTCGTGTCTGCCTAAGAATCTCGCCCAAAGAACTTCAGCCCAAAGAGAATTTCTAGCAGTGCGATTCGTACGTTCGCTGCTTAAACAAGCCGAGAAAGCCGATAAACCTCCTTTAGCCTAGTTATCTCTACTTGCTTTAGGTCAAACCCCTGCCATCCATGATGAACTGTTGAACTGCTGGACGCTAATCTTCAGGACTCTAGTTATTGGCGTGGGTTGTTGCAGATCTCAAGTACGTAGAAACAAGGACAAGTCGGAGCTACAACGGGGAAAAGTTGCCTGTGAGAGTCTACACTACCCCTGGTCATGAAAAGCAAGGCCAATTTGGGGCAGATGTGTGCGCAAAAGGTGAGCCTTTCAGCATGAATACGCTCAGGTACTGATAAGGCGTCCAGTGGTCGATTTCTATTCCGATATCTTTGAATTAGAATATCCTTTACCAAAGATCGACTTAGTCGCTGTCCATGAATTCTCCCACGGTGCAATGGAGGTACGTTCTTCTGCAAACAATGTACAGCGACAAGTGAATAATCCGTTGCAGAACTGGGGCTTGATTACTTATCGAACCACTGCTATCTTGTATGATCCAGAAACGTCCGACGCATTCTACAAGAATAGAGTGTCTTATGTTGTCGCACACGGCGAGTAATCCATTTGTCCGTTCAGTATTCACGGCTGATGCCCCGAAGAGCTCGCCCACCAATGGTTCGGAAATCTTGTCACTATGGACTGGTGGAATGAGTTATGGCTCAATGAGGGCTTGTGAGTATCTCCAGCATTGATTCATGCCTGCATCCTCACAAGTTCAGTGCAACTTGGGTCGGCTGGTATGCCATCGATAATTTCTTCCCTGAATTCCAAGTATGGTCTCAGTTCGTCACGGAGGCAGTGCAGACTGCCCAAAATCTAGACGGCCTACGCTCGTCGCACGCCGTGGAAGTGCCAGTCAAAGATGCTCTAGAAGTAGAGCAAATATTTGACGCCATCAGTGTATTTTCATCCGCAGATATGATCAAAAAAACAGACTGACGTAGATAAAAGTACCTCAAGGGAAGCTCCATCATTCGAATGTTGACAGCTCATCTTGGTATCAAAGACTTCTTACGTGGCATTGCTGTCTATCTCAAAAGGCATGAATACGGTTTGCTGCGTCGACCTGTTCGGTGAAGTTGCAATTAATATCATGTCAGGCAATGCAACAACAAACGATCTTTGGGCCGCTTTGAGCGAGGCGTCTGGAAAGGACGTCAAAACCTTTATGGTATGTTTCCCATATGTTGGGGTTCAATCATGTGCTTCTAACGCGAAAGTAGGATGCGTGGATCACCAAAATTGGCTTTCCGGTAGTTACAGTTGCAGAGGAGCCAGGGCAAATTGGCGTTCAACAAAGTCGGTTCCTATCCGCAGGTGATGTAAACCCTGAAGAAGACACAACGCAGTGGTGGATTCCTCTGGGACTTAAGACTGCCAACAACGCTACCCCAGCAAGTCAGGAACTTGCTACTAAAGCAGAGACACTTCGCAACGTAGATGAGTCATTCTATAAATTTAACAGCTACCAGAATGGGTTCTACAGAACAAATTATCCGCCAGAACGTCTTGCAAAACTTGGCGCGGAAAAGTCTAAGCTTGCGGTGGAAGATCGTATTGGCCTAGTTGCAGATGCTGAAGCCATGGCTGTTGCTGGGCTTGGGACAACAGCCGGCCTGTTAACATTGGTCGAGAAATTTCAAGACGAAAGCAGTAAAGCGTATGTCACAGGATGCCACCGCTATACTGTAGACTGACTTCATTAGGGTTTTTGCACAGATAGCGGGATCTTTGGCCACTATTCGCTCTGCTTTTGCTGAGAACGAAGCAGTAACGCGAGGTTTGCAAGCCTTCACGCAGCAACTATTTTCTCCTGTGGCGGAAAAGGTTGGTTGGAAACAAGCTCAAGGCGAAGACTATCTGACAGGTCAACTTCGCGCTCTCGCAATTCGGGTAGTAGGCGGTGCTGGTCATCAAAAGTATGATATTCCGCTGTGTGAGATGGTTGGATTGCTAAATCTTATGCTAGAGTGATTCAAGAGGCACAACGCCAATTCGCCGCTTACGTCTCCGGCGATAAGACTGCAATTCACCCAAGTCTAAGGATTCCAGTCTTCCGTATTGTCATCGAAAACGGAGGCGCTTCTGAGTACAAAGCGTTGAAAAATGAGTATGCGCAGACTACCTCGATAGACGGTAAAGATGTTTGCTTGACAGCTATGGGCCAAGTCCCCACAGCGGAATTGGCTAAAGACTTCCTGGACTTCCAATTCTCTGATGAAGTTGCGACGCAAGACGTTCATACTGGATCCATATCTCTGGCTTCGAATCCGAAAGGAAGGAGAGTTCTGTGGGATTATTTCCGGAGCGAGTGGAAGACGGTTTCGAACAAACTGGCAGCAAGGCCGATCATTATGGACCGCTATATCAAGTCCACTCTTTCCAAGTACGCAAGTCAGGAGATGGAGCAGAGCATATCAGATTTTTTCAAAGATAAGAATACGGAAGGCTATGACAGAGGTCTGCAACAGGTGCTAGATAAAGTACGAACAAATGCAAGGTATCGCGAGCGCGATGAAATGCTGGTCTTAGAATGGCTACAGGCACACCAATATGCCTGAATTACAAGCTGGAGTGGAAAGGCGGCATGGCTCAAATAGTTGACTTTTAAGTCTCCTGATAGGACACACTCGTTTGATGATGTACATTTCTCTGGATGCCCGCAGTCAATAAACTCCTCATATCAGGGTACAATGGACCTTGACGAGAGCGGAAGATGGCAGTAGCATATCAGGCAGAGGTTGTAGGGCTGAAAAGTCTTGGCGTAGGCCTTGTTCCGCATTTATGGACGGAGCAACGACAGCGCCGCACGTCACCCTACCATAGCACGAGACTCATCCGACCAGCTTTCTCGTTCTACGCAACTTCCTTACTCGCGTCACTACTCTATATCTCATCAAACCGTCATCATGAATCCTGAGTGGTAAGTGTCGGGAATAAAAGGTACAGCAAGTATTTGCTGACCTGATGCGCTTCTCGTAGAGTCTTTCCCCTTCCCACGACAAGGAGAGATCCTGCGACAAGCAAATCCTCTCTCTTTTCAGCATCCATTACCGTCTATTTAGCATCTACTTATCCTAGCATACGTAGATACGATTACCTCTTCAAGCTGCTACTTATCGGCGACTCTGGCGTCGGAAAATCCTGCTTGCTCCTTCGATTCGCAGACGATACATACACAGAAAGCTATATATCCACGATCGGAGTCGACTTTGTGAGTAGGGCTGCTTTCAAGGCCTCCGTCTGCGCCTTCTTCATCCATCGTAACAAGGCTAACGCTATGCTTGTTCTCAGAAAATCAGAACAATCGAGCTGGATGGCAAGACTGTCAAGCTTCAGATTGTGAGCAAGGACCTTGACTTATCAGGCGAAATTTGACACTAACGAGACACCAGTGGGATACAGCAGGCCAAGAACGTTTCCGAACAATCACATCATCGTACTACCGGGGTGCTCATGGCATTTGTGTGGTGTATGACGTGACGGACATGGACTCGTTCAATAACGTCAAGCAATGGCTTCAGGAAATTGACCGCTATGCCACTGAGGGCGTCAACAAGCTACTGGTAGGCAACAAAAGCGACATGTCAGATAAGAAGGTCGTGGACTACACCGTTGCGAAGGTGTGTTTTGCATTCTAAAGTTAAACATACAGGAGAAAGGCTCACGTGCTTCGGCGCTGCAGGAATTTGCAGATAGTCTTGGGATCCCTTTCCTCGAAACCTCTGCCAAGAATGCTTCGAACGTCGAGCAAGCCTTCCTCACAATGGCGCGACAAATTAAAGAGAGAATGGGCACCACCACGGTAAACAACAAACCTACAGTACAAGTGGGACAAGGAACAGGCGTTCAGTCGGGATCGGCGGGTGGATGCTGCTAGATAAGTACGAAATGGGATGAGTTGGAAGGACGCAAGATAAACTGCATATGCAGGGAGGCTGTGCCGGGCTCATATCAGTACACATTGAAACCGGCGTACAATCACGGCATTGGCTCTCGCAAGCGTTTAGACGGTCTCATTGATGCAAATCTGGATCTGGACTGCTGGCCCTTATCCTTCCTAATGGTAACAAATGTGGACTTTATCAGGTCAGGTTGATCTTGTATTCAATACGTATTAGTATCGGCAATATTCTTTTATCTAGATTATCACTCCATCGCGATCCCAAGCGCTTGATTCTGTCCTCAATTTTTGCCTGCCGGACGGCTGTTCAAGGCTAAGTAAAGGCGACATCAAAACAAATCACTAGCAAACTCAATCTCTTGTGAGCACATGCAATGCTGAAATGTATATCTAGCAATTTCCAGAGAACCTTGCAATCAATTGTCGATTCGCTGGACAACATATTGACTTGACGGGATGGTACATATTGACCAACATCGATCAGTCAAGCACATAAACCGTACATCTCCATTTCTAGATTATCATATCTAATCGAACACCTGACCACCCTCTCAATTAATCCTATAAGTAAATTGTGGCACCGTCGGTGGCCACCGAACACCTTCACTAAATAAGCCCATATGAGCCTCTGAAACATGATAATCCATTCTCGAATGCCATATACCAGAGCACTCCATCTGCGGTCGAATTAACCCTAGACCTATCTTCGTCTTCTTCCCTACTAAATGACCCTTTTATTCCAAAGAAAATCTCTCCCTAGCTGGAACAACGCATCGCAAATCCTTCGCCTTTCTCTTTCTCCCAAAAACCCCACCAATCTTCTTCAGAAGGCCCTTGAATGACCCTTTCCTCCCCCTTCCATACTTTCTCTTTCCGCCACTACTCCCGTTCACTCCCAGAAGGTTCTCTTCGCAACAGCTACTGCACCTGCCTATCCGTTCACTTCCGCTGTAGAGACTGAGAGCCGACGCAGCCAACGAGGGTGTTGCGTACGAGTATCCTGCTACGGAGCAGTTGGCGAAAGATGGTGATGTGAGCGTCGCGGGTGGTGTGGATGCGGGTGTTGTTTGCTGGGTGGAGCGGCGGTAGCAGGAGGAGGGTGCGGATGTGCGCAGCGTGGTTGTGGATTTATGATGGAGGGTGCTCTGTGAAGGGTGGTGATGGCAGGCGGATGGGCTTTGATTTGTGGGGGTGATGTTGGTGGCGGATTGGGAGGGGTTTTTGGGTCGCTTGCCCGAGTGAGTCTGTGTGTAGGGGATTGCGATGAACATGTTGGGTCGGGTGAGAGGTCGGGAGTTGGGAACCATGGGCTGGAATGTGCGTCGATTGAACGTGTGGACGAGTGTGGACGAGTATTGTTTTCAAACGTATAGTCTGTCGTGAAGTAGCGAGTATTTAAAAGCAAAGCAGTAGGAAAAGAAAGACCTAAGGACCAAGAGATCAAAAGAACTGTTTCCTTTGCATTTTAGGTATAGAGTTCCAAAAATTGCAAGCCACGAAAAGAGCCAAAAAGTCTTGTCCAGGAATAATGCTCAGTGTTTGAAGGCTTGAAACCATCTTGAGCCTGATATAAGGCATGGTGGCTTTGTGCTTGACAGAGGTCAAGTCGGATCACTGGGACGTCAAGAACCAAACCAATCGTAGCTTATTTCTAGGTTGTAAAGCCAAGGGTAGAGTAGGTGGCCACCTTAAAAAGGAAAAAGTCAAGCTGAAGAAGCCAGATTGACAAGTTCAAAAACCAGCTTGCAAAGTGATCTGGATATATTGTTCTGAATTATGCAGCGTCAAATCAGGAAGTACTGAGCATTACTCCCGGTCTCAAAAGCCACTTGCCGTTGTGGCTTACCAAAGCCGCAAGCTTCTTTTGTTATCCAAGCAGAAAAGCAAAGGTGAGCTCCAGTAGCTGAGGAAGAGAATGGGAAGGTTCTGGGCGGGATTTGTGAATTGTAAGGCGTATCCGAAATGGGCTGGTGAGATTCTAATACGATTCGGTCTAAAGTTTCCTCTCGAACGACCACGAGTCTTTCCCAAGCGAATTTCTTGGATAATCATGGCGCCTGTAGATACACATAGAAAAGATGGTCGAACTCTCTCCGTCGAATAGAAAGGGACTTGATGTGGTATATAAGCCAGACGCTAAGATTGAATTGTCAGGCAGATGACGGTCCTAGTCTTAGATAATAGGTTTAATCATAGCTTTCGATGCGGTCGATCGTACTTTTCGAACAATATCGCCCTTGTGGTCGCCTGACCAAACGTTGCTAAACCTTCCGTAATAGTCCTACAGGCCCTTGAGGCTTGCATGCGAATTGACAGAACGACTCTGTCCGCGCTGATTTAGTCGGCGCGATGCTGGTAAGCATTTGAAACTTAAGCTGTGAGTGTTCGCTCAACACTGCAAACGCGATTATTCGAGCTAGAAAGCTGCAGTCGTCGACGTGAATGTTGACTGCGAAGATCATCAGCACCATATTCTGGGAACTCGATGGCTAAGCCTGACATGAACCAAGATCTCACGCTGTAGAGATACTACGTGAGGCGACACGCTGCTTGCTGGTACTCCGCCGATTTTCGCCTCTACATTCTCTCAAGCTAGCCGCAGGTCTTCCGATATTTCAGGATGCTTATATGTCATGTAACGGGTCCATTTTCTTCGTGTTACCCACTCCGCGAGCAAGACTCTACTCATCACAAAAGAGTGCTGCTCTCGGTAGATACTCGAATCCGACTCGGTTGCGGTGATCCCTCCGTCGGCCTCTCTCAGCGACAAGTGCGGAATTATAACAGGAAATGCTTCGCTGTGGTCATCGAGCCCGGGTTGAGTTCCATTTCAGATCCTTATTCTTCGATCTTTTGCCTTCCTTGGGACCTAGGATGGGAGCCTGCCGTAATTGTAGGGTTTGCTGCATGGCAAGTGGGGCGCTAATCATTCTGCCTTTTTCATCAAGGAACACCTCGTCCTCCGGACCTGACAGACACTGGCCCATTGCAAATCAAGGCAAGAGATGAGTAGAGTATCTCGAACATACACGATTAGTTGCTTTTTGGAGGAAGGGCTATCGCTTCGGAGGCGAGATCGTTAAGGAGCGATACGCAAGAAAGACACAAAATCGCTCAGCAAGTGATTTGCAACCTGCGGTTTGTTGAGATACCAGAGAACTTTTGTACTTGGGTGTCAGGCTGTAGAAGAACAGAATATGAGAAGTAGAGGCAATAATGGAGAAGTCAAGGAATAGCAGAAGTGGTAAGCGGGAGGCTCACGCTTTAGCTAGCCATAGTAAATGATGATAGTCAAGCCATGGCGTCAAAACAGATGCATAATATGCACAGACCGGGTTTCCTTCCGGATCAAAATCTTGCCCCTCGGATCCACTCGTTCAGGTCCGATGGAGGGCGGACATTTGGAGGTCGTCAACCCTCCTGATAAGTTCTTGCGAGCCATGCCTCAAAACCCAAGACCACGAAAAGTTTCTCGCACATCTTTATTTGTCGACACGGTACCGTGTCAACGAAAGATAAAGCATCAGGGGCCAGGAGGGAGCCACCTTGAGGGGAATGTGAGCACTACTACTCGATGTGCTACAGTGCTATGGCGCCACTTGTCGATCACCAACAGTATTGATCATGGATGGCGATCTCCCGGGCTTTCCCCTAGATTTCCCCAAGAATCCAAGATTGGTTCAGGCCTGATCTCGGTGGTACCGATTGGTTCAATTTTCTCCGATGCCGGGGTACCTTACACGTGGCTGTTCCGATCTTATCGAGCACGCCCATCCACCAGTAAGGTATTATTATTCACCAGTATCTACCCAGCTTCCGACCTTTGGCTCCCTCACCCGAGCCAGAATTGGTGGCGTGAGGTGTCGCATCTTTATAATGTGATCAACTTGGTTGAAAGCGGCGACGAATTCTTAAACAGTAAGAAGGCTGACGAAGCCCCCAAACCTTCCAGGACAAGCACGAAAGCATACAGCATATAGATTCTATCTTTATTGGGGATAGTAGTCACCAGATATCCAAGAACGAGCAAATGCCTCATAATGATCAATTCTAAATTCTTCTTTGCATACGTAGCGTTTCCCCATAAGAGGGCCAATCACCTTACAGCCGGCCGGATCAGATGACAGCGCGCGCGCTTACCCAAATTCTAGAAGGCTGGGAAGCTTCTCTGCAGCTGTCAGCTCAAACATGTGTCCATTCTAGTACCTCACTGCTGCTACGATAGATCTACATACCCTTGACTTTAATAAAACGCCCCGGCCCTATCCTGGTACGTCATTGGAGTTTGATGGACGCTTGATGACGCGAAGGTCAATTGAGATCCTCCCCCATCTCCAAGATGGCAGATTCAATCGGTATGCCGCAGCCCGCCTGTCAAGCACAAGTACCACGGACACAGCTGACTGAATTTGCAACACAGATCGTGTGTTTGTCCATGCTTTGAACACCGTCAAGCGACTACCACGTACCGGCTCAGCAACCCCACCAGAGGGTGATCGTCTGAAGCTCTATGGATTGTACAAGCAGAGCATGGAAGGTGACGTGGAAGGTGTGATGGCAAAACCCAGCAACGGAGTCTCCAGGGCTGATCAAGTGTCGGAACTGGCCAAGTGGTATGATACAACCCCGGCGAAGATTGAAAGCGGCTGAAAATAGTCAGGGAAGCATGGCATGCCAATGCAAGTCTATCTCGCACGGAAGCCAAACAAAGATACATCTCCACTTTGATCGAGACCATGCATCGTTATGCTACCACTACAACAGAAGCAAGGGAACTCATTGCTGAGCTAGAGTTCGTATGGGACCAGATCAAGTCGAATCCTGTCTCTTCATCCGACTCTTCTCCAGGACGTCGCGCAGTAGCTCAAAACATAAAGCAGAGTATCGCCTTTAGCTGGAGGCCTGGAGGTGACGCAGACGACAAGCTGAAAATGATTAGGCCTACAAGTCAGGGAGATGAAGAACTTGACGTAGTAGGAAACCTGGATGAGACGCAAATTTTTCAACATGGAGATGCCATGGACTCAGGTACAGCCGACTTCTTTTCATCCAGCATAGGAACGCATAACGAACGGTGGAAACAGCGCGTTGAGCAAGCCTTAGTAAAGATGACTGTCGACATTGCGGCGCTCCGAGAGCAGATGGAAGCAAACAATACGAAAGTGACGAAACAACACCGAAGACCTTTGACATTGATAGCATGGTTTATCACAGCGTCAATGCGACACCTCTTTGTCGATGCAGTAATACTGGTTGTGCTCTTTGCGTGGGCACGGCAAAGCAAAGGCCTCAAGGCAAAGCGGGGCTTACAAACAGCCATGGATTGGATTCGGCGCCAGTTCAGCAGATATCAAAGAGCTTTAAGGTGAAGGACATCTCTCCCGGTCGCGGAGACATGATTTATACCTCTTTCCACATTACAGTTCCCCCTCGGGCATAGCGCACCACCAACTGCTTCTCAGGACCAGCCAATTGCTTTCAGAAGCATGCATCCCCACTTTTTGCTCGTAAGGACCTCACGACTGACGGTTGACACCGCCAGTGAGACTGCGACATTTCGGCAGCTTGCTGGACTTCCTCCAACACATGCCGACGGAACGGGGAGCGAACGGAGATAATCTAATCAGCGCCAAGCCTGAGCTTAAATTGCCGTCATGGATGACAAACCCGAAGCTGCCTGCGCCTCTGACAACGACTGCGCTTGGGTCACCATTACCCATTTGCTTCCGATGAAGATACATCTGTCTTTGCACAAGTAACTTCATACTCCTATCAGCGATCCTACCCTATCACCACCTTTCCATCACCGACGGCAACACCTTCCTCTACAGAATGACCACCGATATCTCTATAGACATAACACTTACCTATCATGGAACCACACACACTTTGCCTTTTTCAGATGGCGCAACTCTGTCAGATCTGTCCGATCGCGTTGATGCTGAGCTATCGATTCCCCTTAAGCACCAGAAATTCATGATCACTCCTAAAATCGGAATTCTAAAGCCGCCCTTCTCAGACCCTTCCCTATCCTTGTCAAAATTGCAAGGCAAAAAGGTTCTCCTTCTCGCCCCAACAGCAGCCGAGCTCTCCTCTATCTCCCGACCGCTCAGAAACTCCAAAGCCAGCTCAACGCTCAAATCGGCTGCGCCTGCACGACAACGAGATTGGAGAAAGGTCCAGGATGAGACAACCTACACGTTTCACGCTATAATACCGCTTCCTTACCTACCGAATCCCGATCGATCAAAAAAGTTCTTGGAACGTCTTAGTAATGATCCGGGCATAAAAGCCGCAATGGTGAAACATAAGTTCAGCGTTGGGGTACTCACTGAGATGAATCCCGCGGAACATACAACGCATGAATCAAAGACGTTAGGCTTGAATCGCAATCGAGGAGAAGTCATTGAATTACGGTTGCGAACGGATGCCTACGATGGTTATCGTGACTACAAAATCATCAGAGACACGCTTTGCCATGAGTTGGCCCATAACGAATTTGGAGACCATGACCGTAATTTTTGGGACCTTACAAAGAGTATTGAGAAAGAGGTCAGACAGAATGATTGGAAGAGTGGTGGGCAAGCAGTCAGTAACGAGATATTCTATGATCCACAGGATAGGGAAGGAAGCGGTGACCACGTTGATGGTGGCGGATGGAGTGGTGGTGAGTTTGTCTTAGGTGGAAGCGGAGGGGAAAAAGTAGAAGGACAGGGTCTAGGCAGGAGGGAAGCAATGGCCAGAGCCGCCGAGGAGAGAATGAGAAGTCAGAAAGAGGTAGGGAAGGGCGGAGAACTTCATTGAAGATGGTATGATTAGACGACTGAACGCAATTGTGCAAAAACCTTCTATTTAAGCATAGTACATTTTGGGTATCTAAAGCTATTGTTCCGATGCTCAATCACCTGGCCACTATACAAGATACAAACATGACTCAGATTGCCTTCCTATGCATGGCTTTACCATCTAACGTACTCACTCTTCCGGAAATTCATCCTCCAGCTGGATCCTCACGACGACGTTCATACTGAACAACTCCTGTATCAACAATTTCGCAGCGTACGGTATCGTGATCTTCGACACACCCTCGCTCTTCTGGCAACTCTGGCACCAACCCTTATACCCCATCAATCCACAGCTCCCACAAACATCTACCTGATACGCATCACTGCTCAACATCAAACGTTCTAGTAGCAGCGAGCTGGCCCCATACGCAATCAAACAATCCCTCTCCATCTCTCCAAGGCGCAATCCACCATCTCTACTCCGTCCCTCCATCGGCTGCCTCGTCAACGTTGCCCGTGGCCCTCTGGCGCGCGAATGCATCTTGTCCATCACCATATGCTTGAGTTTCTGGTAATATATTGGCCCGAAGAAGACATACGCCGGCAATGGCTCGCCCGTGATGCCATCAGTAAGGTAATCTTTTCCACCATAGTTGAATCCGTGCTTGATCAGCACGTCTCCCATGTCCTCCGCCTTACTTCCCCCAAAAGCGGTTCCGTACTGCAACTCCCCATCTAAAACACCAGCTTTGCCAGCCACGAGCTCCAGCATCTTTCCCACCGTCATCCGAGAGGGGAAACCATGCGGATTCATAATGATGTCAGGCACGATTCCCTCGTCTGTGAACGGCAAATCAACTTGTTCGGCTACCAAACCTACAACGCCCTTTTGCCCGTGGCGCGAGGAGAATTTGTCGCCGATTTCTGGTCGACGTGTCTGGCGGGTTTGAACCTTGATAAGCCGGTCCTCGCGGTCCGTCACTGAGATCATGACTTTATCTATGTAGCACGGGTCGTGCCCATGGTACGCCATCTCGGCACTCTTGTAGCCTCCGGGCCCGCCAGAGTTAGAGATAACATTCTCGGGGATGATTTTGTTGATGTAGACTTCGCCATTGTGCATACGTTCGCCAACGCTAGCTAGGCCTGAATCGTCCAGTAGGGCGTGTTTCTTGATGTTGACTTTAGTGACAGGATCTTTGGTCGGATCTATGATCTTGTCCACCGCCTGGTTAGAGTAGGATTTCAGCACAGTACCGAGTTTGCGGTAGACCTGACAGCTGCCAAAGCCACGGTCACAGCTAGCTTTATTGATGACCAGAGCGTCCTCGATATCGTAGCCCGAGTATGACATTACAGCTACCACGGCGTTGTGGCCCGCGGGGAGTTGGTCGTATTTGATGAGTTCGATGGCGCGGGTTTTGACGAGCGGTTTGTGAGGGTAGACAAGGAGATAGAGGACACTGTCCAGGCGATTGAATTGATTCGTGGCAATTGCACCGATGGCTTGCTTGCCCATGGCGCATTGATAGGTGTTTCGAGGGGATTGGTTGTGGTGAGGATAGGGAATGAGACCTGCTACGGCACCGAGAATTGTGAAGGGTTCGATCTCAAGATGCGTCGTTGAACTGTTGATATTGCTCTCATACATGGCAATGTGTGCATCGTTTTCTTCGTTTACGTCGAGATACTCTACTAAGCCTTGAGACAAGAAGTCGTCGAAGCCCATCTTACCCTTGCGCATCCTTTGGAGGGAGCGTGCTGTTACCTTTGAACGACCTCGTTCAACGATGATAAGTGGCCGGCATATTCTGCCCTCATCAGTCGCAATTTGCACCGTAGAATTATGATTGTTGATCATGACACTGACGAATTCCGAGATTCGGCCATTTCGACGAAGCTTCCGCAAATTACTCACAAATGCTTTTGGGGAGTGGGTCAAGCCAATTGGCGATCCATTAATCAGGATTATGTGGGCACCCGCTGAGTAAAAATCTTTCCCATTGACATTCTCGAGATTCTGTGCCCCAAGGATGTAGACGAGTCTCTTGATAGGTGCTTCGTCATCGTTGACGGTTATATGCGTCATCAAAGCGAGGTTCTTAATTAAACCGCATGACTCTCCCTCAGGAGTATCTGAAGGACATAACATCCCGAATTGCGACGCTTGTAAAGCTCGGGGGCCGCTGATTTTGCGAGTCTTCTCGAATTGACTGCTCATTCGCGTCATCATTCCCAGAGCACTGATGTAGCTGAGCCGGCTTAGCACATGGGTGACGCCGGCTCTCCTCATTCTGAAACGCTTCAAGTCCCAATTACCAGAAGAAATGGCTCTGGCCATTCCAGTGGTGATGTGATTGTGCAGCCCAATCAAATACTGGATGGCGTCAAATTCCTGAGTTCTGTTTGGCTTTTTCAAAACCTTGTCGATGTTCGTCTTAAAATCGTTGTTCAATTTCTTGAATAAGTCCTCAAAGAGAAGTGAGAGTAATTGACCAGCCAATTCTAGTCTTTTGTTACCTACGAAGTCTTTATCGTCAACCAAAGTATTGTCATGGAATGCCATGAGAACTCTTCTGGTCATGTACGCCACGTAGATCGCCTTTGGACGAAAATTAATACCAGAGACAAGAACGTGGTTTATGATTACTGCACTCAAAGCCTCAACAGCCTCTTGAACATATCTTCGTCGATGGTCTGCAAAGGATATGCGGCCTTTGACTTGGATCCGGGACCCAATATACTCGAGTGCTTCCTGCTGGGTATATATTTCCAACCTTGCACATTCCTCGAAATTGATTGCAAAAGCATCCTGATACGCCATGTCTGTTCCAGCTACCATTTCTAGGATCTCGCGGTCTGAGTGGATGCCAAGAGCCTTGAACAGAACAACAATTGGAATGTCTTCATTCAAGAAATTGTGTCTCATGAAGATCCGGTCTTTTTGAAGGATGACATAAGTTTTTGATTTACGTTCATGAGTCGAACTTGTGACTGAAGCTTGAATGAGGGGACTGCTACCACGCGTGTCTTTTTCCACAATGATTCTGTTCTTACTTAATTGCTCTTGAACAAGGATCACCTTCTCTGTACCTCCGACGACGAAGTAGCCGCCAGGATCTAGGGGGCATTCTTGATAGCTAGCTAAAACTTCCTCGGTCGCATTTGTCAGAACGCACTTCGAGCTTCGAAGCATCATGGGTATTCGCCCAATGAGCACACCCTTCTTTCGGATCTCTCGTTGACCCCGCCTATATGCAACATTTACACGTATGGGTGCCGCGTAGCTACTATCTCGGAGACGACACTCGTTTGGAGTGATTTGTGGTCGGCCGCCTGCCATCTTTGGATCTAGGTCTTCATCCGCTCGACTAGGCTTACCAATGTAGACATCTGTATATTTTAGGTAGAAATTCGGATCAATGTCGCTCAAGACTCTATGGTTAGCTTTGACTATCTTCTTTATTTCAACCTCAAGAAAATAGTTGAAAGAATCGATATGCTGTTTGACAAGGCCTTTGACTCGGAGGAACGCAGGAAGTAGATTCCATTTGTCTTTGGCGGTATTGATTGGTGCGGTCAGAGACTTTCCAGCATAGAATGGTTGAAAAAAGGGATCGAGGCCGTCTTGAGCATTGTTGTCTTTGAGCTCAGGCTTCTTCGTCTCCTGCGCCTTACCTTCTTGCCCTTTTCCATGAGCTTGTTTCTGTTGTGACACTCTCACGGGGTCTTGGATACGAAGATGCGCAGCTGGCGGAGCCATAACATATCAACTGAGCAGACGCTATCCTACACAAATAATGGACGGCAGCGGGCTTTGACTCTTACGCTTTCAATGCATTGCTTATTCACGTCCTCGCCACACGAGCAAGAGATTCAGGTTGTGTGGAGCCTTAGTGAATGCCGTCACCTCGCACTATCGTGACCTACGAGTTGCCCAAGTCATGCTCACAAGCGCTTTACCAAATGAGTATCGAAAGTCGAAAGCGTGGTAGCGTACGAAAGGTTCGTAACGGGCTAGCGCGGGCGTGATTTGATTGGTCGATCCAAGGTTCCTGCAGAAGCACCCCACCACATCTCACTCAGTGCTTCCCAATTCTTCTCAACGACAGTCTTTACGACCATTCCCTTTACCTTTGTAATTGTACGCTGTGTCATGTGTCATGAGTCTGCCCAAGATTGTATTAGGGGGATTGTAAGAGAAGGAGACGACGTGCACACTCACCCTCGGGCTCCGCAGGTCGACCCACTCAACTGCTCGATCATTCACTCTCACACCACTTCCGAAATTCGGCCGTGAGGGTGTCGAAGACATCATCTGTCCTAACAGACTTTGTGAGTTCTCACTTCACAGTAGGGTGTTTGCCCTCGACTTAAAACCCAACCTTACTCTCACTTCCTTCAACTCCTCACCGCTCTTCTATACTCATGTCCAATATCTTCCGCAGCATTGCCAATACACACGTATCTTTTCTTGTACTCGCTTCTTGTAGCTAACAGCAATGCATATCTAGCAACATGGCGTTCAACAACAACCTTGCGGCTCGCTTGGACGAGCTTCGGTCCCCTAATCCATCGCGTATGCACAGTGAAAACACTACTGGCCAAAATACCCCCTCCTTCCGCTACTCTGGTAGCTTCATGTCACCCAACAATAATCAGACGCCTATCGAGACTCCAAATCTACAGCGTCGTTTCACCACAGATCTAAGCAAGATGCAGAACATTGGGCCGATTGGTCAGCCACCCAATCAAATCGCAGTTTCCGCAGATGCAAATGCTACTGTACGTTTCGAGACTTCCATTGACTGTTGCCCGACTGCTCCATCACAATATTCAATGTCATGTATGCTCAGCAGCATACGAATGAGATTTTCAACCACCTTACGAATCATATTCACTGACTCAAGGCTTATTCTAGATATCGTTCAAGAAAGCTCAATTGGTAAGACGTCCCTTTGCTCATTTAAATCCTTCTACACTCCCTCAAGCTTTTGTTCGCTGTGAAACTACAATCACGTTCCTACTTCCTATGACACTGCCTTCTCTCACCGCTTGCAACCTCGATAGCTGGGGTGCTGACAGACACTTCAGCAGCAGTTGGAGAAGAAAAAGCAGGAGTACGAGCTAGCAGCAGAACAACGCAAACAGTATCAAGCTCAAGTCCAATTTTTCAGCCAACAAGAAGCTCGCGAAAAACAAGAGATGGAGCAAATGAAACGGGAGTTGCAGCTTGCAGGAATCAATCCAGGCTATCAGAGCGAGCCGACGACCCCGCCCGAACGGCGAGAGCAGCAGTATTCATCGGCTTTTCCAAGAACTAATCGATATTCCATATCCAACTTCGCCTCACCGCCTACGAATACTCGAAGCAGTCGCTCGGGATCTCAATTAACCTCGCCCCCTTCTGACCTATTTCAAATCTCCAAGGGTCCAGAAAGCTCTGATTCACTACCGTCAAAATCTGTTCCTAGCTCTCGCCGTGGGTCTAATGATCGAGCTACAATCTTCGTGCCTGAGACGACTGGCTCAGCTCGCCGGAACGCAACCGGGTGAGACATTCTCCTCGTCCATGATGCTATGCACTATGCCCACATATAACAGAGGCTGACCTTATGATTACTGCTGCAGCGCGAATCGTTACTCAATGCCCGCTACTGGCTTACGAGGTCGCACTCACGAATCAGTACCTGAGCACTCTCCTTGCATGGATATGGAACACTTGAACACGACATCCTTTCTATTTGACGATGATGAGAAGTCGAAGGAACCCCTTACATCACCAGATGTTTCCAAGTATCTCCAAATGAGCCAGGATAAATTTCCAGTGTTGCTTCGTAACAATGAGTATTCCGGATCGGTACGTAAAATTACCGGTGTTTTGTCTCCATACTGATATTTCTTACCAGCTCTCTGCATCTTCGGCAGCTCTTGATTTAGCGTCAGCTCAATCTCATGCCCACGCACAATCTCTTGTCCAAGATGGCTCTGTAGACCCTTTCGAGGCCAAGCTGCACCGTCTATCACTGCAACATAACCTACAGTCAAGTTCCCAAGCCCAGAATGATTCTCAGAGCAGCATTTTCTCCACGATGGAATCGAAGAATAGTTCTCGCCCAGCAAATAGGCATTCTATGGAAGCGACACTAGCAGCTTACTCTCAGTCCTACAGCACTTCCCAAGGACAACCTAATGAAGCAAGACCCTCCTTGGTCAACTCACATGCATCGTATTCTACAAATGATGTGCCCACTCTCAAAAACGCAAATGGGTTGACTAACGTCACCCCTCCCAAGTCGCATTCGCAGCATTTTCACAATCACAATGCCAGCTTGGGCCGTATACCCACTCATGCTCAAACGATGGGCAACCGCCAGAGCCGCGAAATTTCTGCAAATAGCAACGACGCTATTCGAGAAGATTCAATCAACCCATACCAACCGTCAAAAGCTGTCACAAACGCGCCAGTAACGGTATCTTCCCCTGTCGCATCCTTGCCTAGTCCATCAAACAGCATCGGTAATCAGGTGGCTTTCCCTAACCAGCCACTTTATGCTGGGTACGGAATGCAGTTGATGAACATGGGGATTAACCCAATGATGGCTTCTCCTCTAGCTTTCCAAAATCAAATCCAGGCCTTTCAACAGCAAAACGGATTTTTGCCCTATACAAACTATGCACAGCAGGCTCGCTTTCAGGATGGGCAATCACGAATGACCACTCAGCGCCGGATGCCCCAAGGAGATGGTAAGTACCAGATAACTGAAGCTTTTCGGCACGCTAACAACTTTTCACCCCAGATCAATCACGTTTCTTAGGTGTAAAACTCGAAAGCCTGCGCGGAGAGATCCTTGGGCTTTGCAAGGATCAGCATGGCTGCCGCTATTTACAGAAGAAATTAGAAGAGCGAAGCCCGGAGAATGTCCACATCATTTTCTTGGAGACATATCAACATGTAGTCGATCTTATGACTGGTATGTAGCTGACCGTCCTCGCCCTCAACAAATTGGAATCTAACAGATCTCCGTAGATCCTTTCGGCAACTATTTGTGTCAAAAATTGCTAGAATTTGCAAATGATGAGCAGCGGACTATGCTAGTTAACAATGCTGCGCCAGAGATGGTCAAAATTGCTTTCAACAGTCATGGTACTCGTGCTCTTCAGAAGATGATCGAGTTCATCAGTACACCAGAGCAGATACAGACGATTATCAATGCATTAGATCATGAGGTTGTCGAGATGATACAAGACTTGAATGGAAATCACGTCATTCAGAAGTGTTTGAATCACTTATCTTCTATTGATGCTCAAGTAAGTGATAAAGCCTCCATGGCCTACTACATCAACGTTGACGATATGATAGTTTATATTTGACGCAGTGGGCATCAATTGCGTTGCTGTAGGAACCCATCGCCATGGCTGTTGCGTCTTACAACGTTGTATTGATCATGCATCGGGCACCCAAAAGGCTCATCTCATAAGTCAGATCACCGAGCACGCCTTCCATCTGGTTCAAGATCCTTTCGGGAATTACGTCTTGCAGTATATCATCGATCTACAAGAGCCGTGCTTTACCAATCCGCTCTGCCACATCTTCCGAGGTCAGATTCCTCAACTGTCTAAACAGAAGTTCAGCTCAAACGTCATCGAAAAATGCTTACGTGGAGCTGACACCAGCGTTACTCGTCTATTGATCGATGAGATGCTCAATTCGAATGAGCTTGAAAAGATGCTTCGAGACTCTTACGCTAACTATGTCGTCCAAACTGCAATGGACTATGCGGACGTAGAGACTAAGACTCGTCTTATCGAAGCGGTTCGCCCAATACTCCCAATGGTGCGCCATACTCCGCATGGTCGACGTATACAGAGCAAAATCATGCAGCTTGACGGTCATGGGCGCTTTAGTAGTGGCAATGGTACTCCTAATGATCGCTCATCCGGCCAGGTCCCACTATCGCTGCAAATGGCAAATTCTCAGCCAAATTCTCAGGTCACGCACTTGAATAGCTATTCGAACCTCCAGCCTTCTCAGACCTCTGTCAACAATTATCCAAACCCAATGAATAACGCCTTCCAATCTCCGTTTGCAAGCCAGTATCCTCAATACGGCTTGAGCAACGGCTCGAATTTCTCGCCCCTTGCTAACGAAAATATACAAACTGTACAACAGCCGTCGGCATTTCCGCGATTGCCCCAAGTTAACGGTGGCTTCTTCTAGGAGGGAGCTATGCCTGCCCTGTACTCGGCGCACAAATCGGTAACGCCTTATAGCGCAATGATCGCTGCTTCTTTCTCTGAAGAATTTGGATTTATACTGCTTAACATTGGCCCGTGGTATTGGATCTCTCCTGCGGAAAATACATGAGTCTGTACAATACCATCAGATATCTCTCTTCGTAAGAGCTTAGGATGAGACATGGCGCACATTTGAACTACTTGTTGACGTCGCTCAGCTTGTAGCACATCAATATCTTCCAGGAATATCTACACTCAGTGCTATGAATTGATGACATACGACGTGACGAATGCATTTGACGGACGCGCTTTATGATTTATTCACTTGCAGGCGACTTCACCATCTTAAATCCTTTGGACAACAGCTTGAATGCATGCGCTGGTTCCGTGATTGGTTTCGAAGCATATGCTCCACACGAAAATTCACATCATGAATGTAGTGCGGAGATCAGGCGGATTGAATCTATTTGGACTAAGGCATGGACATGAAGCGATGCTAAACAAATGCAACGACTAGGGTGAACGCAACATATCGAGGGATGGCTTTAGAATTATGTTGATAGAAGAACAATTCCATATCTGTTACCTAGAGTGTCCCGTTCCGTCTCTTTCCTGAAAGCGAATCTGTATCACCTTAGGTTCCTAGTTCTTGACCAATGTGGTTAGCTTCACTTGCCCGCCGCGCAAATCCTACTCTAGCAACTGCCTGTCACCCTCAATATTTCACCTCTTTGAAATCACTCGCATTCAAGATATTGTTTGTGAGTTTTAATTTCTCAATTTCTGACTGCCAACGCGCCCGTGACTTCTCAGTCTTCAAGCTGTACCTGTCATAGCCTCCAAGTCCTATCAATATGGCTTCGGCGAAAATTAGTAAAAATCATCTGAGAAGAGCTAAGAAGAAAGCTGCGAAGCAAGATGTGAGCAGAATGAATCACTTCTTGATAAAATTCATTAATCATTTGCAGAACGCCACGACTCCCACTAGGCAACAAACTCCTCCAACAGAACCCAAGCCAAGACCAGCAGACGGCTACGATGACACTACAAAGGCAAGACTGAAAGCCGAGGATGGCGACCCGGACATCGATGAGAATGATCCTCTGTATGAGATGTACAAGAACATCATGGACAGATTTCAAGAGGTGGACAAGGACGACCCAGCGGCTAAAGAGCCAGAAAAACCAGAGATTTACTACGAGGAGGACGACGTGATACCTGACGAAGAAGAAGAAGAAGCGGCGCAGCTCAAGCTGTCAAAAAAGAAGCGGAAAGAACAGAACAAGCTTTCTGTTGCAGAGTTGAAGGCTCTGGTGCAGAAACCAGAAACGGTAGAGTGGACTGACACCTCGGCAACAGACCCGCGGTTATTAGTACACATCAAGTCGTATCGCAACGTGGTACCTGTTCCTACACACTGGTCACTAAAACGCGAGTACCTGTCATCCAAGCGCGGGGTGGAGAAGGCTGCATTTTCCCTGCCTAAATTCATACAGGAGACTGGTATAGCAGAAATGCGGGATGCGGTTCTTGAGAAACAAGATCAGGCTTCATTGAAGCAGAAACAGCGCGAGCGAGTGCAACCAAAGATGGGGAAGCTTGACATTGACTATCAAAAGCTTTACGAAGCCTTTTTCAGGTTCCAGACCAAACCAGAACTCACCCGCTATGGTGAGGTGTACTATGAGGGCAAGGAGTACGAAACGAATCTCAAACATCTGCGTCCTGGTGAGCTGAGTGAAGAGTTGAAAGAAGCTCTCAATATCCCACCCGGCGCTCCGCCGCCATGGCTGATCAATCAACAGCGCTTTGGCCCTCCGCCGTCATATCCAGCGCTTAAGGTACCTGGCCTTAACGCTCCTCCTCCACCAGGCGGATCCTGGGGCTTCCACCCTGGGGGGTACGGTAAGCCTCCTGTTGATGAGTACAATCGACCTTTGTACGGCGGTGACATTTTTGGGGTACTACAGCCTCAACAGAACACGCAGCTAGGAGAGCCTGTAGAAAAGACGCCATGGGGAGAGCTGCAAGAGCCCGAAGAAGAGTCAGAGGAAGAAGAGAGCGACGAAGAGGAAGAAGACGGTGACGTAGAGGAGGTAGGAGCTGGCCTGCAGACACCAAGCGGTCTCGAAACTCCTGGTGGTATGACATCCGCCGTTCCTACAGAATATGGGGGAGCGGAAAGCGTTGGCGGAGACTTCGATTTGCGGAAGAAAAAGCGAGGTACGGAAACTGAAGAATCAACTCAACCGAAACATGCCTATCAAATTCTACCGGAGCAAAAATCAAGGGTGTCCGGCTTCTTTGGTGGAGATCGAACATACGATCTCAAAGGCGCTCAGAACAATTTGCCGGTATTAGATCAAGAGGAACAATCAAGGAAAAGAAAGAAGCCTGGTGACGTTGACATTGCTGTGAATCCAGATTCCTTGCAAGCGAAGGATGGGATGGACAAAGAAGAAATGAGGCAACTTTACGAGGCAGAAAAACGTCAGGAACAAAGTCGTTGGAGTTTTGAGGAGGATCTGAGTGATATGGTAGCGAGTGAACAAAAGAAGAGGCAAAAACGGGATGAGGAGAGACGTAGGCGATGATGCGAGACATGCTACCAATGGCATTAAGATTTATAAGAATTGAAGATACCCTCTCCCAAGAATTCCTCGCCAGATAGTCGACTGCAAAGCGTTGCTCGTGCAATCCATGATGACCCAGGAACATACGCTACCGATTAATTCAGCACGGACTCCAACGTCCAGTAAAGAAGGTGCTCACGGATGAGGGACAGGCTCAAATTGGTCGTCTCATAAATTCATTGAATGAAAGTGATGTTGCGCCGAAAACGGTTTAGTGTCTTATGAAAATTAAATCGGACTGCATTTTCTAACCAACACTCCAAGCAATTTCCGACTCAAGCATTCCCCATTCTACAGCGCAATAAAGCCTCGTGTGTAGAGACAGCAAGATCGAAAATGACATACGCGAGGCCCAAAGATCGCATACCCAGCGACATTGCAAGTGCTTGAACTATGGATCGCGGAAGAGAAAGAAGGTGAGGTACAGCTTTTATTTGGGCGATTCACGCAAAACGCAATGGGTTGTTGACATCATTTCACCTTTTCGATATATTTTCGTATTAACGGGGTGTCTGTTGTCAAGGTACGAGAGCGATCGCGCGTATGGTGGTGAAACATACCGTCCATCAGATAGGAACAACGCACCAGCGCGATCGAACTATCGTGGCGCTCGCAGCCCATCTCGGAGAGCCCGCACGCCTTCATCTTACAGCGGACGATACGTACCAGAGACTGACAGAAGAAGATCCCGAAGCCCTGCCTACACAGGGAGAGATGAGGCTAGCAACAGGCGCCAGAGATCTCCTATACGAAGGGGCTTTTCACCCCGAAGAGAAGGGCGTGATGAACGTATCAGGTCGCCACCCCCACGGAGTCGAAGATACTCGAGATCTCCAGTTCGTGCCAGGTCTCCCCCACCTTTCAGACGAGATTCGCCGCCCCGTGAGCGAAGACCACGGTCTCCACCTCCAAGACGGAGAGCGCTTTCTCCGCGAGGCAGGTTTGAAAGAAAGCCGTATTCACCGCCGAGGGACGCTCGATCGAAGTATCCAGATGAAGCTGAATTCCGACCGCGCGACCGAAGTCGCTCTCCGCTAATTCGTCGGCCAAATCCGCATTCGCGAATCGAGTCACCTGTGTCCTCTCACATATCTTCACCATCCATTCACCCAGATCGACTGGCCCAGGCCAATTCAAGAGTCCGCTCCCCCCTCCGCGAGAGAATCGATATACGGCTCGTCCTCAAGGAGCCGCTCTCCGACCAAGATCTCCCCTACCTTCGAAAACTTTTTCTCCAGCACCAAGGTCGCCCCCTCGAGACATCGCATCGCACCGCTCGCCTATTCGAAAAGATGCAAAGGAGCTTCCTGCCTCCAATCACACAAAATATCCAGAGGCTTCGCGGCCTATGCAATCTCCCGCTATGTCCCGTGCGAGCGAGCCACGTCCAGCCTCGTCGAGGCAATCAGAAACTCCTAGCTCTTCGGTACGAGATCCTCCCACCGGGCCTGCATCCGCAAAGCCCATCTCTATATCTGCACACAACCGCCCAGGCAGTGCTTCTATCCTGTCAGCGCCAACTCGGCCTCGGGGAGGGCCTTCCGCTCTAAGGACTGAATCTCGAGAGTATACATATGGCCTTCCTTCCCATCGAGGTGGCCGTCCGCCCCCTACAGCGCCATATCATAACTCTCACTATCCATATGAATCTCGCGGATCGCCGTCCGATAGAGTGCCCAACGGACCTCGGTCGTCTCATGGTGGAGCACCGCCACATGTACCTCCTTTCCGCTCCAACAACTCTTCTTCAACAACTTATCCACGCACTCAACGTTTCTCCACTACCAACCATCTCGCTTCAATTCCTCCTATAATCCCCGGGGGCTCATTACTGCCAAGTGCAGATCCTGCCGCCGCCAGAAAGATCAGCCAATTAGAGGATGACGCAGAGAGGCTGCGAAAGCAAATCGACGACAAGCAGAAGGAAAAGAGGGCAGGCCTCAGAGACTGGGACGTAAGAGAACGAGAGTCTCGGAGGGAAGGGTTGAGGAGCGAACTCGCCGAGGCGCAGCTTGAAAGCTTTAGTGGCGAGATCATTGGAGGACAAGCATTTTAACCTCGTGTGCGCTCAAGTACATCTGGAGTTGAAAATCCACTTGATCATAATCTTGAGTGATTTGAGTAGGGTTTTCGTTGTCTATGTACATGGAGCGATACTTTCAATAAGCAGGTATGCTGAAGTAGTGTATGATCATCTCAGATTTATCATGCGGTTCACTTTAGGGTATCACAAACAGTAGACCCAGACGAACGTGTTGAGTTTGTGACGGTTAGGGTTCTTCACGTAGGGGCACCATGGTGTGATGAATCTCTCGCTCGACAAGCGGCGGGTGGTGAGGCCCTTGAACTCGAGTCGCGCTGCATCCGTTTTCGGAGACTCAGAACTTGATATCTTTCGGAACCGAGGCCACGGCTGGTTGCTTCTTCTTCGTTTTCTTCGATTCTAGGGACCCAAAATTAGCCTGTATTCTACAAATTTCTCCACCCTGTATGCCATGCTAGCTAAACAGATACACTTTATCTTACCTTCTGGTCCTCCCTTCTTTTTCTTCGGCGCTCCCTTGCCCCTACCCTTCACAAGACCCACATGTTCCAGTCGATCTTCCTCCTCATCATCCCAAGTTTCAAGCTCTAATGTTGGATATGCTCTTCTCATGTTTGCAAGAAGCTGCTTAATAGATGTTACTTTTCGAGGATAGTACGCCGCTACGCTCGGCCCCTTGAGGCGCTGCCGAAGAATGGAGTTACCAGTCCGCGCTCGAGTTGGGTTGTATGTGTGGGAGAAGATGCGACATTGCAACTGTGACAGCGTTAGTCAGATAACCTTGTGTGGAAGGGACGGGCATGCCTTCAAGAGATCTTGTAGCCGCGCTGTTGATACGGACATACCTCACTGAAAGCAGATACGGCGGCATAGAAGTCTGTTGGAAAAGCGGTCACTGCTCAAGGTTTCTCCGCTTCCGACTTTTGTTGATGTCCTGGGGTAGGGGCAAAATAGGGGGGTAGTGGCCTAGGATAACCCGCCTATAGGGCGCTCTCTAGGGCACATGTCCCTAAAACCCGGCGCTCGAATTCTATTTGGCGTGGCCACGTTCAGACTGACCAACCCTCGGACGGCGATGAATAGGAATATCTTAGATTATTCTTAGTCCATTACAGTTGTCTTTTTCTTCAGATCCTTTTCGTAGAGGAGCTTGAGCAATATGAATAGCCAGCAGAAAAGGGACCGAAACGTCTTCGAGGAAACTATGAGCCTCTCGAGGAAAAAACAGAAGCAAAAGTCTACCGCCTCTGGCAGCGGAGACCATGTGAGAGATCAATCGAGGGTCCCTCACGAGGTTTCTACTGGTCTGAATCGGTCTGAAAAGCCTGGGGACAACCCTGCCAGACAGCACCAGGATCGTTCACCCGCTAAAAGTGAGTGCTCCTTGATTTCTACCTTCCGTCACAAGTAACGTCCCATCTGTCAGGATTTTCAAAACCCGTCAAAGGAGCTCCCCCGCCTCTTCCACCGCTACCACCTATCACAGACTATCTCGCAAAACAAATCTTCACCCACCAATCTGCCGCCCACGGCCCCAACATCACAAAAGTCTCCCAGTCTTACGAACGCCTTGAGTTCCTTGGGGACGCTTATATTGAACACATAGCCTCTGACCTCATCTATAACCGCTATACAGATTTTCCCGCAGGAAGACTCTCACAGCAGCGCGAAGTTTTAGTCAAAAATGAGACCCTGGCGCAATTCGCCGTTGCCTATGGATTTGACCAGCGCCTCGACATCAAGCGCGAAGTGATTGAAAGGGAGAGTAACCAAGCTAAGGCGTGGACGAAGATCAAGGGTGACCTAGTGGAGGCATACGTGGCTGGCATTGTTCTATCCGATCCAGAGAAAGGGTTTGACACTGCGAGGGAATGGCTGTGTGCGCTGTGGGAGGAAAAATTAAGGCGAGAGGAGGCGAGGGATGTGCAGGGGGTGGTAGATCCAATGGCTAAGAGTGAGTTGAGCAAGAGAATCATTAGCCCAGGGACTGTTCTAGAGTATGTTGAGGAGGCACCTTCGCAGCAGGAGAAGAAGGCTGGCAAGGTCTGGTTTTCGATCGCGGTGCTCTTTTCGGGCTGGGGGTTTGAGAAAGAGAGATTGGGAGGTGGGAAAGGTTTGAGCAAACAGGAAGCCGGGCAGAGAGCTGCGAGCGAGGCGTTGGGATCGGTCATCACGGCGCAGATTTCGAGGACTAAAGCCGCACACGATCAGAAGCGTAAGGAGGAAAGGGAGCAAGCAGAGGCGGGTGACGGAGCTCTGAAGACTGTTGAAGAACATCAAACCAAATGAAGTGCTCATTTAAAGCGGTAACTAACAGGGAGAGCATATGCAGCGCTTTGAGACGGCCTGATTTGCAGGGAATCTTTTCTCCGCGAAACTCTGCACTCCATAATTCTCGACACCCATGGCACGTTAACATTCATTTTAAGTCCATAATTGGCATCTCTTTGTCTCGGCTTTTCTTGATACTTCACTCATGGGACTTCAGAGCTTCAGCGTCTACCAATACACAGCATGCTAGTCAAGATTCTTGCCTGCATCAATGAGCATTCAAAGCTTTTGCACTTTTCCACAAGCACCGGAGTAACTAACCCCTTAGTTGATTCTGTCAGCTCCTGTGGGCTCAGCTGGGCGGCTACACGAGAATGTTTGTCCGTACGGCATAGAATTCACCTTTCGAAGGGCATGTTGCAGTGTCTAGAGGGGAACGGCGAGTGAGAACATGAACACCTTTCCGGAGAATGCGAGACGCCTTGAGGAGCGATGAACTTCATCATGCGACTTGTACAGGCAAAGATTGAGATTCAGTTCATAGCTCTTGCTGTAGCGATCCATGGATATACAGGGCACCTTGCTTGCTCCCTCCTCGACGTCTTGTGACGGCATCATGGTACTAGAAGATATTTGTCAATTGACAATCGGGTTAATGGAAGGAGCCATACCTTGAAAGAAAAGTTGAGCACCAACGCAACAGCCAGGCAAATGCAAACCACGATAGGACCTATTACGTTATCAAAATCTTTCCCGCTTCTGGCTGCAATCATTCGACTTCGAATGAGATACATCCACCAGCCCCAGACCGCCGCAAAAATGGCAATCAATGTATAGATTACGGCGAGAGAGCGAGCAACATCATTAGACTCGCCAGCCGCATTATAAAGTCCTAGCGAAAGAGAGGCCAGCAAGATCGATACATGCTGCCATTTCACAAACGTTCGTTCATTAGCAAGCCAAACTTTAGGTTCCACGGCGACGGGATTCATATCTTTGATCCAGCGACGAGGTTCCGAAACACCTGATGGGAGAGATTTAGCACCGGCTCGTTTGGCTCGCGCATAGCGCGAGTTAGAGAAGGGAGAAAATGAAAGAACGCCGGAAAGTACTCCACTAGATGGCTTTGCGGCCTCGTCGCCGTCGTGATCTATATCGGCATTCGAGGGGACTCCTTTCAAGTCTGCCACCGACCGTCTTCTTGTTTCGAAAGGTGGTTTCGTCACAGGAGATCCGACAGCAGCTTTGAAGGAAGCCACACTCTTAGATCCTAAGAAGCTTCCAACCGCCTGCTCGTCTGCGGCCTCTTTCGCGCGCTTTTCCTGCTCCTGGTGGAAAGCTTCCTGAGGATCTTTACGAATATCGGTTTCCAAATCGCTGAGCCAGAACGGAAAGCTATTAACGTGGTCTTCGAACAATTGTGCCACCCCATGAACAAACTTCGAAAACCTTGGCTCCTCTGTGACCAAATGTGAAGCCATAAGATCGCGGACCCAGTCGGTGGTTTTCTTCGATGCGCCCTCCCTAACTTTTATTTCTAAGACGGCATATGGAAATTTGGCTACTTCGCCATGTCTGATTTCGGAGTATGGGAATTTGAGCCCGAAGCGATCGATATCGCCACGGTGCCAATCCTGTGGGTCCCGGCAAGGCCTATCCTCATCGAGAGAGTCTTCTCGAATGAAGGCTAGATCCGTGTCAATAGAAATGCGGACCTTATCATCGCCAGGTATTTGGAAAGCGGTCCTCGCATATGTCGCTCGAACCATAGGCTCTAGGTTATGCTCTTTGATGAGCGTTTGCATTTCCTCTACATTGTGTTCCAAGGATGCCACACCGTTACCTGCCGTACCTTCGCGATCCCGAAGCTTACCGATAGTCTTCTCCATCTTGTACTGATTTGTGATAAATGGCTGGATGTACTTCTCCTTGATTGGTACCCGCAGCACCTCACTATTGCCATTCTCTTCGATAGTCTTCTTCTCGAGAGTCATTTCAGGCTTGTCTGAAAGCTGCCCGTACCACCTGAGCCTTAGAGAAGAGGCTCTCGTAGCCTTGCCGATTTTGTTGTTATAGAGTGCAAACTGTGGACTGTCAAAGTATAGTGAAGTTATTGTAGGGTCGCTTCCCCCACTTTCTGCATTCTTCGATGTTTTAGGGTTGTAGACTAGGACAGGTAGACGGCGTAGCACGTATGTCTTGATCTCGAGTAAATTCTCGGGGTGGACCCAGAATTTGTAGGAGGTATATTTCTCACCGCCAAATTTGCTCTCCGATCTCGACTTCGATCTTTCAGAAGAGCCACCGTCTGTCAATTGTCGCGCAAATGAATACATCATAGAGAGCTCGTGTAGCAAAGGAGAGTAGTCCTCCGAATTGAAAGGAAGAGCGGCCAGCCGCACTTGGAGCAGTGGGCGCACTTTGTACTTTGCACCTCGCCTGCGATCATGTTTTTTGGCTGCCTTCAGAAAGCCGGTAAAGTTGACTCGACTATACTTCTCCAATTCATTGATCTCCTTCGTGATATTGTCCAATTCTAATAGTACATCCGTTGCTACAGTATTGACTTTTTCTCGATCTGCCGAAGAAGCCTCCTTGCCCCCGTCGTCGGAGATTTCGTGGAGCCTATTCTCACACTTGGTTGTCCGTTCTCGTAGACTTCTGTAAGTGTCACCTTGAAAGGCATTGACCTTCTCCAGTTCTATATTGAGTAACTCTTCGGTGAAGCGAGCCTCGTCATCGTCCGTCCAAGGCTTCTCGTCGTTTTCAGGCTGTTCCTCTCGTAACAACTTCTTGAGCTTTGCATAATCGATGTAGCTCGAAGCCCAAGGCTGGTAGGTAGAGCTCTTGAGAGTAGCTCCGAAGCGCATGACTATGCCACTAGAGATTTCATCAGCTTCGGATCTCTCAACGAGGGTGCACGAGATTCAATTTACTGACGGTGTTGGCGGGAACGAGAAGGTAGCATTTGGCCTTTTTGAATGATTGATATTCCCGATAAATCCGAACGTCAAACCGGTCTATAACTACTATTTAAAGACTAAATAAACTAAAACTTAGTAAAGTAATAAAATAATATATTCTATTTAAGTTTACTAAGTTTCTAATATTTATACTATTTTATTAATTATATATAACTATTTAGAACTTATAACCTTAGAATTAGAATTATTAATAAAAATATTAATTATTTAAAAAAGCCTTAAGTATACTAGTTTATAACTATTATTTAAAAAATAAATTAATTAAAACTAAGTAAAGTATATTAGTTAAGCCTACTAAGTTTCTAATATTTATAACTCCTTATTAATACTATATAACTACTTAAAACTTATAAGTTTAGGGCCGGTATTACCGCTAATAATATACTTTATTTAAAAAAGCTCTAAGTGGGTTGTGCCTAGATATCGGAAGGTTCGGCCCGACGATAGCCCCTTATCTAGGTTGGGATAGCAAGGATAGTTCACTTCCCGCGCACCCTCGGCAGTCTGTTACATGTCATATGCTCACCCCACCCTAATACAGATCCATTCAAATAGCGTGGCAGGGATGTTCTTCGATCCCCTGCGGATAATTTCAACAACATTCACTTCGCCTAGATAAGTATTCATTACGCCACCGATGGAGGAGCAGTCAATTCCACAGTCCCAGGAGACAAGCAATGCAGCAATCAAAGCTCTATTGAAACGTTTGAAATCCAACCCATGTCCCCGCGTCTTGAACCCGCCAAACTGCAAAAAGCGAGCATCGGTCTCACTTATCATTCGTTTCAAGCCACAGCCTAAGGAAAAAGCAACCTATGATCCGAGCAGATGCTCTGTTGCCACCAGATCATTCGACGATTGCTTAGACAATTTTTTCGACAATGAATGGGTATGCCATAGTAGTCCGGAGGTGCTGTTTATTAAACGGGCGGCACGGCTTGGTGATCGTTGGTCCAACCAGGTAGCATTGCCCGGTGGAAAAAGAGATCCTGAGGATATCGATGATCGCGCAGCAAGTGTCCGCGAAACATTTGAAGAGACAGGATTGGAGCTGCAGCAGGACCATTGCCTGCCTGTAGGTAATCTGCCAGAACGTCTTCTCACCACGGCTTGGGGCAAGCTGCCGTAAGAATTTCCGAAATAGTTTTCACCGCGCTTCACTGACCTTTAAAAGCATAATGGTGCTTTGTCCCTTCGTCTATCTTCTCATGCGTTACGATACACCTCCACTAGACCTACAGCCCGCTGAGGTTCACTCGGTCCATTGGGTGTCGCTTCATAGCCTGCTAGCGCCTGCTTCGCGAACTTGCGAATATGCTGACATTTCAGATCGGGCCCAGTCTGGCAATAGCGCTGTAGTGAAGCGTCTCGTTCGTTTGACTTCTGGCCAGATGGTGTTCAGCGCCGTGGAGCTGCATCCATCCGAGAGTACATTCTCTTCCCTTTCTAAAACCTCTAATGATAATTATAACCCACATTCGCGAGATGAGAGACAAAGACTACTACTGTGGGGCCTGACCTTAGGTATTGTGGCAGATTTCCTTCAGTTCTATAGTCCTGACGCGACTAAACAATTATGGCGTTGGCCTACTTTCTCGCACTGGGATATCCGCTTCATCGTTTGGGCCCTGACTCGCTCCTATCGAGCACGAAAGATCCGAGAAGCTGATGTAGTGAAGAACCCAATTGCAAACGATGCTAGCTCATTCTCTTTACATGGTATGGATCCTGCTACCTATGCCACATCCATGGCAGGAGACAAATTGGGATCGCGGATCGGTATCGCAGGGGGTCACCTTCTAGACGAATATTTTGACAACATGAAGAGGGCTGTAAATCTAGCACTAGGCATCAGGGTAGGAGTGCTCTCCTCCGTCTTGGCCTTAATTGCATACACATCCCTCAAAAGACGTCAACAAAGATGTGCTTTGTGAGAGCTTCTTGCAAGCCTTGCAATGAATCTAGAGCTCACATAGCTAATGTGCAGAAAGCTAATTCATCTTGAAGCCTAATCACTCGCAATTAACTGGAGTATAAAAGCTTGTCCGTTCCTCGAATTGCTATGCGTTTTAGCCTCTTTTCAGCAAGGTTTTCGCACCAAACCGCCATGCCAGTCGAAATATGACTCACGCTTCAGCTGAGGGAAACTCAGTCATCAAAAAATTCTTCATATTCTTCTTGGTACTCCTCCCTCGCTTCTGCAATATCCGATCCAGAGCCATGGGCAACAGCTTCCTGATAATCCTTCCGAGCTTCTTCAACCGACTGCCTATCACTACTAGACACTGAATCTCCATCAACTGTGCGGGTCGGAAGCGGCGCTTCTCCCGCATACGGCCCTGGCTGGGTGTAACCAGTCCCATAAGGAGCCCCAGTCTCATAAGGCGCCCTTGATTCATATGGGGCTCCCGACTCGTAGGGAACCCCAGCTGGGCGCGTGGCGTGATGTTCTTCATCAGAAGATGAATCATTATCTAAAGACGATCAGTTCTTGCTCTCAGTCGTGACTTCCGATGTTTGCAAGGCTCGTACGCATTGCATAGCCAAGTGCACCGCCAGCAGCCAGACCTCCGGCTGCACCAAGAGCAATGTTTCGACCACTTTTGTCCTTCTTGTCTTTTTTCTCCTCCTTTTTCTCTTCGCCTGACGCGGGGTACACTCCACCATACTGGGCGCCCTGTGAAGGAGGTGCCTGAGCTCCATGAGGAGCACCAGATCCCGGTGGGGGTTGCGACGGGTAGAATGAGGGTGGATCCCATTGTGTCCTGCCAGTGGCTTGCTCGAGGTAGTACCAACGCTGACTATTTTGATCAAATTGTGCTACCCAGCCAGGGGGAAGTTGTGGCCCTCCCTGAGGACGCAGACCCGGGGGTTGTGATTGTGACTCTTGCTCCTTGGAAGACTCTAGGGGGAAACATATCAGCTCCTTTGGAAGTGCAAACTTTAGGTGGAGCAATCATGGCTGACCTTTCTTCTTCTCGTCGCCCCCAAGGAACTTGTCTTTGAACTGATCAATCTCTTTGGAATATTTTTAAAGGAAAGACATTATTCTAAGTCTCGCAAAAAGCTTTAATACAATAACTCGAGAGCTTTAAGTCCAAAGGCCTCGACTTCTCAAAGTGGGAGTACACCAGAGGATCTAGACCCTAGCTCTTCAGGCGGTCTAACTTGTCAGGGACCCTATGCGAGGCGTCCGATGAATGACTTGCAGGAGCTTACGACGACTATTTACAGGCTTATGACTCCTATTGGCTGGCTCGAGATTTGAGGTGCATGCGTGACTTGGCAATGCATGCAAGGTATCACCCGTATAAGAAACCCCACCTCGGGCTAGCACATGGCATGCCTACCTCACTTCATTGTGACAACATCAAATGCCCTGACCCAGGACTCCACGATCCACGAGAGAAAGCTTGGGCCAAGAGAGTGAATGCTCAAGACGGCACTTCAACATCGCCTCGGTTGTCTTTAATTCTGGGGTGAAAGGCCTGCCGTCCGCTCAAGAGGCTGTCTTTTAGTACTGCTGGGTCACCCGGTCTACCTAATCCTTCGGAGCTTCCTTTGACCCGGCGATTGCTGATAGACCTCTTTGCAATGTCATGCTGTCCTGACGTGTAAAACTATTGACAAGAAGATGTAGCAGAGCAGCAACAATCTATGAAGGTGTAACTAGGCTCCCTAGGTTTGTCTAGTCTTATCGCCAAAGGCGTGTTCGGCTCCTATGGTCTTTCTCAATCAGATTGCCTCACCTCGACCTGTCTCGTCCACAGACCGATCTGCTAGCGTCAACGTCTGTTGGACATTTGCTTCAGAAGGATGAACAGACGAAGCTGGGGTTGATGCGTTTTGTGATGGAATGTGAGATGACATCTCTAGATTAGCTAGCCCAGCTGGTCCTCGGACTAGACTATTGACCGCTCGCCAGCCAACTGGAAATCTATAGATCATTTTTTTTCTCTTCTGATCTCACTAAATTCATCAAATGGGTCAATCGCCATAGATGTTACTCGGCCTGCAAAAAGATATTACTCACGTTTCTCCAGACACAGAATTCAATCAACGACGGAGCCTGAAATGTCATCGCCACGATTTTGCCAGAGCTCCACTTCGGTGAGACGAAGTGGCCCCTTTGTAACTCGATTTTGATTCGAGATAAGTAGGCAAAACAGAGAAACTAAGCGCAAGCAAATGGGAGAGCCGCTGTAATTCGGACCTTTTTTGGCCAATGCCGGATTCCTCAAAGAAACCCTCGGCGCAAAGTATTGTCGATAGAGACTTTAGAACATGTCGCACAACGTAGCCAAGATAGCGGATGATACAGAAGGTATAGATCAACCAACTCAGCGAATTTCTCACGACGTGTGGGTCCATCGTATTGAGATCCGAAGCTCTCAATCCACATGCATCTTTGGCCGCCTTACGTACGGCTATCTCAAATGGAGCTTGGAAATTGAAGAAGACGCCGTGCCAAAGCTCTCCGAATTCCTTCAGCGTGAGAGTCGATAGCAGTACTGTGATTGCCATGAAAATAATGACATACCACGTAAGACAGGCGTAGGGTGATATTACTAGCATCGTGAGGGTCCCAGGCAGGCACCCATTCGGCGCCAATGGCACAACAATTATGTAAGCACCCATCGTTTGGTGAGATTTGGAGAGTCAATCTGTTATTTGTACTCAAGACAACGGCCGCTATTCGAATGGCGGACATAATGAAGCATTGCTGCGCTGTGACGAGACTATCAACCAGTCGCCCGTACTTGGGACGCGTCCCGTCGCTAGACGCGAGAGAGGTCAAGCAGATACCAGCTACTAATGACGAATCAAGCTCAGGGAGCAAAAAGAGTAAGCCTAAGCAAAGGTCAGTTACGGCATAGTGATCCGCGTGGCGGTCTTACTCCAACTCCAACAGGCTCAAGGTCTGCAGTCCAGGTTACACAAAAGGCTCGAATGCAGGCTTTCAGGCCCTGCGAGCTTCAACGAGCTGCATGTGGACCAAATTCAAATAGACTCTCCTGACTACAAGGTGCGAAAGCCTCTTCATTTGTCAATATGTCATTGGGAAAGGTAGGTTGTTGTTTTGAGACGGGTTTAAGCGCGATAGGAAAATTCATTCAGACACTTTAGGCGGAGGAAGAATCGGGATGATCGGATCCAAGTATATTGAACCGCTGTATCGACTCCTCTACAGAAGTTTGCATCTGCGGCCAGTTTTGGAAAAAGGCAGAATTTGGCGAAAGTCTCATATAGGCCCGCCAGCGAGGCCCAGAGGCCACAAATTCCTGGTCATTGGCATTTGTGGATAAAGCAGGGCGTTTCGCCCTACACAGGCGGCCTGACAGCTATTGGTAGACGGACTGATAATATCGGCGGTCTTCGCTAAAGGACTACCATATCCACGTTGATCCACGGAGGACTCTCTGTCGTCTTCCGCCAAATAATAACTTTCTGACACATTGTAGCGACTACTGACGCCATCAAGATCAAAATTGTTCATCAAGTCTACCCAGAGATGGGGGGACTATGGGGTCAGATCGATGTCCAAATAATCCAGGAAACTCGTCATTTGCAACATGACAAGACTAACACAATCGGCTATCTGAATGGACTAGATAGAATTGGATTTTCAAGAGGCGCTATATGTAGGACCATCCCAAAACTCAAGTCTACGTTGCCATTCCAATGTATGCCTGTAGTCGCGAGATTGAAGGATCCGCATGAACACGCTAAGGACCAGAAGCCACGATGCTATCAATAGATTCATTTGTTTCTCATGTCACTTGATGTTTGGCAAAATCACGACACAATGTAGCCATACAACTCCGTTCACTTTTTCCAGTAGCGTCCAAGACCTCTCGAGTAATGCAGACCTCTCGAGTAATGCAGACCTCTCGAGTAATGCAGACCTCTCGAGTAATGCAGACCTCTTCGAGTAATGCAGATCTTTGACACTGCTACCTGGAACCTTGGGCTCACTAGGCTCTCGCATGACTCCGCAAGCAATTTGTATGGTCCATCATTGCATTTTGCCTCCTCCTTTAGCCAATCCGCCTTGCATTCCACATGAGAAGCTAATTTGTTCCTACATGGCTGAGGACTCGCGGCTCCACTTATCTTTCTTGGTTTTCGACGTAACAGCAATTTGACTGCTGACCCTCGACTTGCCAGGTCTTCATCTTCACGTTTTATTTGCAGTCCTAGCACTAAGACTGTGACTGCTTTACGCACCAGAAAAGCAACGCGAGACAAGCTTGTTTCGCGAAAGCCGTTCGCGCACTCAGCAAGCGTCTGCATAGCAAGTCAAACAGTTGCGCTTCCAAAAGACCACGCTTCAGTCCAATCCAGGCATGAAAGGTTTGCAAGTAACCACAATGGCATTGGGCACTGTCGAGAAGTTGTCAGCCTGTCATTCTTTTCCACAACCCATAGAAAACCCAGTATCATCAACTTCGACTTCAGAAAGGTGAGGTGAATCAGTGTCTCTGGTACCTGCTTCAAATTGTTGGTGATTGAAGTGAGGTCGATGCAAAGGATATTCCAATATGTCCCACTCAAATCGAAAGGACCTTGTTTCGGGCAATCGATCTCCATCGATTCACCATTTACCTCATATGTACTATAGAGCGAAGCTATATGAGAGAGTACCAAAATAATGAAACGTCTTAAAAGACGTCACGTAAAAGAAGCGGAGAGTCGCGTCTCGATCAGTTCAACATCAATCCTTTAGTGCATTGAGCTAAGTCTTAAAGTTGGCAGGTCCTGCTAGATCAAGGGAGGTCCTACCCAAGCCAAGAATTAGAGGTTTATGAAATTACATCAGATCTTCGTCTCGAAAACGCAAAACTAATGTAAGAAGAGTTGACAATATAGGTCTTAGATCAGAGTATCGATCCCAGGTTGCATAGCTGGTAAGATGCAGAACGCTCGCATGACTCACGTCGCTTGGAAAAGGCTTTGACATGTGTCGATCTTATCTCAGACAAAGTAAGACCTACCAAAGTGGAACGATAGGAGAACAATTGACGTATGTTCATCCAGCTGTGACGTCGCAAGTGCGATCTCAAGCTGGTAGACCTGGTGATGCCCGAAAAGATTGATCCAATCGCCGATCTACCTCATACCTACCCTGCATCATGCCGTCAACGACGTCAATGTCCAATTTGACTAACAAGTTTGTACCCTGAGCGTCGCAGAACCTTGCGGGCTGTTGATTTTGCAGCACGCGAGCCATCCTTTGTTCGGTGGATCCTAAGCTGTCACCGTTGCAAAAACGATAGAAATGCATGGCAACAGTGGTATAGAGTTGGTATGCTAGCCAAGTCCACTGAACCCCTTGAGGGGCGAAGACGAAAGCGACGAGACCGGCGGGAAATATAAAGATGCAGAGGACAATCAAAGCCAACGAGAGGACTTCACGCAGGCGATCACCGTTGATGCCACGTCGATAGCGCTCTGGGTGACCGTAGTGCTGAAAGAATTGAAGCAGAAGATCCCGCGGTCCTTGGATCATCAGGAAGCCTCTTCGAGTGTCAGAGATCTCAACAACCCATTGGTTGGGCATTGCGTGGCGTGAAGGTTCCAGGGTTTGGACTGGTAATTTCGATGAGATCGAGCGCACAGGTTTGGTGTTTAGAGCCTGGCGGCGGACTGCAAATGCGAGGCTTAAGACCTTGCAAAGGAGTGGAGTGAGAAACCAGATCGAGAAGAGGCTTTTCCAGTGTGCTGCAACAAAGATACCGACCGAAACAGTTATTGCTTCAGTCGCAATAATCCCTCCAACGGCTCGAAGATCCAGGGGATTAGAAAGCTCTCTGACCGATTGTCCCAAATTAATATCGGAGCTCTTTACCGATTCTGGTGCTGCCGACGCTGATTTGTCGCTACCTGATGCATATTCAAGTGTCAGCCAAAGTACGGGTCGTTTCGATCGAAGAGTCCGTCTTTGTTCAGCTTCCTGAAAGCTGTTTGTAGTAGTTTGCCTTGTAGGCATTGCTTTGGCATCAACAACATCCCAGTTGACAAGTCTCAGAGTGCGTATCCAAAATCCATTCCTGGCTTCTTTCTGTTGTGTGTCCTCGTCTATGGCTCCCTTCTTGACAGAGTAAGTCACCTTAGTATCCTCGTAAAACGCAGTCCCTAGCATATCCCCTCGACAGTAACCCTTGTTGAGCCCTGCTGCGATGAGATGATCGAGCGCCGCAAGTGCGGCTTTGTGTATAGGGCCCCCCATCGGTAAAAGAGCAACCATGGCAGCAAGGTCGCTGGGACTAGAGGTATTGTAAAAGCGCTCGGGCCAAAGGAGTCGTGAGAATATTCCCAGCGATGCTACCTCTGCACCCACGTATCCAAGCAAGGTGGCTAACGCACCAAATGCGACCGTTGATGTCGACCCTGAAGCCATGTGCTAGACACTGCCTATAGAATAGCTAGAACTTGCTGCATCCTTAGCAAATTCGCGACAACTCCTGCTGCCGGTATCTGCTGTTGATCATAGGTACTTTCACATCGCATCCTTCAACAAGAAGACCGGGTTTCTTCAAATGAAGCCAATGATCCAAGCCCGTACGACACGAGAGGAGACTGGACGACCAGCCGCTCCAATCGTCCTGACCCTGTGAAAGAAGGGTAAACTTTCTGCGCCTTTGCCTCCAGTTGCGTCTCACGGAGACCTGCATCCCTCACCTCCAGATGTCAGGCGATCGCCACGGCGATATCGAAGGGATAAGGGTGGCACGGCAGACTTTGCTGACTTCAGTAGAGCCAATCCCGTCTGAGTGTAGCTTCATGTGAGCAGAGCTTGGTCACCGCTAGCTCGTATTTCTTCGCGTATTTCTCGTCTCGGCAGCGCATTCACAAGGAAATCCGATCTGAGGGTGGCATTCACTTGCAATGGCGATGGCATCATGGTTAATGAGCCAAGAGTCAGAATTGGATCATACGACTCATTGGAAATGAGGGATCAATATCTGGAAAGCAAGTTGACGGCAAGCTCTAAGCAATCGCTTTTTTGCCGTTTATTAGGTTTGAAATCCTGACGCCAACATTTTAGAAGATTTTTTGTGCCAAGGTTTTAATTATAATAACCTGCCTAGGTACGCTAATTATCTTTGGCTAAGCCCCTCCGGCCTTACCTTACTCTCCTTCATTCAAGACACTGATTCGATCTTGGTGGGTAAAGAAGTATTACATGTCGAATAGTCCATGTCATCTAATGCTTGAAGCCGTATTTGGTCGTTGGACTCAGTGATGCCGGCATTTTGGCGACTTCAGGTTCTGAGCATCGTACCTTTTCTGTCTTGCACGATAGCGACTGACCAAGCTTCCCTCCTAAGTTTTCTTGCACACGACGTCAGCTCAAATATGCACGTTTTTGCACAGACTTCGAACGAGGTGATGAACGCTATTCACGCCAACATTAAGAGCATCCTGTGGATTAGCGCCATTATGGCTCTCAATTACTAGCTTGAGAAGCTTCCCGCTATGGACTTGAGCGACACTGATCGCACAATTCAACTGTAGGGAAGAAGATTTGCCTTGATAGCACTCAACAACCCTTCGTCTTCATGACCGACAATTCTGTGCATCTTTCGCCTCCGTAAATCGACTTGTTTGATGAGCCTAGATGAGATGTCCGAAGCTGATCTTTTTAGATGCCCAAATGTGAGAGATAGGGGCTGACGAGAGGCAAAGGAACAAACCTTCAAACGCCTTCTTCCACACATTCTCCGGTGCATCGGAGACCTCCCTGAGACTCGGGCGTTATTATTGAAGTGCGATGGCTCTACTTGTGGTGGGTAGGGCTGGCACATAGAACAATGCCTCCCCAAGACGACGTCAGCGCCGTAGTACAAGCATGCAATACAGGGCCTAAGATGAATTCGAGAAGGATGTAAGGCTTGAGCTCGTACATGTAGAGACATACGATTTGAAAGCGGGACAGCTGGGAGAGAAGCGGCGTAAGGTGATTATGGGAAAGCATGAATCGGGATGAAAAGGTAATAGGCGGAGAGTATATTGAATGAAGAATTTAGAAGACTGGAAGTTGAAGTGGAGGGGGTGTAGCTGGGGCCTATTTTCATCTCGAATGCTCAAGCCGGAATTACATACCTCAATACTCCCTAGATAACGACGCAAGAGCAGAGGAACTTCACAAGCCTTGCATACCGCTTTGAACAATTCCTCCAAGATATATACCTCTTCACTTCCTCGGCGTCACCTTCACCTTCACACCTCCGTTGACGGTAGCGACTATAGTCGCCTTCTCTACCCAAGGTTTCTTCTCCACTGCCGCGATCGTTCCAAACTCCCGCACTAATCGTACCGTCAAATAGCTCACCTCCATCAGCGCAAACTGCTGCCCAATGCACACCCTGGGGCCCCCATTGAAGGGTATATACTCCCAACTAACCCTTAACCCTTTTTCCCCGTCTGGTCCATCCAGCCACCGTTCAGGCCGAAACTCTGCCGCGTCGTCTCCGTAGAGGTCCTTGCGGCGGTGCAATGCGAAGGTGCTCCAGTGCATGGTCGTACCCTTTTTCACGAACACAGGTAGTTTTTGGTTGGGACCCCCGCCAAGAGGGAGCACTGTATCCGTTATCGCCTGGCGATCATTTTCAGGGGCGGAAGGATAGAGGCGCTGGGCTTCATTGAGGATAGCGCGCAGGTAGGGGAGGGATTTGAGTTGAGAGAAGCTAGGGGCCATGGGAATGCCAGAGCTATCAATTTCATGTTGGAGTTTGCTGAAGATATCGGGACGTTGAGAGAGGGTGAAGAAGATACTGGAGAGGAAGGATTCGGTGGTGTCTCGTCCGGCGAGCAGGATGTTGAGGAATTCAGCGCATAGTCTGGGCCGGTCTTGGGTGGCTTTAACAATTTCGGACAGAAAGGTGTCGCGTTGGGGGCCTTCATTTTTGGTGTCGGAGGAGGGGTTGTGAGATGATTCCTCGTCTGCAATGGCGTTCTCGATCACACGCTCTACATAGGCGTCCATGATTTTCTTGTTTTTTTTGAAGCTGAAGTCTGGCAGGAAGAAGGACAAGACGCCAAACTTAGAGTCCTGTCCATTGATAGATCGCACTATGCAGCTGAAGGCGTCGTAAAACTTCTCTGCCTCAGTCTTGTCGCCGTCGCTGCTTTTGCGCTTGTCGGGATCAAGAGAGCGAGCGCTCTCTCCAAACAGAAACTCTGTTATAATGTCCAGACTCGCGGAGGAGAACAGCTGCTGTAGGTCCATTATATTATCACCCTCGGCATAGATTGCCTTCACCAAGTCGTCAGCATGCGTCTCCAGGAAGGTTGGGTCGTCGATTTTCGCTCGGGCAAAGATCGGCTTGAGCAACTCGCGCGAATGTTGCCAGAACTGGCCATCAGAGGCAAAGATGCCTTCCCCGATGATTGTCTTCAAAGCCTCCTTCCGGTAGTGATCGATGTTGAAATCTTTGAATTTTGTAGCCAAGATGCATTTGAGATTTTCCGGTTCTATTGTGGAAATGGTCGGCGAACCCCATAAGGTCGAGTATTCGATGGTATTTGTTTGCAACTTTATAAAGCGATTCACAGTCGCATCCAGGAATTTGTGGGCAGTGTAGTCTGTATAGATTGTCCAGAGAAGATCCAAGCCGAATAAAGGATCATAGGACTTCCATCGTACAGCTGGACCACAGCCTTGAGCGGCGGCAAGGCGGCGAACCTGGAAAGTACGTCTGATTCTACCCAACAACCGCACGGATAGCCAAATGCCCAAAAGGACAAAAGCAGTTTTGAGCAATGAAGACAAGGAGACATTCCAAACTTTGCCCAACATTTTGGCGTGAATGATTAGGGGGTGCTGTATCAGTTGAAAAATTTCCAGATGATTATCCGCAACCACACGTCTTTGCAGTCGTAGAAGCTCTTAATAAATGCGTCACTATTCAGCAGACTTTTTCCAGGACTTTGGAACAAACTGCAGGGTCGGAGCTTATGTATGGAACCTGCCTTGCGCCAAAAACGCATGCCTGTCTGTGGGTCTGGGGTGAGTCCCATGATTCCGATGTCGCTTGTCCCTCCTGCCGATGTGCAAGGACTAACGCCACGCTCACGTGTGATTGACCAGACCTGCAGGAGAAGCGAGCTGGTAGATGTCAAAGCTTCAAATTCTTACAAACGCTTGGTCCGCGTAGCGTTTTCCAATGCCGAAGGAGGGATAAGCCAAAATACTTTCCGACAAATTAGCTGTCACCGAATCCGACACCCCCTTCAAGAGGTAGGGTGGTTACCACATCTGGCTGCTCATGCACACTCCTGCATATGCGAAATCCTCTTTTGGGCATAGCCAGAAAGCGAGTCGGAAGTTAGTCTGTGTAGTTGAAAGGAAGGATCTAAGTTCCACACCGCTGGGAGAGGTACCTTACCTAAGGTACGATATATGAGGTGGCAGCTACGTTAGCAGGCATCCCGGTCCGCTGCGCATTCAAGTTCTGTGATTTAGTCTGGACGCTGCCGATGACTGACGAAACTTGTCGCGGTAGCCTCGAAACGTACTTAGGGCTTTTTTAAATAAGAAATATTCTAACCTGTTCTGGAAAAGTCATAGTAGAGACTTGGGTATTCAATACTTGAAAGCTGCTCAATCAAGTTCAAAACTTTACAACTAACTCTTTGTATAAAGAACACAAAGAACATAAGTTTTCAGATCAATCGGGCCTCGCTAAATGGTTCAAATACCCAAGTCTCTATTATGAGCTTTTCCCGAACAGGTTAAAGTAATCCTTATTCAAAAAAGCCCTGAGTACCGCTAGTTTGGTGCTACCCCAGATTTTGTCTCTTGCAACCAACCGCAATCCTTGTTAAGCTGACCATTGCGCACGACACCACACGACGCTTCGAGTCTAATTTAATACCTCACCCGCCATGTCCTGAGCTAAACCGATTGTGATCGGAGTGTCGACAGATCGTTGGCATTCTTGGCAAGATGACCGAATGACTTGGTCGATCAAGCGGCAGAGGTTCTGCTGCGAAGAGCAGAGGTTATCCCATTGTGTCCAAGGCCGATCGGAGGGTGTGGCCGGTAGCGGGGTCAACTCTTCTAGACCACTTCTTCCACTCCGATTGACTTTCTAGAGAAAAATCTAGCTACCAAAACACAAGGCTGAAATCTCACCTGTCATTCCACAAAAGCCCCTTCATCTCCACCTCGTCATCACGCTCCCTCCTCAACTTCACCTTTCTATCTCCCCCCTTTCCCACTTCAACCCTGAGAAGCATCAAACCCTCCTAACCCCTCCAAAAAATGGCAACCACACTTCTCTCCTTACCCCCGGAAATCCTCCATTCCATGATCTCGCACGTCCTCCTCTGCACCTCCCCCTTTCCCTCTTACTGTGAACTCACTTTTCCCCCTACTCCAACCATAAAAGAGCTGCTCTCCCGCCCCTTCGGTCGGTCCACCTACGAGAAGTCACTTTTTCTACCCTCTTTCTCGTCGAGGGCGCTGGTGTATGCGACTTCGGCGCTAATGATGACGTGCCGGCAGCTTAAGGCGGAGACGTTGGAGGTGATACGATTCTGGCGAGGAAAAGAGAGGGCGGCTTATAAGTTGGACCTTCTGGTGCCGAATAACAGACATATGATTGCGGAGTGGCTGAGTTTGCCTGCGCCCGCGAGTGCGTACGGAGCGTGTGAGAAAGACGGGGAAATAGAAGGGGGAGAGCATGCGCAGTATGACGGTGAGGGAAGATTGGGGTTAGAAGTGTACTTTCGGATAGCAGCGGAAGCGAAGGAAGAATTGATGTGCACCTGGAAAGATTAGGACATGACGGGTTTGGCTTGACCGTCAAAATACTTCGAGATAATTAAGAGCAGCTGGAAACTTCTGCTTGGCGGGATGGAAGACTTTCTGGAAGAGCTTGTACGATTCATTGGGACCCTATCTCTTGGAAGCAGACTGACACTTTAGAACGATGCTTTTGATGACGATAACATTATTAATATTGCGCCCTATCTACACCGAACGTTCGTCTCGAACATCGATTTCTTCCAGCGCCAATTGTTCCATCATACTCGTTACGTCTCTTATCTGTTAAATCATGCCAACGATTCCCGCTGCATTTACCCTGAAGAGTTTCGACCAGAAGTTTCGCAAGAGAATAACGCTCTCAAGGTGTTGGACATTCGTCTTAAGGCTCTGAGGAACCGTACGACAACTACACTTGAGATGGTGGGCCAGTTTTGTCTTGAGCCAATTGTTCGATTACTTATCACTTGGAATAGATCCTTAGTTTAACGAACATTAAGCAAACACGCCTCTCAAGTGAGATTCTGTTGCAACAGCGTCAAGACGCTGCGCAATCATTTCGCCAGGGGAAAGTCTACGAAGACTGACACTTGTGACCATTGTGTATCTGCCACCATCCTTTGTTGCTGTGAGTTACTTTAGACTTCAAGATGGGACGAACGAGCTGACTCTGTTGTTAGGCGGCATATGGAATGAACACGCAAATGACGCATGACACAGAAATGTGGACTTTTATAGTCGTGGCGCTTCTATTCACCTCCATCACACTTCTATTCGCTCGTATCCAAATTCGTCGGAAGACCAAGAAAGATATAGAAAACACCGGGCGGCACAAGCATGAAACAGGGCATAGAGGACCAGTAGGGTATACATTATCATTCCGTACTGCACAGCAGGATCCATCAGCAACGCAGCTTGTAGCGCCCCCTATCAATTCAGAAAACTCTTGAGACATCTGAATCATGAGGCCGCGAAGAGTGAGGGCACAACTCCTTGCAAAATGTTTTGGATGTCTGCAAACGTCTCGGCCTCGTTTTGGCTTGCATCAATGCGAGCGCAACGGCTCTCTTTTTGTAACTCTTGCACAACAGCCATACATTCATTCTCGAATGTCTCAAACCTCTTCTTTATCACCTCCGGTATGTCATCTTGTCTTTGCTGTGCTTGTGCACGCCTCATGAGTCGAGAGAGTCTGATGGCTTCTGTAGTATCTAGGAATAGTGCAAACTCCGCCTGAATAGCATTCGCCTCGAAGAAGCCGAGTTGGTGTAAGTTGCGTGGAAATCCTACTTCTAATTAGCACATGTTTGTTGGATATGCGCAATTTGTGCAGTCTCAGCGACAGCCTTCACCATCAATCAAGAACACTTTGATTCCAGTGGCTGCCAAATTCTTTTCAATTGCCTTTCGTAGGAGCTCAGTCGTAATCTCTGCCGGGCCGATCCTGCCTTCTTTCATATTTTGCGCAATGATATGGCCGTATTGGCTATCAGGGGTATTTCTCTCGGCTCTGAGGATATCTCCGACGCTCAAGTGACGGCATGGTAGGTTGCGTGCTAGCTTAGCACACTGTCTGCCTTTGCCTGCTCAAGGCCCGCCAAGTACGAAGATGATGGCGACCTTTGAAAGAGCATCCCAAGACATCAGAACCTCTAATTGTCGACAATGAAGGCAATTTCATCCAAGAGAATTCTCGGTATGAGGGATCAAGGCGGCTGAATAGACAGGAGGCAAAGCATCCCGTGCACCTTCGTATATTTTATGAGGCAATCCAGAAGTGGGTCGCCGAAAGAGATGCCCGATAAGGCTGAGCCTTCGTTGCTTACTTTAGCGCGTCCACAGTATTGGTACTTGTTGTTGAGCATTTACACTTCTCTGTCTCGATATTGGGATGGCTACCGGAGTCTCAGCGGTCGCGAGCTAGATGAGGCGTCAAGAGCCGAAGCACCCACCAGTAAGTTGTATCTCAATGGGAATGGTAGTCTTAGATGAGATATCTTTGTATTCTGGAAAGCTCCTCGAAGACGTTATCGGTGGTTCGGGAGCCTATAGTGAGCAATCTATTCCTTTAAAGACCTCGGACCCTGTGTACACTTGATTCCATTGGCAATTGTTGACAGCCGCAAAGGTACTCTTGGTGCACGCTTGTTTCAAAAGCCGTCCACAGCATCTTCGATAGGTTTCTTGATTAAAGCTGGACCGGATTTTCCAAGTAGCTCTCGAAAGCAACTTGAGGCATGGGGAACTAGCCTCACTTTTCAGGAACGACAAGATCGAAAAACGACCCGCGGTCGACTGACAAAATAACTCACAGACAGGTATGGGATTAGGACAGCCAATGGAGTTCAGTATTGATCTTTGAAGAGAAAACATTTCAATACACATCACCAACGTTGCTTATCAGTGTTGGGGACTTTGCTAACACTGCTTTCATCCATTCACGCAGCTTCCATCTCTTGGCAAGTCCAGACGAGGTGATCAAAGATGTCAAAGAAATACTCGCACTACGGCGGTCTGCACATACACAAGCAAAGCCGCTAATAGTGTGGGAACCAAGGCCATCTTCCTGTACCCCTGCAAATTACAATTTGTTTCAACAAGCTGCACGGCTGGTCGATGTCTTCTCTCCTAATCACGTTGAGTTGACGGCTATCTTTGTAAGAAACTCGAAGAATGAAATATCATCCGCAATGATCACTGATTACGCGAACACCTTTGCAAGGTCCGGAATCGGGAGAGAAAACCGAGGCTATGTCGTTGTACGCTGTGGCAAGCAAGGCAGCTTCACAATGTCGGTAGATTGCGCTTTTTGGTCCCCAGCATGTTACAGTCCAGACGATGTTATAGCAGACGATATTATGACGGGCGATGTTATAGCAGACAACAGTATAACGGACAATGTTATAGATGACCCTCGTATCATTGATACGACCGGTGCCGGCAATGCGTATCTTGGGTCATTGGCCATCGGGCTGCTTGAAACTGAATCGATTTACGAAGCCACCTGCTATGGAGCGGTTGGAGCCAGC